CCCTTCTTAGAGGTCAGATGCAGGCGTGATCTTACGGTGTGCGGCTGCATCATGCAAGTGCCATGTGTTCGTCAAGCCAACCACGCGTGGCTGGGGGAAGGGGAAAAAAGGGCAAATAACGGATGCAGTCCAAAAGCAATACGATAATAATTGCCATCATTATAGGTGACAACCCTGATTCTCTCTCTGTAATAATAAGAAACGCTCGAATCATGCACCTCGTATGAGTAGAGAGGCCTGTGCTGGCCCCACTATATGTGACGATTTCTCGGTTCTGCGCACATGGTTGATAGGTGATGGACTATTATTATCCCAATTATTATTTAACTATTCGATTCTCTAGGCAAACAAAGCAACCATACGTCTGTAAAGAGGAAAAGAAAGAAAAAGAAATATAATTACAGTACTACAGTAGTTAGATCACACAATCCAGCAAGACAAAAAGGGGGCGGCTTGTCTCGCGTGGCCATGGGGCCACGCTTGGACGCCCCCGGATGATCCCCGATCGATCACCACCGCGGTACCCGGGCGAAGAGCTCAAAGCGTAATAGCCTGGCCACGCCACGTTTTACGTGTGATAGCCGATAGCCAAGTGCAGGGTTTAGTGGGAAGACTTCAATCTGTATGGATTTAATTACAAAGTAACTGACTGAACTAACTATGGTGGTATCATAGTATGAGCTCTAATGTCTTGCCTCGGACTAAGAGCTAGGGTCAAAAAACCCTGCCGATCACGCTAGAACACTCCTTAATTACGGCCACGGCAGAGCGCGAGATGACTGATGGCAATAACCAGTAACTTCTTCTTCCGTCATGTTCTCCCATACATTACTCCTCCCGTCGATTATCCCGTCGATTCCTCTGTTACTTTCTCTTCCACCGTCCAGGCGTATACCACGACCCAAGCGGCCGGGTCCGGGCCACAGTTTTGCCGTTTTAACTTCGGGGTGGCTGGAGGGACACTCAAGAAAGGAATGTCTCGTCGACAGAGTTTAGCTGGTGGAAATGAAAGAGTGGATGCGGTAGATTGAGATGAAGCTGATCCTGATCCTGATCCTCCAGAGCCTAGAGGGCTTCGTTTGGTTCAGTAGCTAGCAGTGTTAATACGAGTTTTATGCCTTCGGTGATGCTTTCCATGTTCCATGTTCCCTGCTCAATGATCCCCGTTCCGTTCCACGTTCCACAACCCAGTAAATCACTACTGATGACGATGAAAGCCCCGTCCGAACCGGTGGTACGCACTGCTCCAGTCGGCAAAGTTTTTAGCTAAACCTACTGTCGACCAGGCCCAGACCGATGGATTTGCATCCATAGGGAGGAGGAGGGAATGTCACCGCGGAGGTCTGCCATGGGAAATTGGACAGTCTCTCCAGCGAGTCCAGCCGACCGACGAGCCGCAAGGGGCGCCAATCATGCCCGGCGGAATTCTATCGCCGGGCTCTGTAGTGTCGATCCCGATGAGAAGTGCCGGATGGGTGACTTAGGTGGAGATGTGTTGGGACCTGGCGCTGTGATTTTATCAATCATTATTGTTGTTTATTCATCTGATCAAGCCAAGGACTAGACACCAGCATCGTATGGTGTTGATGACTCTTTCTCCATAAGACCTATGGGTCTAATATATTAAGTATTCCCCATTCTCCTGAGTCCTTCCAATTCGAGGTGATCTGCCGAAGCCAAAGCGTATCCAGCAGGATATATACTCCGTATTATGTACTCTGTACAGTATTTTTCTTCTGTTCTCTACCCAAGAGGATCAGGAGGATCGCCCTAAGGCGTGGATCATCTCGCTCGAGCCCTTTTCCACGCGCTTTGCTACAGTAGTGTTCAAGTGGAAGCATCATCATTCCGAGGGATGAAACGCTTTCCCGCTGACCAGCTCATTCTCACGAGTCAGACATCCAACAGTAGTTACTAGGACCTGTGATCCTACGAGAGTCATTCCGTCTTCTCCTTTCCTTCCATCCGGTTTGCCCCCTGTGAAACTCCTTCCACAGATCATTCTACGGTACCATTCTATCTCGATCTACGGATGAAAAGCTCGTACCGTACATGCCCAAGTACATCTCACAGTACGAATCCCTGCTGAATCATCTACCACACAGCCAATCCACACGCACGGAGCAGGCGATCCTGGCCAAAACGGCTAAACCCAGTGGAGACTTCGCTTCCACGAGGTCGGGAACATAGACTCCACCCGTAACGGCCAATCCTCGATCGCTAGCGGGTGCAGAATCGTGCACGGCCCCAAAGAGTTCCACAGCCCAGCAGCGGAGCAGCCCTTTCGACTCGCCCCTCTTGTACTACAGTACTGTAACTTATGTACGGAGTACAGTAGTGTGCTGATGCTCCATGAGTCTGTGACACTGATTGACTGCCGTGGTCGAAAAGGCAACGGCTCCCCCCCTTCGTTCCAGAACGCCGATCACTCCGATCATTTCCTCCTCCTAAGTAAAGAGCAAAGAGCTGGTCGGCGGTCCGCGGGTCTCGCTGTGTTCTCCATTCTCCATGCTTTCTGTTTAGCCCAGCCCGCTCTCGGGTCTCGGTCGCCTCTCGGGATTTGTATGTGAGGCATAGCTACCTAAGCCTCTCTTCTCAGGGCCCTGAGAGATCTTCAGGAGCAAACAAAGGATTCTCGAAAGAAGAGATGATCCTGATCGACACCTTGTTCAAGTTCTGGATCTCTGGCACCTTCCTCGTTGACATGCCATGCGACGAGATACTCCTTACTCAACCGTAGCTTTGTTTATCTTCTTCTCCACCAACAGAACCCAATTGCTATTCCTATTTCTATAATTATGGTTCTCCTTTAAATGACGATGCTGATCATGATCAGAGGAGGATCGCTCGACCCGCCGACCGTGCATCACCACCACAGGAAGGTGGTGGTGGTTGCTTTTGCAGCGCATGGCGTCCATGTTTACTGTACAGCGTTTTTTAACCCAACTCTCCATTGATCCCATCCATGCATCACTTGCTTCCTCGTACGGATGAAACTCTGCTCCAAAACTCTCAGACCCTCCCATAAAGTCTATGCAGTATGCATGCCCAGGCAGAGTAAGGTTTTCCTAAGCGAGCCCACATGGGAGTCCCGAGCGCTTAGGAGCCGCCACCCCGTCATATCGAGTACAGTACTAGACAGTATACACTCTACTTCAAGTGAGTACGTGGTAGTCACGGAGTTATGGATATATGAAACTAATATCATAACTGAATCATAAAGTAGTAGCAATTAATGAAAATCAATGGAAAGGTTGCATAGGTAGGTGGCAGATATCTCCAAAACCCCCTTGTCCCCAAAAAGAACCAATGATCACCCACCCATCCACTCGGTCCCATCTCCTGAAACCAGGGAACTGCTGGCCAGCACATCGAGGGCGCTAAAGCAGCGGGAATGACTTCTGGACAGGGGATGTTCTGGCCCCATCGGAGTTATGGTTGTTTTGGGTTTAGTGCCCGGACCTACTAGTAATGACCTTCCCTTTTGGCTTGTCTGGGATGGGTTGCTGTGTCTGTTTTCCCCCCGTTTAGCCACGCGACAGTTCTTGCGAAGAATCCGGGGTTATCGGGTTTTGGGGAAGTTCATGATGTTTGTTCAGATTCTTGAGGATGAATGGGGAGCCATGAAGGGGAGGAATAGGGGGTTATCACGGAACTATGAGTAGAAAAACGTTAGTTCTATAATAAGCATTATGAGATCTACCACCAAGTTAGGTACAGCAGAATAGCAGAGTTCCAAGTACACTGTCCTCTCTCAAGACTCCGCTTAGAAAGCTACACACTCTCTCTCGCACGGAGCAAGGAGAAGTATAAGGATGGGCATCGGCAGATGCACACCACGTAATACGCACCAATACGAAAAGAAAGAAAAAGAACAAAAATCAAATTAAACCCCTCGCTAAAAAAGCGAAAAGAGAAAAGACAAAAAAGCAAAAAAGCAAAACCCGCGAAGGATCGACGTACGATCAGGTTCGGTGCGATCGGCCGTTTATGGGGCTAGTATGTGACAGGTAAGCAGGATCTGCACTAACCGTAGCCGAGGTGAACGGGGACTTTCCGGCCTCCCCGATCAGGAATAGTGTGGTGAATGTAGTGAATCCTGGGAGGTCTGGTAGGCTGTTCTTTTCTCCAGTTCTTTCTTATTCCGGTCTAGTCTTTGCATGGCCATGTTCTCTTGGCAAAAGGTCGACCAGGGGGGGGATTAGTGCATGGGGGGCCCGCCCGTCGAGCCACACTGCGTTAGCCTGTTAGTCTGTTAACCTGTTAGAACTTGGGGGGAAAAGTGAGAGAGACTCATCGGAGGATGGTGATAGGTGAAGATGCACCTCGACCAGGTTGCCTGCTTTGCTTGCTGTCGTACAGTGGTGTGGGTTTCTGTTCGCGTGGGCAAATCGTCATGGCGGCTCCACTTGCAGGGTTAATCTCCGAGACCAAAATAAAATGAAATAAAAAAAAAGGAAATTAAAAAATTACATTCGAGAGTCACTGAGATTCTGTAGAATAGAAAATAATAATAAAAGAGAATTCATCGTTAATTAAATTAAGCTTTGGAACGGACTGTCTCACCTATTGCTGCTTTGCTTTGAATCCGGAAATACATCCATACAGAGGTATACACTCCATGTGTCTATTGCTCTAGCTCAGCAGTAGCCGATGTACTATGTACTGTATGATGATAGAATGCACATATTATTCTCTCTATAGTCAATGCTCCGTGCTCTAGTATATCGTGTACTGGTAAAATTACGGGGTGGAGGAGGAGGGGAGAATAGGTGGAAAGGGCAAAAAAGTGGAGAGAAGAGGCACAATCGGCATCGCCCGCGGGCGATCATCCACGCGAAACCCGGCCACCTGGATGTGGATGTGGTTGTGGTGGTGGTTGTGGCCAATGTTCCTTGGCTCTGGGAAAGTTGGTAACTCTCGTCCTGAGAGTCTGGTTGCTGGACTAAATTGTATAAACCCTCGTGTCTCCCCATACTTCGCTTCCTCTTTGGTTTCGCTCTTGTTCTACTATCAAATCCTCCACACTTTCCACCCTCCCCTCTCTTCCCTCCTTGAGTGGTTCATAGGTATCGATTCTATATCTACCTAATCTCATCTTACCAACCTCTCAATCATCTCACTCTACCATCATGGATTTGGCAAGCCTTCTCCACGGCGCCGCCCCGGCCCCCAAGCTCTATACCGAGACTTATGGCAAGCGCTCACTACAAGCGCCTCTTTCGCCCCCGGTCGAGGATCAACCCAAGTGTTCATTGCCTTCGATCTCTACGTTGCTCGAGGGTGCAGAGCACTCAGCTAGTAAGTTAATCTATACTAGATCATAGTACTGTACCCATAGCACTATGGTCCAGTACTATATATACCATCCTATATATGATCAATTGCTCACATTCCCCCAGAGCGTCAACGTCTCAGCCCACCTGCTCACCAGCGCGATGCTCGCTACGACACCATCTGCATGCCTCCCACCCCACCACTCCGTCCAGGCTCAGGATCCGGCCACAGCAGCATCTCCCACTCACCCGTCGAACTCAACACTCCCAAACACACCTCCCCACACATGCACCGCTCCTCCATCTCCAGCACCACCAGCTCCACGGCTCCTCACCACTCGCACTCGCACTCGCACTCCCACGGACCCTACGCCTCTCCCGCACCCAGCACCTCCTCAACAGGCTCAACCTACACATCCCCCGTGGAAACCAACCCCCCAAACAACAACACCCTCTACTACCCCCGCCCGCCCAGCACAACCACCTTCAACCCAGCACCCACCACACCCGCCCTCAACACCACCAACATCCCGCAATCAACACATCAACAACCGCAATCAGCAACCCAACAATCCCCCTCAGCACTCATCTCCCCCGTCACTCCCGCCTGGCAACACCAACACCACCACTACTTCCCGCCCTCCAGCGCGGCTCCGTACCAACAAAACCACGACCGCTACATCTGCCGCACCTGCCACAAGGCTTTCTCCCGACCCTCCAGTCTGCGCATCCACTCGCACTCGCACACGGGCGAGAAACCATTCCACTGCACACATCCCGGCTGTGGAAAGGCTTTCTCCGTGCGCAGTAATATGAAGCGTCATGAGCGGGGTTGTCACTCTGGTCGTCCGGCTGTTCCTGCGCCCCAGGCGTTGGTTTCTTAAGTCGATTGCGTTGCGAAGATAGTTACCCGGTGTTGATTTTATGTGATTCTATTTGGGAGGAGTCCCTTCCAAGGCTGAAGGGCTTCGGCGTTTTATGATTCTGATTCTGGTCTTTGGAACCTGCTGGCTGGTGCTTGTTACCGTGATACCCTGGATATCTTGGTTTTTTTATATTGTTCCTTTTGTCTCTATTCCCTTTGTTCCGATCGGATGATATACTAGATGGATAGGATGGATGGATGGGATTTAAGATAAAAACACTACAATTATGAGACAATGTATTATTTCTACGATTCATTCTATCCTCCATTTTAGTAGATAAGAAGTGTAGGTGTTTGTATGAAGTGTTGACTTGAGCTATTTTCTGGTTAAGTTTGCTTTTGTCTTAGATTTGCCTCGAGGATGATCATGTTCATACTCGGGAAATCTTCCGGAGAATTGTATGGCCTTGTCCCAAATCTTAATCCTTGTGAGACGGAGTTCCTACTAATTACGGAGTAATCAGCTCATAGACAATTAGAGTTGCGCATGAACACCCCTAAGGGGTTATTACGGAAGATTTTATGCGAATCATCTTTGAATGAGTCGACACGAGGTGGGCATGGAACGCCCGTTCAATAGATTGTTGGGGGGGGGGGGAGAACTTGCGAATAGACTCGACAAATGAAAGAACTCGAATTTGGGGGAATCAATCTATGTAAAGTCTGGATCCAATCTAGATACCGCGCGATAAAAGAAAATGTGCAAAATGACCGATATCCGGAAATGAACGTAGATGAAACCCGTATACCTCATCTCATCCCTCAAACCAAACCAAAACCAACCATATCCAAACCCAAATCCGTATCTAAATCCCTAACCGTGTATAACCAATCCAAACCAACCCGTTCATAAATCATCAAATCTCATCCTCACTCATCAAGAATCCCCCTCGCCAAAGCCGCCAAACTAGTCTCATACCTCGCCGGATTATGATCACTCAACATCCCCGACGCAAACCTCAACTCCCCAAAGAAAGCATCCACATCCCTCACAAACCGCATCTGCACTCTCGTCGCCGGCCTCCCAAGCCTTGGATACCCATCTGCGTCAAACTCCGGCACAGCCGTAAACGCCTCCCGCTGCAAAACACGCATCGTCTCGACGACGAAGACCTCGCCGGGCGGCATGAGTTTGGGCGCACGCATCTCGTCTCGTAATAGGCCGAGCGTTTTCCACGCCCAGGCGTCTTCGCCGACGCCGTCGCCTGCGTGCAGGACGTGGGGGGGTTGGTTGACGTAGAATTTGTGGATGATGCTTTGGCGGAGGCTTTCGTGGAGGCGTTGGCGGACGTGCGATTTTGCGCCGGAGATGTCGCTTTTGAAGAGGGAGGCGGCTGTGTGCATGTCGTGGAGGATGCCGAGGGAGAGGCTGGGGACGACGTCTGAGCCGTTGACAATGGTTGTGATGAGGCCTCGGGTGGCGAGGCGGAGGAAGGGGGACATCACTGCTGGCGGTCCGTAGGCGTAGACGTGAATTGGGCGGCCGGGAGGTAGATCGTAGGCTGGTGGTGCTTCTGCTGTAGAAGGCGAGGAGCTCTGGCTGGTCTCGCTGTCGACGGCGATCAGGCGAGGCGGGGGACGTGGCTGATAGGAAGCTGTCACAAAGGACGTGCCCGTGAGAGCACTGCTGGGCTCGGCAATCATCGTTGCTAGCAAGGCTGCAACACCACCACCTAGGGAATGACCGCAGAGAACGACACCGTAGTCTTGGAATTCTTCAAGTGCTGCGCGCAAGGTGATCATCACTCGACCACCACCACCTTCAAGTAGACGCTTGGCCGAGGCGTGCATCCCCTTGTGCACCTTCCAATTCTTGCCTTGCCATTCCAGATCATCGTAGTCACAGGTCATATCCGTAAGGATATCCTCAAATCCCCAGGTTCCACGAAGTGTCAGAACGAGCGCCTTCGATTCATGGTCGATGGAGAGATAATGCACGAGCGGGAATCCGGTCTCCGTCTCACCAGCGGCATTCGTACCTCCTGCAGGGTCAACGAAAGAAGAGAGCAAGATAGTCGATGGTGGAAGCCCGGCATGGTCTGAAAATGCGCTGTGTTCATGGTCATCCAACACAGCCGCAGGAAGACTCTTTGTACCCTTGGGCACACCCATGACCTTGAGTGCATTAGCACCATAAGAGGCAGACGAGAACCGGCAGAAGCGACGGATGTTTTGCACAAAGTGTCTCTCGGGGAAGATCCCCGGGACTACACCATCGCGATTCAATGCTTGGATGGTACTCATATCCTCATATGCACTTTTGCGGGGCCGATGTGCCAACAAAAGCGAGGTTTCTGAGCCTGCCGTAGCGACCGAGTACATACTAGGAGTATATGATTGAGACCGTCTATGCAGCGCCGACGAGCTGGGTCGGTGATCATTCACGGGGACAGTCCCATCCGTCTCCGACCTTGTCAAAGACATGGAGCTACTGCTGCGAACATGAGTTCTTGCAGCCACGGGCGAGCCAGGGCGTAAGTCGGCATTGCGACGCGAGAAGGTATCCGTGTGAGTCAAAAGCGACTCCTGGCTCTTCTCACGCATGACAAAGTACCCTGCCCTAGAGCTACTCCGGTCAGGGATATTCCGAGGAGGAACATGTCGGGTATGCGCCCTGGGCGATTGCGGGGATTGGGGAGAGTGAGGATACGGCGACCTGCGCAAACCTCTATTCGGAGCCGGGGTGTTGGGTCGAAAGTCAACTGCCTCGGTGTGTCGACGTTTGGGGTCTGGTTGGCCAGAGGTCTCACGAGCAGTTGCTTCTCTGACAGATGATGCGCCTTTCGTTGGCCTAGGGGGTTGGCGGGGAGCACTCAGGGAGCCAGGAGTCTTTAACGCTGATTTCTTGAGTGAAGCCCGTTTGCTACTCTCAGAACTCTCAGTCGGTCCATTCGGCTTGACTTTTTTCGCCAATTTTGTAAACGACCCCTTCCCGAATCCAGATTTCTGGCTTTGATCACTTGAAGATCCGGGACTGACAGCGTCTTGTCGAGAAATTGTAGTCTCAGCTGGAGTGTTTTGATGGGAATGTGGCCGGCTATTCTGCGTTCTGCCATGTCCATTTGATACCGAACTTCCTGGTAAAGCTCTTGGACGTTGCGTCTCCGTCGGACTCGGAACGCGCGAGCCCGTATGAGGACGTAGTTCGGTGCTCTGCGACTTGTTGAAGGCGGTTCGAAACACGACGGTATGTTTTGGAAGTCGCTGGTATTCTGGCACCGAAGTATTGCTGTACTCATGATCGTGATGGAAGCGCTCTTCGATCATCGTTGTACCTGGAGGAGCAGCAATTTCCGCCATGTCGTCATCAAATATGTCAACCGTTATTGTGCGTGCTGTAAGAACCTCTGATTTGATAGTTGCATGGCAGCCCTGAGGCAATTGACTCATTATATAAGAGCGGATTTCTTCGTCCGATGCGTGTTGTTGGCCATCCAATTGGAACGACAGTCGAGATGGAGGAAAGGCTTCTGGAATGCTTGGTCGTCGATGAACCGCATCAAAAGCCTCATCACCATGACCCGGCATTATGAAAGATGCACCTTCAGGCTCGACCAGTTCTTCCTGATTTCCATCTGGAAATTGTACTTGATGGGTGCCCACAACGTCAGCTCTGAGACCGCTGTCCAAGATAACGGTATCCCACACCACTTCATCACCGCCCTTTTGGCGGAGAGTACGTTCAGTATTCTTCTTCCCCCAGCGTTGCAGAAGTGCAAATCCCACAGAGCCAAGAAAGAGGTCTCCCACACCAATATTCTCGCTGCTGGTGCCGGCATCAACAGATCGAAACTCGCGTCGGATAAGCGTAATAATAGCCGCAATAGCCCTGGATGACTCTGTAGATCCTAGAATGGCATCGAGAGTTGATAACAAAGCCTGCGAGAAATTCGCAACCGAAGCCAGCGTCGTAGCCGAGAAATGAAACGAGGCCGCTGCAAAGAATGACGCCGAGGTCACGGTAGTATGCAGAGTTGCTAACTGGAAAGAGGATTTTAGTATGTTGCGCATCAAATCTTCCCGTAGTATCCTGAAATCACATACACTTCGCTCCAGTAATGACTCCGCCTCTCTCCTCCCATGTTCATCGCCACTGCGAAGCGCAACATCTCTCCCAGCCCTTGTCAAAATGCCTTCAATCACGGCGCGTCCCAGTTCCAGACCCGTCAATGTCGTTGCCCGCGCTCCATCCAAGGCGACCCCACCAAAGAAGGTCCCAACTCGCAACGATAGTGAAGTCGATTGAGTTAGGAGCGAGACGAGTGATGCGACTGGTCGAGGTAGCAGAGTGCTACCGGATGTTGCGGGTACATGGCTCGCGTTTGTCTCCAAGCTAATCTGCGTTTGATTCTCGTCCGGTGGACCCCGTGCAGGTTTAATAGGCGTTGCTAACATAGTGAGCCATGAGGTGTATACACAGTAAAGGATTGTGGTTAGGAAGGGAATGAAAGAGTGTTCGTTGTCTAGCCAAGGATATCCCGATCTAGACCGTGAATTGCCCCTCGATAGCGAACGTGATTCGCGATTCTCGTGCCTGGCCCTGAGTCCTGACATGTGATTCCCAACGAACGCGTGGTTGGGATGACGTCGGGGGTCCTTGAAAGCTTGTTTACTTAGTTATTCGTGACATTGAATCTATTCATCTACTTAAGGGTCAAGTATTGGATAATTCACTACTGACAATATGTACAAAAACATTCAAGTCCTCGGCACTCGTGCGTGGTTAATCTACATCATCGCCTTGACATCGCCCGCATGCTGCACCCTGCGAATCACCGTCCGGTCGCACTCGGCCACCGTTCGGATCCCTGCCAGTCCCATGCTCTGCCAAAGATCTGCCAGCAGGCCCTTGAACACCTGTTTTGCACCATTGCGCCCGTCGATGCCCAAGCCGTAAATCACCGGTCGCCCGACCAGTACGGCCTTGGCACCCAGGGCAAGCGCTTTGATGATATCCACGCCAGTTCGGATTCCCGAGTCGAAGAGCACTGTCATTTGCTCACCGACCGCATCGACAATGTCGGGAAGGACATCCAGAGACCCGATAGCACCATCGAGCTGACGACCTACGAGATTGTGTAAATAAGGTTGTCCCTGAGAACAATGCTACATCCAGGGGCAAAGGTCACGTACCGCCATGATTGGAGACCACAATGCCATTGCACCCATACTTCAGTGCCATCTTCGCATCCTCTACATGTTGAATACCCTTCAAGACAATAGGACCATCCCAGTGTTTCCGCACAAACGCCAACTCTTCCCAAGTATGTGGTCCACTGGCAGCAACCTGACCGAGCCATGCACGCGATGCACCCACAATGTCCTCTTCAATGGTGCAACCAGCCTCTTTCTCGAATTTCTCCCGGAAAACCGGGTCGCTGAATCCGACCTGGCACCCAACGCCCTTGAGGAAAGGCACGTAGCCATTATCCAGATCTGCCGGGCGCCACGCCAATGACCAAGTGTCAAGGGTGACGACCAGCACCGAAAAACCGTTTGCTTTGGCCCGGTTCAGAAGAGACAGGGTGATATCGTTATCTTGAGGCCAATATAGCTGATACCACCGCTTACCACCGTCGCTTGCTGCAGCCACTTCTTCAATAGTGCTTGTGGCAGCCGTACTCATTATATAAGGGATGCCGATTTCTTCGCAAACCTCTGCCAGGCCTGTTTCCTTGTCTTCGTGGAAGATACCCTGAACCCCGACGGGGGCCATGATGAGCGGGCTACCGTATTTCTGTCCAAACAGCTCGACGGAAACGTCCTGGCCGTCCATCTAATAGTTTGTCTCGCCTGGTCAGCGGGTTGCCTCATGAATCATGAATCTGGGGCATAGTATAAGTATGAGATAAGACTAACACTGCGCAGCATCCGTGGAATTCTATAAAAATCAATTAGCCCATGTCTCCCACCCGAAAGAGAAGTATTCAAACGTACAACTTCCACTGCCGAAAAGCCAATCGGTTACTATCCATCGTGGCCTTCTCACCTGCACCCCCGGCGACGTAATTAAACGAGCGCTCTCCAAGCGCCTTCCGCGCCTGTTCCTCCAACAGCCGAGGATCCGTCGTGACACTGGGCAGGATACCCATCAGGGTACCCTTGCCGTAGACTTCACTCTGGTAGCTTCCGTAGTTCTCGTCAGACATGTTCGGTTCGTGTTATGCAAAGTTTGATAGAAATAATAGAATAACAAGTCACTGGTCAGGGTCGCAAAGCTGGGGAAATGCCCCAATGCCCCGGATGGGGTACGTGTTAGGTGGAGTCGCTCGATGAACCTCGGCCTTTGCGAGGCTTGCATAAGCGTGGGGAGGAACTCATAGTGTAGGATTTAAGAGACCCTGTCTCGTTCCATGGATAGTATTTTCATCTATATTGGTGAAGTAGATTTGATTCTTGGATAAATTTCTTTTTCCGCGTTTGCTTACAGAATTGACCTTTAAATACGGTCGCAACCAGAATCTGCAGGCAGACCCCCGTGCAGACCCTGAGGATTCGATAATTTGGCCGATCATTGCATTGAAACATCCCCTGTGCGACATCGTACCCAGCGTATACTTCACCGACAAGAACCTTACAAAGTTGTGATAGGTCGAGAATGTCGAATATCAAACTGTTTAAGACGACCCATCATTCATCTTTCAAGTTGGCCCATGTCTTATCGCCCGAAAGGATCCTCCCACTCCGACAGGCGATCCCGCTACCTTGGCGCTTGGCAACCTTAACCTTGGTCATGCCCGCCACCGGCAAACTTTTTTCCCTTCGATATACTCGGATCTTCAATTCAATTGCAGCTCTCTCGGACGAGCGATATGCCATTTAGCTGAAATATCTACTCGGCTTGCATAGGTACACCTGCTCAAGGGCAGTCATCACATCGCGCCAGAGATGGAGGGGCACACCGAACCGAAGGCGGACCTGAGTCCAGTGAGGCCCAGTAAGGCCGAATCTGAGCTGGCAGATGAGGCCAGCTCGGTGCCGACGGTTGAGGAGGAGAAGATGGAGCGCAATCTGATTCGGAGAATGGACTTGTATATCCTTCCATTTGTGGTGCTGTTGTATTTGTTTTCTTTCCTGGACAGAGGTGCGTCGGCCCATGTTTGATCTGACTCATTAAACGATTATGAGCCGAGTATTAGCGGGATACTGACCATTGACAGTGAACATTGGAAATGCAAGGCTATACGGTCTGGAAGAAGACTTAGGTCTGGTTGGAGATCAATACCAAATCGCCGTGTCGATTCTGTTTGTCACCTATTGTGTACGTTCATGTCCAATTCCCTCCTTGGCACTGCCGCTACTAACCACGTTCTCCAGTTCTTTGAGGTGCCTTCCAACTTGGTCATCAAGAAATTGAGACCATCTCGATACATTGCAGCCATCTCCGTGCTGTGGGGTATCATCGCAACCCTCACGGGCATTTGCCAAAGCTACGGCGGCCTCCTTGCCTGCCGTATTCTTCTGGGTGTCGTCGAGGCCGGCCTCTTCCCAGGACTCATGACCTACCTCACCCTCTTCTACAGTAAACGAGAGATCGCCCTACGAACAGGCTATCTGTTCAGCAGTGCTGCCATTGCGGGTGCCTTTGGCGGTCTACTCGCCTACGGTATTGGCTTTATGGATGGCATCAGTGGGCTACGGGGCTGGCGCTGGATTATGATTCTTGAAGGAATACCCACTGTCATTTTGGGCGTTGCGACCTGGTTCTTCCTGGCAGATGACCCCGACACGGCATATTATCTAAACGAAGAAGAGCGGGCACTTGTCGTCCGTCGACGGAGTCGCTACGTGGGTCAAACAGCGTCCGCTCAAAAGTTCCACTGGGCGGATGTCAAAGAGGGCGCGCTCGATTGGAAGATCTATGCCTTTTGCATTGGCCAGTTTGGCGTGGACACCATGCTCTACGGCTATAGCACGTTCCTGCCCACCATTATCAAAGGAATGGGTAAATGGTCCACGCCCGAGGTCCAGGCATTGACCATCCCATGCTACGGACTCGGTGCCATCGTCTATCTCGGAGTGGCATGGCTCAGCGATCGGACTCAGCACCGCGCCTTCTTCATCTGTCTCTTCAGTGCTATCTCCGTCGTCGGATACGGAATTCTCATCTCAGATTCTTCATCGGGAGTACACTACTTCGGCGCCTTACTCGTCGCACTGGGTCTCTACGTCACGGTTGGCCTCCCACTAGCATGGCTACCTACAAACCTCCCCCGATACGGCAAACGCACCTTTGCCACAGGTCTGCAGCTCACGTTCGGCAATATTAGCGGCGTCATGTCTCCGTTCTTGTATAAGAACTCGGAGGGCCCGCGATTTGTGCGTGGTAATGCGGTTACTCTGGCGTTGGTGGGCTTCGCTGGTGTGTTGTATGGCGTGATGTGGTTCTGTCTGCGTGTGATCAACAAGCGTCGCGCACGTGGTCTTGAAGATGAGAAAATTGCCTCTTTGTCTGAGGCGGAAATTCAAGAGCTCGGTGATCGGAATCCTCGATTCAGGTATAGTACTTGATGAGGGAGATTGGAAGGTGGAAGATTTATGATTGGATGCGACAAGGATATTTGCATATTAGACCTAGACACCTAGATGACCACCTGGTATAGAGAAGACTGCATAAAATCGAGTGATATTTTATAGATTGAGACTGATTCCTCTAATGCGTTTAATTTACAATGATTCCTATCAACATTGTGTGGTTTACAGTTCTTTGATTATTCACTCCACAACCCCGGTCTTGGCAACAGATTGCTGTGCTCGCTGATCAGCCACCTTCTCTCCGCACGCGCCTCACTTGCAACTCAGCCAATGCGTCGCCAACGAACGACAGAGGCTCAACGCTAAGCTTCTGCGATCATGGCATTGTTATATGCCCTGGCAAAGGTCCTATGGCCTATGTTCGTGGTCTTTGCAGCGGTTCGGCTTTACAAAAATGGGCCAGAGTACTCCCTGATGACCCTCCAGTCAATCATCTCGCCCGTGGCCGACCACACGGCCATATCTCCACATGCCGCAAGCTGGAGGTCATGGTTTCATCCGTCCCAAATAGAATTTGATCCTAGTCTCGGGCTCGTGAAAAAAGATTGGAATATCTTGCATCACCTCGGCGGTAACGGACCTTGGGTCGAGATGTTGGAGAAAAGTGGGAAAACACCAGATTTGACGCCGCTACCTGGTTGTTCAATTGACCAAGTGCACTTGGTATGAAACTCAAATGATATGAATTGTGAGGGGCGATAGAAGCTAACGGACCTAGATGTCGCGGCATGCAGAGAGGTATCCCACGCTGCTGGTTGGGTATCGTGAGACCATCACCATTTCCTTACAAGTCGAATCATCACCTAATGGCTAACTTTTCGATAAGGTCACTTGAAATTCTTGGAACGTGCCAGATTAATTGAGACACGTTTCAACGGCTCACTCGAATTCCTGAATGACTGGACTTACTTTACTGATAATCCCGAACGAGATTTCGGCCAGTTGACACACACAGGTCCATATGCAGGCACGCTGAGTGCTTTTACCAATGGCGTGCGCTTCCGGACGCGCTACAGCGAACTTTTACCGAAGAATATTTCGACCAGATTCTGGGCTAGTGACTCGGAACGTGTCATTGATTCTGCCCGCTACTTTGCCTCTGGACTATTCGGTCTTGACTGGGACAGTCGAGGCAAGGCCGAGCTTGAGATCATCCCGGAGACCTTTGAGCGAGGAGCAGATACCCTGACGCCGGGTGATACGTGCCACAAATACCTCGAGGACACGATACAGGGTCATGATAATGGCGACACAATGCTGGCACGCTATCAAAACGTGTACGCCCCAAGTATAGCGCAGCGATTGATCAAAGAAAATCCAGCGCTGGGCAGTCTACTCAATACGGAAGTATACGGTATGCAGGAGATGTGTGGATTTGAGACTATGGTTCGTGGGTCCAGTCCCTGGTGTGATGTGTTTACCGAGGAGGACTGGCGCCATTTCGAGTATGCCCGCGACATCAAGCACTACTATGGCTCTGGGCCGGGAAATCCGTATGGAGGAGCAATGGGATGGCTCTGGTTAAATGCCACCGCCACACTGCTCCAGGCTGGACCAGAAGCTGGCTCGATGTTTTTGAGCTTGTGAGATATCGATATCCCGTTTTGTGCTCTAAAGACTATTTAGCTGACAAGTGACAGTGTACATGATGGAGATATTTCACCCCTACTCGCAGCGCTGGATATCTTCAAAGACTCGCAAAATACTCCCCTTCCACTCACACATATTCCAGCAGATCGTGCCTGGAAGACATCGACTATTCTACCTATGGGCGCGAGGATTACATTTGAACGAATGACCTGCCCGACTGAGGATGACAGGGATGACGAGGTGTATGTCCGCATCAACATTAATGATCGAGTCGTGCAGCTACCGGGCTGTGTGGCGGATCCCGGCCATACCTGTTCTTTGGTTAGTTTCATTCATTATGTGAACATTAGAAAGGAGAAAGTTGGGGATTTTGGTGAGGTGTGTGGACTGGAGGGACATGCTAGAGAGATCACTTTCTTACATCAGAATTGAAGAGTGTTCGCGTAAGATTGATACCCAATATACTATTAATTTGAACAAAATGAATAAATCTCCTTGTTTAGAAAAACCAGATGACCGATTCAATTCGAGTGTGTTGCCACATCCTTTCTAAGCTTCTTACTTGGTCCTCAGAGGTATAGAAAGCTCAAACTTAGCAGGGCAGGGATTTGTTATCCTCGGGCCTCCCCAAAAATAATTACATCACTTTTTTACTCAATCTAACTAAATCCTGCAAAATCAGATCGTCTTATTTCTCAAAGTGGAAACTTTTCTAAGGAACAGGTGAACGACAAAGTAGCTGTCACATCCAAAGGAAGCGGATATTGGTGGCGACACGTGACTGGTATCCCGGCGAACCAGCTCTGTTTACCAAAAAGTTTCCCTTCCACGACCATCTTGAAGACTCGCCCTCTGCACCTCTCGAGGCGAAACACCTTGCTTCCGAGCACACCCACTGAGCTTTAATTTCCACTATATCTACACATTTCACAGTTGATCTCGACACCATAGTGGTCTTCATCCACCATGGAGTACCACGCCGTGCCGCCCGAGGAGCGCGCAAGAGATGAGAACGGCAACCTCCTTCCTTGGGGTTATGTCTACAAAGAGTGAGTGATCCTGCACATCAATAAGGCCTACAAGGGTCTCTACTTTTCTACTTCTACACTTGACTAACACTTCATACCCAGTGAATCTCGCAACCCCCGCCGGCCACCTGAGGAATCCGGACCCTTTGGCAAGAGGAGGAATGCCCGATACGAAGCCCGATCGCGAACACGCACCGGCACCCCAGCGAAGCGCGAGAACCCCAACGTCGCCGAGTTTGGTCGCCTCTTCGCCCAACAACAAGAAGAAGAACGGCCAGTCGGTCTCCCCAAATCCTCCTCCTCCGGTAGTCTCGACGGCTCGCGGAAGCAAACCGAAAAGGTGGCGACCGAGTGCATTCTCTACGGTTACAAGGCGAAGGACGGAGAGTGGAAGGTCATTGATAAGTACGAACGCATTTCCCAGGGTATGATCTGCGAAGACTACCCGCGCAGCGATCCCAACTCTGCGAGCCAGTACGCCCAGTTGCTCAGCGGCGGCGATGTCGTTATTCGCGCGAATCTGTCCGCCGATGCGAACCGCAAGTCTAAACGCTATGCTGGCGGATACCACTGGATCAAGGTCACGTTCGACTCGACGCAGGCCGCCGATCGGGCTTGCTTCTACTCGCCGCAGGAGGTTGATGGGCATTTGGTCTTTTGCGAGCTGTACAATGGTCACGGGCCTGCCGAGGATAGCGCCATTCCCTCCGACTCTGCAGCTGCCGCTAAGCTGCGCAGCAAAGCCACGCGCACTCTGACATCCACACACTCCTCCGCATTCCTCTCCGGCGCCAGCATGGACGGCCAACCCTCCGCTTTCACACTGCCGCGGTCCTTCGCTATGAATAACCTCTCCAGCGTGACCGAGCCCGAAAAAGAACTCTCGTTCGACTCGTCGACTACAACTGCTACCTCCGGCACTGCAACCGCGACTGCGACGGGGGCATCTACTAGCTTTGGATCAGCATCAGTACACCAGCGCAGCACGGCTGGTGCAGAGACGAAGCCAGACTCTGATTTCATGACGCACATCCCCACCGTCCGTCGGACGAAGCTACGCCCGCTGACCGAAGCTCTCCCACCGGGGCCGACGATGACTGAGCGCGTGCTGCGATCGATCCCTATATTGAGTTGGTTTACGGGTGATATTGTGGGTGATGGGCCCCAGCTGAAGGAGGATGGAACTTTCGATCATGACAAGTCTGGAGTGTATTGGCGGTTCTGGTGGATGTTGGATCAGTTGTTGGGTACGGATGTGTGCGGGTTGAGAGAGGAGCCTTGAACTGGGTGTTGATGCAGAGACTTCACTCGTTGGAGAGCTTTTCATTGCACTCAGTTCAATATCGGCTGGACTTACAGCCCCGCCCCGACTGCACAGATACGACCGAACGACACCCAGCCCCATCTGAGCTTTAGCTGGAAGAGCAGGAAGCTTCATAGCGTTCAGGAGTAGAGGAGAGGGAGTGTTTTTGTTGGAAGCGGAGGACTTGGTCTGCCAGGACCAAGCATAGCATTTAGGAGGCGTCTTGATTGTGATTATTTTCTTTTCGGTGTATGATAGTCCCGCGGGCATTTTGATGCAGTTGTTATGAACCGTCCTGAATTAGGACTTTACGCTTAACTAGTTATTTGTTGTAGACCAATAGACATGGAGAGCCATACATGTATAGTACCTACAGTGCCTCGGGAACGTCTTTTGAATGAAGAAAAGCACCGAGGGATGTGAATATCCCATGAGACGAAATCTCCACGCTTCAGCCCAACCTTGCACCTCATAGCTACAGCTACAATCCAACCCCCAAGCCCAATACAAGCACAAACCCCGTCTTCATGCTCACAGATCCTCCGATCAAGGGAACCAAAAACTGGATTGAATACAATTCATTGGATCATCACCCTACAAATTTTAACATGAAGTTTTCCAGTGTCCAGTTCACGGAGACAAGCATCGAATATCGAGTATCGAGTAATTTAAAAAGACATACTTCTCATATATCCGGTTTACTCGACCTTGCTCTCAAAGTTCTCACCCTCGACCAAGTCGGGGATATCATCCTCCTCATCATCATCCTTCTTCTCACCCTGGGCCTTCTGCATGTTCTGGTAGGACTCGGCGAGCTTGCGGAGGGAGGCGAGGCTGTCGGGGCCAAGCTGGTTGAGGATACCGGGGACGAGCTCGGTGAGTTCCTTCTCCTCGCCGTGGCCGTAGAGGGCGAAGGTGTTGGAAGGGACGGAGGCGTGGACTGGTTGGGGGTGGGTTGTTAGTGGATTGCTTATAGAAGGGAGGTCGGAGTGGTTGATTCATGGAGCTGTGTTGGATTGTGCAATAGGTTCGTGTTGGGAGGGGGGAAATAGGCTAGGCTAGGCCAGGTCTGGACCTGACCTGACCTGACTCTGACAGGAATGAGACATACCGCGGGGAGCACCGAAGTGGATGACGTTGCCATCCTCCTTGAACATGTTGACCTCCTCAATTCCCTGGATGGGCTGGACATTCAGCTTCTTGAGGGTGGTCTGGAGCTTCTTGTCATCGGCATCAGCGGTGCGGTGGACCTTCTTGACCTTGCGGCGGGGAGTGCCCTTGCCACTATAGGTGGGAAAAACAGCTTGTTAGTCCGGTTTGTTCTAGGTCAAGTAAATGGTGTATGGCGTGGGTGGTGAATTCGAGGTTGTGGGTGTCAGCCGGGAAGGTTTCATTGTGCGTCGAAGTGTGCGTGGTATCTCAATCTTCAATTTATGAAGCATGAAGCCTCTCTTTTCGGTAAGAGATATCGGTATTGCATCGCGATCGAGAGATTTAATATTCCAGCATTGGCGAGTATTGCACGATTCTTCCCATCGATTTTGGGGGTGGTGGGGAAATATGTTGGAGGTGAAGTGTGATGGAAGAGTCAAGAACAGAAATGATACATACCCTGTCCGAGAAGACGAGTTAGTAAACACACTTTAACATGGTCGCAAATTGAAGAACAGCTCGGCATCATAACAGGAGGACCTGCTCATCGAGTTGCCGGATAGATTGAAGGCCAGCGCAAGATCCCACGCGATCCCACGAAGCTAAGCTCCGACCTTCAAATCCCAGCACTCCACAAACAGGAACCAACACCAGCCCCGACTGCCCTTCCAACATCGGTTCCCCTCAAAATGAAACAAAAGCATCTCACATACCAATCCGCACGCTCTGCTGCATCTTAGCCAACTTGGCGTGATCCATCTTGTCGGGTATGAGGGGGAGGTAATCTGGAGATCGTAGCGAAACCGCGAAAGCGTTAGCCGAAGGTGTCCGACAACAGAAGGCGGGTTCTGAGAATCGATTGGGATTCTGGGGGCGATAAATTGACCAGACAGAGGTCTAGCAGGGAGGATAGGGTGGGTTGGGCGTACCGGGTGGGAAGTAGGGTGGTGGTGGTGGTGGTGGTGTGGTTGGAGGGGTATCGATTGAAGGGCGAAGATTGAAGGGAAGGTTGATGATGCGCATCCCGAGAGTTTTGTGTGGGGTGGCCCGGATTTGGTGTGTTTCGCTAATGCGCCGCGACCAGTTTGCAACCGCAGAGTCTTACCAACAGTCATGCTAGGTTGGTCTACGCTACAAGGATATTTTCTATGGAGTTTATGAGGTTCATTGGGGGGGATGGTTATGGGTATGGGAACAGCCCATTGAACTGGTGGTGATGCGGCCATTCGATTGTGGGCGAGATGAGGAACAGTCGCTGCTCGGCTAAACCCTAACCGCTTTTCAATAATGGAATGGTGATGATCGGGATGGAATCAACATTTATACCACGAAATAATACACCAACATCACTGCTAACTACCATCTCAGCCCCCCAGCCTCCCCCTCCATTCTATTCTCACGAAACATCCCCATTCTCCCCCCTCACCACCGGTTTCTTATCCCAAAGCGTAAAATACTTACGCCACGGATGTTTCTCCTGGAACCCCAACAACCGCTTAATCTTCGCATTGCTCAACGGCGCCTCAAATTTATCCATTCCACGGGTAATCGGTGTCTGCGGATAATGCTCGCGCAAGAATTCCTCCGTATGCATCAGATTCGTCATCGTATCATTCGTGGCATTGAAAACCTGAAAGCCCAACCCATTCGTCCGCAACGCAGCCTCACACATCCCACCCAGATCACGGACATCAGTATACGACCAGCCATGCACTTTCCACTGACTCGGCTCATGTACGTAGCTGTAGAAGATATCCTGGTTGTACTCGTCCGGCCCGATGACGCGTCCAATGCGCAGACTGTAGATATCCGTACCGTAACGAGTCGCAAACCCACGAGCGATACGCTCATTGCAGAGTTTCGCAATCGCATATGCATCCGTCGGATTAACGTCTTGGTCCTCGTCGATCGGAAAAGAAGGGTAATCGACGACGCCCTGGGCGAAAGAGATCCCGTATACGGTGATGCTGCTGGCGATGATTACCTTTCGAACTCCTAATTTGCAGGCGGCGTCGATGATGTTGTACGTGCCCTGCGTATTGGCCCGAAATGTCTCGTTGTCTGGTACTTGCATGTTCCGTGCGTAGCCTGCGAGATGGATCACGGCGTCTGGACGAGGTGGTAGACCCTCGGGGAAGGGTTCGGTGAGGGACCATTGGCCGGAGAGCGCGTTAAAGACTTGTCCGCTATCGGTGAGGTCGGTTTTAAGCGTGTGTACGGCGGGATGGGTCATTGGCATTAGATCCAAGTTCAGGATTGTGTGTCCGGCTTCGAGAAGTACGGCAATGACGGTTCCGCCAACTTTGCCAGAGCCGCCTGTCACCACGATGCGGCCCATAATATTGGACAGCTAGAAGGGTTATGGGTTTTATATGAGATGCTGACCAAGTCAGAGGACTGGAGGGTTATCAAAGTAGAGGCTGTTGCGTTGAATCAGTTGAGACACTCAACGATGTGGCTGAGACGAGTATCATTATGATGACATTCGTTGATTTTGCCTCCCTCTAGATATGGTGGTAGTATGGAAAGGGCCAATCGTTGGAACACGAATCAACGAGATAGGTAAGCATGGTAAGCTGGTGGCATAGAAGCAGATATCAGATGTGTGGATTGGGTGAACAGTCTAAGCTCGGTTGTTTAGCCTTTACAAGTTCGGGGAAGTTCCAAACTGGGAAGGACTAGATAGTGCAAGTCACCCAGTGGACAGCGGGTCGGTTCTTCAGCCCTGGGCCTCTAGCTGGATTACGTATAGTCCATTATCGCCACAGTACCTAATAGTTGGGCATTGTTAAGATGAGATTATTGGACTTTGCTATGGAGCAACATGATTTAGATGTTGTCAGCTCTGCTATAATATCGGACTCCAGTCAACAGCTTATGATCGGAGTAAAGAGAATCAGTAAGACAATACTCTCGGACTATCTTGTGATCGGATCTGCATCTATTTATACCGCCAACTGAAATAATTTCCCCTCATCTGTATCTGCCAAGCTCCTGTCTAGCCCTGCCAGCCCTGAAATTCCTCATAGCCCCGCAATGCCAATCCTCATTTTTGTCTCGTGCCCAGTTGTAAATCTGTGTCTGTGTCCACTACAGTACCGATACTAGACACATAGTAACTACTAGTCACTGACTAGCCGAATTAACCCCCCTGCATGCACCATTGCACGGATCCAATCGCCTTGCTGAAACATACATCCCATATATAAGCCTGTCATCGCCCGGGGAACCTTCGGAGGTGTTCATTCCTGCATGAGCTGACACGACCCCTCTTACTCTTCTGTTGATTCAATTCCTTCTTTTCCGCTTGTTTCTTTTCCTTTCGAGGTGTTCAGCAAACCTGTAATATTCTTATAGGGTACATTCTCGTGCGACGTCCCCGCCGTATACTATATTCTTCCACGATGCGGTTCCTGTGTTTACATGGTGCTAGCACCAACTCCGAGGTATGTTTCCCTTCCAATGAATCTGTCGACAAGTATCTAACTCGATGACAGATTTTCCAAATCCAAACGGGCGGTCTGCGCCAGCCCCTCGAACAAAAAGGCCACCGATTCACCTTCGTCAATGGCATTCTCCCCTCCGGCGTTGAAGAGGGTATGCTCCCCCTCTCAAATATTTACACGCCACCTATTTTACAACTCAACGAGAAACATCCACTCACCCGTACATAACAGGCCTCGAAGGCGTCGTCGACGGCCCCTTCTACAGCCACTACCCACGCGACCCCGTCCTCCCCAGCGCCCAACTAACCGAAGCATTCGAGCACATCCAACGCGCCATCGACAATGAAGGCCCCTTCGACGCAGTAATGGGCTTCTCACAAGGCGCCGCCCTAGCAGCAGCGTTGATCGCACACCACACCAAAACAAACCCAACCGCGCCGCCAATCTTCCGCGCCGCTGTCTTTCTATGCGGTGGATTGCCGTGGGAGAGTTCGGGAATGGTTCGTCTTGCGCCGCAGCAGGATACGTGGCCGATTAATATTCCCACGGCGCATGTGGTCGGGAAATTGGATCCTTTGTATCCCGAGAGTATGAAGTTGTATGCCTTGTGTGAGCCGTCGAAGGCGGCGTTTTGGGATACCGGGTCTAAGCATATGGTTCCTTTTGATTTGAAGAATACTGAGATGATGGTGCGGGTCATTGAGGAGACGGTCGCGAAGGCGATGAGGGGGTAATTGGTGGTTGGTGAAGTGTGTCCTGGTGGGATTGGAAATTGAGAAATTTTGGAGAGTCCATATCGCAGCCAACTCGGTCTGCGAGTGCATTAGTCTGTTCAGCGTTCTTCTATGAATACATGCAATTGGTATTGGTGTGTGCCTTGTTTGAATTCAAGGGTCAATGATAATCTAACATAAAACAATGAGATCGTGGAATCAACGAAAACAAAAAAAGACTAGCTCTGCTTCTCTGGGTTGGAGGCCGGCTTCTGAGGTTGGTACTTTGCCCACATCATTGCGGCGAGCAGTACAATCAGTCCCAATACCAGCGCGGGTCTCCATCGCGTATGTGCAGTGCTTGCCATGCCATGTTCATCAAGTCACAATCCAGCCGTCGCTTGGCCATCACCCTCGGGAGGAATCGCCTTCTCCAGGAACTTTTCGAGGTCATCGATTTCGACCGGGTCCGCGCTGTGACCAAGACCGCTGCAACGAAAACAATAAGTATACTTCTCCACAACATCAATTCCAAAAAGTATGAAAACGTACGAGTAGGTATTGAACGTAACATCCTCCAGACCAATCTCAGTCAGCATCTTAGCCGAGCGCTCACCATACGCAAACTTGACAACCTCATCGTCCTCGCCATGCGCCAGGAAGAACGGAGTCTTCTTGTTGGGCCACTCCTCAGGCGTGAAACTCTTAATCCGATCGCTGAGCAGGAGATAGCACGACAGACCAAAAACTCCACCGAGCTTCTCCTTGCCGGTGATACCGGTGAACACGGACATAGCACCACCCTGTGAGAATCCACCCAGCACGATGCGCGAAGGCTTGATGCCCTTGTCCATCTCCTGCTTGATCAGGGAGTTGAAGTAATCGCGGGATCGCAGGATGCCTGGCTCGTCTTGGTTGCGGACGTTGTCTTGGAAGTCAAGCTGCAGGGAGAATATGACATTAGCCAGATGTTTCTTTTAGTTCGAGGGAGATGTGAGGGAAGGGGTGGAGTTTACATCGCGGCCCAGGTGGGCAATGTCGTACCAGCCGGGCATGGCCATACCGAAGTTCTGACTACAAGTTAACAAGTTTCCCCTCGTTACTCTGAAACTAAACATACCACGGTGATCGGGATGTTAGGCGCATTGGGGAAGATGAAAGCGACCTCGTTGAACTTGCCGCGACGGCGCCAGTTCTGCGCGAGGGCCATCCTATACCAGAGTCAACCACTAGTCTCAAGGTAATAGATCTGCAGGTATTATGTCTCACCATCCAGCACCGCTGGAAAAAAAGTCGTGTTAGCTCATACTGTTTATCTCCGAGGTTCGTGTCTTAGACACATACCTGTCGCCGAGGCCATGGGCCATGATCACCGTTGCGGTGTGCTTGGTCAGCGCGGGCACCACATAGGGCGCAAGGGTAGCCATTTTGTTGCGAATGAGCTTCTCTCGCGGGGGATGCAGATTGATGAAGTCGAGGATTCGAGCGAGGATGCTGAAGGAAGAAGGTATGTTTGCGCTTCGGACCTTGAAGGGTGTGGGGTCCCATTTTTGCCTGTTCAAAAGGGCGGTGTATAGGGAGAGGGCGGTGAGATCTGGCGGTGAAGGATTAGAGATAGTTAAGGGGAGCAACTGAAGTGCGCTAACCTGATTAGGAGGTCATTTCTTGATGGTCCAACTTTCTGACATCAGGGGATGCTATGGGAAATTGCAAGCGAAAATCAAAGGTCGGTTGAAGGTAGATTAGGTATAATAATAGCTGAGGTGGGAATGATTCTTTCAACCCGAAAGCTCTATTCGCCTAATTGTGGTTCGAACAGATTCTTAATCAATATCTAGAAATGGAGGATCAGAGTAGCAGCCTAGGCGGCTTTTTAATTAGTGAATACAGGGAAAGAAATCATAATAAGGATGTTATTTTAAGTATCTAGAGAAAATCTATGAATCTTCTAGCGATTTACTGCATATCCCCATCTAATCATAGAGAGGCTATGACGAGCTGATGTTAATAGTTACCTGCTATCTCTTTATGGACGAATCCCGCTACTGTTTATGATTTAATAAATTCTGGGACGGGACCAGCATCTATTTAATACTATAGGGCGTAGGGGTTGAGCACAAACACACGTATTTCTAGGGAGTTACAGTTGGATAGTTCAAAGGAGAAATCAGATATTTTTCACATCGAGAGGTGTCTCTTCCTTTGTCTACTTCTTGCTAGGCTTGATACATCTTTGAATGTGCATATTACTCCACAAAATTATTGAATTGAAGTTCTTTTCTGCAAAATATTGCTACCTATCGAGGTAGGTTGCTAAGAACCCATCTAGTCTCTGTCTATTTACTTCAACTTGATGAAAATCTAATCCACTAGGTAGGTAATGAACATGTCCAATTGAAGGACAATATTTACCTCCGGACAGGTGCCGGTCCGGTACGAATATTACTGGTTACATCACTCATCATAGTGGGGTCATTCAGCAATTGCACAGCAATGCGGGCAATGGCACGAGAAGTCTTCTCGGTCTGGTCGTATGCGTGATCCGTGCCAGCGATGAGAGCGAATGGAGGATCGTGGTTAAACGGGCATTGGGCGACGGGTTGTTCACAGACATTGAAGTTAGCGTGCAGAACGGCCTTTTCGACGCTTTGCAGGGTGTGGTTTCCGTTCTTGGCAAGCACCTGGGCCTGCTGGACCCAGGATGCATCCGTGGCGGCGGGCGGGGTCTTAGAGATGGACCAGTTCTGGGCACCGTATTCAGGGAGTCCAATGGTGTCGATGAAGAGTGGGCCAAGCTTAGGGTCGGGCTCGTATGCCGGGTACATGATGTCCAAGGAGAAGTTCTTGGTTGGGAGCAAGTCCAGCACGAAATCGATGACGGTTTCCATGTCGGAGGTCCAACGAGTGCGTGCATCAACTGTGAAGTCCAATTCGGCGATGGTCGTGTTGTCCGGAAGGTAGAACTGGAAGTCTCCATTGGTGGCGTTCAGTGCCTGGAAAGTAGCGATGGACAATGTCATGGCTCCCAGGTTGGCCTGCGAGGCGTGACCAGCGTTTCCTGTAAACAGAATCTGGACACCACCGGCGATATTGAGATCCTCGACCAGGGTAAAATTGGTGCTTGCGAAACCGGGGTGTGCTGTCTTGATAGTGTTGATAGTGTCGGTCACACTTGCGATCGTGGCACCTCGTCCAACGACTCCGAGAGCAATGTCAGCCTGGACGACATTGCAGACAAAAAAGCCCGTATCTTCGATTAGTGCGGCGGTGGAGAACTCGCCAGGGAGAGTGGTGATGTTCGCCAGCGGGACGAGCATGTTGTAGGCGGTTTTCACTGCGTCAAAGTGGGTGTCCTTAATGACCTTAACAATGATATTCTGGCGGGCTGACATGGGCTGAATAGCATTTGCAATGGTTGGGTGAGACATAAGCCAGACCTGACTGATGTCGAAGATGCCTGCTTGCTCGAGGGCGAACTTGCCTGCGGATTGCTCCTCGTCCGGAGATCCAACAACCACAATGCGGCCGGGAATGTCATAGTCAATCAACGCCTGGCGAGCCAAACTCGCGGCATAGACACCCTGGAGCCAGATGAGGTGGTGGCCGCAGCTATGCCCCAATTGGGTTCCCGCTTCGATTGGCAGAGCATCGAATTCGGACATGAAGCCGACAGTTGGGATCGGTTGATCTCTAGCCCACTTTGCTGGGACGTGAGAGAACTCGATCTTCCATGCCGTCGGGAGACTAGGAATGAGATTGGGGAACACCGTCCACTCCCCTGATCGATTATTTTGGAAATAGTTGACGGTCGAGCTGTGGGCGAAAAATTCACTGCCTCCAAGCTCGGGATTGTTGTAAATGTCGCGGGAGATGGTCTCCAGGTCGGGGAAGAACGAGGGCTTCAAGCTCAAGAGATGGGCATCGATATCCGAGATGTTGGCGATGGCCTTGGCCAAACAGGGATTAATTATGTTGGCAGAAGCCAGAAGGGACAAGAAATGCCCGTTTGCGATGGATCTGAACACCATGGTTGCGAAGATTGGCTACCCGGATCCTGAAGGTCCACCGTGTTCCATGACCGAGAACCTTTGGGGAGAGAGCGAAAGCTCATCTTATGTTGCATGTTGCCGACTCGCCATCGGAGCTTTACAAAGCCCAAGTAGAGTTAGGCTGTATCTACTGGCTCAGTGAGGATCTGTGCGATGATGTGAGATTCGCAAAATCAGCCCCTGTTCCTGCCTAGATAAGTTGTATATCCGTGCCATAAACAAGCCTCATTTTACCCCGTGCCCACCAGAGCTACCTACGGATTTTACTGACGTTATAGTCTCGGTCTTGGAGGCCCACTCCGTGAGCTGGGTCTTAGCAAGGACAGTTATCTGGACAATGCTGCGGTGTCAATTAACTCTTGTTGGCCAATGATCGCAATTTTTCTCTCCACTGGCGGGCCTCGCTAACAGTAGGAACTCATAGTACGGAGTAATAGGACTATGGTTTTGTCAACAATGAATTTACTATCGCCCAACTTATACGGAGTACGGAGGTTACAGCCGTCAGAGATTCGGAAGGAAGTTCTGCAAGTTCCTAGTTGGGAATAGCCTCTTTTCCCATATTCCTACCACCCAGTACAACCCCGGGCTGAATCTTGATAGTCATCATCGTCTAAGTGGCCAATTTGATGACCCTAAAATCCAAATATGAAATCCGCCTTGAAGCTTTTGAACAAATCGTCGTAAAGTAGTTCGTCTTGCCACTCCCCGAAAAAGGCACTGTCCCCTAGATAATTCTCTTTTTTGTAGGCCCAAACTGTGAGAGGAAAGAAATACGATGCTGTGGGCTGTATTTCAGCCCATTTCGGTCCGCCAGAATACACAGCTTAGTGTACGATCGGAATTTAATGAAGCCTACTGTCATTTCTCCTTTGCTGGCGGGGCAGGACACAGCATCACTAATAATGAAGAGATAACAAATCCGTGAGCCTTTTACGAGTCTAAACAAAACCAACGGGGAAGTGTCAAGACCTATCGTCCGCGATTACGAAATTGCGAGATTCTAGGCAATACGGAGCGTGTAATATGGAACATACAGTTAGAGTTCTTTCGGATATCAGAATGATCTATCCATTTCTTCAGAGCTCCAAATTTGCCTACCCATAGCCCGACAATATGTGGGCTTACCATGTGCTTAATTTCATTACGCATCTCCAAATATTTAGATGTAATCTGGAAGAGTGAATGGTAAAGATAGTCAGCACCTTCGTGTGATAGGCTGATGATATGAGCTCATGTTGGCTATCTGTAAACTTAAAGGCAAATTTGAGTAAAAAGCTCTGGTGGAATTGAATCGATCAAGGAGTCTTAGAACCAGATACAAAACTCGAATTAATTGGCGTTTTCATTGAGACTCCACAAGAGCGGGTCGGTATTTTCTCTCTTCTCGGTCATCCGAGGAGAATGACGAATCTCTAGACTGGCTTTAATTGACCCGTCACTTTTCCAACTTATAGTAACCAAACAAACACTCCAAGGTAAACAAGTTCCAAGCCTGAGATTCATCTCGAGATTGCCTGTACCAGGTTGTTCAACGATGCCGATGAACGGTGGCCCAAGGTTTTCTGATGACCATGCAGAGCCTGTTCATTGGATCAACAGCTGAAGGCAATCAATGGGCCATAAAATTACCTGAACCACCCGCGTGGCCTCCATGCTGAATTGCTGCAAACAGCGAGATGAGCAAGGAAAGCTATACCAGACGTCCAGGAGCTCCTGAGGGGCTGCCTCTGAATTCTTGGAATGAAGAACCTTGAAGATCCATGGGTGGTGATAATCTTATCAAGGTTTCCGGGATTTGAGAACTCTCGGGCAGGTGGAAGTGGCGCTTTAAGCCTCGCGGTAGGAACCGGTCCAAGTGAATTAACTTTGAAGCTTCTTTTTGGGATTGAATAGGATATTCAAGTGCCAAGAGACCACTGGTTCAGCCAGATCGAGGTGAACCAATAACGCTGCATCTGGGCCCAGGTGAGAGAGGGTCAATGTGGTCGTCGCACGACTGAGGGTGAGAATCACCGCTCTCACCCAGGTTCTCACCCCATCTATTGCGCACTCACCCTATCTCACACTGGTCGCACGACCGTAAAGCGGCGCTCACCCTAAACTCACCTGGGCGGCACCCACTCGACTATCTGCCGCGCATTAGCCAAGTACCATCTGCGAATCCTAGCAAATAACATAGTTTAACTTGGTGGGGAAACAGATGATCGCCGCTTTATGGTCGTGCGACTAGGAGCGACTAGGGTGATCGCTCAATCAACGAGGTGAGATGCGGGGTGAGAGCAGGTGAGACTCACCTTCTGTCGCGCGGCTGCTATTAATTTTGATGTTAGATCTTGGATTCTAGAGAAATAGTCTAACTAATGTTGTAGCACTGTATCATCACTTGTACCGTGTCGGCGGTGGATATATATCCGTCAGACTTTGACGAGCGCTTCTCGATTTTTGTTATTGCTAAGAACGGGCTACAATACGGAGAAGATATATAGACCTAGAATAAGTAGGCTCTTAATGCAATAAGACGGTTCAATGAACGTCAGGCCTAATATGCCTCCTGCCGTCGGATCACATATAGTAAGTAGGAGCGGCAGTTCTGTACTGTGCAGTTAGTTAAGCTTCTAGTTTTAACAAGAGAATAACAAAGCACTTCCGTATGCCTAGCGTTTTTTAATCGTCTTGCCTAGTTTAAGGATCTTTCTGTGCTCTATTCCAATACACGCATTGATTGATATTGATTTTGGCTAAGAATCATTACTTGAAAGTCGTTTGATCACAAGTGCCATCGAAAAGTATTTGACCAGCGGGAGGACAGTAGATGACCGCATTATGGCATACCTTAGAGGAGACGAAAAGTGGCAGGACTTTATTCCTCCTCGACGGTCTAGACGAAGTGTCACAAGACTTAGACGGTAATATGCTCTCTTTCCTCAAAGAGCTTTTTTGGATCAGCCGAATGTCATCATCACGTCTCGCCTCCATGCAATGCTTCAGCCTGGAGTAAAAACCGTCGACCTCGAACTGGAAACGGTTGGATTCCACCTAGATCAAGTAAACGCCTACCTCGAGAACGCCTTTACTGATCCACGAACGGGTAAAACAAATTCGGAGACACTCGCCGAAGTTCAGTCATACCTCCAGAAGCATCAACTGGTCCAGGGAATTGTGCGAATCCCAGTTCAGCTGGATGTGCTCTGTTTCGGCTGGGAAGGGTTTCGTGATATAGCTATACCGCAGACTATAACCGCTGTCTATAGATTTGGTGCATTTGTGTTTTCGGCAAACTCCGATTATGCGGGAACTTAGTGGTTCATCGGCTCCTAAATCTGAACCTAGCTTACAATTAATCTGTGGGGAAATTTAGCGATGGCGATTTTGTTTGATATCCGGAGGTCTTTACATTAGTGAATCCTAGTCTTAGGATCGGATAAATAGCTTTGAGTATAGAATAAAGTGATGAGATGAAGTGTTCTTGAATCGACCCCGATCTATCAATCTGATCAATCACTATTCAAGTTGGTAAAAACGCACAGGCGATGGGTAAATCTAAATATAGACACACAATTATTCAGACCTAGCCTCTTAAGCTCTTAGCTCAAGTCAGAATCTTTCCCCCCTTAACTCTTCTTGTCCAGTAGCTAGGCCCCCTCAGTCAACATCTCAACATTTGCCAAGACTTGTTATTCATCTCCTTGGTCACCACCGCCTAGCTTTGCTTCCTTGTGTGCGTTAGAGGAATCCACCAAGCCGAAGAGGTTGCCGTTGGTGACGTTGGTTTCGTTACGGCCGAGCGAGCCCAGGCCGAAGTTTTGAATGGAACGAGATATTGTTCGGAGTGACTCCGGCACCATATTGAAGAAGTCCCCGGTAACGAGAGTAGCATAGTTAGGCAGGGATTGATGGGTGATAGCGTAGCTGCGGGAATAGCCAGTAGCTTCCAATATGCCTGGCCAATGGTCCGCCGGTAGACCTCATCCTCGAAGACGATGTAAAGGATCTTCTTGAACTTGCCTACCATACGTAGCAACGGTTACGAATGTTCGCTTTGTTGAAGAAGAAAATTACTTAGATCTATAAATGCAACTTTCAATGCCGTTGAAGCTTTCATAATACACAGTCCGATTCTCATGTTTCCTAAACCAACCTCCGATCTTACCTTTGGACACTGTAAGGTCAACCCAAGGCCTGCATTTCCGGAGGACGAGCATAATACATATCCCAGTCGTCCATATCGCGCATTGTCAAGGCTCCAACTGCCTGTATCTCATCGTATGGCACCTTCATCCAACCAACATCTTCCTGCGTGCATCCCTCCAGGGGCTCAAACTCCTTATCCGAATCGACCGACTCATTGCTATCTTCATTTACCTCAGGCTCCCATTCCCCATAAACCAGACGAACAAACCCGGTTCGCGTTATAGCATCTGGGTCCGAGTCCAAGACAGACTCTAGCACCTCCTGGTCTACCATAATAAAAAATCTATAGCGACCCGAATGTCCGAAAGTATCGATACCCTGTTCCTGCAGCGGTGCAGTCGTAGCCCACTTCCTAAAATGGGTGCGAAGCAGAGCGGTGGTCGCCTTATTAAATAAAAGGTCTTCAAAGACCGTTGGAGTAAACCCTTCTAACATATCTAGACCCTTGCTGTCCTCAAGGTATTCTGTGACGGGCTGGAGGAAGCGAGCTATGAATCTTTCCCAGTCTTTTTGGCTTTGGTATGTGCAACGATAGATGACGAAGCCCCACTTTGTGAATCCATCTTTTTGGAGAAGCCGTTCTAGGTTGTCTGCACCGTTTAAGCATGTTTCTATAGTGGGATCTCGTTTTGATGGTTCTTCGATTTCATAATCGGGGATGTGTGAGGAACTCATTGTTTTTGAGAATGATTTGGTGACCTGGGAAAGGCCAATTCTGGTAGGGAAACGGATGGGACGAGTTGAAAGGTTGGAACACCTGAATAATTGCTTCCGAAAAAGTGTTCGAAACATTTAGTGGAAAGGAGATAGAGAAGTCTTGGAAGAAGTCAAGTTGGGCCCAGGATACAGAGTGGACTAAGTCGGAGGCAGGTTTCTGCCCTCAGTACCTCAGAATTCAGGCGGTGAATCTACCCGACCACCTGCTCATAATTACCTGCCGTACCCTCAGGCACCGCCTAGATGGACCCAAATTTCCCTCACAAGTACGGAGTACAGTGGCAGTGCAAAGTTTGAAACTATTTTCTTAATGCCAAGACTTTTCTGCCAGATCAAAATCTACGAATGACAGCGCCCACGGCACTGCTGGCACAGGAAGCGGAGAGAGAGGGAGACTGAGTCAAATTGGTCTATCTAGAGGAGCAGGAAGACGAAGACGACTAGGAGAAGACGAAGAAGCAGAAGAGAACAGAACAGGGTCTATAAGGCCCTGAAGCACAAAGGAAAGGAACAAGGCCTGGTCCTGACAGGAAAACCCCGGCCTGCTTCATGCAGGGCCAAAGAAGACGACAAACCCTGCAAATCCTATCGAGGTCAAAGGGATCGAGTCATCAACGAAGGAAGAGAGATTTCATCCAAAAAAAAAGTATTTGAATATTATTCCTCCACCTCTACAATTTCTTGTACCCTGTCAGGCGTCGCACCTATATCACTAATAGACAACGCGTATCGCGAAAGAAGTAGACGGTAATAGGGAGTCTGTAGTAAGCGGTGAAACATAGGCGGTAAGCTGGAAATAGTTTCAAACTTTTGCACTACCACTGTAACTCTGTCTAGATATTATCCTTAGCCAGGGGGTGCTCCCGAGAAAAAAATTTTTGTTATGCATCGTTGCCACTAATTCTCCACTAAATTATAGGTCCTATCGACCCACGGAGAAGATACAGGAGCAGCCTAGGGTTTGTTGACGCGAGAGGGTGCTGTGGACGATTGGTTCTAGTAGACCAAGCGGATAGTAGACGGCTTCTCAGCGGTTGCGAATCGCGCGTGTCCGGTGTGACCCTCTCTCCAGGTCGGAAGAGGATCATCACATTGAATTCGGCTTGCAGGATACGCGTAATTTACTATATACCATATCGTATAATAATCAATTCGGCTTGCAGGATACGCGTAATTTACTATATACCATATCGTATAATAATCAACCCGATTTTCAGATACACTAATTCACTATCATTGTACTTCACTGTAATAAAGAACAAGCTTTCACAACTTCGATCTGATTTTAGATTCCCCCCTCAAGTGCTCTATACATAGTATACCACCCATTTTTTCCTCTTTAACTCTCCAGGGCTAGGGATATTTCCACTCATCAGTCTCTCGCCTTTTCCTTGAGTAGAGTTTATCTTGATCTATTCTTTGTTTGAATCTATTTTTACCGTATTCTGTATTAAGGGTTTAATTTGAAGAGAACATCCCATAGGCAGTATGTTTTTGTGGTAAAACATTCATTTCTTGAGGTTGCATTAATATATAATCCACTATAGTTTCCGGAGTACTCCGAACTCCATAGCTCTAGTTATCACAGTGGATAAGCGGAGACACCAAAATTTGAGATTAATGTTAAAGCTTCAGGTTGAAACAGAAAAATTACGGTAAATAGATAATAACAGCAATACCTAGTAATTTACAGCAGATTGAAGGTCTTCTTTCTTCAGTTCACCACATATCTCCCAAACTACCTCTAATTTCTCAATAAGAACCATCGGGATTAGGCAGATTGTATACGCGCCCGATTGTGTAGATATAGATATCTTCTTCCTTCTTTCTCCCTCGGAGACTTCAATCGATCGAGCTTTTCCGTCCGTTTCTGCGTAGTAGTCTCAGCAGAAACTCCCACACAAAACGAATACCCAGTTACCAGGGTCTAGCAGTCTGATCCAATCGCGGAATTCCACTAGTACAACTGTGCAAATAAAATCCCCCAAATTTTATCTCAATCTAGGCGCATAAATCCCCGTCCACTACCGTGTAATATTAATCGCAATTAGATACGATACCTGTTTGTGTCGGGGCACTTGGTCCTGTAGTTATAGCAGTCGAGGCTAGACCCTTCACGCAGTATACATATCCCAGCCAAAGAGAGCCGCAAGTGCTGCCAATACTTAAGTCCCAATAGTAGAACTCCGCAAAGCTAATGCTAAACTTACTCTTAATCGTCGAGCAGTCATCACCATCCACCACGGCATAGAATTTCTAACATCCTGAAACAACTCCAGTCTGAGTGGGACCCATAGATACCATAGTTTAGGTAGAAGTTTCTGTGCTAGTCGCAGTCGCAGTCGAAGTGGCAGTCATATTCGTAGAGCCGACACCGATACACACAGCGCGAGAATCGGTGACATTAAGGCCGGAATAGAGGGCATTATCGCAGCCATCTGATAGCCATTAGTTCCAGGTCAGCAGATTTGCTAATATTACGCCATAGTCGGAGACAATATCGGCACATATATAATCTAGATATAGTCAATAAAGCCCACTTTTTAAAGGGTCTCGGGGCGCATACCTAGGGAGTCATAGAGATCAACGGAAGTGAAACAGTTACAGTTAGAAGCAGTACCGCTCTCCGTAGCATTGATGATGAGACAATCGGTCACAGCAGGCTCCGTCGCTAATCCACTGTCAGCACTGATCTGCCTATTAAGAGTATCCTCATCCCTTACCCGTGCTATTCGCGTACTCCAGAACGCAGTAGCTGTACGTCATCTTAAGGGTACAGGTCGACTTGTTGTTTGAGAGACTTGGGTTCCACTCCACTAATTGATCCATACAGATTTCATAGTCCGTCGCGAGGTTCCGGCAGAGATTGGTAATATTAGAGGGATTTGCATATTCAAACAGCCCGAAAGTGTGTCTAGAGCTGTAGGGAGCTGTATGGGCTCAGTATACACAAAACCAGGATAGCTGGTAGTGGTAAGGATATCGGTATTCACGGAAGCGAAGGTAGCGGGGGTGACTATGATAGGCAAAACCCCAGTGAGGGTGTAGTTGGGATAGTTAGTAATTGAACCAACAGGTTTAACACAATAAGCCTCGCCTAGCTCGAGATTCGTGCAGTTGCCGTCAATGTCTAGGTTCAAAAAGTAGAAATCTGCCAGTGAAATAGATTGTGCTATCGAAACCTAGGCGCAGGTATCTCCCGCTTAGACCTATAGAGCGATCAGTAAATTATTGGACAAGAATGTTTCTGGAAGTGAAGAATTCATAATCACTCACCGTGTACCACAGACTACAGTTGTGGTTACTACTATCTAGGGCATTAGTTGGTACTGCCGCAACACTAGTGGCATCTGTAGTCGTCGCATTTGAAGTAGAGCTTGAATCGGAGTCACTTGTGCTGTGGTTTAGGTAGCCACTAGGAGGGCTGATAATAGCACATTAGAATACCCCTTGAATATCCTACATACACCAAATTCAGAAGAACTGCAAGATTGCTTACCTCAAGCAAACCTCAATTTCAATGTAGAAATCGCTATTAAGACATAGAGAGTTGATATTGGGGTTCTATGCAACGAACTATGGAATAGTTACATTGCCGAGAGGACTAACGACACTGTCGCATGTATTAGTACCCTTCCAGGTATAAGTGTGGCACTGCGGAGGGACACAGAGAGTCTAGTTCACTACGTGAGCAAAACCTTGGCAGTATAGATCCAGATTGTTGGCCTGCAATAACGAGTAGGTAGAGACGCCTAATAACTTTGCAACGGAGGATCAGAGCGCTCAGTGAGCGGATCAATGAGCTTATATAATGCTCACTGATCAGGTCAGGGCGCTCAGAGGCGTGCCCAGTTCTACTCAGTGAGCAAAAGCGGCGAGGGGCTGAGAACTAAAACGGAAAGGGAAAGCCAAGGCATGGCATAGGAAATCCGGTACGTAGGTTATCAGGCCGGGCAGTTTACAAGCTAAACGGTATTTTAACTAAACTCTGCCAGCTTTGGCTTTTCGATCCACTGCAAGACTTGTCATGAGTGATCTAAACCCGGTGGCAGCATTTTTCGAAACTCCTTGCAAGCAGCGACGCCAAACTATCCTTCATCGTATTCCCAGCCCTTCATCTGCCTTTACGAGGGGTGAACTTGAAGCACCAGAACTGCTGGAGGTTGGGAAAACGCCACAGCTATGGAAATACACGCTGGGTCCTAGTACTAGATATCGAAGAGTCGTATTTGGAAGTCCATGATTCAAACATTGATGTTATTCTCCAGTAGAATAGATCGGCGTGCTTCCGAAGCCCAAGAATGCTGACAGCTCTTCGGAGAAATTGGTCGCCAGCCAACTTTCGCATGGATCGGCGGGTATTATATTGCCAGGGAACATTCCTTTGCCTATTTCGTCCATGCAACATTCCTGCCAGCCACGAGATATCACGCGGGGTAGACGGAGATTTCGTGTTCGTCCAGTCACTTGCTTGTCAGGCTACAGGCTGAGGCTCAGAGAAAGGCTAGGTACATTCAAGTCCTTTTTTCCAATCACGTCTTTTGTGGAGAATCATCGTCGTGAATTCTCTACTGTGAGCTGAAAACATGCGAACATCATAGGAACTGTCTAAAAAATAAACGTGATCGGACAGCTCATCACAGACATTATTCAACGATATGAGTTTGTTATGATTTATCTTAATCTTTATTCAAGAGGTATATTGATGACAGCTGTCATCACAACCTTTCCCTGGATCCATGTTGCACAAGCTATACCACTAAAAACATACGCACCAATGATCTCGATGGATCCAAATCTGGAGCTGGCCAAGCTAGAAAACAAATATGTCCTAGTGACACATATTTCCGCTTCCACTCTCGCACTGTTTCGACTTTACCGGATGCGGTAAAGACAATGGTCTCGACTCTCATCATGTAGAACATGCCATAGCAAACAGTTCGACGGACTCGGAAACCAAGACAATTCTAACTAAACAACCAGTTCTGGTAGAATGTATTCAATCTGCAAGCGACACCGAGGGCATCATATATCAACCTCGCCTGTCCCCGATCTACGTCTCGCTTTTAGAAAAGATCCTCTCTGTCATCCAAGCTACAACTTCTAAAGCTTCTCCAAGTCCGATTGAAAGAAAACTTCAATAAGTGATCTATTACAAAACATTTTTCATATCTATTCAAAATGCTCTTCTCCAACGCCGCCGCGCTTACCTCTGCGCTCTTTTCCACCATTGCATTCGCCGCACCCGCCGCCGAGTTTGGGTGGAAGCCGTTGACTGCTACTGTCCAACTTGCCAATGATCAATATGGTGCCAACGCCAATGTTATCATTCCCGTCGACGGTGTGAAGCGACCAGTTCAGGAGCTTTGGGGCAACACCGCTGTCGCACACAATGGCCTCGTTTTCGCTTCCAGCGCTCAGCTCACAGCCTTCCAGCAGACCACCGTCTGTACCATCACCGAAGAGAAGCATCACTTGGATGCAAGCCTGGACGCTGAAATAACTTGGGTCTCTCTTGGAAAGCCCATTGTCGACCTCTGCTCCGCTTATATTGTCTGTGAATGCGAGGGCATGGAAGATTTCTTCTGATGGGAATAATTCTTGATTTTGCATGTTGAAGGAAATAATTTGGGGTGTTTTTCAGTACATGTACTTTGTGTTTTTGCATTGTTGGCCGGGTTTTGGAAATACCATATCTAGAATCATGTATCTATGTCCTCTCCCAAAACTTGAGGCCTCTTTTAGTCTATATACGAGACAACTAATCTTAATTAGAGATTGGTTTAAGCTTACAAATTGCATTGATAGTTATTTACAAATAGTGTGATATTTATAATCATGTACTTGGATCAATAGTATGCAAGAGCTTCTTAGGTTGTCGTGCCCTTGGATTCTCCCGAAGTCTTCCGCTCTTTCAACACCTTTCGCACACTTGGCAAGACATAGCGTCCATAGTCAATCGCATCATTGAGATTATCATAGCCACGGATGGAGATCAATTCGGCTCCAAGATCGACGTAATCCAGAATTGAATCGTTGATTGTCTGCGGCGACCCGACCAGCGCAGTCGATGCTCCACGGGCATTAGTTGCAGTGACGGTAGGATACCAAAGAGCGCGATCTTGAACTTCGCCCCTGGCAGCAATATCCAGCAGCCTTTGAGAGCCAACATTTTGCGGAGGTGGAGCATTTGTGGGGGCCTTGCCCTGCCCGTTAGCACGGGTGGCATTCAGTGTATCCAGCGTTCGGTGTGCCTTTGCCCAAGCAAGCTCGTCCGTCTCTGCAATAATAGGACGGAAGGTGACCCAGATTCGAGGTCGGTCATTCTCCGCACGGCCTGCCTTTGCCGCTTCGGCATAGATACGATCGATTTGCTCCTTCGTCTCCTTCAGCGGCTCTCCCCAAAGACCGAAAATATCGGCAAGCGAGCCACCAATGCGGTACGCTTCATCCGAGGAACCGCCCACTGATACTGGGATAGTGCCATTGACAGGACGGACTTTGTTGCTGAATTGCTTAAATTGATAGTACTGGCCATCCCAGTCAAACGGATCTGCCGATTCCCAGGCCCGGCGCAGAATTTTAATGTATTCTTCAAGGCGTGCGTATCGTTGATCTTTGGTCAGGAAGTCGCCCTCCCTAGCCTGTTCGATATCACTACCACCTGCGATGAAATGCACAACGGCTCGTCCCGAGCTCAACTGGTCGAGAGTTGCGAGAGCTTTGGCTGCGACCGTTGGGTAAAGAGTGTTTGGCCGAAGCGCGATGATAATCTTGAGGTTCTTCGTCACCGATGCGATAGTCGCACCAACTGTGAATGGATCGAAATAAGACGAATCATACGGCACTAGAGTGTAGTTGAAGCCATAATCATCCAAAGTCCGAGCATAGCGAACGAGATACTCTGGATCAATGGAAGCATTTGGAATTGGATTGACCTCGGTCGATGCATTGGGGAATGTCAAGCTGATGAATTCTGTCGGCATTTCGATGTCGGAGTATGTTCCCACTGGCTTTAATTTTCTTGACAGGTTGGATCTGTTGATTCTTGAGATCAGCAAGCTACTTTATATCCGAATCGGCTACAACGGGCTTATCTGCAATGTGCTGAAGCTAAAATGATGCGATGTTATACATGATTACGCCTTATCACGAATCATTTAGCATTAATAAGCATGACCAAGTTTGTATCTGGGGGCATTTTCAAATGTACGTTCGTTACATTACTCTCCGCATATTATTCATGAAGAGGGGTTCGACACCGTTCAAGTTCGCATCACTCTTCCAGATATCACGCAATCAACGGCTGACAGCCGACCGGCTAACCTATCTTCCCAGCAAAAACATTTCATCTAAGAAATGACTAATAGAATTAGACGGTTGCCCTGATCTTCATAGCAAAGATTCATAGACAGCACTTGGAATTTGCATGCACATGGTAACGTTAACTAGAATCGTGTCGCTTCTAAGCCGTTCCAGTGACATGGGGCTAGCCTGACTGGTCCAGAGTCTAACTTTTGATGCTTTCCCCATCTAATCAGATTGTCACAAAGCTCGTTGTCTTGGCCTTCCATGAGTTTAATCTGAATAAGTTAATGCTTATGCATATTCCTTAAGAGCTCTGCAGCGTGTCATATTCATATTTGAGCTCTCCATGCCGGAAGTTGGCTGCATCGGCTTTGGTAACATACCATGCCTGATCAAGACAGTGGACCACCCCAAAGGGCAAAGGTCCTTTCTCGATATCAGCCAAGTTAGGCTGCAACTGACCAAAACTGCTAAAGCCGACGACAGTAGTATCACTTCCATAGCTGCCCTTCAAGGCAGCATGGTGAACAATCCAGCGAAGGGCTACTTCCACCAAAGTGAAGCCATACTTTTCGACCACTGGTTCCATGATTTCCAGTGCGCTGAACATGGCGGGCTTGGAATATCGACCATGATACATCTTACCCTGGTAAGTGGATTGGTCACTAAGTCTGCCCTCTGTGGGCTTGTCCAATGACATGTACTTCCCAGAGAAGAACCCTTAATCCAGCTGCGGCTGGTGATTTTGAAAGGCGGTATCAAATTGAGCACAGGATGCATTCGGAATTGGCTCGTGCAGCGAAGCCAGCAGGCTATATAGTTTTCAAGCTGATCTCCCCCTCGCATGGTAAATCCCAATCTTGGATCCCATACGCCCGGATCAAGGGAGAAATCAAAGCGGATATCAAAGTGTTGAATTTTGAGAGAAATGTTATCTTGCGCCACGGCATAATCATTGGAAACCGCCAAGAAGGTTGACCTCTTGAGGCTGTTACCCGGTATATAGTACAGATGATTGGGTCAATGAATTCTGCATGGAAGGACCGCATAGTTCAGGGCCCGGATCTCATTGCTCGAGCTGCGGTGAGTGCTGCAGGATCGTAGTCATGCAGACACTGAGAAAGTTTGGGTCCTCAATGGCAGTGATATCATCCAAGTTGGAAGTACATAAACTTTCAAGTCTTTGGATCAACCTCTGCATTGCACCCAATATTAGAGATTATTGATACTCAGGGAGGTCCTCGACGTACTCGATTTCGGCAACGCTTAGCTTATAGCCCTTATTCTCGGTTACCTAAGTAGGTCCCGTTTGATATAGTTCCTACTATAAACGATTAGCTAGGAATCTGTTCTAGATATCTGCGAGATTTCTGATCTACGTACTCGTAGCTCAGCGTCATGTCCCCTTCTTTCATTGATCAGACGATCGTTTTCAGCATCAAGGCTAGACAATTGCTCGCCTAAAGAGGTCATTTTTGCTGTACAAGAGTCAATTGCGCGATTGCCAGGAAGATAAAGAGAAAGGGGAAGTTTGCGTGTGTATTCATCTGTTTGATACGAGGCGCTAAACTACTTTCGAGCGCTGAGACCGACAGCTAGCTCCTAGATAGGCTTAACGTGGTGGTACGAGCTGTCGGGGTGGGGTCCATTTGGCTGTCGATCTCAAAAAGCTGCTGTGTCCGTAGCAATTCCCGGTGTGGGGCGTGGGGTTAAAAACTTATGGAACGTCACAGTACTGCGTGTGGATAATGCTCCCAACCGACCCCGACTGGCCCGTCTTGTTACGTGATAGTCCTCTATATTAGCCGCCAACGCGCCGCCCTTGCACGAGCGCGTTCTCTCACTCTCTGACACACTCTCCTCGTCTTTCTCGCACTCGATGAGAGAATGAATTGTGTAGTATCACTGGAACCTCCCGGCATTAAACATGTCTCTCCAATCGCTCCCAGAAGAAATTCTTCTGCGGATTCTATCTTACCTGCCATTCCATGCCGATGCAGCAGCGTTGTCTTCACAATGCCACCGTTGGCATCAGCTGTGTGACATGTCTAATCGTCGCAAATACCGCCGCGTGAAACTCCGAGAGACCTTGGATTTGGCGGTGGCTTTGAGAATGCTCCGATCGATCCTCAAAACACCCCAGTATGGGGAATATGTTCGCTATATAGAGCTGAACCGATCTCCATCGCTCGATTATAGCTTTTATGTGCGATCATACGAAATCAAACCGCCGCAAAGATCTCTCCGTCCAAAAGACCGGGACCGCCTGACTCAGGCAATTAAAGGCGCGGGTTTTGATAGCCCGGAAGGACAGGAAAAGGTGCTCAATGTCTTACTACAGAGTCCGGCTACTATGGAGTAAGCTTGTTTTCTCCCTGCCTCCTTTCTCCATTGAATGAAATTGCTTGCATTCTTTTTTTAAAAAAACCGAAGGAAGGCCCAATTCTGACTTTGATTAGCCACAATGACCCACGAGCCCCGTTCCTTGCCCAGGCGTTGGCAGCATTACTAGTCAGCGTTTCACCCCTCTTGGAATCCTTGAGTTTTTGTCCTGTCGGCCAGGAGCTATCGAAATTTGCAAAACTAAAGGCCCAATCCAATGGAACACCCCTCGAGGAAAGCGATTACTTCTTTAAGCAGTTCTTAGACCGGGCGAACAGTAGGTCGCAGGAGACCCTGCCTTACCTGCATCATCTTCGCCGGGCCCGTTTTCTTGTCGATCCTGATACAAGAATCAGTTCCTGGTACAATTACCAGCCCTATGATCTGTACGGCTGCCTTAATCTGGTACGCCGGCTCCCCGCGATCGAGTCTATTCGAGTCGATGCAATTATGGACACAGGAGGCTCGAGTATTATGCCCCCACCCCGATCCGCAAATTATTCGAAAATCACCATCCGGAACTCCAATGTAGATTCCCGATATCTAGTACGAACTATTCAGTCAGCTAAACGGCTGGAAGAGTTTATATATACGATCGGTGGGCGGGGCTCGAGCGATGGCATAAGCAGCTTTATCCCAGATCACGTCTTACGAGCGCTTCTTATGCACGCAGATTCGTTAGTATATCTAGATTTAGATAACGAGGCGGAACTTCCGCTTGTGCATATATTCGATCCGACTCTTAGAGAATATCTTCTTAACGAGAGCGAGGATCGATCGTCGAGATCCCATCCCGCCTATCAGCAGGAGTGGGCCGATGAACTCCAAGAGCTCCCACCAGAACAGAGCAGTCGCTCATTGCCTGGCTCGCTTCTTGGGCTTCCGAACGTAAAGAACTTGAGCCTCGGAATTCATCTCCTCTACTACCTGTCGCGTGGAATTGGCGCCGATCAAGTCGACGATGCGTCTTTTGCTATTGTGGATCATCTCCCCCCAAATTGGAGGCGCTTTGTATCTATGGGTACAAGAAGGGGATGAAACCGCAGGTCGACAGTCTTCCACATGATGTGTTTGATAGGCAAATTGAGAAATTACTCGCCGAAAAGGATAGGAAATTGCCCCGATTGTCATACATCGAGGGAATTGACGAATTTATCGAAAACGCGACTACGATCGAGCAGCCAGAGACCAACGATGAGGATCTGTGGGAGAGGGAGACAGATGATGAATGGACTGATTATGAATACGATTAGCGAGGATGATATGGTCCTCCCTTCGATGAAACAGATACTTAACAGAATTCGGATAAGCTGATCCAGGTGAACTATCTTTGCTGTAAATATAGACGTAGAAAATCTGGGGGAGGTGGGTGGTCGGTCTTGGTGCTGCAGATTTCTCCCGCTGGAACCACATCACCGCGCATGACTCTGATCATCGAGCTAGCTTTAGATATGTATATCTACTGGACGGGACCGCCTAGTTCATCATCGGGGCTGCTCGAGTCCCACATGTAAAGAGGTCCCACGCAATAGGCGAGTCCAACTCGCAACAACCCGGTACAACCTGCGGAGCCAGCTCCGGCAATGCTCGGAACAGTCCAATCGTGATGCCGTGAGACGTACATATACTTACACACGTATCGTCTGCACTACTGACCTCGTACCAACGACCACAGTAGAGCGTGGTGCCATTGGCAACCGTGGCGTTCGAGGGTGGCGGTATCGCAGTACCTGTGTACCCAGTACTTTCACCAGGAGCAATGAGCTCGCCCGGGATGGGGTCGGTGATATTGTAGTACCCAACCTGAGGGGTGAGACAGATAGTGCGCCCGTTAGTCCATATGGTGGTCTGGAGATTGTCGCACCAGAAGTTGATCCAGGGATTGTATCTTCTAACCGTCCCAATGTCAAGGTCCTGTACAAATTCAATGGATTCGCAGGTATCCCCATTCTGGAGGATGTAGGGAGTATCACATGTCAGAGGCAGACACAGATCGATCCCGACGGTGATCTCGGTGCAATTATGATGCAGCTTAGAGTTAAACTCTCGTAACGCAGCCGATGCAACGGAGTGCGTCTGCGCAATCGAGTCACAGGTATCACCGTTCTTGGTCGTGTAAATTGCCTCTGTGAAGCAGGACACCGGGTCTTCGGGCAGGGTGATCACTGGCGCATGGATTTCGGTGGGGCCAGACTTGCCAGGACATGTGGCGTAAATGAATTCCAACGTTTCTTTGTAGGAGAGATCCAATCCGGTGTTGTAGACGGAGAAAGGAGAGGACTGCATAACGCAATATTTTTTTACGTTGCAGTAGGAACAAAGCTCAACCTTGGGCATTTCGTAGTGGAAATCCACCTCGGTGAAGCCGTCAATCACCTCTGTATTTGAAAGTTAGTTATCCTCCTCTCTCTGTATTTGTATGTGTAGGTGTGGACAGAATCCCAAAAAAAGCTTACCATCACAATAGATACCAGTCTCGGGATCCTTGATGCATGTTTCGTTGTAGCCAGCCCAAAGAAGGCGCCTTCGGGGTGGGCTGGAAGTACGGAGACTCGGTTTGAATCATTCCCAGGAGCACATTCTTTGCGCCGGACAATTGATATTGCTACATCACGCAGTGCTCAGCCGCAGTCCCATATAACCATGTTGGACCTTGGCTCTCGATCAAAATACCACGCGCCACATAGATATTAATTTGATCCTGTGTCACAACATCGAGGTCATGGTCTGCCACCCACACCCAGACGTTTTCCTGGTATGCAGAGGACTGGGGGGTCAAATGAAGTAAGAGAGAAGCGGCCTTGCATTGAAGGTCAATAGCACCACTTAGCTTGGGGCAGTTCCCTTTTTGTAAATTGGAACCGATGGCGCCTCCGATGCATATGTGGGTGTCTATTACCCCTTCTTAGTATATACTGCCACGGGAAAGATCTTGGCTAGGTCACATACCCTATAATCCAGCAGAGCCCTTGGTCGATTTATGGACGTTCCACTGGACTACAATAGCGCCGGCGGTGCCGCCTGACACAGTGAAGAGCATGTCCTGTATCTCCACGACTCCCACATCTCCTGACTCTTGACTCCAACCCGCGAAAAGAGCTCATGCTCGAATTTGCTCCCTTTCGCCATGATCTGCGACCATGCTTGAACGATAATGCGGCTGCCCTGGGGGATTTTTAAGGTGTCCTGAATCACACATACCCCAAAAGGGAAATAAGCGCTGGAACTGAGATTAGCCGCGGTCTGAAGAATTGAGTTGAGGACCGGGCCGTCGTCTGTAGTGCTGTCTCCCTTCGCCCACATGGCCTTCACGTCCATTATTTGAGCGGTGCCGAGATCGTGATACTTGGGTCGCCTCCGAGTGAAATAATTGGAATTGACATACCCGGTTTCAGCTAGCAAGGAGCTGGTGCGATTCATGGATACAATCGGTTGTCCGTTAATGAAGCTGCTGTTGCCCGATTCAGTTGAAAGCATTCCGAACCCCCAATTGTCAACGAAGACTTCATTTCCGCCGGCAATGAGAGTTTTTGATACCACGGTATCCACAATGGCGTCCTTGACGTTGAAGAAGCCTGTATTTTTATAAGCATTGCTGTGGAATTCTCGGCATAGAGGGACGTTTTAACACCTATGAGAGTATTGGCAAACAATGCATCTGTTAGGATCAGTGATCCCACTGGCTGGCCATTGCTCATCGGACCACTAGCCTAAAATCGAATCGTATTGTTGGTTAGACATAATCACGGGCAAAGCTTTCCATATTGCAAAAGAATTCAGATTGCTTACTCCGCCGACTATTACGATGCCTGTTCCGCAGGACTCGATAATGACATCTTGCATGGTCCATGCCCAATCCCAGTGGATCTGCAGAGCAGTGTTGCAATTTACAAAGACCAGATGGCTCGGGGTAAATTGCTGGTTTCCAAAGTACGCTCTGTTCACATCAGCCCATCATGCATTGCGAGAAGATACGAGGATTCTCAAATCCAGTGCATACCCGAAATTACCACCCACAAATATGAGATCGCTCAGAAAACCGCCGCTTCCATTTCCATGTAAATACCCTATACTCCTAAGCATAAATGGACACCGTGGTGATAGAGTGAGGGCTACTCACCTGCTGCGTGGTATCAGCCAACATGTAGAACTCAATATTCTCTAATGATGTTCCCTGGGCCACCCGCCAATGGATGGCGCAAACATATGCATCGGGATCTGTGAGACGTATATCGATTTTGAAGTTGCGAACGCTTCGCAAGAAATTGTTATGGTTGATGTACCTGTTCACCCTTTAGTGCCCTGCCTTTTTCCGCCAATGGATGCGTTTAATGGACGGGGCCGATCGCTCACCAAAGATGCTTACAAAACAAATGGTGAGAATCAATTCGAGGCACTGATCAAAACAGCTTGTAACTGACCCAATCAGCGTCGGGATAGAAGAAATGAAGGTCAGATGAACTTTCCCCGACGAGTAGCAGCTAGCAATTGAACACCAAAGCTACCACGGCAATCAGGAAACTGACTGAGGCCGTACCAGAGAGAAACCATGCCATATGCTTGACTTTCGAACGCACCTAGAGGCCAGGGATCGCGTATCGCACTAGTCACCAATGTAGCAAAGCGATACTATATAGTCGAACGAGATCAGTATACCGAACAGACGACTGGTAAGTGAGCACGCTAGGATCCCAACAGGGCAGGAAGCTAACTTTGTTGCTGTTGAAGTACAGTACCAGTAAATAGAAATAAGAATAGTTTCAGTTAGGGAGGCTGTGTTACGATATACCTGACATGAGGTTATCCACAAATGCCGGTGCCTCGGGCCACCGGGACCCTAGTAAGCCGCTAAGCTTTCGGTACAGGTTCATTGGGGCTTCGCCACCAGTACGTGCACGGACTCCTGCAAGTAACGCCCTTGTAGAGGTTACACAAGCCTCGTGTTTCACCCCGCTCCCACTCCCCTACCTAGGATACATCTCCTTCCTGTTTTGAGCGATATGACTGTACACAAATTACCCAATGTTGAAGAGGTTTTACATCTCACAAGAAACAGCCTTTGGCCTTCCTGAACAATTAACTTGGTCCCTTTCTCCTACCTGATTGACAGGCCTCTATCCTGACTTATAGAGTATATCCTTACAGAAAGCCCCACCCGCCAGACATTATCCGGTCTATATAGCTGCATATACAAAAACTAATTAATGCAATCAATTTGCAGTCCCCAGCTAACACCCGCAATATACATCATAATTAAACATTACTTTGGACACAACATCACAAATACCAATAAACATCACTCCAACCCGATCAAGTCCTTCAAGTCCCTCGTCAAATATTTCACAACTCCCTCAATCAAACTCTCCTCAACAACACCATCCTGCCATGTAACCGCCAGCACCATACATCCATCACCCCCGGTAATAACAGAAACCCCAATCGCATTACCAATAACACTCGCAGACTGCGAAAACACCATCCCCTCGATCCGCGGTTTCCTAGGCACGACTTCACCGGAGAAAACGCCGACATTCGAGATCTCAAAGCTCTTATCGCGCTCAGAACCGACCTTTGACAGACACAGCTCCTGCTGGAAGTCATTAACGTACTTGAGCAGGTTGGGACCTGCGTCGCGACCCTTGCGTTGGACGGCAGCTTCGATCGTTTTCTTTGAGCGTCGGGTTTCAGACCAAGTGAAAATCCGTGGGTCGATGGATGTTGTGGCGTCGCGGGTATATGATTCTTCGATGTCTCCGACGAACACGCCCATGACTTCATCGGTGATGATATCGGGTAACCAGCGGCGACAGGAGATAGCACCCGTGCAATTGAGACTAGTGTAGTGGGCCGGGAGATGGGCGAAGATGGCACGCGCAAAGGCAGTTTGGAGGAGAGCTGTGATACTCGTTTCTTCAAGACGGCATACTCTCCGGAGAGACGTGACTAGCTTTTTGGAGAATGGGACCAGACGGAGGTTGGTTTTCCCTTCTTTTTGGATCTTGCCTCCGGTCCAGAGGCCCGGGTCTCTGTAGGAGTAGACTTTTGCTTGGATGAGTTTCTTGGCGAGGAATATGAATGAGAGTGGCATTGGGTGGATTTGCTCGATGTTGGGTAGTAAGGGTGTAGAAGGTGACTGGATGATGGACTTGGTTTCGCGGTTCTCACTCTCGGTTGAGTCCAGTGCTCGCAGGAATGTTTGGTGGAAGGCTTTGCCTGAAGTACCATCGCCGAGGGCATGATGGTATACAAAAGCGGCAGTAAATTTTCGTTGACTATCGGGGTCAGTGAGGACGCAAAGTCTCCAGTAGGCATTTGGCGCTGTGAATGGCGTGTTGTGCTGTTTTTCTAGCAGAGCCTGCAGATCGAGATCCGGAATTGGATCTTTATCGGCAGAGGCTATCAACAAAGAGCCGTTCTTGCGTGATTCGAAAGAGACCGCTTGATCCAAGTCAATCTGCGGTAGTCGTACAAAATACGGCTGTTGCGTATCATCGGCTACTGGGATGGCGGACAGTACCGGATGCTCTGCAATTACTGTCTCACAGGCGCGGTAGACATAGTCCTTCACCGACAATTTGAAACTGTCTGGCAGGACATAAGTAGCTGTGACTGCGACATTCAGATAAAAGCCAGCCTGATGACGGGAGGTGGAGTACTGCTCCAGTCGACCTAAAGGGGAAATGTGTCAGATCTGGTCTGCCATGGGAATTTGGAATCGCCTCGCGCAGACTCACCAACCGGTCGCAGTTTTTCAAATTGATCCATGGTCATGATTCACAAGTCCTGATGTACAATGCTGAATTTCATGTCCATTGATCCGTCAAGGGGCTGGGCAGGGAGTTAGGTAGTCTATTCCCTTTCGTGTTGCCTAAATCCTCGGCCACGTGACTGTTTCTGCTCGGAGACTGCGGATGCTGCGGATAAATTATCCGCTTTTTTATTGCCCGTAGGTTGATGCACAGAAGAAAGAGGAAGTCTGGACAATACAAAACATTTCGAAGCCTACCTGATTATCACCTGTCCTCGCAAGAGAAGAGGCTTTTAGTCATGGTAGCTTCAGAGACCCACCCAACGCAGCAGTTCTTGCCACGCAGAATCATGTTGGGTACCCGTTTGTCTTCTGCACCAATTGGCCCAAGCCATCTCGACGGTAATATCAGCGGTGCTCGCGACTAAAGTTGAATATATAGAAATTTGATGAGCGCAGAGCATGGGTAAGTCAGTCGCTTCAATTCCCATATTTCAATCAAGTCCGCGATGAATAGTCTAGAAAATCTGGCTGCTGGATAGAAAATAGTAATATCTCATAATGCATATCTGTGTAATGTAACAGTAGCTATACGCTGGATAAAAGTCATAAACATGCCCGTCAATAATAAGCATCATCAAACTATGAGCCGAAAACTCCGGTAGCTCCGTATCTGTATTCCAATTTTTCTCCTCGAATTTTCCTATGAGTGCCTATGCTCTACAGCACAGCCATGCCACCAGCAAAGGCCACACCCAGCATACCCCAAGCAGCGGTTTGCATGGGCACAGCAGCGCCCTTGGAAGTAGTCGTGGTGGTGTTGGACGAGGACGAGCTGGAGCTGGAGCTAGAGCCGGAACTGGAACCTTGAGCACTGCCAGTGGATGTAGACTCGTTGGCGTTGCGCTGAGCAGCAGCGCTGGGGAACAGGGAGGCGACGACGTTGGTGTTATTTGAGCAGGAAGAGGGCTCGGAATATGTGACACTAGAAGAGAATTGGACGTCGGCGCACTAAAAGACCACCATTAGCAAATTGAGCTCAAGAAGCGAAGCGAAGACAATGCTGTACTCGATGCCAATTGAGTTACTTACAGCGTAGAGACCACCGCTAGGGTCACCATTGCTCTGCACCTGCAGAGTAGCATTCATTCCATCGGTGATATTCACACCGAGATTATCCGCGCTAAACTCAACATGCGGCAGACAGAACTCGCCCAGGCCGGTGACCTGGAAGGTCTTGACGAGGGTGATGTTGTAGTTATTGCCGGGGTTGCTGCCGAGCGCAAGTAGAACTTCGACGGCAGTTTGGCTGTGACCCATCTTCAGGGCGACCGGGAAGGAGCCGGAGATGGGGAGTTGAGTACGGTTTGAGGATTGGCTCATGCCACCGCAGGGGAATTCGGGCATGGTATCCTCGTCGAAACCGCGGGAGGTAGGGTATTGGAGGAGGAAATGAGCTGAGGCCAAGGGGGCCAGAGCCAGGGTGAAGATGGGGAACTTCATTGTGAGGGTAATGGAGAGGAGGGGGTGTTGAAGCGGAGAGAAGAGGTCAATTGGATGGTAAACGAGGTTGAGAAGTAGAAGAACGAGAAGGGTTCGTCTGCAGAAACCCTTTTGTATCTATACGTTTCGTGGAAGAGAGAAAGAGACCCTGTTCCCTGTTCCCCACTCTATCCAGTTAAGTTATCATTGCCCGGACCCCACAAGACCACGCGGGAATCAGATGTGTACTGTGCAGTATTCTTCAATTGCTTAGCTTAGTTACTACTGGACAGTTTGTGTCATCAATCGGAACCATGCAAGGGCATAGACCTGCCTTTCCGAGCGTATCTCGATAGAGCATCTTTGTTGGGTTTAGTGCACTGCACGCTTAGACGGTACCGTCCCGATGCACTAAACTCAAACAAGGTAATCTGCTCATTTCTTCTCAAGTGGTTAGAGAAAGAGTAATGTACTTCGGGTATGTAGTACTATATTATTCAATCTATCCACGAGTCTTGGATTGATGTTTGCTTTTACGATCTTTAATCTCAGTCAGGTGATTGAGTCATTGCTTATTCTAGGAGGAACCCCAGGGACTCTAGGGATTCCTGACCAAGCGATAATGTGGTTTACAATCTGTTGAGGCGACAGGTGAGATACAAGACCCGAGAGTCGAGAACAATATTCTCGGACAATCATCAACACCGGACTTCCGTTCACCATTTAGCCTCACCTTTTATGACGGACACAAGAGCTTCAAGTCTTCACTTCTATTTAATGAATCAAAAGGGTGAAAACTATCTTCTTGCAATGACGATGTCAATATGGAACAAGACTTGGGCCGTGCGGATGGTTGCCCGCAAAAAGTTTAGCGGGACGGGTGGACCCTTAACGAGCGCGTGGATTTTACCCGACGAACTAATCCTAAAGCAGTTAAGAAATCTGCTCATTTCTGCTCAAGACGCATGCAGTTAACTTTTAACTTAATTTGCATGCGTGCATGTTACGATGTCTAGCGAAGTCTAGCGGAGTGGGAGAATCAAATGATGAGAGAAAATGGGTCGAATTCGCCACTGAGAAGAAGAAAGTCCCAAACGCCATAATATGCAATCATCTAGCTAACAGATGCAATAATCCGAAAATAGTCGTGAATCGTAGATAAGAAAGGTGTATACTCGTTGCAATACCTCAGTGAGCATGCTCGTTCCAATGGATGTATCGACCAACGGCCAATTCCCCCAGGAACGCGCCCGCCAACACTGAGCAGAAATAGCCGATGTTGTAGGTCATAACCGCCAACATGCTAAAGGTTCCAATAATTAGCTTTCCGTCCCAATAATTGGCAAAATGCAATGCAATGTAATCGATTATCGGAAACATACAGTAGATAAGACACCCCTGCGATGCACAGGAAAAGCAACGCCCGCGGCACATCCACGCTAAACCGCCACGGAATCGGGCCATGGGAGATGTTTCGTACAACCTTGACGTTCTCCTCGACTCCTTGCGCCGTAATGAGTGAGGCGAGTTTCGCGTCAGGGTCGGCATCGATGCGTCCTGCTTCGCTGGTCTTGCCGGCGATCGCAACATAGCGACGGTTCAGATGCGCGGCTAGCCAGTGGCGCTCCATGCTGGCTTTGAAGGCGATCAGGCAGCGGTCGATAATGGCGAGGACAATGAGGAAGATACACGTGGCTGCGAATGTCCCTGAGGATGAGGGTGTCCAGGCGGAGGAGTAGAGCGGGGTGTTGTGGGCGTTGGTGAAGACCATGGTCATTGACATTGTTGAAGAGGAAGAGGATGAAGAGCTAGAATCGCTCATACTGCTCATATCCATTGTGCTCATGGAGTGGTGATCCATGTTATGGTGGTGGTAGTAGGTTATAGAGGGTGAAGAGGGTGAAGATGAGATGGACGGAGTATAGAGGATGAAGAAGACAAGAAGTAGCAATCAATGAGATAAGAAGGGTGCCGCAATTTGTAAACCGCAAGGACCTACTCGAAATAGGACCTGACAACTCAGTGGAGCCCCAGTGAGCACATTTAATCCCATATTTACGAATAACAAATCGTAGAATTGCATCGCATCGGGTTGAGCGCAAAATGCGGGACAAGCGGGGCCAGTCCAGAGTTTCCGTTTCCACCGAATTTCAGAATGAGCACTTTATTGATAAGCGGTGACACCGGGTTTTCCCCTTGGAAGTTGACATTCTGACCTTTTGAGATCTTTCTTCTGATCCATTCCATGTCTGGTCGTGTTTGATTCTGGTTACTTCAACAGCCAGGGGGAAAGGCGTGCAATTTTAACGCACCATGCCAGATCGCTCCGTCTAATCTCATCCAACCCAACATGGATCTGATGAGTGATATGCCCATGGGCTCAATGTCCATGGGCGATGGCGCTCCCAGTCTCTTCACGATGCAGAAGATGTACTGGGCTGTTGTCGGGAGTGCCATCGGCGCAGCGACACTGGTCAATATTTTGAACCGGTTATTAGCTCAACATCGGTATGACCATCTCATTGCAAATACCAACCTGATCTATGAAAGATAGTCATACGACTAACTCTTGATCAACAGACTACGAGACTCCTCCTTAACACCAGCCAAGCCTAAATCCCTCTTCTTCAACACCTACGCAACCCTCACCGCAATCGTCCGCGAGATCAGCAATGCAACGATTCACCCACTCACCCTATTCAACTCTACCTACACCATCCACTTCCCACCCCTAGGACCCGTCCTAATCATCCTCGCCAACCTAATCACCATCCTCGTCCTCTCCTTCTACAAACTAGACACCACCGACGTCTGGCAATGGGAAGATATCGGCTACAGCACCGGCTTCATCGCTCTCTGCCAACTCCCGCTGATCTTCCTGCTAGCAGGAAGACAGAACATTATCGGCTTTCTGGCTGGTATGAGCTACGCTGATCTGAACTGGTTTCATCGCTGGGCTGCGCGGACGCTTTGGCTCACGGCGACGATCCACATGTGTTTCTGGTTCCGTGACTGGGCCCGCTATGACTATATTAAGTATGAATTGTATAATGACGAGCTTACGAAGCGCGGGTTCGCAGCGTGGTGCATCTTGACTTTTATCGTGGTGACCTCGATCCGGCCTATTCGAGGTCTCAGCTACGAGGTGTTTGTTCTACAACACCTAGTCACGTTCATTGGGTTTATCGTTGCCGTGTGGATGCACGTACCCGATGAGGTGAAAATTTGGGTGTGGATTCCCATCGGCCTACTCGTGTTTGATCGTGTCGCACGATATGCCTGGGGTGCATATACCAATCTGGCCGTGTTTCACCGAAATAAGAGTGGCAAGGGCAGTCGGGTATGGACTCACTCGGCGACATTCACTCCGATGGCGAGCAATATCACTCGGGTGACTATTGAGAACCCGGGGATTCATTGGAAGGCCGGGCAACATGTCTTTCTGACCTGTCACTCTATCATCCCATTCCAAAGTCACCCTTTCACTATTGCTTCGGTGCCAGAAGATGAAAAGTTGGAGTTTTTTATCCGCGCTGAGAAAGGTGGAACGACGAGGCTGTTCCGATACGCATCGAAGAATGACAAGGTCCTCGGGGCTGTGGATTCTGCACCATCTGCACGAAGCCGAACCGTGTTTGTCGAGGGGCCGTATGGAACTCTTCGATCACTGCGCCAGTTTGATAGCGTTGTGCTCCTGGCCGGAGGTATGGGCGCAACATTTACAATGCCGTTACTACGAGATATTGCATCCGTCTGGACGAAAGAAAGCAAAGGCGAGATCGGCCACGGTTCCTTCCAAGCCAAGCGTTTGGCAGCGACTAAGCGCATTCGATTTGTCTGGGTGATTAAATCCCGGGCCCAACTGAGTCTATTCGAAACACAACTGCATTCTGTTCTAGCCGACGTGGCCGAATGTCGTCGCAGACAGCCCGATTTCCCACGGGAGCTCGAGGTCAGCATTTATATTACCTGCGACGAGAAGCTCGATCCACCGGCTCTGCCATCACCTGCGCAAGGCGTTGTTACCAGCGGTCAAGATCCCTCATACAAGAAGGAAATCTCCGTCGAAAAGGATAACATCTCCTTCCACTCCATTTCCGCGAATTCATCTTTAACATCAGAGGCAGCTCCAGCACCGGTTGGCAAAGGTTGTCTCCCAGGGGGTGGATGCTGCTGCACCACGCAAATCGAGGATGAAGATCAAATCAATACCTGCGCGTGTACCTGTTCGGGTCCAGCGCAGACCAATCCAAATATCCCGCCTCCCAGCACTAGCGATGAAAAGACCATTCCTTCAAAAGAATTCTCACCCACAATCCTATCCGGTCGCCCCTACCCACGCACTATCATCCGCAAGGTCCTCGAGAAAGCCGAAGGTGAAAGCGCAGTGGTCGTGTGTGGACCGCCTGGTTTCAGCGATGATGTCCGCCGGAGTGTTGTGTATCTTAGTGATGAGCGGGCGGTGCATAAGGGGACTGGGGCGCAGGGGATTTATTTGCATGTGGAGAATTTCGGGTATTAGGAAGGGTTTGCTTCTGGAGTTGGCGTTTATAGTGTTTATTTGGGTGCATTGTACGGAGTACATATGAGACGAATTTCATGAATATCTTGACTATCCAGTATCTATATCCAAAGCAATTAAGCGTAGAAACACCTTAATCACCAACCACCAACAACCAGCCTTAATACCAGCCACACCAATAGATATCTCATTATTACGACTTAAGCCTTAGATTCTCCTTGTTTCCTATACTTACAAAACCTGAAATATCAAATCATACAAAATCATGACTCACCACCAAACAAGAACACAATCCGAACCAACCCGATCAGGATCCCGGCACATGACATCATCCCGGACTCTCCACCTCCAACCTCCAGCAAAAGCTCCCAGCTTCTCTACATCTTCAACCTCCCTCTACCATCACAACCTCCATCAAAACAAAACATCACCAAACAGACAAAATGTTCCGCTTCGTACGTCCCCTCCCCTCCCCCCCCTCCCCCAATCCCATCCCATTCCCAGCCTAGCTAACAACCACACCATCACCCTAACAGAGCAAAACCCTCGACCCAATTACCCTCTTCCACACCCCCTCCCTTGCCCCCTCAACCCGCGTCCTCAACATCCTAAAACAAGCCTCAATCGCCGCCTCCGAAACCGCAACAGAAGACCAAGCCAGCGACCACACCGCGCACGCCCGCCAACAGCGCGGCGAGTTCGAACTGGAAGTTACCACCGCGCCACCGACGACGGATCAACTGCACAGTATCCTTGAATACATCAGTCCGGTCTCTGGGAGTGCGACGGGTGGGCAGGGTGCAAAGGCGGTTTATGGGGTTGGAGAGTTGGTTAAGGGTGCCAAGGATGCGGAGGATGCGATTAAGAGGTTTAAGGAGGATCAGGGGCGGTTTGTTAGGCCTGTGGTATGTGTTCCCCGAATCGTGTGTGGATTTGTCATTTTTGACAAGGATAGTCGCTGACATTGCTTATTACTAGACTGTTGATTGGGTTAATGGTCGGGCTGTTATTGGTGATAACGAGTCGGAGATTTTGAAGATGGTTCGCCAGCTTCCTGAGAACTAAACCAACAATATCTTCCTGTTGGTTTGGGGAAGCAAGATCCGACTCGGATGATCTACAGAATCCCAAAGGAAGGAAATTACCAAACATAGAAGCAGAAATTTGTGGATACTAGCGGGCCGAATTGCCGTCTGCCTAGTTCTATGTATGTATCATACAATGTCATTTCGCAACACATTGCATCCCATAAAATAAAACACAACAAGAATAAAAACAGTAGAGTAGTAAAAGACATATCGCTTTGGGTGGCTCGATTGCAATTGGCAATCATCGACCAGAAAAAGACGAGTCAAACAGACTTGACAAGAAGAAGAAATAACACGCCATTAAACTCATACAACAGACATATCACCTGAATCACAAACTCAGACCAAGATCCAGCTCGGTGGAGGGAGACAATGCAGCGTGACGAAGAAGAGAAAAGGTAGGGTAGAACGCGCTAGACAGGGGAATAAAAAGTGAACAACCCCAGAGCAAAACTAGAACATTGTTCCGAAAGAACCATCCGTGGCGATTGGCTTGCGAGGCGAGGTTCGCCCGGCACTGTCAACGGCTGGTTTACGGTGTCTGCAAGAAGTAAAGACCCGTTAGTAAAGATCAAACGAGAACCAACCACTCTTGTAACGTACCGGAAGGTAAATCCAACAAACAACCCCTTATTCATCTTCTCATCGCGCTCGGCCATCTCCTCCAGCGCACGCTGCTTATCATGCACCTCCTTGTACTTGGCCATATCCGCCTCATTGCTAAAGTCATCAAAGTATCCCGCATCCGTCTCCGAGTCCAATTCGGGCACAAACGGTGCCCGCTGCTCCCGCAATCGTGTAAAGTCGACTTCGGCAAAGTACTCGTGGGCATGGATCTCCTGGATATTCTTGAACCGGGTCTCCTTGGCCGCTACCAGCGTCGTGATCAAATCCCATGTTCGTCGCGAAAGGAAGTAATTCGGATCTTCGTATACTGGCTTCCGCAGGACCTTTTGCCAGCGCTTCAGGTTCTGCCATGTCTCGTCAACGGTGGCACCTGCGAATGGCGGGTACCCGGCCAGTGCCTCAAAGAGCATGCATCCCAGACTCCAGTAATCGACGGTGAAATCGTATTCCTCACCCTTGAGAACTTCTGGAGCCATGTAGTCGGGAGAACCAACGATGGACTTGGCATAGTTGACTTCGCGCTCGCGCAAAGAGCGGTAGCCTTGGCGACGTTCGGCCATGGTACGCTGTTCCATGGGGCGGCCGAAGGGAACAGGGGTATTACCGACCTCCTCGAGCTTGACGCGCATCGACTCGATCTTGCCAGGGCTCAGCATACCAGCTGCCAGGCCAAAATCAGTCAACTTGACGTGACCAGTCGAGTCGATCAAGAAATTCTCAGGCTTGAGATCGCGATGGATGTAACCAAGTATATGCAGCGCATCGATACAGCTAAACATCTCCGCGATGTAGAACCGCGCATGCCGATTGTGCAATACACCCGTATTATTGAGAAGCGTGCGGAAATCACCGCCGGGCACGTACTCCATCGCCAAATAAATCTGATCGTCATCCTGGAAGGCATAGAGCAGTCGCACGAGCCACTCGCTCTTAGCGGCGGTCAAAATGTCACGCTCCGTGAGAATGTGTCGAATCTCATCCAGCTTGAACAGTAGCCGCTTGCTCATGACCTTGAGCGCGCAGACCTCGCGCGTGTCCTTCTTTTGTGCCAGGTACACCTGTCCATAACCACCCTGGCCGACCTGTGTCAAGATCTGGAAATCATGTTGGCGCAGGCGGGTACGGCGCTTGCGCAGGTGTGCTCGCTCGCGACCCAGGTATTTCAACAGTGCTGGCTCGTATTCCTCGTCGGGCGTTGCGGGGGGCTCGGGGTATGCGGACTTGAATTGTGTGTGTCGGGTTTGGCGATTGTGAACGTAGCTGAGGAGGTCAAAGTAGTGGTCGAGGAAGTCTAGTCACAATTAATTAGCACATATTCTCTTCTTAGCCTGGGTTGTTGCCAGTCTCATCACATACAGAGTTGAGTGACGTTGACCAAGCGCTTGACACGGGGCTGTTGCAGCTTCTCCATCTCCTCTGGAGTCAGCCCGCGCAGCTGGACTTGGCGCTTGGACGTGTCCGTGTCACGCTGCTGATATGGCTCATGGCGCGAGATTGCAGCCGCCGTCGGCTTCGATCCCAGATCCTTGGGCAGACGCGTGCTTGTCGGGGGTGTATTCTCTTTATTTGCCTTGCTGCGCGCAGGACTTGACGCTCGCTGGTGAATGACGCTCTCGTTAAAGTCCTCAATGTTACTCTTGTCGGAGGTAAACATGGGATGGTTGAAGTGGTTGTGGGTAGATTTGGCGGGCAGAGTCGGTGTCAGCTTCAGCGCTTTGTCAAAGACATTTGGCAGATCGAGAGATCCGGGGGTGCTCTTGATTTGCTTGGGCTCCCCTGGGGGGTTTGTGGGGGACTGGTGAAGCCATTCTCGGCGGGGGTGGAGGGGCGGTCGAAGGCCTCGCCGCGGGTGTGCAGTAGTGGCGGAGGATTGGGCAGTCGCAGACCAAGACGGTCGGCGTCGGATGCGACATCGACAGCCATGATTGTGTGTGTGTTATTGTGTGAGGTTAAAGAAGGGTTGGATTTCGGGGTTGAGAGAAAGAAGGAGAAAAAGAGGAGGGAGAAGGGGAGTAGTGGTGGTGGTGGGAGGGGGGGGGGAAGATGATCGTCGAGGGGTTGATTGATGGGGAAGCAGTAGTAGTGACTAGTAAGAGTAGTGGTGCCCCCCTTGACAAAGCCCGAAAAGACTAAAGCAACTAGCCTGAGGCTGAGACTGGGCTGGGAAAAAAACAGCTGAAGAATCCAGTCTAAAATGCCCAAATTGACCAACAAAAAGTACAATGTCCGTGTGGAGAATGTCCAAGAGACCCGAGTCAGACACGAGAAGAATACGATGTCAGAAAGAAAGGTCTTTGTCGTAGACTAAATGTTGGTGTTTATTATTCCAGGATCTTATTTAATTCAACAACAGAACTTGTAACTTGCAACTTCCGGAGAGTTCAACAGTCGATCAGCTCCACCACGATCGGACAAGATCTGGATTTTACTTTTTTCGAAGACCAGAAATAACATGCAAATCATATGTCCAATATTAAGATATCCACACCTTCTCCGATCAATAATAATACTGTGAATAATATCCACTTGATCCCGTCTCTTTTTGCTTCTCTCCTTCCGTCCAGTTGCCCTAGCAACCCTCCCCCGCGTCATTCACTGCCAGGCACAAAGCACAGGGCTGCTTGGCCATGCTATGCCTTGCTAGCTACCTACTGGATTCCTGCTAGCGCAGCTAATCCTGGTGGCTTATGATCCAATTTACACCTGGCCCCCTCACCAAACAAACCAACCAGACCATTCTGGTATGAATTGAGTTTATCGACGCGAGCTGAACTCGATCCACCTCTGCTGTGTTCCCCCCTGCAGGTCATCTCCTCGCTGGGCCCGGCTCCAGATTCAGGCTGCGAATTGGCCGCCCCATGTGATGAAACTGTGCAAAGCCTTGATTTGACATTTGGACCAACCTGTTACTGTAGTTGGTACTCGTGGTCCATGCCGTCATTATTTGGTATATTAGTCTTTGCTAGTCCGTAGTCCGTAGTCCGTAGTCCGTAGTCCGTAGTCCCCAGGTTTTGCTCCAAGACTATGGTATTCTCCGATTTTATTGAAATTATCAGCAAAATAAGGCGAATGATTTTACAATGGAAGTAGGGAGCCCATTATTTGTGAAGCAGATGGGATTTGCGCACGGGATAAACGACAGAGATGCGAGGGAGTTAGCAGGGATAGTCCTGGCCCTAATGATTGCATCTCCACCCACAAGGTAAGCAAACTACCGCATTGGGAATGGCTTGGCCCCGTCCGATCCGAGGTGGAGGCGCTGCAATCCATGGATCTTGGATCTCTACAAAGTCAAGGTCGGAGTCCCCGAGATTATTATTATATTGAATATTAAAACTGGAGAAAGGAGCAAGTTTCCAGACGGTCGGAAATCCTGGGCAGTCATATTATTTCTTGGTGTTCATGTTCATCTATGATATCGTAGAAGATCATTGGCCTAGTAACATACAATAGTAACAACGGCTAGGATACGTCACATTTATGCTGCACCCTCCGCCCGCTGGCCAGTCTGTGAGATTAATTAGCATCATATCCATATTCACTCCGTCGAGGTCTAAGTCACTCACATAAAACGCCAACCCATAATTCTCAGTCGTAAACGTAATCTTCGCCCCCTTGGGGAAATAAAACACATCTCCCGGCGACGCAGTCACCGTCTGACCCGTCTCATCGGTAATTTGAAACTGTCCCTCCAGAATAATCTTCATTTCATCGTAGGTATAGGTATAGACCAGCGGGGTACCTTTCTCCAGGCGATAGAAGCCGCAGGAGATTGGCTTATCGGCATTATCTTTGTCGCTGCAGGGGAAATCAATGTCAGTGAGTGGGTCTGCGTCTGTATCTGCGACTGCAGGATGTGGATATTCTCCGAGAATATAGGACAAGATATCGCACGCACCTAGAGATCACATCGCCTAGGAAGGCATTCTCGTTGGCGATGAGGGGAGGCTTGAAGGTGGACTGTGCCTTGGCGTGGTATGTGAATGGAATGGCCATTGTTCACGATTTATGGTATATGGTATATGGTTGAAGGACTGGGTAGTAGTGCAACAGAGCAATCTAAATACTTGTCCGATCGTTGGAGCTCATCCCAGTCTTATACCAACTCATACATTCAGAATCAACGAGTGACCCCCTCTCAAATGAGGGGATGCACACGATGAACATCATTTTCCACTCAAAGACAAGGCAACTTAATCCTTGTCAACAGCACCGATCGGTTTCCATCTCCCGACTAGGCAGGCCGGGAGAGCCAGTCATAGAGGAACTGATAGCGAAGCCCTCCCATAACATGGAACGCAATGAGGGGGTCCAGATCCGAGCGAGGGGAAGCTTTGAAGCTTGAGATAACGGACCGAACGTTATTCATCTTGGAGCTTTTGGATGCTGTGGATGGTGGAGATTGCTGTGTCAATGGGTGTTGAATTGAAACCCTGGTTTATCAGTGAAGACTGTCGGAGTCAGAACTTGCAAAATGACCCAGGGATATTCTGAAAATCATGGTGAATAAGTTGCGACGGTCGCTGGTGTGTTAATGGTGATGGTACTTCCCCGCGATGCTGAGGATCTTTTTGCCCGATGCGGCTAGTCCTTCCCCGTCATCCATGGCCAGTGAGATGCTATCCGTGGGAGCTTCACCATTCCAGCGAGTTGGTGATGACAAAGCTAGGAGTGGGCAGCGTGTAATTTTTCAAATAGAATAGGCCATCTGCAGGTATTTGATTTGCGGTTTGATGCTGATGCGGCACGCACCTACAAGGCGAGATAGTTCTCAGTTCAGGAAGCAGAAAGATGGAGATGGGGAAAGCTGCACTCTCTAACCCCCTTCTACAAGATATGATGGTGATATGCGGTATAATAGTAGAAAGTTGTTTATTTTTTTATATTTCTTTTTCTCTTTTCAGTATTTAAAATCAATAAAGGCACAGGGGCAAGTAGCATAATAATGCAAATGTGAAACGATCTCTCGCAACGCCAGGTACCCTCATTGCCCTGGGACTGCGCACAATTCTTTCGGCAACTCCCAGATAACGCTCATCCTCGACCTGACCCCAGTCCCAAGTCTTGATAAACTGGACCGCACCCTCGATCTTGCTCCCGGATTCCCCTTCCGCCATTGCCTCGTCCTCATCGCCGTAATAGTGAGTTTCGGCCGGCGGTCCGTGAAAGATGTATCCATGACTAAAACCGGCGAGGTCCCCGATGATCCGGTGCTTATTTGTAGGTTGAAGAGGCACTTTAACAAGTTCAAGAATCATGGTCAGCATGTATCTGGCAGGCACTGGCGTTCGGATTCGTAGCTTCGGGTCAAAAGTAGACAAGACTTCATAGGTATCCTCGAGAGCCAGGCCAACCGCAGTGAGTGGGTAGAGATGTATCTGGCACCAGCTTTCCTTATCCAGATCGTGGAATCGGCCCATCTTGTGCCAGTTTTCCCATGGGAAGCCCTCGTGAGGTGGCTTGGCGGCAAGAGCAAAGCCTTGCTCAGATACTGTCTGTGAGGCAATGTCAAGGTATTCATCGGGCATAATCCACTCTACCACCTATTACCATCATGTCAGCTCAAATTCTCGTCCATGGAGACCCGCTCATCACTCACAATGAGAATCTCAGTCCATCCCCACCGGAATAAGATCTGCTGCTCGTATTCCACAACCGGGATGCCTTTGTCGGTGAGAGCTTTCAAGGCTGTTGACACGTCTTCATTGTGAAATTGGAATAGATTCGGCAGCGTGGGAGGTAATGGCAGTCTTTTGTCAAGAGGAGCTGAACCAGTCCGAGCATTCCATTCTTCCATAAGTTTAGCCTTGGCAGACTCTATCTCCTCCGCGGAAATAGTGTAGGCAAAAGGGGAAAGTGACTCGATGGAACTCCTGGAGCAGTATCCAGGTGGTCCGCTCGATTGACAGCCAGGAGAGGCCTTGGGGCTCTCATAGGGATAAGCCTGGATGGTGCCTGTGACGGGTCGTCCAAGGAGGAAGACGGAGTGGCTGGTGAGTCTGGAGTTTCCTGAGAGACATCTTGAGTGGGGACCGTCTCTTTTTCGTCAACGTTCTTGAATGGGATGGCGCGGTCTGGAGTAGAGATTTCGGGAGGGATTATTGGAGCAACAGCAACCGCCATGGTTGTTTCTTCGGCATCGGATTGATTCGAAGTTTTGGCACCTGCAGGCTGGGCCTCGCAGGTCTTTGTGGGGTGAAGCGACTCGGGGCAAGATGTAGCAGGTACCTTGGGAGAGTCAAGAGAAACGTTCCGAGCATTAGAAGCTATTATGGAATTTTCCTGAGTTGAAGCGCCCAAGGAGGGTTCAGGTATCCTGACGGCCGCAACGAGGTTTGTGGAGATCGCCATACTGCGAGAAGGTACGGATTCGAAAATTGAGAGCAGTTTGAGCAGGTCAAAGGGAATTTTGTAATATTCTTCAAGATGATAGATGGTCGATGAGAATTCTCGGCTTCGAAAGGCTCAAACCTGCAAGTCTAGAAGCATCATGTGGAACTATCACAGAAAGTCATGACATTAGGCTTGTGGTTATCTAAGGCACATGTTTCCCCGCCTTATCTGCCATCAGGATATTGCTGGTTCCTGCCTCTGATGTTTGTTTGATTTTGTTTGCCATGAGACGCGCAGACTTTTGACTTCTCTTGCGATTTCTGGAAATTCCGTACGGATACAAAAATCCCTCTCCTCTTTCCTTCGACCTTCTCATCCTCCGCCCTTCATCAGTTTCCAGCTCTGCCAACTCTGATCCACCATCACTCACCAGAGACACTCTTACAACTTCACCAAAAACTATGCTCCTCCAAGATGTCAGAGCCAATCAGTCGATCTGCTCACTGGCTTTCTCTCATACGCTCTACCAGACTCTCCACTCTTTCTTTCCTTTCCACACTACACCTCACTTAGAGATCTGCTCACTAGCCGTCTCTCATGCATTCCACCAGTCTCTACTGAGTCCTCCCCAGCTCACCGAAAATGTCGTCCCAATACAGCAGGCAGATTCCAGCAAACCCTGCTAGCGAGAAGGTTCCTGACACCGCAGCTCAAAATTGCCAGGAAGTCCTCGATAGCATCTGCGGTCTTGACAATATTGCGCTCGAATATCTCATCGCCTGTGCAACTGAGACCCACCCTGGCCTCCGCATTCTCTATTCCCCGCGTCGTATATGCCACCACCCTCGCTGCCGGAACAGAATGACATCGGTAAGTTATCCTTTCATTGCTGGCATTTACCTTGAGATATCATTCCTCATTTCATCTTTTGAGAGGTCTTTTGAGATGTCCTTTGAGACATTATATGTCAAACTCTTTAGACAGTAAAGCTAATGAGTTCTAGGGTGCCGACTTCCTTGTTGACGCAAACTATGCCTCTATTCTCATGTTTAAACCTGCACCCACTCCTGGATCAAGCTCTCAACATCATCCATCGTCCCTAGATTCAGTTACTCCTTTGTGGACCTCCAAGTATCCTTGGCCTGCCTTTTGCTTTTTGCTTTTTGCTCTTTGCACACGGGGCCTTGAAACCATGGCTCATTGTGCTGTACTAGCCTCAACAGCTTATAGCCCCCTTTGCTTTTATATTTGAAGTTTGTGAAAGGATCTAGCGAGACGTTGTTTTCAGAGGAGACTGCTAGATCCAAGCCCAAGAAATTCCATTTTGAGTTGAAGCTTTCCCGTATTTTAATGTGAAGCATTAATAAAATCAGGGAACCTCCTCAAGCACAGCCCTTATCAGTTACCTTCCGAAAATATTGTTTACTACGAGTTCTTCGTTCAATCAATTTTGAGTTCTAGCGTAATGGAAGCCGAGTGTCCCTCTACTTCTTCTGACTTATAGTTCGGCTGTGGCGGCTGGCGTCCGGTAGCCGCGCGGGAGATCTGTTTTTCCGACTGCACGTGAACAATGCGGGCATGCCAATGCCGAATCTCGGTTCAGAGCTCACACGCTCAAAAGCCTCCAGACCGGCCAAAGTCTTCGGAGAAGTTGTATTTACCATAATTATGCTGAGCTCAGGAGATGCTGTCTGAAACATATTTCCTACGGTCATCGGCATCTCGCGTTCGTGGGTAGCAGACATGCCGGCCCGAAGAAACCGAGCGCCAGCGGCATGTCTATTCTGTCGCTCAAAGAAGGTGATTTGCATGCCTCTGTGACTGGGAAGTCCTGGCTAATGATCATATTTTGTTGAACAGTTAAAGTGCGACTCGCAGAAGCCAAGCTGTGGCAATTGCTTGGCAAAAGGCGTCGACTGTCAGCAGAGCGCTGCCAGGCATAAACCAAGGTCGATAGCAAATGTCTACTGTTATATGAACCTCCACTGACTCTAATGAACAGGCCAACAAATCAACGCATTAAGCAACTAGAACAAGAAAACGCTATTCTTCGCCAACAATGTACCCGTCAGGGAAATACAGACGTTGGAATTCCTGAAAGACATGCTTTGATTCCAACTGAAGCTTCCTTGGCGTCGCTCAGTCCAGCACAAAGTAGGGTCACGGGCTCGATATCCCACCACGCTGAGCCTTCCCCGAGCGATCATCACTCGAGTAGAGGTCGGGATACGTCTCATCCGGAGGTACCCGATAGCGAGAATCATCGCCACAGTACTTCATTATATCACGGGCCCACCAGTACGGTTTATGATGACACTGCACATTCAGGAGCTGATGGAGAAGACTCGGAAGGGTTTGACTCTCCTGTGAGCGAAGAGTGGGCTCGGCATCTCCTCTTCGCTCAAACCGCAAGGCAAAGTAAGTCACGAGGTTGGAGTGCCTGGTTCATGGCTAATCGATCACATCAGGACAACTTGAGCCATTGAACCTCGCAGCTGGGAAGCTCGACTTTGATGGGCTCGATCCAGAAATTGGCATGCACTTGCTGACGATCTATTGGAGTCGCCAACTCTACACCGCACAGATCACATATCGCCCAGTATTCATGCGAGACATGGCCTGTGACGGCCCTTATTTCTCAAAACTTCTACTGAATGCAATCTTGTTCACCGTTTCGAAGCACTGCCCTCGGCCTGAACTACGCTCTGACCCTGATGACATTACCACTGCAGGATGGAGGTTTCGTCAACGGTTCACCGAACTCCTGCGAGAGTCGTTTGATAAGAGCGAGATCACTACACTGCAAGCATTGATCATTATGTCTAACTCACTGTTCTCAAGATGCGACGAACGCAGTTTGTCTTGGCTTTATGCTGGAAATGCATTCAATATGATCATCGACCTTGGTCTGCATGTTCTCCCATCGCCAAACAAGATGTCTGCAGAGGAACTTGAAGTTCGGAAGCGTGTTTTATGGGGTGCTTACAGTAAGTAAATCTCGCATTGAAATTAACTTCTTGTTACTAAATTGGCTTAGCGATCGACAAAATCCAGTGTCTTCTCCAGGGCAGGCCACCTCTACTTCGCCAAATCAATTTCAAGGCTTCCCTGAATTTTCTAGACGAGTACGACGAGCTCGACACTTTCAAGGATATCACATACAGTGCAACTGAACAACGGTCTGCAATACCTTCGCTCAACGTATCGCTCTTGACAAAATTATGCGAATTATCCATTATTTCCGAGCGCATTCTGTGCGAACTCTACTCCGAGTCGCAGAACATGAGCCAAAGTCAAAGCCAGAAGATCTCGGCAGACATCAGCTCCGATCTCAGTAAATGGCGCTCGAGTCTACCGCCCCAGCTCGACTATATCTCATATCCCAGAGAGTCGGTCCTTTTGCCTCAAGCATTTTGTCTATTGTATGTTGTCCTCCTCGGCCGAATGAAGTTGGCCCGACTAACTTTCCAAGGGCACTCTCATGCGTTCTTACCATCCTCTCTCAACGGCCATTATTCATGGGCAGTCATCCCGGTTGCACTCGAAATTCAGCCACTGCATATGAGGCTGTTAGCATGTGCACCGCAGCTGCCAATCAAATTGTCCAAATTCTACGTGACTACTCCCAGCACTTTTCCATCACTACCGCCCCATACATGCTTTCCTATGCGACATATATCAGCGCCACCATCCACGTCAGAATAGTCGCGCAGAAGGGACGGGGTTCGAATTCTTTCCAGTGCCTTTTACTTTGTCGCAACGTCCTCCGCGAACACTTACGGCTCTATGCAGCGGCTGGCAAAGCTATGGCCAATCTTGAAAAACTCGTGGCTCATCTTGGCATTGTCATCACCGAAGGGGACGAGGCGGGCACTTCGATGATTAGCCTTGCAGATGATCTACCCGCACAGGAAACTATCTCAGCCCCTAACCTTTCAAATGCCTCCGATCAGACTATCGACATAGGATCTCCACAGTTGAACTGGGGTCTATCGGATCTTGATCTCGAGGCAATCGCCCAAAGTTTCCGGCTTGATTCAGAATTGCATTATCTAATGCACCCGGTTGGGATCTGAAGTTGAATATGTACAATATCATGAATCATCAATAAACTTCCATCGACTTAAAATCACTCATTCCTGTGGCCACCTCATTTAGAGCCCTCTTCATAGTGTATCTGCCAGGGATGGTTCTGGCGGAAACCGAGCATCTCCTTGATCTTCTTATTGGATACCGGGGCATCTCGCGGTCCCATTTCCTTGGTAAAAGGTACATGCGGAGACACCCGTTTGAGAAACTCTGTCGTCGAACTGGTATAGTTTGTAATCTCATCGTTCACAGCGTTGAAAATCTGGAATCCCAACCCATCCTTCTGCACCGCGAGATCACATATCTGCCCAAGGTCCCGCGTATCAATGTACGACCAAGCATGTGGTGCCCACGCATCAGGGTTCTTGACATAATCCTCAAACATGGCCTCTTTATACTCTTCGGGTGCAACCACTCTGCCAATACGAAGCACATAGATATCGTTTCCGAATCGACGGGCAAAGCCGCGGGCAACGCGCTCGCCGCAGACTTTGGAGATGGCATATGTATCCATCGGGTTCGCATCGACGTCTTCATCCACCGGGTACGATGGATACTCGACATCTCCCTCAGCATAACTCACTCCATAAACGGTGATGCTGCTGGCAGTGATGATCTTTTTGATATTGAGGCGAGACGCGGCTTCGATTACATTGTAGGTGGATAATGCATTTCCGCGGAAAGTCTCGTTGTCGGGAGCAATCATGTTGCGAGAGTAACCAGCCAGATGAATGACTGCATCAGGGACAAGACGTAGTGGCTCGCGGAAGGGTTCCGTTAGATGGAAATGCGAGGTAAATGCGCTGTAGACTTGGCCGCTGTCTGTCAAATCGACGCGCATGGTATGAACTCGGCTTCCCAGATCGCCTGGCAGAGGCACTAGATCCAGATTGAGGATATCATGGCCTTTGTCAAGGAGATAGGAGATGACATGTTGCCCGGCTTTTCCGGAGCCACCAGTTACGATGATCCGTTTGCCCATTTGTAGTTGAGATTGCTGCCGATTTGCAAAGGGGAGTAGGATGCGAGTTTGGACGTATAACCAAGCCGCTGAGATGCAAGGCTCCAATGTTCAAAAGGTTAATCACGAATAAGGCAAACAGTATTCGGAAAGATGACGTGGAGCCATCCCCATGTTTTAAGGCCGACATGCGGGGAGAATCGCTCGGGATATCAGTTGCCGGCTGGATCAAAACCATCCGGCAACCATTAGCCGTTGACAACCGAGGGACTTAAGAGACCATATCAGATGGTATAATCGCAAGTCATTGGTATGAGAAGTCAAAGACGGTAAAATATCCCAAATTCATCGACAAACTCATCATTATGAAAATCTTGCGGGCGCATTGTTGTCGCGATCCGCATATACTCAATCTCTGTCTCAAAAGCTTGACTCGGATGGTAACTCTCCGGAACACAAAAGTTCGGCTAAAGCTCTGGGAAGTGCCGAAGGTGCCAATCAGGGATTGGCCCAAAGATGTCTCGATTACCCCCGGACTTTGAAATTGACCAATGGGAAAATGACATCCCGATCCCAAAGTGAGTAATATCCAAAGACTGGTTGGACCCCCTCGCGTGACAGCGCGAGATAAAAGGAACTTGGCAGCTAACTTATCTGGTCTTTTGAACCTCAAACAGCAAGATTCAATCAATTATCCTACATACTAGGAAGTTCTTTGAGCCATGTCTTGCTCTAAGAAGTCCTGCGAGGGCTGCTCATGCCCCAGCAATCCGCAACAGCCTATTCAAATCGAAGACTGCATTAGCGAGCTGCAGGCTCTTCGACGACGCAATCAAGAGCTAGAGACTCGACTCGGTCTCAATTCAGAACAAGAGGTAGCAAAAATCACAAAGAAGCCCGGTCGCACCCTGCGGTCGGCAGCATGGTTCGATTGTCGCAGCGATCCCGGCATGACGGCCATTTACATGGAGCGGTATTTCAATTTCGGCATCACGCGGGAAGAATTGATGTCCGGCAAGCCGATGATCGGAATTGCGCAGTCTGGATCCGACATTGCACCTTGTAATCGACACCACATTGAGCTGGCCAAGCGCGTCCGCGAGGGCATTCGCACTGCCGGCGGTATCGCCATTGAATTCCCCACTCATCCCATTCAAGAGACATCGAGACGGCCAACTGCCACGCTAGACCGGAATTTGGCTTATCTCACTCTTGTGGAGATTTTGACTGGTTATTTCCTCGATGGCGTTGTTCTTTTGACAGGATGTGACAAGACAACTCCAGCATGCTTGATGGCTGCTGCCACCGTGGTAAGTTGCGTTCCCGCAACATGCAATTCATGACTATGGCTAATACGAAGAAAGAACATCCCAGCGATCTGTATGAACGTTGGTCCTATGCTGAATGGCTATGCCAAGGGCACTCTAGTGGGATCTGGTGCTGTTCTATGGAAAGGACGAGAGATGTATGCCACGGGCGAAATTAACGAAGACCAGTTTATGGATTACATTTCCCAAAGGTGGGCTTTCAATCCCCATCGTATTCCATGGACGTATGCTAACGTATCTCTAGCACTCCATCTGTTGGACACTGCAATACAATGGGAACTGCATCCACAATGAATGCTCTCGCAGAAGCCCTGGGCATGGCCCTCCCAGGATCCGCAGCTATTCCTGCCGCGTATCGCCACAGAGCCCAGTGTGCCTACGAGACCGGTAAACGGATCGTGGAAATGGTCAACATTGACATGAAACCAAGCGACTTGATGACCCGCGAAGCATTCGAGAATGCGATTGTGGCAAACGGAGCGATTGGTGGTAGTACTAATGCCCCCATCCATCTCAATGCTATTGCCCAACATATGGGTGTTGAGTTGTCCATGGACGATTGGGACACCATTGGATCGCGTATCCCTCTTCTATTGAACATGCAGCCCTCGGGTGAATATCTTGGAGAGGAGTATTTCCGCGCAGGAGGTCTCCCTGCTATCATGGCAGAGCTCCTGGACGCAGGCAAGCTGAACGGAGATGCTTTGACTTGCAACGGTCGCACAATTGCCGAGAATGTTCGTGATCAGCATTCCTGGGACCGCCGTGTCATTCGTCCCTATGATGATCCCTTGATGAAGGATGCAGGCTTTGTCCATCTCAAGGGCACACTCTTCGACTCCGCCATCATGAAAACCTGTGTCATCTCCCCTGCCTTCCGCGAGCGCTACCTATCAAATCCCGAAGATCCTGAGGCATTCGAAGGCTCGGTTGTCGTTTTTGATGGGCCGGAAGAGTACCACAGCCGTATCGAGAACATGCCAGAGATCGACGACAAGACCGTCTTGATCATGCGTGGTGTTGGTCCACTTGGATACCCCGGTGCAGCCGAGGTCGTCAACATGCACCCACCAGCCCGACTCCTGAAGCAAGGAGTTGACGCCTTGTTTTGCATTGGCGATGGTCGTCAGTCTGGCACGTCAGGGTCTCCCTCCATTCTCAATGCTAGTCCCGAGGCTGCCGCGGGGGGTAATCTTGCTATTCTCAGAAATGGCGATAAGATTCGCATCGACTTGCCGAAGAGACGAGTCGATATCCTCATTAGCGACGAGGAAATCCAACAGCGGAGGAAGGAGGTATTCTCGAAGGAGTATCCATTGGTCCCCAGTGGCACGCCCTGGCAAGAGATCTTCCGTCAGGAAACGGATCAATTGTCTAGCGGCATGGTGTTGAAGAAGGCTGTAAAATACCAACGTCTGGCGCAGACGAACGGTCCACCCAGGCACAACCATTGATTTTCTTGTCCAGAGTTGTATTACACGTGAATATATAATAATAAATGCTACAGAACTTGAAACAAACATACATTTTCTATTTTACGGCAAGGGGGGAGTCAAATTCACTTGAATTCAAACAAAACATACCGTGGGTTTGCGAGAAGGTGCGCTGGTTGACCTGCTATATATATCCCGAGCATGCCCAGAGTAAAAGAGTGCAGTGTGCAAGTATTCCAGGCCAGAGGTCTCCTGCTCAATAGAACTTGTACCTCTAACACAAGATACAACGCCAATTTATTGACCGATTAGGATATTTCTTTCGATCGGAAAACCAATGGTTTGCCAAAAAAAAAGTAAGACTTAAATGAGCGCGAGTTGATATGTACAATTTGCCCCGATCGTATGAGTCAGAATCGAGGCTATAGTGTACAATGCTCGGAAAAATAGTTATCCAGCGAGTTTGGCCGAGTGGTTATGGCGTGACGTTTAGGTAATAAACATTACGACCGTCATGGGTACGCCCGCGCGCGTTCGAATCGCGTAGCTCGCATTTTTTGGCATTTTTTTGCCCCATTCAATACAGTCCAGAAGGAAATTCAGTAACATTGACAATGATTTCCTTTTTTTTGTTTGCTCTTTAAAGGGAACTTCCATTGATCACCTAGTCAAAGGAGAATTCCATATCGGCAATGCGTTTGTAGTTTTTTCCCCCTATATTATTAACTGCCCCATTGCCAGTCTTTCTCCATCTTCTCCACACTTCTCCAAGAACTCACCCCTTCGATAGCATCTCTTCATATATATAACACATTTTGCCGCTGGGAAGAACGAGGAAACCCTCCACGCAATGGACGGATTTCATATCCTCGCTGATCCCCTTTCCTCCTTGGGTGTTCTACACCCTTGGAGCGGCCTTATTCCACCACCACCGATACGAAACAAATAACACTGGCATTTCTGTCAATTTTCCTTCTCAAGTGACAAGACCCGGCTTTCGATGCACATGGAAAACGCATCTTCAGTACACTACGCGCCCGAAGTCACAGCCGCAGTTACAGTCCGGCCTTTTGCTGTCTAAAGCACCAAGACCACCGCATCTAGAAGTTTATGAGCTTCCCTGAAAATTACTATATAGTATATCCTCGACGGCATTGCCATGCGGAAGGCACTCATTTGCCACTACTGGTGCCTCAAGGACAAGCAGTGAAGGTTGGCACACAGGCTTTTGTTTTATGGGCTTTAGATAGCATACCGGTGGGTTCGGAAAGTGGCGTGCTGCCCGCGAACGAGCCCTCCTAAAGCTACAATCACACAGGCGTTGATACCCAGCGCTTTTGAGGAGATTTATGATCTCGGTTTGAAATCTCTGTTCATGCACACAACGGACAGCTGCTCACGATGATTCTGCCCTGGTACCACCATCGGGCAGGTCTCTTCTCCTTCGCCGGAATATCGCCTTCGTTGCTCTTCATTGCGCTGCTTTGCCCTCGCCTCACATGTTTCCACTGCGTTTGACCCGTTTGCCTTGACTTGCTTCCATTGCGTATAGCCCGCTGGCGCCAGCTGGCGCCACCATTCGCATCATTCGAGAATCCGTTTCGAAAACGAGATACCTTGGAAACCACGACGCCACCATCAAAGCCATGGAGAACGGCCACAACATATCAATGGCATATCGGTATGATGGGGTTACAGGGATAACTCCATACTCGGCCCCGGCGAAGCCCTGTGGTGCGGCCCTGGGAAGAGCTTCACTTTGGAAAGAACAATCAATACCGAATGGCCGGAGACCAAGGACTATGTTGACTTGATGGATGATGGCTAGAAGGATGCTCGTGAGGGTAATGCAAATGCGTCGGCCGTCATTCACCATGATCGTCAAGAAGTTCATGACAGCTGGAACAGAACTGGAATGTCGTGAAACGAGCAAGAGTGGCCATAGAGGCGTGGTCATAGATTGCGAGATGGTTGTCGATGTTCACTTTATTGGATCTTGGAGTTTAGCTTGTATCTCCGATTATGATTGAATTCCGGAAATCATGTTTTGCATCTTTGATGTTTAAGAATTGAGAATTGATATTTTACGAGTCTCAGAAGAGCCTATGTCCTTTGCAAGTATCCAAGCTAACCCCCTGATACATTGAATATAACCCAGCACAGAATGATATCTGAATAACCTTCAAATGCAGCACCTGGATGTATATAGATCAGTCATAAAAATTCATACGTCGGGCAATAAGATTTATCTACGCAATCGACGAGGCCTCATATACCCAACGAGAAAACCCGCATCAACCCCAGGGCTATCGATTCTCATTACGCAACATCAAGCGCAGTGGAAAAATAGCCGCTGGGGTTGATAGGGTTCACCGTGGGCGATGGCACGTCCAGGAATACAACCGCAAGGCGCACATGGCTTCAATCGGGGGATGCAAAAATGAGAACATGATGCTGCTGGGTTTAGTTGCTTCTGTCTGTAGCCTGGTGTCTGGTGTTTGGAAAGCGAGTTTTACTGGTTGACAAGCGGTGAGTGTCAATCGGGGATCGCAGGGGTTTGTCTGTCTGCTGTGTCTGGGAATCAGATGTGTTGATTGGTGCTTGATGGCATTTATTGGCTGGATGTTTGTTGCGCGGATTTGGATATGGATTTGTCGCGTGGCGAGAGTACTGGATTCCTGGGGGTCCTGACCTGATTCGGCTGATTGTTGATTTGTAACAGGAGGAACAGATGGATGAATGGGTTGATAAGCCAAGACTGAGTGGCTGTTATTACCTAGATCATAGATCTGACGTTAGATAAACAAAGTCATAGAGTCACAGTCAACCTTTTCCGATCGGAAACGCTATCGTCATAAAAGTCAAGTTCACATCACATCACATCCGTGGAAGAAAAAAAGGATGGAAATATAGAGTAGAAAGAAGGAAGACCTGAGAACGCCGCGCTGACTGCAGAGACTTTGCAGCGTACAATTTGAAAAGGAGAAATATCAAGGCAGGTAGAAAACCACAGGCTAGAAGAAAGCACTCAGTCTGTTTCGTCAATCGTCAATTAGTATGTTCACAACGTTGCAAAGAACTCGGCTTATCTCGAGCTTGGCGGTTGAGAGCCAGGTCGAGATATGATTATGTTGACTCCATGTCATAATTGACCAGGAGGTATCATATCAACCAAGAAAAACTGTATGAGATTAGTTGTGTATTCTCGTGGAATGCACTCACAACAACTATTGTTCTTACCTTCCCATCCCCATTCCCCCATAATGTTGACCCAATGCAATCTGCTTCGAACAGTTCTCTCAAACTCGATATTTTCCAACGAAGAGAGAGCAGACCCCCTTCTTGACTGGCCACTCTTGCTTGCTGTAGATGTTGACTGTCTTCGCATCGATCGGTCAGAGTGGTCCCCCGAATTGACACGTTCATGGAAACCTCTGCCGGTATTGACAGATCCTCGCAATGAAGAATTGAGTTTTCCTTTACTATCACTGGAGAATGACCCCGCTCGCCGAGAAGTAAACATCTCTTGCTGCTGCTGTTCCCGTTGTTCGGCCTTGAGCTTGTCCCGTCGAGCCCAGACTTCCCGAATGACATCCAGACAGCGATCGACACCGCCAATCATAAGGCGTGACTGGACAACCGCCCATCGTTCCAGCACCCATTTGCGGTCATCATCTGAGTCGACTTCGGCACCGGCGGCTAGAAGAGGGAACATCTGTATGATAGTTGTGCGGGAGCTAGGGGGCACGGTCGCCAACAGGATCAAAACACGCTTGGCGAGTTCTTCAGCCGGCTCGGACGGCAGCTCTGGGACCGCTTGATGCAGATACAGCAATGTTGCCCAGCGATATGCGTGAGCCATCTGGATACTGTGCTGTACCTCCGAGGTAGGATCCTCCGGTGGTTCAAACCAGCGCGGGGGCTCCCACTGTTCCACGAGAGCCTTGAGCTCCATGGCCTGAGAGACGATGGACAACGAGTTGGTGGAGATTTTCCGGACGCGTTGTACTAGCCGTCCAACTTTACCAATTAGTGGGAACAGTGTCGCAGCACATCCCATCAACGGGTCAATCTCATGCACTGCATCAGTAGGCAACTGGAAAATGGAAGGATTCAAATCCTGAGGACCTGACTCATCCAACGACGTCAGCCGCGCAATGACATCCATGTAGGTCCACGTGTTATACAGAAATCGGATACGATCCAATTCTCCTGGCTGAAGACCACCCTGAAGCCCCGCATTAAGAACCTGCAACATTAAGGCCTTGGCCCCTCGCAGATGCTGGATGCACGTGCGAGTATTCTGGTCCCAGGTGTCAGCAAACGCCAGGGCCAGGCTAGTCGCCAATGCCGTATCCGCTCGCATGCTCTGGATTTGCTGGCGTAGGCATACAATGCTCTGTCGCATGTGTTTGACTCCCTGGACACGCAGGGATGGGTTCTCTTTGGCAGCGTGGAAGGCAGATAAAGCGAGGATGGCATGGTGCAAGGCGGGAGTACTTTTTGCAAGTGGCCAGATGAGAGTTCGCCATGGGTTTTCCATCCTGCCATCTTTGATAGATAATATTCCACAGGTCAATTTGTCGAATCGCATTGTAAGCATCTCTTGACTTTCCGGGGCCAGGGAAGGCTGGCTGGGGAGTCGTGATAAACTGAAGGGACTGTCATTCTGCCTTGAGAAGTTCAAGTTCCAAGTCCCTGCGCCGGGGTCGGACTGTCGGATGATCTCCTCGATATCTTCACTATCATCCTCTAGTAATCGAGAGAAACTTAGCTCGTCATTACCAGTGCCAGGTGCAGGTTGAAATTCTTGGGAACCAAAGTTGATCGGACCCGAACGACCCATGTCTTGGTCCGATGACAAGTCATCAGAGAAAGGCACCGAGTGTTGAAATGGTTCAAGAAAGGAAAGAAAGTCCAATGGATCAGAGTCCACTGGCATCGAGACACCACCGATCGGGGTGCTCTCGTCACCCGTGGATCCTTCATCCGGAAGAACGCCAAAGTCATCTACCGAATGGGTCTCTGCAGACAAGAAGCTCTTGATACTCCGGGGCGAACTATGCATGGAGGACTCTGGGGGGAGTTATTGAAAGAGATGGATGGTGGAACAATAGGCGAGGCTGGTTGGTCGGTTGTCGGAGGCGTGGGAAAGTTGTCTTGATTCGCGACCGAACCGGGAGGCTGTGAAGAAGTCACTGGATGAGGGTATACAGTGTTAGTTGATCAATCTTCCGATTAGGTTATTCGAAGTTTTACCACCACCCTGTCCGACATCTTTCTTACCCTTTGTCGCGGTCGGCCGTCCGACCGCCAGATTGGTCTCCTCAAAGGGCCGCCATTTGAAATCCTTTTTGTATCCACCACAGGGAACCTTTCGCCGGTGACACTGGTGACAAGTGGGCTTGGTCTCGTCGCACTTGAGCCGCTTTGCCTTACATGTGATGCAACCTAGGCGTAGCGAATAGATATCGGGTCAGCGACTGCGCAGATAACAACTGTGGATCCACCCGCTATTGGGGTGGCCTCTCGGGCCCACTATGAGTTGGTGAATGTGTTCTTTTCTTTGTTTTTCATTCATGGTGAGATGGTAATTCCATCAGAGGCAAGATCGTACCATTGCGACTCTTGGTCTGTTTTGGTTTGTGGGAGGCCGAGGCGATCTGCTTTGACCTTTTGGGAGGCGAAGCAGGATTTGCTCGCGTGGACACCGGGAGGGGGTCTGGCGAGTCTAGGATCGTGGAAGGAGATGGGATTTTGATCGTGTCCATACCAAGGCGATGATGAGTGGTTCACGGGTGACGGGAGGATGTGGTAGTGGGAGATGCGAAGGGAGAAAATAGATTATAGGATGATCTTAGCGAAGATCTCGGAGTGACAAAAAGGAGGGGGAGAGGTTAGAAAGACCCAGATAAGCCAGCGGTGAGAACAGCGAATGATGGGACGGTACGGAGTAGATATTGATGATAGGATGATAGGATGATAGGGAAGCACGGCAGCCAAGAGCCGGGAGGTACGGGGAGGAGACGATGATAAGGCGCATCCACTGTGCATCTGCGGGGGTGAACTTTTTTTGGGTTTCTCTCTGCCGTTTGCCGTTTGCCGATCTTTGGAGAACCCCTGCAAGGAATTGGCTGGCTGAGGGGTCAATCTTGGATGTTGGAAATTGCTTTGCTGTATGTGGATGAGATTGCAGTAGTTGTTGGACAGGCAGCAAGTTAGAGAGATGGAAAGACGAGGACAATGTTGACTGCCATCTTATCTCTATCAACAACCACGATGAGATCGGTATAGACGGTATAGACGAGTGATGTGTTCACGCATACATGCGACCGCTTGCTCGTGCGGGGGAACCTAGAAGTTGACCCAACCCAACTTGACATTCGGAGTCCTTTTCTTCGGTTGATCATTGGCCGTGGATCAGTCTGGGTCCGTGCTCAAGGGGCTGGAACAGGCCCGATATCATCCAGAACGGACCTCGTGACCAACTATATGTACAACTCGAGAACTTTAAGATCTCAAGGCATAAAGGGATCGAGCAAAAGTCCCGCTATTACACCGTAAAGTAAGTAGAAATTATGCTCTCTCTCTTTCTCTTTCATTTACTTGAATATTATGAATCTCTGATGCACCGGTAGTAACCAAGGAAGCCGCCCACTTTCCGGTACATGAGTCAAGAATGTGGAGATGCCATGTCAGATCTCGGTCGACGTGCGGGGAAAAACCCTAAACCATCGGATGCGCTACATTTGAGCCGAACCTCTTTCATCAATGATCTTTATCATGCTTATGCAGAAGCACCAACGCTGGATGAAAGTGAATGGTCCCTTTTTCCAAGCAAAACATCGAAAATTTACTCGAAATCAAAGCCGCGGAAATTCGCATGAACCGCGCCCTGTAGATGTACAAGACACTGACGCTTGCTCGAGAGAAAAGTCTCCCAGAATTTCAATGTAGTTCAAAAGACCAAATTAATCCTCTCTTTCGAAAGGTCTTTCCAAATGTCTTTTCGAACCATCTTTCTAGATAGCTCTAGTAACGTACTTCAATCTATCTTTGATTGTCTTATATTCTTGATCAGCAACATAATATAGAAAGGTCTGACTATAAAAACAAGGTGATTACTTAATCAAAGGTTTGAAAAGGGTGGCAGAGGAGCAAAGCCCTCAATATGATTGCCGGTCAGGCTCCGGAAACTGGTTAAAAACCATTCACTGCCGCGTCAATGAACTGTGGTGGTTGCATATCCCGTTCAAAAAAAGCGAAATTAAGTGAAGGCTGGCGTAAAGGCACTCGAAGAAGGCCATCCAGCCTCAAGGGTATGTATCAATTGGATGACACAGAAATCTGTGGAAAGGTATGACCTGCTGAATGAATAACCTCCGTGTCATAACTATGAGACTGAATCAGGATTGCTGTTAGAAACATGGTGTTTTTGGAGCGATTGGCTGAGTACTGCATTCAGCTGGCTCTATATGGGCTGACCAACTGGTCACAAAGGTCTTCGAGGTACCAAAAACCCTCTATGTCTCTTCTAATAATGAAACACACACACCCGCTACCGCGGTAGAGTTTCAACCGGCAACCAGCGAAAGATACCCTTACATCCTGACAACTCCTCGGGGTGTTGTCCGAAGTTACAGAGTTGTATACTGCACCAATGGCTATACTGGGCATTTACTTCCCAACTTCCGCGGAGTGATAATCCAACGAAGGGAACCATGACGGTGCAAGATGTTGCATGCGGGTTACAGAGACTTAGCCTGGAGGGGTCTTTACAACGTCTCATCTCGCACTGAGATAGAGCACAAATATTGATTCAATGTGAATAATATGCGTGGATCTAGCACTCAATACACTTTTTGATAACTCTGAAACGCCATTTTTCCGGATGCTCTACGAGCTCCATGCTCATATTTGCCTGTAACACGATACGAAATCTGATACCTCGACAAAAGACCCATGGAAGAAGCCTGGAGACACCTCTCGAAAGGGCGGTGCCTTGCAGACTGGTGATTACTTTTGTTCTTGGTATCTCATAGCCAGCACCCATAGAGCCACCAACCTCGATGTTTGCTTCTCGGCGCCTACCCTTTTGGGTAGTCAAAAATCAAGATCACCACCACGTCTGCCTTCACACTCTTCTGCCTCACAGTCTCCCATTCAACCAACGGCTCTGCCTTCATCTTCATGCCTGTTTGTCTCCCCCACAGAAGAAGGAGGCACCAACATGCCGATTGCCTGCCTTCTCGGGGGCCCTGGAGTATAAAAATCCATCCACCAGTCCCTCCCTTTTTCCCTTCCTTCTCCAAATTTATCGAAATGTCTGACGCCACCTCCAACATTCCTCCTTCCTTCTCCCGTGCTGATATCCAGCTGCTGGTCAGCGGATACAGCCGGGGGGCCTCCATCAATGGGGGCGAGTTGGCCTTTTCTCCCGCATGCTGGGGCTGGTCCCCAATTATAATCATACCGACAAGTCGATCGCTGTGGTGGCGTGGGAGCTCACCGAGCTCATGGGGCACGTGGTCTGCGTCGTCGACCCGTGCTCCGCCACGCCTTGGTTCCTGCGCATAGTCCTGATGCCGGACTTCCTCTTCTTGGGCCTACACTGGGCCGGTACCGATGTACCTGGTAAGTCTTGTCTCTCTCATCTTACCTTGGCCTGTCATCATGATTTATCTGATATCAACATCACCTTCACCTTCATCTACTATCATTCGTCTGAACTATACCAACATCATCTCTCTCGTCAATACAGTTTCTTCCCTCGGTACATACTACCACTTCCTTGTGGCTGCCATCAGTCAACGGCCCTTGGCAACAGGGGCTATGGCATGCTACCCACTCCCATTCAACACGGAGTGGCTCAACCTCTTCTGCGCACTCGAAGCGCATCTGGGCGGTAAGGCTGGAGACATCGACCACCTTCCGCCCAGCATGTCATCAATCCCTGCTGCCGCCGCCGCCGCCGCCGCCAACGTCCCCGACGCCACGGCCGTGTCAAGCTTCGCGCCGGCCGTCGCCGCCTTGGACGTCGACATGGAGGAGGTTGAGGAGGAAACTGGGGTGGTCGGTGGAGTTATGGGTTCGGGTTCGGGGGTCGCCGGGGGTTCCGCTGGGGGTTCTGTTGGTGGTTCTGTTGGGGGGGGGGCATTGCCCCAATTGTCACCAGGGACGGCCGGGTGATCACCCCGCAGTGGTCGGCGTCTTTCCCGCCACGGCCGGGTGGTCCCTGAAAGGGTTAAGGGGGCTTCGCGTTGGGAGAGGAGAGAGAGGTGGGGGGGGGTTGTTTGAGTTCAGGGCGGGCTGGTCACTCTGTTTTCATCGGGATGTCCCTCAAAACAATTGATTATCCCGCAGATTTCTGCGCGGTGTTGCTTTGAGGGATCAGTGTTGTTCATTCCTTCATGGTTTTCAATATGTAGTCTGTTCCAGTCTGTATTTTCTGGACTTGGTATAGAATGTAGGAGAGTGCTCATGACATGCAACTATCTTCTCAGTAAGATTTGCAGGGCAGCTCGAGGTTCTGATTGACTTGGTTGATGTAGGCATGTTAGTTAGGCGTCGATTTGCGGGCAGTTCAACCACGGCCGAACACCTGAACTAGACTTAACATTCCACATTTATCCTTACTGGAAATTCTCTGAAACCATTCAATCCCCGAGTATCGGCCATTTGAGGATATGGTTGTTGATATTACACAAGTAATGCTTAGAGAGGTTGTGATGTAGATACTAGATTGATGTAGATTGATGCCAAGCTTTTCCTCGGGCCGCCAGCCTCGGCCAGCCGGAGATTTCTTAGTCACCTCTAATGCCGACCCACTGGGCTTGATTCAATCTATGAAATGGACAATGATGAGCTCGCAGTGCTGATCAAGTCTGTCAGAGTGCATCCTCCGATACTTCCAAGAATAACTTATGATCCATGAGGCAAAAAGACTGTACTACCTCAACTTCCGCAACAGCCGTTCTCGCCGCGAGTCCCGACCATTCACAGACGAGAACCTCGCAGACTGTGCTTAGTCAAGTGGCGGTTCTCGGAGGCGTGGGGAAACCCCAGGATTGAGGATTACCTCACGGCCCGAGGTTGAGCGTGCACTAAACAACACCCCCATCTTTTAAATCGGCCCTCCTTTCCCTCTTCCCTCTCCCCAACTCGGCCCACATAGATTCGCCGAATTCAATCACTCGCACAATGTTTCGTTCGATCCCGCGACGACTCCCACGGCAGCTTCCCCTTGCAACTGCGCCAAAACGCCTCGTCTTGCGCTCGTTCACGTGCGGTTACCCTCGGATGTCATCACCGCCCGCCGTACACCCGCCCGTGTCCACGACCCTGCCCTCCGACGCATACCAGCTGCTGTCTACAGCAGACAAGGCCGGTCCTGCCGAAGATGCGCTGTATGAGCAGCAGGTGCGCGATGTGGAAGCTTGGTGGAACTCGCCTCGCTACGAAGGTATCAAGCGGCCCTATTCCGCCGAGGATGTTGTGAGCAAGCGCGGCTCGCTGCAGCAGACATATCCTAGCTCGCTGATGGCGCGGAAATTGTTCAATTTGCTGAATGAGCGGGCGGCAGCTGGGGAGCCTGTACACACGAGTGAGTATAATTGAATATTTTGCTTTGCGAGTCTGCTTCGATCGAGCTAACGATTGTTATGCGACTAGTGGGTGCCATTGACCCCGTCCAGATGACCCAGCAAGCTCCCAACCAGGAGATTCTTTACATTTCCGGATGGGCATGCTCATCGCTATTGACCACTACCAACGAGGTCTCGCCTGATTTCGGAGACTACCCTTACAACACCGTGCCAAACCAGGTACAGCGTCTGTTCAAGGCGCAGCAAATGCACGATCGGAAGCAGTGGGATGTGCGACGAAAGTTGACTGCCGAGCAGCGCAAGGATACCCCATATGTTGATTATCTGCGCCCCATCGTTGCAGACGGTGATACCGGGTATGTTTTCCCCCAGCAATGGAACCGAGTTGCAGCACTGACTCGGTCAATCTCACAGACACGGTGGTTTGTCGGCAGTCCTGAAGCTGGCCAAGCTCTTCGCTGAGAATGGTGCCGCAGCTGTGCACTTTGAGGACCAGCTTCATGGTGGTAAGAAGTGCGGCCACCTGGCTGGTAAGGTCCTCGTTCCCATGGGAGAGCACATCAACCGCCTGGTGGCTGCTCGCTTCCAGTGGGACTTGATGGGCTGCGAGAACCTGGTCATTGCTCGTACCGACTCGGAGAGCGGCAAACTGATCAGCAGTGCCATCGACGTTCGCGATCACGAGTTCATCCTCGGTGTGGCAGAGGACGTGGAGCCTCTGGCCGAGACCCTTCAGGCAATGGAACGCGAAGGCGCTTCGCCTGCTGAGATTGACGCATTCGAGTTGAACTGGGTTAAGGAGCACAAGCTTGTTACTTTTGACGAGGGTGCGTCTCCGTCTTGCCTTTATTTATAGACTGAACTAACATTCCCTAGCTGTCGACGCCCACCTTGCCGCCGAGGGCGCCTCCCAGTCCGCTCGTGATGCCTACAAGTCTCACGTCCAGAAGAACCCCGATCTCTCCATCTCCCGCCGTCGTGCCTTGGCCAACGACTACGCCAAATCTCCTGTTGTCTGGTCGTGCGACAGCCCCCGCACACGTGAAGGATACTACCACTACCGCGCCGGATTCCCCGCAGCGACCAAGCGCGCTAAGGAATTCGCCCCGTACGCTGATCTCCTCTGGGTTGAGACCGGAGACCCCAACGTGGAGAAGGCCGGCAATCTCGCCGCCAAGGTGCGAGCCGCCTACCCCGGCAAGAAGCTGGTGTACAACCTTAGCCCGTCATTCAACTGGATGGGCCAGGGCTTCGACGAGGCATCGCTCAAGTCGTTCATATGGGACCTCGCCAAGCACGGGTAAGTACACTATCGCAGCCTTGGACTTGAATTGCTCAAACTAACAAAATAGATTCGTCTTGCAACTCATCTCCCTGGCTGGCCTCCACACCAACGCCACCATCACGACAGAACTCTCGCGTGCGTTCAAGGATGAGGGTATGCTCGCTTATGTCCGCTTGGTCCAGTCCCGCGAGAAGGAGATGGGTGTCGATGTTCTCACTCACCAGAAGTGGAGCGGTGCTCCCTACATCGATGGTATCCTGGGTGCTATCCAGAGTGGGAGCAGCAGCAGCAAGAGTATGGGTGAGGGTAACACGGAGAAGGGTGCGTTCTTTTTTTCTGGTTTCTTGTGACTGGGGTGAAATATGCTAACTTGCGCTTTTTAGGTTTCTAAATTGCTTTTGGAAAAAATGCACGTAATGATTTGCGATATACTATAGATGAGCTTGCATGCAAAATGATCATATTTTCCACCCCATATTTGTCTTATGACCTACAAAAGTACTGACATTGCGTCGACTCTATCTACTCTCGCGATTAGCGTCAGTGGGAAGGTCCAAGACGAGGAGTGAGCCTGTAGCCAGGCCTCACTTCCAATGGAAGAAGCAGAATCGACTGAAGAACGATCCAAACGGCATTGACAGGGTGTCTTGGTGTTTCGGCTTCGCTTACTCCGGAGTACAGCCCCAGGCCCCCAACACTAACGCACAGTACAGAGCACTAGAGTAGCGCTGCAACGTCTTGTGCATTAGTGATCTTGGCTATAGCAGGGCATTGAGCGGAGTGGCCAGCGAGAGCTCGGCATGTTGATAGCGGCACTTGGGCGGCTCGGCGATCCAGGGTGTTGATCTCCCGCCAGCCTCAATCTTGGCCACGGTGATATAATGAGTTTCCCCTGATTCCTGCACGCCCCAGGCCTTGTTCGGGCCTCCCGGTATAAGCTAAAGCTGCTTTTTGCACCCCGAATGACCGCGGTGAGCTCTCGAGTTACTCTCCCCGCGACATGCCTTCTTCCCTAGCGAGCAGCTGGATGCTCGCCACCTGCCTCGGGGCCACGATGGCACACGCATCAGGCGTGCTCGAGACAGACCTCCTCTTCCCCCGCAACAAGACCTATGCGCCCACCGAATGGTTCCCCGTAGTCTTCGGGGTCCAGAACCCCGAGCTCGCGCCACACGTCGACCTGGACATCTCGTTCACAATCCAGAACGCGAACAACATGAGCGACATCGTGCATTGGCCGACAGAGATCGATTAGATCAACAACACCAACAAAAACCCTTACTACTTCTACGCCTACTTTTCCGACTTCCGCACCCGCGGCCGCTGGCGTGTCGCCTGGAACGTCCACTGGAAGAGCTGCAACGAGTTTGCCCTCTTCAACACCAGCATGCTCCCGCGCGCGAGGATGATTACCAACTTCACGGGCTGGTCGACCTGGTTCACGATCGAGGAAGACGGGGCACCAGCCGATATCGTCGCGGACACGGCGAGGGACTCCTGCCCCGACGAATTCGCCGTCCCCATCATTGTGACTAACCACACCATTCGGGTCCCCGCGGGTGGAATGATCTAACGGCCGCGAGTGTGCGGTGGTGAATCCCTCACCCACGCCGAGGCCCTTCCCTGATCCTTGTCGCATTCATGTCAGCGAGGCCGTGGTCGAGAGTATGGAGGCCTCGTGGCGAGCGAGGTTGTGCAAAAGCGCGAATCCTCCTGATGACTGCCCCTGTGAATGAGAATGCGGCACAGGACTTGGTAGTTGTTGGACTGTCGTGTTTCCTGGCAGTCTTTGGGGCCGTTGGCTTCCTTCTCGCGCCGTTTTGAGCTGGTGCTTTCCTGTGAAATATTTCTGTTTGCATCTTAGAACCAATGTAAATCCTCTGGTAGGAAACTGACCCACAGCATGGAAGGCAATGATGTCTGGGGGAATGACATCCTCTTGATCTGCCTTCTCTGACAGGGAGCCAAAGGCAAGATGTTGCATGTTTTTGGGCACATTCCTTCACCATTGATATCATCTCGTGTGGCAATGTAGGTAGGTACTAAAACATATATGATATTTCTTTCCGGACGATGTGTCTCGTTGGTATCTTATATGTTCAGTGTTCTCAATTGAGGCAAGCAAACTCTGTCCATTTGTTTCTACTAAGATTACAGGATAGATTCTCAAAATTCAGCTCTCCCTGATTTAAAATCATATTTCACCTCGACTCGGCATACACCTACAAATATCTTAAAGGGCGACCATCAGCGAGCCCATCACAGCAGCCGCAACGAAGGAGGCCAACGCAAACCAGCTGTTCACATAAACAGCGGCGGGGCTAACCATATGGGAAGCAGCTCCCTTCGAAGTAGACGTGCTAGCAGCACCTCCACCGGAGGCAGCAGTGCCTGTTCCAGCGCTACCACCAGCCTGACTGACAAGGGTCTTGCAGTCTCCCGATGCAGCCTGCGCAGACTGAATCTTGGCCGCACCGTTGAAGTTACATGCATCCTTGGCCTTGTTCTGGCTCTGGTAGTAGGCATTGAATGCAACCGAAAGCTGATCCTTGCTCTTGCAGACACTGTAGGCACCGTATTTTCCGCTAGTAGCGTTATGTGCGATGCCGTCGCAGATATGCGCGCCATACCCACAGACTTCTCCGAAAAGAGTGCCGTAGTCCTTCGAGTCCACCGAGTCACTGACTACACAAGAAAGAGTGCTCACCACGCAGGAGCAGAGCTGCTGGTCCGGAGTTGGTGGGAGAGGGCTAGATTTCGCCAGCCAGTTCTCGCCGTCAACTGTGGGGCATGCGCGGGGGGTGTTGGTAGGAGAGTAGCTGGCGCTGTTGATTCCGGTGGCAGTCGCGCTCTGAATCTCCTTGGAATAGTAGCTGAAGTCAACTTCAGTAGCCACGGAGCTACCGCTCACGGAGACGAGTCCATAGTCATTGTCGGTCTCGAAGTACATGTAAACGATACCGCCGCTCCAGACGTCGTTCATCTGGGGACCGAAAAGCACGGGCACATCGGTGAACTTGCGAGGCTTCACGGTATTGCAACCATACTCCGAGAAGAAAACTGGAATTGAGTAGTTGCTGTACTCATTGGTGCGGTCTTGATATCCCGAAGACTGGAAAGTCTGGTCTCCACACCACTCATAGATATTGTAGCCAAAGAAATCAATTGCGCTAGACTGATCTCCGCAGTTGAGATAGCTGGACACGGATGTCCGGATATCCTCCTGGTCGGTTGTGGCATAACCGAGAGCTAGTGTATCCCGATATCCTTTGCTCTTAATGTAGGACTTCATATCTCTGGCTGCGGCCTTGACGAAGGCTGCGGCATTCGTCTGGTTGGGCTTGTTGATAACCTCGTTACCAACAAAGAAGCCAATAACGTTATCGTACTTCTCGAAAGCGTCGATCACGCTTGTATACCGTTCGTACTCGTCGACCGTCCAGACGGGGGAGTTTTCCTCGATCGACACGTCGGGTGAAGCCAGATCAGTGATAACGTAGATACCGGCATCAGCCAATTGCTGCATGCAGGCATCATGGTTCTTCGAGGGGTCAACCGTGTAGGTTCGGATAACATTCGTCCGCAGCTGGGTTAGGTAGGGAATATCACGCGAGCAGCTGGTGGCATCGGCGAGGGGATCGGTGTAGCCCGTGGTGCTGGACTGGCCAGTTCCATTGGATCCTCCGCCATTGTAGTTCTCTGGGTAGACTGTCAGTACTGAGAATGGGATAGACGGGGGCAATCGAGTTACCCTGATAGGCTATGCCTCGGAGGTAGCTATTCACTGGGTTAATAATGAGGTCATTGGATGGGCATAAGGAATTCTCACAATTCAGTTCCATTGTTGGCATAGAAGAACTTGGAGCCCTGTGAGATATTCGGGTTAGCGACCTATTCTTCTTTCTGGATAGTCGAAGCGCCTACCTTGATGACGACGTTTGGGACACTAGCAAGAGCCCCTCCGGCCAGCAAGGAAGCCGCCGCAAAAGCAGTCAACTTCATGGTATTTGAACGAGTGTGGGGGTGTGAAATTCAGCGAAAGTGTGGAGGAAAGAGGCAAGCAGAAGGCCAGGAGGTGCTCAGGGAACACAGCCTGGTTTAAAGCGCCAGGCAACATTCAAAACGATGCAACGCGATGAAAGAACGTGGCCCGTAAGCGAAACCCATGCTAGCTCAGTCCAATAATTGTCTCACTCTATCGCCTCTTCGTTATTGGAAGCAACCGGAAGCGACGGCTCGAGCGTCCAGTCTATGAGCCTCCACGAACTGCCAAGTGGGGCTCGTCTTACACCTTGAACACCCTGACTGGAGGGTCTGCTTCAATGAGGCTAGCGTTGGTCTATTTATTGATTAGCGTGCCTAACCGGGTAATTAGAAAGAGCTTAGCCTTGTTGTTCCAGTCATGTAACCATGGAATCTTGAGGGGAAATCGGTCAGGATTAAAACGGTTTACGGCAAACGCATTCCGAGAATCAATAGCTTAGACTGATGTTGAATGAATGATCTGTGGTGTTTATAGATAGACCACGATCTCAGAATATATCTGAGCATTCATTCATTGCATTTCTTCAACCAATGCCATACCCAAATCTACTTGAACGTTCGGAACTAGGTAGAGGAAACAAATTCGTTAAATTCAGACTAATTCTATGAATGAGAGCGCCAAAATTGTTTATACACGAAATCAAGAACCAGCTTCATGTTCGCTTTTCAGACAACTCGATGCAACTCGACGGCATTCTCAGATTTATCTTGAATTGAGTGCACCGTCAAGTTCGACACGGATCTCCCGTCCGCAATTGATGGGGTTGGAGGGTTCGAGTCTAGTCGTAGCAGTTCCAGATGATGATCAGACTCCAGAGGCTGATCCATGTTTGCTTGGGGTACGAAAAAGGTAGTGGCCAGACCAAGACCAGCCAAGCAAGTAAGTGCGATGAACACTCCCCGGAGACCATGCACATAAGATTGCATAATAACTTCGGCTTGCTCAGTGCCAGCAGAAAGGCCCTCCGAGGGTCCAATGTGAGATGATATGTCCTGTGCTTTCTGTGCAGGGAAGCCGTGGTCTTTCAAATAATCAGCCATGACATTCTCCAGCGTAGTCGACCCGACCACCACTCCAACAGCGTATCCCATAGTACGGAAGAACGTGTAGAGAGTGGCGGCATATGCAACGTTCTTAGCTGGCACGACAGCTTGTGCAGCAAACAAAATGCTGTTGAACAGAATTCCATGTCCAAGTCCCAGAAGGACCATGGCCCCAATCCAGAAGCCCTTCTTTGTATTTTCGTCCAGAAGGCAGAGGAGACCAGTCGCAACAGCTGCCACAACCCAGCCTTTCCATTGGGCCCATTTGTACTTCCCGAACTTTGATATCAGCATGGCAGTTATCAGACCTGATGGAACCATTGTCGCAGAAAGTGCCAGAATTTCAGTTCCAGTCTTGGTCGGAGAAAGTTTCTGCACTGCCTCAAGGTAGAACGTGATATAGTAGAGAACGCCGAACATCTGAAGTAGCAGACTCGTTAGAAATCCCCTGAGCGTCCAATATAGATATTGAATAACTTACTGAAATTCCTTGGATCAGCGAGGACAAGTATACGGCAATCGACGCACGACTTTTGAGGACAGATAAAGGCAAGAACGGCCAGCGAGCCCCGTAACACTCCCATAGGATGGTACAGACTATACCGACGGCCCCTAGACAAAGGGGAAGCAACGTACGGTAGTTGTTCCAATTGTAGAGAGTACCACCCCAAGATAAACCCATCAAAAAGCTGACCATGCTCGATGTGAAAAAGAACGACCCAAGCCAATCGATATGCCGGTAGCTTTCGCGAGTCACCTTCATCTTCCGGAGGGCGAAGAAGAGCGCAATGAAAGCGATCAAACAGAATGGGAAGTTCACGTAAAATACCCAGCGCCAGCCTCCATGATTTGCAGCATGTTGAGTAAAGAGACCTCCCATCACGGGGCCAATGATAATACCGATGGCTGAGAATAACTGAACGTAGGCGGTATACTTCGGCCTCTCACGCAGGGGAAATAAATCGGTCATCACAATCATCGGTAGAGGGATGAGGCCACCACCACCGATTCCTTGTATTGTCCGACCGGCTAAAATTGTTGCCATGTTCTGGGCAACTGATCCGACAACTGAACCGATCGCGAACAAAGTGATCGAAGAGAGAAGGATGAATCGACGGCCATATACATCGGAGAGGGCGCACAGGAAAGGTTGAAGGGCTGCACACGGCAGTAGATAGGCTGTTCCTACCCAAAATGTATCGGTCGCATTTCCATGTAAGTCTTTGGCTATAGTCTGGATCTTGTTAGCCGGAAGGCTCAAGTTGATCAAGGAACACTTCTTACTGGCAAAACTGGAGGGAACACGGTCGAATCGAAGGCGCTCAGAAAGCTCACGATTGACAGCGAAATTATCACAACCAGCCTGTGTCGACCGACATGTCCACCAGGCACTTTGGAGTCCATAGTGAGTGTACTAGGTCGACAATCGAGTATGATGCCGAACGAGGGCCAAAAGGCAGTACTTTCTCGCGACAGATGTTAGCAGATTTGACGGTCGCCATCTGCCCCTAGCTAAGTGACCTGCTTGTGACTTTTGGTGGAGTTTCTCATTTCAGCATTTCTGAAAACTTTCAAGCGCATACTTCTACTCTGCCTATCAAGATCTGAGACGATCCCACCATGTTAGCCCCTAGTGCAGGGGGTTTGCCACTACACTATGCCGCCCAGCAAGGGATGGGGGCGGGGAAAATCATGGGAGATCCTGCCAGGCACCAACAAGTGAGATGTAGGACAAAAGTGATGATCATGCTTGGTAGAACTCTTATTGGGAAGAATGCGGAGAACCGAGCTGATAGGTCAGATACCATTTAGAAGCCCCCTTGCTGAGGAACTTCTCCTGCCGCGCGGACGGGTAATGGTTCCTGACATTAGAACGCGAGTTTCAAACCTCAAGAATGTTTTCGCGGCTGGTTGTTACTATAGACTGTTTCTATGCTGTAATAATCTAGGGGTGGTTTGGCTATGATCGCTGTAAACTATCAAGGTAGGCCGCACCACCCTCACCCCTATCTGACTAGTATACATCACAAATTCGCCACCATAGTACGGATTATCTTTGAAATCTCCGTCACAGTTTGCGCGTCGCGAGGGATAATGTGACCGCCGCCATGATCAAACAAGTCTGCCGTGTCTGGATCACAGACATTGTATAGCGCCATGACGCCGCTGATCATAGCATCCTGGGATCCCATGATATGGAAGGTTGGGATGGAAATCAACTCGCCATCTTGATCCTGCAGGAGATATCGGCCACTGGTTGAATCCATGGGAGGCATTCCTGACATGAAAACGGCGCATTTGAGTCGTGGAATCCTTCCAGTTGCTTTCTGTCGCTTTGTCTCCTCTACAATGAGGGAGGCCGCAATGCCGGCTCCTTCTGAGAATCCAATAATTCCTTCAATATCGGGATCCTGATCAATATAGTCAAGTAGAGGATCCAGCACAGAGCTTGGATTCCTGTACTTCCATAGGCCGGCAGCATCATAAAACTTCCTTATGGCATCTTCGGGGCTTCCTTCTCGGCCAAGTGTGCGAATTGGATAGGAAGCAACTTTGGGGTCACCGTCAATGAATGTGAAATTGGGAGGTGGACCAAAGAACCCTTCAAATTCGGGTGGCACCGTGACAGGATTTTGACCCTGCGTGTACACGAAGCTGGTTTTATGTTCGTCCTTGTTGAGCTCTGATAAAATTGGCTCTAGAACACTCGCGATCAGTGACACAGTCTCAAAGAATTCGAGGAGGTTCAGCCTAAGCTTACCTAGTTGTACTTCCAATGTCTTTTACTTTCCCATAAGAGGTGCGTTAGTTTGTGGACATCATCGGGTCAAAGAGTGATATGAACTGACTTTGGCATTGCAAAGGCCTCCTGGTAGACAGAAGAACCGCATCGCTTCTTCGTAACCTCAGGATTGGAGTGTAAAGTAGGGCAACAGGCTCGCTGCCGCTCAACTTCGTAGTTTAAGTATATTTCGTCTAGCTCGGAGAAACAGATAAGGGTATCTTGGCTACAACTGCTTGCCAGACCACACCTTGCTTACATCTCAAATACAGGGTCGGATCTATCTTACGCTACTGCTAGCCCTGCAGGGGGTACATACTTTATTTACGCTAGCTCTGCCATGCTTTGATGTGGGACATTAGGACATTACAGTAATTTTTCGCCGGCGTAGGGCGAAGATGTGGCTTATTATCCTCATGCACAGACTGTAGTCCACCGCGTCCCACATACCAATCTTTTACTTCCGCGTCCTAACGTAAAATGCCTGGTCCATGGCCTTTCACCCCCTTCGCCCCCTTCATGGCCTGCCTTGTGTTGTAAATCAGATACAGCTGATGTGTCCGAAAACGCGGCCAGTGACCTTCCCAATGGCGAAAGACCAGTCCCTTTATTCCCCGATCACGACAATCCCTTTCGTGATTTAGTAGTTGGGGTCGCCCTGCCTGCCGACTACTTTTTCCATCTTCAACAACTGCCGGTCCTTTCAAAACATAATTTTGCCTTTCTCTTATTTTGCACATATGGAAAGAAAGGAAATACCCGATACCAAAATGTCGACTGAAGACGGGACCAAACCCGTGCCCATCGCCATTGTGGGAATGGCTTGCAGGCTACCTGGTCAAGTAAGTAGTTTGGAATCATTCTGGGAACTGTGTTCCCGCGGTCGAAGTGGATGGTCAGAGATGCCAAAGAGTCGCTTCAATGCGGCCGGTTTCTACCACCCGAATCCAGACCGCACTGGATGTTTCAACCCTAAGGGTGGTCACTTTCTAGACGAAGATATCGCGTTTTTCGACGCTCCTTTTTTCAATATCACTGTACAGGAAGCGAGATCTCTCGATCCGCAGCAACGACTACTCCTCGAATGTTCATATGAGGCGCTGGAAAATGGTGGAATTACCAAACAATATCTTCAAGGTCGCGATGTCGGTGTTTTTGTTGGCGGATCTCCTTCAGATTACGAAGTCAACAATCTCCGTGATGTCGCGACAATTCCCATGCATCAGACTACAGGATGTGCGACATCTTTGCAATCAAATCGCATCTCATACTACTTTGATTTGAAGGGTCCTAGTATGACTGTGGAAACAGCGTGTTCATCCAGTTTGACTGCCTTGCACCTGGCATGCCAGAGCCTCCGATCCAAAGAATGTTCGACCGCTTTGGTTGGTGGGTGTCATATAAATCTGCTCCCTGATACATTTGCATCTATGTCTCTATCCCGGTAAGTGATGTCTTCACGTAGAAATGAATATTAGCGAAATTCAGAGCTAATCATCCATTTATCTAGGCTTTTCTCCGAGAGCGGAAAGAGTTACCCTTTCGACCAGCAATCCAAGTCGCAGACGGTGAACGGATACGGTCGAGGCGAAGGTGTTGGATGCATAGTACTGAAGCCGCTGCAAGATGCGATTGACGCTGGTGATGCGATCCGAGCGATCATTTTGAACACCGGTGTCAACCAGGATGGTCGAACTCGAGGCATCACCATGCCCAACAGTGCTTCCCAGGAAGAGCTCATTCGCACGGTTTATCAACAGGCACAGATCGATCCCGCCGATACTGGTTATGTCGAAGCACATGGAACGGGCACCACGGTTGGCGATCCAGCCGAAGCACGCGCGCTATCTGCTGTTCTCTGTAATGGAAAGAATCGGAAAAGCCCGCTCTTGATAGGCTCTGTGAAATCGAACGTTGGACATTGTGAGGGAGCGAGTGGAATTGTCGCTGTGATCAAGACCGCTTTGATGTTGGAGAGAGGATTCATTCTACCCAACTGTGGTGTGACCGAGCCGAACGACGAGATCCCGATGAAAGACTGGAACCTCAAGGTTGATACTCCTAGGAATACAAACCATAGCCAAGCCACTAATTTTCTCTATCAGGTCCCCAAAAAGGTCGTCCCGTGGCCGAGAGGTAAAGAATATGCCAGCGTCAATAACTTCGGGTATGGAGGCACCAACGCTCACGTTATCATGGGCAAACCACCTGCGGTTCAAGCATCGAATACAACGTCCGAGACGCCATTGCAAAATGGATTGGTCAATCAAATGAAAGAGCGGCATGCGGCACGCTACGTATACGCAATTTCAGGACCCAACAAAAGAGCCGTCGGAGCTCTGGCTAAGAATGTGGCCACGTACCTCGAGAAACACCCCGACGCATTTGACGCTTTCGTGATGAGCAACTTAGCTTATACTCTTGGCCAGAGGCGTAGCTTATTCCCTTGGAGAACGGCCGTCTCTGCTTCCACGAGCAAAGAATTGATCGCCCTCCTATCTGCCGACTTGGAACCAGTCAATGTTTCGGATGACCCTTCCATCTCCCTTGTTTTCACCGGCCAGGGTGCGCAGTGGTATGGAATGGGTCGAGAACTCCTGGAAGCTTCACCCGTCTTTTTGGGAGCCATGAAGGTTGTGGATAAGGTTCTGAACACTCTGAAAAGTGGATTTTCTATCATCGGTAAGTGATTGACATGAAGGGGATGTAGGTAATCACAGACTTAGCTAACTTTGCACAAGATGAACTCCAAAAGGACGCATCCAATAGCTCCCTGTATGAACCATATCTGAGTCAACCTGCCTGCACTGCTCTCCAGATTGCACTAGTCGACCTTCTTCGCTCCTGGGGTGTCTCTTCAACTTCGGTCATTGGTCATTCTAGTGGAGAAATTGCCGCTGCCTACGCCGCTGGCATTCTCACAACTGAACAGTGTGTACGCATTGCGTATGCTCGTGGCGCGGCAGCACAAGCTCTCAAGGATGATCCGCTTCAAACGGAAGGAATGATGATGGTTGCTGGTGCTAGCCCCGCACGACTGCAGCCATTCATTGATGAGGTAACTGGCGGACGTGCAGTGATTGCATGCATCAACAGTGAATCGAGTGTGACTATTTCTGGTGACGCGACTTCAATTACCAAGCTGGACTCGGTTTTGAGCCAACAAAATATTTTCACTCGAACACTCCGCACTGGTGTCGCGTATCACTCTCATCACATGAAGAAGATTGCTGGCAGCTATAGGAAGTTTATGGGCAAGGTTGTGCCCCAGGACTCAACAATCCCATTCCATTCGACCGTCCGCGGACAGGTTCTTGACCCTTCTTTCTTGACTGAAGACTACTGGATTGAGAACCTCACTTCACCGGTTCTATTCTCGCAAGGTCTACAGAGTTTAGTTTCAGAAAGCAACCTTCATGCCAGCAAAAGAAACCATCTCCTGGTTGAGATTGGACCTCATCCCGCCTTACAATCTCCCTGTCAAAGTATCACTAGGCAGGCGGCAACAGATGTCAACTTCCAATATCTGCCTAGCATCAAGCGCAACGAAAACTCCGTTGAAGCAATTCAATCCCTTGCCGGGACGCTGTTTTCTCGGGGTGCTTCGATTGACCTCGGTGCCGTCAATGCCTTTGATGCTTTTGGAAAACATCCACAGCTTCTGACAAACCTGCTCAACTATCCATGGGACCACTCCACCCGTCTTTGGCACGATTCACGCATATCAAACAACTCAAGTCATCCTCAATTCCCGCGCAATGATATCTTGGGTAGCTTCTCTGTGGAAAACATCGATCTTGAACCGCGGTGGAGAAACATCATTCGCGCCGATGATCTACCATGGGTCCGGCAGCACAAGGTGCATGGCAACTCCGTATACCCAATGACAGGTTTCCTAGCTATGGCGGTAGAAGGTGTCGCGCAGTTAGCTCAATTGCAAAACATCCAGCTCGATTGCGTGGAGCTTCGTGATGTCAAGATGCAGCGCATGCTTGTCTTGCCCGATACTTCCCCGGTGGAAGTCATGCTGTCGATGAAGCTACAAAATGGTACATCGATGGCTCATGGAGCCTGGTACGAATTCTGGACTTATTCCTGGGCGGACGGCAGAGGCTGGGACGAACATTGTCACGGTTTCATCATTGCTAGAGGCCCCCAGCAATCAAACCCGGTGACTGAGGCAAAACTTGCCCTTGCTCAAAATCTCTCTGCATTTGCTGAGGAGTGTACGCAGGACCAGAATTTGCCAGAGATCTACGCCAATATTGCTGCCACTGTGTTGACATATGGTCCGCTTTTCCGTGAATTTTCCCGTCTCGCTCTCAGCGGAGATGGCAAATCGATAGCCAATGCGCGAGTGCCAGATACCAAGAGCTGTATGCCCTTTGGATATGAAACCAGGTGTCTGATACACCCCGTGACACTGGATATGTTCCTTCAGCAGTTCTGGTTCTTCAGCGGATTCGACAAGGCTGGGCCGAACTTTTCCTATCTGGCAGACTCGGTCAAGCACATGCTCATTCCAGTCAATGAGGCCGTTGGTATCGGCACTAGGTTCAAACTCTTCACAACCCAAGATCGCAGGCCGACTCAAGGGGAGAATGTGAGCTACAGTGTTCTTGGAGTCATCGAGGAGACCGGTGAACCTTGGGTGACAGTCAATGGGTTCACTGCGACGCGCATCAATGACGCGTCTGAGGCCTTTGACGCTCATGCGCAAAGATCTGTTTGCTATAAGGAGCATTTTGAGCCATGCTTCGACTTGATGGAGAGTTCCGGGGCGACGCTCCTCCAACATTCAAAGGCCAACTTGAGGTGTTCCGTCGAGCAGATGCGACTCTTGGAACAAGTGTCTCATTACTACATTCGTGCCGCACTAATCAGAATCCCCAAGGAACTTGACAGCTTCCAACCTCACCACAAATTGCTCTATCGATGGATGCAGCGGGTCTGCCCAGAGCATCGTCCTAATACACTCCAACCGCCTCCTAGTGAGACTATTGAGTTGGTTCGCACCATGAACGCGGCCGGACAATTGTCCTGCAAGATTGGCGAGAACCTCCCCCAAATTCTGAAGGGCCGTCAAGAAGCATTGTCTCTCATGGTCGAAGATGATTTGTTGAATCAATACTACGAGAGTCTCGACGGTTACCGTCAAAGCTATCGCAATGCCGTTCTCTGTGTTGAGAAAATGGCCCACCAAAATCCTCACATGGATATTCTTGAGATTGGTGCTGGCACCGGATCAGCAACATTGCCTATCTTGGAAAGCTTTGGTGGCAAGGATGGTAAAAGTGTGCCACGCTTCCACCACTTCAAATACACAGATATTTCCACCGGTTTCTTCGAAAAAGCCAGGGAAAAATTCCACGACTGGGACTCGCTCATGTCCTATCAGAGCCTCGACGTCACGAAAGATCCCATTGATCAAGGATACACGGCTAAGTCATACGATCTGATCATCGCTTGTAACGTTCTGCATGCAACTCCTCGTATTGACGAAACTGTTGCAAATGCACGAAAGCTTTTGAAGCCCGGTGGAAAACTTCTCTTGATTGAAGAGACCATCATGCATCAGCGACTTTTCTTGTTTGCCTGCCTTCCAGGATGGTGGGCCAGTCAAGATGGAAGATATGTCAACGGTCCGCTGTTGTCCCAGAAGGAGTGGGACACAGTTCTCAAAGAGAACGGCTTTTCCGGTGTCGACCTTTGCTTGCAAGACTTCCCCGGTGCGTTCGAAGCATCCAACTGCATGATGATTGCAAGTGCGACTGGGGACCTGACCCCGATACAGCAAGAAGTTGTCGTCGTTGAGCACGGAACACTGACGACTATTCCCACCGGGGCCTTGATGGATGGTCTCAAGGAATTGACTGGCCGGACACCAAGTATGGCATCGCTGGATCAGGTGGATGCAAGCTGCAAAATTTGTGTCTTCATCGGCGAGATCGGTCAAAATCTACTGTCTGAAATGACCAAAGATCTTTTCTCGACAGTCCAACAACTAGTCACCACTGCAAAGGGCGTGCTATGGGTCACTGGTCACAAGGACTCGCCTTCTCAGCAAGCTAACCAGAACATGATTCTCGGTATTGCGCGTACTGTGAGAAACGAAACCGGTTTGCCCTTTGCCACGTTGGACCTTGGCAATCTCGACAACGTCTCTGGCAAGGACACGGTGCGCCATATCAAAAATGTCTTCAAAGTAGTCTTTGATCCATCCTCACAGTCTGTCCTTATGAACGGGGACATGGAATTCACCCTCCACAATGGGGAGATTTGTGTCTCCCGCCTTGTTGAAGATTCTGCGATGAACTTGAGCATGCTCCAGGAATCAGGAAAAGCTCCTCCACAACTCCAGAAGTTCCAGCAAGACGGAAGGCCTTTTGCGCTTAAACTGACTGATGTCGGTGCACTGGATGGATTCCATTTCACAGACGATAACACCAAGAGCACGCCTCTACGAGAAGGTTTCATTGAGATACAGATTTGCTACTCGGGCCTTAATTTCAAAGACATCATGACAGTCATGGGAGAGGTGCCCGGAACAGAGATTGGCGCTGAATGCAGTGGTATTGTGACTGCTGTCGGTGCCGGTGTCCATGACTTGAATGTCGGTGATCAGGTATGCGCTATGTTCAGTGGATGTTTTTCGAATTACATTCACTGTCCTGCGACCAATGCGTGGAAAGTGCCATCCGGTATCCCCTTAAATGTGGCTGCCACTATTCCCGTGACATTCTGTACAGCCTACTACTCCATGGTGGATGTGGCCCGAGTCGAACCTGGAGAGAATGTCTTGATTCACTCTGCTGCTGGAGGCGTTGGACAGGCTGCTATCCTTCTTGCCCAGTCTATCGGTGCCAAGGTATTTGCCACGGTCAGCACGCAAGAGAAGAAGGAATTCCTCAAGAAAACATACGGCTTGAAGGAAGACCAGATCTTTTACAGCCGTGACACAGGTTTCGGACAAGCTATCCGTCATGCGACGCAAGGTCATGGCGTCGATGTGGTTCTTAACTCGCTCAGCGGAGATTTCCTTCGAGTTTCTTTTGAGACATTGGCTCCGTTTGGCCGATTTGTCGAGCTTGGAAAGAGAGATTTTCTGCAAAACTCCCGACTCGAGATGTCTCATTTCTTGAACAATGTCTCCATCTCTTCTGTGGATCTTGTCCTTGTGATGCAACGCAAGCCGAAGCTGTTGAAGAGATTGCTTGGAGATGTATTCCGAGAGTTTGGTGGGGACGTATTTTGCCGACCACCCTGGCCCATCACTTCTTACTCTGTTTCTGACATGGAGCATGCTTTCCGAGAGATGCGGACTGGCCGTCAGATTGGCAAGATCGTCATCGAAATGAAGCCTGATGCATTGGTCAAGGTATGTCTTTTTCTATTTTAATCACTCTCACCCTGTGCCTTTTTAACAGTTTATACTAACGACTTGTGTCACTAGGTTCATCCCCCAACAAGATCTGATACTCTTGTACGCCAAGACGCAACATACGTCGTTGTCGGTGGTAACCGAGGCATCGGCCTCGACATCACCTCCTGGTTAGCGGAGAAGGGAGCCCGACACTTGGTAATCGTGTCACGCTCTGGTCTTGTTGGCGAGGAAGCACAGAACGCGATCATTGGACTCATCAACAAGGGAGTTACAATTAAAGTGTGTCAGTGTGATGTTGGTGCCAAGGAGGAACTCAATGCTCAATTGAAGAGAGCTCTTTTGGGTGTACCACCAGTTCGTGGGGTAATTTACGGTGCCATGATTCTACGTGTAAGTATAAGATTGCCCATCATGATATGGCTGTTTCATTTCCAATCTAACCTTCTTGGCTAGGACGTTCCTTTCGAGAAAATGCAATATGCAGACTATAATGCAGTCGTGCAGACTCGTGTGCAAGGACTTTGGAATGTGCATCACGCGATGAAGTCCATGAATCAGGACCTTGATTTCCTCATCAATCTTTCATCAGTGGCAGGTGTCATTGGAAACCTCACCCAAGCCGCATACGCCGCCACCGGAACGTTCATGGATGGCTTTGCAAAATCCATGAACTCCATTCGTGTGCCGTGTACGACCATTGACCTCGCACCTGTTCGAGATGTTGGATATCTAGCAAAGGACCAAAAGACACAGGACGTGGTCCAAGGTACCTTCGGCGGAATGTGGCTCAATGCTGAAGATATCCACGGTCTTCTTGCCAGTGCTATCAAGGGTGTGATGAGGGTCTCCTGCAACAATCACTGTATCACCGGCCTGGATTCAATCCAGCCAGAGAGCCAGAGTGCTGGACAAGCATGGACTCAAGATCCGCGGTTCTCACAGTTGGTTCGCGCCGCGGCCGTCTCTGCATCTTCAAAACCGGGCGAGCAATCAAATGGTCTTGCATCGGAAAGCCCTGCCAAGACACTACAGCAGGCACAAGACCTCACACAGGCTCAGGATATAATTGCACAAGCTCTTCTCAAGAAGCTATGCAGTCTTCTTATGCTTTCACTGGAGGATGTTGACGTGTCCAAGCCTATCTCGGCCTTTGGTCTGGACTCTCTCGTGGCTATCGAGGTTCGACACTGGATATCGCGTGAATTCGACGCTGGTCTTCAACTCTTGGAAATTCTGGCCAGTGACTCGGTTAGCGGATTGGCCGGGACAATTATGCACAAGTCCAATGTCCTTCCGGAAGGGTTGAAGACTTCGGTCACAAACGGAACTTCCTGAAATGTTTTTGGACAAGACCATATTATCGTTCTCTGTGCTACTCTGCTTGTACATGGCATTTGGTGGTGTTTGTTTTGGAGTTTGTGAAATGTAAAGAATTTCTTCTCTGTCTAGTTTCAAGTGCATGCCACCACAAACTTAATACATAGAAACTGCTAGATCTAGTTCTCTCATTCCTCCATAGAGTCCTTCTTCTCCAGAACATCCAGTGCCCACTGATTGTTTCGATCTTTGGCGATTGACAAAGGCGTCTGACCGAGAGAGTTGACCTGATCCATCAACTCCGGAGCCTTTTCCACGAACAAGGCCATCGTTCGCCGGAATTGCTCTTGGGCAGACATTTCATTGTAATTTCTGCCAGCCAGATTATGCAAAACGTTATTGCCTTGGTTATCGACTGCGGTGAGTTCTGCTCCCAGGTCATATACGGCCATGGCACGCGTTAAGTCACCCTCCTGCCACGGACTTGCTCCAACATTCCCACCTCTGTGAGGGAAGAGAGGCACTTTGCATGAATATGAGTTGGTACCAAAGTCGGATCTTGCCGCAGCCAGCAGTAATGTCTGCCCACGGGGATCACGTCGTTCAAGGTCGAGGTCAGGCAGCTCCAACCAAGGCTGGATTATGCTACCATCCGCAATTATCTCATGCAAGATAAGGGTATTGTCGTTGTTCTGGGTATTGCTACGGTTGTGAAGAAATGGATCCGCTCCATACTCCAGCAAAAGACGGATCATTCGGACTGCGTGATTTCGACTGTTGGACTCGTTGAACGGCAACATGGAAATGTATTGAAGAGGACGCAGAATGTGTCCCTTATTCCGACCATGTCTTCCGATTCGAGGAGTGTGCCAGTGCGGCTGTGCATCAGATAGAGTCGTTGTGTTGACGTCAAGATCCATGCCCAAGAGAGCAGAAACTACGTCGTCTTTGAAGTTGGACAACGCTGAAAATAGCTCCATGGGGTGATCCTCGGATGGGTAGGCTCCGTTATCAATCAGCATTTGGAACAACTGAGAGCTGTGAGTCGACATGGCAAGTGGAGTAAAGCCACATGTCGCAGCAAGGTTGGGGTCGGCTCCACCATCAAGCAGGATTCGAACAATTTCAATCTGTCGATGGCCTGCTAGTTCACCTAGTTTCACAGCAACACATAAAGGAGTCTTGCCCTGAGCGTCACGGGCATTGGGGTCGGCACCATGCTGTAGAAGATATTCAATAGCCTTTTCATGCCACCAGTGTATACCTTGAGCCAGGTAATGGAGGACTGTATCACCCGGCTTGAATTGCCTCGCTTGAGCCATCGTGGAGCTGTAATAGACCTTCGGTGTGACTCCCATGCCATCCTGGAATCGAATATTGACATCCGCCTGGAACTTTTCAACCATGACCTTCATTACTTCCAAGTTGGGTAGATCACGCTGAGCAGCAGCTAAGAGGGATGGAGACATATCCCCGACCCCTAGAAATAACTTGCCGCTCTTGTTGATCCATTTCGGATCGATGTCCAGCATGAGGCGGCCGAGTCGCTCGAAGAGTTCCGGATATCCCCATCTCGCAAGCAGTATCAGAACTGGCTGGAGGGAGGACTTGTTTTCGATGAGGTTAATATTCTCCTCCAAAGCCTGGGCTACATCTTGATCGTGACCGAGAAGTACCATTTCCATGATATCTTTGTCGCTGATGTTAGACTTGAATCTCTCCTTGAAGAGCTCAAGGAGGTGCCGCGAGCGCAGCAAGCAACGCTCTGTTTCGAGCGACCGATATTTTTCAAGCTCAATCCCCATCATCTTGGATAATCTGTCAAGCTCTGCGGCCATTTCCTCATTCCCTTCTGATACCGCATGAAATAATGGGCTAGTACGATGCTTATCTTGAACTTTTGGTACAAGAGCACCGTGCTGTACCAGCAGTCGAACAATCCGCGTTATTCCAAGAGTAGCGCTCTCAGAGGTAATCTCTCCCTTCCATCCAAAGTTTTTGTGATCTTCGCGCTTTCGCTTGTTCTGGGAGGGTATACTCGGTCGCTCGTCGTCATCCACCAGGATTCCAGCTGCAGAGACCTTGTGAAACATGTTCCCGTGGTCATCACCCTTCTGCCAAAGCTGGTCTTCAGCAGATGACAGAGCACATAGATCTATCGGGAGCCTTTTATTCTTGTCTTCAACATGGATATCTGCCCCATGTGCGATGAGTAGACTTACTGTCTCTACTCTTCCAGAGAGACAGGCCAAATGTAGGGGTGTTCGGCCATCTTTCGACTGGGCACTGATCAAAGACGTCAAATCCTTGGAAGAATAATGATCCAACAGCATTCCAACAGTGTTACTCTGGCGAGCCATCGACGCAATGTGCAACAAATTTCGCCCATCTTTGGTGGCAGCAGTAGTATCAGCTCCGTGGAAAATCAGTCTGCCAACGAGAATCTCTGAAACTGAAGCTGCCAAATGAATGGGGAGAATGCCCTGATGGTCAGGAACATTCAGTACGTCACGCAGACCAGCGTCTAAAAGGAGATCGATCGCGTATTTGTCTCCCACATTGGATGCCGCAAAAAGGTGATCAGAGATCTGGCTACACAGCACATGTAGCGGCGTCTGGCCCTTGTGGTTGGCATTAATCGGAGAGGTACCCATTTCAAGAAGCTTAATCATGGTCAGGATAGCTGCATCCGAGGTTTGTCCAGACAAGTTGGCTGCCATCTTGTGCAGAAAATTGTCGCCTTCGTAATTAACCACGGTCGGATCCGCTCCTTGTGCCAGTAGGAATTCCGCGTTCTCAGATCCAAAGTTATATGGCTCAATCATGTAGAACAGAACGCCATTGCCTTTGTGGTCCCGCGCGTTGACGTTGGCCCCACGTTTGATAAGCTCTGGAATCAATTCATGGGCATTATATCGCGGATTACCGTACATGGCCCCGGTGAGCGCTGTACGTCCGTCATAGTCTTTTACGTCAAGGTCTGCACCAGCTGCACACAGTATGTCAAGGATATCCCGCAGATTCTCTCCTGAACCTTGAACCATGTGAATTGGCTGTTGGCCCGAGTGGTTCTTTTGGTTCACGTCCAAGCCAAGCTTCAAAAGCTCACTCACAGTTGCGCTCCCATGGCGATGCGTTCTGGCGGCGATATGGAGAATGCTGTTGCCTTTGGCGTCAATGAGCTTCCAATCCGAGACGTAAGGCTTGAACAAGGATAGATCTCCAAGTTGGCACTTGGATGCAAAGACGTGTAAACAAGTCCCACTTTCGCTGTCCCCTCCGATGTCCAAACGGGTTCCATGCTCCATGAGAGCCTTGAACCATTCTGGGTATTGCAAAGGTTTATGAAAATATGTCAAGGCAGTGTTGCCGGATTCGTTGATGACATTAGGGTCTGCGCCACGCTGTAGAAGAAATTCCACGAGTGCCACTTCTTGGTGCAGACAGGATAAAAGCACTGTTTCACCGTGGAAGTTACGCGCATTGATATCGCACCCAGCATCCAACAAGACCTGCATAAGGTCTTCAAGGCTAGATACATCTACCTCCCCTCGACGGCGGTGCAAGTCCACCACTGCATGAAGAGGAGTATATGCTGGGGGCTTTTGTGCAGCGGCTGGACTCCTGGATTTGTTCAGAGACTTGATAGTGGCATCGGCGCCGTGTTGGAGCAAAAATTTGACAATCGCAGGCTCAGGCCGCCTAGCAGCTAGGAACAAAGGTGTATCGCCATCAACGGTTGCATTGAGATCGCATCGACCCGATTCAATCAGAGCCTGAGCAACAGCTGTTTTGCCATATTGGCAAGATCGACACAGAGCCGCAGTGAGATCAGCAGGCTTTGCTGTGGACACTAGTTCACGTACAGTATCCACTGCATCTGCATCAACCGCAGCTTGGAGTGGTGGAAGCGGCTCAGCCGGCATCTCCCCTGGACTCCCATTACCAGGTCTCATGCCGAAGAGGTTGAACATGGCTCTGTGAAGAAATTATGAGAAAAGCTGAATACCAAGATAAAAGCTCCGTCCGAAAAAATGAGGATATTAGGGGGGCATATCTTGCGAAAGGAGCGAGTCTGATGTCCCGAGGACTCTCGTGTCTAGCGTAGCTAGTTCAGCCTGGCGGCCCAGGCGCAAACACACCAACGACCCTGCCAAGCCGCACTATCAGCCTCTTAACTAAGTTAGCTTAGGCTGCTGCTCGGCTAGCGGGAGTTCTGCCTGGTTGATCGGAGGGAATGATTCATGGAAGAATGTGGCGGATTTCGGCTTGTCGCAATTAATGTACGTTGAGAACAACTTACCTGAATCAAGTTTATTATATTAGTTTGGTCAACGAGGTTTGGCCCCAATTTTCAATGTGACATTATGAGGCTCGGCTATCTATGTGGACACCCTCTGAATGAGTTCAACGGAAGGACATTTTGTCGATCCTGACAATATGTATTCCAGGTTTTTTTCAGTCTGTCACTTCACTTTTCTACACACGGTAACGAGCAGGCTTAGAGAAGCGATACCCAACTCTCAAAGGTCGAACCCAGTGCCAATTATTGCATCCTTCAGAGTGCCAAAAACCAACAATACAACGAGAGACTTCTTCACGACATTCAATCTTCTCACCAAGAGCCTTCGCGATTAGATCGCAGCGAATCAAAAGCTTCCAGCAAAACTCCAGGTACTTAATGAGATCTTCTCCGTTGGAAGGATGAAACGGGTCGTGTGGGATCTCAAGTCTTCGCTTTGCCTCGTAACCTGCAAAGCGCATAACTCTTACTGCAATCTCAACTGGAAGTCCCATTGTAATCAGTATCGCCCGGACGCGGTAAGCTTCTGATACGCTTGGATTTTCCTTCGTGCATGTCTGTGTCTAGGAAGTTCCTGAACGGCAGCGTTCCGGGCCGAGGCATGGTGGGAGATTTCTGACTGTTGATGCCAAAGAACTGACAATGCGGATATGTCACTGCGTATCTGGTGCTTCTTGAATCCATGCATCTTTTGAGCATACTTTGATACATCTTGCTATCGCGATAGTCGCTATTCTTGATTTTACCCGCTGTCGCATCCCATAGCTCCGGAAAACAACATAGCACATTCAGACCCATGTAGACTGTAAGGGCCGTTTCGTAGACTCGGTTCCACCCACCTTCACGATGGTCGCGACACTAGGTTCATAGGTTATGAATTCATGGAGTCTGATGAAGGGGCCTCCAGGAGAGCTTACCATATCATAATTGAACAACCAAACTTTCAAACGAGTAGTGGGATGCGCACAAAGTCCGAATAGTGTTTCCATCTTCCCGTATGACAATTAAAACTGGACCAGCTCGAGGGCATAGTAGCCAAATCTCTCATCCTCTCTATAATCGTAATATTCGGGATAATTGATAGGGCATCGCCTATCTGATGGTGCATATATCCAAGTAAACGCAGGAATTTTCTCTGCTCCTCTGGGAAAGAAGTACACTGACAGTAATCGGGGCCCACTCATCCACGTAGGCAATGATGTTCATGACAACCTCGATACCATCGACGACTAGTACGCATCGACAAACCGCGGGGGTGATTCACTTAGCAACGGCCTTGTCAAGTACAACTTTTGAATCTTGAGGCCGTTCATATGTCTCGGGGTATTTCTTGCGCTCCATAATTGCTTGATCCTCGATGGTTTTCGCGAACTCCTCAACAAAGAGACTGAATTCTTTCCCCCCGGCCACGCTTCATGCAGAGGTGTAAGTTTGCGGCTTTGCATTTACAGGCCCCCCGTGGAATCCATTGGAGGTTTGATGACAGGAGATGCGAAATTTTGTCTGTCTGGTGCGCCCTACTGATGAATCGGTGTAGGTTTGAAGATGTAAGTACGTCTTGTCGGAATCTTAATTAATCAGTTCGAATGAAGTCATGATATCAGTACTGCCTCATTCTGGACGACTGCTAGTCAACGCGCCGCGACCCAAATTGGCAATTAGCCACAATAAACAATGATAGAAGACAGGAGTAAGATTGATCAGGTGATCTCGCATAACCTATTTCTGTTGAAAGCCCACATACCAAAACTACAGCCTGGCATTCTATTCAATCTCGCATTAATGCCATTCTGGGGATCTTGATTATGGGTAATCGATACCCTCGTTTTATTCTTGATTAATATATCAAAATTATGCCCTCTCATCCATCGAAGTCGGTAAGATGGCCGAGTTGGTCTAAGGCGTCAGGTTAAGGTTCACCTTAACATAAAATCCTGATCTCGTTTACGGGGCGTGAGTTCGAATCTCACTCTTATCACTCATTTTCATTTTTGGTCTTTCCCCTCACAAGGGGAAGTTTTTTTGGCAGCAATGATCTAAACTCATGGAGATATTGCCTTCGTCACTATTATTGTTTTCGGTTTTTTTTTCCAACCGCAGTTAACTTGCAATACATAAGTTACCACTAAATAAATGAGTACATTATGGTGGATGTTGACACTTCGGACTGGCGAACAATTACAATTTAAGGTAGTAGTAAAAGTACAGACTACAGAAACTCACAGCCCTGTGCCTGTACACTTCCATAAATCCTTTCTATAATGCAACTCGCTATCTACCCTGTTCGAAGTGTTCTAGGAGGCTCCGACTGGGGATGAGAACGCGGGCACCCCCAGCGTCACAACACCCTCAATATGCCCTCGCACTCCGCTCCACGACCACTCGACGTTCGAGATTTTCCGATCCCGTCTTTCCTATAGTATAAAAAGAAATTCTGAGGTTTGTATATTCTCTGTCTCAATAAGTAATCAGTTCATGATCCATGAAAACTACTTCTAAACCTAGTGTATTAACCTGCGACCGGAACCCCCAGGAATATATTCCATGGGAGGAGGGCAAGTCGGGTCCTACAAACAAAAGATCCACAAGAAAAAGAAAAACTGACCTATATCATCAAAATTCCACTTGGACCATATACATATGGAATTGTACATAGATCAAATTCCATCTACCTATACCCTGTGTAGATCCAGGTCTGTGGAAATCTACAAAATACGCGTAAACATACCAGGTACATGATACCTAACCTACTCCGTACATGAAGCCCGGTATGGAAAGTTCCCCGTACCCGCCGAAAGATCGAACCAAGGGCGCAACTCGGGCGCCCGATTAGATAAACCAAAGCACATTAATCCGTGGAAGATAGGGAGCCTACTGTAGGCCGATTGTATACTGTAAGTAAACCTTTACCGAGTTATCGGGTACATAATTTACTGCCCCTGATACGACACCTGTCATAAGGGGATGGGAAAAAACACGTTTTTCGATAGCGGCTCGCCATCAATCAAACTAGTCGTCCATACAGTATTTAGTACATTTAGTATCCTATATCCGTACATTGTAAAGCCAGTCGGTATTAGCGTGCTAGTGATCGGCCCTTCACTCTGCAGGTGAGTGGGGTACGGCGTCGAGTCCGGGGTAAAGTGCGGATTACAGGACGGCATACGGCATACGCTACTTGGTTGGGTACGTAACAGTGTGCTCCGTACTAAACGGGGTTTTTGGAGCTATCATAATGTAAATGAAGATTATTATACGAAGAAATGTACGAAAGGAATTTTAGGTATCCAGGTACCGTCGTTTAAGCTTAACTCAGCCACGGGAAAAATACACAGAACGCATGAAAGTTCGGACGTTTAACCATACTATCTGTCAAGCAATACCGGGGATCCTAGCCCTGAACTAATCATGAAAAGTCCAGATAAGAGGTACATCAGAAAGGAATAAAGTGGAGAAGAGATTCGCGGAATTGAAAATAGGCATTAAAGTCCGCAGACAAAACATCAGCGGCCTCGCCTACTCAAGGCAAGGGCTAGCGTCTCGTTAACAGACCGAAACACATACGTTTCACCTGCGCAGAAAGCAGGAATCATCAGAGAACTGCGCCACGGAAATAGAAAACGACAAGCAAGAGACGAACACCATTTTCCCATCTCATAACACAAACAGACAATCGCTCAAGAACGGCAAAACAGCGGACATCAACCCAAGGTTGGCTTAGTTGACACGGAAGGCATCGAAAATGACTGCACGGTAGTTAGTAAATCTTGGTCTTCGATCATGGGATCAAGCAATTGAACATACCTTCTTGCCCACGGCGGCATCCGCTGCCAACCCACATAAGGGTATTCAGGAATGTGTACCGCTCATCACCAGTTTCCATAGACAAGTTGATGCGGTACTTGTAGCTGCTAGGGTTGATACCATCAGCCATAGCAGGGTCATTGACTTTCTCAAGAACATCTTTGGCTCCAGTGAGCCATCCCTCGGCGCGGACGATCACATATGCGGGTGGCTCGTCGGCAGTTTGCAGCATGTAGCTTGCGCGCAGGTTGGTAGTGAAGTCCTTGGTGACGATCTGAGTATCTTGACCACCGGGCTGTATTCATTTGTATTAGCATTGCGAAATCACCCGATAGAGAAAGTAATAAAAGAAAAAAACTTTGGTGGTAGTGACTTACCAGAACAATGCCCTTGCCCCAACGACCAGCCCACTGGCCACCAAGGAACGAAACCCATTCCCGACCACCCCAGATGCTCTGTCCGACGGTAACCTTGGGGTTCATCTTGATGCTCATGCGGAAGTCCAGCTCCAGCGTCGGGGCGGGGATCTGCAGTGATCGTGCAACGTCACCCTCGGGGAAAGTGTGTAGCAGGTTGTTTGCGGGGATCGAGTCCTTCATTACACTGAGGTAAGTGGGGCACTCAAGCAGGTGCTGGCGCTGACGACTGGTATTCTTGGCGCGAACTTGTTGGCAGTAGATGCACTGAACAGAGAGGCACTGTTTTTGATCATGTCAGTGAACTAATCCTCCACTTGGCATTGTTCAGGCAATCTTACCTTATCCTCCTCCTTAGCGCGGAACTCAACAAAGGCCGCATGCACATCGTCCAGCGGCGGCGCGGGCAGATTGGAGCCGGCGTTCTTAACTTTCGGCTTCGGGGTTGGACGCGACGGCGCAGCGGATGGTGGTGCGGAACCGGGAGGACCAGTTGGCGGGCCCGGGGTGGCCATGGGAGGACGGCTCAAGCTTTGGAGCGGGGTCTGCAACGGGGTCGCATGAGGATTGACGCCGTTCGCCATCAAGGCACCGTTGGGAGTCGGCATGGCGGAAGGATTACCAGGGCCGCCTGGAGTGGCCGTCGGGCCATTGGGGGTGCCGGGGTAGCCATTGCTAGGGCCAATGCCATTGGGAGCCTGGGAAGGTTGATTCGGCTGGGGCGCGTTGGGGTGACCACGAAGACCGGGGCACTCAAGGAGATGCTGTTTCTGTCGCGAGGTATTCTTTGCACGAATCTGCTGGCAGTAGATGCACTGGACGGAGAGGCACTAGATGGTAGAAATGACCGAAACGGGTCTCGTATGTTAGTGACTGGTAGTGTTGTGGGTTTGAAATATTACGAAATACGTAAGTCACGCACCTTGTCATCTTCCTTGGCGCGGAACTCGACAAATGCCGCGTGCACCTCCTGGTCGACGGTGCGACCCATGGTGGGCAGGAGAGGAGGTAGATGAAGAGCCTCGAGAGTAGATGGGGAGAAAATATTTGAAGACGCGTACGATACGCGACGATGGGAGGTTTTTTATTTTCGGGGTGAAGATTGATGAAGACGCGGGTGGGTGGGGTGGGAGAGGTTCTGATGGTGTTTGGGAGAGAAAGAGAAGGGGAAGAAGAAATGGAAAGACCAAGACGAGATTACGAGGACGAAGAGCGGGACGAGGCGGATTACGAGTAATGAGCCCTGCGTAACTTGGAGACCGGGCGTATTCCGGGTAATCGGTAATTTCACGTGTACCGAGTACCGACACATCAGGGAAATAATATACCAGCCATATACTATGATACTACTGTATGCAATGGATTCTGTAGATAATTCAACATTAATGGTATCCTCTATTCTTAATTATAGACTGTTATATTCTCCTTCCCTTAACCCGCATCATCATGCCGCGTGGCCCCTCAACTCACACTCGCTCTTAGGCCTCCCTCATGACATAAAAAACAGACTGACCAATAGACGATTACGGGCATCACGCCGTGTCCCCCCCAATAAGACACCCAAAAACCATATCAATAGCCAAGCTAATATCAATGCTAAACCATGAAATCAAGCTATCTCGTTCACAAAAAACTCCCAATCCTTCCAATTCCTTGATAGCTGTCTGTCGAGCGAACTCCCCCGCCAAGCAAGCCCTTTCCGACCAGGCGCGTTCGGTTAAACTGCTCCTGGGCCGCACACCGGCGAGCCTGATGAGAAGGCAAAGCGAAAAGAAGCGATAGGCGCGTGGGATATGCGAACCATCAATGGGGAAAGAGAGGAACAAGAACGAGAACTATAACCTCGTGAAAAGAACAGAGCTCTATATAATTCCAAGAACTGCATCACGCAATAACGTACCACGATCTATTGTTTTCTATTGTTCTGTTCTTAGGGCAGGTATTATTACTTTCCATACTGCAATCGCTGTATCGTTCCAAATGTTTGCCCCCGTTCCTGTATCCCATACGCGATACTGTCAATGTTCCGGTTCCTGGTAAGTAACGCGAGGCCGGTATCATCGATCTATAGATCTTAGATCTTGAATTCGATCATGCACGTTTTATTCATGATTCAAATGACTTGCCATTGAGTCTGATTAATGATAGTTCTCCATCTGAAAACCACTCAACTGAATCACTCCCGGCCCCCTGGCCCCCGTGCTCCACCATCATAATGCTAAAAATATCTGCCAGCACACCACCACCACCGCTTGGGTTATCAGTCTGTATCTGGAGCCATAAAAATAACGAATGAACCCACGATCCCCGATCTCGGCCCAGACTAGCGCCCGACTCACCGAGATCTTGATAAGATCTGGCAGGGTCACCCGAAGATGCCCCGTACGAGCACGGAGATGACACGACGAAGATGGCAAGTAAAAATGAAAATTCCAGTAAATGTCGAAAAGAAAAAAAGAGAAAAGAAAAAGCAAGATCGCCATCTCATGAGATCACATGGCCCCCCGAAAAGAACTTAAAGAAGTAAATCATCGACCCGACTACGCCAGACGCACCCCTCCTGAAACACGTTCTCAAATTCCAGCCCCAGCCCCAGCCCCAGTCATCCGCAGCGAAATATCACCATGCTGAAAGCGAATGCCCCAAGTGCCAGCACCCAAATCAGTGCACGACTCCTGCGACACATCCAGAACACCCTTCGTCGCGAGCGTGAGCACATTCATGAACCCATGTGCCGCAACGATGCGCGTGGTCTCGGTCGGCGGGAGTAGCTCCGGGAATGTAATAACGCCCGGCTTGGTGGATGCGGACTCGTCGAGCTTCATTTGAATGAACTCGAAGAAGTTCAAACTCTCTGTATCCAGACTCGATGTGATACGGTCGATCATGGACTTGCGCCGCGCCGTGAGTGTGCTGATATCTTCGTTGTCGGGGGCGAGCTCGCCTTCCAGGTATTGCGTGATGTCTAGCTGCTCGAGCTCGCCTAGGTCATCGCCTACATTGGGGATGGACAGGCTGCTGTGACGATCGCGTCCAGCTAGTGGACTGGCGCTGATGAGACGACCGCGTGGTCGAGCAGAGGATCCGGAGATGCTGCCGAAGCGCTGGCCTCGGACGGAGCCCTGCAGGGAAGCTGTGATGTTCCATGGCATTTGGGAGGACCGATCATCGTATACGCTGGATGGGGCCTGTCGACCGATTTCCACGTCTAGCGTCTGCTTTTGACCGGAATGGCCAAGCGCGCCGTGTGACTGTTGTTCGTCGTTTTCATCGGGTTCTACTCGGTGACTGTGCTTCTCTCCAGGGACTAGGCTGTATAGAGCATCGCCCGAGTATTCCTTGAGAGGACCGTCTTCGCGGCGCTGACCCAGTCCCATACCAACGGACCCGATTCCCAAACCGAAGACCCAGAAAGCCGCATTCTTCTTTGCCAGGGTGGGCAATTTGTTCTGCTTTTTCAGCTTCGTGGCATGGGCCATGTTGGCCGAATACTCGTCATTCCACTTGGCCAAATCCGTGTTGCGCAAGGTAGTACTGTCGTCTGAGATGATATTTTTGACTTGTCGGATCCGCTGCTGGGCGCGTACTTCCCCGGTACGCTCGATCTCACCATCTTCCATCAAACGATCCTTTGGAGACAAGGCGTTGTTGTTCTCAGGATCTTGTGGTCCGGGTTGAGCGTTGATCTCCATTCCGTCGTCCATCATTGGCAGCGGGACCTCGTCAACTGCGCCCTCTTGAACATCTTCACCAGCAGGACCTTCCAATACCCCGTGCTCTGGGCTAACCTTCCTCCTCTTACTCGGCGATAAATGGCTCGCATCAAACTCAATAATATTACCATCCTCATCAAACTCAAAGTCAGGCTGAAGCAGGACACCCTCATCATTAAGGTCTTTACCAAGGAATTCTCTCTTCTTTCCCGAGGTGAGGGTATCCGCAAGATTGAGGTCCTGCACATCACCCTCTCTGATGAGGTCGTACGTCGGTAGCTCAAGCTGGATGACCCCAATCTGGGAATTGGCAGATTGGCTGGTAGCAGGTGACGAAGTCAAACTACCAGATCGCTGCGTCGAGCTATCATCGCTCATCACATCGAACAAGGCGAAGTTGAGGTCTAAACCGGGGAGGCCCGTTTCAGGGAGGAAGGTTGGGTCGTACGGGAGGATAAGACTGGTAGGCCTTGGGAAGGAGTTAGCGAACTGACCGCAATAGCTTTTTTTTGAAACCGTCTCTCAATTGATCCTCAACTCACTTGGTCTTTCCAGCACTAGGATCCAAACCTCCACCCGGTAGTTGCTTCAACATAGTAACCATCTTATCACGCATCATCTGCGCATCGAGCAGAGTATACCCGCACTGCTGGTCATATACCCTCGAGACTCCATATCTATTCAGAAGACAAGGATGGTGAGAATGTTAAATCACCCAACGGGACAAGATGAGTATCAACTTACAGCAGGCTCCCCTGCAGTCGCAGCGCCATAGGAGCTTCAGGATTGACGATGACACTGCAAGCACCGGGTACATCCACGTCCAGTATGGCCTTACGGTTGAGTCTTCGAGTGATGGAGCGCGAGCCGAGAGTCGCAACGAGCCTGTTGTTATTAGTTGATTTTTATTGTATCTCGGGTTTGGCTGTGTGGGGATGCGCGCACCATATCGTGGCTACGCCGTGCTCTGGCGATGTGAGGACTATTCCCGTTGTTTAGTTTCACGAATAATGAACAGCGATGTATGTTTACCAGGTTACGACTCACTTTCATGACTGTAGAACATTTCGGGGGGAGCGCCAACTCAGGGCGTGATGGCGACTCGGGGCTGTGAGATACCTCAGTCGCGGATCGGTGTGTTGGGGAAGGGAAAGAATCCTTGCACGAGTTGTGCGAAGATTTTGGGTTGGAAAAATCTGGGAAGAGAAAGGAGAGTGGAAGGGAAAGAAGCGTGGTAAGACGAAGGAGGGAAGTTGTATGTTGGGGGGTGATGAGATGAGATGAGGGACAGCGCCAACCATAGGAGATGGACACTGGTGACACTTCCAAGACCCAAAGCAGTCATCCTCCATGGCAAGTTTGTTCATGGTTGGTAGCTTACGATCATGGCAATCGTCTGGACCACAGAGCCCGTGCTTGATGCCTACTCGTCACTATATCTCTTGGGAATATTGAATATCTCAGAGATAGGATAGCGTAGTCTAAGTGACGGCGCAGAGATACTTTTAACCAAAAGTACATAGACATTGCTAGCCAATCAACATGTCTGCTAGTCAAAGAACGTCTCATTTCCTTTGTCTATATCTATAGCCATGAGAGCCTTAGTGTCATCAGCTAGCTATATCAAGAGATGATGATCGGCGCTTCACTGATGCAGATAGAATTTAGAAAAAAATTACTTTTATGCTATGAACTCTCGCATCGCATCTAAAAGACACTCGCAGCATGAGAATAAAACCCACAAGCACATAGGAAAAGATCACGGAAAGGGGGAAAGAGATATAGAAAAAGGAAAATCCGCAGTCAAATGGAATCTAGAGGTAAAAAACGGACAGACACCGACAATCCACGAAACTCTTTGATCGGAAGATAAAACATAAACAAGGCCTAGGAAAGAACATCCAAGACAGGACGTGATAAATAGTGTAGATAGATCCAACAGAGACAAACAACAACATCCGTTACAAAAAGGGTTCACAGGCCGCAGCAGCACAACACGAGAATTCTCCAATCCATCCGTACAAAACAGCATACCATAGCGACCTTATAAGATGCACGCGGGGTATGAGACAAAGATATGCGAGGATGACGCTCACAGGACGACCTTTAGCTTTATTTCGAGCTGGAAGGGGACGCCGATACTAAGATCGGCGCCAGATCGAGCTCACAGGGCCGGGGAATTTACTCCAGGGGGATGCCCTCGTACTCGGAGTAACCGAGAGCCAGGTTCATGTTCTCTGTTGGGATGAATTAGTTAAGAGTTTCATCTGATAGAAGGAGATTGTAGGGTACTTACGCAGGCACTGAGTAGCGGCACCCTTGAGGAGGTTATCGATGGTGGCGCAAACAACAACACGCTTGCCGCTGGAGTGCACGGCGAAACCACCAATCTCAACGCCGTGACGGCCAGCAATGTCCTTGACGAGGGGAGCCTCGCCAGTGATCTTGACGAGCTTCTCACCAGCGTAGCGGTCCTGGTAGATGTTGCGAATATCGCGGGAGGTCATCTCCTTGCTCAGGGGGATGCTGATGGTGTGCTGGAGAAATAGTTAGTACGCTATTCGCGGTCTGGCAGGTTTCATTCTAAACTTACGGAGATACCCTGGAACCAGACGGCAACGTGGGGGATGAAGGCGATGCTAGTACCCAGCTGGGCACTGATCTCACGCTCGTGGATGTGGTCCGTCAAGCTGTAGGGGATGATGTTGTTGGTGAGGAACTGGACATCATTCTTGGGGCTGGGCTTGGTGCCGGCACCGGAGTAGCCAGAGACACCAAAGGTGGTGGGCTGGCCCCCAAGGAAGGGCACAAGGGGAGCAATGCCGAGCTGAGCAGCAGTGGCGTAGCAACCGGGGTTAGCAATGCGGGTGGCACGGGCAATCTTGGAACGGTCAACAAGCTCGGGCAGACCGTAGGTCCAGTTGGAGTCGAAGCGGTAATCGGCGCTCAGGTCAACAATAACGTTGCCAGTCTGGGAGCCCTGGTCGACAGCCTCGACGAAAGGCTTGCAGACGCCGTTGGGAAGAGCCATGACCCAGCAGTCGATGTCGCCGTTGGCGGACATCCGGCGGACATCCTCGGGGCTCAGGTTCTCGTAGATGATCTCACGCTTGTCATAGCCCTGGAGCTTCTTGCCAGCCAGCTCGCGAGAGGAGACGTGGCGAAGATCCATGTTGGGGTGGGCATTGAGCAGGTTGATCAAAGCCTGGCCAGTGTAACCACGGGCACCGATGAGGGCAACCTTGGCGGGCTGGGGGTTGGAGGCGTTCTTCTCACCAAGGGGAGGGTTGGGGTTGGTGGTGGAGTAAGCGCGGGTAGCGTTGACGGCAACGGCCGGACGCTTCATGCGAGAGGAACGCAGAGCGTTGGAGGTGGAGGAGAAGGCGCGCTTCTGCTCGGCGGAGGCACCGCTGGCACCGAAGCCCTTGTTAATGTTGATGGCGGCCTGGTGAGCACGGTGAAGACGGTGCTCCAGGTTGATGTCACCGAACATCTGGCGGCCGTGCTTGGTGAACTCCTGGACGAGCTGCTTAACCTCGTCGCCGTTCTCAGCACCATACCAGAACAGAACCTCGCCATCGCGGCTGAGGCTGCCCTCGGCCTTGTCGAAGAACCAGGTCAAGTTCTCGTCGTCCTCCTTAACGGTCCAGGCCAGCTTGGGGAAGTCCTTCTTCAAGCTAGCGAACACGTTGTCAGCCACGTTGGTCAGCCAGCCCGACTTGGTGATGGTGAATGTAGCCAGGTGGGCCATCAGAGAACCCTCCTGAGGAGGCAGAACAACGGCCAGAGCATCCATGGGGTCATCGTAGTAGATCTTGAAGTCCCGCTCCTTCATGCCCTCAACGTAGCGGTCGACAACGGCACGAGCATCGAGTCCCTCACGGTCACGAACCAACACATCCTTCAAACCCTGGAGATCGCCGAACTCGGCCAGAGAAGTCTGAACGTTGATCTTGTTACCGCGACGGATCAGGGTGCCGGCACCGGAGTCGGTGAACAACTCCTTCTGAAGATCGGCAGGGTGAATGATAGCGACGCTGGACGAGCGGGGCAGGTCGCTCAGAAGCTCCTTCATCTCCTTGATCTTCAGGCGAGTGCCGTGACGAACCCACCACTGAGTCATCAGGTGGTCGTACTCCTCGTCCAGGTTAATGGCGGAGATCTTCTCGCCAGTGTCGCCATTGAACAGACCACCCTTCTCGGCGAGGTAGACAATCTTCAATGGCTGCAGAGCGCGGGCCAGCTCACCAGCAGCCACATCGGCATTGACATTGAGCACCTGACCATCGGGGGTTTCGGCCATGGAGGTCAGGATGGGCAGGCAGCCGGCGGCAATGGCAGCCTCAATGGGCTTCTTATCAACGCCATTGATCTTACCCACCAGATTATACTTGGGCTTGTCCAGGTAATCGGCCGAAAACACACCGGCGGTGATGGGCCGAGCACGGATACCCTGACGCTCCAGCTCCTCCACCAGCTTCATGTTCTCCTCCAGGAACAGCTTGCGCGCCAGCGACAGAGTCTTACCATCAGTGACTCGAATTCCATCCTCAAACTGGGGCTCGACACCAGCAGCCTCCAACATGCGGTTAAGCTGGGGACCGGCACCGTGGACGACGATCGGGTACAGACCGACATGGTTCAGGAAAGCGAGGGCGGACGACAGGGTCTGGAGGTGCTCGGTGATGATCGCACCACCAACCTTGATCACGGCGAACTGCTGGGAGGAGACGGAGGTGAAGTGGGACAGGTACTGCTGAACCTCGCGCTTGGAGCCGATGTTGCTCAGCAATTGGACGACGGTGCTGCGAGTCGAACTCGGCTGGGAGTCGGTGCCGCGCGAGTAGGATCGGCTTTGGCATGGAGGAGTGGTCGCAGTACGGGCAACGGCACTCGCTCGCAGAGGCGAGACGGAGTGCGGTGCGGAGAGCGATCGGAGGGGCTTGGTGGAAGCTCTCCGCACAGCGGAGCGAAGGGACAGCATTTTGGTCACCAACATGCGGCAGCTTCAATTGAGACTTCGCGGCTTGCCGGGGGAAACGTCCCCTTGTTGTAGAGCTGGTTAAGAGGAGTGGAGAGAGGTGTTGAGGGCAACAGAAGAGGAGAAGGAAGAGGGAGGAGGAAGAAGTGGAGGGGAGGGAGATCGAGAAGGGCGATAGTGTGACTAACAACCTTCTCTGCGAGATTTTACAGTCGGCCGGGCCTCGGAGTCCCACTTCATCCAATAGAACCGATGACGGGGGTAGGGCGGTGTCCCCTTGTTAGGGACTTAGTAGAGCGATTTATTATATTCGCCCATCTTTATTCCCCTCATAGAGAAGATTAAATATACGAATCAGATCAGATAAAGAGTTAGGGTTCAATTCGAAACAGTTTCTACTTATACACCAGTTCTCTTCAATTGAACATATTGATCACGACTCTCTTTACCGGATCCTCTCGTTCCGTTGGGAACACACCAAACAAAGTTCAGACTCTGCACACCTCCTCTTGTCCCTTTTCCTCATTCTCCAATAATCATAGTCAAACCTCGGAAACTCCAAGCGAGTTAAGATCCTCCGAGAAATTAAAACAAACCCACTATCCACACGATTATCGCCGGAGATACCCTTGCAACGTCATCCGGCTTCGGTCTAGTCTCGGTTATCTGATCCTCTCCGCGCTTCTTACTCGTCATTACCCTACGCCTCTATCCACTTCCTCCACCCTTCGTGTCTTAGTGTCTGTCCTTTGCCGGGGCCAGCTTCGCTTCATTCCGACCGGTCACGCACGAGGTTTGCTTTCGATGCGCTGTTCGGGTCCTGCATGCCCTAGAGGTGGACTGACTCGTGGCTTTGTGCCAAGGTAATTCTGCAAGAAGCGGGCCACACCGCACACCGCGAGTTGGATCCGTGATTTGAACTGGCGCGAGGCCGTATAAGGACTGGTTCTCCGTCCAGACGAGGGAAGGTGAGTGTGGAAGGGATTAACTAGATCGAGTGGATCAGATTGTAGGACCCATAGGTAGGTGTGGTAAGAAGATATTGGGCGTATGGATAGGCTAAAAGGTTCATTGGGCCATAAAGACAAGTGTAAAATGCCAAAAGCGCATAACAGACAGGAAACACACACTCGACGTCGCAAATCGTACTGATCACATCAAGCAGGAGTCAACAAAACACGACATCGCAGCAGTATCATTTACATCTTCACCAGCCACAGCACAGCAGAGCGGGGGAGGGAGCTCTCTCATCCCAAATACAAGTGGAACCCTGAGAATTATCGAGGTCTCGTTTCGTCACAGGCGCAGGAGATATCAAGTGAAGTTGGTCATTCAAAACACGCCCAAAACAAAACAGCAGGAGGTATTAGCGGCTGGGAAGAAAACGACGGAGCTCCAGGGCCTCGCAACGACAGTAAAAACCCGGTAAAGACATCTCAGAATCCTCCCATGATTCCCATTTCCAAAATCAAAAGCACAAAATTCGTGGAGCGATGCAGGTGCACGTTTAGTGGTATTTTACGGCAACTAGAATATCCAGGCGATCGAGTTAGCGGTCCACTTTCTGAAAAATATCTGGTGCTCGCTCTCTCCTTTTCTCCTCCTTCTTTCCGTTCTTCCGCATGGGCGAGGGACTTACCAGGCACGATGATAACAACCAGAAGCACGATCACGCAAATCACCAAGCATACGCGCATCTTCATATCCTTCCACCACATCTGCTTGCGCACACGGTTGGCGCCCCGACGGAATCCCTGGGCTGATACAGCCAGGTTGTCGGTCTTGTCCTGGAGAGAGTCAAGGCGCTCACCACGCTGGGAGACCTTGTTGATGTTCTCGCGCATCACACCGACAGTGTCGTCAATTTGCTGGAAGAAGAGTCACGTCAGTTTCCCATGTTGCCACACCTGTCTATCGAGGCCGTCTGTCTTTGGGACCGGTGATCGACATGCCACCGCGCGACATCCATACATGGAAGCGGCAATGCCTGTACATCTCTGATCCCATGAAGAGGCCCCTCGACAGACGAAAGAAGGAGAAAACTAACCGCCTGCAATGCGGCCGTGCGCTGGTTGCCATTCTGTTGCGCAGAGGCGCCACCGGGGGCACCGCTGCCGCCAGCGGGAATATAAGGGTCGTAGGGGGCTTCAGAAGACATCGTGAAAGTCGGAGCTTATGTGAAGGATCTTAGACAGAGGGTCGTAGAACGTCGGCGGAAGACCGGGCTACCTCGTGGGCTGCAGTCAAGGTCGCTTTGTTTGGAAACAGGGGAACCACGGAAAGCTGGTCGCCTGGGAGACGGTGATAGGACAGAGATCGAGGGTACGAGATCAGATTTCGAAAGCAGATCGCTAGGTTTGAGACGGGAAGATCGTTGCGAGAAGACAGGGAGGAGGGACGAGGTAGAGGTGATGATGGATGGGGAGGAGTAGTTGTGGCGTGGATGAACGCCTCTTGCTGACACTCCTCCTCCTCGCACGTGATCACGGGGATAAAAGAGTAGCCTGCCAAGTCCTTTGATTCGTGGCGAGAGGGCAATTATTCAGGCTTAGTTAATTACTAGAGCTCGGGCTGGCTATTCGGAAGGCTGGAAACCGAAAATTTGAATATTGACCATAGGTTACGGCCATTGACGTTGCTGGAGAGGGAAATGAAGATCAATCTACTACAAACAACTGCTGTTGCAGTCTGCTAGTGACGGTCGCGCAAGGAAATTTGTGTCTACAAAATAACTGATGCATTAATAGAGATTCTCTTTTTCTATTCCAATTATGCCGGTCCATGATTTTTTTCCCATCATTCTATCGGCACTATTGATGACTTATTTGGCTGCCTACTGCCTTACTCGGCTTTGGCACCACGTAGCGCGAGTTGCTGAAGGAACAAGTCTATTCATAGTAACATGCTCCGGGCCTCAGGCAGGCCGGCAATGATAATCCGTGGACCCTGATGCACCCCGGAACCCGACGGCCTGACTGCCGTTTCCTCCGAGATAGTATTCACTGAGGTATCGATAGATGGCTATGATGATTCTCACAATATTGGGAAGTGCTTAATCTTTCGTAGGTTGGGTCAAACCGAGTACGTCCTTATCAAGTCACGTTATTGCCTGAAATATGAGGCACTGACTCAGTCCCACGAGATATCAGCAGTCACAAAATACCTTGTACGTTGACCAAAGAGGAAAACGTAGAAGTTGATATCTCCAGACACACATATATGCAAACATCTTCCAAAAATTGCTGGACGTTCTCACGGGAATCTCCTGTTGCAGACATGAACCTGCATATCCTACCCTCTTCAATATTTACTGGCCTAAGCCCGAGTCATATGGCTATGCGTGTACAATAAGAATGCTTTGGCTTGAAATGAAATGAGAAGTTCATGCCATTTCGAAGAGTAAAAATGGAGGAAATGGAATCTTCTGGAGTTGCTGCTCTTCCATGCGGCACAATGTAGAAACAAGAACCCCGGGAATCAATAGTAAGGGCCAACTCCATCGATCAGACATCACCGCTCCCCAAGCTCCTGGAATTCCAAAACTAATGAGAAAACCTCCTTGATAGTTCTCATGTCCCACACCAGAATCTGGTGTTTTGTCATGTGGGCCGGCAGATGGTCTTCACAATGCGAAATTCAAACCCGAACGAGCTGGAAGTTTGTCAAAATAAGCACGCCAACGCGAAAGAGAGTAACCCGTGCAGGGCATAGTCTCAAGACTGGATCTTGGAAGTTTCAGCGCTCTTTTAATGAGCTCAGGTTGAGGTCTCATCCGGAGAATCGGGCTTTGTGAGCACCATCTCCTTCATGCGATCGATGACCTCCCAGATGTTCTCGAGAGACTCTTTCATCGCGGCTACGTCGTCTTTGATTTCGCGAATTTTATTCTGCGCGTCTTTCACTTTTTTCACCGTGGCGTCCATTTCTTGTGACAGGTCCTTGCTTCCGTCCGTGCTGTGTTCGCTGGGCAGGTCTTCGCTATGTTCGGTGGGTAGGTCCGCACTCTCGTGGCTAATGCCGTTGCTGGCTGAGGGTTCTTCCATCGTGACATCCATATCTTGTACCAGGTCCTTGCTACCGTGGTCGTTGCTCTCACTGGGCAGGTCCGCGTTCTCATGATTTATGCCGTTGCTGGCTGGGGGTTGGGTCGTGGGATCAGGTTGGGTGGAGGATGAAGCCATTATAAGTTTTTTGCAGGGCAAGATGGAGGCAGGCTTGGATCGTAAGACGGCAGAGGGGATAAAAAAAAGTGGTTGGAGGAAGTTGCAATAGTGATTGTAATGGTTAAGCTTTTGTAGGAAGTAGGATGAATCGTGGGAGATATCATTTGCCTCAGGGCTGCCAACCCAGGAAATTTCCACCTCGCAAGGACACCGGGAGTTCTATGGCAAACAAAGCAGCCTAACTCTCTACTATCTTCTACGACTCGCCATGGAAATAAAGAGGAGCTTCCTATATGTTCTTGTCAACTTGCAAGGCTCAACTTTGCTTCCCTAACCTCTATATATAACAACAGGCTTACCTGAGTCTTGCTGGACTGAAATTTGCTTCACTCACAACCAATCCATCTCTCAAGTTCCCAAAGCCTCGATACCTAGGACATCTTGGTGAGGCCTCGTGAAGCTCTACAACGCCTTCTCTCTTTTCCACTCTTGCAGTTTTGACTCTCACCCTATCACCATCCTCTATCCCCTTCCTGAACTAAAAGAGAGATAACACTGACAAGATTCAGCATCAGTGATGAGAGGCAGCAAATCAGCCATGTGCTTGAAAGACTACACCCCTTCGTCGTCGTCACCCTCCTCCTCCTCCGCCTACATGATCCAGCACGCCCTTCATTGGACAGCCGTGTAGGTCTCCTCGAAGCCGAGAACAAAGAGCTTCACAAGCTGTTGGATTCAGCCTCTGAGGCTATCCTGGCTATGCCCGACATCTCGTCACGATGAAAGAGACAATGGCATATATCCGAAAGGAACTCTAAATGGAGATAGCGCTGCTTGAAAAGGACCTCCTCACCGACATGCGTCTGTATTTACAAGCCCATCGCAGCTTCGTGTTGCTGGCGGACATGGGGCTGAGAGGAAAAGAGTCGGGAGATATGGCCGTTTCCATCTGGATACATCTAGATGTGAATGCAATCCTTGAGCCTGGGAAACACGATGATTAGCTGTTCCTATACTACGTTGATATCGGGGATACCCAGCGCGCTGTCCACCAAGAGCGGCTAATCGCAAGGTCCAGTAAACCCCATCGAGGCACCATTCGTGGATTTCAAAAGACGGCGAGCGTTACTCCACGTGATCCTGAAGACACTGGCTTTGAACAGGCGGCGAGTTTGTGAAGGCGATGGTGAAAATGGGGCGTCAAGATTGACATGCAAAATGGAGATGAATCAGACACGCGTGGACGATCAGGGCTTGAGATTGGGCTTGCTTTAAGTTGTGAACTTCAAAGAATGCGCTTGCTCTTATTGAGGATTATCAATATCCGCCCCAGGCTTCTTGGAATACACTATTATGAAAGCACAAAATATAATAGCTTCTCTCGATTTTTGTAGATGATCAAAGTAATTTCTGCATGATTGGATAGAAGAGCACCTACCTTATTAAGCCACAGGAATACCAAGCAACGTTTTTCATTGGTGATCCTACTTGATTCTTGTTCTTCGATGTCATCTGAAATAAGAACCGGCATCAAAATCCCCTTCCATATCCGAAGCCCAAACCCGCCGCCATTCAATAATTCATTTGCCCAGTAGGAAAAAAAAGCAATATTTTTTTTCAAGTTAAACCACCGAAACTCAAGATTAATTCAATGCAGAGCATGTTGATAATATGTCCAGCAGCGATGACGAGGGACGAAGAGCCTCAGGGACCACCCTTACCATCACCAAAACTCACAGATCTCCACTGTCCTCTTCCATGTGATCCGGAGGCATAGCAGGCAAGCTACACGAGAACTTGAAGAATGCCTCGGGGCAAGAAGATGCAGAAGCGGAAGCAATGCCATCCTCGTCATTCTGTCGAACCTTTCCTGCCAAATACCTTGCGAAAGGGTGATTGTGTATCCCATCCCCCAGAGCATCCTTCAATAGGATCAAGGTAAGTTCATAGAAAAGATGAGCTAGAATACTGTCTTCTAACCGTCCTGTGAACGCGGAGGGAATCTCAATCTTCGCCAAAGCAGCAAATCGCTTAAGGCAAAGGAACTTGGCAGGAACGCAAAGCTTCTCAGACTCCACGAAGAAGGGTGGAAACATTTGCTCTTTGACTAGTTTCCACTGATACAGCTCCCACTTCTCAAAGGGCAAGCCAGTGCTGGCATTCTTGGATCGTTGAACGTGGGCATCGTCGGCCCCTATTTTCTCCAGGGTGCGCACTCGGTTTTTGTAGCCAAGTTTGAGAATTTGCAGGCAGTTGATGAGCGTTTCGACGGCCCTAAACATCTCGAGGAACCCAGGTCCCTCCAGTTGGAGCAACTCAGTCTGTGAAGGATTCCCTATGTCTATAGATATAAGCTGCAGCATAAGCAGTAATTCCGCGCCTCTAGTAATATGTTGTTAGATACGGTGATATTGACCACGTCAAACTCATTAAATATTCAAGCGAGTTTTTGATGAGAGAACTCGTCTGGCGATGGGGACAAGGACGAACTCACGTCAAAGGTAAAGATATAGGGCTTGGTTGGAGTTTCAGGGTTGTAGAGAAGAGTCAGTGAAGCGAATCTGAGAGCTGCAGAGGCTGACGAGAGCAAGTTAGTAGAGGGAAAAAGCAGATTCGGAAGAAGGATCAAAGTTGACTGACAGCCTGTGGGAAAGTGGAAGAGTGAGGAGTTCGCGAAGGGTAGGAGATGGAGAAGCTAGAAGATGATGAGAGAGAAAGACGAAGCCAGAGTGAAGATGGAGAGAAAGGTAGCTGAAATACCTAGAAAAGCGGTCGGTATTCTTAGAATGAAGCTTTCATGTGTGAGCCCGGATTCCATGAAATTTAAGAAATCTTTGACACAAATTGCGCGACGGTACAGCGGCTTGAGGTTTACTACGTCTAGCTTGCGCTTAAATGCTGTGTTTATTTCAGATGACTATGCTTCCTTTTTTCTTTAGTGAGTCCTGACCATAGTGCTTCTCTCTTCCAAATTTTCAATGTAAATACTCAGAATAGAGTAGTTCTTATAGTCGGGTTGCGGCTCCTACTCTAAGGAAGTCTAGGAGACTTCTCCTCTTACCACCATGGCACCATACAGTACATGATACAGCACGTTGAGAATCTCATTAAATAGAGCTAGCAATAAATCATTTTGAATGTCATTAAAAATTGTATGATTCTCATGCCCATTATACATGACAGCGCCCACGGCGCTGCTGACACAGGAATCGAGGAGGAGAGAGAGGAGAATGAGTCAATTGGTCTATCTAGAACAAGAGAACGAAGACGACTAGAGGAAGAGGAAGAGGAGGAAGAGGAAGAAGAAGAAGAAGAAGAAGAAGAAGAAGAAGAAGAAGAAGAAGAAGAAGAAGAAGAAGAAGAAGAAGAAGAAGAAGAAGAAGAAGAAGAAGAAGAAGAAGAAGAAGAAGAAGAAGAAGAAGAAGAAGAAGAAGAAGAAGAAGAAGAAGAAGAAGAAGAAGAAGAAGAAGAAGAAGAAGAAGAAGAAGAAGAAGAAGAAGAAGAAGAAGAAGAAGAAGAAGAAGAAGAAGAAGAAGAAGAAGAAGAAGAAGAAGAAGAAGAAGAAGAAGAAGAAGAAGAAGAAGAAGAAGAAGAAGAAGAAGAAGAAGAAAGAAGAAGAAGAAGAAGAAGGAAACAAAGAAGGGCCTACAAGGCCGCAAGCACAAAGGAAAGGGGAGGTCCTGGCAATCCCCGGCCATCATCTTGCAAGGGCAAAGAAGACGACAAACCCTACAAACCCCTTGAGATCAAAGGGGATCGACGTCAAAGGGGATCAAATCATCAATACAGTTTGAGAGTTTGGTCCCATCCTAGGACGAATGAATCCATGTACTCTAGCGGCGATCTTACTTTCATCGTGCTATTAAACGACTATCGTCTTAGTTTTTCGGCATTTCGAAAGACCCGGGGCTAACCGAACGATGACGTTGAAGTAGAACTCGCAGCATTCCTTTCAAGACAAGTCCAAGACATTTGTTGCTTCATAGATTCGCCCTGAGAGTGGAGCAGGTGTGGCTGTGGTCAATGTGGCTGTGATAAATTGTCTCGGGCTGTGCGGCTTCGAAAACCGTTCTTTTCCCCACAATTGCCCTGATTGTGATCATTGTGGGCCAGTCTGTCCCTTTTGCTGTGTCTTTGTCTCAAACCCTGAAGGGCATCCAGGGTCACACCCTCTGTTTCGATATATCGGGATCCCTAACCTGTGGAATGAGGAAGCCCTTTGTTAGTCATGCCATGAATCTGATCAGCATGCAATTTCCCATTGTTCGATCGTGATGACCGCCCAAAATGCCCTAACAGGCTAGCGACTCTGAGTCCCCGTTGGATAGAAAAATTTGCCTGGCCGAAAAGAGTGGGGACAGACCGCTAACAAAGTGTAAAAGTGGCCTTGGGGAAAGCGGATTGGTGGACAGGACCCTGGAATAGAATTGCATGAAATGTATGAATTCGATGCATCGTATGGATTTCATGGAAACGGTGTCAAAATCCTGCCAAGGAGGTCAGAAACACATTTATAACACCCATTTCGACACAAACAAATTAGAGATTTGGCCGGCCTAAAAAGTGACGGGCTTGCATTGGCCCCATTTCTGCAGTCTGACAACCTCCGGTGGTCTTGGAAGCCCCCTGATCGTCAGGTACCAGACCAGCATAACCGCGCGCCTTTTGCCTTGCCCCCAGTCTGTCGTGCCAGTCAAGAGTCGAAGATGCTTGAATGGACGGAGAGAGGCCATCTTGTGTTTGATCTCTGCTAGGCAACCAACCGTATCAAAGCCATCGAGTGTTATGCCAAGAACGGGGGCAGGCAGACGAAGAAACATCCGGTGGAGTTTGAAGTCGATGACGGCAGGTGTTCCTGGGCTCCGAGTCGTTGTGGGTCGGCTTTTTATTAAAGTGTGCTGGTCTCCTTCAAACTTCCCCCGACCGCCCTCAACCCCCTCAAATCTCCTCCTTCCCCGCGCGCCCTGCAATCGCAGAGTTGAAGGTTTGGATTCTTTTGTTCTGTCGTGGGAAGCTCGGTTGATCGTGGTGAGTCTCACATTCTTTGCCTCGCACCTGATTTTTGCCTTCTTTGGCACGTGGTACCGTCCCGTGCGGAGTGGAAGTGCGCTCGTCTGCGACATGCTGACCTCGTTTGAGCAGGGACTGGGAACTCTCCTTGCATGCGACTTTAGCCGGCCTGCGCGATCGCAAACTCCTGGTCATCGACTTCGGCCGCTCCTCTGACTTGTCCGCAACTCGAAGCCATGGCATATCCACAGCGCCCGGCTCAGCGGCCGCCTCCTATGAGGCAGTATGACCAAACCCCGGTGTCGCCTGCCTCAGGCCCCGGATATGCGCCTGATGCAGGATTCGGAGGTGGATATGGAGAAGGAGGATATGACTACCAGAGCGGTGGAGCTGGAGGAGGATATGAAGATCCAGCATACAGTTACCAGACTGGCCCTCCAGGAGCCCCGCCATATGGGTCGTCGCAACAACCACGCTCAATGCGCCCACCTCCTGGACCGGGCGCACCAGATGCTAGACGTCCTTCGGCGGGATATGATGACCGTCGAGGATATCCTGGAGAGCGCCCACCGGGATCAAGCCGGTCGCGACCTCGTAAGTATAAACTTGAGTTCTGTCTCCCCAACATGCTCTGTTCTAACCAGAATATTAGCGGGTGGTCGGCCCCCTCCAGGTAACTTTGACAGTCCCTTTCCCGCTGTTCCTGGCGGGAGAGACCCTCGAGACCGACGCGGTCCTCCGCCACGAGGAGATGGTCTAGAAAAAGGCATGGCGGCGATGGACATCAATGGCCGAGGTCCCCCACCTCGACCACACACATCCAACTCCAACGGACGACGGCCAGATATGCGACAACCGCCCCCGCGAGGACCACTTCCGAGTCGTGGTCGTGGAGGGTACCCTCCCGGTCCCTCTCGTGCAGCCAGCTCCGGACGTACTGATCGGCCCGATCGAGCCTACGGGGATCCCAATGGACCTTCCATGGGACCACCAGGTCGAAGCGCAACTATGCCTCTTGCGACGCCGCCAACCATGTATCCTGGTCAGTCATCCTATCGAGAACCCGACTATGCCTCCAGTCCCATGGGCGAGATGCCCCCAGCGCGCCCCAATACTGCGGGTGGCATGCGACCTACTCGCCGTCCTGCCAACGAGCTGGATCCTGGCCTCGGTGCCGGTTTGATGGTCCCACCTGATCCAGGCAGTCGGATTTCTTACGCACCTCGAGAATTTTTGGATAGCTACTACGAGGGCACTGATGACGAACCTGACATGCCTAATTTCGATGCGATGCCGGCGGAACACAAAGGTCCTATTGATGAGATGGGACTGGACACTCCAAAACCGATGCAAACGCCCACTTCCCCCTCTTCCTCAGCCGGCGGCCAGTATGCGCCCTACACACCTGATTCAAGCACCTCACGATCGCGATCTCAGCCCGACCTCCGACAGCCTACTGCTCCTAATCAGTTTGAAATTGCGGGCTTCCAGTTCGATATTCCCAATGATGCACCCCCAATGCCGATGCATGGAGGTAACGGTGGATACCCGCCGAACAGTTATGACGAGCCTGGATACTCCCTTAATGGCCATGCCCCGTACCAAAACCAAGGATATCCCATGGAACAGCCATCACCTCATGACGAAAACCCAGATGCTCTTCCTCACCATCCGATGCCGATACCATTCCGTCCAGGTCATGACCAAAAGCCAGCCCCGGTACGCCAGTACGGCGGTGGTCCAGGCGCAGCCCCAGGACCAGGTCCCGCACCTGGACCTGGCCCTGGACCTGGCCCTGGCCCTGCCGCTCCCCAGCCTATGCCAGCAGTTGAAAATGGACCGAAGCCTGTCACACATGAGGAGTTGAACCAACTACAGATGAAGGCACGAGGCAACCCTGGCGATCAAAAGACGCAGCTTTTATTGGCCAAGAAACTAGTCGAGGCATCCACCGTGCTTGTGGCTGACAACAATCGCCTTGACCCCAAGATGAAAGCCAAGGCTAAAGAAAAGTACGTGATGGATGCGTATAAGATTGTGAAGAAGCTCGCTTCAACCGGGTACCCAGACGCGCAGTTCTACCTTGCAGACTGTTATGGTGAGGGTCAGTTAGGATTGGAAGTCGACGCCAAGGAGGCATTTGCCTTGTACCAGTCTGCTGCCAAGGCTGGCCATGCGCAGTCTGCATACCGTGTAGCCGTGTGCTGCGAGATTGGTGCCGAAGAAGGTGGCGGTACCAAGCGCGATCCGTTCAAGGCCGTGCAGTGGTACAAGCGCGCTGCATCGATGGGTGACACACCCGCCATGTACAAGATGGGTATGATCAACTTGAAGGGGCTGCTCGGCCAAGCCCGGAGTCCACGCGAAGGTGTTTCCTGGCTGAAGCGTGCTGCTGAACGTGCCGACGAGGAGAACCCACATGCTCTGCACGAATTGGCGCTCATGTACCAGAATGCGAGCGGCAACGACATCATTGTCCGCGACGAAGCATACGCCTCACAGCTCTTCCACCAGGCTGCTGACCTGGGCTACAAGTTCTCGCAGTTCCGACTTGGCACGGCGTACGAATATGGCTTGTTGGGCTGCCCAGTTGATAACCGGACGAGTATTATCTGGTATACTCGTGCTGCTGCGCAGGGCGAGCACCAGAGTGAGCTCGCTCTGAGTGGATGGTATCTTACCGGATCGGAGGGCATTCTTCAGCAGAATGATACCGAGGCGTATCTGTGGGCACGAAAGGCTGCGACAGCCGGTCTTGCTAAAGCCGAATATGCGATGGGATACTTCACCGAGGTTGGAATCGGTGTTACAGCGAACTTGGAAGATGCGAAGCGGTGGTATTGGCGTGCTGCGGGTGAGTAAATCGTTTTAAGAGTATGAACTGATCAGGAGTTCCCAGCTAATCATTCTTTTCTCTTTTCAGCACAAGGATTCCCCAAGGCCCGGGAGCGTCTGGAAGACCTCAAGAAGGGCGGCAGTCGCATGCAAAAGACGCGTCTCTCTCGCTCTGCCGTTAACAAGCAGAGTGATGGCGATTGCACTATCATGTAATTTTCTATCTACCTTATTGCCATGCTCGAACATCTCGACTTTTTCGAGTTTTTGTATGGAACTGGTTTCTGTTCATTCGCAGGCTGGCATGCATGTATCTTCCTAATGACCACCGGCGCTTGATGTATTTCTTTCCTGTCTTGATGTGATTGCAGCCTTATACCTCTGTTAGTTTCAGTTGAGCAGGACTCTCTCATCTCGGGTCTGGGCTGTACAATTCCCCCTTTGTTAAGGCATTTTCTTTTCTTCGCATTCTTCTGTTGCTCGAGTACATTGTCATATTTTACTCCCTCTTTTCCGTTCTCGATTCTGTGCATACAAACTCCCTTTTTATTCCCTCGTGGAACAAGTCATGACTGATGGACACGATTGGTCGCTCTCGTCAAAGGTGCGAATACTCTGGAGCTAGGCCTGGTTGCATTTGTTTCTCATAGAATGGAATCACATATGAAATTCCCACCATAACCTCTACTACCGTAAATCCCTAAACATGCCATTTATTCCCTCTATATTGCTCTTGTCTCCTTATTTAGCGGGCCGCTGCTACAAGTTACCGTGCGGGCCCATTCCGCGCTTACACAGCAATCGGATCGGCTTATGCATCGGCATTCCCATACATCCGACGCGGGCGTAGTATTTCTAATTATTTTACCGTACGAGAAGCCAAAATCCTTAAGCCCCCTACTATACTATTACCAGATATAACCTCCTTAAGCTTGGGCCCTCATCACAGTATCTCTGGTAGCGTCCACTTCTGCCGTCACCATTGCCACTCCCGTCTCCCTTCACATGTCCCGGGGGTATATATGTCGTCGGAAGCACGCCAACAGAACACCCCACCAAAAAACCATTTTGCGCCTCTGCACACGAATAACCGTCGACTCTTCCTGCTTTCGGTGGTAACTGTTTTTGCCGCTGCGCTGGTTGCCATTTTCTGGCCCGATACCGTCAATCTGTTCGCTTTTCGTCGCTTTTTCGGTTCTTCCTCGAGGACTGCCGCTGCTACCAGCTCTGTAGCTGGGTCACTTTCTGCACCTGCTTTAGCATCGTCGTCTGGGATTGCGGATCAATCGGAGGTCAAGATGAAGACGCCTGTTTATTTCCTGAGTCATGGTGGGGTGAGTTTCAGTTGTTTATGGAATCGGAATCGTACTCGATAGGGTTGATGGGCGTTGTGCTGATTTTAAATAGCCGAATATTATGTACAACGTGGACCACCCGGCGTATAAGAAGTTGAATCAAATCGGACGGGAGATTACGACAAAGGTGAAGCCGCGCGCTGTGGTGGTGTTCTCGGCTCATTGGCAGGGTGGGAGGGATACCATCTATGTGAACACTGCTGAGGAAACGGATCTGATATATGAGTATGTTGCGACAGACCAAGACCAAGGAGTTGTGGGCTAATAGGGTTATGCAGTTTCTATGGTTTCCCGGATCATTACTACAAGGAGAAGTATCCCAATGTGGGCAGCAAGGAAGTGTCGCATAAAGTGCTTGATGCGCTGAAGGAAGCCGGTATAGAGGCGAAGGGTGTGAAGCGCGGGTTGGACCATGGTGTATGGGCCAGTTTCAAGTGCGGTGAGTCTTACAAAATTGAACCAATAAATACACTACATGGTCCATACTGATACCAATGCAGCATTCGAGCCCGACTCGAACCCATTGAACGTCCCCGTCGTGCAGGTCTCCCTCTTCGACACCGAGGACCCGAATCAGCACTACCGCCTCGGCCAAGCTGTCTCCCGGCTGCGCGAGGAGAACATCCTAATCATCGTCTCCGGCATGGCCGTGCATAACCTGCGCGACTTGCGGTTTACATTCGGGAATCCGCGCCCCATGCCGTACGCCGTTAGCTTCGACGAGGCGCTTAAGGACGCTGCGACAACCGCGCCTGCTGAGCGGGAGAAGGCTCTAACCGATCTTCTGAAGCGTCCTGATGCTCGCCAGGCTCACCCTACATTTGACCATTTGCTGCCTATTCACGTTGGAGCAGGTGCGGCGCAGGAGGATGTGGGTAAGAGAATCTGGACGTTGCCAGAGGGTAGCATGAGCTGGGCGCAGTTTCGGTTCGGAGAGCTGAGTAATGCTAGTACTTCGCTGTAGCGGTAGTCACACACACAATGTTTTGAATAGAATGCATAGCATAGCAATAGGCGAAAATGAGCATGGATGGAATTGATTGGATGGAATTGGAATTGAATTGTTGATTTTGATGAGGTTCGATTTCATCTATAGGTACAAGGTACATGTAACTTTGGGACGGGATAACGCGCAGAAGGAAAGATGGGAAGGACGATGCGTGGGAAGAGAATGATGGGAAGAGAAATTCGTTATGAAGTCTGCTTCACCAGGGTCGTGATGCGCTCTTCGATCTGCGAGTCGGACAGGCCTGTGCAAAGTCAGCGGTTGGTAGCTTGAACTCGAATCACGCGCTGGAAACTTACCGGACAGAGCCTCTTGGGTCTCCTTGCCAAGCTCTATATTCAATGGGTTAATACCATTAGTTTTGTCCAATAATGGTGCCAATTGAGGATTTCTCGCGGTGCAAATCGGGTATTGGCGTACCGTATCTAGCAAAGACTCGCGGCTCGGTGCCGGAGGCCTCGCGCATCAGGATGGGAGTGTGGGGGTTGTGCTTCTTCATGGTAGGGTAGGCGCGGTTCAGGAAGGACCTATTTAGCCAGAGGATTGTTAGTCAATTGCTTCCTGAAACACCCGCAGGTAGCCTATGAGCTGGCAGGGCACTGGAAATGGGAGGGTGGATGGGAACATGCCTTGTGGCAGCGCTCTGCTCGGAGGACTGGCAGAAGAGGAAACGGAGCTCCTTCAGGCCCTTGGAGAAGACGTATTTGCCCGACATGGTGAATGGCAGTCAGGAAGGAGGCGGGAGGTTAGGAAGTCGTGTATGAGGCCGAGGGGTATCACGAAGCAGGACGAGGGCGGAGGTGCATTATTCAGTTATTCGCAGTGATGGTGATTCGCCCAGCAAAGAGACACTGCCGCTAGTACTATTTGAGGTTAGCGGGATATGGATTACCTCAGCCGGAAGGCACTGGCCGCGTGAGTTGGAATTAACGATGAGATAGATGGGTTGAATATTCTCAATTGAATAGTTAAGGCTATTTTCTATTCTTATCTAACGACTATTTCTCTTTTTTCTACAATTTTCGTGGTAGTAAACACACATCAACTCAACTCATCCGGCGGAAAACTCGCTGATCCGACTCACCGGCCGATTCCGCCCTTCTTCCCTCACAACCCCAACCTTTCGGGAACCAACTCGATCTCGACCTCGATCTTGACCCTCTCCTCTCCCCCTCCTCGTCCACCAGCCAGACACAATGTCGTCGTCTCGCGTGGGTTTCCGCTTCCTCAACAACGCTCGCTTTGCGTTCCGCAATGCCTCTGCGCCATTCCGCCGGCCGGGTGCCCAGGGCTTCCGCTTCCAGAGCTCCGAGGCCGGCGCTGCTGAGCAACAGAGCGCTTTCCAGCGCATGTGGAACAGCCCTGTTGGTGTGAAGACTGTGCATTTCTGGTATGATTGATCGACTGGATTGAGCTTTGTTTACGGTGATGTGAGATTGATGCTAACTTTGGTCTGATAGGGCCCCCGTTATGAAGGTACGATTTGTGACTCGATCAATCTCCCCGTTTCGATAAGCGCGATTCCCTCTTGAGATACCCTTTGAACATTGTCGAACCTACGAGACTGTGTGGAATACGTGGAATCTGGAAGTTCAAGACTATAAGAAAGGACATGGCTGATTTCTCCTCGCGAATAGTGGGCGCTTGTCATCGCCGGTATCTCCGACTTCAACCGCCCAGCTGAGAAGCTGTCTCTGACCCAGAACTGCGCCCTGATGGCCACCGGTGCCATCTGGACTCGCTGGTGTCTTATCATCAAGCCCCGGAACGTCCTGTACGTCCTGCTTCTATCTATCTTCCCTGTTGTATCGACTCCCAGCTAACTCCACACTTTTTTAGCCTTGCCGCCGTTAACTTCTTCCTCGGATGCGTTGGTGTCGTTCAGGTCTCCCGTATCTTCATGTGGCAGCGCAGCCAGAAGGGTTCTTCCCTTGAGGCTGCTAAGGAGCTCGAGCACGAGGCCGCCGACTCTGCCAAGGCAGTCGTGGACCAGGCTGAGACCGCTGTGAAGGCTGCTGCTGAGAAGACTGCTTAAACGAAAGCTGATACAGAGTGAAGTTGCGGTTGCGGTTGCAGTTGCAGTTGCGGGCACTGGAAAGATTTGGATGGATATTTGCTTCGCATTTAGACCTCGGGGGAAAACTGTTGAGACGAGGGTGATTCATCTGGGATCCGATCGAGAGTCTGTTTACCATTTGCGCTGACATATATTGTGTCTATGGGGGACCCGCTGTACATATAAACCATGCCAGTGATTGTTTCTGTTTTTCTCATTGACGATTATTCCGAAAGTAGATCGTGGGACCGAATCTCAGTAGTGACTGTTAGAATAAACGGTAATTTTGTCCGACTCAACACAGGCACAGCCCTATCAATGCACGAATCACAATATGGAATTATTCCTATTTTTCTTCAAAGATAAGAGACATAACTCCTGCAAGAGTTCCCCCGAACCTTGCAACATACGCAGGTCCCAAAATGCTTCTCCAAATGCTTCCCAACCACCGTGTCGAGTTTAGCCGGGATTTTCCTCCCAATCGGCGAATTGCACCTCAGATCTTCCTCCAACCGGACCCCCACAATCATCTCCATCGACGGAATCCAAACAGTTTCAATCTCCGAATTCTTCGCTAACGCGACGCCCAGTGCCTGCCCACGCCAGCTTCACTCTCCAGCTTCCCCACAGTCCGCACGCCGGTTCCCCCGGATGAAGTCCTCAACGTGGGTTACCCCACCGAATCGCGACACGGGGGAGAATTAGCGCAGTGCACGTTTCCCCAATGGATATTGGATGCGAATATGGGAAAGCTAATTTTTGCGAGCGGAGAATATATAAACATGAGCTGCCACTGGGGGGTCAGTTGTGGTTTCTTGCCGATCTCTCTCCATTTCAGAACGAAAGCTCGATCCCTGATCTGACCTGAATTGTTGTTGCTCGTCACAATGAAGGTGTCCAATGTCTTGACACAGGCCATTGGCCTGGTGCTGTCTCTCAGTGCTGCTGCCGACGCCAATGAATTGTCTCGTAGTGCCTCGTGCCATCCCCATAAGCCATTCCATCCTCTCCCTGCCAGCCAGGTCCGACACAAGACCTGCCATGTTCCGAGTCATGGCGACGGTACCGACGACTCGGCCAATATCCTGTCGACCCTGAAGAAATGCAACAATGGCGGTAAGGTCGTGTTTGACGCGGACAAGACCTATACCGTTGGCAAGGCCATGGATATGACCTTCCTCAAGCACGTGGATCTCGGTATGTGATGATACAAACCCGAAAGCGGAGCCCTCCAAAGGATATACAAGCTAATCTACGTTATCGTAGAAATTCTCGGAACAATTCAATTCACCAACGACACCGACTACTGGCAAGCCAATGCCTTCAAGCAAGTCTACCAAAACGCGACGACTTTCTTCCAGCTCGGCGGTACAGACGTTAACGTCTATGGTGACGGTACCCTGGATGGCAATGGCCAGGTTTGGTACGATCTGTACGCCTCAGATGCGCTTATTCTGCGTCCCATTTTGGTTGGTATTATCGGGCTGCACGGCGGTACTATCGGCCCTCTCAAGCTGCGCTACTCCCCACAGTGGTACCACTTTGTCGCCAACTCGTCGAATGTTCTGTTCGAGGGTATTGATATTACTGGCTTCAGTAAGAGCAAGAACACTGCCAAGAACACTGATGGATGGTGAGTAGACTCGCAGAAATATGGGAAAGGATCCAAGCTAACCAATATTGAACAGGGATATCTACCGGTCTGACAACATCGTCATTCAAGACTCGGTGATCAACAACGGTGACGGTACGTGATATGAACCAAAACTTGAATTGTTACCAGCAAAGCTAATTTTCTTTTAGACTGCGTCTCCTTCAAGCCAAACAGTACCAACGTTATCGTCCAGAACCTTCACTGCAACGGCTCGCACGGCATCTCCGTTGGTTCCCTGGGCCAGTACAAGAACGAAGTCGATATCGTTGAGAACATTCTCATCTACAACATTTCGATGTTCAATGCCTCCGTACGTGCCATGACAGATTGATTGTTAATGTCGAGTAAAGGCTAATACAATATATAGGACGGTGCTCGCATCAAGGTCTGGCCTGGTGTTGCCTCTGCTCTGTCCACCGACTTGCAAGGCGGAGGTGGCTCTGGCAGTGTCAAGAACATTACCTACGACACCATGACCATCCAGAACGTCGATTATGCCATTGAGGTTACCCAATGCTACGGACAGAAGAACCTCACTCTCTGCAATGAGTACCCCGTACATTATCCCCCCGTATTCTTGACTATTTACTGTCTTCATGAAAATACTAACCATATCTTTTCGGATTATACAGAGTAGCATGACCATTTCTGATGTTCACTTCAAGAACATCAAGGGTACCACCTCTGGCAAATACGACCCCTTGGTCGGAACGATTGTCTGCTCCAGCCCCAATGTAAGTTGAATTTTATCCCTCAAGGAAAGCTGGGTTATATCTAACTCTACTAGGTCTGCTCGGATATCTACGCCTCTGAGATCGCGGTGAAGAGTCCTAAGGGATACAATGCATTCACTTGCACTAATGTAAGTTTATCGAATATTTTGTACGAGAGAGAGACGAAACGCTAATCTTATTTTACTTGTACAGGTCGACGACAGCCTGCTGGCTGTGAACTGCACTTCCCGCTAAACAAAAGATGGGAGCAGAGTAGGTTGAGAATTTGTTATATTTAGAAGCGATCGATACGAATTTAATAAGATTGAATTGTAGCCTCTCATTACACTTCGGTTCCTACCAACCAGACCGTAAATTCACCTTAAATCTCCAGAGTTCGTGATAAGCACGAGATAGTAAAGCTTAACGAGGCCTCTGAGTCTGGCATCGGAGATAGCCGGATTTAACCCTACCCTTCAAATCCAATCCAAGTCGACACATCGTGAACACCCTGCTTCATCAATGCCCCAGATCAAGGAAAGCCGTTAGAATAAAGGTGATAATAGCCGACCTGTCCCCTCGTACAGAATCATTTGACGCTCGTGACTCGTACCGTGCTTCAAACTCGCAATTCGCTATTCGCCTATATTACCAATATGATACGGTGGCTTGCCGCTTGTGACTTCACCATTCTGATCTCGCCCAAGATTCCATTCCCGCAAAGGCTTGTTCCAGCCCATCTTTCCAATGCTGCTTGTTCTTTTGAGTTTAAAAATGCGAGAACCTCAGAATGACCAAGAGTATTTTAACCCCTCGATCGCGTCGACTAGAGGAACAAAATCTCTTATATTCAATTCTTCTGTTCATAACTTTCGTCCACATCACTGCTAGCCAGATCCTTATAGATCTGCCCCATCAACTACCATCAACATGGACGATATGGAAGACTACGTCCGACTCACAAACTCTAATGAATTGACCAATTTCGTCCCAACAACCCATCACGATACCTATCCCTACATCACACCCACAGGCACAGAACTCACCAACAAGTCCATTCTCATCACGGGGGTTTCACGAGGTCTCGGACGCGCCACAGCTATCCGATGCGCCAGAGCGGGCTGTGCGAAACTTGCACTTGCCGCTCGTTCCTCGCTAGAGGGCGTTGTGAAAGAAATCAAACAAAATGCCCGTGAAGCAGGCGTTGAACCACCGCAGATTCTCCCCTTGCAGGTAGATGTCAAATCAGATGAGTCTGTTCAGGCTGCTGCAAAGGCAGTAGAAGAAGCGTTTGGAGGAAAATTGGATATCCTGGTCAACAACGCTGGCCGTCTTTACGAATTCAAACCTATACATGAATGTGACCCTGCGAAATGGTGGGAAGCATGGGAAGTCAATGTCAAAGGAACATTTCTCTGCTGTCACTACTTCATGCCGCTACTTCTGAAGTCGGACACAAAGATAGTCATCAATTTTTCTTCCTTGGGAGCAAATTGTTTGACACTCGGAGGCTCGGCGTACCAGGCATCGCGTTTTGCTAATTGCCGGTTCACCGAGTTTGTGGCTCGGGACTATGAGAGCCAGAATCTCGTCTGTATTACTTTGCACCCTGGCTGTGTGAAGACGGATATGGCGGATGATTTCCCGGAGTCTTTGCAATTCATTTTGGTGGATAAGGCGGAGCTTCCTGCGGATACGGTTGTTTGGCTATGTTCGCAGCGGAGGGAGTGGTTGAGCGGTCGATTTGTTTGTGGAAATTGGGATATGGAGGAGTTGGAGGGGAGGAAAGGTGAGATTCTGGAGAAAGATCTGTTCAAGTATCGTATGACTATATAAAGTGGATACAATTAATGCACTGATGTATAATTGAATCGCACTGTTGGTCTAGTCAATATCACCATCAACATGATTCTCTACAGGCGATCCGCAATTCCGTGTCTATGCACCCAGCTTCGAGCCCGCTTTCCAAAGATGTACCTGATAAAAATGAGTCAGTAACCGACATAGAATGAAACTTGATCAGGGGACCTTACATAGGAATAGTGAAGAGGGTAACACCCATCGTAATTCCACCAATAGTGAAGAAGCAGTCACGAACACCTTGCTGATCAATCCAATCATTGATATAGAACGACAGCCCGAACGCGAAAAGGTTCTTGATAAAGTTCATTGCAGCAAAGGCTTCACCAGCCTTCTCGCGATGGCAGTCAACAACGTATGTGACAACACCCGTAGTGCCCAGCTGGACACCGAAATTGATCAAGCCCAAGCACACAATCACGGGGACGGGCCACGGGTCCTGCGCATACGAGGATTGGCCCCATGCGAAGAAGCCGGTAGAAGTGAACAAGAGATAGGTAACCATGATTGGCAGACGGAATTCAGGTTCTAGGTATGTGTTAGCTTGGTCACGAAATGGCAAGGATGGAATGGAAGTTCTTACCGAAGACACCCCCGTTCATCTTTGACATTCGAGTTACCAATCCATCAATCAAAGAACCAGCGGTAAGAGTACCAAGAACCGAAGCAACGAAAGAAGACAAATTCGTCGCACCAACACCCACGACCGAAAAATTGTATGGCGGCGCCGAGAAAATCTGCGACAGAGTAAGAGAAATACCGACCAGCCACGAGATGCAAGTGGTGAAGAGAAGGACCGCCCAGAGAACAGGAGGCGATGCGATCAGATAGAATGGCCGAATGATAGTATTCCAGAACGAGACATGATTGACATAGCCACTGTACGGAAGAAGCTCTTGTTTATATGAGATTCGTGGCTCGGACGGCTGGATTCCAGCGCTGGGGGAGTGTTCGAGTTGTTCCATAGTTCCTTTTCCTTCCACCACGATCTGGGATATGTCAGTACAATGGATAGGGAGCTTTAGTTGGAAAGAAGGGATAATCACGTTTGTGTCGCCAGTGTCGATGTTCAATGCTTGTCGGTTATACGCTGATTCGGGCATCCAGAAGAAGATCATGATGAGTGCTAGTGCAAAGGCACCGCCCATTGCGTGTAGAGCGATTCGATAGTTACAGAATTCGATAATTGCGGCAGCTATTTGAAAACAGATGTCAGTATAGTAATACTAAACGTTTTAGAACGAAAACTCACCAATTGGCACAGCAAGATTAATTCCACCGAGAACACCGAGGTTGAAGATAGCCGTGCGGAATCCACGCTCATGCACGAACCTGTCAGACCAATTAGATATGAATAGAACAACATCCATGGAGGATTAAATACCATATATCAGCAATAGAAGCCGGAACCAAAGCCTCCATAGGCGCCATGCAAAGTCCACACACGACCCGAGCAGCAACGAAGGAATGGAAACCGCCCGCCTCGGCCGCCCAAAAGCACGACACCATCAAACCAACTGTTGTTCCAAGATAAACGGGACGCTTTCCATATTTCACTGCCAAAGAGTTGAAGATCAAACTTCCCACTGCAATGGCGGCAATTGTGCCACCTTGGACGGCGGATACGAATGTCGACAACGAGACTCCGAACTCCTTGGCGAGAGGGACGAATGCTCCTCCGAGCAGCGGACCGACAGCTATTTAGAAGAGAGGTAGTCAGTCAAGTTGAAACCAAAGATGAGGATGCTAAGGAATTTGTATTACCTCCCACACACCCGCAACCCCATGCAAAGGTGAGGGTGAAGAGTTCTTTCTTCCTTCGAGGCCAATTGTATGGATCGTTTGGCGACTCGGATGGCTGGGGAACCAAAACAATTTGACCAGTGGGATCATGCTTCAGGAGGCCAGGATCAACCCCGGCATAAACATTGGTGTTGCTAAGACCATTGAGGGGTGCTGTTCCTGGGATATGTTCCAGCTTATCGTCGTCTAGAATACCGAGAGGCATCTTCAAAGCTTCAATGGCTCCAGGAGTGAGATCTGGTTTGAAATTGAACTCCCCGCAAAAATAGTGGGAAATTGAAAAGAATTGGCAATTGTTTGCCGAGCAGTGCTAACTTATGGGAGACCAAAAGCACCAAGGAAATTGCTAAGCTCTGGTCGGTAGCTAGGAAGGTCGATCGAATAAGATCTATATGCATGATCCTGGCAGGGTTGTCGACCTCTGTTTATAGCTTCTACTAATCCCAATAAAGCGGCCTGTTTGACTTTCAACATCATCTATCATTGCAGTCACAAGGCTTAGGTGGATGATCATCGAGCGCTCCAGTGTGCATGAGCCTAAGAGGCGAAATTTGGCGAGAGAATATGGGGCTGTCAGGCCCCATCGTGGGGAAACCCCGGGCGTTTAAGCTGGGGATTCCCGCGGGGTTTTGCCGATTAGATAGACTGGAATCAATCTATTGACATCAAAGTCTTGGAAATTGAATATAAGGTTCAGTTGGCGTTTCGAGAGGATGTAATGAGTGAATGGCCAGCCTCAAGGTGAATTTTGACAGCGGTGAAGATGATTATAGGACGAGAAACACAGCAAGATGGAATTATCGAGCTCGAATTCAATGAGTCTCGGAGAAATGCCGCGAGGCTGTCTTTTGTTGGCTATGGAAGAGACCTTTGCGTCTATGGAATTCGGCAATGTTTCCCTTTATATGAAGCGAGAAGACCAGCTCCCCAGAGCAAAGGTTCAATAACATACTGAAGCTCCAAAGGCCTCACTATCTTTAATATGGAAGAACTCTTAAGAAGAAAGATAACACTAGAAAGGTACCTTCTTGTCCAAAATCGCTTCCCTGTAGAATCTTCCCGTTAGCAGATCATTCTTTTGGGGCCGAATCCGCCACAAGGCTGAGAATACATGCTACCTTAACCTGCCGTAGACAAATCATTTCTTACAAGTTACGCATTACATTTCGGTATATACATGAAAAAAGTCAAGGCATAACTCCGCACTCTTCTCTGCGTCAGCATGCGGGATACGGCAGTTACCTAGCACCAGCACGTTGGGGACACACTGGAACCCGGCCGAGAAGCAGATAGTTATCTAAGGGTAAATGTTAAACGGCTATTGGATGAAAGACTGTCTTTCATACTCGTATACAGGAATACAAAAAGTATGAACTGTCCTTGTGGCTGTAAGTATGGATCAGCGGCTTGCTCGGACTCCGGAAATCCCCCTGCTCCACCCCAGCACAACAGTGTGGGGAAAATGGGGGAGGGGAAATTTGGAACACCAAGGCATCTACTGCCGACGCAGAAGTTGATTCCATAGATTATAGGCGACTCTAGCACTCTAGCAATACAGTACATCTGTGAATTCTAGCAAGTGTAGTGTATCAAAATGAGAAGCATCGTTGTCACTGGTGAGTGTGCCCTGTTACGAGCGAGTCGAACGGACAGCATCATTGATTTCACCTAGGAGGCGCCTCGGGCATTGGCCTTGGTATAACCCGACACTTTATCACGCAGCCAGACACTCACATTACCATCCTTGACGTCAACGCTACTTCCGGTTCCCAAGTCCTACAACAACTTCAAACCGAGTTTCCATCCGGGAGCGTTTCCTTTGAACAATGCGATGTCTCATCCTGGGATAGTCAAGCCACGGCTTTTGAGAAGATATACGCTGAAAAAGGACGCATTGACATTGTTTTCGCCAATGCCGGAATCTCCAAGGAGGGAAACCTGCTACCTGCAAAGGGGGAAGCTGGACCCGTCAAGCCGAATCTCACAACAATGAATGTGAATCTGGTGGGAGTTATATACAGTAAGAGAGTCTTTCGTCCGAGATCTACGGTGATTTTTGCTAAGAAACATTAATAGCTGTCAATCTGGCAACTTATTACATGTATAAGAACGCGACAAGCGACCCATCCGCCTCAAACGGCTTGATCGTCTGCACTGCATCAAATGCTGGTCTCTACCCATTCCCAGTCGCACCACTATACGGAAGCACAAAATCTGGTGTGATCGGGCTTGTGCGATCCTTAGCTCGTCGACTCGAGCAAGACAAGATTCGCATCAATGCATTGGCTCCAGCTGTCATCGGTGTGTTATTTCCAAAGTCCAGCATTAAATCCTCGACTAACCGGAGTAGAAACCAATATCGCACCAAGCGCTGATCTATTCAAGCCTATGATCATCACACCAATGTCAACTGCTACGAAGGCAGTGGCTCAATTTGTGGCGGATGAATCGTTGACTGGTAAAATTGCTGAAGTACACGGTGAGCATGTTACTTTTGCGGAGCCTCCGGCGTATGTGGATGAGGATACCGGCAAGAACATAGAAACCTTTTGGAACTTGGGATACGCATGAGCGCATAATTTATGCGATACGTATGTATTTCAATGAGATCCATCTTCAAATGATTATAGTAGATACATCTTCCGTTGCATCACAGTAAATACTGAACACATGGGATCTGATAGCCATCCCGCTGCAATGCATCAGCCCGGAGAGTCGGTCGTAAAACATGTAGAAAAAAGGGAGGAGATAATGTAGATAAAGTAACAATAGAGGAGCGCAGGGGTCCAAAAATGTAGGGAGCCCAGGATATAATGACTGTTCCGAACGCCAGGACCTTGACCAGCCCAAAGCCCATTCCCCAAAGAAACATAAGGCGGAAGAGAAAAAAGACCACAAAACGCCATCCGCTGGATCATCGTCCAGATCTATCCCACTCCAGAAAACCCTTTCATAATCTATATTATTCGTCCTGCAACAATACCTTCAATTTCTCCAGTTTATCCTCACAATGCACTTCCATTTGCATAATCACATCGACGGCGTCCTTCTTAGTGATGAGCAATTGAGACACGAGCCAGAAATTGTACCCGTTCTTGTAGAAGCCCATCGACGCCCATTCGTCATTAGATACTTGGTTGCGTAACGCAACCCAGTAGTCGCGCCAGCGATTCAAGGCCGTGCGAATTGAACTCAAAATCGAATCTTCGGGAATCATGCTCTTGCCCAAATTACCTTCATTTTGGGCAGCTTGGATGACAAGCGCTTGGCGTTTGAGTAGCCCCACAAGCGTCATATGCGTATTGATAAAAGCGAACAGTACTGCGAGATGGACAATTAGTATCGCCTGCTACAGGAAAATTTGAAGAATATCGCGCACCATGAATGACAATGAACATGTCCAGGACCGTAAGATCTATTTTGGAAGACGGTGGCGATGCCCCCGAGCCGTCTTGCGTAGGCAAGTCAAACATATGTTGGAATGCCTGATATATGGTGATCTCGCGAGAAAAGCGAAATTTGGGATCTTGAAACGGATGTGGAGATCGGAAAAGTGCCTCGTCACAGGGTAGCTCAGATTCTATCTCTGCGTGCGTCAAGCGGCACGGATAATTTTGATAGAAGAAGAACGCGCAGTCCAGTAGTGATATAATGCTTATCGTTCTACATAGCGTTAGATGGAAAATCAGAGACGAGCACCATGAATTACATACCGAATACGACACTCTCTCTGAATCCATAATTGCTCTTCGAATTGCTCCTCGTTGGGTGTATGCCTGACCTTGACAAGGTTTAGGCGACGGGCGACCTGGTTTAACAGTAAGATCCTGTTCGGGGTGTCATGGCGGTTCTTTGAGCCTACCTTGACGACTTCACTAAATCGATTCTCCATCGCACGATTCTTGGATGATCGACTTCCCGCCCAGTATTGTACAACTGTAATTATGAAGCCAGCTTGGAAATTCTGAAACTTCATCCAATCCGTTGCTTCATCCTCGGCACTTCGAATTCCAGTGAAAATGCTTGCAACTTCGGTCTCCGGCGAGTATATGTGACTTGAAAAGATGAACAGCTCGGCAAAATCGAGCAGCCGCTTTGCCGCGTACGCCTCCCTTTGATCAGGGCTATACATAGCCCCGAAGAATGTGACCGCAGCTAGCAGAGGCAGTGCAATTGTCTCTAGGTCGAATGTCGGAATATGAATCATCGCGCAGCTGGGTTGCCAGTATCTAAAATAGAGCGACACAAACTTGCGTATGCGTGTTGTGGTCAGCAGAAAGCTGAGGTTCGTTGATATCTCTTCTTGTGCCTTCGGATCCAAAGGCACTGTCCATGCTCGTGCTAGAATCGATTGAATCAGAGCCATTGCGAATGGTCGCTCGGGCTCAAAGATTCCTTGCTCTGCTGGTAAGGCCAGATTGCCATCCTGCCCCGGTACAAATCCAGCTGGATATACGACCTGTCCCGCAAACGGGCTCTCCGCAGATTTCTGACTGTCACCGAAAGGCCCATTGAAGAAATCTAGAAACGTGTCTTGGAAGAATTGTAGGTTCGCAGGATCGGACTCCACGAAATCTGGAGAGAAATCGGTCCGGTCGCCTTGCATATCGAAAGGTGAATAGATCTCCCCGTTTGTGTTTGCCTCCTCCAGCGCAGTCTGATTGTGATATGCCATGCCTCTTTCCCGATCATTGCGAGGAGGGAGCCGAAAGCCTTCGGTAAATGAATCGGTGCCGCCGTTCAGGAGAAATTTAATCGAGCCGCGATCCGAGGGTTGTCTATAAATTGGAGGCATCTGGGGGTTCGGCGATGTTTTCCCTGGATCCAATCAGTCCTGATTACAACTTCAATGTTCTTCGCACCCTACCATCCTCGACACTGGCACTTGGACTCGGCCCTTTGGGATTTGTGCACATGAAGCCTCTTTTAACACAAGACTCGCACGGGGTATTACCATCGCAGCGGAGTTTCATCGCAGTGCACTATGGTGATGTTAAAAACTATTAGGAAACCCCGGGAGGTCGATCTTGGGGCTTCGGAAGGACTGAGCCGGCTTACCGATTGACATGCATGTCGCCGCCGGCCTCGTTGGCCCGTTTCCGGGATCTTGCGATCTCCGCGTTGGCTGCAATCTGTATAGTGGTCGCGCAAGTTATCGCTAGATACAGGTAAGCTTGAAATGATACCATAGAAATAGACGATGGTGGACATACCAGCGCGCAAAAGACTCGTTGCAAAACACGCATGAATAGGGCTTTTGGCCAGAATCTGTCTAGACTGAGCAGCGAATCGGGGAACCTGCAGGGCGGGGCAAACATACGCCTGAGATGGTGTCTCTTCAAGTGATCAATGCGCGTGAAGCCCCGCTGACAGATAGTGCAGCGAAAGTGCTTCTCGGCGGGCTTCATGTTGGTCCATCGGGGAGGAAGGGGAGATCCGGGGTAAACGAGAGTGTGAAGGAGCGAAAGAGTCTGGGGGGAGAAGGAGAAAGACGACTGAGGGCGATCATTTGGGGGTGGGTGGTATTGCCGGTGTATTTGTATCGGTAGTGTCGATTTCCCTTTAGTGCCGAAATGTATGGGGAAACGCGGCATGTGGCTGCAATTTGGGCATTCGGGGCGAGTACTCTAAGTGGTATGGTATTGTAAACTGATGATATCACCACCTTGTTATCTACCTCCGCTTTTTGCAGCTCCACCGGGCAGGGATCCAGATCGATGGACTATAAATTAGGTACGCCACCAAATCGGGCAATGATCCTGCTTCCACGAGACGATCCTGACAAATATTGATCGTTTGATTCCATTATTACCGAACAGATGAGTATTCTCAGACCTATAGATTTCCCTCGTGATTAGGAACGGGGAGTTTTCCACCACACCTTTCGCTACAGTGGCATCCTAACCATACTACTTTGGATTATCACCCGCGTTCATTGCTACAGACAGTAGTTTCACCGTTTCATCCTGAGTACCTGGTCTAAATATGCGTTGGGGAATGTCTCGTTCAACTTCTAATTAGCTAGTCCAAAATTCACATGCCCCCCCTCCGGCCAAAACCTGACTTTCTCTCCGAGATCGACCCTTCTATACTTGCACAGGCTGGGGGAAATCAATCTGATCATCATCAAGATAATTCACATTAATCTTGTCATGTTTTTCATTCTCGGTCCAGCCATCTCCAAACCACCCGGTCGGATTGTCGTTGACATACTTATAGTCAAAGTCTTCCCAACGGGGATTTGCGAATACCTTCATCGCATGAAGGGAGGACCCTAGTTCCAGTTAGTAAATGTAGCGAGAAAACCCCCCGAAGATTGTTACCATACCAGGCCATAGTGCAATGATGCGCCCATCTTCAGTACCACCCTTGTACCAACTTCGACATTTGCTGCTGAAGACGGTGCCTGCGAAGTATTCATCGCAATACTGCGTAAAACGCCGGACTGCGTCGGCTTTTACAGCCAGAGTGCGGATGTTGTCGCGTTGCATCTTCTTCACACATTCTGTGAAGTAATCGATCTCCCTTTCGATCAAGATGAGCAAGTTACCTTCTCCCAGGCCGGCGTTGGGCCCGAGGGAGATGAAGTAATTGGGGAACCCATCGGTTGCGACCGAGATGTATGTCTCGGGAGTCTTTTTCCAGCGCTCCGCCAGAGTGAGTCCACCTCGTCCCTTGATAGGGAATCGTGGAGTATGGGTTGTATCAAACCCGGTAGCACAAACAATTGCATCGACCTCTCGGTGCTGACCATCTGCTGTGAGAATACCTGTCGCGTCAACCTTGACAATGTCAGACTTGATGATATCAACCTTCTCATCCGTCAAAGCCTCGAGATAGCCTGGGCCCGGTGTCAAGCGTCTACAAGCTGGCGGGAATGAAGGAATAAGATCATCCGCAAGCTCAGGCTTGTTCGTCAAGCGCCGCTTCATATTTGTGACAAAGGCTTCATGGGCTCCCACTTGCATAGGGTGACCAGTGAGGGTGGCCCCATGGATAGACTGCAACTCGAGCTCCACTTCTATTCATACAGTTAGACCGCTGCATGACCGCCACTCATCAAGATCTCGACTTACCTTTACGGAATTTCTGGTAAGCTTCATGGTCGTTTTTGAAAGTCTCAATGTCCTCCGGTGTGAAGTTATCTAAAGCCAGAAGTTAGAAAGTCACGGCTGACAGATCAAGTTGGCTTACAGTTCTCTAGTCCCTTGCCACGTTTATCAATCTGCTCTCTCGCAAAAGTTGGAGAAACCCAGGTCCGGCTGCGAATATAGTGATCAATATGGGTCACCTTCGGAAGCATCCCGGGCACAATTTGAATGCCACTGGAACCGTTTCCAATCACAGCCACCCGTTTGTTCTGTACAAGGGTCAGAAGCAATCTTTTTGTGCGATTAAGACTGAACATACCGAATAGTCATATTCCTCATCCCAAGAGGCACTGTGCAGCAGCTTGCCCTTGAAGTCATGGAGACCAGGGATATTTGGCCATTTCCAGTTGTTGAGAGCACCAGTCGCTTGGATGAGAACATCAGCTTGGTCGCTATACGTTGAGCCACTATCCATGTCTTGGATCTGATGCGAGCAAAGTCAGTCACCTATATTCCGATGCCCGGACCCATGTACTGACTTGAACATGCCACTTTGAGTTCTCTTCATCCCAGGTGGCCCCTTCAACCTGCTGCTTCAACTTGATGTATTTCATGCATCCATACTTGTCAACAATCCGCTTCCAGTATCGGTGAATCTCCGGTGAAGTGGCATAGAATGAAGACCATTCCTTGTTGGGCTCGAAGGTAGCCTGGTAGGTGTGTGCGGGAATATCTGACCCAAGAACAGTGAATATCAGCATCGAATCAGTAAAGAATTACAAGGCATCAAATGCCGAAACAATATCAGGTCACATACCACATGCACAGCCTGGGTACCGGTTCTAAAAGCAGCGTCCGTCAGTCAAATTCTGCAAATACCTCCAGGGCCCATGAATAGTTCATGAAAGGCAATTTCATAACACCCACAGAGAGAAACTAACCTCAACCCAAGTTCCTCCAATATCCGCGTTCTTGTCATAGATGCACAGATCAAGATTTGGAATTCTCTGGACAAACCGGATGCAGGCGAGAATGCCCGAGATACCAGCGCCAATGACCACAACTCTCAAGGGTCTGCCTTCATCCACAGACCGACCTTCAATGATAGTTTTGGGGGTCTGTTGAGGCTCTTCCTTTTCGGGAACGGGCTTAGGACTACCACTGAATACTCGCGACAGACGCTTCATGGCTGCTGTGGATGATTCAAAAAGTATGAACGCAACAAGCGAGGACAATAGAAGTATAGATGGGCCTTCTGGCTCGAATCTTCGATGATCTAAATCGCCAAACAGGCTATTGAATGCTACAGGCGGACCATTACCGAATTATAAGTCATCCACGCCATTCCAAGAGTCAATACCCCTATAGGCTCCCACCTCGTCGGATCCTTCGACCGGATATACAGACCGTCCTGGAGCAGTACACACCCCGAAGCCTAATCTGGTCACTGACCAGAAAATCAAAGTATATCGAAGCCTCCTCCCCGGTCTCACTCAGCTTGAATATCCCTCGGTTACAGGAAATCCCCCTTCGAAGATCCACAGTTTTCGGATATAGGCACTATTGACATGTCCACATCCTTTCGTATCCACAGTTCTGGTCACTAGGCGGAGGGGGGGCCGGGAGCACGAGGCGCTGCCTTGAAGTGAATGGCTCCCCGGGAATCCCCCATGGAGGTCACCCCCACAGGGCTCGAAACGCGGGGGGACGGGGTAGCCTCTCGCCTATTATGGAGCCCAGGGACAGGCTGATCAACAACATAGGCTGTGACTGTCGGCTGGACCGGAATAATCAGCCTGACGTCTGTCTGACCCGTACAATGAGTGGACGATATTGATTCCCGCTGGCTGAATGATCATGTGGACTTACGCCAACTCGGCACTGAATTTCCCCACACTGCCGGATTCGCGAAACTAATTGCCGAGGTGCCTGATTTGGTGTAATATTGACTAATGCGACTGGCTAGGAATTTGTATGAGCGCGGAAATAGTCCACAGGACAGTTATGGTACTACTTTATCGGGGACACTCGGCACTATGACCAAGCCCACGGAAGGACCCCGCCTAGGACTCAAACATGGCGTTGGATGTCAAAAAATAGGGTTTCTTATACACCAAGCCGGGCAAATTTGAGTCTTCAGTCAAGGCAATAAAAACATAATCGGTGGTGTGCCGACACACGAGTAGACTTGCGAAGATACCTTATGTCTTCACAGCGCCGCGTTCCTAACAATGACCTGGACAAGGAACCGGGGATTCCACGGTAAGCAAACCGGTCTAAGCATCACAGATTGAGGGTCGATTCGAATATCACTCTACATCTGGACAAAAAAGGAAGAAGTCGCTGCACTTGAATTGTATTTGTCGTCATTTCATGCATCTTACACTAGGGAAGAGTTACCATCGGGCAGTTACAGGAATTGCACATAGATATTGCACCCAAACTCATATAAGATATGGATTATACCTGTTCAAAATATTGTATATCATCAGTGAGCGGTCGTTCACTCTGAAAGGCAGTGTGATTCGCTCAATATTTCAAAGGGGCGCAAAAGAATTTTATGTGCATCTACTCTCGCCCGGTTGAAGACATATCACTCTGACAAAGTACAGTGAGGGCTTTATCGTGCTATCCTGCTGTCGTGCAAGTCAAGCAGTAGTCAAGCAGTAGTCAACAGAGATTCTTGATCATCCGGGTTTTTCGTCAGATCACGATTTTTCGTCGGATCACGACTTTTGCTGGCATCACGCTTTTTGCTAGAATTCCAATTTTTTCGATGTTTCGCATTTGCATTATCTGATCCTACCAGCTTCTACCATCTTGCTGTCGCCCAAGACAAGCACTGGTCAAACAAGGTTCTTGATACCTGGTCCCCATGATCAGAGTCCAATTGCGATTCCATACGTAATAACAATTAGATCTGCGACCAAATGGTGCTTCAATGTTGTGAGGTCTTGTCAAAATGCCCCCTTTAGTTTTGATTTCTGATGATCAGGTCGGTCGGCTCCCAATATGTGAGGCATCGAATCTCCAAGTAAGCAATTATCTGATTGTGATCGGAAAATTGCGAGTACTGGGTGTTAGATAGTAGTTGTAGGTATGCACGTACAGGCGTGATGCAACTGTACTACAACTGTAAACAATTTCGATCATAACATGGTCCCACTATGTTCTCTGCGCACTGGACAGTTTGAATGCTATTTTCCAAAATTAACTCGGAATTATGATCGTGGAGGCAAGGAATCACGCCTATCATGGGATCCATAAATCCGAGTTTTGGCGCTGTTGAGCCAATCTGCGTATGCGGACTCCCCCCGAAGGCCCCAGTGTAGCCTCAGCCATGAGACTACGGGTATTACTGAACGATTACTAGAAGCTCACCAATCCAAGCAGTGGCCAGCTCTCTGATCGACCTCCACCTCCTATTGGCTTATTCTATATACTTTGATCCATCAGACCCATGGATTCATTGCGGAAATGCATCATACTTGCCCACACGGACCGTTCTCCTCTATTCCCCGCCATTTACCAAGTATTTGTAGAGTCGAATTGCACCCACCACGCAGTCGTGGAGATTTGAATAAATGGTCAATCGTGCCCATGAAACCAAAATGTAAATTATTGACCTTAAATTTGGTACTTTCATTAAACAATAAACCGGGCTCAAGTACACGATAGGAACCACTTGAGAGCCGCCATGCCCGTCTTCACCGAATATGCAGCCGCGTCGCGTGAGCTACGCGTCCTTCCTTCTTTTGCATCCCCACTACCACGTCTCACACCAAAACCACAACCGGATGGAAAGACTGAGAGATATGAGGTTGTTATCGTGGGGGCTGGTCCAGCAGGACTCATGCTTGAGCTCTTACTGGCGCGATACGGACTGAGCGACGAGTCATTGCTGTGTGTCGACGCCAAGTCGACAACACTAAAGTCTGGGCAGGCCGATGGACTTCAACCGCGGACTCTAGAGACCTTGAAGTCGCTAGGCCTGGCAGATGAGATTCTCACCGAGGGTTGCCAGATGTGGCAGGTAATATTTCGCCCAAAAGCCTAATACAAGACTTTGTATTAACAATTTACTCACAATAGGTCGCATTCTGGAACCCCTCGAACGACGAGGATAAGATCATCGAGCGCACTTCAATTGTCCAAGACGTCGCTGTACCTGCCCGATTCCCCCATGAAGTCACGATTCACCAAGGCCGCATTGAGCGGATTCTGGAAACAGATCTGCTTCGCTACTCGAAACGCGGCGTGCAGCGCAATACCAAGCTGATCGATGTGAAAATCGACGAGGAAGTGGATGCAGAATTCCCCGTTGTTGCCGAAATAGAAACTGAGGGCCAACATCGAACCGTGCGAACAAAATATTTGGTAGGAGCTGATGGTGCTCACTCCGTTGTGAGACGCTCCATGGGACTTAAATTGGAGGGCGAATCGCTTGATCATATCTGGGGCGTAGTCGACTTGATTGTCGACACGGATTTCCCCGATATTCGTCGTCGCTGTGCTATTCACTCGCCGGCGGGCTCGGTCATGGTGATTCCTCGTGAGCGCATTGCGACCGGTGACTACTTGACACGGTTGTATGTGCAAGTACCTGGAGATGTCAAGCCAGACAGTGATCAACAAACGACGGATGGTCCCATCGCCGCCCCGACGGCTGATGCAAGAGCCCGTCGCAGCCAAGTTACGGAAAAGACCATATTCGATAATGCGGCAGCAGCATTCAGGCCTTACTATATCCGCCCAAAAACAGATGGTGCGGTGGATTGGTGGGCAGCCTACCAGATTGGTCAACGAGTGACGGACAAGTTTTCTGTTAAGGATTCAAAGGGCGTGAACCGAGTTTTCATCGCGGGAGATGGTATGTCCATATTCAAGCAGAGGAACATGATGATTACAATACTGATCTTATTCTTCTCCAGCCTGCCACACACACAGTCCCAAGGTATGTATAAGATATCATGTTCAGACGTCGATCGAAGTGAACTAACGATTCCCAGGCCGGCCAAGGGATGAATGTTTCAATGATGGACTCTTATAACTTGGCCTGGAAATTGGCGTACAGTATCCACGGGCTGACCCCAGAGGGCGCTCAAGGGCAACCTGATCCGATTCTTGACACATATCACACTGAACGCCACACTATTGCACAAGAACTGATTGAGTTTGACCGCGCATTCTCTTCCATGTTCTCTGGAAAGATTGGAGCATCTGAAGATGGTGTTGAAGGTTTAACACATGAAGAGTTCCTTGAAGTGTTCAGTCGAGGAAACGGCTTCACCAGCGGCTGTGGAATTGAGTATCCCGAGAATATCGCCGTGGACCGAGCCCTGGATGGTGACAAGAATCCAATCAGTGGCACCGATTATTTGTCTGGTATTCTGCGACCGGGGCGAAGACTGCTGAATGTGCGTCTCGTTCGACATGCAGATGGCTATCGCCGCGATCTTCAAGACGGTATGAAAATGTCTCAATCTCTCAAATACGAAGCATTGCTAACGAAATCATAGATTTTGCATCCACCGGTCGATTCCGCATCTTGTGCCTCACTTCATCAGATCTCCTGGTTCTGCAAGGAACGTCCTCTCTGACACTCACTAAGCTTGGTGCAATCATTTCTCAGTTCCCGCAATCAGTTCTAGAGCAGGTGGTTATCCATCCTCGCCTGTCAAAGGAATTCGTGTGGAGTGATATCCCAAGCGAGGTGAAGCAACACTCGGAAATGTCATTCTACAGTGGGTATAAGATGGATGATGTTTACGGCATCTATGGAGTTGATCCGAGCAAAGGTGCACTGGCTGTCGTTAGGCCTGATGGATATGTTGGAATTCTCGCCGATCTGGGCGATGTCCAGAGGATAGACAACTATTTGGGTACAATGATCCGCCGGAACTAGTTTGAGGTGTATAGAAATGGACATGTTGAGAAATATGGCCCCCAATCACAAGAGCACTCGATTCTCGCATGATGATAATGATCGTTTTCAGTCCAGAAAGCTTGATTGTACACATTTCTAGGTGTGGTTACAGTGTTCGCTGCAACAATTCAAGTTTGCCGAATTCACCGAATATCCCGATATTGTCCGGATATCGGTTTGGCGACGTCCCGATTGCTGCAGAAACTGTACCGGTAACACTCGGTGAATTATCCAAGGGTTGATTATGCCTTGCTATATAGCGTAAGTACGGAGTAGTTGCCATCGATGCTTGACGCGATTTCTTACCAACAAGGATTCATGACCACCACATGCGACCAGGATTCCGAAGAACCATCAAAGAAACCACAGTCTGGCGTGACATCTACAAAGGCCGTGCTATTTTAGAAAGCCGTGAAGAATCGATCTGGAATGTACCCATCACAACATTCCGCTCCATGCAACAGGGGCGACGCGACCAACCCAGAAGAGCCGATCCCTATCACTAGTTTCACCAGCCTCTCAACTATGAAGTCAGCTAAAGGGGAGGACCCTCGAGAGGACACAAACAGTGGACCAAAAGTGGACCTAGAAGCAGGTCATAAGCAGTCCACTGCGGGAGGACCCTCTAAAGGAGCAGAGAGTAAGGACGTTACACTAGTAAGACCTACCTCACCCCCGTTCATCAGTCTCGGTTACCGACAACCCCAGGTTACATGGAATGGCCCTGAAGACCCCGACAACCCCAAGAACTGGCCAACCACGAAGAAATGGCGAGCCGCCGTGCTCGTATCATTTTTCACATTTATCTCTCCGGTTTCATCGTCTATGGTTGCACCCGCCCTGGAACGTATTGCAGTCGAGTTTAAGATAACAGACGACGTACTGTTAGAGTTGACCTTGTCAACCTTTGTATTGGCATATGCGGTAGGGCCACTCTTTTTAGGCCCCCTATCCGAGATCTATGGAAGAAAGATCATACTGCAGCTCACAAACTTGTTTTACATTGTCTTCAATGTTGCATGTGGCGTCTCCAAATCAACTGGGCAGATGATCGCGTTCCGCTTCCTCGCTGGACTTGGAGGAAGTGCACCACTGGCAGTGAGTGAGAGATTCTTCGTCATTTAATGCTATAGGCTAATGAACACTCTTAGATTGGAGGTGGTGTTCTCGGTGACTGTTTTCGTCCTGAAGAGCGTGGAAAGGCCCTCGCCATCTATGGCCTAGCTCCTCTGCTAGGCCCTGCGATCGGACCGATTGCCGGTGGTTTTATTGCAGAAAATACTACATGGCGATGGGTCTTCTATGCAACTTCTATCACCGCCGGGCTCATTCAGATCGCTGGGTTTTTCTTCCTGCCGGAGACCTACGGTCCAGCGATCCTGGGCAGCAAAGCGAAGAAGCTTCGCAAAGAGACGGAAAATCAGAATTACCAGACCGAGAGCGAGCGACAACACCAGAGTCCTGGCAAGATCATCAGCACAGCCTTGGTTCGCCCTTTCCGGCTTCTGACCACGCAGCCCATTGTGCAAATCTTGGCCTTGTACATGGCTATTGGTAAGTGACGAAATTTTGTCCGCCAGTATCCCCATTCATAGAAGCTGATCAACAACCACAGTCTATGGGACTATGTACCTGACCTTGGCCACTTTCCCAACCCTGTGGACCAGCAAAGCATACTACGGCGAGTCAGCCGGCATCGGCGGCCTCAACTATATCTCCATGGGACTAGGCTTCATGCTTGGCTCTCAAACTTGCGCCCCACTCATCGATCGCATCTACCGGCATCTCAAAAGTCGCAACAATAATATTGGTCGACCGGAATTCCGAGTCCCCTTGATGGCAGTAGCAGCATTCTGCAATCCAGTCGGTCTTTTCATCTACGGCTGGACTGCACAGACACACTGCCACTGGATTGCACCCAATATCGGTATTTGCATCTTCAGCATTGGCAACATTGTCGCATTCCAGTGTATTCAGACCTACATCGTTGACTCTTATACACGATATGCGGCGAGTGCACTTGCTGCCGCGGCGTTTCTGCGGTCTCTGGCTGGTTTCAGTTTCCCGCTCTTTGCGCCTTATATGTTTGATGTGTTAAAGTATGGCTGGGGCAACAGTGTTTTGGCCTTTGTGGCCATTGGAATCGGGATACCTGCGCCTATTCTTCTTTGGCGTTTTGGGCAGAAGCTGAGAGCTGCAAGTCCCTTTGCTGCAGGAGGGTGATTCAAACAAGTTTTGCTGTGTGGTGAAAGTGACTTCTGTTTGTATCGTATAGAAGAAAAAACCCCCCTCAATTCTATTTTGTCCCCTCCCATTTTGAAAGAAAGTCTGAAGTCAAAACAATTCCAATGTTATTCTTGATTCCTAGCGACATTGTCCCGGGCGAAATTATTTGGGAGTCTTTCCCCAGCCACAAGCCAAGCCATTGTGTCGGAACGGCCCCCACGACAATTGTCAGAGCCCTAGGGGCGCAGCAAAGTCTGCCAAAATGCTGATCAGTGTTAAACAGTCCGATCGGACAGAAATTGGGCCGCTGGTCCCGCGAGAGTTACCAAAAAGCGCCAATGTCAGCCTTAAGGGGGTCACAACGGGCCAACAGGAGGCCGCGTAGGGTTGTATGAAAATTAGCATCAAAGATGTGCCAAGTCGAGGCCAAGAATTTTCTGTGCTGGTCTGAAAGTTCAGTACTGGCATAAAGCAAGAATGCCAGAATTGATTGGAGTGATTGGTGTTGAATCGCTGAAGTTTCATACAGTCGACTGGATTTCTCAAATGAGCGACGACAAACTATTGCTACGTATCCACGATGACGAATTCCAATATCGAAGAGTAACTTCCCTTGTTCCCTCGCTTGAAACTCACTTGAAACCTCGTTCGATCTGTGGTAGCATGGCTGGTGACGGAATTTTCACGTATCGTGATGGGATTGCCGCAGCCCAAGTTGTCGCCTTCTCAGATTCAAGTATACTTGCCGGATAGGCTGTTTTTGCATCGGGGTTTTCTCGCTTCTCCAGCTAGTCAGCGCTAGCTGCAAGCTGGCAACTATCAACAATGACTCGCGTGGACTCTCGGCGGCGATATTTGTCTGTGAATCCTTGGGAATGATTTTGATTATCTTTCTCCTACTAGAGATGCTTGGAAGAATGTAAGTGAATTGCCATCTCAAAGCGGCAAGAATGCGAGATTACTAATCTTCTATGAAAAGAAACAAAGTTGTCACCATCGTTGCGAAACTCATGTTCTGGATTCCTTCCATCGTCACCTGGATCGATATCGGCATTTCCATCGGCGGCTGGGTCTCCGTCACGCAGGCCGAACACTCGTTGGCCCCCACACCATGGAGCCGAGCAAGTATAGCCTTGCTAGCATTTATATATCTCTACCTGGTTGGAATTTTTATTCTCTTCTGGCTTCATAAGGCTGAATATTTCGCGGAAGAACGGTGGGCCCTGGCCGGTGTTGCATTTTGTGTGCCGCTGCTTGCAATACGGGTTGCCTACTCTCTCATTTTCGTCATTACTGGCAATATAGCTTTCAACGCGATGAAGGGCAACCCGACCTTATATTTGATTATGACTATGCTTCCTGAGTTTTTCATTATTGCCGCTTGCACATATATCATTGCGACTAGAATTTCTCCGCTCGTTAAAACAAGGAAGAAGGTTCAACAAACCACCGAGGAGGAAGAAAGCCGACAACGGCTCTCCATCGGAAGTTGAAGGTTATTATGTGTTCCATACTCTGTATGTGGATTAATGTAGATTGTGCTTATGTTGTCATTTTTGATTAATGTACTATCTCTGGGATCGATCTTAAGTGGCAACTATGTTGTAATCTATAGATAAGGACAATTTTCGAACCATTAGATGTTGTAATTAGCCCCTACACCGGCTATCGCTTGTCACTAGGATATATAGTTATGATTAAATACATCAGCGAGTGTAGCGGAAGCTAGAGATCTCCTTGTCAGTCTTATTGTTCTGCTCTTCCATGAGATCATGAACATCATGGCTCTCAGATACCACTCCAGTTCGTCGATCCCGTCTCTTATTCTCCCAAGTGTAGTAAACCCACAAGCACCCCAAGAAGAACACACCTAGAGCCAACCCGCACAGGGATGCTTCGATACCGCTCTGATTTGATAAAGTATCAGTAAAAAGTACGACATCTCAAGTATTGAGGACACAAATACCGAGTAAACCGGCTCCTGCGAAGCGTAAAAGAATTGAGGTCCCACGATATTGCCCACGCAGTAAGCGGCAAACATAGCAACACTAATAGTGCTTCGCTTTGTGGATCCAGCGACGTTGGACGTGACAATACTCAGACTGAGTGGGATATTGGCAGCGAATGCGGAAACAAAGGCCAGGCCAACGAGTTTGACGACCTTGTGGATGTCATCGAGGGTATAGATCAAAACAATACCAATAACGGCGACTGTCACGTTCAACATCATGGCCATAATGCGTGATGATGGGATGTATGTGCAAATGGTGGCGGTGATTATGAGGAAAACTAGCTGGGAAAGTCCAATCGGCATCTGGAGCAATAAAGACTTGAACTGCGAATAGCCAAAGCCTGTGATAATGATGGCGGAAAACTATTTCGACGTTAGCGGAATGACTCCGGAAGTATTGGGGTGAATATTACGCACGCTGGTGAGTCCACCATTAGCAAGGTTGACGCAGAAAGTGTAAAACACCAAGCACCAGGCCTGCGGGTCTTTCACAGCATCGGCGACTTGACTCCATTGGAATATTTCTGTCGCCTCCACAGCCCCGGTTCTGTTCTTCAGTGTTCGCTGTACTGCGATTCTCCGTTCGGATTCTGTAAGGAAGATTGCCTTGGCGGGAGAGTCAGGAAGAATGAAGGCGAGGATGATGCCGTATCCAGAAGTGATTCCTCCAAGAACGAGGAACAAAACACGCCAGCTTTGAAGAGCTGACGGAGAATGCCCAATTCCCCATGCAACGAGACCACCAATGATATTAGCAACACAGTTACCAACAAACCAGGCTGCTTGTCTGATAGAAAGAGGGCATCAGTTCACTGGACCGTGTAGTCCTTTTGGTATCTTGACAGAAATACTTACCGCGAGGGTTGCTCTTCTCTCTTGTAGAACATTCCTGTGATGATACCAAATCCCGGAGCAACGGCAGCTTCACCAACGCCAAGGAAGAATCGAACAGTAGCCATGCCTGCGTAGTTGTGACAGGCTGCATGACACATGAGAACTCCACCCCACAAGAATCTGCACATCAAAAAGTTAGCGTGGGAATTGGAGTTGATGCTTCCTCTTAACGTACACAGTCGCAGCCAGATATTTGCCTAGAGGAAGGCGCACGATCAGATAAGAAGTAGGCCAGCTCCATGCGAGATAACCAAAGTAAAAGACTGCAGAGCACCATGCATATTGATTGCCAACAAGGTGCTATACGGTGTTAATATTTGACAAGTTAGTGTAGTGTGGTGTGTCACTGACAAGATCTTTTCGCAAGTTTAGAAGAACTGCTTGGCTAAGTGCAAGTTTGTCCATGTATTGCAACATATAGCACAGACCCATCGTTGGAATCATACTACAATGAGTCTTAGAATCCCTCATGTTTTTGTGAGAGGGACGCGCATTACTCACAACAAATCCAACTTCCATAGGACACGACGCTCCTCTTCAGGAGTGAAGTCAGTATACTCCCCAACGGAGGCATCCTGGTTTATCTCATCCTTGACATCAACTCTCTTCTTTTCGTCATTGTACGGCTCTTGCGCTGTACTCATTGTAAAAAGAGAGATGATCAAAGCGAAAAGTAGATTGGTATTTTAGTGTCCGGTGATATTGCTGCGAAACAAAATAGCCTGGAGATGGATTACTCGATGAACTTATACTCGATGAACGTATATGCCACTTTGGTTAATGGTAAAGTATAAACAAAGATATACGTATCCCCTCTTTGACCTGGCACCAAGAACTCTCGCTTACGAGGCGCCAAGCTACAGCCAATCTCTCTCACGCTCACGGAGTTTGCGACGCGTAACTTAGATAGAGATGCTTCTCGCGATAAAGCATAGGCCTCAGACAAAAGATACATGCGATAAAGCCCCGATTTCAAGCGGTATCTCTCTTATCCAAGGAGATTTCCTATCAGACAGGGTGAGACAACTTCGATTTCCCGCGGGAAAGCCTTGAGGGCGAGCATAAGGCGAGCATAAGAAAATATAACTCGGTACACGGATATGAGGTCGGCAAATTAAAACCTGTCAATTGGTCTAAGTGAAGCGAGCTTAGGAGGGGGTGAGAGGGGAAGTACGCAATTCGTGAGGCTTGGAAATTATCATTTAGGTCGGCAAATTTCGAGTTGCCGATTGGCGGATGTCAGCCTAAAGTCAATGCATCGATTTCGGCAATTCAAACTCTAATCGCTGGCCCCGCATTGGTCATTCTTATCTTATACCGCATGATCGCGTATAAAGATAAGATTATGAGGACTGGGCGGTTGACACAAAAACACCAATAGTTAAGTAGGGCCAAACATAGTTAATGAGTCAATTGATGAAAACAACTGTTTATGCTTTGATCAATGATTTATGCATGCTCGTATACAAGAACCCGGCTTTGAGATGCCGTTTACCCCAGAGCTCAGTTTGGGGATGACGGTAAACCAGAACTATAAAAGGCGCATGTTCGCATACAAGTGAAGGGTCATAGTTATTGCAACAATTTTCCAATCACAATAAGCAATTTTCTTTTCAGCCATAAAGAAAATATTTTCTTCCCGGCCCTGATTACATCTTCTTGAACTTCAAAATGGCTCTCGGCCCTACTATCTCGATCCCTCCCAAGGAAGCCCAGGCTGCAATTGACAACGCCCTGGAGAAAGTGTCCAAGCAGCTCCGTGAACTGAACCATTATGTATGGCTCCATTCTTCTTCCCAGGAAACTAAATTTTAGAAGTCATCTGACTGACCATGAACTCTAATCTTCGTAGATTTGGTCTAATCCGGAACTGGCATATGAAGAGCACAAGGCGCATGATGCAATCTGTGACTTCCTTGAAAGCCAAGGGTTCACAGTTACCCGCCATGCTTATGGAGTAGATACATCGTTCGAATGTATTAGTGGCACCGAAGGCCGACTCGTTAACTTCAACGCTGAATACGATGCGTTACCAGACATCGGTCATGCCTGTGGCCACAATCTTATCGCCACTAGCAGCATTGCAGCCTTTTTGGCACTGTCTCATCTGCAGAAGGAGTATGGGGTCAAAGGAAGAATCCAACTACTTGGCACTCCCGCAGAAGAGAATGGTGGAGGCAAGGCTAAATTGATCGATGCTGGTGCTTATAAGGGGGTTGATATCTCTTTGATGTCGTAAGTCCGCTTCTCGATTGAAATCTCCCAGCTTGATGATTCGATGATCCTCATATTTCCTATCTAGTCATGGTGGACCAACAAATCTGGCTGGACTCCCTAGCGATGGAGTTGCAGGAGTCTTGATGAATGCCCGAAAAGAGCTACATGTGGAATATTTCGGCAAGAATGCTCACGCCGGAGGTAATCCATGGGATGGTGTGAACGCATTGGACGCACTGGTCCAGGCATACAACGGAATATCGACCCTGCGACAACATATTCTGCCAGACGAGCGCATTCACGGGGCCTTCCTGGACGTGCCAAAGGTCGCCAATGTAATTCCAGCTTACACAAAGTCCTACTGGCAAATTCGAAGCCCAACTTTGCAAGGACTCAACAAGCTTATCGCCAAGGTTCGACAGTGCATAGAGGGGGCGGCTATTACGACTGGCTGTACAGTCAAAATTGAAGAGTGAGTCTTTAAGAAAAAGATTTTGCATAACGGATGGTAACAAGGGAACTATAGGGAGGGTCTTTACACCGATATCGTGCTAAACGAGACTTTGTGTGAGCGATTCACAGGCCATATGGCAGGTTACGGAAAGAAAATCATTCCGAAGTACGATAAGGTCCTGACTGGTTCATCCGATGTTGGTGAGTTCAAATACCCTGTTCCCGGTTCTTCAGAGCCAGATCGTTGATACCAGAAAAGGCAATGTAAGCTACGTCGCACCAACACTTCATTCTATGTTCGCCATTCCGACACCAGAGGGGGCCTTCCCCCATCACCCGAGTTTTGCAGCTTCCGCTGGAACAGACGAAGCTCACGAGGAAGCCATCTTTACTGGCAAGGGATTGGCCCTTACGGGCTGGGATATGTTGTGCGACGATGGTCTTTTTGAGTTGGCTAAGGCGCAGTGGGAGGGGCAGCTCCCGGCGCCCGCTCATAAGTGAAAGGGTAATATGAGGTCTTGTAATTTCAATTGAGAGTTTTTCAGACTTACAAGAATGTACCAATGAATAAATTATGAAGTATAGAGGCTCGTGTTCGTACAACGAGGTCAATAAATTTGCCATGCTGATAAATGCGAAGGGGTGAAACAATCTGGAACCACCAGTTTACTGAGATCGTGATCGAAGTCCCTGATATCGAAGCATGAGCAAACATCCGTCTCCAATCTTGTGCCACATGAACAACCATCTCGGTGAGTTTAACTTCACGATGAATGACATGACCAGTATTGAAGAAGAGGATTTTCAGAGCAGAGCGTAACGCTGGCCAATGGGGAAGATCGGATTCTCCACTGTGCGCGGGTATGCGGGGGTGGAGACATGAAGACCTGTCTCCGCAGAGTGGTCATGCCCATCGCATCTGAACGTTCCCCGAAACGATGTCCAATAGCCGATTCAAGCCCAGGTCATTTGCACCTTAAGCCACGAAGAGACTTTGACGAGATGATAGTTGAAAAATTTCCATGCTGTTATAAGAGCGATGTGCCAGTAGCATGTCAAATGCGTGGCTACCTTTTTCTGATCGTTCAGAGCAAGATAACCGTGGACTTTCATTGAGTTTTACCAAGCCGAAATGACCGTGGATGTTCGCTCCAACCAAGGACCCGCGGTTCCAGCCCAGTGGCTTCGCCGGACGCCGAAGGAGGCATCCTTTGAAGAGATACGCAGAAGGTTGAGAGAAGATGGCTACGTTTATGTCAAGAACCTCCTGCCAAGGGACGATGTACAGAAAGTCCGCGAGGAGCAAGTCTCAAAGATAAGCCTGGACTAAATATATGCAAAAGCTAATCTTATCGCGTTTAGGTACTTCAAGTTATACGAGCCGACCGGAATAATCAAGCCTGGATCGGCACTTGAAGATGGGATTTTTAATGATTCGAATGACCCGCTTGAACATGGCGGGATAGGAGCCGGGGAACTTCCACCAACCACCGAGCAGGTGCAAGCCATGATCGATGCCCATACACAGCCGAAGTACCTACAGCTTATGGAACATCCTAATCTCCGATCCTTCGTCAAGGGAATTATGGAATGGAAGAAGGAAATCCTGCTCAAACGTACCATGATCAGACACAATGCTCCACATGCGCTCAGCACTGGTGTACACTATGACAAGTTGTTTCTTAGAAAAGGAGAAGCTGAATTCCTAACGGCGTGGGTGCCCATCGGTAAGCACTCTCGCATACGCTTCCTCTTTAGGTCTATATCCCGAAACTAATGATGAGGCTCGCAGGAGATATTAGGGCTGACGGGGGCGGCCTGATGTATCTTGGCAATTCCGTCCAAGTGGGACGTGAGATTGAGGCGGATTTTACCCGTCGCGCCAAGGATCTGTCTGAAGAAGAGCGTCTGAGCGCATTCAACGTACACATGGAAAAATATGGGCAGTTGTCGCAGAATGCAAATGAGTTTGGCAGGGCTCACCAGACAAACGGTGGGGTAGGTGATCGGCGCTGGCTTGTGGCTAATTACGATGCGGGCGACGTGGTATTTCATGACCCGTATATTGTGCATGCAAGCTCAAAGAACGAGGGCCATGATGGGCGGATTCGGGTCAGCACAGACCTTCGATTTTACGAAGAGGGGAGTGACATGGATGACCGTTGGATGCAACTATGGACACCTGGGGACGGGCTGTAAGGCTGTGGAATATGGCACAATATGGGCTGAGTAGTAGTTGATCTATTTCTGCTTGGTTGACCCCTTCCCTTGGCCCGCCCCCCGTGTGGCTTTGGTATGATCGGCCGGAACCAGAAGAGTGGGTTGGCAGCTTGTAACTGCTATTAAATTGTCAGTATACTCTTGAAAGTTCATGATATTTTCTTACTCCAGGGGTTTAATCAAACTTCATGACATGAATCGTGTTTCAAATTGAGACTGAGATCGAGTACAAACAATTCTAAGGTGTAACTAAAGTTCTTTCATTTATTGTGTACTGTATCGACAGGGGGCCGCCTAGACTCGGGCTGACATGCACCCACCACGTTGTTGGTGCAGCCCGACCAATGGAAGCCAAATGAGTGCCGTGCTGACTGCATTGCTGAAGATTGTCGTGGGACTAGACAGTTGAAAGACCCTTGGTTTCGTGGGGCCTTATCCATCAAAGTTCATCTGCGACTCAAGGGGCTGCAATTCAAAGAGTTTTTGACTCGATTTGTTTTATAGCTTACTCGAAATTAACCATATAGATGTGTCATCTTTGCCTGAAAGGTAAAGTAGATTAAAAGAGATCTTTTACGTGCGTAACGGAAGTAATCTTTTCTGTGTCCTGTACCACAAGCTTGGTCCCGGACTTATTATTATTAACCCTTGGGGGCCCAGCAGAAGGTCATCCGAACCAGCAAATCAGGAGTGCTGGTTAAAAGACCCAAAGAACAATACCAACAGCGCCCCCAAGTGGATCGGCAGTGTGGGGGGCCAACGATTAACTAAATATGGTTGGGCCCTGCAAACCCTGTTCTCTTTTGGGTAACTGAGGCTTGCACAGGCGGTCGGATAGTCGAAGACAAAAAGAAAAAGCACAGTTAGACAAAGCATGCTATGCTGCTCACCGTATTCTATTCGCTCAGCCTCAATATGGCTGGGCCCCCCTCGGGTTGCCCTGTCACCCTCTGGTCTTTTCATCCTGCATGATCTTTTCTTCCTTCCTCCACATCCCTTCATGGAACTTAACGGTGTAGTGTACTACGAATCCAATATTCATAGTCATCTTCCAACATGCTGTTCGCACAGCGAGTGCTTAGGCCACTTTTCATCTCGGTCGCCTTGACGAGCCTTACATGCGCCGCACAGACTTACTCTGATAGCTCATCGACGCCAACATCTGGGAGCAGTTCAATAACTTCCACTTTCTCCACCTCCACGACGACATCGACTGGCAGCGTGACACATACTGTTCAAGTCGGACCTAAGTCGAGTCCACATGCATACGTTCCACATAATCTCACGGCCAATCCTGGCGATGTTGTGGTTTTCGAATTCTACCCGACAAACCACTCGGTCGTGAAAGCAGACTTTGGGGCGCCATGTGTGCCGGCCTCTGGGAGTTACTTTTATTCTGGGATGTTTAATAGCTTCAGTGAGAATAATGGTCAACTGATTGGTCCGGTAAGCACGATCAAATAGAGATCGGATCGGGATATCGACAAAATCGACTAACATTTGTGATGATTGCAGCCACCGACCTGGTCAGTGGTTATCAATGATACTGAGGTAAGAGAAATGGCTTCGTCTATGTTATAGGGACATTTATCTGACAATTGACTTTGTTAGCCAACCTTTTTCTACTGCACTGCGATCGGCTCATGCCTGGAAAATGGAATGGTGGGCGTCATTAACCCGGTAAGTCTAAAACAGTTCAGCCTCCATGATCAGGAAAGTTTCTAATATGAACTCTTAGAACTCGACGGAAACCTTCCAAGACCAATATAAGAAAGCCCTCACATATCCCTATATGCTGGTACCCGGCCAGTCTATGCCCGCCGAAGGTGGTGGGTCAACAATGACCGGAAATTCAACCTCAACAACAACCACAAGTGCAACCGCCAGCGCGACCACAAGCAGTGCCCCATCTGGTGGAGGTGGAGGCGGAGGGTTGAGTGGCGGAGCGATTGCCGGCATTGTGATCGCAGCCGTGGCGTTCGTTGCTATTTTGGTCACACTGTTCTTTGTTCTCGGTCGCAATCGTGTATATTCACAATGGATGTCCTCCCAGGACGGGCGGACCGAGCGTACAGCGAGATGGGCTTTGTTCAACAACACCGGAGGCTCGCTTGGCAACCGCAAGAGTGAACTCGACAGCAATACTGCTAGAGCGCCGGGCACAGATGTCACCTCTGTTGGTAGCCCAGACCCGACTATGCGCCAGTTCTCGCCCGCTCCCGAATCGGTATCAGGGTTTGGAGGCTCTTCGCCTCGCCAGAATTCTGGCCAATGGAATTGGGATATTCCGCAAAATTCGCGCAGTCCCCGTGGTCCATCTGAGCTGGAGGGCAACGCCATGATCCATCAGCTTCCAGATAGGAGGGGATCATAGTTTGGTCAATATGAGAAAGGAGGTGGTTTAAGTTGCAGGTGATATTTATTTGCTCTCTGGTGGAGTTGATGATCTACAGGGACTCTTTTGCAAAACTGTGGGACCGGGGGGGGTTTAGTGTGTGGAAACAAGGCAGGTTTTGCCTTTTTTTGTTTCTTTTTTCTCGCTGTTTTACGGTCGCTTTTCCTTTCATTGTTATGGTCATGGCTTGCTTCATGGCTTGCACATGTTATATATTATTGATACACCTATAGCTCGGCATTTCCCCTTGTCATGACGTATGTACCTAATGATAGCCCATTTTCCCTTTTGGGACATGTACCCCAGCCCCATCACATGACCTCCATGTAACCACGGGCCATCGGGTCTCGCCCCCGGACTGCGCAGTGAATTTTGGGTTTGACGTGTCTCGATATTCACATTCTCAGGCTGAGTTAATGCGCTGGATGGATCTCGGACATGTCCACTCGACGCCAAGAGACAAGATCGAGGTGGGGATGTATGACATGGTAAAATCCCTCCCGAACAACCCGCCTTGGTGTCGATGTGCGGGGACAGAACACTAACAGCCCCCTCACATGCAGTCGCTCAAGAAGAAAAAAGTGCTCAGAAGGACAGCCGAGCTGTCAACTTTGTACAGAGCGGGGCATAGAATGCATCTATCCAGACTGGACGGCAGTCAAATTCTCTCAAACTCGACAACGGAGGCGGCAGCTTCAAGATGCCAACATCGGCCGTGCAGTTGCGCGACCCACATTGCTCCCAGCACAACCGAGCAACCATGAAACGCGATTTATCTTCCATTTCAACACCATTCTAGCGAGCCTCATCAGTTTTTCTTTTCCACAGGCGGGCACTCCAAATCCGTTTTTACAGCATGTTTTGCCACGAACCGCAAGTTCTGTCCAGGTCCAGTATGCAGTTGAAGCCGTTGCTGCGGCACACCTTTATCATCTTGGCGCCGAGTCTGGAGATCGGGCGACCCAGCTACATTCGAAAGCTTTGAATTTACTGGCAGTGGAATTATCACGTCCACAACTAGATGAGACCTCACGCATGAACTTGCTAGCTAGCAGTCTGTTATTGATATACTATGAGGTATCGTCTTCTTTTCAGATCCAATATTCTCTGGTTTGTGATCACGATATACTGATCGAATCAGATTGTGCTGGGGAATTCGGCAAGCAATGCTTGGTGTCATCTTCAGGGCGCAAAGGTTCTCTTGGAATGCCACCGCACCACTCCCGAGCCCCCGTTCTTCTCATTCTTCCGCAAGATTTTCCAGTACTTCAACGTGATGCTTGCTCTTTCGTTAGAAAGACGACCACTCCAGATCAATGGCGACCCCGGGCCCGACTTCACTGATCACATGGACACGGTCTTTGGTTGCACAGCGACCCTTTGGCCGTTAATGCATCGCCTAGCCGATCTCATTGGTCGCGCCTGCTTGGGCGGAGACATATCCAACGAAAGTAAAATTTTGATGGACAGGCTGCACTCGTGGTCGATTGAATCTTCGCCTAGTACAGATGCCTACACCGAGGCGATGGTCCAGATTGCGCGATCCTACAAATATTGTGGGCTCTTAATGCTTCGACAAGCTGGTGCGTCCGAGGCGCCCGAGTACTCTACGCTTCAAGATGAACAAATATACAGGTCGGCTTTTGACAGTGTTCTCAGAGTGTGTGTCTTGTCGCTTCCAATGGCTACGTTGACTTGGCCGCTCTACGTGGTTGGAAAACTTGCTTCTTCGACCAGTGATCGCACTGTTATTTTGCATATTTTCTCGCAGTTTCTGGAGAAGCACCATATGATGGTTGTTGATGGTGCTCGGGCAGCTGTACAGGCACATTGGCAGGAGCCGCAACCCGGTTGGCAGCAATCGGCCCCAGTGTTGCTTGGTTGATATGTTATGTAAATTCATTCTGGTGTTTTTAATAGGTCCGAAGTTCTTGTAAATATGCTTTCTATTCGCAATACAAGTATCATCATTACGGAGTTTGTTAATATGATTCGCTTTGAACTAAAAAAGAGTTGATTTGATTTGGCCTAAAATAAGACGATAGAGTAGAACGACATGAAGCTGCCAGTCCACGGCGAGATGAGACCGATCCAAATTACCCTTTTCGAAATTAATTAGGTTAGAGGCCCTTTCGGACAGCCGAGTTATTACTGCATTTACTTCTACTATTCTAGAATCGAAGATTGCTGACAAGCCAAGGTAACTATGTTGAATAGTCTACCTTGCTTAAATCTTGGCCTGGACATTCTTTTACTTGGCTTCGTTCATAATCGCCGAGCCTGATACGCCAACAAAGAGTCCTTGTCATAGAAATTTGAATGCAAAAAAAAAAAAGAGATAAGAATATCTTTCTTACACTTTGAATATTTAGCCAGATGGTATCTAAAGTTAAAAACAACCTTATAATAGTAGCTTAATAGTAGCTATAATGTGGTCAGCTAGTTATACAAGTTGTTGTGCCGCTCGAGGACATGGGTTCCATACAAATTAGACAAGAATATTACCTAATGATACCGCCGACCGAGACTTAGAGTAGATTATTGGTTAGATACGACCCACTTCTCTCCTTTCTGCCGTTTTCCCACTCTAAATTATCTTTCAATCGAGACATTCACTTTTCTGTGTCAGATCCCGCATTACTCATCAAGTCCTGGGGACAAACAATTGAGAACTATGAGCAGTGAAACTCCGCAATCTAGCCACGCGTCTCGGGCAGGGATTCCTGAGGGACAAAAACAGGCTCTACGCGCCTGGGCCCGTTCGCAAGAGTCTCGTCCAACACATGCAGCCAGCGTCGCCTGGTTTGAGCAGACCTATGGTCGACGCCTCCCTCAATCCAGTGTCTCCGTGATCTTGTCTTCAAAGTACGAGTATCTTGACACAGGACCAGCAACGGGCGCTTTTCGTCAACAACCCCCACAATGGCCTCTCCTAGAGGAGCGTTTATTTGTATGGTTGAAAAGAGCCCGTGAAACTGGTGAATTATCTACGGGTGACGCTATCTGCGACAAAGCCCGCGAGATCTGGCCCCGAATCACTGAATATACTAACCGCAATCCGCCTGCCTTCAGCCACGGTTGGCTAGCAAAATTCAGGAAGCGTTTTGAAGCCTATCAAGCTAGAGGCCAACAGGACGGCGTTGTCCCAGCGCCTCCTAAGAACCAGCGCAAGGAGCTGCAGGCACTGCGCACCCTATCTGGGGAGTTCAATGAAGAGAATGTTTATAATGTCGACGAGACTGGTCTACTGTGGCGCAAAGCCCCTTTTGATACTCTGCCTTGTGCCCCCAGTGAACTCAAAAAAGATCGGGCGCATGTCTGTTTGATTCTGTGTACCAACGCCACTGGATCCGATCGGATTCCACTCTGGGTGGTTGGCCATAAGGAGATGCCCGAGGCTCTCCGTGGTGTCAATCTCAAAGCCATGAATTGTGAATGGCGCCACAATAGACAAGCTTGGGTGGATGTTCAAATCATGTCAGAATGGTTGACCATGTTTTATGAACATGTCGGCTCGCGGCGGGTTGTCCTGCTCCTGGACAATAAGCTTGCCCATCAAGCTGCTGTGGAGACCACACCCCCACCAGGCAACGTGCACGTCCAACTCTTCCCCGAGAACACTACAAATAAACACCAGCCTCTACGACTCGGAATCACCCAGCAGCTCAAACATCATTACCGCAAACAATGGCTTGGGTATATGGCGACAACCTACGAGTCTGGCCAGAACCCGGTGGAGATGATCAGTCTTTATCACACTCTCTGCTGGATCACTCGCAATTGGCGACACGACATCGTGAACGCGACCATCTACAAGGCTTTCCGCAAAACCCACCTTGTTGAGCCGCAAGCCGACTACCTCACCGCACCAAAGCCGCCAGATATGACTGAGCTCTATGAAAAGGTTATTCGTTACAACCAAAGTGGAATCTCTACGAAAAGTCTTGAAGCGTGGCTGAATTCCAGCGAGGAAGAGTTCGTCGGGACTATGGACGAGACGCTTCGTCGGAACCTGCACTTAGATACATCCATCCTCGATGAATCGGTTAATCCTCTGCCGCCATATGAACTGATCCCTGCAGCTGCAGATGCTATCACGGGACTTCAGACAGCAATTCGTTATATGCTCAACCAGTCTACAACCACTGCGAACGACATCCTGTACCTGGAAACAATGGAGAAGATTTTGGACCGGAAGGTCCGCAATGAGTTTCTCCAGCAGCAGAATCAAATCCCAACTCAAGCAGCTCCTCAGCCATTGACCCAAACAACTGCCGCCATCCCTGCTCCATCGTCTGCACCAATGTCGGCTCAATCATCAACTCACCCATTTGCTCAACAATCGTCTGCATCACCGGCGCGGCCTTTTGCTCAATCGCATTCTCAACCCCACCGCCCGCCCGTTAGACCGGCGACCCAGGCACCCTTGCCACCAGGTCAACAGCCATCACTGTTTACCACAAGCACCACCCAACCCCCATCATTGTTTTCTCAATACACAGCCCAGCCATCAATGCAAACACCGACTCAACATCTCGGCCGACCATCATTTTTCCCCCACCAGTATCCGAATCAGGTCTCAACCCAATCATCTACACCGGTAACAAATCACTCACCCGTTCCATCCTTATTCCCGGCATCGCGGTCTCCACGCGCAGGTATTCGGCCAGCAGGTGTGGCACCGATTCACGTTCAATCTGGATCCTCATCTGCGGCATCAACTCCAGCGCCGGGCACGGGTCCATCGATGTTTCAGGCACGTGCGCCGTCTGAGGAAGGGTCTTACCATCCATCTGAGGACGAGCTTTCGGATGATGCAATGGAGATTTAAGGTGTTGGAGTCGGATTGTTTTCAAGTTGCCATACAGCGATTCTCCATGTTTTTCAATGCTTGATCGCTCAATTATAGACAGACAATAGATTGTTTTCTCTACCAAAGATAGATATGTGTTTCTTTTAACGAAAAATATAATCTCTTACTTGGTCAATTCAAATTTTAGGGGGTGATAGATATGGTGAGTTCGAGTCAATTTGGAAAAAAAAGCAGATACGGCAATAAGAAGAGAGTTTAAATGAAATCCAATTCATTCATATCACATACTTAACACGATAGATCAACAGTTCAGAACAATAGTGAAACAAGAACCGAAAGCATGAGCCTGCACGGTGAATGAATGAAATATAAAACCAAGTTATCAAAACACTGTAAGGAAAATGACTGCGATTTGACCATGAGACCAAGATTGCACTTCAAGTGGCAATCTCCGTCCACGAACCATTTTCTCTACTCGGATCTATTCCTCGACAAGACATCCTAGGAGACTACGCTCGAATTCACCATCAGGCCATTCAAGCGAAGGTGGGACGGCCACCAGGGGCGCTGAAAGAAGAGGAGCCACCAGGAGCAGAGCCACCGCCAGAACCACCGGAGCTCTCATTCTCAACACCACCCTGCTCAGTGTAGTAAGCAGCAGCGTTAACGCTGGTATCCTCAGTGCTATCAACACCGACAGAGATCCAGGCAAAGATACCGTCCGAGACGTTGTCACCGAGCAGAACGTACTCCATGAAGGGATCGATGGTGTCAGCCTCCTCAGAGAGGATGCTGTCTTCGGCGTTGGTTGTCAGGTCCTGGGTGTTAGTGGAGTATGGAGAAGTCTTCTCGACCTTGGTGATGAGGTCCTGGTCGAAGAAGAGCTGGCCGACGTGCGAGGTCTTGGAGGAATAGAGGCCGCTGATGGTGTTGTTCTTGAGAACGGTGGTCTCATTGGCTGGGTGGGTCAAGACTATGGAGATGGCTCATTAGAAAAGATGCTCGTGGACAGGGGCGAAACACTCTGCCGATTATGCTTTCGTGCACAACCGGGTGTAAATCGATATACATACCGTGAATGTGGGTAGCACGGCCAGTGTAGTGGCCGGGGAAGATAGACTGGAATTGAACGACACCCTCGTCGTTGCTAGGCTGGATTCCACGGAGGAAAGTAGCATCCAGGTTGGTGGCATCAGAAGAGTCACCGTTGCCGCTGGCCACGACACCGGAGTAGACACCCTGTGATGGCGATTAGACTCAATATCATGTTTCAGGTTTGGGTGGAAAGCCTGGTGACTCACGGTGGAATTGCAGTGCCAGAGATCCATGTAGACATTGGGCAGGGGGTCGCAAGTGTTGGTGTCAATGAGCTGGATGTCCATGTACAGAGCAACACCCTCCTGGTCATCGACGATATTCTCGCGGATGAGCTCACCGCTCACGTCTGGTATCTGTTAGATACTTCAATTGATTGAGGAATGCATGTCTACTCACAGTAAGGGCCCTGAGTGACATCAGGGGCCAGAATGCAGGTAGCCTCAGAACCAAACAGGACAGAGGCATCAGTGGATGGAGTCACGCCGGTCAAGTTGGAGGCGTGAGAGACGTTGAGGAGGGTATCCAGATCACGCGCCTTGAGGAAATGGGCATCTACAGCAGAGGATTAATATCAAATTATTGCAACGAAGACTCTCGCAACCGAGTTTTCAAGATGAGCGTACCAGTGTTCAAACCACGGCGGCGGCGGATTTGCTTAACGGCGTGTTGACGACGAGCGACATTCTTGGCCTCGAGACCGCGGGCCTTGAGCTTGGAGGCACACTGAGACAAGCTGCGCGCTTGAATTGGAGCATTTCGCATGAAGGCGCGGCGTTCAGCAGCCTCGGCTTTGTGATCGTGGCCGGGATGGGCGGCAGCAACCGAGACCAGGCCGATGAGGCCGGCAGTAACGGCAGAAGCAAGATGAACCATTGTTGGTATAGATCAAGTTATTAAAGGATGAACTTTTGTGAAGATTTTAACTGCAGACGAAAGATAATGAAATTTTAATCTGTTGTTTTCAACCCAGTTTCGTGGCGATGATTTCGCGCCTTTATACCACGCCGTTCTAGCCTGCCATCGATAGACAGATACTCCGCGCATAATGTCGAAATGGCACGAAACGCATAATGGTTGTATCAATTGCACCTTTCTTCGGGCTGAATCGCGCCGCTGACAAAGTCAATGGAGCAACTTCCTTCGAGTCTCGCAAATCAAAGGCCATCCGTTTCTCATTTAGCAAGAAGTCGAAACCCTTCGGAGCCACACCCTGACCCGCAGCGGAGCAACCACCGCCTCTCAGCCGGACCTAGACGGTCGGCCCTGGTTTAAGATGATGCATAATATGGGATGTTGATTGGCTTCGGTACTTGGCGCATGGGTTAATACCCGTTCCTTGCACCCCGGCCCTGGGCGATCAGAAGGCCCGGAGAAGTCGCCAAGGAGACGCGGACGAGTCGTGCGGGGCATATGCTCCACGCGAAGAATTAAGGATGAGGGTTGAGCGGCGCCATATGTAGATAATAGAGCCCGGTAAGTGGAGACATGCCGGGGGGATCTGCGCTGATGACGAGGCGCTAATGGAGCCGACTCTACACAACCTTTTCGTTGTCCACATACAGATGTCACAATTCAAGGACGTCCAAGGCCGGCCACCTCCCCCGCCAGCCGACAAGAGAGGTGGACAGGGGTACATAGATGGCACTCGCCAAGCACGATGCAGCCTGATGCACAGCGAAGCCCCTGATTTGGTCGTGCGTCCGCTGCAGACTCGTCACGGTGGGATCAAACATCCAGGTACCTTGGTAATGGGGATTTGGTATTGGCTGGCCTTAAACCTGCTCGTTGATCATTACCGCATCGCTATCTGCACGAAAATTGCGTCACCAGGGTCAATATTGTCAGGTCCTGGTAGCGTCTTGGGTCCAACGTACTCAGGGTACGTATGCGCTCTTGGCGTTCCCGTCGTCGGGGACTTGCACGGTATTTGATAAGGAAAGCCTCGATAACATGGGATGCGCAAGCTGTTCAGCTCTCCATGCCAAGCTGAAAGAGCGGAGAAAGTCACTCGATGTTACAGGTGTGAAACTGGTGGGCGCAGTCGTCGTAGTACATGTCGTGGAAAATCCTCGCCAAGAAATCCTTATCCAAAGCGCCTGAATGCTTGGCGAGGCTTGGGTGGAGATCCCGTTGGGTGGAAAACTACGGAGTTAAGTGGCTGTTCCTTAATGCAACGATAGTTCACGTAGCATCGCAGTAGCGGCTGTCATGTGTCATTAGCTTGTAACTATTGAAGTTGCCCTTAATTAGCGATATTTGGTCCCTGCTGTCAAGTTGTCCAGCCAGCATCGCGGTGACGGGGATTTCGGTACATGGGCATCCATTTGGAAATCGGGAGATTTGACGGTGGAAAATTTTTGGTTTCGATAAAACTCATTGAATAGCTTGAAGAAGAGGATGAAGAACGCTGTTCACTAGCCAAGTAGGCATAAAAAGGCCACACAGGTTGTGATTGAGAATTGGAAATCGAGCTATTTGGTTTTTTCTCAAGAGACTTCTACGTGGCGCAGTTGGGAACCTCTGAATGTATGAACCTGAAGGGCTTTCCCAGAAAAAATTGGAGATTTATTTATCTGGTCGGACTGAATCTACAGGTAGATAGACCAAAAAAAAACCTGGTGCGAGAACTTTTCAACTCCAGGTCTACTGCTGCGCCTTCCAAGCAGCATGCTTGCGGTAGACATCGCGACGGAAGACCTGCTTCAGATCACCGATCAAGTTGCCATCCACGGGCAAGGCAGCTTGGACAGCACCGATGCCACAAAGATCATTCTTCCGATCAATAAACCACGCGAACGTGAGACCCCCACCCCATGATAGTGTCCGGTCACCATACCAACCATCTACGTCCTGACGCATAAGAAGACCACTTAAGCCATACCCAGCCTTCATATCTGGTTCTATGCCGACACGAAAGAAAATTCCCATGGGACTAGCGAGGGCAGCCTGGTGGCTCTCAGTGGCCTGGGGACTGAGGTGATGTTCGAACATATCATCGACAGTGGCTGGCTTCAGCAGTTTCCCATCATTTGCCAATAGTGAGCGCAAGATCTTTGTATAGTCGTCACCGGCTAAGAAGAGCCCATGGCCACCAAAGTCACCGCGCGTACGCAGATTTATATCACCGCCGCCTCCTACCACAGCCCGCCCCAAGCCCTCGGGATCATCCGGATTCAGATCGACCATTCGAGCCCGCAGGTCTTCGCGGGTCACTGGATAGAACTGCCCGCTCTTGATACCCAGTGGATCAAATATGCGTTTCTGGATATGCTCCCCCAGCGTGAGGCCCGTTACCCGCTCGACTATGCGGCCTGCCCAGTCAAGTCCGGGGCCGTACATCCAGCCTTCGCCGGGCTGAAATCCAAGGGGATAATCAATCAGTTCTTCAACAGATCGTCTGCCCGCCTCATCCGGGGTAGAGAACCTTTCGCGCCACTTGGCGATATTGGGGTTCATAAAGTGGTAGATCAAGCCGGAGCTATGGGTGAGAAGCATCTCCAGCGTGATAGGGCGTTCTGCAGGCTCGAGAATAGGTGTTTCGCCGTCTTCAGAAAATCCCGTGAGGACCTCTTTGCTGGTTAGGTCGGGTGCGACAGTAGACAAATCGCCGTCCAGAGTCAACAGACCGTCCTCAACGCACTGTAGTGCCGCGATCGCAGCTATCAATTTGGTGGCAGATGCTAGAAACAGGACATCATCTAGTTGGTGTGGCCGTTTCTCGCCTGACAGAAGGGTGCGATCACCAAGGGTCTTATTGTAGACGAAATGGCCCTCGGAATCGGTAGCGCAAACTATTGCACCGTTGATCTTCCCCGCGTCCATGGCGGCTTGGAAGCTGGTTTCGATGTCCTCGGCCATAATCTGATGGTACAGCCCGATGAAGATATGCGGATATTTGGAATCTTGTTTGACCACGAATGGGGTATTAATAAGGTATTTATCCGTTGAAGGGACTGGAAAGCGTTTTCTTCGGTGTAAGATGCAGCCTTGTGCTCGTGAAAGTGGCAGATCGGAACATAATTTCTCCCCGCGCTGTGCTGTGTTTTGGCCCCATTATATGAGACAACCATCTATGATCCTGGCCTAAGGACGCCGACAAATGAGATCAGAGGGAGAAGGCTTACATAATCGGTCAAGATCAACTGATTCCCTCTACACACAAAGATTCCATTGTAAAAAGCCAGCAAGGCAAGAAATTATAACCAACAGTAGAAAGTTCCGAGGAATACCGAATTATAGAGAGTATCTCATAGAGTATGCTGCTATTTGACGACTTTTCCATGCCAGTTCACAATAATCGACGTCAGAAGAACCATCTTCTACACAACAATCTACTCCATGACTTTAGAATTAGCGAGACCATTACAAGATTCAACCCAGCTATTGACGATTAATGTTGCTCTTGATTTTAGTTTAATCTTTTGGGTTTGTTGCATGAGAACATAACTTTTGTTCGGTATCGAGGAAGTGTTGTGTGTTGGTCTCCTCGTCATCGCTATGCATCATCAACCTACTCCCGAGAACATGATGCAAGGAGCTACAAACTGTATTTAGGATTATATATTCATAGAGAATAATAGATGTATTAGATTAATTGACGTGGCTAAGAAAGAAGTACATATTCTTCTATCTTGAACCCACCAGTAAGCTATCGTAAGTCCAAAAAACAAAAGCCTGCCTGCAAACCTTCACTGCTTGCCCTTGAGGCGCCAGTAGTGGTAGATGAGTGCCTTTCACATGAAGGACTCATTCCACTGGGTCTCGGTCTTCTCATTCTCAATGTCTGATCAGGGTTCGATTTTCTCGAAGTCAAAGAGCTTGGCGCTGCTCTTGGGACGCTCCACCTGGTTGCGCAACATTTCCCGTTGCTCTCTTTCCCATGCATTACCACGACTCTCTACGGCGTCCAAGCATAGCCCAAAGGGCTTAAGGGCTAGCCAGATCGTGTAGAAATAGTCCCAAGGATGCGGAAAGCTTCGCCTTTAGATTTTGTATTGCATCATATAAATCGAAGTTCACCTAGGTTCCACAAGGTATGAAAGATTCAAAGTTACCAGTAAAGTCAAGTCTTCAACGGAACACAATTACGTACAAGGTACTAGTGATCTACGATTTACAGTCTACAAGTATTACAAGTCCACAAGGAAAATGAAAAGGAAGAGATTCAAAAAAGTATTGAAAAAAAGTATTTCAATTAATAAAGATAAGATACATCCACATTAAACTGTAACAGAGTAGCGGCATAAACACGTAAACGCATAAACACCCCTGGTATTCGCTAAACAACCGGACCAGCCTGCACGAAGCAAAGAGGTTATGAAGGGTGGGAACGGGTCACATCAAGGAATCATATGAACAAATATCAATGTGACCAGCAACCCACACGGCGCGAGACAGTAAGAAGAGTGCAAGCTTTCTGCTTTGATCCAATGGGCTTGGAATTGCCTTTTTTTTAAATTAACTTTTGCCCAAAGTAGAAAAGTTTGACTCCACACACGACGTCTGCGTAAATTAGACCTCGATCTGGGCGACGGTGGGCTCGGCAACGACCTTGTCGTTGTAGTTGACGCCCATCTCCTCGGCAAAGGTGGAGTGGGGCTTCCAGCCAGCGGAGGTGCGGGGGTGGTCTCCTCCATCATCTTGTCGACCTGCTCGAGGGTAAGACCCTTGGTCTCGGGGATGAGGAAGTAGGTGTAGACGAAGGCGCAGGTGCAGAGGGAACCCCAGATGAAGAAGACCTTGGCACCGAGGTTGCCCTGGTCAGAGTCGACCATGTAAGGGGTGATGACGGAGATGATGCAGTTCCACAGCCAGTTGGAGGCGGTGGAGAGGGCGACACCGCGGGAACGGATGGGCAGGGGGAAGATCTCGCCGATGACGACCCAGGCACCGGGGCCCCAGGTGGAGGCGAAGAAGAAGATGTAGATACAGATGAAGGCGATCATGGCGGAGACAGCGTGGGGGTTGCCGCCGTCGGTGACACCGATGATGGCGACGATGAACTGGCAGACAACCATGCCGAGAGCACCCCAGAGGAGGAGAGGGCGACGACCGACCTTCTCAATGGCGTAGAAGGAGATGGGGGTGGAGCACACGTTGACAATGGTGGTGATCATGCTGAGCAGGAAGGGGTTCTGGATTGTGCCGAGCTGCTTGAAGAAGGTGGTACCGAAGTAGAAGACGAAGTTGACACCGGTCCACTGCTGCATCATCTGGAGGGAAGTACCGAGGACAGTGCGGCGGACGTTGGAGTTGGGGTGGAAGATGTTACCGCGGAAGCAGTTGATCCAGCTGTCGAAGTAACCGGTGTCGGGGATGACGGCCATCTCGTACTGGTAGTTGGCCTCAATCTCGTTCAGCTCGAGCTCAATGTACTCAGAGTCGGGAGCCTGGCCACGAATGCGGGAGAGAGCCTCGCGAGCAGCCTCCTTGTTGTTCTTGCGGATGAAGTAACGGGGGGACTCGGGCAGGAAGAAGAGACCAGTTCCGAGGATTACAGCCCAGAGCATCTGCAGGGCAATGGGGATACGGTAGGAGCCGGAGTCGGTGCGGTGCTCGGTAGCGTAGTCAACGCACGAGGCCAGCATGAGACCGATGGTGATGCAGAACTGGTAGCCAGAGACGATGGCACCACGAACCTTGCGGGGAGCAATCTCGGACATGTACAGAATGATGACAGCGGAAACGAAACCGACACCGAATCCAGCAATCAGACGACCAGCAACCAGGAGACCGAGGCTGCTGGAAGCAGTCTGGAGGATAACACCAACGACGAAAACGAAGCAGCCAGCAATGACGGTGGTACGACGACCGAACCAGTCAGCCAGGTCACCGGCGATCAGAGCACCGAAGAAAGTACCAGCGGAGAGAATAGAGACAATGAGAGACTTCTTCCACGAGGGAACGACAAAAGCGTCGGGGTTGGTAGTAGCAAGGGAGGGGTCCTGGAGGAGAATGTTAGATAAGTATACAGCTAGTAAATAGAGAGGATAGGATAGGAAGCTTACCAGGTGCTCAAAAGTGGTAATGAAGTACTCCATACCAAGGACACCGGAGATATAACCGGAATCATAACCGAAGAAGATACCACCGAAGGCGGCGAAAGCGCACATCAGGTACGTCTTGACAGTGACCGGGGCCTCGACGCGGCGAGCGTCGACGCTGCCCACAGGGGACACAGCACCACCAGGCATTGTGATGGTGTTCACTGAAGTAGTGAGAGGGGGAAGTAGGATGGAGGTGAGGGGATCCGAGGAATTTAATATACCAAAAGGTACAAAGATAGGATTGGTCGAGTCGAGGATCACAAGGATGAGAGAAAACACAAGCAGTTTGGGGGGAGGAGAAGGAGGTTTATATCCTCGCGGTCACAGCACCCCAACACCCCGGCTAGTCCCCAGATCCCCAGACCAGATTAGCAGGGGGGAAAAAAAAAAAAAAGTTTCCTAATTCAAACCCGATCTAGTCCAATGTCCAACAGCATCAGCCCCAGTCGAGTCGCAACGGAGATAAAAAAAATTTTGCTTACAGGACGGTCCGCCACTCTCGGCTCGCGTCCACGGCCACGGCCGATGGTCTAGTCGGCTGGCGACACGCGGGGATTGGCCCGTTGCGATTGAGAACTGCTGGAACCATGCTAAATTGCTAAACCCCGAATGGAAAAATGTATGAGACGATGCGTCTCATGGACACGGCAGGGTAGAATGGGGCCCGCTAGATCGAATCGAGACTAACGCGGTCAAACCACGCTACCCCGAAAAAAAATGAACGTGGCATGCGGCACGGGGAAAATTATCCATGGGAAAAGAATTCTGGTAAAGCCGGGGAAGGTTCTGTAGTCTGCACGGATGAAGCCGTGGGTTGGGATGGAAATGAGACCGAGTCATTGGCTCGGGAAAGAGGGTCCCTGCGCTAAAGCACTGGAAGGTATGGCCAGACACTATCCCCGAAACAGACTTGAGTGTGAGCTAAAGGGGAACAAAGTCAAGAGAGACTGGGATGACTGGGATGGGTTGGCCAGTCAGATGCTCGGGTCTCCGGGTTGAGAAGGTGCAAAGTCCTCGGCTCACGGAGCCCTTGTCTGTTTCGGGGTAACTGGTCCGCCATCATGGGAGTCTGATTGGTTGCCACCGTGCGACCGGACTGCGCCACCATTCTGTTGGTCGCTTTTCTGTTTTACTCTTTTTTTCACGACGCCTGATCAATATGTGGACTGCCTGTACTTCCAAAGTTAGTAACTACTTGTCTCTGAGTATGTAGTAGTCATAGTTTGCTCCAGCTTGCAATCCACCAACTAAGCATTAGTCACTGGTTTCGGTCTCGGTTACCCGTCCAGAAGCATCTCGCCGTGGCTCAGCTGTGGTTGTTCCCCTTGCCGAGTCGCGTGAGCCGACCCGGTGACAGACAAAAGTTCGGCCATGTCCGCACCAAGTCAAGGCCGGAAATAGACAACCGTCAATAGAGCAAAGAGCAAAGAGGCAAAGAGCCAGCGGCAGTAATCACGCCCGATGGCGCTTCTCGGATTTTCCCTAAGAGGGGGCGAAAATACTCTGAATGGAATGGTCTAGGTGGTGGGCACAATCTCGGTTCGCGCGAGACATGAACCATTCTTGGCTGCAGCGGCATCGTAGTAGCATTTGTCTCCAAACTCCGTCTCCGTAGTAGCATACTCTCGTCGCCTAAACAAGGAGATTGGAGGGGCCAGTTGATAGGGCAGAGGGCATAGGCCCCCCGCACGACTTGGCAAACGGTTTCGGCAATTGGTCCAATTTGTCCGTGTTGGCTTTTTCTCTGTTCGTTCTTGAGATAACTTGTCAACTCGTCACCGCTCTAGGATGGGCGCTGAGCAGATTGCAGAGAAGGAGAATAGGCCGAAGGGTGCCATGGCACCTCGACCCCATCGGGAAAATGCGCACCGTGCGTAGAAGCCTTCTGCGACAGATTATTCTTCGAAGAGGGGGTGGACACTGCTTGTCCAGTGTCCACCCCGGCCAAATCAGCCAGTCAAAGCACCAGCGTCGCAATCAACCGGCTTGGAGTCTTCTAATTATGGGGAAACATTAGCAAAAGTCACTTTCCGCCTCTCCGCGCAAGGAAACTTGGCGCGTCACGTGGCGTCCAGTGAGTCCAGTCATCTCGTGTCCCCGCACGACGGGACCCTCCTTTTTGACTCTGGGCACAGCAACTCGCGACGAGTTGGAACACGGCCAAGCGTCAAATTGTGGGACAATCACACTCACAAGGTTTGAAGGCGTGTCTTTTCCTCGGGCTAATATCGGGACAAGGGCTTGGAAGAGGGTCTTGCCCGTGGCTGCCAGCTTGGCGAGCTTGGAAGGTGAGAAGGTTTGCGAAAAATGGGGGAAAGACGGAGATGGGGCGCCATGTGCCGGAATCATCGGATGGCAGAATGATTGGCAAGAGGATGGGCATTTACGATAGGATGGGAAAAGGAGAACAAACTACCAGAGCCTTGTTATATTGGTCTATCAAACCCGATTGTCAGGGCCTCTTTCCGGATTGGGGCAGTACTGACAGGGACGATCTGACATCCTGGAGCATCCAAGATGTCAGATCTGAGGTGGGATGTGAACCGGCGGTGGGAGCCTGGGAGCCGTGATTATTGTCGGGCTTGTCAATGATTTTTACACGGCACGAAAGAGCTTCGGGGTGATCCCCACTAGCCGAGTACATTTGGTGGAAAAGACTTATTCCTGCAAAATTCAATAGATTTTGCACTTGGCGCTTTGAAAATTCGAGTAAAAGATGTGTTGCTAGGATCATTCACACCATTTTACCCCGTACTCCGTATATCCCAATCTCGAATGCAACCTCGTATAGGCGTTACGCTCTGACTCTACACCGCACTCGGTTAAGTCCAATATACCACCCCCAAAAGCCACACAGTAGCATTGCATCTCCCTAAACCCTTGAATTAGGCGTCCCAACTCAAATAAACCCTAATGACCCTTTGGACAAGGGCAAAATTAAACGACACGCGGTCCCATGGGGAAACACCCACCCCAAACCAATTTATCCAGAGAAAAATCTCAATCTCATACAAACCAAAATGTAAAAAGATAAATAAATAAATACTGTAGAAAGGGAAAAAAAAATGGAAATGATTTCCAATAAACTTTCTCCCATAGTGCAAATTACCGTCTTTCAAGCCACACCCATACTCTTCACCCTTCCATGGATTCTTAGAATAATCCAAAACCAAGTTTCCAAACTGTGGCTCCCAAACACACCCATCCAGCCAACAGTGTCCCTTTCCTTTTCCTTTCCCTTTCCTCGCCACATCCCGATCAATGGGCCCATCTTCGGCAACCCTAGAGCCCCTCTTTTCCTCCGTGTTTGACAGGCCTAGCCGAGCAACACAGCACAAAATCGGCCATCCCGGTGAGAAATTCGCGTTAGCTGCGAACCTTGCCCGTACCCGGGGAAGTCGGGGTCGGCCTGTTCCTAGCCTAGAACCCGGCCGAGCTCTGTATTTTTCTCTGGTAGGGCCGAGAGGGACCCGGGGTAAAACTCTGCCGAGAATTCCGTACTCCGTAGAACCGGGCCTGGAGTCGCGATCGCAAATCCCCCATATGTCTCTTGTTCACCGGTGAGCATATACAGGCAATGTGGGTGAGAAATGCGGAGGTTGAGGGGGATTTGCCTTGCATGGCGTGAATTATGGTCTGGGGACTGGGGAAATGAAGTTAGTTTGATTGAAGCCGTTGTGCCAACTTCCAAGGCTGTAGACCAGGGACTCGGGAAATTGTTGAGAGATGGCTCCATTATTGAGCTGTCACTGTCACTGTCACAAGCCGACAACGGACAAACTGGTGGTCTGACAAGTTCACCCGACGTGACTGCGTCCGTGCTGGGTCGGTACCAGACTACCAGGCTAAAAGCTCTGCATTTTAGACATCTCAGACAAAGCAAAAAGAAAAAAGGGGTGGTCCTAGCTTCTAAGACATTCCCAGGACCATTGCCTAGGGTCTGCTAGGGTCTGCCAGCGTCTCACAGGGGTCATTGACACAGAAAAAATCATATAGAATGTGGAATATTTTGTCTCGTATCACGAACACATCGCACGCCCTGTCCGATTATTGTCCGTCATGGCTTCATGGCTTCGGTCCTTGGCAAACTGCCAAGCTTCCTTCTCTCAGATGGCAGCTATAGATGCACTTCAGGTGTACTTCAGGCGCAGTGCATCAACTTGTGACTCTGATCATCCAGGGGCTGACTGTCAACCTTCGGCCGATAGACTGCACAGCAAATCTGTGGCAATCCCCCACATTTGCAGTCTTCGAGGTGCCTTTGCGAGATTCAGCCATGATGCGAGTGCTAGATGTTGACAGCTTACCAGGGATATACTTCTTAAATGAGGAGGTTATTGCAGACCGTGAAAAGAGACTCTCCGTCTAAGCCGATTCCGAGACATCCTCCAGTATACGAGACGAGACCCCAGGGATGATGATTCTATTTCTGACAAGTTCACCAAATGCTGCGAGTGTTGGCCCGGAAAAGCCTCATCTTTGGCTGGATATTCGGCTGCACAAAGGCATTGTCAAACTAACAGAGCTCCAGGGGACCGTTGATCAGGTTGCTGTGCCTCCTGGGAGTCAAGTACATCCATCGATGAGGGCCAAGTCTGGATATCCCAAGATTGAAAATGAAGGTGATCATATATCTTGTCAACGAGCTGTGGATATCCAAATTGCCTCATTGCGGTTGGCATTGGTCACCGTCCCTCCTGACCACAATCATTTGCCAAGGGACACTTGGTTTATGCCTAGTGCCCGGCTCTCTTCTTCGTCATGAAATTTCTTTGAGCACGAGAACGCAAGTGACATTTGCCATGCTATGGCATATTCCCTGCAACAAGGCTGTTGAGATCTTTGGAATTGACCAAGATAAGATACATATGCATACGATACGAGAAGCTGGGGCAAGGTTCAGCCACTAATCCCCACGTCCACGCCGATGATCAGCGTGTGGTACGGGTTTCTTTAACCTTTGAGCCTCAAAGTACTGTATATTGTGGATTGATGGCCACTGCAAACGTCTGATCATGCAAAAAATGGTGGACACTGGGCGGGGACGCTGATTCTGAGAGCTTGGGGGTGTGCCCATTCGGGCACCTTCCTGTCGGCACCCTGCTAGCGGGCGCATGCCGTTTGTCGTCACGAGACTGGGCAGCACACAAAGGCGGGGGCCGAAAAATAGGCAGACAGATACTGTAGCACTTCCAAGAAAATGGAACATCCATCTTATCATGGGTCATTTGGAATGTAACATGATTGATCTGGGGTGAAACAGCGTTTCGCCTTCCCTACGAGCCCCCTAGGGCCTCCGCACCAGGCCACCAGCCTCAGGAGAACCCAGCCTGCCGAGCCCACGCCAAGCACTAATGCACGATATCCCAGCTCCAATTGGCCATTTTGAAGTGGTCGGACAATCCCGCTCTCGGCGTGGATCTTGGCAGTCCCGTTTCGGCTCCCTCCTGGCAAAATTAAACGAATGCGATCTGGGATTTGCCCCGGATAAGCAGGGATCACCTAACACCAAGACGCTACGCCCTCCTATTCGACCGGCAGCAAGACTCTGTCAGCACTAGCGCGGGAATCTATAAATCCCTCGGCTTGGCCCGAATTTGGGGAACCCCTGCGATAGGTCAATTTATGAATGGGTACGTTTTGTGCCTAAGAGCCGCCTAGGCTGTATTTGGTTTCGTTTGATTTCGTCAGTCGCGTTGATCTTCATTTTTACACTCCTCCACACAATGCCTGCGATATCACGGGTGGTAGTGCCATGGGCAGCACTCTCGTCGCTGGCTGTGGCCACAGCGGCGGGCTATTTCAATGATACATCAGTCTGTGCGGATTCGAAAGGAATGGAAAAGTGCTTCGCGAAAGCAGAGAAAAGTTATGCGAACTGCATCACGGGTAACTGCTCCGGCGGAAGCAAGAGCTGCTACGACTCGTGCAATGGAGATGCTTTGTGTATGGCAACAAAATGCCCGAACCTTGGAGTTGACTGCATCAATGCTTGTGGGTGTGTCAGGGCCACCGACCAGATTGATTGTACTGCCTCCAGTTGTTGGAATCAGGTATGCGCCGCGAAATAATTCGGCCATGAATACAAGTCTGACTTATTTTTTTTTCTCCCCAGGTATACTCTTGCGAATACCAGCAGACAGCACAAGACGTTCTAAATTTATGCTTGAACTTCGACATGGATCAAATACCCTTCTGGCCAGCCCCGGCGGAAGCTGCGGGCGGATGCTCGTGCAATATTGGAGATGTGGCTCGGAAAGAAGTACAAATCTCTGCACAACTCACGGAGTGCAGCAATAATAAGACCAATCTCAATAAAATGACCGAGGTGGGGGATATGACGAATTATGCTCAGGCCTGCATCTGCTGTGCGGAGAGCGCCATTATATCTGCGTATGTTTAGACCTCTACCTTCGAAACATCCCTGCATTTTCTTCAAGCTAACCTCCTCTAGTATCTGGAATGTGTGTCCAAATACGAAACCCTCCGAAATAGGAGCCGACTACTGGTACGATGCGTTCCTGCGCCCTCATCACTGGGACGAATGCGGTCCGTACCTCGAAAAATACGATTGTGGCAGCGATTTGGGCTTCGCTGCTGAGAGTGCCGGCGACACACATACTTTCCCTAAGCCAAACAACCTCCCCAAGAACGGGACCGAGACCCTCTTTAATACAGGTGGTGTGTTAAGCACCCCGGTTAGCGGCGCCACTTTTACCTGGACCGATGGCTTGCTTTTGCACGCTATCACTGCTGCTTCGACGAATAATGTTGTCTCAGTCACTGGCACTGTCATTGGTGTACAGGTAGCTTCTGCGACCGCGACCGCGACCGGTACAAGTGCTACAAAGGCCGGTGGCGCGATTGTCTATAGCCCGCCCACATGGGCTGGTGCTGGCATGGCGGGCATACTTGCTTTGGTCATTGTATAAAGAATTTTAAATCTAATAGAAACCTAGTCCGGATAGCTGGATCATAATATACTTATTATTCTGACTTGGCCTCCTGGTGGTACGCTGCATATCTCCAGCCAAGTGCCGCCGCATAACCTAAAAACGCGTGCGATAGGGACTGGACGTTCCCAATCCGTACGGTCGACCCGCACTATCTTTGCGGAGTGCGTTAGCGCCCGTTTCTAAAAGCCAGGTCAAACTATACGAATTCCTTTTGCTTCAAGTAGCCAATAGTTATCAGTCAAAGCGAATATTTGAGCGAAATACGCTCTATCGATAGATTTACATTGCTTTCTGGCGTTGTCGGGATTCTTTCGATAAGCTTTTTACAAAGTTAATCTACAATGGCAGCAGACCTGCCTCCTGGAAATGCCAAACCTTTACCAACCTACATAAATCAACGCTTATTTCCCATGAACCGAAACACTGGATTATCTACTCAGTACCTTCAATCAGTTCTATATCTTTCATCATATCCCCAAGTACCTGTTGTCGCCGGATCCCGACGGTCTAATTCGTTCCTGTAGCCCTTGCCGTTCCCATGTGCTGGATATATATATCGACTAGGATGCTCGCTGTTCAACGTCCCCCACCTACCTCTCTTACACCGCCAGGCACTGTACGTCTCATCCGGGGTAATTGCCCACTAGACAACCATCGAAATTTTTCTTTTATGTCTTACCAAGACAAGGAAATGGTGAACCTGAAACGCAAGAGTTCATGCTCCAACCGACACCGTCCCATGATCCCAATGACCCTTTGGTATAAAACATTTCTGACAATTTGCTCCTAGAATTGGATGCCGACACGAAAATTTATGTAATTCTTTCCAACCCTCGTGGCCACGACCCTTATTTTACCTAGTATGGCTCATGGGGTAAAGGGCTCAGCGAAAGAACAGCAGCTACCTATCGGAAGATGGTGAGGTGGAGAAGAGAACCACTGATCGTCTTTAAACATGTATCCAGCTGGTGGAATGCAAATTCGGGATTTAACCCGTACATAATATATTCCTAGAATCAAAAGGCCCTTGAGGATTGATTCAGTATCAGTGGCTGTATGTACAAAGCGTGTAGAAGAGCCAAGCCACCAGTGCATATACTTTTTCCAACGGAGACCTGAGCCTGGCCTTTGGCCTAGAATAATATTGGCTTACGAAGAGCTGCCGAAGGTGAACTCCGGAATGCTGATGGTGCTAACAGTCCAGGTCTTTCCATTGTCGCTCGTTGTCATGTCACCAGTGACGCCCTCCCCTTTGCCTAGGGTATTGATGTAGTTCGCGTCGGCGGTATCCAAGATGATCTTTGTGTCGATCCAGGCTGTGATACGGAACAAGATACATTAGCCAAGTCACTTTTGAGAAATAATTTTGCATTGGTCTTACTGTGAGCAGGCATCGTGCCACAGTTGTCCTCGGCACACTCAACGGCGCTACCCCAGCCCTGGGCCTTTCCATCATTAGTGGACAAAGTGGAAACAGTCTCGCCGTTGACAAGAACAGTCTGAGTGTAGTTGCCAGTGGAGTCATCGAACTTGTCTGCATAGGAGAGTAAGTTTCCATTTTACCACTCTTGTCGACTATAATGATCACAGCTTACAGTGCATGGTAACCTTGTCTCCGGCGTTGGCAGTGGAAGAGTCTCCCTGGACAGGCATCTGAGTGGTAGCTTGAGATAAATTAGTATGTAAGTCAAGTTTGATGGAAGCAGAATTTACTTACCACTGGTGGACAGAAGCGTGTAGGCAAATATACTCCAAGAGCTCGACTGCCAATTGTCGGCTATGGACTGGATCAGGTCACCGTTCGAGGTACCCATGCCAACCCAGAGAGAAGCATCACCGGAAGAGCCGCTCGGCGCCTTCGGGAGTACCAGGGTGGACGTCGATTCGCGGATGAAAGATTCCGAAGCAACAGGACCAGTGCTGAAAGCAGGGCCCATGGCGGCGTTTACCGAGGCGATCGCCGTCATAGTGAGAGCAGAGATGGTTTGTTTGGTGGAAGGCATCTTCATGAAGATCAACGGATCGTCTTTGTATCAAAACTCTTTCTGTTGTTATTCACATCTGCCTATCCGTGGCAAGGAGCTTTTTTATACTCTCTCAATACATCCGACGTTTCTCCTTTCGGGGCTGGAGTTCACCTTTGAGTGGAGGAATCCACAGTCCTTCATGCAATATTCATCGGAAGTTTCAGTCAATTCCACCAATAATGATTCGAATCTTGGAACCTCTACTGACAGAATTGGGGGAATTGCCGTATGCTCAAGCATCATTTGGCAAGTGGACCGTTCTCCGTGCCCTAAGGAGCAGTCTAAAACACCCGGCTAATATATCCACTTCGGCTAGTGTTGTAGACTCAGACACCAGTAGTGAAATGATCTGCAGGGACTGACAGGGGTTGAAATATCTCTCCGAAACGCAAAGAATCGGAAGCACTGGCACTTTTTGTTGTCGCGCATGTATGGAAATCGTGTTGGGCAGACCATAGCTAGGACATCGCCTGGATTCTCCTCGAGCCTGGCTACCATGTATTGGGCAATGCCTTGAAGAGAGTCTTGTTTAGCATTGTACTAGTCCTCAGGTTCAATGGATCTGAGAAATGACCTTTCAAGTAGGTGATCAACAGCTTGTTGCTTCCATGCATGATAATCAGCTCCACCGACTCCGAAGAGCAACAAATATCAAACTTGCATCGACATTCGAGGAAGATAGCATTTAGAATAGGTCCCCTCAAAGCGATATCCCAACATTTAGCATCACTGTTGTTCAGTCAGTCAGAAGCATTTCTCTAACAAAATAAGATGGGGCCCACGAGTGTAGGAGCTTGATCTGGCCGTGGGTATCTGCGGACATCTCCATCCGCATTAATATTCCAACAGATAATTGAGCACTAGATAGGTTTCTAGTAGGCCCGATACCATTAATACTGATCTTGATACTTGAATCCGAGTGCACTACTTGATATCTGCCAAGTAAACAGAGTTGTTGCCCAGCCACAACCTTATTCCCATGACTGGTTTGCCTCGGCAGAACGGGGAACGGCCCCCAAGTTTAAACCCCGCCGGGCGCATTCAGAGTTTCCCTTTTCAAGTTCAAGAGAGGTCCTCGGCCCACCTCAGTCCAGCTCAAAAACAATCGAAGCCTTCCTCTCCAAACTCTGAACCCTCTGTATACTCACCACACAATGACCCAAGCAGGTACTACAGCTCTCGCCGCCGCCATGATGGGGGCCGGCTACCTCTGCGCACTCTGCGCCACACCCCCGAATCCATCCCCCGACCGCAAAGACAGACACACAACGGATCGAATCAGCTTCATCGCAGGCTCGGGGGCAACGATCGCCCGTCGCATAGCCGTCACTGCCGTAACATACCATGCCCTCCTCACAGCGCTACCAGTCTATGCGCCACAGCGGATGTCGCAGATGTGCCCGCGACCGCACAATCTCAACCCAGAGCTATTCTCCTGGAGTATTCCTGCCATCGCGGGCATCCTGCTGATATGCCTCGGTGCCTATGTTCGCCTCGCGGCGTACGGTACACTCAACCGCAACTTCACATTCCACCTCGCGGCGCCGGATAAGCTGGTGACGTCGGGTGCCTATGGTTGGATGCAACATCCAAGCTATACGGGGCTGGTGCTGATCGGGTTTGGTGTCGCGTCGCTGTTTTGTCGCTGGGATGGGGTGCCTGCCTGCTGGATTTCTGAGGCCACGTTGGCTCGATGGTCCGGGTGGGGTATGGGGGTGTTGGGGGGTTATATTTCGGTTGCACTTTGTGTTCTGTTTACGAGGGTGAAGGATGAAGAAGAGATGCTGAAGGGGAAATTCGGCAAGGAATGGGAAGAGTGGCACCGGTCGACGAAGCGGTTCATTCCGGGCATTTTGTGAGAAGTTTGATAATCTACATATTCTCTTGTACAGTAAAAACAAACCACCTGTTTATTAGACCCCCAATGGATGCATTGGCTCCTTGTACATGACACACTTGATGTCACATATCCCCTATCCAATGTGTGACTGCCTCCTCTATCTGACGAGACGTGAGAACGATGTCTCTCACGCTTATTTCTCGTGGACTGTAGGCTCCTCCTCGCGAGTAGGCTCAGTGTCCAGCGCATCAAGGGTCACATCCACGCGGGGACCTGTAAAGTTCTTGCGTCCATCAATGAACCACTGGAAGACAGAGATAATGATGATAACCGCGAACGCAGCAATAGCATAGTCTAGGGAGTAAGTTAGTCATAGGTACTCAAAGTCATTACATAGGACCACTTACTCATGCTGCTGCCAGTAACAGTATTGGAAGGAGGGAACACGAAGAGGACGGTCGTGAGGGCGATGTATGTGAGAGAAATCTTATCAATTAGCATTGGCTGTGCACAAAGAGTAGGTATGGGGACTTACGATATCCACAAACCATCCGACGGAGTTAGGAAGCTTCCACTTCCTCTCCGGGAGGGCTCGTCGGCCCTGCAAGCAGTTGACGAGAATGGGCATGGCGTAGGATAGATCAAGAGACACAACGGCGGCGGCAATGATAGCGTTGAAGGCACTGTATGAATTTAGCTGAAATGCTGATCGGAGGAGTGAAGCTGAATATCATTACCTTGAAGACCCCAAGAAGATGCAGCCAAAGATGATGACAACGACAACAGTCAAGAGAAGCGCGTTCAAGGGAAGCTTGAGTGTCGGGTGAACCTGGGCAAAGAAACGAGAAGCAGGAAGACCGCCATCGCTACTATCGTTAGTCTTGCCTTTTGAACAATTATGTCGAGCTGAAGTTCATACCGAGCGAAAGCGAAAATCATGCGACTGCTGGTAGTCATCACGCTAAGAATGGCGAGGATCAGGCACACGAGAGGTAACCTAGCATTTAGTTAGCGGAAAAGTCAACGGCGAACAGAAAATTGAAGACATACATCAAAAGACAGATTGCACCAGCGGTATTCTTGGTGGCATCAATGAAAATTTGAAGCATCGGGCCAGCAGCAGAAGTAGTGATTGTATCCATATCGCCAGCCACGAATAGCAGGACCATCAAGAAGATCGCTCCGGTGAAGGTTCCAATGCCAACACATGAGACCATAATCTTGGGTCCTTCGATAGAAGGGTTTGGAACCTCTGCTAATTGTTAGTTCGGGACTCGTGTATACAGGCAGGTTGCGAATTCTTACCCTCAATCATGTGAACCACGGCGTCCTAGGACTATGAGCACCATGTTTTCCAATCCGAACCACAAGGAAACTTACAAATGCAGTGACACCAAGTCCTCCTTGAAGCAAACCCAGCATCCATGCAACGCCGTCAGGCCCTGGTTCCAGTTAGCATCCTGGGCAGCCGAGTGTTGTCTGAGGGTAAACTCACATCCGGTGGTGTTCACAAAATTACAGAACACAAAGCTAAAAGGTATAGTGAGAAACAGCCCAAAAGATCAAGTCAAGGTTATCCTTACTAGGCCGAGTTGAAGTCAGGCGAGGCGCATGCAAGAACTGTAATGGAGACAACCACGAATCCACCGATGGACCAAGAGACTGCCTCAAGTTAGCCTCGAAGACCGAATAAAAGACCGAATATACATACAGGCACCGCGGTAAATCATGGGCAGAATTGAGTTCATGAAAGCATTAATGACGAATGCTCCCAGTGTCAGTCCGATGTAAATGAGGAATTCATGCCATCGCTGCGCAACATAATTCTGATTGAAGTTGTCAGTCAATGGAGTCCATTTTCCCATCGAAGGAGCGGCCTTACGGGATGCATGGCCGAAATACATCCAACGATGAGTTGACTCGATAGAAGCGAGTTGGTAGCCACGAGGGCGACCTATAACAATATCAGTTGGGGTCATCATGAGACAGAGTTATTGCTCTGCTTACCCAACCCGCGACATTAATCCAACCAGTAATCCATGAGAGAATAGGCACCCACTTTGGCCATGCGACTGTGTGATATTTAGTGAAGATTCGGGAAGCAGGTGATGGTGTGTAACCTACTGACGGCGACCCAGTGATATTGACCACCGGCACTAGATGAAGGTGAATCAGATCTCGAATCTTGACAGAGAGAGAGAGAGAGTATTGGCCACTGAACATACGTGGGATAAGCAGAAAGGAATTCCGCGAGGGAGGCAGAAATGCACAGGTTGCAGAATCCTGCCGTGACGAGGCCTGGTTGTGATGTTATTGAGTATCCCCTGCAGATGGAGCTGTATCCCTTTGGACATACCCCAAATAACACTCGTGCTTCCTCCGGATGAGAGACTAATCGACAAGCTAGCAGAAAGAGCAGTCCATGACTAGATCGAGAAGGTTGTCCTGATTAGCCGTGTCATTCATAATGAGGCTGACCGATAATCGGGGATGGACTTACATTGAGCACCGCAAAAGCAAGTCCCAGCATCGACCTGTCCCCCGGTCAGTATTTTGCAAAGTATAAACTTTTCGTTGTCGATCTTACCACATGGAGTATTGACGCTTCAGCTCTGGCTTATGGCCCATGGCCGCCAGTTGCGCATCATCGTCCTCTAACGGTCCCCCCTTCATCTCTGTTGGGTGACTCATATCGTGAATCTTCACAGAGTCAAAAGGTTTAGGTTATCAAACAAAACAGAAAAGATAACAGTGAGAACAACAATCCAAAAAGTCGGACGGAAATGCATCTAAGTATTCCGGAATTACCGAAGAGCACATGGCTACAACATCCATATTGCGGATAGCGCCGACAGGGTTACAGCTGGCTAGCATGCGGGGGAACAGCAAGCCAAGGAGTAAAGGAGATCGTATCAGCATCAAACACCAATCGCATCTATACGGCGGGACAAGACCAATCCAACCGATGTCCACCCGAAACCCACTTCGCTCTTGGCCGACCTAATCTTAGCCAATCGCAGTCGCCGGCCCAGACTTGTCCAACCGAGCGGAATGAAGTCTTATCGTAAACATCCCCACCTCCCCCAAAACAGGCTAACAGGCACAGCTTGAAGTCGACTTCTCTCCGCAAAGCTTATCACCAAGTACCTAGACGTCCGGCTTATCCTCCCTATTTCGTCAACGGTCGCATGGACTTCCCTCGACTGCGTTAGCTGCGTTGCAAGCTATCCCAGGCTATGCCCAACCCGCCCTTAGTTGCGTCGTGACAATATCAAGAAGATGCTGCGGGTGTTGATCTCCACCGCGTAACCGGGTGGACCTACTGATAATCTGGTAATCTTCGGGGAATCCCCTTTCCAAGCAACCGGTCTCCGGTCTGCACTCGATTGCGAGGTATAAATAATGGTGTCGCAGCGAGTGCTAATCTCTTGGATTATCGCGATAGCTTAGCCATCGCCTCCTTCTTTTATTTCGTCTTTTCTTGCCATCCTCCCGGTCATGTTCTCTAAGAAGGGACTGGGCCTGTTGGCGGCTGCACTTGCCACGCAAACATGTGCCGCGTCGGCCACTATGGCCCGTGATGACCATGCTACTTGCAAGAAGACTACGGTCGCTATCTTGTAAGCCTAGCAATGGCTCCATTAACACGCGAGATATGATGAGCTAACGGATTTCAGGGGAGGTGGAATGGCTGGTGTCGCAGCGGCAGTAAGACAACCCCTCTGGTCCAGCAAAGACAAGCAAGGACGCGACACTGACATGCTATTTGTAGCAAGCTTTGTCCAACTCGTCCATTCACGATTTTGTGATCATCGAGTATAGGGATACCCTCGGTGGCCGTGTGGCTCACACCGAGTTTGGCAAGGATCCCAAGGGCAAACCGTATACGGTCGAGCTGGGAGCCAACTGGGTAGGATAATCTGCCATTTCTGACCCAGGAAAAGGCAGTGACTGACTTGATGATCTTAATAGGTGCAAGGATTGGGATCTCCAGGCGGCCCTGGTATGATGCATAGCTATCCATCCAGCATGCCCCCTTTGGTATACTAACGATGCTTTTCTAGAGAACCCTATCTGGACCTTCGCAAAGAAGTGGGGTCTGAATAACACCTACTCTAACTATAGCTCGATTCTCACCTACAATGAGACCGGCTATGTGGACTACTCCTCTCTTTTGGATGATTACGAGACCATGTACGAAGATGCTGCCGAGGCGGCTGGAGTTCTCCTGACCGAAAATGGACAGGATCAAACTGCCCGCAGTGGTCTAGCAATCGCGGGATGGAGGCCCAAAGTCGATGATATGGCCAGCCAGGCCGTTGAGTGGTGGGAGTGGGGTGAGTCTTTTCAGCTTTACTCATGCCCTTGCATTTAATGCTAACTCTGCTCCAGACTGGGAGGATGCCTATTCACCCGACCAAAGTTCCTTCATCTTCGGCGCTGCCGGTGATAACTTGACGTTCAACCAGTTCAGTGACGAAAACAACTACGTTTGGGACCAGCGTGGCTACAGCCGGATTATCCTCAAGGAGGCCTCGACTTTCCTCAAGGCCAACGACCCGCGCGTCCAGCTCAATTCTATCATCACCAACGTGACTTACTCCAACGATGGTGTTGTTATCTACAAGGAAGACGGTAGCTGCGTATCTGCTGCCTATGCAGTATGCACCTTCTCTTTGGGTGTGCTTCAGAATAACGCCGTCTCTTTCAGTCCCTCATTCCCCGACTGGAAGCAGACTGCTATTGAGAAGTTCAGCATGGGCACATACACCAAGATCTTCCTACAATTTAACGAGACCTTCTGGCCCCGTGATACGCAGTACTTCTTGTACGCCGACCCTATCAGCCGTGGCTACTATCCCGTCTGGCAATCCCTTTCCGCCCCGGGCTTCATCCCCGAGTCAAACATCATCTTCGTCACTGTCGTCTCGCAAGAATCCTACCGCGTCGAGCGGCAGTCAGATGAAAAGACCAAGGAAGAAGTCATGGCCGTTCTCCGCAAGATGTACCCAGACCTCGATATCCCCGAACCTACAGCCTTCATGTACCCACGCTGGTCAACCACCCCCTGGTCGTACGGCAGCTACTCGAACTGGCCTGCAGCGACTACCCTCGAGATGCACGAGAATCTGCGCGCGAACGTGAACCGCCTCTGGTTCGCTGGTGAAGCTACTAGCGCGCAGTACTTCGGCTTTTTGCACGGTGCTTGGTTCGAAGGCCGTGATGCGGGTGAGCGGATTGCTGAGCTGTTGGGTGGCAAGTGTGCGAACACGGATGCTTCGGGGACTTGTGGAAACCGTAAACACTACGAGCGTCTGTATGGCAGCTCGCCGCTGGCTGATTATAGTGTGTTTGATGGATGGGATGTTAGCAGCTTCTACTCGAGCTACTAAGGAGTTATCGAGTCTTGGTGTGTTAATTGTACGAAATTGGTGTTTCGAAGCAGGCTGAAATGGGCATGTTGTGTATAGTTTAGTTCGAATGCCACCTGTCTGCCTGACAGAGGTCTTTTACCAGAGAATCCTCTGGCTTGAACATTTGGTTCCCATGTAGTGATCAGTAGTGTTATGAGGTTTTTTTTTCTTCATTTTGAGTATAGTGAAATGGATGGTATCATCATCCAGTCTGAGGCAAGAATTATTTGCCAGCGTACTTGTGTTGTTGAACATAGAAAATGGTATAAAGGTATCCACCTATATGATAGTGAATGTCACACTATCTGGGGAAGGGGGGAAATGAAGCCCCAAAAGAAAATCCCAAAACACCGACGCCAAAACCCTCGCAAAATAACTCCATGCATCATAAAATGCCCTTTGTCACAAAAACCAGCATTGCGACGGAGAGCGACAAGAAAGGTTTGACCTCAACTTAGCCGCAGGCCTTGTCCGAAGCGGGACACGCTCATCGAGCATGGTATGTGTCGAGGGCCTGCTGTACATCGTGCAGGCTGTCTTTGCTCCCGTAGGCGTCCATGAGTTTCCGGTTTCGGGCAAGGCGCTTCTCCTCCTCAGCCATGGCGAACTCGTGCCGCGATTTAGCCTCGTTGTAGTAGTTGTAGCCGGCGAAGCCTGTACGGATAATAATTAGTCGCCGATAAAGCGGACTGGAGGTATATTATCATGGAAAGTACACGTACCGAGTCCGATGGCAGCGACAACTGGGAGATACCTAATCAAAGCAGCCGTGGTTAGATGGTTGAGCATTGAGACATGAGGCCTTTCCAGGGGTAGATTGGGCTTACCAGCGGCTAGGCCGAGGCTTGATGGACGGCCCGGTCGGATGGGGTCTGTGAGAGGAGTTGGCTCCAGGGAAGGCGTATTGAGACATTTCGGTATTGTGAGATGGAGAGGGTTGCAATTTTAGACAGTGATTTGAATTGGAGAGATATGTTAGAATAGGAGATGAGAAAGTGGTGGAAGATGCAAAGGTGGCGCGTGAGTTCCGGTCGGAGGGTATTCCTCCGTATAAAGCGGGAAGATCGCCGGCTGTGGAATGCGGGAATGCGGGGATTGCATGACGTGGAGATCCAAGCGTTACAGCATTAGCGAATGTAGCGAAACATGCCACGCTGGTATCATGATCCACGGTTGGCTGACTTGCTATGCCATCACAGGTATCTCAAGTTCCAGTTGCATGACTACGATAGCTGGATAGTTACATTATGCTTCATGGACGACTACTCGAGGTCAAACATGGACTTCTTGTTAACTGTGGTGATTGTCCCCACACTCACTCAGCGCAAAAAAGTTCAACCGTCCAACCAGCGATTGCGGAGGAATCATCATCGTGAAATAGCAACAATGTAAAAAGCGTTCTACCAAATCACCTTGAATAATTATGTAGACTCGACAGATCTCAGTATCTCAAGTTGAACTACGATGAGGAGCTTACTGGAGTAATTTGTTTGACCTGAAGTAAGTATCTGGCTATTATTAGTGGGCATATACTCCCCAGCACTGGAACTAAGGTTTCAATCCGTGCCTAGTGTTAGGTAATCTCTACCAGGTTGGAGGAGGGTATTCTGAACACCACGCAGACTATGAAGTATACTGGAAGGTATAAGAATGCATGCGAACTTATTGAGTAAGAGGCGTAGGCAGTAGTTGCACCTCCCACGCCTTAAAGGGGTGGAATCAATGAGTGTTCGAAGGTTGATTCTACCTCGGTAGAATCGTATCCATATACTCCGTAGTTATAGTTAGGTTTTGTGCCTGACTTCGCAGGCTTTCCGGGTCCAGGTGCCTAACGTTCAGCACGGATTCGCGTTGGAGCGGAAAATTCCAATCTACCTCTTGACATTGGCCCGTTCGAGCATTAATGAGCGCTCAGGAAAAGGACGCATAATTAGGAGACGAACAATCAATCCGGCGCGGGAAAATCATATGGATGAAGGGAAAGTCAAGTATGCGACCGCGGGCAAGTTCAAGTACCCTCGGGTCAGTGCGCGATAGTGCCGATACTCGGTGGTTACATTGCCGCGAACGCACTCCGTCAGAGTGTTGGGGAACATGTGGATTGAGATGCAAAAAAACTAATGAAAAATGGATATCGGCGCGATCCGAATTGACTACTAGATCAACGACCACTGTAATATAGGAATCAAGGGGTCGTATAGTATGGTTGTTAGTATTGTTCCGTTGGGTACAAGCGGGCGTACCTAGGCAGCATATGATCATGCCTGGAATTCAATAGACATCATACCTAGTCTATGGGGGTAATAGAGGTAAGTGAGATTGTTTGTTTTTCAGTTCAATGTAGTCACTGTATAGTCCGATCGAAAAGCCTTTCTAGAATGCATGGATATATATCTAAATCTCGAGTCAAATGTTTCGAGGAAAATGGTTATCCGCGCAGCGTTACACAACCTGGCCTGTCTACTGCGAGGGAGAGGATGTGTGTAGCACCAAAGGATACAGTCTGATCCGATAGGTAAAAATCCCTGGGTATGACAAGCTCTGTCATTTCTCCTTTGGTCACCCTTATTGGATAAATACTGTATTCGACCTCAAGCACTCACACGTCTTGTGGGCCAAGCTACATAATTGTATTCGTGTTATCTATTTTGGCCGTTGTTAAATGATGGAGATCCGATAGGGATCTCCCTCGGGAGAACTCTGATCGGGATTCTCCTAGAGGATGATTCCAGGGCCAGGTTGATTGCTTCGGCCTATATAGGCCTTTCCCTTCTTTGTTTCCTTTCTTCTTCTGCAGAGATAGTTCTCCAGGTATTCGAACTAGATTGCTCCTCTCTCTTTGGCTTCCTTGCGTAGTGGCGATAGATCGCCATCATTAACGAATGCGAGAGACTCTTGAAATTCCAAACCGTAAAAAATATATGGAAGCATGAATAAGCATTCTTGAGGGTCTATATCTTCAATCTAGCTATAACTCGTCTCTCAGGGTGGCTGCTTTAGTTTGATCGACATGTCGTCCCACACCACTGCCTGTACGGAAGGACTACAAGTGTTGGTAAAATCTGCCTGCTAAGGCCCTCCATGCACGAACCAGCAGGAAGAAGGTTCCAGAGATCGTCAAACCGTCTGCAAACCACACCGTAGCCAAGTTACACTGCATCTGCCATAGTCCCTTCCAGACAAGACGCATGATAATCGCGCGCAGTAGAATACCATAGACTGTAGCTACTTTGTATGACCCCCACGCGAACTTTTCTGTCAGGTAACAATGAATGCGTGCGGCCCGATAAGTTGTACGCAGAGTACTGGAACAGTGAGAGTCGGTGAAGTTGTCCATGAATGATTTACCTGTTGACGTGCTTTGCCACAGGAGACGGCTTGCAGAAGGGGAGCAGGGATTGACTTTTTCGAGGCCAGTACAAGGATTTTCCGTGTCAATCAAATTTTTCAACAGTGCTGGATCGGACACCCAGAGGCGTTGAGATATCGGATCGGAGACCTGTGGCATGTTCTCGATCTCTGCGGGAAAGCCTAATTTGGCATCTGGATATTTTGCAATGTTGGTGTAGAACCGAGGGGTGAGGGGTTGAATTTTCAAAACGGGGGGCGGTGCCAAAGCGCGGTCCTTGACAGGGGAGCTTATGGAGATGGGACAGAGATGCAGTGACTTGGCAGGTGTGTAGATCACTTCCAGAGGAAACTGGCACTGTTTTACCAGATAAGAGAGGTACATCCGGAAAAACTGCTCCAAAGTCCTATCCCAAGATGTGTTAGAAAACAGAAATGATAGGCACAGGGAGTCGGGGCATTACCGTTCTGGCTTTGAGGCATTACGTGGGATATTATTTTTCTTCGTCTCAGGTTTGTTCAGATATGGCATATTACCTCGGAACCGGATTCGAAGCGCCTCAACCACAATCCGGCCTATAGATGACGGAATAACAAAGGACCAGCGAAGAAGAAATATGGTCAATTCCCAGGACGAAGCTGAGAGGGGATCAAGTGGTATTTCACTTGAAAACAGACGACTAGAGAGTTTTGGTTTGCCCTCCAGGCTCATAAGGGTCATATTGGAATGTAGCGGGCCTCCCTTTTCAGGTAATGAGTCAAGGGGGTCCATAAATCGAAGATTGAACCAGCCCTCGACCTTTTCGAATGGGGATGCAAATATGTCCTTGCCCCAGCTGCCCTTATAATACTTGGCAGTGGGTGCGGAAGACATGAACCGGACAGTTTGGATGCCCCTGGGCCCTCTTCCTGATGTAGTGCTGAGAATTGCAGAAGTTTTCGCCTTGTCAAAAATGGAATTTTCTTCTCTGGTCAGTCGACAGAAGGCATTCTTTTTCTCTCCGTAGGAATTATTGATCTCCATGATTATTGCGACGAGCTCCTTTGATGGGGAGTAGAGGTACCAGTAGGAGATTGGACTTTTAGTCCACCAACAAAATTGGGGGATGCTGATAAGATATGCGTAGGGATAGTCGTTAACATCCTCGCCCTAGAAAGCTTAGTATCATAGATACTCGAGTATTTTGATTCTGAGGTGTACATACCCGTTCTGTCAAGAAATGCTCCAACTTTTGCGTCAGGCTCATGTGACCATCCCCGCGATGAAGATACTGGCTCGTATCAATGCTGAACCAAATGCACTTCCGGAAGAGTCTTTTCAGGGAAGATCGAAAAGAGTTGAAAGTCGGAGAGCGTGGATCTGATCCATCACTGTCAACTGACAGCAATGCGCCAACCCTACCACGAAGACCCACGGGAATTCCCACGAGAAAGTAGTCAATCCCATAATGGTACTTTTCTGGAAAAATCCTTGCGTGGGTGAGTTGTGATGGAAAGAACAAAGGCTTTCCCAGCAAGCATTTCTCCTGTTCTGGGTCGCTTTGACACCATAGGATTAATTTCCGCTGGACATATGATACCGCTGATGCCCAAGAAAAGACAATAGCAGGAATAGCCAAGAGGGAAATCGGTATGAGGACACTGAAAGCCTTCAGCCAGCCCACATTGTCGAAGATATTAGCCAAGTGTAGAAAAAGAACGATAAGGATATCCTCGATTGCTGAGATAGGATTGAATGAGAGTGATTGGATGAAACTTAGAAGACTAGCGGTGACTAGCGCTGGAGCTAAGAATTGAAATCGCATATACAAACACATTTTGTTTTTAAGTGTGAGAAGAAGTATTCGATGGACAAGTGCCTGAATTTGGATTCTTCAAGTCCGACTGACTTCGAAGCTTATGAAGGATACACCGAATGCATGAGGGGTCATGCCAAGTATAGTAGAAAATCATCACTAGGCCTTGCCTTTGCCACTTTCATGCAACTGTGAAGCAGAAGACTCGCAAAGGAAGCTGCCTCATTGTGATTTGCTAGATTGGGAAAGGCCCTATATACCCGAAGGAGATACGCTCGCAGATTTCCGCTGCCGAACCCGAGCAATCGGAGACCCACTATTGACTATTGGTTGATCTCGATCCGTGAATAGCGTCCAGAAGGCTGACCATCAACGTCACTCTTGAATAGAAGGGCAGCGATGCTTGAATATGACATGGCAAGGGGTGTAGAGGACATGGCAAGGGGTGTAGAGGCTCAACAGATTACTGGCTGTTCGGCTAGTCTGTCCAACCTCAACATACAGATGCAGTAGCCTATATTGTGGAGTTGCAGCTCGACTTGGCACTATCAAGAAGCCATCTAATTCAGGCTACTGTCAATCGTGTCAAAATCCATTCACTCACTGGTGATAGAGGATTTCTGTGTAACCCCAAGAAACAGATGGAATGGACTCAATCCTAGCTTCAATTCGAATCTAAGTTGGCAAAGGTATAAGTTTGACCTCTGAAAAAGGAATTGCCATCAAGGACATGTATGAACACGCCTACTCCAATCTCTACCTCATCTCTGAATCATGACTTCTTTCGATAAAAGACCTATCACCAAGGTGATAGTCATTGGAGCCGGCTTTTCCGGGCTAGCCATGGCTTGCCAGCTTCAAAGGAAGCTCAATTGCGATGATTTTACGATCTATGATCGTTCTCCTGCACCAGGCGGTGCTTGGTGGGCGAACAAATGTTTGAGTTCACTCAATCAAGCTCCCAGAACAAGTTAAGCTAACAGTACAACCCAAGACCCAGGATGTGCCGTCGATATCCCAGCTGTCTTCTACAGTCTATCTTTTGCCTCGAATCCCAATTTCTCCAAAGTATTTCCGTCGCAGGCTGAAATCTTGGACTACTTCAACAACGTTGCGGAAAGGTTTGACGTGACTCGACATGTCGTTCCAAACACGGAATGGGAGGGAGCTTACTGGCAGGAGTTGACCAGTACCTGGCTTGTCAAGCTGAAGGATTTATCCACTGGTCAACTGTATTACCAGGAATGCAAGATCCTGATCTCTGCCGTGGGGGGTCTAGTGAATCCCAATCAGTTTGATGTTCCAGGGATCGATGACTTTCAAGGTGATATCATTCATACTGCGCGGTGGAAAACGGATGTGTCACTTCATGACAAGGATGTGATCGTCGTTGGCAACGGATGTAAGATATAACTTCGTTTTCCACAGGATGATGCTAAATTATGGTTAGGTTCAGCAGCTCAACTCGTTCCGGCAATCGCTGATGAGGCAAAGAGTATTTCGCAATTCATTCGGGTAAGATCCGCCCTGGGGTAATAGAAACTAAAGATAAGACTTCTGACATGGCCAGACACCTCAACACTATCTGCAAAACGATAATTTGCAGATCAATTATAAGTGGCGTTTCATATTTCGCTACGTGCCAGGTGTTCTATTACTCTTTAGGATCCTCGTCTTCCTCTTCCTAGAGAGTACCGCGATCAGATTCAAGGTGACCGGAAGTGGCCCGAAAGCCAGGAATCAATCAGCTGAGAGAAGTCGAGCGTACATCAAGGAAAACGCTCCCGGTAGGCCAATCAACGATCATTATGCCTTTGGACTGTACTGATTCTGATTGGATGTCAGAGGAATATTGGTCGCTACTCATGCCGAAATATGAGATCGGATGCAAAGTATGGTTCTCACCTCCTTTGCGCACAAACTATATACTAAGTCTACAAAATCAGCGGCGAGTATTCGACAGCTGCAAATATGTCAGTTGTCTTCAACGAAGCAACATCCATCTCACAGATGATCCAATTACCGCCCTCCTTCCACGTTCAATCCAGACCAAATCAGGCCGGGAATATCCAGCAGACACAATTGTGAGTAATCTTATCACCGTTTACAATGATCACCACCGATTTATAGCTCCTACTAAAACTGATACACTCTTCGTAAAACAAAGGTCCTCGCTACCGGGTTCTCCTTGACACAATACGATGTAGAATTGGTTGGTCGAAATGGCCAAACTCGAGCACAGCACTGGAACGACTTTGGCTACAAGGAAGCCTACAAGTCCATTGCCATGTCGGAATTTCCCAATTTCTTCTACGTCCTGGGACCCAACTCCGGCAAAGGACATACTTCTACCATCTACTCCATCGAAAAGTAGGTTATTGCTCTCATTTTCCTTTTTCATCTCGTCATATCCGGCTAACGCTGTCTAGCTACATCGATCTCATCGTCCAAGTAATTGCACCAGTGATCCGGGATCAATCTACCTTTGTCGAGGTCAAGGCCGACAGTGAGAAAAAATACAATGAGACCTTGCACGAAGCCATCGGGAAGACTATTTTCAATAATTCCTGTTTCAGCGTGAGTACACACCGAGTTCTAGTCTGATCTGGTAAAACTCCGGTTCCTGAATTTATCTATGGGCAGTATTTCATCGACCAAAAGACTCAAAAGAACTGGTTCATCTATCCATGGAGTTCTTTTGATATGTGGTATGACACTCATTTGGGACTTTCGAATGAATGGATCTACGATGTAAGTCTACCTAGCCTAGTGCTTTGTGAAAGTCTCCACTAAGGCCAATCCGGAAAACCTCTAGATCCGACCCCAGAAGAAGACGCCGCTGCTTTTCTCAACGATTCTGCCAATGATTTTTGCGCTGCCGATTGCCTTGTTCGTTTCGAGTGTGATTTTAAGCGGAGATAGTGCGTTTACGAAGAGCTTTCGACGGCGCTTTTGATCTTCCGAGCAGGCTAGAGGTAGAGTGCGCGAAGCATTTCTAGAGCTATAAATATGGACTTTGTGCTTTGAATGAAAGAGACGGACTGGAATTTTGTTTTCTGTTTAGTAGATTGATAAAGTTGCCAATGGTGGCTGTCCATCTGCCCAACATGATATGCGTTTTTGGTATTGTTCGTCCATGATCCTTTAGCATTTGCGGGGACTATTGATAGTCACCACAACGACTATTCCAAAGACAGGTATAATGAGACTATGGAGGAAATAGTCGGATCTAGAATATTTGTTAATTCATGCGACCTGGGGATTAAACTCAAATTTGAGGTTTGGAAGCCCGGCAGAGTACGCAAGGCGCGTTAGGCCGAAGCTTGGGATTGGACAAGCTTTGTCGTATCGCAGGGTGCCATGATCTTGAACGATGGTCTTTAAAAGGAGTGCATATATAAATCCCTCGCTCAATGTTCTTTTCCGAGTTCTGTCGCGATTATGCTCCTTGTTAGTCAATCCACGATTTGGGCTCTTCTGTGCTTTGCGGGATACGTGGGATAGATGATTAGTAGAACGATATCCTTTGGTCGGGCGCGACAGGATAAAGAACTGATAAATAGTTAGCTGATCATTCATGTAGCCCTTTACCGATCAGCAATTGACGGTGTCCTATCCTCAAAAGTCTCTCTTTGGGGTACTGGTGCTGTTTCAGTGACTATCACATGCGACATCACATGTAGGCCGCTAGAATGACGCATCCCGGATGAATTACCCCCAGACTCATCACAAGCCGGGACATTTCGGCCAAAACTCCCAGTTGAGCTGGACCGAAAGAAGCCGAGAGTCGAGTAGTCCTGGCGCAATGCTGAACCAATTCTTCTACCCGCTGCCGCCTCCGTTTATCTCGTACTTTGAGCCGCGGCATGATTGGCACCGGGCATGCGGGGAGTACAGGAAAGAGCGAATGGTAACAGCCACCCTCGGGTGAGTTAGGAGGAAATGGCAGCCTGGGGCAGGGATCAGGCGTTGATCTGGTTGGACAATGGCGGAAACTTTGTTTTCGTGCAGACTGGACAATCCTTCGTGTTGTTCATCACGACTCGAGCGAGAGATAATAATAAGAAAAACTATAAGATCTCAGGTCTTCCCGGACGAGAGATTGTTCGTCTGATCGGATAGCTGTGCGCCGGTCGCGGTGCGAGATGACTCGGTATGCGGCGCATCCCGAGTGTATTCCGGGGCCGCGACCGCCTTTTGAGTGCCGATTTGTAGTGTTGAGGGAGGTTTAGAGTGGAGGAATTCGGGAAACTCGCCATGTCGGCCGAGTGGAGCAGCCGTTTGGGGCAGTTTTCCGTCGGGAAAGTCAGGTGCAGATATGGGAGACAATAATATGATTGGACGGTGATTCGATGGTGGAGTCGGACTGGGGGAAGCTGCATTGATAGCCGAGAGTCTCAGAGGAGAAAGTCAGTCATCCAACGTGACAATCGAAACTCGATTGGCCCGACGGGAGCAAAAAGAACAGCCGCGGCTCTCACGTTGCTCTGACGTCTTCTATCTCCGCCTTCGGGCGGGCGGCTGGTTCACTGAAGAGCAGTTTATGTATATAGTCTTTATCTCGTCTGCTGTAAGAAGATCCCTTCTTCTTTTTTCCTTCTTCATCCATCCTCCATTGTTTAAATCCCAGCTATCAATTGGATGGACCATCGCTATCACAGGTAGCATATATACAACACTTTTACATCGCGACTACCCTCGATCTATATACATCCCCCACCACACCCACATTCACAATGACCGCCTCTGTCGACTCACACCTCAAGGATGTGGCCATCCTGGCCAGCATCCCTAACGATGCTCGCAAGATCCTCACCAAGGAGGCCTGCGCCTTCCTGGCCATCCTGCACCGCACCTTCAACCCCACCCGCAAGGCCCTCCTCCAGCGCCGTATCGACCGCCAGGCCGAGATTGACAAGGGCAACTTGATCGACTTCCTCCCCGAGACCAAGCACATTCGTGAGAACGACGCATGGAAGGGTGCTCCCCCCGCTCCCGGTCTGGTCGACCGTCGTGTCGAGATCACCGGCCCTACCGACCGCAAGATGGTCGTCAACGCCCTTAACTCCGACGTCTGGACCTACATGGCTGACTTTGAGGATTCCTCTGCTCCTACCTGGGAGAACATGATCAACGGTCAAGTCAACTTGTACGATGCCATCCGTCGCCAGGTCGACTTCAAGCAGGGCGGCAAGGAGTACAAGCTCCGCACTGACCGCAAGCTGCCTACCCTCATTGCTCGTGCCCGTGGCTGGCACCTGGAGGAGAAGCACTTCACCGTCGACAGCGAGCCCATCTCCGGCTCCCTGTTCGACTTTGGTCTGTACTTCTTCCACAACGCCAAGGAGCTGGTCGCCCGCGGTGCCGGTCCTTACTTCTACCTGCCCAAGATGGAGTCCCACCTCGAGGCCCGTCTCTGGAACGACGTCTTCAACCTCGCCCAGGACTACATCGGCATGCCCCGCGGTACCATCCGTGGTACCGTCCTGATCGAGACCATCACCGCCGCCTTTGAGATGGACGAGATCATCTACGAGCTGCGCGACCACAGCTCCGGTCTGAACTGCGGCCGCTGGGACTACATCTTCTCCTTCATCAAGAAGTTCCGCCAACACCCCAACTTCGTCCTCCCCGACCGTTCCGACGTCACCATGACCGTCCCCTTCATGGACGCCTACGTCAAGCTCCTCATCAAGACCTGCCATCGTCGCGGCGTCCACGCCATGGGCGGCATGGCCGCTCAGATCCCCGTCAAGAACGACCCGGCCGCCAACGACAAGGCCATGGAGTCCGTCCGCGCCGACAAGCTGCGTGAGGTCCGCGCCGGCCACGACGGTACCTGGGTTGCTCACCCAGCCCTGGCCTCCATCGCCTCCGAGGTCTTCAACAAGTACATGCCCACTCCCAACCAGCTCTTCAAGCGCCGCGAAGAAGTCCACATCACCGCCAACGACCTGCTGAACACCAACGTCCCTGGCAAGATCACCGAGGAGGGTATCCGCAAGAACCTCAACATCGGCCTGAGCTACATGGAGGGCTGGCTCCGCGGCGTCGGCTGCGTGCCTATCAACTTCCTCATGGAGGACGCTGCCACCGCCGAGGTCTCCCGTTCCCAGCTCTGGCAGTGGGTCCGCCACAACGTCAGCACCGCCGAAGGCAAGCGTGTCGATAAGGCTTATGCTCTGCGTCTGCTGCAGGAGCAGGCTGACAGCTTGGCTTCCCAGGGCTCCAAGGGCAACAAGTACCAGCTCGCTGCTCGGTACTTCGCTGGCCAGGTTACTGGTGAGGATTATGCCGATTTCCTGACTAGCTTGCTGTACAATGAGATCTCCTCTGCTGGCTCTGCGGCTAAGCTGTGAGTGGTGCGGTGCTGTGGGCTTTGACTGATGGTGGTGGATCATGATTATGAATACCCTTATTTCCTTTTCTTTTTTTTTATCCGCATTTTTCCTATTGGTTCATTCGTCTCTTGTTGATAATCAATTAGCATCGTTGTATAACAAATCATTGAATATATTCTTCACAAGACTTTCTCATCTCATACATTAGACTACATCCGCACTGATTGATTATGGGTACGAATACGAGGGCGCGGTCAGAGCGTTTCCCCGCAGTATCACTACAATGTGCCTGACTGCCTGTCACCTTTTAAGGGCTTCCATTTAACGGCCAATTCAGCTATGCCTTCCTAGAATATTAGATATTCCCCCGCACTCTCCACTCTGGTGCTGTCTAATAGTCGCTGAGTAAGGGCGCCTTCTTCACCTAAATACTAAAGTAGCTAGCTATCAATTTATATGCATTCAGGTACTTGGCAGTTTGATACGCTGTGATAGTGGAGATCTATTCGGGGATTCAAGGTGAAATACATTCTACCATGGATTAAGACGTGATGCTGACCGTCATCAATAAGTCGTTAGCTCTAGACTAACCCTAGAAGAAGCATTGGTACTTGATATCTTCCACCTCGTGTTCGTGCATATGAGGCGCTATCCACATCTCGTATCCCAGCCGCTTGCTAGCAGCGGGTCTCACCAGAACAGCGCATGTCCCTGACTCCCTGCAAGTCTTAATTTAAGCACGCGCCATGTCATCCCCACCGGCCCAGAAATTCAATTGTGCGTCTTTCCACCAAGGCGTTGATAAACGTCACTTAAGCCTCTGAACAAAAAAAAAAGTATTTCGCCAGCCCGAACACCATCCAATCGATCTCCTAAGTGCAGCGATCGTTATCGATTCCGCTGGTTCACCTCACCATGCGCGCACAACTAGTCCTCCTCCTCTGCTCGGCTAACCTTGCAATCGCCACATTCCACAAACCACTACCAGGACATCGCCTGCTTGCCGGGCATGATGATGATGGCCTAGTCGCGCGCCAGATAACCGTCGACGGGGGCACCGGCTGTACAATAAAAAGTACCTGCTCCGAATGCTACGGGGCCGGCAATGTGCTGTGCAGTAATGCGGGTTGTTTCGATCCCTCGCAGGGTCAGCAGTGTTGTGCGGATGGATGTACGTTGCTCTTCTCCTTAGGGAACAGTCCAATAATACTGAATACTGACCTTTTTCTGTAGCATACTGCGTCGCATCTAACAACACGTGCTGTGGCTCGTTTGTGAGTTTTGTTTCTTGTTTTCAATCCGAATCTCCAATTATTGAAATGTCGCGTTCGTGTTTTCGTTCGTGTATCTGACATACTCCATCCTCATCAGGGCCCCGGTACAACAGGCACAGACGGCGTCGTCCCCCAAACCGCGTATTCCGCATTCTACTCAGCAACATCACAATGGCCCTGTTTCCCCACCGACACCAACGCAGAATGCTGTCAGCGCGGGAACTCTCAATGGTGCGGTGGCGATTATCCCAGCCAGGTCTGCTACGATCCTTCGTCCGTACTCTGCTGCAGCAACGGCAAGGTTTGTACGGGCAAGGACTGCTGTAGTAGTTTGGTAAGTTAATTGCTGTATTATCCATTTTCATATGGTTTGATTGTTTAACGAGTTTGTAGGGTGCTGTTGCGACTACGCCGAATCCGAGTCTTGCGACGCGAACTGGGACACCGACTCCGACTGGGCATTCTGGCGCATCAACGTCGCATACTACTACAGCTGTCCCGACGTCGGTGTCATCTGCTACCGCAGCTGCAGCTACTACTACCAAGTCATCTGATGCTGGAAGTGGATTGGGGGATGTGAAGTGTACTGTGTTAATGTTGGGAGCGTTTATGGTGGGATTAATGTTCCTGTAATACATCGTAAAACGGTGCTGGCTTCGAATACTGGATTAGTTGACGACTAGAGGGGGGTGCAACTAACGTATGAAATGTGATTTGTATTTCCATGCCCTGCCATGCTCGTTATGTACAGTGATCTTCTGCTTCTACTTGCTCTAAGTAAAAGGCTGCTCTGTAGCGGTGTGATGTTACCAATTCAGCAGATTCGACGTCGCATCCTCCCCAAGTTGGTTCGACTCGTCTGACTTTTCCGGTTCGTCCGCGGCATCCCCTTCCTCAAGAATGATGGCAGTGTATGTGATCGTGACATGCCGCTTCCCATACTCATTGACAAAGCTCTTCGTTTCCTGGTCCAGAACGGGCTTCCATAATAATCGTGCGGTGATTCGACCCATAGAGGTTGCATCGAGGAACTTGCGCATCTGCTTCACGCCGGTCTTACCTCGGATGGCAAGCAACAGGAGCATGATGAGAACGACAAGCGTGATGGCAAGTGTGACAAAAGCAGGGACCGCGAACGGGAGTCGATATCGAATCTTCTGATGGTAAAGCACGACAGGAATCTGACTCGACGGAGCAGTATTCACGTCCGTCGAGGAAATGTTGGCGCTGGGAGCAAACCCCGTCGGGTCGGTAGATGCAGCTGAAGTAAGTCCCCAGCCTCGCGTGCCGACGACTGCATTCGCCGCAACGTCCGTCCACACCAGATTGAGAATCTGGGAAACCGTCTCAGCGGAGGTGCTGAGCTTTTGCCACTTGGCGTAGACCCCAAGGCTGCTCCAGCCGGAGTAATCTGCGTACCCCTGGTATCCTGAATACCTTGCGGAGGGCGGGCCGATATTCAACGCGGTGTAGAGAGCCTGAGAGTAGAAATTCAAGGCGGGCAAATTTTGCGAGGCTGGCAACACGGGCACTGGCGCAGCCGACGTGATATAGAGCCAGTCCATGAAGCCCGGTAGATAGAGACTCTCGGCAGCAATGGTTGACATATTCCATGCCGCTGCGAGGGGATTTTGACTCGAGTTCGCAGACCCGAGGATCCCCCACATGGGCATCGCGTCAGAGAATTGCAGCCAGTCTAGATTTTGAACCGCCCACCGAGGAAAACTAGAAGGATTCGAGTAGGTCTTTGGCTTGATTGATGTCGCCTTGAGCGCTCCGAGGCCTGTTCCATTGTAACGGAAAGAGACGGTCTGAACTTTGGCTCGAACCGCACTAGCACAGCTGTATATTGGGGCGGACCACTTCGACAAAGGATCGATGATAAGATTGGAGCCGCCGTCTATACGTGTCGCGGCGCCATACAGAACCGCACATCCGACGATGCTGCTATCGATGTTGGCAGGGCTTCCGGGCGATGTTCCGCCACAAATATTATCTGAGATTGTTTGTCAGTAACGCACGCATCATATCGCAGAAGAATCAAACGCACTGATGATTTGAAAATTGTTCGCACTGATGTTGTACGGGTTCGTTTTGTTGAAATTCAGATAACTGCCAAAGTACAGAGAAGACTGTACAGCTGTCGAATAAACCGAGAAACTCGAGTTGTCGACGGGAAAATTTTGCCCGCGTGTCACATCCAAGCGAGTGATGTTCGATGGATTCTCACCGGTGGCGTTGAAGTATACCAATGTTAGGAAGTTATTCAACCAGGCGGCATTGTATGCCCGCTGTTGCAAATTGATCTTCCCTTGCGCGTTGCTTGGGAGGTTCATGCTTGGTGCTTGCCGACTCAAGGCAGAGAATCCACCACGATCAGTCAACACTACGGTCCCGTTGGATGTAGTGCTACCATACTGGAAGTCCAAGGTGACGTTCAGATTCACACACTGGGTCTCCGGTTGCACGAACAGGATGTCCTCCTCCCAAGTGGCGCCATACTCGAGAATAGATGTAGGAATAGAGTGATTGCGAAATCCAATACCTCCCGAGTCCATGTCCACGATCAGTCCTTCAATGACCTGGGGTCCTTCGTTGAGAATCAAGGTCTCTAGCTGCCGATACCCGGCGCTCATATAGTACTTGAAAGTGCTGTACGCGTCCTGTAAGCGGACATACGTCCGCCACTGTATATCGAAAATACTCGAAACGGAGGGGCTAAAGCTGGAGGCACCATCGCTGAACAGAGTTCCCAATGCTGCTGGGATCCTGGGGTCGTAGCTTATGGTGCAATTCTGTAGTAGCCCCTGCTTGGCGCAAGTTTCGTTCAGGGTTGTGCCAGGGCACGGAATACCATTGCCGCATACCCCAGTGAACGGCCAGCTGCTTCGTGGTGGAGTGCCATCACCAAAGGCCGAGGGGTCCTTTGAGTAGCTAAAGGCGACCGTCGTGGGTGAGTCGGCCGGCTCGATCGAGCTGTATAATCCGAGCGGCGTGACAATGGCCGCCACTGAAATCACGAACAAGAAGGCGGGTTGGAGCCATCCAGCCAGCCTCACACTGCGCTCCACTCCCGTCGGGGTTGCTGTGTCTGTCTGCAAGATGGTCGGCCAGTGGGATGAATGGAGAGCGCGTCCGAGAACCGCCCTTTCGAGTTGTTCATCAGCAACCGCGCGCCCAGAGGATGGAGTGGTTGCCTCTCACCAGGTTGATACGGAATTTTTGTCTGACAGAAAGGCGATGAGTATTGCGGGAAGCATAATCGGGAGAATTAGCTGTACTACTGAGGTGTCAGACAGGCCTTTCATCGAGCAATTTGGTGTGGCTCACCCACGAACACTCCAGCGGCAATCAAGCCAGAAACCTCGCCCACCGAAAGGCCAGTCATTTCGACAATATGATATTGTAAAGAGGAAGTTCTGCCAACACGTCCATGTACAGTCGGTGTCTTCCTGCCGGATCAACGAAGGGGATGGAACGGCATAAAATTTGCGACTATGGAGAGCCGCTCTCTTGGAGTCGAATTTTGGCGCTAACTCTTGCGCTGAGCCCAAATGAGGGCGAACGAGCCGCCATTATTATTATTGAGACCATCGCGGGTTGATACGAGATGGACCCTGCTAGCTCCTGATTTAGACACCAATTGCATCAATCAGGATGCCCCTCACACTGTTTTGACCCCTCCCACTTCGTATTTGGTTAATCGCTCGACGCATTCCCACCCTCCTTTTGCATCTGATCATCATTTCGTATACATCCTTACATACCCATCCCCACCTGTTGAAGGTATGCTTGACAACCTGTTGAGCGATGCAAGCGCTTGACCACATCGGGACGCGCCTTCATTGGTCACGTGGTGCTTCCTAAAACGGTATCTAGGGCATGGCTGTAGGGCTCTCCTCCTCTCGTGCCTGCTATCGTGATCTTTTTGAAGTTACGAGGAAGCATCATTTACCTACAACGGCACGTCATGATTAGCTACGTGGATAGTGATCTTAGTTCATCCAACAACCTTACTGATTGAGAATGGATACCGAGGCCAGGGCTTTCCCGCGCACTGTCCACCCTGCTGTGTAATCGTATCATCCCAACGAATTGTTCCACGGTTTGGGGAGAAATGCGTCAACCTCGTAGAGCTAGAAGGGAAGCCCAGTCAACACTTTACTGAGACACGGCATAAAGAATTACTTTATATGCATGAACATAGTAGATGAATAGTTTAAAACTAAGCTGAAGAGCCCCAGGCCACCAAGGTGGGCCCATATCCACCTAACCAAAAATAGGAAGCTCTCGGGATGGTCAATGCTGAAGAAGGTCCAGATTCAGATCCGCTTGTTCGTAGCTTCGAACCAATAATGGAAGCAATCCTTGTTTGTTATTGGGTTGAACGCTGATTCTCGTGCCGATCTATCTGCAAAACCTTAGCATTGTAAACTAGACGCTGTTTATTGATGCAATGCGTGCAATAGATAGAGTTCACTACGTCACTTGTTCGCTGTTTGCTGGAAGCTTTACGCCGAAACACCTTATCCGCGCCAGCCACTTCCAGCCATCAGAACCGCCCGAACCCAAAAAAAATAGATGGTAAACTACGTGTTTTGGTAACCTTTGTAAGTTGAGGATTGAAAATACCATGTGACAACCATCTGCATGGGGAGATGAACGAAATGAGGCAAATAGTGATATTAGAAATTGTGATAGCTCACACTAAATAAATCGCTACATACTATATTTCACACCTCGAGGACGTGGGTCAGAATAACATGCCAGATCACTGCGATTAAGTACTTGGGATGGAACTAGTCTAGAAACGGTGTGGCATCCTTATCTAGGTATGTATCGTATTCCAGAACTCCGCGGGAGAGTTCACTCGGCCAGATAAGACTTATTGAGTTGAAGCCGATTGGTGAATTGGGCAAGCCAAGAGTGCTGGCTCTCTAGCTAGAACAAACTAAGATAAAGATGGCGATGGATCATGCGATATCTTAAATGATCCACAGCCGAGATTTCCTCAAGAAAAGATGGTACGAGCGTTTCATCCTAAATTATACCTGGGCTGAGCGCCACAGGGGATGATGCGACTCGCCAATAACGGCTACCAGCTCTACCCATCCATTTCAAGATGTCTCATCATCCAGTGTCCAATAATATCGAAATCACTCGTGATATCCCTCAATTTAACCTACAGATCTATATAGAGACCCCTACGAAATACGCGTTCTTATCGCAGGGATCCGCGATTTAGCGCGCGTTGTAAAAGGTCCGCGGAGTTATCCCTGCAACTTGTTATCTCGAGGGGGCCGAAGTTTGCTTTTTCTACCCAAGCATCCATTTCAATAGAGATATGAATCATAAAAATGGTCCAGTCAGAGCTTCGATCAATTTCTGGCAAAGCAATGAAGATAATCATTGCTTGTGCCCCTCTCGGACCGGAAGCTCGTTCGGCGAGCTACCGGGTATGTTTACTTTTTCCCCTTCCTGGCCGCGGAGTGTAACAAGGTATACATAGATGAACCTCCGCCCCTATCCCTTATCTCTGTTGCTTACCATCCATAGCTCTCGGATTGTAGCTTTGTTCCGAGGTATGAGCCAGGTTCCTTTTGTTTTGGGTGTGACTGCGTTAACAGGCTCCATCGCCACGTCTGTCCGGAGACCACCCCCATCTTCTGCCAATGATACAAAGCCAAAGGAATTCCTTAGATTAGCAATCAAAAATTCCCTATGGTAGCGAGTGGAAATTTCTTCCCATCCTAGACCAGCTCCTTGGTAGACAATTATATACGAAGGACCTCATAAGCGACGCCGATAAGCATGCGCCACATGACTAGAAGACATCTTCATAAATAAATCCCCCACTTCCCAAGGAAGGGAAAGATCAACCATCATCAAGATGTTTGCCTTTATTCACGCCTGGGTGAAAGCGAATGGGCATTTTGACATCTCGCCTCGAGAGGCTTTAGCTGCACCGACCACAGATGAAGGGACATATATCCAAAGCATTGTCATTCTCACCTTCTCAGTTGTCTCATTCATTGCAGCAGGATGGATCGTTCTTAGTTTTGCAGTAAGTCTAGCCTTGTCTCTATTACTTTGACTTTTACTGATTGAATCCCTCAGGTTTTCAGGTCACTACGCTCCTTCAGGCATCAGCTTATTTTGTAAGCCGGACCTACTCTGTTGGCGATAGATTGTGTCTCATTGACTGAGTAGGGGCCTCGCAATTAGCGACTGTATCATGGCCATCAACTTTCTTTCCTCCTCGTCACTGAATGTGAGCGGCCATTTAATTGGAGCCTCCGATATGGAAGGCTTCTGTAGCTTCAACGGCTTCATGACACAGGTCTTCGTCATCCAAACGGATTACTGGGTCCTAATAATTGCAATCTGCACATTTGTGATCCTGGCCGATCACAAACACATATCTGGCTGGGTTCAGGAGAACTGTCGGCTATTAATGGCAATTCCGTGGGTGTTCTCAGTCATCTGGGCATCAATCGGCCTAGGCGTCGCAGGCTACGGTGACATCGGAGCTTGTTAGTTCTATCCGTGCCTCCTTACTACTGCCAAGTCCTATCAGAGATACTGATGCCATATTTGCAGGGTGCTGGTTCACCTCTGATGAAGTCCGTCTTCTCGTGAACTTTGTTCCACGTTGGATCATCATTGCAATTATGCTAGCCATGTACACTCGTCTTTATCTTGTGCTGTACCGAGCTCATAGTCCGTTCTCGTCCTCTCACGAATCTACTACAGAGGACCTGAGCCGGCCGTCGGGAATATGGGATTCTGCGAACCCAAACAGCAAAAGGATCAAGAAGGTACAATTGACGCCTATAACATGTGTCAAGAATAGGGCCCTTACTAACAAAACATGCATCAGATGGCACGGCTCATGCTCATGTATCCAGTGGCATATATTTTTGTCTGGACATTGCCAACGGGGATCCGGATTTACCAAGCTTCAAAAGGGACCGCCGCACCTTTTGCTTTACAGACAATTGACAAGGTGAGTTCCTCTGGCTTGTCAAAGCATCTTTCAAAGAAAGGGAATTGCCATCTAACTTCCCTCAAGTCATGTATTGTGGTCCAAGGCTTCGTCGACGCCCTTATTTATGGTGTGACCGAACCGACGTTATCTCATTGGCGCAACTTGCTCTTTCCTAGGCCGATGCCCACCACAGACGGTATAATTCTCACATACGTTACGACAACGGGGCCAGTGCGTGTCACGGCATCGCGGTTAAGCGATGGCGAGTCTACTACTGGTTTGAAGACAATAATCACTGCTAAGGACAGTAGAAGATCATCGGATCATGTCTTTTAAGCTGTTTTGGCTGTCCAAGTTAGGGTCCTTACACATATAATCGCCTTCTAATATTAATATTTCCTTTGTATATTATGTCTTTGAAAGGTATAATCTGCCCACACAACTGTAGGGTGTGGGGAACTGGGTCATTGATGGCACAGACACAGATATTGTTTGACGTGTCAATTGGCGATCAATGCTCTACAACCCGCAGTTCAACTTGGTATCCACGAGTCGTACCCCCTCCGGGATCAATTGATCAGCTTAAGCCACGCCAAAATGGCGATTTTCCGCACCTGGTCGCCTGGATGTGGACGCCTGAATGAGGACGCCCTGAATGTTCTTCGCCCGGTCCGTTCCGGAGAATCCGCTCGACCCGTTGGGGCTCAGTAGCTTCAGCACGTTAGTATTGATTCCTCGTCAGGGCTGTGATTTTTAATGATTGACTACAAAGGTCTCTGGGGCAGCCTTTGCAGGCTATCAGTTCCGTATGTCTTGATCAAGCTTGATAAATATGCACTGCTTTCACGTTTTCAAGTAATAGAGCTTACTAACCTTGGAACATTGTTTCTATCTGGATAGACTCTATACCAAGGTTGGCATAACGACCCAATTTCCAAAACCTTTGCATCTGGCCGTTCTCGTTTATCCCATAGAATGCAATAGAAACATTTACTAGAATACTTTGTACCTTGACCAAGGCTGGAGTGTTTACAGATCATTTGCTATGAAACCCGTCTTCTCACATAATTCACAAAGAACATATGAGCTATACTATACTAGCTGAACCCAGTAAATTCGTTCAGTAATGAATCCCACTGGATGTCGTCGATAGGAAATATGTCACCCGGGTCGCCGTACGTAGACGGCCAGATTTGGGGCATCATAGCATGCTCGTTGGCGGGGACTGCCATTGTGGACGTGTCCTGCATTGAGTCTTGGGACGGCCCACCTCCAACAGTGGCTCGGATCTGATATGGATAACAACGCGCCAATAGGCGCATTTTGAGGCAAAGACTCCCCACAATATCCATCTCTTTTTCTGCAGTAGACATTTCCCCGCATCTCGTCTCCAGCGCGTTGGCAAGCTCTGTGACAACATTTGGGTAATCTGCTTCCTGAACAATGGCCTGGAGCTGCGCTTCCAGGGTAGAGTCGGTGGTGTTTGCAATAATATTAAGAAGGGTGAATACTGCAGAGGGTATGTAGCCCACTGCGGCACAGACACGAGCACTTGACATTATTGTCATCTGGGCAATCTCTGAAGCGGGCAGGCTTCTAATAATGTGAATGAGCTCCTTGCTTCGCTGGATAATGCCTATTAGCATGGTCGTTCTAACTGCGCTGGCTGGCTCCGCAATCCACAGTTCCTCCCGAAGAGATGGTTCCTCGAGCCGAATTCCCACATATTTGAAGTCAATGCGTATCGCATTTTCTGTAGCGATTAGTTGATTTTCATTTACATCTTAGTATCTAAGACACACCTGTTGGCGAAGGGCAGGTTGAGAGATCTCTTTCTACAAGCGCCCTCACGCTATCAAATTGCCGTTGTAGAGAGCCTCGCGTGGCTTGGACGAGCACTCTTCCACCGCTTGCTTGTATCGATGCGTAAACCTCATCCACTGTTGCCAAGAATGACTGTAGGCAGATATATGGTGCAACCCAGCGATCCGACAGATGCTCGGCAGATGCCATATTGTCAATAAACTCATCGATTCGACGATCATGCTTCATGGTAATTGGCCGGCCGAGAATGCCATAGAGCCTGATATAGATTTAGCCAAAAACCTATCTTTCGGAGCGGACAATCTCACCCAGCAGACAGCCAATATGTACCTAGCAGCGCCCGCTGCTCATCTGGATTCGGACTAGGCTTTCTGTGCAGTCCTAAATCATGCAATATGGAAACACAAAACTGAACTAACAGCAAAAGTCGCGGGTGAAATCTCTCTGCGGGGTATGAGTAAAATGCACAGTGAACCAATAGACCACGAAGAAGCTCGAGGTTCCTCTCGGACCGTGCCACAACTCTTAGCGTAACGTGCTTCATAATCTCGTCGGCGACAGTTTTCCGTAGAGGGTGTGCACTGCCCATTGTCGCGGCCACGACACACAAAAAGAGAAAAGGCTCTCGGTCCTTGAGACTAGCGGCTGTCGCGCTATTTGCAATCAACACAAAGGGAAATATGGGCACTAATTCAAGCTTGAAGGTAGTAACTAAGCGTTCAGCCTCGGCTTCACTTAAAAGCCCTCGATCTACGATAGATGGCTGGCCCTCCAAGATAGAGCTGGTGGGCGGGGCGCGGCCGTGAGATGGGTCTTGGGCAGCATCTAGCAGCGTAGCCATGTCGGTGGAATCCAGCTCGGGATCAACGGATGAGTCCAATTCTTTGGTGGGCGGATAGGAAGTATCGGGCGATATCTGGCCGTTCTGTCGTGTCAAGGTAACCAGCTGTGACATCAGCAGGTCGACCTTCTTCTCTAGTGCCTCCACGCGGCTGCATTTCATGGTTAATACCATAAGAGGCAACGGTTTTGGGAAGGATTACCTTGGTGAATTCTTTTGCTTACGCCTTGTCTGCGGAAGGTCAAGGTACGTGCATGACTTCCCCAAACGAGCGCATCTTTGGCACAAGTTGACAGAATGGGGAGTGCATCTCGCCTTGGCAGCCGTGCACGCCACACATGCCCTCCTCTTGACTGGAGATATTGTGGCGTCCATGATGTCGGGTAAGGGAGAAACGGAGCGACCGGTTGACGTGGGAATGGGAGTTGCAGTGGGACCGGGAAAACCGGATCATCCGGTCGGACTGGTTTGTAATCCGCCCAAGAAGTATATCAAGGGATGTAAATCGATCGAGTCTCGCAAAGGCATCAACAATAAATCAATCAATCTACTCATCACTCCAACAAATTTTCTACATCTAAAAAAGCAATGTCTTCATATGCTATCACTGGAGCCTCCAAGGGCATTGGTCGCGAGTTCGTGCGCCAACTCGCTGCCGATTCGACCAACACGGTCCTAGCCATTGTGCGAAACCCCGAATCGCCCGACATGAGTGAAATCGCCTCCAAGCACCCTAACGTACACGTTATCAAAGGCGATGTTACGGATCCAAAGTCGATTCTCGAGGCTGCTTCGGCCGCAGCCGTCATCACAGGCGGGAAGCTAGATGTGCTTATCCACAACTCCAACGCCGTTGATATGGCCTCCATGTCCTTCAACCCGACCCAGATTCCCTTTGATGCTCAAGCTGTCCGGGAAATTTTTGAGCCGTCGCTGAACACGGCTATCTACGGTGGTATATGGGCAACAAATGCCTTCTTGCCCCTGATTGAGAAGGGCATCCAAAAGAAGATTGTGCACATATCCACCGCCATGGCCGATTTGGAATTGATCATTAACACTGGCGTCAGCTATGGTGTCGCGTACAGTGTCGCAAAAGCTGGGATGAATGTTCAAGTCGCAAAGTACGCAGCAGAACTTGCGCCTAAAGGCATTAAGGTGTTGGCTTTAAGTCCTGGATGGGTTGATACATGGGAGGGTAAGTGGCCTTTTGCTTCGCTGTTGCATTGGATGACACTGACGTCATCACAGGAGAGAAACCTCCTCAGGTGAAAGAAGGCGAAAATTTTATGCTGAGGCAGTTCCAGGCAGTTGAGCCTGAGCTCAAGGGACAGATTCAGCCAGAGGAGAGTGTCAGAAAGAGCCTCCAGGTCATCGAGCGTCTGGATGCCGAGACTAGTGGCCAGCTCCTTAGCCATAATGGAAACAGAAGTTGGTTTTGAGAGGTCTGTATATCGATGAGCTGCATTGAGGGCAGTATTTGATTTACATATTATCATTGTATCTATGAAAACCCTTCAAAGGCTACTCTGGTAGTCACTGCATCATTATCTTTATTATGGCACCTTCCGTGTAGTCGCTGGGGCTCTATGTCTCAAATGACCCTAGTAAGCCTCGAAAGAATAATTATAAGCAGCTGTAAGCGCTGATATACCGCGAGGTAGTATCCAAATTGTCGGTCCACGTGCACTGTCACTGAGCTGTCTGCAAAGAACAAGGAAGGTGTGAGAAGAAAAGGAAAGAAGACAGACTTAGTAGCGCAGGATCTATCTCAAAGACCTCTTCCTAGATTAGGCCGCGGAGGCGCAAAGTCTTATAGCTGCAATCCTCATTTATAACCGGTCACAGGAAGTAAATGATAGCCTACGTAATCGTTCCATGTCTTTAGGTTGTAGGCCTCGGTTCATCGACACGTCTTTGTTGTTATGAGGGTCCGTGGCGCGAATTGGGCGAGCTCATCTCAGAGGTTTCTCCCTGGCCCAACATGATTTCGCCTCTACAGATCTATCGGTGTTTAGCAATTTTATTATTGTTCATATCCTAAATAATCATGATTTGAACGATACCTCCGCTTACGTCTATCATAAAGCCCCGAACTTCTCACGATAACAAGGGACACGGATTCTCACACAACCTAGAGACTTATGGAGAGGATTACGCCCATCTATCTGAGAGAGGGAGAAACTGAGCATGAGTACCTCTCATCCTTCTGAATGAATTCAAGAAAAAATCCTGACATGTCTTATTTGTGTCATCTCCATGGTCCCATTCCTATCCATTCAATCTATCATTCAAAAAGGAATTTTCTCGGTCATCCAAGTAGCTCCTTGCACCAGTACCACCAATCTATTCTGTGACTTGAGTTGAGTGTCAGAAAGACGAATTCTAGTTTATTGTACGAACGACGTCGTCGATCGCGATGGCAACATATTCAACGTTGCGTTCATTTACTACAAAAGTGGTTAGCAAAGGTCATTTGTGTATAATCCCCCCTTGTCCTAGAAACTTACATCCCGACATTGAGATTCGACCTGATTTCAACATGTATATGTGATACTTTTCCCGAATTGCGAAAACTTGACGCTCAGATAGCCCGATGTATGTGAACATACCGATCTAATCGAATGTCAATACCTGAATCATTCGTCCACAGAACTGACAGTACATACCTGATTCACAACGTGCTTCCAGTCGCCAGGCGTTTTCAATTTCATCAACTCATCATATAGGGCATGTCTCATGCGCCGGATTCTCTGACTCATTGTAGTGAGGTCTTCAAACCATCTATCACGGAGTCCCTCGTTTGCCAAAACCGTTCGCACTATTTCAGCGCCGCCTCTCGGGGCCATGGAATATTCTCCACGGATCAGGTGGCACAGATTCGCCAGTAAATCTTGGGTCACGTCATGTGCTGAAGGGCGAGTAACAACATGCAAAGCTCCCACTCTTTGTCCATACAAGCCGAAGTTCTTCGAGAATGACTGCGCAACACAGAACTCCATCTTATGCACGTCATTGAAGAAATGGCGAATGGCCCATGCATCCTTGTCGGCATCTCCGGACGCGAAGCCTTGATAAGCGAGATCAAAGAATGGAATTAGACCTTTTGCATTGCATAGTTTGACCAAGGCTTCCCACTGTTCCTTCGAAGGGTCGGCACCAGTTGGGTTGTGAGCGCAGGCATGAAGAATGACAATATCGTTCTTTTGTGCAGACTCGGACAATACTCGAATTGTGCCTTCGAAATTGAATGATTGAGAGATGCTATCGTAGTAGGGATAGGTTTTCCTTTTGACACCTGCTAGTTCCCAAATGGTATGATGGTTAGCCCATGTGGGATCTGGAATCCAAACACATCCTGGGCGAATGTTGCGAGCCAGCAGTTCGGCACCAAGTCTGTTCGCTCCTGTCCCGGAGACTGTTTGCACAGAGACAACTCGATTTCTCTGCTCTTCAACCACCCCTGTGGCACTGGATTTCCCTTTTCCAAACCCAAAAACAAGATCCGCTGCGAGCCGCAGAAATTCACGATCACCTTGGATGGCAAGGTATTCGTGTCTGGCAACGTTCTTTGCATCATATAGCTCCTTTTCGGCATCCTCTACCACTCTCAAAGGCCAGGGTTCTCCATTCTCGGTGCGATAAACCCCTATTCCAAGATTGACTTTTTGCGGATGCTTATCTTGAATGTAGGCGCCGTTGACGGAAAAGGGTTCGTCAAGTGGAGTTGGTGGAAGGCTTGAGAATAAAGAACTCTCTTGTCGCAAATTCGGATCCTCTGAAATGGATCCCATGGCGTGATAATCTATCGATAGAAACCTTGAACTGGTATTTCTCCCAAAGAAATAATTGTGGATTCTTCTCACTTGAATTTATAGATTGCCGGAATTAGGGTTTGGGATTTGCACATTGTTAAAATACCCGGTACGAGCCGCCGAATTCCGTCTCCTTCCGCCGGGGATAGTGGGGTGTCTCCGAGAACAAAAGGGACTGGGAACTAAACTCCTATGGAAGTGAAGAAGGAAGGAAATAGTTGGGCAAGCAGTTATCATACGTCACCGATCACTCCAGTGGTGCCGCCAAATCTGTCATGGGCGATCTTGTAATCCCATAGGCTCATGGTCTTATCTGATGGCGTATCTGCTGACAGTGATGAAAAGGTCCAGAGTAATACATCGCCTTATTATCTCCCAAGGTTCAAAGGACAATTTTCATCCACAGTAGTGGCATTCTTCCAGCATCAGTCCATTGAATGGATTGTTTAGAGCTCTGGTCAGATACCTGACTATGGATCGCAGTCTTAGAAACACGCAGATTACGATAGATGCTTAGCAGCAGTTCGTGGAACACGAGTTTGCGCATCATTGATCACGGGATGAGAGTCGTACTATACGGCAGCAAATGCAAATTTGGGCCTCTGGATCACGACGGTCATGGAAAATGGATCCCATGCCTTTTCACATAGTCAGAGGACTTATGATTTCATAAAATTCAGAATAACGATAGATCAGAGAATGTTCCCAAATTCGACATAGAGCATTTCGATTGAAGTTATGCACAGAAACAAAATCGATTCCCTCTGATGAAACGCATGACAAAAATATAGAAATGTTTCAGCGGTCACCAGGACCAAGACGACAAAGTTCAGCAAGACAGTCAACTATCTTCACACCTTCCCAACCAAAGCCACATCAGCTCTTTGACCATTTAGACATACTCCCAAGCAAGATGCTCAGAAGAAACATTCAGACCAATAGCCATAGCCTCAAAGCCAAGGCAATCATCCACATTACCAGTAGGCACAGTCGCGTTCTGCAGCGCGGCAAACACCTGCCAGCGGTTCGCAGCCGGGGCAGCCTGGCGGCGAATATGGCGCGCAGCGGCAGTAGAGTTAGCGGGAGCAGGGCAAGCCATAAAGCCTGAAGCACCCTGGCCAGTGTAGGTCCAGGTACCGAGATTCTGGCCGGGGGTGTACTTGAAGGGGCCCTGGGATGAGCCGGGGGGAATGTAGCCCGAGTGGGGAGTGGTGAAGCTCAGTGCGCCGGTGCGGTCGACATAGATGCTCTGGCCGCCGGGGACGATGACATCCTGGTTATTATTGTTAGATGACTTTATCTTCTTTGGGGGGGTTTTCGGTTGAGATGTAACATACCAGGGCACTCTGAGCGTAGATGATGGTGTCGTTGGTACCCTGGGCGCAGTTGGGAACGATATCGGGACAGTATGTCTGGCTCTTGCCACCGAGCCAGAACTTGCTGCCAGCAGCAGTCAGAGGCAAGAAGTGAATGGGCGAGCCGGAGCGAGCGGCAGTGACACCAAAGGCGCCGTTAGAATCCTTAGGAGCGTGGTGGCGAGAGCCGGGGAGGGCAGCAGCCAGGGGAATGAGGGACAGAAGCGCGGAGACCTTCATTGTGAAATGAGTGAGTAGTGAATTGGTTGGTAAAGACTGATCTGGTGGTATGCGATAGTGCACAAAATGTAAAGGTCGGGAGAGAATGCGGATGTCTATTAAATGTACCAGCACCGGACGGATACAATCAGGAGACGGAGGTTTTATATCATAATTCCATCAACTGGACCTTCCATGGGTCGTCAGGTTCTCCATATCGAAGTTGATCGACATTCGCCTGCAACAAAATTCGCTGCGACGGTACCACCAAAATAGTACTGGGACTTGATATCATCGCGTCGCCGTATGGATTAGTCCGTAGCTTCGCATCTATCAGAGCATGTACCAAGCGACCATGTACCCACAGGACGCTTAGTGAAATTTCATCGGGAGTATCGATTTCAGGAATAGCGCAGAGTTTATGAGTACTCTTGTCCAATAGGCTAGCTTTGTGCCCTGTAGGCTTGGTCCATAGATGAATGTTTTTCAAGTTCACTTTTCAGGTACTGCAATCCCTTATTGGGGGACTCGGTTCTGAAACAATGATGCAGAATTCCCCACCGGGAGGGTAAAGTGATCGACAGCCACGGACCAGGGCAACGGCGTTGAATGGGGTATGCTTGCCACAAGAGCGAATAAACATTTCAACCTTATTTGTATCCTCCGTCACCACTTTGCAGATTTGGAAGGCAAGTTGGATGTTAATTATCAGAGACGGAAGATACTCGGCGTATTTGGTCTCGAACTCGATCAGAATTTGCCTCCAGAAATCAATTTGGGGACCCTGACAGGTGGGTCGTTTCAGGCATATCAGGGTGATACGGATAGGAGTAGTGATCGACGGTAGTCCTGGTTGCACTCCGGTGGAGAGCTCCGTCCTGTTCTGCTCTCAGTACTTTTGCCACTAAGAGAGCGACAGACGAGAAAAAAACACCTGCTGTCGCCTATAATAATCGTAGTCTAGTTGTTATTAGTTCTATCCGAGGCACTAAGACTATCAAGATTCTGGCAAAGAAGTCGGTACAGGTTGATCTCGCCGTCTCCACCGATCCACTACATGTCTTAGAGGTGGATGCAATTGACATCACTGAACGGTGATATTGCCCGATCACTCTTCACACGAAGAAAAACACGGAGACCTCCGTAACCCTCCAGGAAAATGATATTCAGGGATCGACCAATCTGAATAGACCCTGTATCATGCAGTCTGTGAAGGGACTGATCAAGTCCGTAACCGATCATCCTGCGGAGTGTCGGAGTGTTGATCCTACATGGTGGAGAACAAAGCCGGTCTCGAAGCAATCTGTTTGTGACAGGAAACGAGGCGATCGACAGTCTCCGTGTTAGCCGAGAGAGGAGGCCTCCGTTTGCACCGCCACAAGGAGATAGACCCTCTTGCCAGAGATGATGTTGGAAGAGGGGCGTTGAGAAGGCAGCAACGATGGAAAATAATCCAGAGAATAAGGAAACCAGCCACCGCTGTCGGGATAAGCTCTACTGGATGAAATTAGAATCAGCCAAAAAGCAGCCACCTCGGCCACCGAGCCATGATTAGCGACTAGTATGGGAATGATAGTCGGAAATCCATTGAAGAATGAAAGTTTGTGTTGGGGCACATCTACAGCCCAGTTCTGTCCATCTATTAATAATCATCGCAATCCATTTATGTACAATACACTGATATCCAAAGTATACCATCGCTGATGTTTGCAAACCAAAACGCCGGCAAAGTACAGCAATAACCCGAGAGAGCGAAAACAAGTATGAAAGCAACGCCAAAGCCCAAGGACGACAATCTCTAAAACAAATGATCAAAACTCAGCGACCAGCGGCAAATCCCGAGAGCTGCGTCCAGCCCAAATGCGAAATGTGCCTTCAACCGGCATCACCCAATTCTGGGCGCGCACGCTCCAATAACTCAAATCCTTTCGGGACAGTGTCATTTGAACAGTGGTACTCTCACCGGGTTCAAGAGAAACCTTGGTAAAGTTTCGAAGAACGCGATCGGGGAACTCGATGTTCTCGCGGGACTGGCCCAACCCGCGGTGTTCGGCGACGCGTTCTGGGAAGGACAGGTAGATCTGCACGACCTCTTTGCCGGGTCGCGAGCCGGTGTTGCTGACCTGCACGGAGACTGACAGCATCTCATCGTAAAGAGAAGGGTTGCCACCCGGTCCGCCGCCTGCGTCGGAGGGGTGTTGGCGCTGCTTGTACCCTTCTGGATATGGGTAGGAACCGGGTTTAGTCCCAGCTCGGTCCCGAGTGTAAGGATATATGTACTTTGACAGTGCGTTGATGCTAGATGGGAATCTCGTCGATGACTCGGTTGGCGGCTTGGTATCGTACTGTGGGGGATCAATCTCGTTCTTTGGACGTTCGGCCGGAAGGCGAGACTTTTCCTGCAGAGGCTGAATTTCGAGTGAAGAAATGTTGAAGGAGGTGTATGACAAGCCAAACCCAAACTCGAAGCGCGGGTTGATGTTGTTCTTGTCGAAATACCGATAATCAATGTAAAGGCCATTATCAAAGGTCATTTCTGGTTGCCGGTCCCTCGTCTCATAAAGTACTCGAGCACCGGGACCATAGTCTTCGAGCGATCGGCCAATTGTATAGGGCAACCGGCCGCTAGCATCAACGTCACCGAAGAGGACATCAGCCAGGGCGTTGCCACTCTCTTGTCCAGGGAGGTTTGCGTAGAGAACTGCATGGACTCCCGGCAGATCGATCCATGATTCCATGACGACAGGGCCGATAGAATGTACCACCACCACGGTCTTGCCTTGACCACCACCACAATGCGTGGCTACACGTTCGATAAGCTTAGCACCGCTGTGCTGGAGCTCGAGATCGTTACGGTCTCCCCAGATATCATCATCGTGAATGAAACCCTCGCCTCCGTCAGAGTTCACGAAGACGAGACAGAGGTCCTGGTCTACTAGGTTCTTCAAGGCAACATCGTTCCCCAAGAATCCTCGCACATCACTAGTCTCCGAGTGCCACGCAAGTCGCAGAGCTTCCCAGGGGCTGATTAGATACGGAAACTCGACTGCACCGCTTCCCCAGCCAGATCCCAGGGTGCCTTGGTTGCAGCCACGATCGGCGCAAACATTCGGACCGTCGCCAGGACCAGCATCCTCGCCATAGATGCCAACTCGATAGGCTCCTTTCGGGCCGGTCGCAGCACGTGAGAGTGGGAGGGTGTTGTTAACATTCTTCAAGAGAATGGTCCCCTCCGCAGCAACTCTTCGGGCAATGAGGGAGTGTGGGAGTGCCTTGGTCCCTGTGGCTTGCGCGTTCACAAATTGATTGACCACCTCGTGTGTTTCATCGTCTCCACTGCCAGGGTGTAACCCTCCCATTCTCTCGTTGGTCCATGAAGAAAAGTTTGGCCCGCCCTTTCCCAAAGGTGGGGGCAGGTCCCATGAGTCCTGGCGGAAATGGTACCAAGCCGCAACGATACGAGTGACCATATCGTTGATTCGTTCCATGGGAACTGAAGTGTTGAGGGCAGCTTGTGTCAAGCGCATGCCCCAGAAAGAGTCACCGTCAGCCCAGAGCGCACCGTCACCAGGCATACTCATATCAAGACCACTCAGCGCACTTCCCACACCAGATCTCTGAGCAAGCCAATCGGATTGCACAAATCCTTGGAAGCCTAGTTCATCCTTGAGAATGCCATTCAGCAACTTGCTGTTCTCACAGGCATAACTGTTGTTCACTTTCTGGTATGAGCACATAACACTCGCGACATCAGCACGCACACTCTCAGCGAATGGCCAGACGAAAACTTCATGGAGTGCACGGTCATCGATATTGGAAGAGATAGCATTTTCATTACCCCATTCATGAGGTTGGCGATAATGTTCTTGTTCATTCATCAGGAAGTGTTTGGCTGTCGCCATCACGCCATTTCGCTGGATACCACGGATAGTCTCTGCAGCAGCCACTCCCTGGAGAACAGGGTCAGATCCGAAACCTTCCCAGTTGCGACCACCAGCAGGTAGCATTCCCAAGGGGCCCATAGCCGGCCCCAGGATTACATTGACTCCCTTCGCGCGCGCTTCCTTCCCCAGCGCAAACCCGCGTTGCCGCATAAGCTCACGATTCCAGGTTGCCCCCGTGGTAATTCCAGCGGGGAACGCGGTGATGTTATCTGCAAAGCGAAGCCCCAGTGGGCCATCCTGCAGACACAGAGAGGGGAATTGAACAGACTCAGCGGGTCCAGTGTTCCCAACGCAAAGTCCCATCTGCCATCCCGTCCCTGTTGTGATATTCACTTTCTCCACAAGTCCCATCCGGTCCACGAGATCATGCGCCTTGGCATAACTTTCTCTCCACGCGGCATTGGTTCCACCGAGGGGAGTCGGATACCAGGAAACAGGTGACTGTGTAGGTCAGCAATGAGCTCAGTATACACATCCAGGAGGCTGTTAAGGCGCTCCCAGGTCGATCGAAAGTAGAAGACTCTTACATATTCCTTGACGGGTTTCCCTCCCAACACCCAAGGTAGACCCTTCATCGCGAGCCACATCACAAGCAATCCAACTGCAACCAACGGGAAAACATGCCACCACGCCGTAATGTGCAGCAACGACTTGATTCCCGTGATTCCCGATTTCCAGCTCGGCTTTTGGTCCTTGTGCCGCGTAGCCCCCGCACCTTTATGTGTCGGAATCCCATAGTCATCGCTATCGTCGTCGGAAAACATGAGACGCGAGGTACTGTGGTTCAGATCCTCATTGAACGTTTCCGATAGTATATCCCGCTCACTATCCAACATGTGCTCGATAGCTTTGCTAACATTGCGCGGTTCACCGGATTCATCGCCAGGTATAGGGCTCGCAGCACTCGCGGAGCTGGGCTCTGGTGTAAATTGGACTTGTTTCCGTCGTTTTTGTGTCTGGGCGTCTTTATCGAGTGGTAGGAGCTTCAGGTTCGCGTCGTCTTGGGTGGAGGACTCGTCGCCGCTGGAGAGGTCGTCAAGGTAGGCTTCGTGCATTGCGCCGCCGACTCCGCGGTTGGTAATGCGGTTCCCATCATCTTTTAGTACCCACGATGGTAGTTCCTCATCGGAGGTATGGTTGTCCACCGATTGGTACTCCTGCCGACGCGTATTCGAAGCTCCGGGTCCGGAGCGGGTCGACCTGGTCATCGCGCTGGTCTGCTTGGCGTGTGGAGAGGGCTGTCACTTTCTAGTCGCACAGCATATGCATCCTGTAACTAGGAAATCCAAGTCCAAGAGATCAAGTGAGACCAGGAATTGAGAAAGGATGCACTGTTGAAAAAAGTGATGTGTCGCAAGTCCGGGGGGTAAGAACTCCTTCCAAGTGGGTCACCTGACAACTTGAAAGCGCCACCTTAGGACCCTGGAGATCTACTTTTGTAAAAGCTTTGAGATATCCACTCTGTACTGTGATAGGGATTGTAAGGTTTACTAAAGATATCAAAAGGGAAAATAGTATGATATAGACAAGAACTTTTGTTCAGTAGGACCGACCAGATATCTATCACCGGGTCGGTGTCCAATCCAAATATGTGTATCTACCTCGCAGGCAAAAATCAAAACAAACCCAAACGCCGTCTATCGAGTCCCATGCAAGAAGCCAAAAGATACTAAGAATAGGTAATGATGCAGGAAAATGTGCAAGAACGAACAGTCACAGAACGAAAGAGCCATTAAACATCAACATGTCGTGGTTGGCGTGCTTATTCTTCGTCATCAGTGTCCACGGGCTTGGGGGTACCCCTTGGGGAGTTGAGCTAAAGATATGTCAGTGAACAGTTCATTGGAAAGGGATAATATGTCAAGACTCACCCATTCGATGTGACGAAGGCGGCGGCGAGCCTCACGATCCTTGACCTGAGCGCGGGTCAACTTCTTCTTCTTCTTGGCGCGGAACTTCAGTTCGCCCTGGTCCTCGGCACCAGAGTTGACGGCCGACGGGGCGGCGCTGGTATTGGCCGAGGCAGCAGCAGAAAGACCGGCAGGGGTGCCAGTGCCAGTGGGAGAGTTGGCAGCGCTATCCTCGAAGCGGTCCAGGCTGATAGCGGTGTTGGTACGGCTGACAACGCGGCCATCGGCGACGTGCAGCTGCTCGGGGCAGAGAGCGCCCACAAACTCCTCGTTGTGAGAAATCATGACCACACCACCCTTGAAGTCACGGATAGCGACGGCCAGACCACCGAGAGAGTCACGATCCAAGAAGTTAGTCGGCTCATCCAGCACCAGCAAGTGGGGGTTGTTCCACATGGCACCAGCCAGCACGACCTTGACCTTCTGACCACCGGACAGACCGGAGATCTCGTTGTGGTTAGCAATCTCGGGGTCCAGACCAACATCCTCGAAGTGCTTAGCGATGGTCTTGGGCTCAAGGACACGGAAGCCGAGACCCTCACGGGAAGCCTCGTGATCGTCGAACTCCTGGACCATCTTGCTGAAGCCTAGGTTTTCAAGGGTCTCGCGGGAGATCATGGTGTTGAACTTGGGCAGGAGACCAACCCACTTAACCTCGTACTGGAAGGACTTCTTCCACTTTTGACGACCCATGAGAGCCTCGATGCGGCGAGCACCACGGCCATCGCCGAGATCAACCGGCTTCTCGAGCTGAGCCTTGTCGGCGTCAGTCAGGATGCGGGTCTGTTTGAGGAACACCTCACGATCGTCACCGTTGGCGTAACGCCACTGCAGGTACTGGCTGGGAGTCTTCTCGAGATGCATCTCGACGTGCTCGAGCGCGTGCTGCTTGATGTAACCGATACGCAGGTTGGGGTGCTTCTCAACCTTGCCGGTCTGGGGGACAACCTCACCAGTGAGGATCTTGATGAAGGTAGATTTACCAGCACCGTTTCCACCGATGATGGCGGTACGGGAGGAGAGGGTCAGGGAAAGAGAGGCATCACTCAGAGAAGGCTTAGAAGCACCGGGGTAGGTGAAAGAAGCATTGGTCATCCGGAGGATAGCACGAGTGTTGGACTTGATACCGGAAAGGATACCAGGAGGCGGGAACTTGAACTGCACGTTGGAGGCAGACAGGGTATAGTAGCTCTTGCCCTCGGGCTTGACCTTGACAAAGGCAGCAAGATTTCCGGGGTAGCAGACCAGCTTCTTCTGCTCGTAGTGGTAGATGTCGGTGCAGACCTCGTCGAGGAAGCCGGAGTCGTGACTGACGATCAAACTAGTGATATCGGTGTGCTTCTTCAGGTACTCCTGCAGCCACTTGACGTTGGCGACATCCAAGTGGTTAGTAGGTTCGTCCAGCAGGAGCACATCGGCCTTCAGGAGCATAGCACGGGCAAGGGCCAACTTCATCTTCCAACCACCAGACAGCGAGCCAACGGGCTGAGACTGGCGGCCTTCGGGACCATCGGTGAAACCGAACTCGAGCAGAACAGAGCTGATGTGCTCGGTGCCCTGGGCGGCAATTTCTGGGTTCTTGGCAACGTACTCGAGGATGCTGAGTTCGGCGTCCTCACCCTGGTTGTGCTCGACAAAGCAGGTGCGCACTTCGGAGGGAGGAGGGAAGCCTTCCAGCTTGTCGTTGGCGATACTGCGCATCAGGGTGGACTTTCCGGCACCGTTGCGACCACAGAGACCATAACGGTGACCCTTGACGAGACGCAGGTTGGTGTGGGAAAGCAGAAGCATACCACCGTAGGCGAGGGAGAAGTTGGCGTCGACAATGACAATCTCGTTGGGGTCGGTCTGAACGGGCTTGCCGAACTTGCGCTCATCCTCTGCGAGGAAGTGCTCCTGCACGGCGGTAGCGATAGCCTCAGCCTGCTCGCTGGGGATCAGACCACGGAGATAGGGGCCGATGGAAGCAGAGATCCGGTCGATCTTGCGGCTGTTGACATCTTCGCGAACCATGCCAGCAATGAAGGTCTTGGCCAGCTCAGAAAACTTGACATCGCCGAAGCTGACGAAGCCGGCAAGTTCCTGGATCTTAGGGTTCAACACGGCCAGGACCTCCTCGGGGGTGACCTTAGAGATAGAACCAGCAGCAACATCATTGTCCTTCATGGCCTTCTCCATGACATCGAGGGCACGAGTAGCCAACTCACGGACCTCGGGGAGCGAGGCACGGTCCTTGATAGCCTTGATACCGGGCTGGAGCTTGGGAAGGAAGACACGAGCCTCAGCGGGGTCGTGAACCAATTTGGTCAGGTTCTCCACGACAACGACGGCTTGGCGAAGAGTTTCTTGAGGAGTGGTGGGGGCGTTGAGGGTACGCTCGAGCAGAGGGGTGAGAAGAGCCAGGACGGGAGAGGTAACGATTGCGACGAAAGTAGTTTGCGAGAGGGCGTGGATGGCCTTCTGCATGGTCTGGGAAGAGGGCTGCTCCATAGTCTTGATGAGGAGGGGAATGCGCGGGGCAACGTCGTCGTTGTACAGGAGAGTGGTCATGGTGGTCATGGTCTTGGTAGCCTGCTTGGCCACATCGGCCTTGAGGTCGTGCATGCCAGACTCGACGATGGGGATCAGCTCCTTAAGGGTCTTGCCCATGGCCTCGCGCAGCACATCCTTGTCATTCTCCTCCTCCTTTGTACCGTTGCCCATCTGCGCACCAGCGGCCATCTTATCAAGCAGCTTGTAGCCACCGACAAATCCTTGCCACTTTCCGGTTCCCTTGCTAAGATAGGCCTCCAGAGCGGGAAGCAGCGCATTGGCCTTGGCCTCGGGGGTCATGCAGGCATAGAGGGCGTCGATGGCGTACTGTGCCGCATCGCGAACGACAGCACCCTTGTCGGCGAGAGAGTCGAGAACAACGTCGAGGATGCCACCGTTGTGCAAGAGGAAAACGGCTTCGCTGAGAGGGAACTCGCGAGGGAACCGTTCAAAGAGAGCGCCGAGGATCAGCATAGCACTCTCACGACGGGCGCCATTCTTCTTATCGGTGGCAGCCTTCTTGGCCTCGACCAGAACATTATAGTTGAGGAGACCAGAGGTTCCAACACTCTGGATGAGCAGGTTTGCGACTGCATAGGAGCCATCTAGAGACTGCTGAGAGGTCTCTGCGGTAAAGATGGTGTTGAGGAGCGAAGAAATCTCTTCTGGAGTGGGGGAACCCCGGAGGGGGCCTTTGGCGACAACGACCGGCATGGCGGGGGTATCAGAAGGTGAGACCGTGTGTGGCATGGTCTTGAGAGTGCAAGACTCGTGGCTCTCGGTATGTGAATATACCAGAGATGGGAAGAAAAGGTTTGGGTTGGTCGGCGGCGGGGGGCCCTTCAAATGGATGGGAGGCGGGGGTACTCCCGGGGCCAACAGAACAAAAAGAACAAAGACTGCTAGGTATAGGATGCAACTGAAAGCGATAATATCAGACACAATCTAGAATGAATGTAAATGCCTGAGCCGTGACAGCAGTAGATACAAGAATCCACGCGGGGCTGTACGGGATGAGAAGGAAGATGAGATTATCAGGAGTATTTGCGCATCAGCGATCGGGCCTTATCCACACAATTTTTTTTTTTTGTTTGGGAGGCGACAACCCTGCCCAATCAGCGGGGCTGTTATCAGCATGAGACGCCACTAACCGGGTATGGCTAGCCTTATCAGTCTGTCATGCCTGAGGCAGCATGTGTAGCCCCATGTGTTCTTTGTCAGCAATTTATGCCTCAGGTGTCTATGGTTAGACGTCACGGGACTTCCAGTCACGGGTTCCGCGGGTGTACTTCAATACTCAATGGGGAAAGGAGCGGCTGCACGGGCGGAATGCCGATGTGTTGAATGATGAATAGGCCGAATAATGGTGCGACTACGGAGGAGTTGACCATGGTGTAATTCTCAGATGTCCCATGTTTATTACTACTTCTGATTCGATTCCTTCCTCCTTCCATCCGAGTTTCGCCTGGTCCGTCTGCCCTCGGTGCTGCTTACTCCTCGGATAAGCGGGGCCATAACGTAGATAGATATACATCTGCTATTCAGGGTGGATATGTAAACCAGCACACGAATACAATTCGCAATGTCAATTAATAGACATAAGGCGCTTCAAATGAGGCTTTAATGATTAAGTCTTTGTATGAAATAACACTGTAGAAAAATGGCCGATCTCGCCAGGTGTCCGCATGCAGCCGCCCCGGGCCTCGGTCCAACAAGTAATGCAGAAGCCCCGCGTACAACCGACGTGTGGTCAGATGTTATTAGACCCGGTCGATCACAGGTACCTTTTTCTTTCTTTCCTTTTGTGCGTCCGAATCTTCACATTGAGATCTCCTCGACTCGATTGCTGCCCTGAATTGAAAGCAGCGTCTTCTTCTCCCTCTATCTTCTCCCTTTTAATCCCTTGATTCCCCCCGCATCGACTCTCCCGTCCCCGCAATTCTACCCCGGACCCATCACCATCAACACACACAATGGCCCTGAGTTTCAGAACCACCCGCCACGCCTCCAGATTGGCCCAGGTACGTCTTGATTTACGCCGTGATGAACTATGATCCAGCGGAATATTCTTCGAAATCAACTGGCTTCGCAACTCACACAATTCCTACAGGCCTCCCGGCCACTCTTCTCGGCCCGACACTATGCGACCGCCGAGCCTGATCTCAAGACCGCCCTGAAGGAGGCTATCCCCGCCAAGCGCGAGCTCCTCCAGAAGGTCAAGGCCCAGGGAGACGAGGTTATCGGTGATGTCAAGATCAGCAACGTCATCGGTGGCATGCGTGGCCTGAAGGCCATGCTGTGGGAAGGTTCTGTCCTGGACGCCGATGAGGGCATTCGCTTCCACGGCAAGACCATCAAGGACTGCCAGAAGGAGTTGCCCAAGGGTACCTCTGGCACTGAGATGCTCCCCGAGGCCATGTTCTGGCTGCTCCTGACCGGTCAGGTCCCCTCCACCGCACAGGTGCGCGCCTTCTCGCGCGAGCTGGCCGAGAAGTCTACCCTGCCCACCCACATCCTGGACCTGATCAAGTCCTTCCCCAAGACCATGCACCCCATGACCCAGCTGTCAATCGCTGTTGCCGCGCTGAACACCGAGTCCAAGTTCGCCCAGGCCTACGAGAAGGGTCTGAACAAGGCTGAGTATTGGGAGCCTACCTTTGACGACTGCATTTCGCTGCTTGCCAAGATTCCCCGCGTTGCCGCTCTGGTGTTCCGTCCCAACGAGATTGATGCCGTTGGTACCCAGCAGCTGGATCTTTCTCAGGATTGGTCGTACAACTTCGCCGAGCTGCTCGGCAAGGGCGGCGAGAAGAACCAGGACTTCCACGATCTGCTGCGTCTGTACCTGGCTCTGCACGGTGACCACGAGGGTGGTAACGTGTCCGCCCACGCTACTCACCTGGTTGGCAGCGCTCTCAGCGATCCCTTCCTCAGCTACAGTGCCGGTCTCCTGGGTCTTGCCGGCCCCCTGCACGGTCTGGCCGCTCAAGAGGTTCTCCGCTGGATCCTCCAGATGCAGGACAAGATCGGAACCAAGTTTTCCGATGAGGACGTCCGCACTTACCTCTGGGATACTCTCAAGTCCGGCCGTGTCGTCCCCGGCTACGGTCATGGTGTCCTCCGCAAGCCTGATCCCCGCTTCCAGGCCCTAATGGACTTTGCTGCTACCCGCCCCGATGTCCTCGCCAACCCTGTCTTCCAGCTTGTTAAGAAGAACTCGGAGATTGCTCCCGGTGTTTTGACCGAGCACGGAAAGGTATGTCTTAAACTCGCGTGGTAGTATCATGAAATTTTCACTAATAATGATTTCTGTATAGACTAAGAACCCCCACCCTAACGTCGACGCCGTCTCCGGTGTCCTCTTCCACCACTACGGCTTCCAGCAGCCCCTGTACTACACCGTCACTTTCGGTGTCAGCCGTGCCCTCGGACCCCTGGTCCAGCTCATCTGGGATCGTGCCATGGGCATGCCTATCGAGCGCCCCAAGAGCATCAACCTGTTGGGTCTGCTTAAGAAATAAAGCTCTTGGACGATTTTGAACAATTCACAATTCCCGTTGGCTGATCTGCAGCCAGTGATGAAAATTATGCTAGCGAGCTTTCCCTTGATTTCCTTATTGTTTTTGTTTGTTTAGACTGCTTTTTCTTGTATCTCGCTATTTTGGATAGACCGTTCGTGCTGGGTGATTTAACTTGGCAAAGAATGGTTCAATATACTCCACTGTCAACTGAAGAAATTCAAGTTTCCCTTTGCATGAAGTGAGATACATAGCTATCGTTGTAGATGCCAAGTTTAATGAGACTCAAGTTCTTTTGAGTGAGCCAGTCTCGATCTTCGTAAAAAGTTCCAGTAATTTTGTATCTCCTTACAAAGACCCTCGTTCTTTGAAAATAAAATATCCATTGAGAATATCCTCTTAGTACCTGTATCAATCTACCACCACCCCAATCACAATCTCGCACTCCCATCCGCAATCCTCTCCCAATCCTCCTTCCCAAAAGGCGTATACGCCTCATCCCCCGGCGCAATCCATAAGAAAGCATTATCCTGCCCGTCAGCGACCTTCGTCCCGATTAGCGCAGGATCAACACCCTCCTCACGCAGCGGCACCTTATTTTGCTTATGGTTATGGATATGTGTCGGGTTATCGACCACCCGGAGGAAAATCGGCACCGCGTAACGCGGCAGCTTGGAACGGGCGTAGCGTGCTAGAGCGGCGTAGTCGAAGGTCTGTCGGGCTTCGGGACTAATTTGGAGGGCTGCGCAGCCGGCGCGGCCTTCGTGGTTAGGGGAGGCGGACGCCGTAGACGTTGGCTTCTTGGACGCCGGGGAATTTGCCGATTACTTCGGAGACTTCGGCGGTGGCTCTGATGGAGGTGTTAGTTTATGGGCATGGGTTTGCTTTTTGGGACAGGGGGTGTGTCGGTGGTGGACACTTACACGTTCTCGCTCTTCCAGCGGAAAGTATCGCCGAGACGGTCGAGGAAGTACCAGCGTCCATCACCTTGACGGCGTAGGGCATCGCCGGATCGGTAGTATAGATCTCCCTTCTTGAAAGCATCGCGAAGATATTTCTTCTCCGTTGCAGAATCGTTGCGCCAGTATCCTTGGAATGCATCCTTGTTCGGAATATTCACGAGAATTTCACCTCCTTCATCGTATGATGCTCGCACTGCGAATCCCGTCTTCGAGTCGCGGAGAACATCACCCGTCTCGGGATCAATTGCAACAGGCACGAAGACATTATGCAAAAGACCACGCATCAAAAGTCCATGATGTCCAACACTTCCTGCCGTGAATGGTCCGCGGTTATAATTGAACAGACCAAATATGCCCTCCGTGCTGTTGAAGAACTCGCCCACCTCGGGCACACCAAAGCGCTCACGGAACTGCTCCCAAACATCGGGGCGAAGCCCATTGCCATACATGCAACGCACCTTGTGTTTGCGGTCCAGAGGCGATGGAGGAGGTGCGAGGAGGTAACGAGCAGTCTCACCGACGTAGACAAATACAGTGGACTCCGAGTCTCGAATATCCTTCCAGAAATTGCGCACGCTGAACTTGGGTCCTAGCGCAATGCTAACACCCCCCGTCAGGCAAGCGATAAGGCTCATAGCTGCGGTACCGTGATACAACGGCATGCAACTGTACCAACGGTCACCATCAGGACCCTCTTTATCCCCCATGGCATCCCGTCGAATGCCCAGAGTTGTGTAAAGTCGGGACATTGTGAATGCGCAGCCCTTCGGCATACCAGTTGTCCCGGACGTATACAGCAGAATAGACGGGAACTCGCCCTTCATGCCTAGCGCCAGCTCTTTCGGTGGCAGAGTAGTTGGGAACGTGCGAATATGGGCCTTGAGAGACTCATCCAAAGTCATGAGCTCCATACCCAGTTCACCAGTCAATGTATCCCGACGCTCCTCCACACGGGCAATACAGATAGGATCCTCGTCCACCAGAGTGAGCTTCGCGCCACTAATCTTGAGACAGTGAACCAATGCATCGCCAGTCAAGTTGTGGTTAATGGCTGCCGGTGCACACCCAATACTCCAAAGTGCGATCCAAGCGATGAGAAACTCCGCCCGGTTCTGCAAGAAGAAGCCGACGAGATCTCCCTTCTTCACACCATTTGCCAAGAAGAAGTGAGCGTATTGACAGGCCTGGTCCCGCATGTCGCGGTAGGTATATGACCGCTCCCGCGTCCAGAGAGCGATCATGTCAGGGTGTTTCTTCACGGTCTCGAGGAGGATGAACCAGGCGTTCGCTTTGTCATTTGACACTGTATGATCATCAGCACGGCGCAGTACACTCAACAATTTGGGAGATACGTACGGGCATTTGCCAATGCGCGCTCACTTCTCTTCAGAGACCAAATCGCGGACACATCCTTATTCAGGTGGAATTTGGCATTGAGATATGCCGCCACGGTCGCCCCTCCGGCGAGCGCAGCTGCGGCGGTACCTGAAGAATATTTAGTCACCTAATACCCGAATCGCGAAGACTCTGGGGGAAACATACCAAGGTCCATCTTGATGCGGGCTTCTGATCACTTTGCAGCGGGTATAGATCTTCGCCAAGGCTTAATGAAGCTCAACAAGCAGTAAATGAATATGGCAACAGAGCGAATTGCAATTCCTTGTAATGAGAAAAAAAGGATAGTCAAAAAGATGGCAAACGCAACAGAATCAAAAGTGAAAAGAAGTAAAATCAAAGGCCCAAAAGAGCGAAAGGTGCTGTTGCCGTCAGCCGACGCCCACAACCATCCTTCCTCGGCTCAAGTCAACTTCTCCGCACTACACGTCGATGAATCAAGGCGGAATCAACGAATCCGCTTTGTCGGTTTGCTGCTCGCCAATAGCTCCATAAACAGTCTCCATTCACGCTAGAGGGCCCATTTGCCGGTGGGGGTCCCATAAATGGGATGCGGGGAAGCAAGATACCCACACTACTACTAATCACTGTGCCCACTGCATTCGATAGTCGCCTCGGCTCCTTTGTTAGACTGCTAGTGCCACTGCATAGTGGACTGGGCTGGGCATAACTGGTGGGAATCTCAGCAGTGTATATTCTTCTTGTTAGTTATTGGCCCACGCCATTATTCAGCTGTCGTACTCTCGTACTCGCGTCGCTCTGTCGTTGGCGCCAGCGTTTCATGGACTCCGCGCCTGACACTTTTCGCACCGCGGCGTCAGGGTCAAGTAACCCCTTTCCAGAATATCGGCGACGCACCCGCGAAAAAGGAGCAGAAACTTCCATCGGTGCAACGAGCCTCCTGCTGCGAGATAAAGTTTGGACACTCTTGGGTGAGGATGTTGGCCGATGATTGAGTGTCGATACGGCATGGCCGCATCCGAACAGAGACGGTAGAAGTCCGTACCACACCGGTCCTTCAGCAGTTGAGGCAGACACTTGATTCATTTTTGAGGAATCTGTGTCCAAAATCCCCCTTGGATACTCTGCTGCCTTATAGCTCGTGGTCCTGGAATATGGCTTGTTGGAGTGGAACGAGCTTTCGAGAATACCAGACGCAGTTGGACGGGTGTTATCCTAAACCAAAAAGTCAACGTCCTCCCAAGAAATTGTGCTTCTTTTTTTCATCATACTCACCCTCACCAAGGAAGAATATCGAAGTTCACAGTACAGCATTTTCTCTTCCTTCGGAGTAGTGAGAGACATGCCAAACTTGTCCCCGCCGAAGTCATTTGGCTCTTCACACGGTCGCTCTCGAGCATATTCAACGGGATTTGGGTACAAGGATTCGGACTATTCCACAGCAACATGTTTGCTTGAATTGTCAGATGTGAGGAGAGGTAATTTCACAATGCCGGGTACTGAGCGACAAATTGAATGGTAGGCCGTGTAGATTCCAGTGGCATGCAGCCTCCCGTAGGGAATATCAGATTGGCACTTTTGGGGGTAAATGAGGAAGGAGCCTGAGTAAGGTTGAAGGTCAAAAGTCAGAGGGTGTCAATCTCTGCAGGTGCAGGTACATGCACTGCGTGCGCATCATATTTTTGAGTCCTGGTTCTCATACGGTTGATACTTATGGGAGGGCGACTGTCAAAGATAAGCCATAAGTTACTTTTGTAAGTTCAGCTATTCGTCTTATTATTTGACGTCGCTTAGAGGATGGATATATCACTACACTGCTACCGTCTATTATGCCAGTACGTGCCCAGGTGCTATCAATTTGAGGCTTTTCTATCTACTACACTCCCCTAGGTATCGAGAGATGAGGAGCCAAACCTAGTTCCCCTAATGCGGTCACGTTGAGTATAGTTTGATTAGTACTAGACCTCGCAGATCTGAAGTCTCCCGTTTATATCTCAGCATGAGCTTGGTATCTTCGTTTCTGGCGGTTCTCTTCGTTCGCCATGTAGACTGTCGAGTACAGAAGGATTCTGGAGGTACTAAGCGTAGCAAATCTCGTCCCAAGGCTCGATTCAGGCGTGTTTCTGTATCCAGGATTGCACAATCTAATAGGGAAGGCCCCTCTTGCACGAGGGTTTAGGATTCTGATTTTTGTGTGGGTGTCTATACTGCTTTTACGGATATGTCCGGTCTCTACAGTGAAGTGACTGACCTCAAGGTCTTTTCCAGGAATCGAATCTGCGCAACCGCCTGAAGCGCCCTGGAATGCATCCGAGTCATGTACCTTGCATGCCGGGCTGTGTCTATTAATAGTATCGCCAAAGTACGAGGGGCGGAGCAGCCCTCCACCAGCAAGAATGACATTACTCACGACTTTTTCGTTCCTTTCAACGCAAACTATACACTCTTTGTTGATAGTAAACTTGAACCTCATGTAGTTATCTCACAGGATTATGTTTGATCTTCAAACTCGAGCAGAGGATTAGAACTCTCGAATATTCAGGCATTTCCAAACAGTGCGGCTGAAGCCTCTCCTGCTTGGGGGCCATCCACAACCCTTGCATGACACCTTTCCTGGAGAGGGTTCGGCCCGCCCTAGATGATACGCTTGCCCGTGGCTCGCTTTGAATCAATATACACTATGACATTCTCAGCTGGACTTTTGCCCTGATCTAGCCCCCAAAATAACAGTTCTAGATGGTGCACCTGCCCTTTTTGACCACTGCTAATACCCCTGGTATAGTTGCTGCCTGTGGCTATGTGCCTTGTGGCTGAGGTCTTCTGGGAGGGGACAGTAGTTTCCCTGCTCGCGAGGCAGAAAGAAGTCCGTTTTAGGATCATGTAGCCATCGAGTAGCGGTGTATGGAGCTATCCTCCCAGACATAAAATGGGGCTTGTTGCCCCGGTGAATGTAGTTTCTATTCATATCTCCAAGAGCTTTTCGTGTCCACTCTCTGGGGAAGTAGAGCTCAGTGATTCTCATTCGATAACCTTATTGCGAGTTCTAGTCCTAACTCGTCGACTCTTTTGCTTACTTTTTTCTCTACTACTGTAATCTGACCCAATGGCACTTCTGACCACTCCCACCTATCGAGACGTCTTGAGAAATGATTTACCCAAGGCCTTGCAAGATGACTTGCCAGCCGACTTGGTTATCCTCCAATGCATTGCGCCAAAAAAGTCTCCTAAGGGCACACAATGTCGACGCACTATCGGCCGGGAGCATGTTGTCAAAATCCAAGCACTCCTCAACCGGCCCATGACTTACCTAGAAGGTGATCAAGACAAGAGCTATGCTGTGCTCGAGGAGCTCGTTAATCTCTGCGTCCACTCTGGTAATAAACATGGAGAACGTGGCCGTGACAAAGTCGAAAAGGTGGTCGAAAAATATCGCGAGGCGATTGACCAGCACTTAGAGGCTAAGAAATGTGAGGGGAATGTAATGGCTGTTCCTGAGCTTGCCACGATGCCAAAGGAAAGCTTTGTTGAAGCAGAACCCCTTCTCGTCACCCATCTCAGCTGCACTGAGGTTACTATGGCCATCAAGGCCGAAGGGGTGACCTACCCTGCCTTGCCCACCACCCACACTTTCTTCATCGAGGACAAAGAAGAAATCGCTGCTGTTGGCTCTTCTAATGAGGCTCATCCTCTACTCCAACCTAAAAATACCCCATCCCGACCCCTCACCAACCCATCTTCACCACTCCTCTGCAAACCCCTCATCCAGCAATCAAATCCCATCTCAAACACCTTACCATCCAACCCACTTCTTTCGCTTATCCTCAATACTCTACAACATTTATTTGTGGGGTTCATCTCACTGGTCCAAGTTGGATGGGGCCATGTACCGGTTGAGACTACTTCCGGGGAGATTAAGAACAAGTCGGTGGTTGATTTGAAGGTCCTGCTTGGCATGAGAATAACCACTGAATTGGTTCCGGTCTTGCTTGTTATTGTATTATGTGGGCTGTATTATCAAGCGTGTAATATTTTGAGCTTATTGGGTCCTTATGTTCTTGTTTCTGCTGTGGTCTTTTCGTTGTCGCGTTGGAATTCTCCAGGATCGGAGATTGTTGTTTGATACCCACGGTGGAATACGTTTTGTATGTTTGTTATGAATGGAATGGGCTGATTACTTCTCTGATGGCTGGAATGAAATAGGCTAATATGGGAATGTGTAATGGGATAGACTGATATTAGCCCGTATATAGGTTAGCAATAGTTTAGGTAGAAATAACTAAGATAACATCGACTCTTTATCAACTCTTCATCTGTTGATTTCTTCCTTTCCCCCGACGCATCCCAGCACGGACCGACAACCTACAATGGCTAGTGATTCTAATCTGACGATGATCATTGGCCCACGAACCGGTGGATCCCATCCCGAACCGAGGTGAAGAAAGTGGTGAATGGTGACGCAGACGAATACGATCAATTCTCCAGACAAAGGAGGCGATACCTCACTCAGTGATAGCTCACTGGTCAGGCTAAAATTCTCTTCCCCGGGTGTTCCTGACAGCAACTTTCGGGAAACGCGAGAAGTCAATTCAGTTCTCGACCTTACCCCCTCGGTTATAATCGGGGGAGTCAGGTACAGTACTCCCCGGTAGGTAGCGGAGTTTGTAATTGTTACACGAATCTGCTCGGGAGGAGATCATCTCCGAGGGAAAGTGAAGCAGATCGGGGCTGGGCTGGGTGCCTGGGGGGATCTTTGTTGGGGTCAACATAGCCGTTCAGCATTCAACGAGGGGCAGGACTACTCCGTATATATTCATTAATTGTCTAATGTCCAATGTCCGCCTGTTTCCTCGTTCCTCCGGGACAATTGGGATGAATGGGATATTTGCTATACTTGTGGTAAGTAATTCCGTCTAGGCACATCCATTATAGTCTTGGAGAAGACCACGAGAAATACACGGGCGCAAGATGATGACATTCCACGGGTAGAGAAGAGAGAAAGAGAGGAACCTGCATGAGTTTAAGTTAGCTAGCAAGATTAGCAACACCAATCAACTATCATCAATTGCTTTTCCCCCACAGGATTGTCGTAACCGTCACGCCGGTGAATTTCGTCTGCCCCTCTTCTCCTCCGACTCAACGCTTCTTCTATACTGATTATTCCCTCCCGACCTTCTTTCCACCTTCTTTTCTTCTTCCTCTTTCCTCTCTTCTCCCCCATCATCCCACTCCTTCCATCATGTCCTTCAACCTCCCCCGGTCCCTGTCCCGGACCGCCTGGCGGTCTTACGGGACTGTTCAAGGCTCTCCCAGTGCTGCTTCGATCGCCAGTCGGGTCCCCAGTGTGTTGGTGGAGGCTACATCCGCAACCGCTCCCCGCACCAACTGGACCCCCGAGGAAGTCAGCGCCGTCTACCACACCCCCTTGAACCAACTCACATATGCTTCGGTAAGAGCATCCAACTACAAAATCAAGCGCTCAATTCCATCTGTTTTATCCCTCCCAATTGCTTGCCCTCAATAGCCGAGACACCCGAGACCCGAAGAGCCTCCATAGTAGACACTAACAATGTCCATTACAGGCTGCTGTACACCGACGCTTCCATGACCCCTCGGCCATCCAAATGTGCACCCTCATGAACATTAAAACCGGAGGTTGCAGCGAAGACTGCTCCTACTGTGCCCAGTCCTCCCGCTACCAGACCGGCCTCAAGGCAACCAAGATGAGCCCCGTCGACGAAGTTCTCGAGAAAGCCCGCATCGCCAAGGCCAACGGCAGCACACGTTTCTGCATGGGCGCCGCATGGCGCGACATGCGCGGTCGCAAGACAAGTCTGAAGAACGTCAAGCAAATGGTCTCGGGTATCCGCGAGATGGACATGGAGGTTTGCGTGACACTCGGCATGATCGACGAGAACCAGGCCAAGGAGTTGAAGGAGGCTGGTCTGACCGCTTATAACCACAATCTCGATACATCCCGCGAGTTCTACCCGAGCATTATCACGACTCGCTCGTACGACGAGCGTCTTCGCACGTTAGCGAATGTCCGTGATGCAGGTATCAATGTTTGCTCCGGTGGTATCCTGGGACTGGGTGAGACGGACGCCGACCGTGTTAGTCTCCTGCACACCGTTTCAAACCTGCCCTCGCACCCAGAGTCCTTCCCCGTCAATGCTCTCGTTCCGATCAAGGGTACACCCCTCGGCGACCGTAAGATGATCCCCTTCGACCGTGTGCTCCGCACTATCGCCACAGCTCGTATCGTTATGCCGGCGACTATCGTCCGTCTGGCCGCCGGTCGCATTGCCATGTCTGAGGAGCAGCAGGTGGCCTGCTTCCAGGCCGGTGCTAATGCTGTCTTCACTGGTGAGAAGATGTTGACCACGGACTGCAATGGGTGGGACGAGGATCGGGTGATGTTTGAGAAGTGGGGATACTACCCCATGAAGAGCTTTGAGAAGCTTGGACTCAAGGAGACGTCGGCTCCTGCCCCGCCTGCGTCTCAACCCGAGACTGCTGCGCCGGTCGCAGCGTGATTTGATTTGTATTGATAAGCCTTGATGGAATGTCGTTCAAAATATGAAGCCTTATCAGAGCAATAGACTGCTGATTGAGACTGATTCTGCGTTTTTCGCTGATAGCTGTTACGTTAGTAAGAATCCAGCCTACGGAGTACCTAGCGTTGCCAGCTCGTAGATGAAGTCAAACTTGATCACTTTTCTCTTGCATCATTTTCCAGAGAGGCAAACAGTCTCCCCCGATCAGCGACGGTCGTGTTCACCATGAGGCTGAACAAGATCGATCCTGTGTAACGGACCGGAAGATGAAAACCTCCGGCGACTGGCGACTAACCTTAAAGCCAAGCGCGTGACATCGATGCATGTCGTATGTACGTGTACATCCTTCTCACACACATGCAGTACAATATGAAGTCATGCCCAAGAAATAGGCTATATGATCAAACAACCGCCCAACCCAAGTAAACGAGGGGGTCAATCCTGTGAACAAATAGGTTTTTTCACGCTATCTCATATCTCATCCCACCCCAACAAAACCCCAGACCCACACCCATCTCCCGATGACTTGATGAATGCCTAAATAATGCCGGAGAATGGAGATCATATCAATCGCAGAGGTATCCCAAAGAGGAAGTAAGTCTCCCTGAGCGGCAATGCTTAATTGGTGGGCGGCTTTGTACATCGTCTTAGCCGAAGACCCATCGCACCACCCACTCCCTCTGATTGGCGCGCGATCTTAGATCTTGGCTTTCACAATGGCACGAACCGAGGCCGAGCTTTGGGTGACTCCATAGTTCGAGGTCTAGTTTCTTGATGGTCTGGTTTTTTCTCTGGGGCCTCCGATGATCGAGCGCCTATATCATGATTATCGTGGATGATGATCGTGGACGGTCAGTTCACGGCATTTAGCCTTTCATGTCTATTGCCCCAGAATAGTCATTGAAGATCTGATGGGTTATCCGGGGTGTCCGAGGCTCTTTTGTGCGGGGATATCTTATCAGATATGACTCTTCTTCACATGCGGACACTGGAATGAGCGGATCTGCTCCATTTTTGGTGTTGATGGGACCCATCTGGGATCTACTCGCTATTTGACGTCTGCGAAACTGTTGGGGAAGCGAGATCCACGATGCGGAGAGTCATGAGCCCCTCAGCCCCCCTCTCCATTCACATGTCCTGGGTCCAATATCCAGGGCGCATTTTCCGGGGTAGAAGGGATATAAACTGGAGGATCCCCGTCATCCATCCAGGATCTTGTTTGTCTGGTTTACCATAGTGTCTGAAGAATCAATATACCATTCACCATGGATACAAAACCACTATCAAAAGATTCCATGCGGTCCACATGGCGCACGGCGGACCGTTCTGAATGGACTCATGCCCACTGGGCTCTGGAGATACTCAACGCCCACCCGATCGAGCTGGGCAAGGAAGTGCCAATACACCAAAAAGATGAAAAACTCCCCTATATGCCACAATGGTCCCTTCAACGCTGGGTCCTCTTTTACTCAGCCCTACCACTCCTCTTCCACCAAGCATTCATGCTCTACACCGGCCGCACACTAGGCCCCTTCGCCACCTTCAACCTATACTTCTTCGCCTTCAACGCAACAGTCATCTACCAAGTACACGTCCTCCGGCGAATGGGCCATATCTACGGCTTCCTAGACGGCGACAAGCACGACCGCGACGGCGTCCCAGACGTAGGCGTCGCCAAAGTAGTCGCCTCCCTCTACAAAACAACCGGCTCCCGCCTCGTCCTAGCCACATACTTAACCTATAACCGAAACCTACTCCCCTCCCAACTAAACTGGGCCTGGCTACCTCTCGAAATCGGGCTATACGGCATCGTCCTCGACTTCTGGTTCTACTGGTACCACCGCCTCATGCACGACGTGAACTTCCTGTGGAAATTCCACCGCACGCACCACCTAACCAAACACCCGAACCCATTGCTAGCCGCGTATGCAGACCACGAGCAGGAATTCTTCGATATGGTGGGCGTCCCGTTTATGACGTGGCTTAGTCTGAGGACGATGGGTTTGCCGATGGGATTTTATGAGTGGTGGATTTGTCACCAGTATGTTGCTTTTGCGGAGGTGTTTGGGCATAGTGGATTGAGGATGCATTTGACTGTGCCGTCGACGTTGAGTTGGTTGTTGCAGTGGCTGGATGCGGATATTGTGATTGAGGATCATGATTTGCATCATCGGAAGGGGTGGAGGAAGAGTCATAATTATGGGAAGCAGACTAGGCTTTGGGATAAGATTTTTGGGACCTGTACGGAGAGAATTGAGTCGGCGGCTGATAATATTGATTATGTCAATATTGCGAAGATGCCTCTGTTTTGAGGGGGGATCTATGTCGCGATTTGAAATTGTGATGTGATGTGTGGTCCCCTATGGCGGGACTATGATTATGATGGAAAATATAGGGACGATTTGGAAAGCGTCTTGCAATTTAGATTAGATACCACTATGATCTTGACTTTCTACGAAGCTATTTCTTCTTTATCAAAAACAACGATATGAAAAAAGTATAGGCGCACAGCGCCTACGTGATAGCCATGTCGCAGAGTAGTGCCGTAGCTTAGATCCCGATAGACCATGAAGAAAAATAATTGCTTCAGATTTGAATCTAATACGGTGACTGAATCCCGATTGAATTCAAGTATGAGATGTGGAGACTATGTTCGCCAGATTATTCATCAAATTCTGAGACTTAAGTTGTTGAATAATCCCAAATGCGATGTCAAGTTCGTGTTGAATAATCATCTGTCCCACTCTGATAAATAAGTGCGCTTCTCGTACGACTATAAGTGACAGATCTCAAACTACAAGCAACAAATCATTCCCTTCTATGTTGCTTGTGGATTGCCTATGGCTTGCTGTGATGCATAATCTGAATGTGAGATTATTACTATACGCCGGCCGAATTACCTTTACCTCACACCACTCCCTCTATCACTGTAGAAAGAGTATCCCGAGTTCATCTCTCCTCTCAAAGTATAAATAAACCCCTCTGGACAGGCATCATCGATACCATTCAAATCCTCTCTACCTCCACCACCCTCTGACTCCATCCATAACATTCAACAACCCGTCAAAATGCCCCTCTGGCAAATCTACCACCCACCCGGCACTTTCGAGGACGACACCTCAAAGCAAGCCTTCGTCAATGACATTACAAAAATGTACACAACCCTCGGCCTACCCGCCTTCTACGTCGTGACCCATTTCTACAAAATCGACAACAGCAACGTCTACCTAGGCTGGAAACCATCGTCCGAGAATGAGAAACCATTCGTGCGCGTGGTCATCACGCACATTGCTCTCCATGTACCAAATGCGGACGCCGCCTATCTCCAAACTACATCTCGCCTGGACGATATTATGAAACCTCATCTGTTGGACAAGGGATACGACTTTGAGTACCATGTTGATGAGACGGAGCGTCGTCTTTGGAAGATTAATAGTTTGATTCCGCCGCCTTTTAAGAGTGCTGAGGAGCAGGTCTGGGTGAAGGAAAATAGGGCTGTACCTTATGAGGGTGGTCATCCTCCCACGTCGGGATAGCTTGCCCTTTGAAGCGGCGTCCTATGTCGGAAACCATCGTTTCTGTACGCGCTTTCCTAGCTAGAAGTACTACAACTCCGTTGAATTGGTACACCATTTGCATAATATAGCCTTGTTCAAGAATTATAGAGATGGGTATATAACATATTATCATTATTCTATTCAACAGGTCTGCGTTCATGTAACTCTATCCCCGCACCTGCACCCTGGTCATCTGCACGCTGTTCACCGTAATCATAGTCCAAAGCCCATAGGGGCCCGCCCTCAGCAGAAAAGTCTCCAACCCGATACTTGCTATTTTTCTCGAGCAAATACCTCTCCCGCTCTCGGCCACTCATTCCCCATGTTTCTCCAAGGTCGGTAAGCATGCGGCTTTCCACAACCCACGGAATGAGAGATCCGATCGACCGGGGAACACGGACTCCTCGATAGCGATTGAAGCGAACAAAGAAAACAGTCATGAGAGCGACTGCATCGATGGCTAGAAGGACAATGATGATGACCACTAAGCTGGTTGATGGAATGAACCCCCATATACTGTCCAGGATGTTCCCTTTCACCTGTTGGGGAGAATGTGTTGGCAGACGCTCCAGGAATTTATCTTTCCAAAGGGCTAGGTGGGTACTGAAAACAGTCTGATAGACTGTCTGGACGGCGGAAATGAGATGCCGGGGCTTCAATGTCAAGTCTTGTGGGAACAACATGTGGTAAGAATTAGCGGTTAACCGGCCGGGCCAGTCATATCGATGGTGGTGATGGCGGTGATGAGTGTGAGAAGAGTTGAAACGATGCGATGTGAAGTTCCGAGGTAGACCAGTCAACAATTGGTTGAAGTCTTTCAATACTGTTGATGCGTTTTGATAGAGGCCCCCGCTTGTAATGGCGCTTCCACTAATGGCGTTTTGATTCTGGACCGTCCCGCTGGAATCAAACTCGAGATGGTAGTCCTGCATATTGATTTTCGGCTCACAATGCAAAGCGGTTGAGCTGGCTTTGCCGATATCCGTCAAGTTTTTCAGGCCCCAGAATGCCAAGACAAAGATGCTAGATTCCTGACAGAGATGATCCGTTCCATTCGGTGCGTAATAGTGGACCGACCTTCCGCTCCTGCTCGTCAAATCATCTGTCAGAGGGATGTCGACGGTACAAGTCTGTGCGGTTCCAGCTTGCGAGATCGTATAATTCCAAGAAAACGAAGTGGCTGATGCAGCGGCGGGAAGTACCTTGCAGTCAAGGTCGGCTCCAATTCCGCGAGTGGGTGCAGAATATACAGCGTAGTAGTCATCGTCGGAAGTATTGTGAATCGACAATGGCACCATGAAGGATTTTTCATCAAATGAAGCCCACTGGAGGAACGAGACGTTGTTCAAAAGTCTGCCTGTGGCTACCAGAGAAATTTCAAGATCGGTGTGATTGATGTTGTTCACCATGGCGGAAGAATTGTATATGTAGGTCATATCCGAGCTGGGTGACGAATAGTTTTTCAGCTGTGGTGTGAAAAGGCCACCACTGAGAAGTCGAAGAATGAGGTCACCCAGGCACACAATAGATAGTACGAACAATAAACCAGGTCGTCGGTGGCGTCTGATGAACAAAGGAATGAAAGGTGTCTGAATCCCATAGTTCTCAACGACAGACTGCCGCGCTGTGGCCATGCCGTCTTGCAGCCTGATCCAAGGCTCCATCGAGCTCAAATTGCGATAAATCGAGACGAGGAAGGAGCCGATAATGGAGGCAATTGCGGTTGGGCCAAAGTTGAGGAAAATCATCGCCACGGTTGCTCCAGTACTGAACAAAGAGTTGATATTCTTCCAGCGAAGATATGACAGGCTGACACCAAAAAGAGTCAAAATCGCAGCAAATAGCAAGCACTCGAGGGAAAACCAAAGAGGCCTCAGGAAATGCGGCATTGGGTCTCGGCGACTGGGGGGTGGATGCGGTGGAGCTAAAGATGCTTCACCCCGATCAACGACTTGAAGCTTTTCTTCGCCACCTTCAATTACCCACTCGCACCATTTGCCATTAGCCCACTGCCGAAGTTGACGAGTGGTTGCCATATGCAATTTCGCCTCGGAGAACATGACCCTAGTTGATGGCTTGAAGAGCTGTGCAATGATGGTGCATTGAGCAGCGATTGACCCAGGGTCCCATTGCAAGAAATTCGGCCGATTCCGGTACACGTATGCCAAAACACAGATCATAGCGAGACCTAGGCCCAGAATACTCTCCGCCACTGATGCCGCGTTGGATGCGACCGTCAAAACGACCACGAGGCTCTGCTGTTTGGCTTCGACGGGTGTTGCAAAACCACCAGGGTTAAAAAATCGATCTATCGTGACTATGAAGTCTGCATTCCAATACTGACGAATCTCCAGCAGATATTCATCGGAATCCAATATCGTAGAATCAGTTGAGACGACGACGGGCTCACTGTTACTAACAGAAGCATTGAACTGTGAGCTGTTTCCAAGCCGGACGTCGAGCTCCGATGTCAGATATCGAGAAGCAATCAGATCATGAATTCCATCCACATCAAAATCAAGTGGATCGAGAGACTTGATTGTTGAGGGTGTCATATCCACATCGGCGATAGAAGCATTTGGGTTGAGAGTAACAGCGGCCGATGCTTGCTGATATGTTGGTGAACAGGCAAGCACTGTGACATTTGAATCTGAGACGTTTCCTGCAGCGAGTTCCATGTCCACGATCACACCGAAAACCTTGAAGGAGCTGCAATCATCAAAAGTGAAGGCGGATGAAGCCATTAAAGTCCCATCAGAGTTCATAGGCTCCCAGAATCTCGCTTGTAATGTCTGACCATCAGCACCGATGACAGTGTCCAGCGCAACACTAATTTCACATCTCGAGCTGCTGTTACCACCCGGGAGGTTCCCCATTGACATATTTCCAGCATTCCATGACCAGATTTGTTGACCGTGGGGCAAGTTGCTCGTCAAGGTAGCATTAGTCACGGTCTGCGGTGATATTCCTCTTCGTGTATTGCTGACACATGTCATGTTCGACCAATATATCGTTTGATTCAGAGTCAACAAGGAGGAGTCGTTTTGATCATCAGGCAGTGAAACAGGAGGGGTCGCGTAATCTGCAGGGTCAGGCATGAAGAAACTGTTCAGCTCTGGTGATCCCAAAGGCCCCTCGCCCGAAGATCCTGCCGCTAGCCAGACTTGCTGAATTTCCAAATCAATTATAGCCGGCCAGGTATTGACCACTTTCCTCTCAACCCAATTTCCATCGTCCAAAACCACTAGACCAGCTAGCAGCGAAGGGAGAAACATGCGAAAAATTAAAGAGACCGGTGCGGCACATAGCACAACCCAATGGCGATTTCGAAACGCTATGAAAGATGCTGTAAATGCATTGCAGCAATAATTGTTGAATAGAACAGTGGCCGGTGCCCCTTCGGGCTTGGCGAGTTGAAAGAAAGGTTCAAGTCGTAGTACATCCTGGGCGCAAATGTCCAGGAGATTGATGGCCAATAAGGCAAAGATCAAGGGCAGATAGGTGTAAGCTCCCCATATGGCTGTTGGCAGGTCCTCTTCATATGTCCAATGGACTATACCCCCCATTCTCTTCGAGTATTGTCGCAGTAGTTCAATGACGCCCAACATGAACAGGAACAAGCCTGCCAGGGGAATGAGGTATGTTTTGTGTAACGTCCGAGGTAGCCAGCCTTTGGAGGCCCTCCATTTCTGTACCGAGTCCTGGCCATCTTCGAGTGGCATTCTGTTGCTGAGAGATAATGAGAGGAAAATGGCGAGCGCTCATCCGCAGAGGCGCTAAGAAACTACGCCATGAAACAATGTTAATCATTATTCAAAAGGTCATCAAAATCGAGATATTCCCGCCCAGTATCCATGACTTACGAAGTGTTAGGTTGTCGGACTCATGTTGTCACCATGTCACTTTTGACAGTGCGAACACGCAATTACTATTCCTGCTGTGTTATCGGAAATCGTGCATCGGCAGATATGCGCACTGCTTGAATCGCCGGCGACTCAGGTAGTAACGTCGAATTCAAGGAATGTGGTGAGAAGGAACGAGGAGATCAGTGCTATCCAGCACAGTGATCCAGCACGGGGTAAGAAACTTTAGAGGGAAAACTTCGCAAGTGGCACACTATTGGGACCAGAACCACGAGTCTCACACGTTCGGCGCTCTGGCATTGTGGGTCTCAACCCGCGGGGAAGGCTTATATGCGATATGCTATTGGCCCTGCGTCTTCATGTCTCACCTTTCCGATAACCAAGTCTTGGCAACGGGAAATTTCGTAGCCTAGACTTCCAGTCAGAGTCGATAAAATAACCCACGCTGCCACGTTTTAGTGGACACGGGCGCGAGGGGAATGATTCTTGATCTCATAGATGTCAAGCTACACAAGAGGATAGCTAGGATAATAACGGCAGCACTATCCATCAAAGCCTTCGGACTCGCAAATTCAAATCGACTGCAAGGCCCCCTGCCAAGGCGTTCAATTGGGGACGATTACGAATTTATGATACGTTTCAATACTCAGCCTCAGTCCCTGAACGGAAAAGGGCCTTTTAAGCTTTTTCTTCGGGCTCACCGAGATGCAGAGATTATTCTTTCCTAAATGGTTGCCCGCTTCCCATATGAAAAGACTTGCAATCGTCTACCGTCGAACCTTTCTCCCGATACACTACGTATTTTGTGTACTAATATAGGCTTTTAAGGCAGGACAGTATATTCATAGTCTTTCCTGTGGGGATCATTGACCCCATTCGGTAGATGGAAGGCCCCTCCTCCGGCAAGTCTAAGCCGGAGTCTTTTTGGTCGTATTCTCAAAGCCAACCACTAGTGACGGAACGGCATGTGATCGTGAGAGCACATTCGCCAAAGCATTGAGTTATTCAATGAAATCTGATAACCTTGGAAACTGCTTTAGATCTCCGACACGTTTAAGCAGAAGTAGAACCAAGCCCAGAATCATACACAGCTGGACGTACTTAATAGTTGAGACTTTGCAATTCTTGATGGTGATACTGTAGTAGGATGGGCTTCCTATCGTGAGTTTGAGCAAATTATTTCCGAGATCGCTGCATAATGATTGGGTATCAGGGCCAAGGCTGTTGTGATAAAACCCACTTGGTCTGCATTAGCTTGCCCGCGCCAAGCCCTCCAGCCACTGAACTGAACACACTGAACTTTGGTCTTGCTACTCACAAATAGAAGGTGGTATCAGGATTGAGTATATCGGATTAACTCTATTTTCAGGTTTATGATACTATTCACAAAAAACAGTCAAAGTCGCTATCTAATGTCTGTCAATTCTCATTCACAAAACAGATCTGGTACGCCAACGATGGACGTAAGTCATACCCTGACCCGTCGGAATGCCTTCAAGCGTTACTGGCACAGGAGAAGCTGTTGCTGGAGGCATCATCGTGAATCGCCTTTCCTGAGACGTAAAGACCGAGACCACACATACACCCACCAATCAAGACAATCAGTATATTGATGATTGTAAGGCAGATCTTTCTCGGGGAGGAGAACCACTTGCCCCAGTTGATATGCAGCCAGTAGACGCCACCAAGCCCATAACTGAACCAGCTAGCGAATAAAGAGCTGATCAAGCTGAGCAAGTCACTAAATACCGGAATAGCATCTGCAATAATCCAAGCAATGACCCAGCACGTTAAGCCGATGGCAATCCAGGAACCGATAGAAACCAGATCACGACGGTGCATCCGATCAGTTCCGCGGAAAAGACGGACGTAAATATATTTCAGCCCGACATGACCGTTGACAACACCAGCACCAACGATTGTCGGTATGGCAAGGCCATATGCCACCTTCTTCAGGAGAGGCCCCGCGGATCCCAGAGCCGGAGACTCGACAGACTGGCCGGCATAGTAGTAAATCACAACGGCGGCCACAGTATAGAAGATGATCTCGAAGGTCTGCAGCATGTAAAGTGCCTTTGGGAAATCTCTCGGGTTCTTCATCTCAGCAAGAAGGCCAAAGAATGCAACATGGGCACAATAGGCAAAGACGACGTTAGTCACGGCGGTAAACGCGTGAAATAAATCTGTGTCGATGGTGGCCTTGATCCTTGAGACTCCGTTAGCCTGGACGCCTACGCCGACCATGGTGACCATGACGGCACTGAAGATGCTGACAAAAGCTGTATTCATGAATAGTCAGTGGTAGGGGCTCAAATCAAAATGGATTCAGAATCACGTACAGACGCCGGAGATATAGGTCATATTCTTCATGGTGCGAGGCAGCGAACACACCATGCAGATAACAAATCCGACAGTCGTGAAAACCATAGTACAAGTGCCGTGCTCAGTGATTGTGTTCATCATAACACTGAATGTCAAGATGTGGCTTCCCATGATGAAAATGGAAAAGAGCAGCTGGCCGATACCGAAAAGTTCTCGCCCAAAGGCTCCCATAAGTACGTCTCCCGCGTCGGCCAGGTTTTGAATGTGAGGATATGACTGATGGAATTGTCCAATGACATAGCCAGTGTATGTAGCAAGGAGACCGAGACCGATGATTAATACAAGAGCCCTGTGAGAATGAATTAGCATCATTTGCTGTAGGTAATTCTGAGATCAAGTAACCTACGGTGCAAGACCAAGCTGTGCAAGGGTTGCTGGCAACGACAGAACACCCAAGGAAACGGACTCTGCAATCATGACTGCGCTCAGTTAGATACTCTGCTCTTCGTCTGATGACGTTTTACTTTAGAATGAGTGAAAACTTACACATTCCAGCCTGCCTAAAATCGATCCATGTTAGAGGGAATTAGAGGAAGCCTTCAGTTCTTTTGATATCCCTGGAACTTACCACCATTCCATTGTCTTGTACTTCACTTCAGCATTCGACTCGTCCCCAAATGCATCTTGATAACGCGGTTTGCCATCAGTTTCCATCGACTTTTCATTCCACCCCGGCTCCGAGTCGCCGAGCTCAGGCGACGAAGTCACTTCCTGCCGAGTCATTTCTGCCAGTTCTAACACGGCTTTCGCGAGTGACAAGCAAATTCCCACGCGAGAAATGATTAAAACCGGGTTTACAAAGTCAGGAAATAACAGCAGATATGTGTGTGTGCAAAAATCCTGGAGGTGGATCTAACGTCGCATTCGACAACCGAAACCCCCGCAATGACGGGGTGTTTGGGGCATTCATTCTGGGGCTCGGTAATTCTAGAAATCTGGAGGTATCGGAATTGTCGTTCATGACAGTCTTCAAGTGCAGACAGAGTCAAATTTGGAGACCAAAACGCGTGGGCTGATGGCTCAGGGTCCATTTGATGATGTAAACGCTTGGTTAGCTTGGATCCTCGGGTTCGATCATCACCAGTTTAAGCGTCTCTCGGTCCACTTCCGGGCGCCGCAGTGGATTACGCCCTCCACTTTTATTTACATGAACGCCAACCAGAGAGTCGGGCCGGGGATCAATTATATAACAAAAATCTCGGGGCCCTCATGCTGCCCCGGGGGTAGCCGAGCGGGTTCAGTTTTCGGCCTCAACAACTCGAATGTCAAGGACAATATTTGCTTGCATTGACATTGAGCCGGGTATGGAGGCATAGAAGCTCCTCGTGTCTTGTAATTGCAGCTTCGGCTATACCACAGCAAAATATGAGAAGCTTACACCAGGCCAAGCGGGTGGTGCCTGTTCACAGACTTTGAACCGCAGCCCAATCTGAGTCTAGGACACTCACCATGGGCAGTCAGTAGTCGATTAGACTAGCATCGCGGCTTGAAGCGCTGTCTCGCCACCAAAGTTGAAATTTTTAGTCATGATAATTATTCACTTTTGGCAAGCGAGAGTCACTAAGCAATTATCATGTCATGGATTCCGACTTCAGGGACCCACGTTTCCCGGCATAAACGCTTCAATGAGAACGCTATGGGGCCCCAATTTTGCTTTGATTCTTTCCAGAAACCAGGAAGCGCGTTGAGTGGGCATTGTTGGTATGGTGGAGTTCCCTAAGCTTGAAACCGCGACAAAACTCCAAAATCATCTTATTTGGTATATATTCTGGTGCCAAAAGTGCAGTTATATGATACATGAGTTTCGCGCATTTGCGTGCGATAAATCAAGAAAGCATCCCGGAGCCAAGATTTCGAATACAACTCCATCATGACCTGCCATCATTTCATACACCTTGAAAAGTGTGAAATCAACGACAATCCGCCCAAAACGGCAGAGAGGCCTGTACAGACAATGAGAAGCCCGAATCCACTACCATAGGCACCCATCGCGTGCCCTTGCCAGCAGTCTGCTTGTATCAACGCCTCGCTGAATGGTCCACTGACAACATTACCGACACCACGGCCGAACGCTATAGTGGAAAAAATAATCGTTGCATCTGCTGCCGGGTTGTCTTTCTGGATTTCGCGTATCATACCCGACCAGATCGCAGAGTAGCCGCCGGCAAATAATCCGTAGGCAACGCCAAACACCATCAAAACCGGGATGGTAGTAGCAAAGCCCCATATCAGGAAAACAGACACTACAGTGCCTGCTGTGGAGATTGAAACACATGTGAGTGTGTGCCACCGATCGGATAAAAACCCCATGGACACGCTGCCGAATACAGATGCCAGGTTTAGAGCAGTCACTGTAAGCGAAGCCAGAAAATCAGAGGCCCCAAGCGTACGTGCAAGCGTCGGAAGATAAATTGCGGGGAGGAAAAATCCGAGTGCCTCTGCAATATTACCAAGCTGGTAGATGATCGAGACCCGGCTGCACAGGAATCGAGCATTGAGCCGATCGTATTTGACTTCTCTCGAAACGGGTAGGCGTGACTTGTGGAAATAGAGAAATGGAGCGGCGAGCACGAATATCAACACGGAAAAGATTCTCAAAGTCGTCCGGAAACCGTATTGTCCCAAGAATTTCTCCAAAGCCAGAGGGATAAGCACTCCAGACAAACCAGACCCAGCCCAGACGATGCCGAAAGCGAGCCCTCTTCGCTTATCGAACCATTCAGACATGTATAAAATAGAGGGGCTATATGCGATGCAGCCACCTATTCCAAACCCAACGCCTTGGGAGAGCACGAGGTGTGTGAAGTTTTTCGAAAATGAGCCCATGGCTAGCGACAGACACATGATGGTCAGACCGATTGTGGAGAACCATCTTGCTGTTCGAGGGAGGAGAATCATAGTGGTGATTACCAGAGGACAGCTCATGTACGCGACGCCCTAACGTTCATTAGCTAACGGTTTGTCAACTTATGCTTGGGGGTTTCTGACTGTTGCACATGTTCCAATAACAGCCACCATGTTGGAATCCTGTACGATTTCATTGTCGTGATAGTAGCTCTGGAAAACACCGAATGAAAAGGCAAATCCTGGTTTTGGTCAGACTTGGTCTCGATCGAATGGGAAAGAACACAGTGACGAACCCCATACGAGAGCTTCTATCATTGCAGAAGCGGCTAAGAACAACCATGCATGGATCCCACCATCGATGGGTGGCAGTGTTGCATCTTTGAATGCATCTGATTTGACTTGGTCTTCACATGGAGACAGCTTCGTTTCTTCACATGCCCCCGATTCGTCAGAAAAAGAAGTACCGGAATCCATTGATTGTATGCAGTTGGAGCTTCAAAAGAGGCTCCGAGGGAGTAAAATCATTAGCATCTCTGGGATTCCCGACCACCAGGTCTATTATCTAACGGAAGATTCAAGGGCACAATATGTCACATTACCCAGTGATCCCGATCAGGTTCAAAATAGCAAGAAGGGATGAAAGGGCTCATTGCTAATCAAGTGATGGCAAGAATTTACGTCAATACAGGTTTTCTTCTATTGGTCTGGCTTAGAACCTGAGTACTCAAAACATTTAGAAAAGTGGGCTTATCATTATAGGCCAATCGCGGGCCAAGCCGACACTAAGCTTGGTCCCAAAATGGTATTCGAGCGGGGCCTGATACTATTCATCCAAGGGGCGATGTAGCTTGATTGTGGCTTATTCTGCAACGCATCACGCTCCCTCGCCGCAATAATCACAGTCTTAGGAGTTTCTCTTCGAGGGTGGTTTTCTCAAGTTGCTTTTGACGTGCTCAATGTGGGGCATGGAATCATCCAAAGAGCTACCCCTAGTTTGGTCTGCGTAAACGCCGGCTAGGAACGGCAACATCGAGCAATGGAATGTAGGGCATGATTTTTGTCAGCCACCTCTGACAATCTCGGGGATTCATGTATTAGTTCTTACACTGAATGATATCATTGCACTGAAAATCTACCAGTGAGATTTTGTGGAGCCATTCCATCTCTCTGGGCATGACTTCCCCGCTGACCTAGCTGCTCTAGGAGGATTGCATAGATGGCCTAACGAGGGCATACCAAGCGGGGCACTTTATCACTGAAAACCTTCGAACCTTGAAATTTTCCGACAATATTTTCTTACCTGCGGGGTTTGTCCATAAATCCGTAGAATCTATTTTCGTCATCCTCCCCCTAAGCCTTGGGTAGAGCATTAAACCGCAATGACGCATGTCCACGGCTATGTGGTGACAATTGCTCTTATTTTCGTACAGTAATACAGTAAAGGCAGGCAATCACGTGCATTTAGCGAGCAAGCTCGAGTCTAGTAAGAAAAGAAGAAACAAGAGAGGGAAAAACCACAGGGGTAAAACCTCCAAGATTTACAGGCCAGACACCGCATTGCCCATCACCTCCAACTGATAAGGCAAGCCACGAAGTGTTTGAGGAGCTTGACATTCATTCGCTGGTCGACTCTTCAGCGGCTCCACCCAAGGGCTTCGAGAGTCCGACACGGTCCACCGTCTTTTGGTAAACAACGCCTCCGTTGACTCGGTCTTCGTGCACAACCAGATCCTTGCGATTAGTGTCGACCAAGAGGCGGATCAGGTCAGGTCTCATGTAGTGGCCACCCTATCACCAATCCTGTCAGTACCATTCTTGAAATATCATTCACTCTCTTTGACAAAAACTTACAAAGTCAGCCAAAGACTTGGTGAGATGAATTTCATCAAGATCGATCTGTAGAAGTGAGTTAACGTTACACTATCCAAGAGAGTGCGAAAAAAAAAAAGGAGGCGGCACAAGGACCAGGTGAAACTTACGTCAACGAAAAGGAGACCCTGGAAGTCCTTGTCGGGATGAGGAACAAGGTTTTGACCATCAGGCCCAAAGATGCGGCCATTTCCGTTGTAAATGTTGGGATCTTCCAGCTCCTTGCCGGGTGGCGTATTGAGCTTGATACCTTCCGCAGTGATTGTCTGCCAAGGTGCAAGGGTGAAAGCGCCTGTCTCGATGGCATAGGCGGGAGTCACGAGCTGGGCAGTCTTGTCAGTAATCAAATCGCCATTCATCATTATTCAGTAAAATTCGGGAACTCACGTCGGCATTGGCTTCAGCGATGTTAGTATAGGGGTCCGGATATTTGAGAGTGTCCTTTCCAGGATACAGCGGCCAAGCAGCAACATGGACCTGTTCTCCCAGAGATGCAGCATAGGCCTTCAAAAATGGATTCATGTTCTCCCAGCAGTTCAGGTGTCCGATACGCCCAATCTCAGTATCCATGACCGACTCGGTAGTATCGCCAGTGCCATCACCAAAGACCAGACGCTCGACGTGGGTAGCCTTGATCTTGCGACGATGGTTGATGATATCTCCAGCCGGATTGATCATGATCTGAGTGGTATACAAGCTTGCCAGATCGACCTCGGAGTATCCGAGAGATACGAAGATCTTGTTGTGGCATGCAGCCTCGCGGATGCGGCGCATTTCCTCCGAATCGGAAGGAAGACTATTCTCACGATACTTCTTCAGAAGTGGCAGACTTTCCTGGTAGTTGACCTTCCAGGCCCAGTACGGGTAGCCAGGGATCCCTGGTTCGTTTAGTAAACGCGGATCCAGTAGACTACCCATTCGAAGTGAAGCGATACTCACACAACTCGGGGAATGCAATAAACTTGCAACCCGCTTTCCCGGCTTCATCAATCCAATGAATCGTGCGGCGAACAGATTCCTCGAGGTCGAACCATCCAGGCTCAGCATTGACTGCTGCGGCCTTGTATTTCTTGAGGACGGGAGCCATGTCGAAGGTTGTTTGGTATTCTTTGGATTATTTGCAAGAAGATTCTGTGTGATAGAGAGAATATTCCTCCCCAAGAAACGGGATAAACTATGCTTTATATAACTTTTGGGCTCATCTCATTTCCTTGCCCCCCATATAGGGTCACATCGATATCTTCCTCTCAGCCAGGGGATCACTATCATACCACTCGGGTCTATACAACACGGGAATTGCTTTTTACATGCACAGGCCCACATATTCACAATCTCATATGACATCGCTCCCGTATTCCCGCTCGATGTTTCACTGAATGGCTTCGGGGTCTGCCTTGGTACACAATCACGCCATGGGTAATGTTGAGGTTGGTCATCGACGTAGACCTAGGCTTAGTACGCGGGAGATCGCCAGGCTAAACGTCGGGATCTGGTAGATCCCGATATTTTTACATTTTAAATTCGATCATGCAACGAGCGGTTTCATTATGCTTGAATTCCAAATGCCGTCGAAGAAACATCCGTTGTCATCCGAGAGTCAGATCCCGATGAAGCTACTCCCAGGGTCGTTGAGAGATACAGTCTAAGCCAAAATGAAACTTTGGCATAATGCACTATCTCTTTGTTTTGTCCTGCCTGGCTCGTTGAAAATGTGCATGGTCTTCGCAAGTTCGTCTTCTCGGGCGAGTAGGCAAATCCCGAGGGCTGACCCCGTTCTATCGATGATGAGGAAAGCGGATGATCGAAAATAACCGGATACATCACATGTTAAGAGCCTCTATTTACCACTGCTACCTTGCGCAATAGTAGGATACTGGGATAGTATTAGCAAATAGAGGATCTAATAATTCAAACGCGAAACAACGAAAAACCCGGATGCATCGTGTGTGAAGAACCTCTATTGACTACTGCTTTTCTTACACGATAGCAGGATATCAGTAGCTAAGAGATTATGTAATAATAAAAAGGCAAAATAAAGAAGAAAACACCGGCTAGAACAAAGAACACGGATGAATGAAAGAAAACCGGATACATCGAATGTCGAGAACGTCTGTTGACCACTGTTTGTCTTGCGCTATAGCAGGATGGCAGTAGCTAAGCGAGGACCTAATAATGCAAACGTGAAACAAAGAAACAAACCAGATCCATCGAACTTGCTTGAAAGTCCAAACAGCTCAAAGGTCGTCCATGTCGTCTCGACACTTTGTGACCGTACGACTTCCCTGCTCAATCTCCACATGCAATTTTGTCAATTGAGATAGCCGATGCAATCCGTTGGCATTTTTTCCTAATTATTTTCGGGGCAAGTTCATCTACAGGATCGTCGTGACCAATCACTCTCGGGATTATATTTCATGCTGAGTCGCCAGGGAAAGTCTTGTTCAAGTCTTGTAACATTGACATATCTTATACTCTGATGATCAGACAAGCGACGAGCGCAGCAGGTTCTCCAGCTCCTGAAGTGACCCTGGCTTTGACGTAACACTGGACATCAAGTAGAGTACATTACCCAAAACCCGAGAGTGGACATTGAACTTATCACTACCAATAGCAAGTTGCTGCTGTAATCCCTTGGCTGCGTTGGAAGTGTAACCTAGACAGTCATTAGCTCGACTTCATTTGCCATTGAGGAGATCTCTTTGGGGTACTTACCACCACCCTGGGCATCGCGAAGCGAAATGCTAAGAACAGTGCCGATCGCAAAGACACTCTCGACAGATTCAGCACAGGAGAGGTCCTTTAGGAGGCTCTGTGACCAGACGCTCCATACATCTGGAACAGAAGTATTGGCGGGAGCAGCGGCTTTAGGGCTCCAGTCGGTCTTGAATTTCTCCCACGAACCGTTTTTATCCATGTCAGCCATGGCTTTGAGTGAATCAACAGCAACAGTACATCCCACTGCGTGAGCGGTATAACTATGACCGTGGAGGAGGGCGTCACTCTTCTCGGGACTCGAGAAAGTATCAAAGATCTCCTGGCTAGCCACTGTTGTACACAGGGGAATCAGACCACCAGTGAGAAGCTTTGCGTTCACGGCGATATCAGGGTGCACGTCGAGGAAAGAGGCGGATGTTGGTCGACCAAGTCGGTAGAGACCAGTAAAGACCTCATCGAAAATGACTGGCAAGCCCGACCATGATGGGGAAGGCTTGGGGGACGAAGCGTCGGGAGAGAATAGTTCCGGGTGATCGCGGACGACATCGGTCAAGCATCGTTGGAAGAGAGGATCGCTGCCAAGAGGCTGTCGTCAATGATGTTCATACCACATTTTTTCAGAAAGACTTACCAGAAAAGCATGCCTCCAGCACCCAGGATGACAGGCTCTAGAATGAGAGCACCGAATTTCATACCGTGGCGTTTTACCAGATCCTCGATGGTATTGCGAATATAATCCTTATAGCGCTGGCTCGTCTCAGAGCTCAAACGGGTATTCAAATCAAACACCGAGCCAAGCGAGTCAAACTCAGCATCGGAGCCGAGTTCAGCCTTCAGTTCAGCAGGAATTTCGACCTTCCATTGTCCATCGACCATCTTGACGATAGGGAAATCAAACCAGTGACCACGGCCACGGTACCACTCAACCTTCTTGTTATAAACCGATGGCTCAGAGCAATCCATCACACCGATAGTGTCTCCATGGTAGCTGCCCTTGAGTCCCAGAATGCCGATCTGCTCCTTGGTAGCATCCCAGCCGTACCGGTCGCAAGCAACACGAAGACCCATTTTGACAGCCACTTCCATGCCTGTGCTGCCATTGTCCGTATAGAAGACTTTAGCGAAGCGCGGGTTATCGAGGGTTTTTAATAAGTTATCGGCGAGTGCGAGCGCTGGCTCATGCACTGCGCCGGCAAACATCACATGGCCATACCGACCAGCGGCATAGGCTGCGGACAGAGACAACTCGGGGTTGCCGTGGCCTAGTCCCTGGGTCCACCAAGAGGCCGAGCCATCAAAAGTGGGACGGAGCTCGCTTTCCGGCTTCTCCGAGCGACTGGTGCCAAATGTTTGGAAAAAGTCATCGTGCGCGGAATCAATCACTGTAATATCTTTTGGACGCATCCCATAATGCTGGGTGAAAGGGTACCAGATCAGGTCCTGGGCACGGCTGGCCATTTCTTCCAAGCGTTCGATTCGTTCAATGTTCTTGATATTCATTCCCTCGATCAGGCGCAATATGTCTGACTCTTGGGAAACTTTCTGGTAATATGAAGACATGGCTTCTTCATCTCTTGCCAGCGAGCTGGCGTCAGTCTGAGATGGTCGCGCAGGCGGAGCTGGCAATGGAACCAGGGGAATGCTTTTGTTGCGGAAAAAGTTGCCCAAATACTCATGATTTTGGTAGTAATCGTCACGGAACAGTAATACTGATTGGATGTCATATCCTCGGAGCACAAGCGACTCATATGCAGAAATAGAGGAAGAAATGCCCCCTAGACGCGAGTCCGCCACGAGGACAATGGGCAGTCGCAATGGGCGATATAGATCTGCCTGTGAGTTTCCATTGGGGCCTGGTGAGTGGACTCCTCCAGCAGTTTCAACCAGGGCGAAGTCAATGTCCGTCCGGGCCCAGTCAGATAGAGTCTTATGAATAGATGCGAGCAGGTCGTCATCTCGAGGAATCTTATATTCGATTAGATTAAGTCATATCAATAGAGTGGCTCACTTACGGTCTTTTGTCTTGCTGCGATATGCGGGCTAACAGGTTCATCAAACTGGTAGAGGCACTTGGTCAAGGTTCCAGCCCCGTACCGCTTCAGATGCCTAGAAACTTTGATTAGGACATTTCACTCTTCAATCGATTGATTCAAGCCAGCGCGTAGCCTACCGATCATCAGCCTCATCTAGCGATCCTGTGGAGACGGGTTTCAGAAACGCGGCCCTCTGTTTCTGTCTCTGGACAGCATTGCACAGCACCGTCGAGACGATGGTCTTTCCAACGTCCGTATTGGCACCATAAACCTGGTGCGCACGCAGTGTGCGCCAAAGACCAGCACCAACAGGAGCCATAACTCAATTGCAAAAGTTGCAAAGGGAAAGGGTCCAGCGTCCAATGTTTCAAGGTCGAAAGTCCGAGTTAACCGATTCCCCGCGATGACTCCAACGCGGTTCACAGTCAAGTTCGGGCAAGGGACTGATTGCGTTTACCGGGAAGTTTGGCTGTCAATTGGCGAATCATCACCTCCGCGGCGGCTCCACCTTCTTCACTTGTTCCTTCACCGAACTTCACCGAGGTTGAATTTCCCGTTGAAAAAGAGTTGAGGGCCCCCAACCACGCGCAGAATGACCCAGAAGGAGTCAATGTTGATGTCAATCCACCTTGCTGGACACCAAACAGGTTGATTGATTCCGACAACTGCAGACACGCGACCTCGAGGTGTTGACTGCGCTTACGAGTCGCAATCCTCAGCCCCGGATTCGTCCGTGGTCCGCTTTGACACTAGGAGCTTTAAAGTGCGGGATGATCATTGACCGTGCCTGATCATTATCGACAGGAACGCCCGTGACTAGCCGATCGTTCATAACTCCCAATTTGTTACATGTAACTGTTGAAGCCAACCGGAAAGCCCATCTCCCATTCTTCAGCCTCCCAATGGATTCCCGATCGCGCACGGTGACTGGCGCGTCATCGCCTACACCCAAGACTCTAGTCGACTCTCTAACGAGTGCTCTCGTCAACCGGGAAGCGAAATCGGCCCGCCGGAGATTGACAGTTTTGCCTCGGACAGCGGTTGATTTCTCTTCCAATGACTTTCTCTCCCTGTCAACATCACCGGCCTTCAGAAACCGCTACTTAGCGCATCTAAACGATACTCCAGAGTCATTCCCTTTTGCCAGTGGTGGATCTCGACTTTTAGATGGAAACTCCGCCTATGCGGAGGATCTGGAGCGCTTTGTGGCCGACTTCCACGATGCTCCCACAGCACTCCTATTCAACTCTGGCTATGATGCCAATATAGGAGTTCTTTCTAGCATTCCTCAGCCGGGGGATCTCATTGTGTACGATGAGCTGGTTCATGCGAGTGCCCGCGAGGGCATGCGGCTTTCCCGGGCAGGCGTAAGAAAGATGTTTGCGCATAGCTCTCCAACGGCCCTCAGAGATGTCCTGGCTGCTGAAATCCAAAAAGATGCCAGTGTTCAAAACGGAACTCGTAATGTCTTCATAGTCGTGGAGTCACTTTACAGCATGGATGGTGACGTGGCTCCGATTAAGGAATTTATCCAAGTGGTGGATGACTTGCTTCCACATCAAAATGGTTACTTTATCGTCGATGAGGCACATGCCACTGGTGTCTTCGGGCCCCGCGGTGCTGGTGTGGTCCAGCATCTCGGTGTTCAGGATCGAATGTTTATTCGCGTGCATACTTTTGGAAAGGCACTCGCGAGTCATGGAGGTATGTGGTATCCCCAAATAAATCTGCGAATCGCAAACCACTGACAAATCCTTTCATCAGCTATGGTGCTCTGCGGCCCCGAGACAAGAGATTACCTGATCAATTATGCTCGCAGCCTCATTTATACCACCGCCCTTGGCTTTCCTTTCCTCGCATCTATTCGTACTGCTTACGAGCTCCTATCTCTAGGAGAAACAGACTCAGTAAGTTGCCTTATCCCCTTTCAACGCCTTGATTCACTTAGCTCACAAGCAGTTTTAGTTACGAACTCGGGTTCAACAGTTGATCAAGCATCTCCACCAACGCTTGGGCAATCTTCAGATAAATCAATCAGTCATGTTCGAAGTCGATCATTTCCCCACGTCCCCCATCTTCTCCATGCGCACATCGCAGCCGCGCCAATTGGCCAGTGCGTGCCAAGAAGCTGGCTATATCATTCGTGCCATCATGCCGCCCACCATTCCTGAGGGCAGTGAACGGGTACGAGTTTGTTTGCATGCAGGTAACACAGAGCCTGAAATCGATGGCTTGGTACGAACGATCCAGTCATGGCTGGATGGCGGTTCAACGAAGAGAGAGGCGAAACTATGATCATGCCAAGCGACTCTGTTTGTTATATATAAAAACAATAGATTCCACCATCTAGATTTATTGACTGAGGTCACGAATAAGACGCCATGTCTCTAGGTGAAACCTAGGGGTGTTTGTTGCCTTAGGCATTTAGGCGTCAAATCCTCCTGAAGGAAAAAAGGGCCAGGGATGGATAAAGGCAGTTCTTTTGACTTTGCTTAGGACATTGCTTCAAAATTGGTCAATTGGTCATTAGTCTGGCATGATGGATGGACTTCGGATAAAATACTAGGTACTCTGTCGCCTGGTTGTCCAAGATTAACCGACTTGCATGCCAAGAGAGACCGAGATATATAGTCCGAGACATTCCGGTCTGACGCCCAGGACTTATGGTCAAATTCGAAAATATACCAACTATGTGAAGTTTTTTGAAGTGTTCCAATTACTGCCTCAGACGCCAAATGTTCAAATGATAGAGTGTCTTCTGCACAGTGGTACCTAGATGGAGCTACAGTACTGTATCTAGGGTCCGGCGAACGAGATCTGAGATCGGGCGGTCCTCGGTCGAGATCCGTGGGGCTGCAAAAGGCCAAGATCGCCAAGATCGCCAAGCTCGAGCATTGTCGGTCTTAACCCGCTTCTTTGTGCTTATCGGGCACCGCACCCACCCCTTTAAGAGCATCCCTTCTTCACCCTGAATGTTCACAGTACATTGACATACTGCACATAGCCTTCGCGCATCATGTCTGTGCCTACGGGAGTTGGCATTGAGTGCCACGATCTCCAATCAAACCCTCGCTTCCTCTTCCGCCAGCCTCGGGCGCTGCAGTGGTTTGAGAACGGGAGGCTGGTGAAGCGCTCGGAAGATGAACGACAAGCAGGTAAGGAGAACCGCGGTCGCACAGCGTGTAAAGGTGCATAAATGCGTGTCAATGACTCATACGTCTTCCCTATAGGCCGATTCGAACTGTTCCTCGACTTGCTGTACGTTGCGATCCTATCGAACTTTGCGGATACCCTGGTGGAAGATATCTCGGGCGCGAAGCTTGTCAAGTACATTGTGAGCAGCAGTTACGCACCAATTGCTCTCGGATTGAAACTGTACTAACCAAGTTTCCCATCTACAGCTTATTCTCTCCCCATCATGGCATGTGTGGAGCGATCTGCGCGAATTGATGAACTCCTTCTACAACGATGACCTCCTGCAGCGTGTGCTCATCCTATGGGTCATGGCCACTCTAGTCGTCTACGGAAATAACGCGCCCTTAGTCGACGAAGAAATTGGCGCGATGCGCTCTGCAGTTGGAGCCTATATGGCCGCTCGAATTACATGCAACCTCGCCCACCTATACTACTCGTTCGCGAGCTATCATCACCGGGCCCAGCAACGGCTCTGGGTGGGGCTCTCCACTCTATGTCTCTGCATATACATCCCACTATACTTCGAGTCGGTCTCCATTCGCAGCAAGATTGCGACCGCCGCTGTGGCTATATTTGTTGAGGAGTGTACATGGATCTTCTGTTATTCTCCAGCTGCAAAGAAGCTGCTTCGAGCGACGTATACTACCGCCGTGGATATCAACCATGAAGTGGACCGATACGCGGCATTTTATATTATTGCATTGGGCGAGTTCTTGTACCTGATTATTGTCGGGTCGCATGCTGCAGTTGGCCTGAACGATCGCCTTCTTCGAGCAATTTGGACTCTGATTATTGCCTTCTGTCTGAATTGGCTGTATGTGCATAACGATGGTTCCGTTGAGAACGACCATCCTCTCCGACACAGCATCTACACGGCTTTTGCCTTTGCCTTGATCCACCTCCCGCTAATTGCTAGTCTGTTGGCTGGTGGTCATGTCGCTGCTGCATCCGTGGCGGAGCATGAATTCGAAGAACCCCAGCGATGGCTGCTCTGCGCTGGCCTTGGTGTTGGCATGATCTGTCTGTATATTTTCGCGTTGATGCACGGATCAAAGGATGAGCGTGGGACCTTGCTTCTAGATAAGGTATGTGAACTTGTCCGAGGGCAGTTATTCTCGGTTGATGAATTATTCGCTAATACTTCATATAGCCACTTCGATTGATCATGCGGCCCATCACTGGTATAATCATGATTCTGTTGCCACTTGCAAAGCATCTTGGTGCTACCTCGATTCTATCTACCGTCATGGCTCTTTTCGTCTTCTGCACTTTCTGGGAGACCATCGCGTCGCTACGCAAGGGAGCTCTCTTCTGGGAAAGATGGGAGGATACTCAGTACCCGGAGAAAAACCTCATCACTGATGAGGCTGCGAAGAAGGAGATGGCATCTGAACCTTGAACGCTCTGCGTTTTAATTTATTAGGTAAACTCGACTTTATGATCACGACTCTTCCTTACGCCTACCGAGGAGCTGTTCCATGACTTTATCCCTCTATGGACACGTCCATCAGAAGGTCTATTGACCAAAAAATCAGGAGAATAATATTTATTTCAAGTGCATATTCTAATCGGAAAACAAAATTCGAAATATCAACAGCGGCATCTGTCTATATGATTCGTGAATGCGCTTCATGCAAAAAATCTCAAACGTCCTTCATCTGACTTTAAACCATTGACTTCTCAACCATCTCATCTCCAGTAGCCTGCGTCTCAGACCGGTCCATAGTGGTATAGCGACTGAAATCCCTCAGCCCACGGTGATCTCCACTCGGAACGTTACGACCTTCCTTCTCCTGCTTGAACGCCTGCCGACGGAAATAAGCGCGCTTGCACCACTTCCAGAACTCAATACCAGCAAAGAAGAGCACCGTCTCGACAAACACGATACCCCATTCCCACGAGATAGCCGAATGCTTGAAAACACTGTGGTTGATGACGGGGATGTAGATGATAGGGAAGGCAAGCACAAAGCCAGCCATAATTCCCCAGAAGAGGAACTGGTTGTGCCAAATGTCGTGCATCCATTGGGTGAAGTAGCGCTTGGAGTCGGGCTTCATGCGGAAGAAGCTGCGACGTAGGTTCATCATCTCCCATGCGAGGAATAAAGCGAACCAGGTCATGCAGGTGAAAGTTGTTGCACGGGCGCGGAATACGGTGTCACAGGTGTAGGGTTTGTTGGGGTCATTGTAATGCGTGTTGCAGCCCATTGCGAGGTTACCATCACCCCAGCGGAACATGACGAGGGCGAAGGCTGACAGGCAGAGGGCGGCCATCCAGACACCGTAGACCAGCGTGTCGACGATAATCTCCCAGGTGAAAATACCTTGTTTCTGTATGAATGAGTTAGTATGCGAAACAGCCGGTGCTTGAGGTTGAAAAAAGGATTAACATACGCTTTGAGGAGGTCTATCCATGACTTCCGGTGCCGCAGCCTCCATTCCCAGACCCATATCGGGCAGGCCGGAGGTAATCATGATGATCCAGATAATTTCAACAGGGGCAATAGGGAAGACAGATTGATTGCTGTCATCCTTGAATGCAAGGCCGATGAGCAGGGTCAAAGCCAATGCGACGTTTTCAGCCAGCAAGTGCAGCACGAATTTCTGAATATTGTCGAAAATTCGTCGTCCTTCTTCGATACCATTAATGATGGAAGCAAAGTTGTCATCAGTCAAGACGAGTTCTGAAGCATCCTTTGCAACATCGGATCCATTTTGACCCATTGCGATACCAACATCGGCCCGCTTTAGCGAAGGCGAGTCATTCACTCCGTCACCAGTCATCGCAACATAACGACCACGACGATGGAGGGCCTCGATCATGCGAACTTTGGTATTTGGTGCACATCGAGCGATGACGAGTGGCAGTGTGGGGAGGTTGTCGATTTCATCTTCGCTCAATTTGTCGAATTCGCTAGCGGTCATGACCATCGCATCGGCGACGTCCTTTGCGATCATGTCCATATTCGATGGAATAATGCCAACCTGAGCAGCAATTGCCCGAGCAGTTCCAGGGTGATCACCGGTTACCATGTGAACGGAGATACCGGCCTTGTAACATTGGCTGATTGCACCGGCGGTCTCAGGTCGAGGAGGATCATACAGACCGATCAATCCGTAAAAGACCAGGTCTTTCTCAATTTCCTCGCGTGGAAGAGGTTCATCGCTTGCGTCATCACCAGGTGTATGTTCTCTTCCAGCCAGGCAGAGCACTCGCAGACCCTCCTTGGCCAGGGCTTCCATATTCTGCAAGATCTCGTCGCGGATATCGTCGTCAAGGGGCACGGATGCACCATCTTTCCAGGTGATAGACGTGCAAGAATCGATGACTCGTTCAACAGCGCCCTTGGTGAAGATCATCTGAGAGAGTTTCTCGGAGCCTTCACTGCGTTTCGCAAAGACAACGGACATCTTTTTCACGCTCGAGTCGAAAGGATACTCGGCCTTCTGGATCCATGCGGGCTTCTCGCCTTTAGTCCAACGATCGACACCCCAATTGAACCGCGAGGCAAACACCTGGATAGCAATATCGGTAGGCTCTCCACGAGCTTGCCATTCATTGTTCGAGTCCTTGTGCAGATGTGCCAGGTTCGCCATAGCAGCAACATTGAGGAAGGATTCAAGAAGCTCATTATCTTTCAACAGTTCCTCGGGGTTGGTTGTGTCACCCGTCGATTCAGAGTTCAGCTTGACTGGAGGCTCCTGGATAAGGCTCAAATCACCCTCGTATGGGTTCAGGGGGTTATTCGAAGACCCGACCGAGTATGTTCCCATAGACGGAATCCAGGCCCTCTTGGCGACCATGCGGCCTTGAGTCAAGGTACCAGTCTTGTCCGAGCAGATATTGGTCACGGCACCCAGGGCTTCCAAAGAGTCCAACTTGCGGACAATGACATGTCTTTGCACCATTTGCTTTGTTCCCACGGCCATTGTGATGGTGAGTACGACGACCAGACAAGCGGGAATCATAGCAAGACCAGTGGCAACGGCGTAAATGATAACTTCATTATCGCCACGCCAATCATTGGAACCAGCCACAACAATCGCGAAAATGACGGCGATACCGAAAAGAAGCAGTGCGAGCTTAGACAGCTTGCGCTGAAGGGGAGTACCGACGTTGATTCCAAGGAACCGTCCAATAGCATCGGTGGTAGTCAATGTCCAGGCCTGGATGTACCAACGCTTCTTGGTTTCACCCTCCGGTCCACGCTTGACAGGGCGACGCTTGGAGTCACCTCCACGAAGGGCGGCGGCAATGGCACCGATCTCAGTTCGCATGCCAGTTCCTACCACCACACCTCTCGCGCGTCCACGTGTAACGGTTGACGAACTGTATGCGAGGTTTAATCGGTCTCCAGGACCCGTATCGATATCGAAAACTGCATCCGCTTCTTTCTGAACAGGGAGAGATTCGCCGGTCAAGAGGGCTTCGTCGGTCTCGAAGTTGAATGCCTCGGTCAATCTGTCGCATTTATAGTTAGCCCAGTATTCCTTGTATTCAATTCCAAGGGTCGTCTAAACATACCTCAGATCCGCAGGCACAGTATCTCCGACTTTCAATTCGACCATGTCACCAGGAATAATTTCGTTGGCAGGGATAGTAGCGGTTTTTCCATCGCGAGTCACGACTCCAGTAGGGGAGCTCAGGTTTCGCAAAGAGTCCATAGTCTTTTCGGCGGCGAAGTCCTGGTATACACCCACGACTATGTTGAGCAAGATGACGGCTGTGATGAAGCCGCCTTCAATCCACGACTTGATGCCGAAGCTGACCGCCATTGCGATGATAAGAACCTGAAATTGAAAACATTGGGTCAGCAAATTTTTTTCTGTCCATTACTTCGGCCGGGGTGTTGCTGATTAACTTACAAGCATCATGGCATTGGCGACTTGGCGAATGAAAATCTTGGCAATTGAGACGCCTTCGTCTCCTTCCAAGATGTTCTGTCCATATTTCTCAAGACGTTGCTTGACCTCACTAGTTGTGAGGCCATCATCAGAGTTTGTGCCTAGCTCACGGATAACAGCCTCAAAGGAGAGACTGTGAGCTGGCTGAGATAGATACGACTGCGAGGTAGCATCGTCGGAAGACTGGGAACGCTTGGATCGGCGCCTCTCCTGAGACATCACGCGTGTCCAGGGAAAGTAAGTCTATTGGGGATGGGGTAGAGGGCGGGTAGTGTGTGAGGGGATGTGTCGTGCTTGCAAAGGAACCTTGTCTAAGGAGGTTTCATATAGAAGGTGTCCAAGATGGTGTGAGAGTCCATGCACGGGTCAAAAGAGCAATTCCAATTCCCCGCGATGTGATAAGAGAATCTTGAATCTATAGCAGTTTCTTGATTCTCTTGACTTTAAAGTACACGTAGTTCCAAAAGCGTTCTCTTCTTCTTTTCCCTCTTCTCCCTCCAAGGGGCGAGGCCGATATAAATAATTCCCCGGGCGGACTTGATGGCAAATTCCGCCGAGATGCAACCGGTCCTGAGGGTCTCTCTTCCGACACTCCGATATCATCCAGATTTGGAGTCTGGGGATACCCAAAGATAACAACCAATCGCTATCAGGAACCACGCGTCGGCATCAAGCGGGTCATCTTGGCACTGCACTTGCAACCTCAACCGAGGCGAGAATGACGCAGACGACTGGTCTCGGCGTTGGCTCGGCCGGTAGCCGCCACTGCACGGTGATTGGCGGCGGCGCGGAATGCCAAGAGCGGGAATCTGGGCATTGTCTGGGCATCCCTCCGCGCGACATCTCCAACGCCCGGCGATAATGTGTCATCCTTGGCTCATCTTGGATGCTTCTTGGCAGTCTGTATTCTCCGAGGCTCGAGAGCCCACCTCGCTGTTCAAATCCGCCCAACCGTCCGGGCTCGAATTCCCCCCTGGCTTGGATTTTTTGTGCAAAGCAGTTTACCACAACAGTATATTTATGGTGGCAAAGCGCCGATACTCGCAAACGCAAAACTCAACCTCCGCTCTGCTCCATTTTGGTATTCCCAGTGGGGTATTGAGGTGGAATTTGCTTGATCTAACATTTCCCGACTGATCCGATCGAGGACGCGCTATCAACTGGCCCAACCGACCATCCAAAGCGATAACATTCGCTTCTATTGGGCTACTTCCACTTGCCGTGCTCGTATTCGCAATTTACCTTGCCTTGCGTGGATCCGGGCACCAGTTTCCATGCTCCCCCCTCATGACGGGCGAGACTCTACCTCAAGGTGAGGTGATCGGGATCGTGATTGGGGCCATCGTGCTGTTCTCGATCATCAGCATCGTGCCAATGTGAGTTCATAGGCCGAGCACGGACACGCCTTGGCTGTACCCCGCTTCATGCGGGCGAATACTCTGGAAGCCATGCGCCGGCAGATATTAACATCCTGTTTCTGTTCGATTAGCATGATCATGTGGTATCACCGGCGCCGAGCTGCTGCTAGAACTACAAATGAGATTCACGACCTTACATTATCGATGCAACAGCCCTCAGTGGAGCAATGGCTAGAGGGGCAGAATTCCCCTCGAGATATTGAACAGTACTCCCGCGAAATTTGGTACGTTATCAGCTTTGTTTCATCCTTTTGCACCGTCCCGCAAATACATCCGCGGATCCAGCCCACGTTGCCGACAGCATGGCTTGGCTCTGGGGCCCGGATGATGTGATGCGGGGAATGCCCAGGGCTGGGCCATGGATTCAATTGCCCTACAGGGCCCGGCCAAAGTTTTTGTTACCCAATTCCACTTCTGGGCGGGACTGGGCATCGGGATTTCCACCACGTCTTGGCACACGTTGTCACTATCATTGCCTATCTAGTGTTCCTGAACCATGCTTTGCTATCTTGGCCTACAAGGTCTTATCAGCAAGATGATCCTCTGAGAGCCTCGCTGCTATGTTTTGATGTGTCATAGATTGAGCTAACTTGCTTCAAAGTCCCATCTGTCTCTCCTCATTATCATCATCCCCATATCTTGTCCTTCCAGAACCGGCTCGTTTACCCCACGGACAACGTAAGGCTTCCGACTCTCGGTCAGGCGAATCTTCATATACCGAAGCCAAGGATTGCAGGCAGGATAGTGGAATACTTGTTCTAAATAGATGTCATCATCCCTTCCACACAGCTTGTATAGCCTCCTGGTTTGAGTACCGACATTATAGGTGCCCTATCTGTCAAGCTTCTTACTCTCCGGCCGATACTGCATAACAATGAATCCTCTCCACTTGAACTTCCTGAATATCAACTGCCCCTTGACTAAACTTCTCAGTGATTGGCAGAGGGATCGAGCCAAACAACCAGGCTTATGAATTTTCATTGAAGGATACTAGTTTGAATAACTGGAATAATACTCCTAAGTCAAAGTAGCTGGTGATTCTCGGTACAAAGGACCACGGAAGGACATTTCCTCTCGAGTAGGTCCACAGCCACAATCAAATCAAAAGAACCTATTTATCTAGATCTTTGAATACCACAGTCTTCATATAACTCACCGCACCGCGATGGACTTGGTTCTAGTATGCTCTTGAGTTCACTGAAGTACAGTCAAGCAGACCACCCAGGGAAGCTTATCTCTTTGCACGCTGTGAGGGGTTTCGCTGTCCCATTTTTATCCGTCAAACAAGAGCCCTATCGTTGAAAATATCGCTCAATTTAAGCCATTTAATCCAATATTGAGCTCTCAATTCCATTATCAAATATTATCAATGCTGCGTCATTTCCATGGATGCTCTCGTCGCAGATGCTTATGTACAGAAAGCACTATGAGGTATGTTCAAGTAATTACCGGACCAGGGTGACATGCATCAAGGTTCCCCGATTCCCTCTCAGTTCGTCAAAATCATACAAGGATCGAACCTTAATTTTTCTCGGGCTCTTCAATCCTGTCAACCGAGTTATCATCCTCCAAATCTTTATCTGACTTCTTGATTGTCATCACAGTTGGAATTGCCACCAGAAGACTACCGATGCTGAGGCCCCAGTTCATAGCAAACTGCTTCATCGGGCTGACCTTCTCTGCATTGATTCTCCAAGCCATGGCTCCGCCAGCAGGTTTCAAGGCAGAGTATGCTCCAACGACAACGGCATTGACCACTGGATCGCGCGACCGAGCACCCATAATCCAGTAGCAAAATGCCTGCCAGAAAGAATCGTAGGCGCCATAAAAGAAGTAAAGGAACATGGGACCAAGGAATTTGCTGCCATCGTTGTAGTCGATATCCTGTTTGAAACCGAGTGCAAGGCGTTTATCATCCCATACCTGGAACTGATATCCACCGCCCCAGATTACCATTCCAGTGACAAAAAGAATTGCCCATCCGGTGATAGCGCGCGTCCGGCGATTGAGGTGGTGGAGGTCGAGAATCAGCCCCATCAGAAGGCCGCCGGCCATTTGAGCAATCCAGTAAAGTGCACCATTGAGGGACCGTGTGCGTAAGTTGAAAGTCAAACCGTTCACGCTGTTCTGCTGATAGGAATAGAAGACGTTCGCGTTATAGAACATCGGGTAAAGACACAGATTCCTCCAGTCAAAAACGATGCGAAGAACCTGAATCACGGTCGACTTCAAGTTCCCAAAGTTGAACGCTTTCGATTCTTGGGCAATGCGATGACCGTGGTATTTCTCGGAAAGACTCTCTGTCGAGCAGACCAAGACGGACAGCGCCCATCCAAACAACATGATGACAATATAAGCAATGTAGGTCGAATCGGTCACAGTGCCAGACTTTGAGTGGTAATTCAGTCCAAAACTGGCGAGCGAGCCAATCGTTCCGCCCAGGTTGAAAATCACCCAGAACACACCAATAGCTCGGCCGCGTGTCTGATCATTGGTATAGGTCACCATAATAGTGCCCTGTGCGACCCAGAAGAAGGCAGCCCCCAGACCGAGCAGCGCACCAGAGGCAATCACAAAGGGCCCACCGTTCTTCACTCGAATGGAGTTCAGCAAGGCACCTGCGTACAAAGCATAGGTCCAACCACCAATGAGAAGCGAGAGACGCGGGCCCAGATACTTGTATAGAGTTCCGACCACCACGAGAGCCGCGCCAGCGGTAGCAGCGTGGGTGGCCACATTGGCATTGGCCGAGACGGTGCTGTCAACCTGGCCCGAGCCGCCCATGCCGGTGAGGGCATTGTACATGCCCGGATTACAGAACGCAATGAAAGAAATCAAGATGATCTGGAACCACGGGTCATGACGGATCCTTGCGAAGATATTCTTCTGGTGGAGCGATGGTGGAGCGACATGATCGGGAGAGGTGTTGCCGACCGTGTCGGGAGAGGAGATGTTCTCCTCGGCGGACTTGATCGTAGCCATAGTAAGCTGTAGATGGCGAGGCTATGATCGCAAACTTGGCATAGATGCGCACGGCGCTCCGTGGCTTAAATATCGCGGGAGAGGGCGTGTTATCTATCGACTCGCTCGCGTTTGTGACACGGCGTGCCGTCCCCGCAAAGGGAGCAAAATCCTCGGGGGCGGATCTCGTGGTGGGCGAGATCCGTCATAAATGCACACCACCGAGATCCAGCGTCGGTATTCCGATCTAAAATCTATAAAATATCGACTGGAATCATAATGAAAGATGGTGAAACTGCGAAGGATCCGGCAGTTCCAGGAGAAAGGGCTGACAAGCCACATAACGCCACCTAGAACAACAATGGCAACTTCGCTTCCTGAAGTCGACACCCTCGGCCAACTTCAAACCGAAGCACCCAATCTACTAGCGCATTCAATTGATACGCTCAATACGTTGGATCTTTGCAAAGCTTTTAATCGCGAAGAAGAGCGGGTATGTCCGGCCATTGCGTGCTGTTTACCAGTGATTGCCTCATTGATCGAGGATCTCGTTCCTCGGTTACATGCTGGAGGACGGCTCATTTACGTAGGAGCTGGAAATAGTGGCCGAGTTGGGTTTATGGACTGCAGCGAGCTCCCGGTTACATTTTCCGTCGAAGATGATAGATTTCTGGCCATCGTTGCCGGGGGAAGTGAAGCAATCATCAAGGCACAGGAGGTTGCAGAAGATTCAGAGGAGGATGGGTCAACGCAATTGGAAAGGTTGAAAATCACATCCAATGACACTGTCATCGGCATCTCAGCATCGGGGCGGACTCCATTCGTTCTTGGGGCTCTCCGAGTCGCAATCAGGCAAGGTGCATTGACAGCCTCAATCACAAACACAACTCCTTCTACGATCGGAAGTCTGGGGGTCACACATTCCATCGTTCCTCTGCTGGGACCAGAGTTTCTTGCCGGCAGTACCAGGCTAAAATGCGGCAGTGCGGCAAAGCAAATTCTCAACATGATCAGTACATGTTCCATGATCGAAATGGGCAAGACTTACCATGGACTCATGATCGATGTACGTGCGAAAAATCACAAGCTCCTGGCCCGGGGTCGCAGAATCATCCGTCAAGTCCATCACATCCTCCAAGAAAAGGGTCACCCCTTCGACGAAACGATCCAAAATCCATACACGATAGAAGACTCAGTTCTGAATGACCTAATTGAACAATGTGGGGGAAAGGTCAAGCTTGCTTGCTCCGTGGCTGTGTCGGGTCTTCCAGTAGACGTTGCTAAAAATCGCCTTGATCTGGTCAACGGCAACTACCATCTCTTTATTGAATCACTCCAGCCAGCTGTGTCCGATAAATTTTCCAAAAAGTCCGGCCAGTTCAGCGAAGAGCTTTTCCTAGCTATTGACGGTGGAGGAACCAAATGTGCAGTCTCTATTGCTAGTCAGACTGGAATCGTGGCCCAAGCCTATGCTGGGGCTGGTAACTTTCACTGCGTGCCGATTGATATTCTCATGAATCATATTGAAAGTGCCGTGATGAAGGCTCTTTCCCTAGTGTCCGATGAATCAAGGCCACTATATTCAAAGGGAATGCCAAAATTTGCTGCTGTGTGGGCAGGTCTAGCTGGGTTACAGCATGCCAATCGCCGGGAGTGTTTGACCAAGTCGATGGAGCAGCTGTTTGGGGTATCTGCCGAAGATGGCACTCTCCGTCTCTCAAGTGACAGCGAGCTTCTGAGTGCTCATATCGGCCTCGACGATTCAGTCACGCATGGTATCTCTCTAATTGCTGGAACGGGGTCAGTTGCGACCGCGTTTAAGCAGGACTCCAACGGGGATGTCATACAGATTGGCCGAGCTGGTGGCTGGGGGTCCTTACTTGGAGACCAAGGAAGTGCGTTTGACATTGGCAAACAGGCCGTACAGGCATTGTTGACCAGTCTGGAATTGAGTCAAGGTACCGAAGTGGAATGTCTTTCCGAGCTTGAGCGTGAAGTTTTGGCAAGTCTTGGACATCGCAAAGAAGGCTTGCTATCTCATATCCTTTTCCCTGAGACAGACACGAAGAAAACCATTGCCGATCTCGCAAAAGTTGTGACAAGGCTAGGTTTCAGAGCGACAAATCCAGACCCTCAAGCCTTGGAAATTTTGACCTCTGCCGCCAGATCTCTGGTTCGGATCGTTAGGCCACTTGCCAAAAAGCAGATTTGTGATCCAGCAACTAGCTCGCTGATTTTATCGGGAGCGTTGACGAAGATCCCTGATTTTCAAAACTTGCTTCTCGATGAATTGTCATGGCATGGGATATATGCCTTCAAGAATGTTGTTATTGTTGATGATCCGTCGTCCGATGCTGCATTGTTTCTCGCTAAGCGAGTATCAAGAAAGAGTTAAGCGACGCGCTACTATTACTATACATGAAGCTTCAATAATGATCACGGAAAATAAATTAATTCCGCACAAGTAATGTCTACAAACGCCTTCGCAGACCAATAGTAAGCTCCGAGACATTTTGCGACTCCCACTAAACTTAGGCACTTCTCCAGGTACCCGTGGACGAACAGGTGGATGCAACCTCAAGATGGTATTGGGTACTTTTGGCCCCATGGGCGTTTTAGCGTTGATACCATCGATACCACCAATTGTTCCCAAATGGTTCCCAAATGGTTCCCACCCCTTTCCCTCCCCCGCAATAAAAAGCAAAGCCTTGCGACTTCCTCCTAAGCACACAAACTCTTCACAAGCGAGATCCGGTTTCCCGCATAATCGCCCAGCATAATACCGGCTAACTAGCGCTCGATCCTATGGGATTCTTCCCGCCGCATGTCTGCTGAAAATCGCACACCGGGCGCGGCCCAGGTGGAGCCTGTTAGCTGTCGAATCTGCCGCCACCGCAAAGTGAGTGCCTTGTGTTTTTCCCCCTGATCGGTAAATATTTCCATTTCGCCAACTTGAAACAAAAGGTCAAATGTGACCGCACTCCGGGCGGGTGTCTTCGATGTCGCCGATATGGCGAGCAATGCGTATATTCATCCGGCAATACCCTCAATAGCAATGGGATAAACGATGAGAGGACCGAAGCTGGGCTCAAGAGGCGACGTGTACTACGTTCATGCATCAATTGCAGAAGAGCCAAGACCAAGTGTGCGGGCGGAGCGCCATGCGAACAATGTGATCGGAAGGGCCTCAGTTGCTCATACAACGAAGCAAGTGTGCCCGCGCCTCCTCCTTCTGCTTCGTCTACTCAGAGTGAGCCTTCCACACGGAAAAAATCATCGTCGGTCATTCCCACATGGCTCACGTCGAACAATTTGCCGTCGATTGATCGGCTTCGTGATCTGATTGATCTTTACTTTCTTCGTGTGCATACCGTGCGTTGCTTCGGTTTCATACACATCCCAACCTTTATGAAACGATTGAAATCGCCCGAGAGACTGGCCCAGGAAAAGTCTGGGCTCGTTTACATTATTTGTGCTCTAGCGGCACCATTTTACTACGCTGAAAAACTGTGCACAAACACAGATGGCCTCAAAAGCAATGTGCAGTACTTTGACGCAGGTCGCGGCTGGGCCGAGGCTGCGAGGCACTGTCTCTTTACCGGATTTGGAGACATGGGCATTGAGAGCATAATGACCGAGGTCCTGCTCCATGAGTACTATCTTCGGGTGGGAGAGTATGCAAAGGGATTTATGGTGTCAGGACAGATCACTCGACATCTGCAAGTTGTCCAGCTTAATATGGAGCGGGACTCGGATGTGTTGTGTCAAAGAAGCCCGGCTTCCTGTCACATCAAAGAAAGTAGGAGAAGGCTAGCGTGGGCCTGCTATCTGCTAGACTCGTTGATTGAGTGTGGAATCGACCAACTTCGTCTGATTCCGTACGACGATATTCTGGTTCAGCTTCCTTGCTCTGATGAACTCTTCATCACAAATACGCCTTGCATTACGGAGATGTTGTCTCGAGGCAAGCTGCTACCAGGAATTAATCCAGTGCCTGGAATCGACTTTGCAGCACATCTTGACCTTCGGGCTTACTACCTCCGTGCCACGAGTATTCGATCCAAACTCCTCAAATATGTGAAGCATCTGGAAGGAGAGGTACCGTGGGTGGAAGGCAACAATTCCCGATTTTCCCAGCTCGACCACGAGCTAAAAGACCTGGAAGCCTCGATTCCCGAGAATATGAGAATTTCAGCCGAGAATATGTACCTGTGCAAAGGCTCCGGAAGGCTGAACTTGTACTTCGGTTTACACATCCTGATCTCCCAAAACTTCCACGACCTATATCGAGTTGGTGTTTCCAATCTCGTCTTCCCCAACACTGCGACAAGCTGGATCCGCGAAAACGCACCGGAAGACTTCATCCGGCGTTGTCATCATGTATGCGCCACCAAATCCGCCTACATCGCCTCTCTCCTGAGCGATCTGTGGAACTGTCACAAACCAAGCCTCGTCGACTGGCCATACGCAATGCACACGCAAGTCTGCAGCAGTGTCATAGTCACCACAATCATCTCATGGGGTCGCCCTGAACCTCTCATTCCGCAATTCTCGTACCTCGACTACCAAGCCATGCTTCAAAAGAACGTGATTATATTGCAATATCTCCAGCGCTTCATGAAAGTCAGCATGTACTGCGAATCAGCCATTCAAGCCCTGAAACGCTTTAACGCGCTATTCGTTCCTGAATCGCCTGATTTTGTCAACTCGTCGGCAAACGCCCTACTTTCTGGAAATCAGTGCAACAGTTCCAACCCGTCTTCCCTTGAGTATATCCTGAATCCTCTGGGTACATACCCCATGGCCCGGAAGCAGGCTCAGACCCAGGATACATCCACACCGGATGAGACTGAGGATGATACGCCGACGCCGCAACTGCCCAAAGTGGAGGGCCCGATGATTGCACCAGCTCTCAATCTAGAGAACTGTCCCAGTCCGGGTGGCATATTTTCGGGTCATTTCTTCGACTGGGAGGCGGATATGTCTATTTTGCCGGGATTGGGTTATCCCACGTTCCTCGATCAGTTTCCCATGGAGGCACCGAGGGATTTGAATTTGCTTTGAGCGGGCCCAGAAAAGGTCCCTTCCAGTGACTAAATTCTACACTTGATTGCAAGGAGAGCACCTGCCTACAGCATTGCCACGTGGCAGTCGAAAATCTATCTTCCTCATCGTCATTAAGTAAAGTTCGCGAGTAGCTATGTGGGTATCATACAACCGAGATCAATGGACCTCAAAATGAATCGTCTGCTGAATCACATTCTGCTGATCAGCACCAGTAACCAATCCCTCCGTACTCTCCCCATCATCCTTGAGCGACTCCCGCCATCCACTTGTGACCTGTACCGAGGTTCCTGGCTTTAAACCGTGGTCCATTGACTTGCCCATAGATGAGAAGTTGTATCCACCGCCGGGCGCCCGGATATCATTGGGGTCGTCGTTGATGGTGAAAGCGTGGATGCTGGGTTGGAGTTCAATGACGAGGCGGCCGAGGGATGGGAGGGCGGTTGTGATGATGCTGAGGTTCATCATGGTTCTATGAATAATTAGTTAATTGTTTTTTTATGTGGCTGCCGTGATGCTTTGGATTTTGTGGGATGTACTCACTGGTCCCAGATGGTGGAATTGGTGTTTGCCCCTGCAAGTTGTGTTAGTTTCATCCCCGGTAGCAAGAGAAAGTATGGTAGGCCAGAGTGTCTTACAAGGAATATCAGGCGAGTTGAGCATTCTCACGGTGTACTTGATTTCAATACCCGCTGCGATGCATACCCTATTGTCACGTTAGAACTGATGTACACAAAAAGTCTGAAGGGGAGTCTCATCTTACAGAAACCTGCTGGCTAGCAGCGCCATGATTCTGAATCTCTTCAACCGGGTCAACTGCACATTCCGAAGCAACAAGCAAGGAAGCACAACGAGGGCAATATCTGTAAGAATATTGAACGCAGCGATTGCTTGGAAAAGTGCAGCCTGAGATGGAGTGTGGTCAGCGTGCCAATACGGACAAGAAGAGGTAACCACAGCGTCTTACCTGGTTGATACATTGATCATGCTGATCCCATTTCCAGGGAGTTGGCATGGAGCATCGGAGAGCTAATGCGATGATAGAAGCCAGTGCCCATGCAATAATCACCCCCATCAAGGTCTGGTTTGTGATAGATGAACGTCGGGATGTCATCAAGTTCTTGAACAGCAGGCCTAGTGAGAGCTTGCTGAAGGCGATTGTCGCAATGAGGAGGATTTGAGCAGCATACTCATACTGCGAAATCAATTTGAGATTAGACCCTTGAACCTTGCGGGAATTCAATATTTGCACGCACCTTGAGATACTTCTCCAGCTGGTGGTCCCCGATATTCAATAGTCGTCGACCGAGACCATTGGAGATTGCAAGTTGGGCTAATACACTTTGTATAATTCCAAGTAGCTATTTTGTGAGCAAGTTACAATGTCAGTAAAAGCATATGCTTTACCAGGACGGTGATGACCTTACCAATGATATACCCAGCAAAATGTCGTCTGGATGGACAACACGGCCGATGAACCATCGAGTCGATAAACGAGTGGACACAATGACAACTGTCAATGCAAGGAGTGTATACACTGCGACAGCACCGTATCCGCCATGATCGTCGGCGGTAATTTCGAACAGTGGAGGTAGAGTGCCAGCCATGGCGACACAAGGACGATCAGCCCTGTCCTTCTGAACGCGAGGGGTTCGGCAAAGAGAAGATTAAAGAAAGGAAAAAACGAACGAAAAAAGAGAAAAGAAGGAATGAATGGCAGATCACGGATTGCAGATCCTGCCGCTGGTAGCTGAATCTTTTGTCTTGTGGGTCTAGTTCTGTTCAGCCATGAGTATGTACAGGAGTATTAGTCTTCGTATCTCGGCAGGAAGCGTGCTGATGCCCCTGGAAATCAAATCTACGTAGTAGTACGAATTAGTAGGTAAGAGCCGAACTCCGGAGCCACAATCTATTATACACTTAGAAACAGGGTTATTATGTACAATAAATCAATTAGAATTCGCCCTAAATGGTTCAGATTTCACGCATTGCTAGAAATGCCGACCAAGTTACATGGATTGAATGGTGCGACAGAACTATCAGAAATATCAGTACCATTCCACCTCGAAGTCTATCTATTCTATGACCAACCTCGATGGGCTAACGCCTCCGTGAGCTCACGCGGAGTCCCGTCGGAGAGGGTTCCACATGGGGGGCGGCCTGTGCTCTTTTCCCCCGAAGGGCCAATTTTCTAACTTAGTAACTTCCAACTTCCTTGCCTCGCTCACCGGATGTAATACCCAATCCGTGGCATTGGCAAAGCTGAAAAAAAGTTAATCAAATCAAGCAAAGTTAGCAAAACCAGCAAAGTTAACAATCGTCGACAATGTCTAGTAAGAAGCCTTTGAGGCTGGCTTTAGGTTTCGGGGGTACCTGCCAACGTCAACTTCCGTGCTGACCGGGCCAGGGGGGTTGGATTAGCACATGGCATGGTGTGATGGATCCTGGTAGATGTGATTAAGGACTGTAAGATGCACCAGTAACCGTAACCACGCGGACCAACGGTCTATTCGCCAGATTGAGGGGTAGATGGTAGTATATACTGGACATACAACTACTGTGATCGGATTAGACACTTAGCTCGATTTGGGATGTCCTTGCCCATCAAATGAAAAGTACCATGGCCCTATCCGCGGCTCTCCACGATTGGCTGCGGGGGAAAGTCTTGGTTGGTCGAAGAGGAAAGACAACCACGAATGGATGTGGATCCGGGTGACGGCGATTCAATCAACAGCCAATCATCGACTTTGTAGGACATTCTTGACACTCGCGATAATTGTTCGATAGTTCTGGACGGAGTTTGTCTCGAAAAAAGACATGTGGTCCTGATAACAACTGTGTGGCGGACCTGGCGGACCAATAAACTCGTTCTGGAACTATCGTCGGCCGGTGCTTGTCTCTGCCACAGGGCCTTCGTTCGGCCCCCCCATTGGGCGCTAATTAAGTTAGTTTAGCGACTCCATACGCAGCCCCAGTGGTATTCCGAGCCGCCACTTCCTAGATAGTAAGGAGCTCGTGCGCGAAAGTCTGATGCGACCATGGCGCACAATAACGAGGGGCGCATTACGCCAACCTTGTTGCCAAGGCGTTCTGGAGAGTTCGTTTCTCATTTCCAATGGGCGTAAGATATCGGAGTCCTCGGCTCGATTTGTACTTCTTGTTTTGTTTCTGTCGTGCAATCAAGTGCTGTGTGCTTTCCCTTTTCTATTTGCGTCTGTTCAGCACTCCTGCATGGACAGGATTTGAGTATAGAGCGAGCAAAGAGTCTGCTCTTAAAGACCTGATCGGCCACGTGCAATTAGTGTATATCTCGTGAGATAATCCGCTCTTTTTTGCCTCGGTGATCGCAATCGAGAATCCAGTGCCATGGCGAACTCGGAGGGCTTCGAGATGTCCCGGCTGGGAGTCAAATCTGCCCAGTTCAGCGAACAACGCATGCATAGTCGTTCTGGCTCTGATGGGGGTTATAATGGTGGGGTCACGACATCCATGTCAAGTGGGAAGCGTTTGGATGTAAGATCTGGCCCCCTTGCTGTTCGGACGATCGCAATAACTTCACTTTGAATGTGCCGAGCCGGAGGAAAAATGGAGAACATTTCTAGCTTACAAATGCCGTCTTTATAGAGAGGTTTCGGGTCACTTTCAATTCTGTGTCTATCAATCACTCTGCTCTCATCATGGGAATCAGTCGCAAAGTGAGTCTCTTCTGTGTTGTTCAGTCTCAACTACAAGCTAATCACAGTTTCATCGCAGTGGATTTGAAGCAGGCCTCGTCAACGGCGGTCCCGCCGGACTGGTCTGGGGAATGGTATTGTCATTAATCGGGACAACATTCATCATGCTGTCACTAGCAGAGATGAGTTCCATGACGCCGCTCGCTGGAGCTCAGTATCACTGGACAGCTGTGCTCGCCCCGCCACGGGTTCAAGCATTCAGTACCTGGATCCAAGGATGGATCACTGTCTTCGGATGGCAGGCCTCAACAACGAGTATTTGCTACTTGGTCGCAGCGCAGATTCAAGGCATGGTCCTGTTGAATGATTCGGACTATATCCCGAAGCAATGGCATGGCACATTGATTATGTGGGCTATTATCCTCGGGTCCGGTCTAGTCAATATCTACGGAATCAAGATCATGCCTGCGTTGCAGATGATGGGTGGGATCTTGCATATCACTCTCTTTATCGCGCTCGTTGTTCCTATCATCCTGCTCAGCCGTCGCAGTACCTCGGAGTTTGTGTTTACCGAATTGCTCACGGCAGATGGGGGCTGGGAGTCTCCCGGCATTGCTTGGTGTCTGGGCATGTTGACGGTTACTTATTGTTTCCTTGGCTTCGATGGTGCCATCCACATGAGCGAGGAAGTACGGAATCCAGCAGTCGTCATTCCTCGTGTCCTGGTTCAGACCATCGCTATCAACGGAGTGTTGGCATTTGTCTTCCTTCTAGTCATTCTCTTTTGCATCGGCAGCGTTAAAGAGGCATTGAGCCCTGCTTATATGTTCCCCATTATTGGAATTTTCAAGCAGAGTACCAACTCTGTCGGGGCAGCTACAGCTATGCAGACTGCCATTACTGGAATTGGAATGGTCTCCAACGTCGGTGTGGTAGCGTCCGTTTCACGACTGACTTGGGCGTTTGCTCGTGACGGTGGCCTTCCTTTCTCGTCATACTTTTCTCACGTTAGTTACCCTCTCCGTCTCGATCAAACTTCAAGACAGAATTTCATCTCTAACAAAATGACTAGGTCGATCGTCAACATCGCGTCCCCAAACGCGCTATTCTACTCGTCTGCGCCGCCGTGGTCGTCCTCTCAGTTATTAATGTCGCCTCCGAAACAGCGCTCAGCGCTATCCTCGCTCTTTCCACCAGCAGTCTTTACGTTTCCTATCTCATTCCCATTGTCATGATGATCATCCGACGACTCGACTCCAACCGCGGATCTATCCCATTCGGGCCCTGGAACCTCGGTCGTTTCGGCATGGCAATCAACGTCTTCTCTCTTGTTTTTGGTGTCTTCGTTTGCATCTTCGTTCCTTTCCCGACACAGCTTCCTGTCACAGCTGCCAACATGAATTGGTCCGGGCCTGTCTTTATTGGAGTTTGTCTATTGCTTGTCATAGATTGGACTTTCCGGGCTAGACATAAGTTTATTGGGCCGACAAAGGATCTCTTGCATTCCAAGAGTAAGGCCTGTGCTTCTTGATTAGATCATATACGTCACTCCTAGAGACCGAATATACTAATGAATCTCCTTTATTTAGCTTCGTATTCTCAAAATCAGTCTGACTCAATATTTTATCAAACTAAACGTCCTATCCTACCCAGCACAACTCGAAATCCCCCTAATAACTCGAATCAATCCAATCACCATAATCACTTCCCAAAACAGTCTTCTTAGTCACCCCCGCCGAAATAGTCGTCTCATACTCCCGGCTAGAAGTACTCGACCCATCCCCCGAGTTATTATACTCATAATACAATGGCGTCGCATTAGCAGCCATTGTCGTCCACCCCTTCGCATTAATCAAACTTCCTAAAACCGAGTTCTGGTAAATCACGCGCGCAAGGACACGCCACGGTCGACCTAGGTACACAGCGCCATCTAGATCGAGGCCTGATGCGGCTTTGATGTTGCAGTGGTCGATTGCATACCATGCTGTGTCGGTGGATGTCTCCCGGGACATTGCGGTTATGGCGCCGCCGCCGTTGGAGACAATGTCGCATTCGCCGAACCATGCGGAGGCGTCGCCGAAGATGTAGTCCACGGCTCCTGGACGGTATTAGCATGGTTCTTGGGGTGTTTGATATTATGGGTATGGGCATTTACCTTCAATCAAGCAATTGGAGTAGTATTGAGTTCCGGATTTTGCGTACAGAGTGTCTTGGTACCCGGTGAACTGGCAGCCGTAGAAACCGAGCTTATTGGCGTTGCCGACGAGCCTGTAATGTAGTCATTAGATCGATATGTGCAAAATTATGAAAATTGTATCATCAGTCCTTACGCAACAGCCTGAGCACCCTTTCCATATCCATTAACCACATTGATGTTATACATCTTAAACCCAGCCGAGACAACATTGACAGTAGCGCTCTTGTCCAGACTACCGGCGTCTGGTGAAGAGATCGTGTGCGTGATAGTCACAGTGTTGTACTTGTACGTGCCCGTGTTCGAGGTCTCACCGTACAGAGTCAAAGTTCCCGCATACTTGATCGTGAGCTGCTCCGTGTACGTGCCACTGGCAACATAGATACAAGCTGCGGAGGTAGATGAGCCCAGGGCAGTCAGTGCGGCACCGATAGTCGAGTATGTCCCGCCCGAGCCAACGGTGAGACACCCCGAAGGAGCGCTGGTTCTAGCAGTACGACGAGTTAGGTCACTCGGTGCAGCAATGATGCCAGTAGCGAGGGATAGGGCTGAGAGGAGAGTTGTCAAATGCATCTTGACTGAGATAGGATGCCCAACTCGAAAGTAGTATGATTGTCAAAGATAAGAAAATAAAGATCAACTTGTATTGGATATCTATCGAGTATATACCTATGAAGCCCTTCCAACAATAAACATCTCCTTCTTCCCCCATCCCTTCAAGCACAACATTCTATGGCCGGGATATCTTCGTTTCAAGCCTCCCAGCCACAATTCCAACAACCATATACACCACCAACCTCCTCTGCGCCAGTACCAGAATAAGCGAACCCTAAACAACATTTCTCCACCCGAGAAACAAATTTCCATGAATGGCAGACAACCTTGACCCCAGATCCGCGACAATCTGACACAATTCTCCACGGCGGATCCGGCTATTATGCGCCCCCTCAGGCCCTGGGTGCAAATTAGCCTGAATCCGAGACAGCCATGACAGCCATGACGAAACTAATGCATGACTATGCCGGGGCTAGGGGTTCGCCAATCGCCCGATCCCTGTCGGTAGTGTAGTCTCTGACAGGTTGACAGGTATATTCTTCACGGATTTCCGGGGTAAATTATGCAGTTTGGGTCCGTAGACGTGTGCACGTGGCGCTGAGGTTTAGATAAATCCCGTCTAAAGCTCTAACTGTCCTGTAAGTACTAGCAGTCTCGGTGGTTTGGGATTAAGTGGGGTTCCGCAGGGGGGCTGAGACGTACCCCGTACCCTGTAACTCGGTCCACTACTAAAATAGATGATGGGGGAATGGAGATGGAGATCGACCCGGACACAGAAAGTATTTCCTCGAATTGCGGCGCCGAAGGAGGAATTGTTTTGTGTTTGACGGCTTCTCGGATTATGTGTTTCCGTGGGGATTTGCATGTGGGTAACAGAATCTAGATTAACGGTTTTGGCGTACTCCGTAGAGAAACAATCGTCATTAGAGATTAAAGTGATTCTTGTATAAAGGTTCGCAGTGTGATTGTCAATGTAGTAACGATCAAGCCATTTGAAGTATTATTTGACTCTATACTCTAAGATTACTATCATCATGACTCCAACCATACCAAGAAAACTCCTCCTCCTCTTAGCCCTCCCCCTAGCACTCGCCATACCCGACCCATCCCCCATCCTCAACGCTCGCGCCTCAACCTGCACCCCCGTCGCAGGCGGCTCATCTTCCATCGACGATGTACCCGCAATTAGATCCGCGATCGCATCATGCAGCAGCGGGACGATCGTGATTCCCTCCGGAACCACGTACTACCTGAACAGCGTGCTTGATTTTGCAGGATGCAGTGGGTGCGATTTCCAGGTTGAGGGATTGTTGAAGTTTGCCTCGTCGACGAGTTATTGGAGTGGGAAGACGGCGATGATTAATGTGAAGAATATTAATGGATTGAAGATTCGGTCGTTGACGGGGAAGGGGGTTATTGATGGGAATGGGCAGGATGCGTATGTTAACTCGCTGATTGGTGCTTACGCTTATACAACTGTATTGTTGGAGACGCTAATTTTCTCGATAGATGGGATCTTTTTGCTTCGGATAGCAGTTACGCACGTCCAACACTTCTCTACGTACGTGACGAATCCTTTCATCTATACCGATCTACCCAGACATACCCACTAACTCTCTTCTTCCCTCCTAGATCACCGGCGGCTCAGACATAACAATCTCCAACCTCCGCCAAAAGAACCCACCCAACGTCTTCAACTCCGTAAAAGGCGGCACCACCAACATCGCCTTTACATCCCTCACAATGGATGCCACCTCGAAGAGCACCAACCTCCCCAAAAACACCGACGGCTTCGACATCGGCACAAGCACCAATGTCCTAATCAACAACGTCAAAATCACCAACGACGATGACTGCGTCGCCTTCAAACCCGGCGCAAACTACGTCACAGTAACCGACATAACCTGCATCGGCAGCCACGGACTCTCCGTCGGCTCTCTGGGAAAATCCTCCTCCGACACCGTCAAAAACATCTACGTCTCCGGCGCGACGATGATCAACTCTACCAAAGCGGCGGGAATAAAAACCTACCCGTCCGGCGGGAGTCATGGCCAATCGACCGTTTCGAATGTAACGTGGACAGGCGTTGTGGTGCAGGGATGTGATTATGCGATTCAGATTCAGAGTTGTTATGGGGAGGATGCGAGTTATTGTGCTGAGTATCCTGGGGATGCGAATTTAAGTGGGATTGTGTTTGATGGGTTTAGTGGGACGACGAGTGGGAAGTACGGGTCTGTTACGGGCAATTTGGATTGTGGTGCTGATGGGACTTGTGGGGTTAAGGTCAGTTCTTATACTGTTAAGGCGGCGAATGGGGGGACCGAGGTGCTTTGTGCGAATACGCCGTCTAGTTTGGGGGTTACTTGTACATCGGGGGCGTCGGGGTGATGGGATGAGGAGATGAGGAGGGATATATTCTCTACTTTGTTGAGTACTACGTATGTTCTCTATTGATCATGATGCACGAATGAATTTAAAAGATTTCAATAAAAGACGCAAGTCTATACAGTAATTTTGCGATATAAAAGTGAAAGTATGTTCATCATACACCATAAGCATTCTATCCCAGCCGTAGCTCGGAAGCATTCAAACACATCCCGTTTTCCCTTATTGCCCCATTTAGGCAGCGGCAACCATCTTATCCTTGACGTACAAGTCGACATACTGGTCAACATCGTAGTTCTCCAGCTGCTGGCGGTCCCAGCCCACCTTGAGCAGCTCATCAATGCGAGCCTGGTCAAAGTGCGCCTGGAGGTGACGCTTGTACTTGGCCAGGATCTCGGGCTTGGCCTCCTCACGGCGGAGACGGTGGCCCAGAGGAGCCTCGACAACGACCTCCTCGAGGACAGTGCCGTCGTTGAGGGTGACGGTAAGCGCGTTGGGGATGGTGCGCTTGGAGGGGTCGTGGTAGTCAACGGTGAACTGCTCGTCCTCGACACAGCGGATGCGCTTGCGGAGGTCCTCGACCAGGGGGGAGGTGGCGGCCTCGGAGCCATCGGCGTAGTCGTTGGCAGTCAGACGGTTGAAGGCCAGCATGGTGGCGACCATGTACTGAATAAGGTGTTAGTCTGGGGAAATATTATACCAGTGGCTGTCACTAGCTTACCTGAACGCAGTGGTCACGGTCGGCAAAGTTGTCCATCTCCTTGAACTGCTTGTCAATGATACGGATGCATGCCTCGTGGGTGCGGTTGGTGATCTCCTTGATATCCTTGGCGCTCTTGCCCATCTCGGCCAGCTTCTTGTTGATGATCTCGGCGGCCTCAATGGCGGTCTGGGAGTGGAACTCGGCTGGAATAAAGTTAGTTGATTTGATTCAATTGACCGTGGAATTTGGGAAGATAATGCTAAATGACTTACCAGGGTAGGAGACCTTGAAGAGAACGTTCTCCATCACGTAGCTGCCATAGGGGCGCTGGAACTGGAACTTCTTGCCCTTGAACAGGACATCGTAGAAGCCCCAGGTGGGAGCAGAGAGAACGGTGTGCAGACCACCCTCACCCTTCTGGACCTTCAGGACCAGGTTGACGGCACGCTGGCAGGCGTCACCGGCAGCCCACGACTTGCGGGACATGGTGTTGGGCGAGTGACGGTAAGTGCGGAGAGACTGGCCGTCAACCCAGGCCTGGGTGATAGCATCGGCAGTCTGCTTCTCGGTAAGACCCATCATCTTAGAGACAACGGCGGTAGTAGCGACCTTGACCAGAACGACGTGGTCCAGGCCAACCTTGTTGTAGGAGTTCTCCAGAGCAAGAACACCCTGGATCTCGTGGGCCTTGATCATGGCCTCGAGCACATCGCGGACCTTGAGGATCTTGCCATTGCCCAGGTTGCCGCCCGCACGGTTGGTGCGGGAGATCCAGTCGGCGACGGCCAAGATACCACCCAAGTTATCGGAGGGGTGGCCCCACTCGGCGGCCAGCCAGCAGTCATTGTAGTCCAGCCAGCGGATCATAGCGCCGATGTTGAACGCACCATTGACGGGGTCCAACTGGTACGGGGTACCGGGGACACGAGGTCCATTGGGAACCACAGTACCCTCGACAACAGGGCCAAGCAGCTTTGTGCACTCCTTGAACTTCAGAGCCTCCAGACCGCAGCCGAGGGTGTCCAGGAACACCAGGCGAGCAGTGTCAAACTAGCACCGGCAATCGCAGATTAGCATGCTATCATAGAAAATTGACCGAGCTTGAAAACTCCATTGCGCAACACGAAAAACTCACCGCCAGGTCGGAGTCGATATTGTACTGGTGGATGTAGCTGGCCATGTCCTGGATCTCCGGGTCATAGGCCTTATCGGCGGAGGGAGCCGCGGGAGCGGCAGATTGACGGGCGGCCATGGTGGAAAAGCGAGGAGCACGGTTAATGCGAGGAGCAGCGATGGCAGCGAGGTGAGAAGAGGAAGAGGAAGCAAAAGTGGGAGAGAGTCTGGAGACGGGGATGCGGGCCAAAGTGCGGGGAGACGTGTGGGTCAACCGTCTCACAGCGGGAAGGGACATGATCAGACAGCGCAATTGGCAAGAGAAGAGAAAAAGGAAGCAATTGAGCAAGGATCAAAAGATTCGCAAAAATGATCCGAGGAGGGGAGGAGGAGTGAAGTAGAAAGGAAAGAAAGAGAAGAAATTCCAGGGACAAAAGGACAAGAATGTGGAGTTTTGGTTGGTTGGGGGGTCGGTTCAGTTGTTGTCTGGTCTGGGCGGGCGGAGGAACAACAGGCACAGTCAAGCTGATCTCATCTTACCGAGGGACAGTCGCCCTCGGTTAGTGTCGGATAACCGGGCTGTGTGCACTTTTTCTGCTTGTACAGAGTACAGTCTAGTACAGTAGTTACTGGATATCTACATCGGGGGAACCCCCAATTTCCAGTCAATTGGCATCCTCACAAAGTACCGCTATGTTCTATATCCCTATTGGCTAATCCTGATTATTATTTACCGAGCTTGACCGGCTCGATGTCCGAAGGCAACAAGATAGCGAGAACCGGAGGTAGATGCATTAATTTCCAAGGTGCAATTAGATAGAAACAATGTGCGATGATCGGACCTTTGCATGCAAGTAAATGTCAAGCTTCAACCAAAAGAGACTATCCAGAGGAGGTAAAAACTCGCCGAAACTAAGTAACAAACAAAAAAGAGTGAGCGGTCTCGGCCTGAAACCTCGGGACGGCATGCAAGAGGGAAAGAACACCTCGTCACATGTCCGCCGATCCCACCACCATCACTATGTACCATTCATGCTGAATCCATTGTATCACCAGTCATCATCATATACCAATGTGAAGAACCATCTCACTCAAGCAGTCCCCCAACACGTTCCCGGACCCGCTCCTTCTTGAGCTCCAGCTCACGTGCATCGGTCTCTCGCAACGATACGATGATCTGTTGATACATCGCCTTCGCCAGGGCCGGCGGCACCGCATTGCCAATCTGCTTGCGAATATTCTTATCTGCGAACTGAAAATCCATCGGGAAGGTCTGCAGGCATGCAACTTCGCGGCCGGTAAAGGAGCGCCAGCCGGAGGGGTGGTAATTGCCCTCACCCCCACTGCAGGTCAGGGTTTTAGCAAGCTGGCGACCATCATATGGCAGTCGCCAGTCGCGCCTCCACCTGTGAAGCAAAAGGTGGACATCATGGTTAGGTGCGTTATCGGGGATAGGGTTGATGGCATCGTTGATGGTCACTATTGGCTTGCAGCCACTTCCCGGGAGATCATGGGTAATCTCAGGGAACGGAGGGAGAGTCTCGCCAGGACTATACTCAGCAGTCAGAAAAATCCACAGAGCTTTCATTCGATGCTTACTTACCCGGCGGCAATGATGATCAATCTCTTCCGAGTCTGGGGCACACCATAGTGAAGGACATCGATCACGGTCCATCGAACCGAATACCCAGCTTCAATCAGGTCCATGATCACCCGATAGAGGAATTCTTTGTACCGCTCCTTGAGACCCGACGTTTCTTCCATGGTGAGGATACGCGGAGTCGCATGCTCAACCAAGTTTCCCGCGCTGAAAATGCACGCCGAATTGCTATCGTCGCGATCGCAATTGATGGTATGCGCCGGGGAAAAGGTCTGGCAGGGCGGCGAGCAGTGCGCGATATCAACCTGGAGGTTTCCCTTCGGATGGGTCAAAAGATCGCTAAAGGAGCAGAATTCGATCCAGGCAGATGGGAAATTCAACCCATAAGTCTCAACTGCGAAGCGATCCATGTCACATGCCCACTTGATTTCCAATCCAGCCTGCTTTGCGCCGCAGGATGTTCCGCCGGCGCCACAGTACGCATCACCGAATGTGTATGCGGTGGGATCGACTGTGAGATCAACCAAGGGCCGAGAGCTGTCCTGGTGGAAATGGGAATCATCCTCATCCTCGTTCTCGTCAGTGGTGATTGTGGGATAGCTAGAAGAACGGATCTGGCCTTCTCCAAATGGAACAGTGCGACACCCACGGTATCGGTCGCGCAGATCATACGACACAAAGCCATATCCCTCGTCACACTCCTCGAGTGTGAGATATTCAACGCTCCGGTCCCATTCATGTGTGCTGGACGGCTGCAAACCGCGAGAACGCCCCATGGAAATTTTGGGACGCTTCCTCTTGGTGACCTTCAACCGACAGAACAACCCAGAATCGGGTAGGCCGGAGTCAGGTCGATTTTTCCAATTCTTTCCAGGGCGCACATTAGTGAAAATCACCTCGGAGAGACCAGTCACTTCCATGAGAGAGACCGGCACATGTCTCTCACTGCTTGTGAAACTGTTTTCATGGTCCATCCATGGTCGCCAGATGAGCTCGTGCTCGTTTTTGGGGATGTACCGCGGCCAGTGAGGGTTATGGTGGCCCATCAAGTGTCGACCCCACAGATATATCTCCCCCTCGCGCAGAGTGATCCACTCAATCCGAAGGAACATGCCACTAGCGAGTTTTACCGTTGACAAGGGGCGGATGGTCTCGCCAGTATGCAACACAGCTTCCTCAATCTCGCCAACCAGCGTCGACCGCGGGACAAGCCGTCTTCGTGGATCTCGCACAGTTGAGACCCGACGTTCGATTTGAGCATGAAGAACGCAATCCTCAGTGTCGGAAAGGTCGATTGGCTTCTCGGGCGAGCTTCCAGGCACTGTGATCTCGCTATTCTCAGACTGGGAAGGCGAATTCTCGAGGGTCACAGATGATGGGGAATCACTCGAATCGTCCGGAGTGGGGTTGAAAACATGAAGCAGGCGGCGCAGAGACTCGAGCGATGGCTTTGTCTCAGCCGATTGCCCTTCCTCGCTTTCGCGCAGAGCATTGTCCATCAAGCCCCATTCGCTCGTGGTTGGGGAAGGCGGCTCGCTGGAAGAGTCGGGTATCGAAGTGGAATCATCCGGTATAACGATTGCAGATAGACAGGGCCAAGTGAAGTCGGCGACTGAGCCTCGAACAGTCATCTGGGACTCATCCTTGGGCCAGTCATCTATATCGGTTGAACTTGGAGTGAGTGGTATACGGGTAAAAGGTGAGGAAAGTGATCTCGGAGTTTGATCGGGACGATCAGAGGGCTCTTCCGAGTCGGAAGAGAGGTCGATGGTATCGGAATTCATCTTGAGACCGACTGTATGTGTAGAGTGAGTGTTTCAAATCGATGCAGATGCGGCTGTGTCAGGAGAATAGCAGATGAAGAAGAAGAGAAGATGGGAGAGAGAGAAGAAAGAGACGCGCCGAGTGAGGAGCGGGGGAGAGAGAGGAGGATTGTAATCCGGCAGAAAGGCCTCAGTAAGGATTGAGGCTGCTGTTCTCTTTGATAAATGCGATGCTATATAAGGCGATAGATTAGGGCAAAAGATGCTTGAGGAGGATGGTGGCATTCTCTTGAAGTATATGGGCATTTGTTGCAATGAACAAAGCTAACCGGAATCTAGCAGACAGCGCATGAACCTCTTTCAAATGTAATTTGTCGATTGCTCACTCACAGCAAACCCTAGTTTTTCCTAGGCTCAGTATAATCAGTAATAGAGAAGTAAATAGAGCCTCTATTGCATAGACTATTCTGGTCTTCTTGCAACTTCATGCTACGTAGATTTTACTTAGACTAGATATCTTGCATTCGGTGAGTGGAACACCTACTTTGAGCCAGCGTTTAGCTAATATCTATCACACTGAATCCCAAGTAATCTGAAGATATCTAATGTTAGAGGCGAAATGATGTTCACATACGCTTTTTCAAAGTCGTATAGTTCTCATTTCCTAAAATGGCATATGTGGTGCCATAATTCTCAGGTGTCTGCGTGGTATGTTACAAACCCCTCTCACAACAAAATCAAACAATATATGGAAAGATTCATGTAGTAGTATAGTAAATTTCAACAGTCACTTCGCCCTTAAATCTTAGTTCTGTCATTCTAATTTCTGACCAGTAGGCCATTCGTGTTAAGTGACAACTCGGTAAGCTGACTACAGGGCCCATCAAAGCATGATCGGACGAAATTTCTCTCATGGAGCAATGATCTCGATGTTCATACCTTCTTCATCTCTCACTTACAGTCGCTTTAAATCCCACACTGTGATCGGACTATGAAAGAATTGTTCCCCTCTGCAGGTTTCCCGGTTTGCTCGAAGAAAAGATTGGTCTGTATTGACCTCCAGTCCAAACTAAGCACCTGTTGGCGGGCATTGCATCTGTATGACAGCATTGTTTGTTCATATCATTTTTCTGCTTAATGGTCAATATGCTCTTTCTTGCAACTGAAGGCTATCTTGCTTTTCATCCTTTGAATCATGGCTTGTTAGTTTATAATGTGTTCCGGTATCCACTAACGAGTAATTCCAGGTCAATCCAGCGTCAAGGGTTCCGGAGTATGGCTCTTGTACTTCGAGATGAAGGGCGAGTCGCATGATAATTCATGAATACCTTGTCCAATCGATCTTTTCTACTAGCATATATTCAGTTATCTAGATTTATGCTCGAATATTCAGGTCGAATCTCGTCACCCTCAGTGATTACCAACAACACTCTTTTAATGATTTCCCAAAGGCCAACGAGTTTTTTGTGTACTATACGCAAAGACGACCTTTTTCAAAAGGTGCCTCTATTAAGCAGTCGGCCAGGGGATATCTTACCCTAAGCTTAAATCCCCCACCCCCACTCAACCAAGGTTGAGATATAATAGGACTGACATATTCGAAAGGCAGCCTTTGGTTTTTTTTTGAATGAAAAAAAAAAAAAAAAAAAAAATAGCGTTTTGACACACTAGGTGGCATTCGTTGAATCTAGAAAACACTAGGTACTACCGTACTACCCAGGGGAAGTCTATACCAGCCTTAGTCTTTTTAATGCGCATTTCACGAGTTAGGGTTACCATCGGTTTCCATGCCGCTATCTACTCGGCCAGCCTGGTGATATGTATGTACATCTAGATACTTAAAATCCTCCTTGGGTTTCCCTCCACCTCCCGCCTTGACCACCTCCATATTTCCCGCTACACCGCCCTCATACATTGTCCCTATATTCACCGCCTTTGCCCCTCATACACGTGACCCTGTCTTTGTCAGCCCGGAGTCGGCACGAAAAAAAACTCAGTGGGGAAGAACCACGGCGGAACGAAATGCCACTATGGAGATTTTCTTCCTCTTCCCCTCTGTGTTTCTCGGGGTACTGATGAGCTTTGCTCCCCGTTAACTCCCTTGCCTCCTGGTTCTGGTAAGTTTCTTTACGTGTCGTTGCCTTTGCCCAATGTCTCTATGATGATCTATGGAATTTTTTATAGATGTTAGACTTCCTAGCCAATGTTGCGGAGAACATCCAATACTGACTTGAGACACTCACCCCGCCATTTGCTGTCATTCTGCTTTGCTTGCAATTTTGTGCCTCGTGCTGACCCGGGTGCCTGCCACCGTGCTCTAGGAACCTAACCTCGCGTCAAGATGTGTGGAATCATCGCTCTAATCTTGGCCAACCCCTCCGGCGCTGCCGCCGTGGACCTCCACGAGGCCCTGTACCTGCTTCAACGTGAGTGGTGAACCCAGGTGTCATAAATTCATGGAAGGAAGGGAACACGAGCTAAGCGGTGCTGTGTGACTATAGATCGTGGTCAGGATGCCGCTGGTATCGCGACCTGCGCGTCCGGGGGTCGGATGTACCAATTGAAGGCAAACGGCATGGCAGCTAAGGTCTTCCATGACGGTGCTAAGGTTGCCAACCTGCCTGGATCTATGGGTATCGGCCACCTTCGCTACCCGACTGCCGGTAGCAGTGCCAATGCCGAAGCTCAGCCCTTCTACGTCAACAGCCCCTACGGTATCTGCTTGGCCCACAACGGTAACCTCATCAATGCTCCCGAATTGAAGCGCTACCTGGACCTGGAAGCCCACCGTCACATCAACACCGATAGCGACAGCGAGCTTATGCTGAACATCTTCGCCGATGAGCTGAGCGAGACAAAGAAGGCTCGTGTCAACCAGGAGGATCTCTTCTCCTCCCTGAGCCGTATGTATGAGCGCTGTGAAGGCGGTTGGGCATGCACTGCAATGCTGGCTGGTAAGTTGCCTTGAAGAGAGAATCTCAACATACATAGGACATAGTCGACTGACATGGTTTCCCCCCGTATTCAGGCTTTGGTATTCTGGGTTTCCGTGACACCTACGGCATTCGACCCTTGGTTCTGGGCTCCCGTCCTTCTCTGGATGGCAAAGGTACCGATTACATGATGGCTTCTGAGTCTGTTGCCCTGGATCAGCTTGGCTTCTCGAACCACCGTGACATTCAGCCCGGTGAGGCTGTCATCATTGAGAAGGGTGGTGAACCTGTCTTCCGCCAGGTTGCCCCCAAGAAGGACTACGCTCCCGACATCTTCGAGTATGTCTACTTTGCCCGTCCCGACTCTGTCATGGACGGTATCAGTGTTTATCGCAGTCGCCAGCGCATGGGTGACAAGCTTGGTGCCCGTATTCTCGAAGTCCTGGGCCCCGATGTCGTCAAGGACATTGACGTGGTCATTCCCATTCCTGAGACCTCCACTACTTCCGCCACACACGTTGCTCAGTTCCTGGACAAGCCGTACTGCCAGGGCTTCGTGAAGAACCGCTACGTCTTCCGCACTTTCATCATGCCCGAGCAGAAGACCCGGCAAAAGGGTGTTCGCCGCAAGCTGAACGCCATGAAACAGGAGTTCAAGGACCGCAACGTCCTGCTTGTCGACGATAGCATTGTGCGTGGAACCACGAGCCGTGAGATCGTGAGCATGGCTCGTGAGGCTGGTGCCAAGAAGGTCTATCTGGCAAGCTGTGCCCCTGAGATCACCCACGCTCACATTTACGGTATCGATCTCGCTTCGCCCAGCGAACTAGTTGCCCACAACCGGGACACTACTGCCATTGCCCACCACATCGGTGCCGAGAGCGTCATTTTCCAGACCTTGGAAGATCTTAAGGAGTCCTGTGCCGAGATCGCACGCGAGAATGGCCAGTCGGAGCCCACCAACTTCGAGGTCGGTGTGTTCTGTGGCAGTTACGTGACCCCCGTGCGTCCCGGCTACTTTGAACACCTTGAGCAAGTCCGCGGCGAGGGTCGCAAGATCAAGGTCGTCGACAAGGCCAAGGATAATGTTACCCATGGTGTCGCCGACATGAACGACTTCAAAATCGTTGCCAACGGTGTCACCGTGGACACCAACGGCAAGATCATCCCCGCTGAGTCCCCCCAGCCCGTCCAGAAGTCCGAGAGCGAGTCCCACCCCAAGGTCGATGATCGTATGGACATCAGCATCCACAACATCGGCGATCACCCTTGATGATGACAATCACTTCTTTTTTTTTCTTTCTTTCGTTTCTCTGTCCATGTTTCCCAGAGCCACCATTTTTCTGTTTTGTTCGATTTTGCATCCGGAGTCTAGGAGTTTGTATGGTGGCATACTAGACGGGCGGACGATATTTTCCCATGTGACGTAACAAGTGATGTGAAAACGCATATTCCTCAAGATTTCGATAGCTATGAAACATCTAGCTTGATTCGAATTGAGGTCAGATACCATTTGAATAGAAAAATTTACCTTCTCTGTACAGTAGCAGTGCTCATAAGTCTGGGTCTAGAAACCAGAGAAACGGACCAACTACTCCCATTCCAATCTCTCTTTTTGAGAGCTCTTTCTGAACGTCTTTCTAATCATCTTTCTTGATGGCATGTATACCATTTCTGTAGTCTACCATTCAACTCGCGACTTCAAATGATGATTTTGAAAATTCGTTGGGGTTTCAAATTATAGAACCCCACTGTACTACTACTATTCATACACTTACCCTATGTGACATCTTGCATATCGTCTTTCTCGTTGGCATAGATACCATCTCAGTAGTCTATCATTCAAATCGCGGCTGCCATGACGATTCTGAACATTCGTCGGGTTTCAAATTTATGGAACGTCGCGGTACAAGTATACAGCACTATTCATACACGCGATCTATGCAATTCTCTTTCCTATCATCTTTGCGAACTCACTCTCTCTGCCTGCTTTTTGATCAGATTCAATCTCTCTCACCCTCTTCATCCCAATCCCAGAAACCAGATTCGTGATGGTTCGACCCAAGCTGAACCTGTCACGGCGTGGGGGGCCACATGAGGCCAACGATATAGCCCCCAGGCAGCCAGTCGGAGCCTACCAAACTTCACCTTCCAACAATCTTTCTAACCCATCCCTCGAGCCATCGCTCTCGAATCTTCCCCTCTTCATATCTCGGCTTTCCAGTCCGGTCGATTCCTCAATTTCAACCCCTTCCGAGACGATTCAGGGAATCGAGGCAGTTGACGTCATCCGTGGCAGCTACATTCCCGATCACGATCTAGTTCTCATCCCAAAGTGGTCCGCCCAGCTTCAACGTCGACCTGACCTTACTTCATCCTTTGAATTATCTACTTTCCAACTTCAAATTCCCTCAGGCAATTCGACGGCTTCTGAAGTCAACATGGCTAGGCCAACCACCCGATCCCGGGCCAAGGATGGCTTATCTACTGCATCGATCACTCAGACTGTGCCACAGAAGCGCAAGAGAGCGGCTCCTAATTCCAAGAAGGGCTCTGCAAGTGACTCCTCTGTTCGAAATGAGGAAGTGGAAGCAACTGGGATGAACGGTGTTTCTACCTCACCGGTGACTGACAGTGAACCCGCAAATGAGGCCTCATCAAAGCTGAGAATCATCGTCGGACATGAACAGCCAGTGACTCCCAGCCCCGGAGTGGGAGCAAACGAACCTCAATCTGGGTCTACAGCTGTGACCGACAACTTCCAGACTCCCAACACCCCTCCCACAATTCCATCGCCTGTAGAGGGGGATTCTGGCATCTCACTTGCCAGCGCTGACAAGGAAGCATTCCCGCCAAAGGAGAATGGTGTCTACGAGACTTCTACGGAGCCAACCAAGCCTTCTGCATTTACTAACACCGTCGACAAGGCAGATGAGGTTCTTGAAGAAATTGGTCTCGGCAAGGTTGATGCGCCACCCGCTACGGCCCCTAATTCTCAGCATGAGACTTTGACCGCGTTAACTCCGTCCGAGCCTACCAACGATTCGGAGACAGGGCCCGATACTCTTGCAGACCCTGTGGTCATTCAGAATGGTGTTGAAAAGAAAGATCAATTGCCTGATGGAATTGATACCAATGCATCAGTCCCAGATCCCCAGCCCACTATTGCGGTGCAGGACACTCCAGCTTTCATCGAACTTCCTCACAATATGGGAACTGTCCCTGTCTCTACTGGTGTTGTCAGCTCTACTGTGCCTCCCGGTAGTCTTCTCAACGAGATTCAGTCTCAGCCTCTCGGTGGAACCAATGTCGCCGAGCTGACTCCGGATGTGAAGCCTGCAGCTGATACCGTCATCCCAACATCCCCAGCAGCTCAGGGACCAGATGCGGCGAAAAAGCCAGTCAAGAAGTTTGACTACGGCTTAACTCCCGGTCGAACTCCCTATCCTGATTTCAAATTCCCATCTGCTGAGGCGTGCCACCAGGTCAATGACCTCCTGTCAAAAGCCCATGGGGAAGTCATTGCACCAAAGACGATTCCTGATCCTTCCCTTACTGTCACCGGCTGTGGCGAAGTTCCCTCGGTTCTGGATGCTCTAGTTCGCACCCTCCTTAGTGGCGCCACTTCTGGAAGCAACTCCGCCAAAGCTTTCAACGGGCTCGTGCAGCGATTTGGCACACTCACTGAGGGCATCGGCAAGGGGAGTGTGAACTGGGATGCAGTTCGGCGGGCGCCATTGCAAGACGTTTTCGAAGCAATCAAAAGCGGTGGTTTGGCAGACATCAAGAGCAAGAACTTGAAGGCTCTGTTGGATCAAGTCTACGAGGAGAACCAAGAGCGCAAGAACCGCCACGCCGTTGAGGAATCTTCCCCTACCGGCAATGAGAAGTCAAATATGTCCACTGATGAAGCCCAGGAAGCTGAGGAGGTCAAGGAGTACGATATCGCCAGTGCCAAGGATCATTTCCTGAACCTTCAATACATACACAAGTACAAGGCAAGCAAGGCTATGAGGGCTCTGATCAGATACCCCGGTATCGGACCCAAGACAGCAGCTTGTGTGCTTCTGTTCTGTCTGCAGCGCCCTTGTTTCGCAGTCGATACGCACATATTCCGCATCTGCAAGTGGCTTGGCTGGGTACCGGACAAAGCCAACGAGATCACTGCGTTTAGCCATCTGGATGTGAAGATCCCTGACGAGCTCAAGTACTCCCTTCACCAGCTGTTCATCAAGCATGGCAAAGAATGTCCCCGCTGCCGTGCGATCACCAGTCCAACAAGTGCAGACTGGGACAAGGGGTGTGTCATTGAGGATCTGGTCAAGCGGACAGGACGAAAGAAGATAGTTCCGTCGCGCACTCATGTGCAAGCCGGACCTGCAAAGAGGGCTTCCACCAGAAAGTCGACGGTTGGCAAGAAAGCCACAAAGGGGAAGCGTGTTGCGGCCAAGACTATCAAAAAGTCTACGGTCACTCGTGCAACAAAGGAGTCTGTGGACAAAGAACCAGTCGCTCTGGAAATTGCATCTGCGGAGACTGTGGAACAACCGGAGCAGACCCAGCCTGCTGTTGAAGGAACCCTGGAATTGGCGCAGCAGAATCCGTTGAAGCGCAAGCGTGACGACTCGGAGGCACAGCTTCCCCAGAGAAGGCAGCCAATTCGCGCTACCAGAAACGCTTCTCAAACTATCACTTCGAAGGCCAAGTCCGCAAAGAACAAGAAGAAGGCCGGTACTCGGAAGTCTGGCAGCCAGAAGACTAGCACCAAGAAGCCATCAAAGGCTACTACTCCTGCTGCTGATGCCACCCGAACCTCCCGTCGTTTGAAGCTGACCTTGAAGAAGGTCAATGGAGAGGGCTCTTGATTCGGCCCTTGAGTCATCTGCTGTTTTATGGCTGCACATTAGCTTACACACATTTATCTTTTCTGCTTTTTATGATTTAGGACGGCGTTGATTTTGGGCACCTTATGCCATTTACGAGGGATGAATTACTATGACAAGGTCAGGAGAGAAAGATGGTGCTGGCCATGATTTAGCTACGGGAGACATAACTTGCTACTTCACAGAAAATAAATCAATTCACATTTGATTACAATATTTCTTCTCAATACAAAATCTCTGATAACCAGCCTGAATACTCCGCATTTCCAACATCAGACCACTACAGCCATTAGTGTTCGTTCTTATCGGCCCGCCTATCAACAAAAAGATCCCCGAGACGGAGCTTTCCTCATCCCTAAACCAACAGCTCCAGGGGCAACGCCCACTCCCACCAATACACCCCCTGCAGCATGGATCAACTAATCTCCTACCTCCCGCAGCCTCTGCTCGACATCGTCGACACCCACGGGTCCTGTGTTACCGCCGAACACGCCCAATGGGCTGGCGTCGCGCTCGTCTCCCTGGCCGCCATCTACGCGGGGTACCTCTACATTCAATGCCTGAAAGAGGCCGCGGTGTCGTTCAATGTGCCATTGCCAGCGGAAGTGCGCAATAGCGCCGGTGGAAAGAAGTGGGGGGAGGTTACTGGGGCGGAGAAGCGCGTGCTGGAGGATCAGGTTCGAGGGGTGAGTTATTGACGATGGGGAGAGCTTCGCTAGTGTCAGGATTGTGCATTAGAGGATTGGGCTAATAAACTGTTTCTTGGATGTTAGGTCTGGAATGACAAATTGATTATGAGCTACTGCCCTGCCGATGGACGTGTCCTAGGTAATGGTATCAAGCCAGCGACGGTGGAGGATGTCAATGTTGCTGTTCAAGCTGCAAAGGCTGCGCAGCCGGAGTGGGCGAAGACCAGTTTTGCTGAGCGCAGGAAGGTTCTTCGCACTCTGTTGAAGTATGTTTCTCTTCAGTACAAATATATTATGCTATGGACTATGATGCTGACGGACTCCTCCTGCTAGATACGTCCTCGATCACCAAGATGACATCGTAATCGCATGCTGCCTCGACTCCGGAAAGACCAAAGTGGATGCCTCCTTTGGCGAGATCCTCGTCACCGCTGAAAAGCTCAAATGGACTATCGATCATGGCGAGAAGGCGCTGTTGCCGTCGCGCCGGCCGACCAATTTCCTGATGATGTACAAGAAGAACATGGTGACCTACGAGCCTCTCGGAGTCGTCTCTGCAGCTGTTTCATGGAACTATCCCTTCCACAACTTCATCGGACCCGTCATTAGCGCACTCTTCGCCGGCAATAGCATCATCGTCAAGCCCTCCGAGCAGACAGCCTGGTGCACCGCATACTTCCTTGACATCGTCCGCGGCGCCCTCTCCAGCTGCGGCCACTCACGCGACCTCGTCCAAACCGCCGTCTGTCTCCCCGCCGTCGCAGACAAGCTAACCTCACACCCGGAAATCGCCCACATCACCTTCATCGGCTCCCGCCCCGTCGCGCACAAAGTCTGCGCATCAGCCGCCAAATCCCTAACCCCAGTCTGCGTCGAACTTGGCGGCAAAGACCCCTCTGTAATCCTAGACGACGCCCGCACAATCCGCAACCTCCCCGCCATCTCCTCAATCCTCATGCGCGGCGTCTTCCAATCCGCCGGCCAGAACTGCATCGGCGTCGAGCGCGTCATCGCTCTCCCGGGTACATACGACAAACTTATCGACCTCGTCACCCCACGCATCCGCGCCCTCCGTCTCGGGTCCATCCTCCTCGACAAAACCACAACCCCAGACATGGGCGCCATGATCTCCCCCGCTTCCTTCGATAAACTAGAAGGTCTCATCGCCGAAGCCGTCGGCCAAGGCGCCCGCCTCCTAGCAGGCGGCAAACGATACACCCACCCCACCCACCAACACGGCCACTACTTCACGCCCACGCTCCTGGTCGACGTAACGCCGTCCATGCGCATCGCGCAAGAAGAACTCTTCGCGCCCATCTTCCTTGTCATGCGCGCCGACTCCCCCGCCGACGCAGTCTCAATCGCAAACTCAACCCTCTACGCCCTCGGCGCAAGTGTCTTCGGCCACAACGCGACCGACGTGGCAACCTGCGTCCGCGGTATCCAAGCCGGTATGGTCTCCGTCAATGACTTCGGCGCGTTCTATGCCGTGCAACTCCCCTTCGGCGGTGTGAAGGGCTCCGGGTATGGCCGGTTTGCGGGTGATGAGGGTCTGCGCGGGTTGTGTAATCTCAAGGCCGTTTGTGTGGATAAGTTTCCTAAGGTTATGGGAACGGCGATTCCGCCGCGGGTGGATTATCCGATTCAGAAGTCGGAGGGGGCTGCGGGGGCTAAGGATGGTGTTTCGGCGTGGGAGATGTGTAAGGGGGTTGTTGAGACGGGGTATCAGATCACGATTGGGGGGCGTGTTGCTGGTATTCTGCGGTTGTTGGGGAATATGTGATTGTGGACACGCCCGCATCTCAGCATAAAGACTCGACTCCAATCACAAGAATTCCGACGCGCCCGCATCGCAGCATAACCAATACGAGATGTGGGCGGCTTAGAAGTCTTATGATCCGAGTCTCTATGCTGAGATGCGGGCGACTGGGAACTCTCTCGGTGAGTAGGGTTTTCGGCTGATTTGGTGAGGTGAGATCTGTAGACAGTATTTGGTTTCCTTGCTTGCTTGGGCTGAAACTGATCTGTTAGGATTGTACGATATTTCTTATACACATATATACTTCAACAAAATAATCATTTTCTATACACAGATTCAACAAGGGAAATAGCTTGTCGGAGTATGTTACATAATAACACAAGATGTACAAGATCAGACAGTACAGCCAAGTACTGTCCTATCAAAAAGTCATTGACACAGTCAATAGACCAAGGGTATCAAAAGGATCGCTCAGATGATAAACGCGACCCCAAAAGGCCTATCAAGGGTCCATCCACCACGATTGGGATGGACAACCTTGACAGGCATGCATATCGTTTCACTTCTCACTTCATTTCTTCACCCACCACTCCTCAATTCGAAACTGCGACTCAGGCATCCAATTCGTCGGCGGCCCACGGCACGGCTCAAGCACTTCCTCAATAAATCGACAAGCCTCCAAATCCAGTGGATCCAACTGACCACAATTGAACAATTGACCCTGCGGGAATCCCTGGGTATAATCCAGCTGTTCCGGCAAGCGAAGCACAAAATTCGACAACCAATGCGCTAGTTTGCCGTTGATCTCGTTGTACGTGCTTGGATTGCGCTGTAAGAGATGGACATTTTCTAATGTCCACTGTACGATCTCGGGTGCGTTGGTGGGGATTGATTCTGCGCTGGCACGGATGAGAGCTTCGAAGAAGGCTGCGTTGAGATGGGGCTTGTCGCGGCCAACTCGGGTCACGGTCAAGAAATGGTCTGATGGGATAGTGTAGCAGACTGGTCGACCTTGTCGGGATATGTGGAAGCGGAAGATGTATTCGTCGAGTTTGAGGAGGGAGATGAGCGCGTTGTAGTTTTGTGTACGGATGGCTTTGCCAACGCCCTCGTGTAGCACGGTGCGATTCACAGTCGAGATAGTTGAGGGGAGGAGTGGTGTGTCGTTCTGGGCATAGTTATCCGAGCACATGCGCAGCATCTCTAGGTACATCACGTCGTCCGGGGTGAACCCCGTTTTGTGACCACGAAGGAGGTGATCTGGGAAATTCAGGATAGACAGAGCCGGCCAAGCAACGATCGATTTCATCGTTTCCGAACGTACCTCCACCATAACCATGGGCTTGACGTGGAGTTCGTACTTGTGTGGACCGGGGATGCGCGAAACGCGTAGCATTTCGGGGTGCTGGCACAATTGCGCGGCCAGTTTGACTGGTGGTCCTTCGCCACGGAAAACCCGGATCATGTCGTCCTCGCGGTTCATAAACTTGTCCAATGCGGCTTTCTGATCGGGTTCCATCTTGATGCCCAGATTGAACCATTGCCGGTGAATGGTGAGGATCATGATGGTCGGGATCTGCTCGCGCACACGCTCCATGGTACACCACCGACAGCGAAAGACCGCTTCCTGTAGCGTGCCTCGTTGGTCCAACGTGAGGGGCGCATAGTCCAGCGGCCGGAGAATGCTATTGATAGGCTCGCTGCGGGGATTCGTTGGGGGATCATCCCAAAAGGCGAGGATGATCAGGATTCGGTAGATTTGATCTCTTGAGACCGCAGCGGCGAGGACGGGTGATGCGCGAGGCAGGTTGAGGTTCAGCGAGTAAAGAAAGATCTGCTCAATGACCTCCACCGGAAGAGTCTCGAGTATGGACAACGCCCGCGGGGCCGGAGTCGAAGCCATACTCGGGGTAGCCGAAGTCTGGACCGCGCTTGTCGGTCGGGACGAAGGCTGGGAGGAGTGGCTTCGGGCCGGCATCTTGAAAGGGCGTCCAGGGGGCCTCTTGGGCTTGGACGGGGAGCGTGTAGATTTCGCGATCCTCGAGTTGGCGTAGGCGTTGGCTTTGGGTCCGGAGACACGTCCGCCAGGGAGAACGCGATCTTTTTTCTCCCGCGTCACGGAGGCATTACTGCCCTTGCGGGGAGCCATGGCACATCACAGTAATAGTCACGGCCATGTATGTGTCCCTCCTCCATCACAGCTGTGTTTGCTGTGAGTCCTCCATTGTCGGTGTCTTTTCTGATCTCCGAAAGTTAGTATCTTCGAAACAGCGTTTGCTTTTCGAGATCGACCTCGAGGCTGCTGATTGGTGGGAGACGAGCCCGTTTGCCACAAGTCCAGGCAGGGCTGCTGTCAGTCACGTGGGAGGTGAATAATCACCCCACTTTCCATTGTCCGAATTGGGACTAGTCTGCTGCATCACCTGATATCAAGTGATGTCATTGACATTTTACAGTAGAAACAGCTTCAGTTCCCTTCAGGGTCCCCTTTTCGTAGAGGTTCGCGAGGATAGATGAGGAGTAAGGAGCATATTCCTCATCCATGGATAATAACACGGTCAGTGCCAACACTCAATGCAAAGCTGAACCAACGAAAAGCTCTCAACCAGCCACACCAGCGAACATCACCCGCGGCAGGGATTATCGTGAAATCAAGGAATTGGTCCAGCCAGAGCGTCGTGATGACGGCATCCAGTTGAAGCCACCAACCCAATCCCGAACCGTACGGGGTAGTTACTAGCTAGTAGTACTTTGTTGCCGAAGAAGCTTCTTCCCGATTCCTTGTCTCTTCATCATCTCCATTCCACACCGAGATTGAAATTGCAGAACGTGGCTGTCTTTCCCTGCCTGATCTCCTCTATACTTCCACTTTCCCGCTCTTGCTACCCTCCCGAACTACGTCAGTGCTATCTCAGCCCTATTACATTCCTCTTATCCAAGCCCCTAAAAAAAGAAATAAGAAAAGAAAAAAAGCCTGCTGGACCCTGCTTGGTAGCCAATTTACGTCTATCATTCACCCCTTTCGGCCACCTCGTTACGTATCCGGAAGCAAAGAAGCACCATCGTGTGGCTGCTTCTGTTTGTGACCCCCCGTCCCCCTACCTTGGCAATCAGGTTCTGATTAGGACCGTTGTCATTTCCCCCAGAAGGACTCTTCTTTAAAAGGCCCTCCCCTGCGTCAACACTTGTACATCTTCTTTTCTTTTTTACCATGCGCCCCTTCAGCGACACTTCTACCCACGCAACCGCCTCCTCCAGCTCTGGACCTGTCATTCCAACCAAACCCAAGCCTTAAACTTCTACTCTACAAACAACATATCTTCGACGTGATAACCTCGTCAACATGGGTGCCGTCGTCTCCTGTGTATGTTACACTGACACTGCCTTCCTCTAATACGACCTGACCCCATGGCCATGCTTTTATACTAACATTCTCCCCTCTTATAGATCACCGGCGTCTTCCACGCTATCGGACGTTGCCTCATGGGCATCGTCAACGCCATCGGCTCCATTCTCCGCGCCATCCTGGACGGCATCATCACCGTCTTCGACGTGATCATCTCCTGCCTGACCTGCCAGGGTTGCTCAGGGCGCCGGCGTCGTCGGACTAGATCGGCAGTCTGACGGGACTAAATACGATGTCTCGTCGACGCGATAGGGCCACAATACCATGTCACAATCGGGATGAGGGATTGCATTAGCCCTGTCGAGCAGTCGCTTTGACTATGACGGTGCCATGATTTATTTGGGTTGCGTTTCTTTTTTGGGATATGGCCTTGCTGGCCTTTTGCTTTCTAAGTCCTTTTTACATGTCTATATTACATACCCAGGCGCGTTAATATGAGGATTGCTTTGGATATTGAGTGGTTTTTTCCTGATTTGGTTCCGTAGTACCACTATGTACAATGTTTGTAATTGTTGAGTTGTGGGTAGGCGAGGAGATGTACAAGAGTGGTCGTATAAGAAGCATAGAGTTACAGGCATGCCAGGTTCCTTGTGTACCTGGCCGATGCAATAATGCCCAGGACTTGGTTAGTAGCTCGGAACTGCTCAAGTCGCAGTTTGTCCCGGCTCAATCAACCGCAACAGATCCTCCTTCGCAGATGCAGGAATGACATCCCACCGTTCACTCAAAATAAAATGGGCAAAAGGATCACCCGGTCCTCCCCCTCCATACCTCCGTATCAAATGATAATGATCAGGCTTCAACGGCCAACACGCCGGGACCCGACAATTCGCCGCACGAAACGACATCCTTAATAGCCTCCGAAACGGCTCGATCCTACGCTTCCGAATCAACCGCGTCGTAATCTCAACAGACCTCTCCGCAGAATGTTCATCCTCATCCAGATAGAAATCCCCCGAGAGTAACTGAAGAAACTCGAATTGCGCATCTGACCACGGTTCCTGAAGTACTTTATCCGGTATTCGACCTGGTCCGATGACTACCGAACAGGGTAATCGAAAGAGATCATTCTCGTAATAGACCTCATTCGGCTCGCGGATCTGCACAGCACCGAAATGGAACCAAATAGCCACTTTCCGGTCGAAACTGCGCGATACTGAAGACCGGTCTCGCTCTGTATCCGGTAATTGCGCAGGAAGAACGAGATCCCCCTTCCCCCGTCGTCCATCAACAGCTTTATCACACTCCCCCAAATCATCGAATCGCCCATCCAAAGAATCAAGCAAGACCCGATCCTCCTCCGAAAAGACCAAATCCGCACACTTGCGCCGAATAGCATGATCCACATATTCCCGTTGACACCGCCTCATAAGTGGTAACGTACACCACCGACACGCCAAAATAGAACTCTGCAACCGCTGCCTCTCCTCCCATTCCAGCGCCCAGAAATCCAACGGTGGTGGTAAGAAGTCTGGTGTGAAGAAACCCTCCCGCGAGCCAGGATTCGTGCTGCTAAAGACTAGCCGGATAAGCCATGTGTATAGTAGAGGGTTGGACAGTGCGCGGGCAAGACGGGGCGATGCCCGGGGTAGATTGATCTCCAAACTATGGAGGAAGATTAATTGGAGGATTTCGACGGGGAGAGATTCCAGGCGTGAGGTGCGGTGGTGGACGGCCAGCGGGTCGGGATGACCCATTTGCGAGTTTGAAGGCGAGGTAGTAAGGATTCGTTGTAGAATTGAAATGAATAACCCTCTTAGCTTTTTGTAAATTTTTCAGGTCAAGCTAGGTAGGAAGAAAGAGATCTGGCAAATATCCAAATCTTCCCCGCAATCGCGCCGCTATGCAAAGGAATGTGTCTTGTAATAGGGGCGGGGAATCGAAGTTGACGATATTCATCTCAGTGGCATTATTGCCCACGGCACTCGGAGAGCAAAACAATCATGACGGGGCCATTGAAGTGTCCGATCACGCATATGAAGAGAAAAGAAATCGACGCACAAGGCGTCACTGACAAGAGGGGAGGAGAGGGGGAGGAGGGGGAAGTGGGTAGACCTGAATAGATGTGAAATGACATGTCTTGGCATGTGTCTGTTTGGCTCACAGCCTCACGCTATCGGGCTATGACATCGTGAGGTGGCGCCGTCAGCTGGGGATGTATTGGAAAGTTTTACGAGGAAGGCGGTCTATGGCTGGATATTGTAGACGCTGTATTTCTTGCCACTGGAGCGATGTCATTAAACCTGGGGTTGTCAATTCTAAATTGCATTCCAGCTCGTCATCTCCGAATTGGAGTTCTTCGTGATACTGGGTGGTGGGAGGGGTCCGTACCTGCAATGATAGGTAGGAAGGAATCGAGGTGCTGAGGTCATCAACTCCAAATCTCTAGGTAGACCACTAGAATAAATAGATCCTGTTCATAGGTCAAATTCAAGTCTTCAAATCTGCCAGTTAAGAACATGATTATTGCGGACGCTGGTTAGTTCCCGGGTCCGATATATATCTTGTCCAGGCACCCGTGCCTTATGGACCAACCAATTCCCACTCCAAGCCACATCCACAAGGTCATACTTGGAATGTAACTATTCTACATCAGAGTCTACATCACGCTAAACTATATATGGAGGAACTATTCGAGTTGTAGGAGAAGTAGGTGAAAGTATCTCTCGACAAAGGAAACGCAGAAACCATCTGGATTTGAATTTGTTTCTATACACATCCCATCCGCCCCACCACACCAACGATGGGAGGTTTCTAACCGTACCCTGGCGAAAACGCCATATGCTTGACTTTGAAAAAAATACATCTTGCGGTGTAATGACACGGGGGATAACAAGGGGAATTGGAGGGAAACGTTCCCACCGTTTAAACGGCGGAGAGATCGCCGAAGCGCTCCTGCAACGAAGAAAAAAAGCATAAGCATTGGTGATATACCAACCGCAGAATTGATAGAGCGTTAAACATACCTTGTAGCCGGGCGGCATCCACTTGCCCTTGGACACGAGAGAGGCGGTCTTCTCGTCGATCTCGGGCTGGGCAGAGGCAACCTCATCCTAGAAAGAGAAAAAAGAAAACGTAATAAGCGACCGTCCCAATAGCATCGTTTCCCCACACAAATACATACCACGGTGAGGTCCTCGAAGGGACGGGCAGTCTCGATGTTCTCCAGGGTCTTCTGGAGGTTGACAAGCTCGGCATCGATCTTGCCCTTGGTCTGCTCGGCGTTCTGGACGGCCTGGGCCTCGAAAGCGTCGATAGCCTTCAGCTGGCGGCTGACATCGTAGGAAGCGGGCTTGAAGGTCTTGAAGTGGTTCTCGATCTCGTCGATGACGGCCTGGTTCTTGAGGATACCGCGGTAGTGGGCGAAGTCGATGGTCTGGGGCTGCTCGGACAGGACCTGGACCTTGCGGCGAGCATCATCGTTGCGCTTCTTGAAGGACTGCAGAGAGGCGGCAGTCTGGCCGCGGAGGCCGAGGGAGGTCGAAACCTTGGCCCAGTCGAGCTTGAGTGCGGCGCTGCGCTGTTCCGGGTAAGGGGAGGGTTTTGGTTAGCCGTTGTGCTTTCAGGTTGATATAATGTCGGGGGCCGGCCCATGATGCGCATGGAAATGGAATCGGTGAGACCTACAGCTGCCATTGTGACGGAAGGAGAGATAGGGTAGTGGGAGGTGGAGAGAGGAGGGGGAGGGTTCGATTTGCAGGGAGGTGCCGGACAGGCGAGTTTGACTCGGAAAGGTTTGGATGCGGATGGCACGTGACGACCCGGGATCCGACCATCGGGTGTGAGGAGAGTAAGACTTGGGGACAAATTTATGCAAGACTACAAGAACAACAAATAATTCAAAACTGGGAGTGGAAAACGTTATTGTTGACATTAGTAAATCAAATTACGACAGGACGCTACAATTTTATGACTGAACATATCGAGTGTTGGTTCAATTCTTTTTTTGGGTTACATTGTGTACACTAAAACGCAATCCACGATGGATTCAACCCATTGGACTGCGAAAACCCAAGCCACTCAAGAGAACCGTATTGACCGCACAATGGAGGTCATTATATGCTGAGGGCCATGATGGAGTTGACAATATCATTGTCATTCTCCCGCAGGGCCTTGACAGCCTTCTTGCGAGAAACGCTGGCCTGGGCCATGACCAACTCGATGTCCTTAGCCTCGAGGCCTGCCTCATCGACCTCCTCACCATCGTCCTCCTCTTCCTCCTCCTCCTTCTTGGGCTCAAGGTCAATGGCCTTGCCCTTGCCGTGGTCGTGATCGTGCTCGTGGTCGTGACCGGCGTGGTCACCGGCAGCCTCGGCAGCAGCGAGCTGCTGGGCGGCGGAAGCCTGGGCCTGGGCGTTCAGGTCCTCAATCTTGGCCTCACCGAAGATACTAAATGAAAGGGTCAGTACGATGGTTTCGAGATCGCATGGATTTGGTGAAGGAAGGCCACATACATCCAGGTGTTGCTGGAGGGGGAGCGGTAGACATCGGGCTGGTTAACGACGAAGAGGACCTGTAGAACCCAAAGGAATCCGAATTAGCGTCTTGAAAAGCATGTTGAGCTGCCACATTGGTTCGCGATGATGCTCGTGCATAACTAGCATCACCTCGACAGTTGCGACAAGCCGTCATAGCTGCTGAGGTGGATAGGTGTCTTCATACGTTCTTGGGGCGGCGGAGAGTGACACGGGTGATGCCAGGGACGTGCTTCAGGCCGAGCTTGGCAATGGCCTTGCGGGCCTTCTTCTCGTTGCGAGAGTGGATGGTGACAGCAGCGCCGCCGGGGATAACGGGCTCATCACCAGCCTCGGACTCAGAGTCGGATTCGACGGTCTTGGGGACCTCCTCATCGGGAAGCTCTTCAACGCGGGGGTCGGCCATTGTGAATGTGTAAGGGGGATCTATTGAGCGGCGAAAATAAAACAGTCAACAGGTCAGTCCAGCATAAAGAGGGTTGATGGTTGCGCAATTCGAGAGGACAGGGTCGGGTCAAGGTGGGATAGTGGGAGGGTGGGCGTCAAGCGGGCAGAGGTTCGACAAGCCCCCCCCACAAACCACACAAAGCTCGGAAAATGAAGGGATTCGAGGTTGGAAATTCATTTTGACGGGGGATCGGATTGTTCAACGCACCTGAAGCTCAGAGATGAAGCTGTGGTGGAAGCGGGGTGGATTTTGTTGGTCGTGAGGTTGAAGGTTCACGTAGCTGTGCGGCAGGCCGTCGGCCGAAAATCGTTAGCGAGGCGGTTACTTGCCCACCCCGGACTCCCACACTGTGCTGCCCTCACCGTCATGCCTGACTCTCAAGCCTCATGTACATCATAGTTATACTTTCAAGTGTATTCATGAATTCACAATTATCTACGATTGTTGAATAGTTCAGAAATACAATTTTTGTTCTTTTTTTACAGATGAAAATCAACGCATCTCTGGCCACTTTTACATAAATTCATTTTGCTCTCTTTCCTTTACGGAAAGAAGAGTTTCCCAGATCTATCAAAAAGAGGACGACCGGTTGGGGCCTAGACGCAGAGCAGAACTATGACACAAGCCCTTGCCGGGATATCAAGGTAGTTGAATCATTTTTGCTGTAGATCGATTAATGCATACAGCGATTTTGCTGGTGGAAATGGCCAGCTATTGGAAACCCGTCCCAGGACACCTCCTTCATCCTATGCACCAAACCCTCGTAATCATTTATGACTTGGCAGCGGCAGCCTTGACCTTGGCGTAGGACTTCTGGACCTCGTAGCGGGCCTGGAAATAAATGGTTAGATATGGGTCCAAATTGGATATCAAGAAAGACTGGGGATTCCGGGATCAGGGTTGAAGAGTTGCAATGTTCAAATCGAGTTCGCTGAATCTGCGCATCTCCCCATATCCCATTCTCGAAATTCCATGTCGTTTTCAACGTACCTGCTTGCGGAGGCGCAGAACCTTGAAGCGCTCAAAGTCGGTCAGGTTCTTCCGGCGCTCAGTGCGGTCGGTCTTCTGGGCGAAGCCAGACTTGGCCCACTTGCCATCGATCTCGTTCTTCGCCCACAGCTTCTTGACGGGGCCGGTACCGGCAGCACGGGGAAGTTGGGGGATAACGAAGTGGGTGAGAGTGGCGTGAGCGAGAGGGAGAACGTGACGGGGCACGATCTTCTGCTCCTCGCTGGAGGGACCGTCGACCAGGACCTGTAACAGAAATCGCATGTCAATACACATCTTCCACACACACATTTGATGATCGCTCGTTCGCAGGGGTGCTCCTTCGGCGGATTCTCCATGTATGTCGGATATCTCATCTCGGGAGCGGATGGTGCGAAATCGAGCGATGGGTTGGAGATTTTGTTCTTTCAACGTACACGGCGGTGGTCAACAATCTCGACGACGGCGGCGAGCTTGCCAGCGTAGGGGCCGCGGCGGATCAGGACGAGGCGGCCAACCTCGACCAGCTTCCAGGAAGCGAGCTTAACGTCGATATCGGCCATCGCGAATTTCTGGAGGACACAAAAAAAAGTCTCAGCGCTTGTTCTCTTCTTGTTCAGTTGGATTGTTGCAATAGCGGCACTCACGGTCGACCGGGTTTGGATGTGTCGGGGGGTTGTTGTCGAAAGTGTCGGATTGTCCAAGTTGACTCTGCGAATTTCGGATGTGCCCACACAATTCTCGCTTAGCGGGCCACTCGTGGCGGGTCTAGGGTTGCCTTATGTCAGCATCCGGATCATCCACGGTGTAATGTTATTCCGTCGGGGTGCTTTTCTTGCGGTTTTTTTTTCTGCAAAGTCATTTGTTATTGTCTTTCTGTCTCAACATGAGCAAAATGGTGCTCTTTGGCTGGACTGACCTTCTCTCGACGATCAAATTTGCTTCCAAATAACGACACAAGCTTCGACACTAACTTTCCCTCTATATACAGGGTGCTTTCTGGTATGTTCCTGCTTTTGCTTGTCGTCTTCTGTCTGCTTAAATGATGCGGTAATTTGCGATTGACCCGGTGTCTGTGAGGCTCTCGCCGGAGCTCTCGTTACAGCACTGCTGTATGATATTCAATTTCTTACATATTCTGATATTCTTGTGACACGTTATTATGTTCTTCATGACAACAAGCGGAGGTACCTCATTGCTAACTGCTTGAAGATGGGCTTTTAGGTGTGGCAAATCTGGAACTCGACTCGATCTTTGACGGCATGGCCATGCTGCCTGGCCCTACATCTACCAGGTTAGTATCCATTGCTTCATTTTTTTTTCTTCTCACTGCTGTCGTGCCATGTCTTGCACGACTTTCCCCTTCCTTCCCTCCCCCCCCCCCCCCCCGGCCCGATGATTAAAAACTTTATCACGCCTAGATAGTAATTGAGCTACGGCTATGATATTACCTTTATCACCAAGATCTCTGAGGACCACCAATACCCACAATGCACATTTTGCTTGAATCATCTGTTGGGATTCATTTCTAACTTTTGATAGATATCTTCAGCATCCAATCGTCAATGCCGCATCACGATTATCTAGTCAAACCAATGCAAGACTCTTACTTGATGATTACTTGTTCTCTTCTCTCGTAGTCCACCTGTAGATTTCGTTCGTATAAAATGATCTTTGAGTGGTAAAAATTTTTGATTACAATAGGTCGTGCTATATCGTGATTGATCAGGGCCCAAGTATTCCAGAACCCAAGGCCCCAAAGCGATGCGGACGCTGAGTTACTTCCTTGTCCGTACTCCGTACATGCCATGCCCCTCGTCATTCCATTCTATAATCCCCTCATGCAAACTTGCGCTTCCACATCCCTCGTACATTGAATCATGAGCTGGCGCTCGCACCCAGCGTGGACGGACCCTCCCGGCTGAGCACCCACATGAAGACGAACTGGATCAGGTATGCGTACACGAACAGGAACTGAGTGCGACGGTTGCGCTGGGAACGAGCCACGGTGTGCATAGCACCGTTGCGCATAGTCGAATCAGTCGAGTCAGGAAGCAGGACGTACTTCAAGGAGCGGAGCTGTTTCCCCGTTAGTAAAAGAGACAAGAAATTAGGAAATGTGGAGAAAGTCCCTAACTCACCAAGAAGAAGGCATTGGCCAAAAAGGTGTACACAAAGACCGTCCAACCGACCCAGCCACCGGTTCCTCGTCCCGGGGTCAGAACTTCAGAAGCAACAAGAGTGGCAATGATGCCCACAAACTTGTAGCCGGAATAAGCGACCAGGTCCAGGAGCTGGGAATCATTGTTGATGCTCAGGATGTACATGGCCATCTTCAAGCACATAATCTCGAAGATGATCACCGCAATGGAGGTGGTGGTGACCGACCCCAGAAGCTCCGGGTGGAAGTTACCCCGGAAGCCAGCCAGCAATACCGATAACAGGATGTATGTGACGAGAGCCATGACGGGAATGTACATGTCAGGCGAGTTGAGGTCATCCCGCGGGGGCAGGAACATGGACGAATATTGCTGCTGGACGATCTGCCCGTTCGGCCCCGTAGGATTGCCGGCCATTCTAGCCTGCTGACGGGACCAGGGCTTGTGTCGCCATGGGAAGAGGACGAGAGCGAGTTTCCTCAAGACGTACGAGTTGGAGACGTTGAAATAGTGCTTTAGTGCGGGAATAGAGACGTAGCGATTGAACTGTAGCTCCAAGTCAGTAAGTAGGAAGTAATTGGTCCATACACCACAAAGGGACATACGTTTTGCTCCATGTATTCCTGACCAGCCTTCATCGCAGTCTGTCCGACCTGGAAACCCATCTGCGCCGTAGGGTCGTTTATGAACCCACCAAATCCGGGGGCATAGCTGCCGCTGCCACTGCCTCCATGTGCGGGAGATGGCTGGTATGGGTTACCTCCACCACCATACCCGGAATTCGGTGTCTGTTGAGAGGAGGGAGGGGGTGGTGAGCGCATCATCGGGACGGTCGAAACATGCTGCGGGACAGGGTGATGCAGAGGCGGCGACTGCGCGGGCGGTGGTGCGAAAGAGCCCCGATACATGATGGTCCTGAATCAACAGGGGAGAGAGGGAAAGAAAGCACTAAAAGGAAATGAGTGGTACGTGCTTGCGTCGAAGGGCGGAGGCGAGAAGGGGGAGTGGTGGAAGGCGTGGAGATGGTTGGAGTTGGATTAAGTCGAGCGAGGTGTTTATACGTGGCTGGAGATCCGCTCCGCTCTGCCTCCGAGCTCGAACATTCGCCTTTGCCCAATCCGCCACCGCGCGAACTTTCCCACCAGGTTGGTCTTGGTCCTACGCCCCCCTCCTCTTTTAATCCCCAGGTCTTCCCCTTTTCCTGGTTTCTTTAATACATCCTCCAAGTTTATATCAAGATGTTGGAAGCTTTTGAGATTTTGACCACCTCTGGTGTGGTGCTGTGGTCAAAGTCATATGCACCAGTGGGGTCACACGTTATTAACAGCCTGATCAACGACGTCTTTATCGAGGAAAAGGTCGTGCCGCAGAGCACCTCGGCGAATGGAGCTTTGCCGGTCTTCAAGAAGGAGAAATATACCTTGAAGTGGAAGAGGGTTAAGGAATTCAATTTGATCTTTGTGGTACGTCTCGTCGTTGTCGCATGTCGCATGTTTTCGAGACCCTCTGGTTTGCGCGAATCGCATAACTTACCCTGCATACTATAGGCCGTCTACCAATCGCTGCTGCACCTCGGATGGATCGACAAGCTCCTCGAAAATATCTCGACGATCTTCATCGATGTCTACAAAGACCAGCTGAAAGGAAACCGCGCCAGAATCACCGCCTACAAATTCGACGCATACTTCGAGCAGCAAGTGCGGGAACTGGAGGACAATACTGGCAGCGTCGCAGAGGTCCATGCTGCAGAGACTGGGGAGAAGAAAGACCCGCTTGTCTCATCAGACAATGGAGGTCCACCGCCGCCGCCGGTGCCTGGCCTCATGAAGGGTATGTGAATGATTTGACTCATATCCGAATCGGGAACATTCTGAACTGACAAACTCAAAGCGCAGCATCAAGCTGCGCTAGCCGGGGCGACCTCTGATGAGGCCACCCCACCAGCAACTCCTGATTTTTCTAGATCTTCGACCCCCGTATCGGGCCACCTCCTCACCGGAAAGACTGGGCCCGCCGGTCGAGTCTCTCGCCGTGCACGCAAGGCTGCCAATGCAAGCGCCAATGCCTCGTCCGGCGATGAGCATTCTCGTAAGGGAAAATCCACGCCCAAGAGCTCTGCGAAGAAAATGCGCAAATGGGATGCGGATGGGTTTGCGGATGAGGATGACGGGGAGATTTTGGATTATTCTGCCCCGGCAGAGGAGGCCAATGCTGCTGCCCCAGTTGTGGAAGCTGTTTCCCAGGAAGACATGGGCCACAGGACTGGCAAGGGTCAATTTGTCTTGAAGGATTTGGGTGACGAGGTTCACAACATTCTTGATAATGCCGACGCTGAGAAGAGCAAGGGGGCTGCGTCTTCTGGCGTGGTGGGCTCTGGTTTCAACGCAATTGGTGGCTTCTTCCGCAACATTGTTGGCGGCAAGGTCTTGACAGAGGCCGACCTCCAGAAGCCCTTGAAGGCAATGGAGGACCACCTGCTGAAGAAGAACGTCGCTCGTGAAGCCGCCGTTCGTCTATGCGAGGGTGTTGAGCGTGAGCTTGTCGGAAAGAAGACTGCTAATTTCCAGAGTGTCGATGCTGCCCTTCGCATTGCCATGGAGGCGTCTTTGCGCAAGATCTTGACCCCCACCTCTTCTCTGGACCTGCTGCGGGAGATCAACGCGGTCACCGCACCAACCACCAAGCAGCAAGCCCCGCGCCCCTATGTCATGTCCATTGTTGGTGTCAATGGTGTTGGCAAGTCCACAAATCTCAGCAAGATCTGTTTCTTCCTACTGCAAAACAACTACCGCGTTCTCATTGCCGCCTGTGATACCTTCCGTTCCGGCGCTGTTGAACAACTACGCGTCCACGCCCGCAACTTGAAGGAGCTCAGCGCACGTGAGAACGTCGGCGAGGTCGAGCTATACGAAAAGGGCTATGGAAAGGATGCCGCCAACGTTGCCAAGGACGCCGTTGCATACGGTGCCGCCAACAAGTTCGACGTTGTCTTGATCGATACCGCTGGCCGTCGCCACAACGATCAGCGACTCATGTCTTCGCTTGAGAAGTTTGCCAAGTTTGCTCAGCCGGACAAGATCTTCATGGTTGGCGAGGCCCTGGTCGGAACTGACAGTGTCATGCAAGCCCGTAATTTCAACCAAGCCTTTGGCTCTGGCCGAAACTTGGATGGATTCATTATCAGCAAGTGTGACACGGTTGGCGATATGGTGGGAACACTGGTCAGCATGGTTCATGCCACCGGTATTCCTATCGTATTCTTGGGTGTTGGACAGCATTATGGAGATCTGCGTGGACTGAGTGTCCCTTGGGCTGTCAACCTCCTGATGAAGTGATAACTTCTCGATTGCTTTTCATATCAGCCTTGCTAACTCTGCATTACTTTTCTATGTTCTCTTCTGAATATTTCTATGTTCTCTTCTGAATACGTATTTCCTTCCATATACTTTTTGCTCGTCCCATCTCCATCTTTTCGTTCAAGTTCCATCTCTTCGTCTTGTCTTATCCTGATCTGATGCACATGATATGATCAATGCATAAAAAGGTTTGCCCCATCATGTCAGGACATGATCAGCAAAAAGATATCATCGTATGAACGATGATTTCAACAGTATGACCTACGCAGGGGTCGAACCTGCAATCTCTTGATTCGTAGTCAAGCGCCTTGCCATTGGGCCAGCAGGCCATCTTGTTGAGGAGACTTCGAAAAATGTGCTCCACGACGGCGAGGTGAGGATGGGGCTCTGTGCTAGTTCTCCGATTGGTTCATGGGGCTTATAGAGGGGCCCGCTATGCTTAGTTGGGACTAGCCTGATAGTTGAAGAAGATCTTTCGAAAAAAAAAACTTATTTCATGGTGGGACGTGGTAAACGATTTGAGTGACTTTTTTGGATACCTCGTTACTAGGGCAGTGAATTAAGAATTATGTACATCCATTCAATCGTATTGTACATTGTTTTTCTCCTAGCACATTTCATCTGTTCTGTTGTATAGTAATACTGCACCATGAAGTGAATGAAAGATGGTTTGACCACAGCTTCCTCTCATAAGAGGCGCACGCGTTTATGTTTTTTATTCCAGGGTCAATACCATTATCCTTTAAATCAGTGTTTCTCACAACAAGCAAATTCTATGGACGTTCAGAGTATATAAAATATAAAAAAGTTACTCTCCCTCGGGGAATCGAACCCCGGTCTCCCGCGCTTATCGGTGTTAATGACAAGCGGAAATCATGACCACTAGACCAAGGAAGAAGGTATTGATGGTTGAGTTACTGCTCGACCACTTGGCACTGGTTGATGCACGGAAAGTCAACTTTTGGCTCTATGACCCATCTATAGTTCTCAATAGCCACACAAGCAGACCTCTTCGCCGTCTGCATACACGCATCCGCCCAATTTGAGTCAAATGGAGGTTCTGAAGTCGTTGGCTCTGATTTTTGAGAGGAATTTGGCGTTAGAGAGTAACAGTAAAGAGTCTAGCGTGTGTCGTGTAGGAATCATTCGTATATATATTATTCGGCTCTCTATGTCAGCTTTCGTAGTGGGTGGAAAACAGACCTAGCAGACACTCGGTTTTCCAATGTTTTTTCATGCGCTACACAATATCTAAAGGAGTTGTCCTGCATGCAGCAGGTCCCAAGTGGCAATGGGGTACCTGCATTTGTTCATGAATTGAAGACTTGATTGGGTGGACTCGTTGCACAAAGGGTCGAGGCCCGTGGCTGATATTGCCCCTCTGGCATGCGCCTTTTGGTTGGATACAAAACAGTACTTCTACCCGAGAAATTCACAGTAGACAATGGGAATGTGTTGCTTTACAAGATCAGTACTCTATAACTGGTCAGATCTACTACGTCCAATATTATTTAGAGTTGATCTGATCCCAGGCGGAGATATGCTAAATAATAAACTTTACCCGCAACCAGAAACCGGAGAAAAGCGTCCGATTTCCCCGCGGCCAGACTGCGATGACTCAGCATGCATTCCACCGCTTACATCATCTCTCCAACCCAGATTCGGGTAATTTCCCAGCTTCGTCCACCTCAAAGCATTCCAACAAGCACATTGTTCTCCATTACTGTCGCTGAGAATACACCAAGACCCCATCTGAGCACCTCAATATTGCCTCGGATAATTCCCACTTGCACCTTCATCTCAAAACCGAGTGCGTGAACTCGCACACGACCCCACACCGCAGCTACGACCGGCCAGGCGACCAGCCTCACCCACTTGCAGGGTTGAAGGTTATACCTCCTCGCCTACCCCCGATTCTTCCAGCGGGCTTCAGAAATGACGGCCTCGGAATCGACTCAGATTCATCGTCGCTCCTCCACACAACACTACCAAACATTTGATACCCCGCCGCCCAAGTCGCGTGGGAGACCCAATTCCGGCCAGTCGGGGTCTTCATGCGATGGCTCGCACGATCCAAACGACCGTAATGACCAGCCTGGTTCAAACTCGCCACTGCCGAAGAAGCAGATGGCTGTCCTCGCTATGATCGCCTTGGCAGAGCAAACCGCCCTCAATTCGATCAGTCCTTATCTGCCTGATATGGCATCGAGATTTCCCGAGGTGGAATCGAGCCAAGTTGGCGTATATGTGGGGACTATAGCATCGGCATTTGCTCTGGCACAGTTTGCGACCAATTACTACTGGGGTTGGCTGTCGGATCGGATCGGACGCAAGCCTGTGATCCTGCTCGGGACATTTCTCACTGCAATGTGCTTCGTCGCCTTTGGGTTCTGCAAGACATTATGGCAAGCCATATTGGTGCAGGCAATGATGGGTGTGGTCAACGGCAACCAAGGGTTGGTATCCACCTGTCTGGGTGAGATCACGGATCGGAGCAATCAGTCACAGGCCTTCACCTATCTCCCCGTGCTATATGGAATTGGAGGTATCACAGGCCCGCTTCTGGGAGGACTGCTGATCTTTGAGCGCAATCCCTTCACCGGCAATAAAAGCACATATCCATATCTCGCGCCCAATCTCGTTGCCTCCGCCATCCTTCTTGTCGACTTTGTTTTAACTGCTATCTTCCTGGAGGAAAGCTTGGAAGACGCTGACACATTGCCAAAATTCGGGAAAAAGGTTCGCAACCTGTTTACATGGCTGTGGCAATTCACTGGACTTTCGAGACACCCGACATATCTTCGACTTCCGCAAGGAACACTTCAATCTCCTCTTCAGCGCAGCACTGCCGACAGCGAGGATCATGACAGTGACCTGGACTCGGCGTCGGAAGTGTCAAGCCAGCAAGGCCATGCTGCAGAGGAGCTGACTTGGGATGAGATTTTCACAAGAGACACTATTCTTCTCCTTTTGACTTATCTGATTTTTGCTTTCTGCAACGTTTCTTTCAATTCACTTTTTCCGATCTTCGCACAAGCTAAACCACCTGTGGGCCGGCATCTTACCCCCTCGGAGATTGGATTGTCGCAAGGTTTTGCAGGCGTGGTGACGATCATTTTCCAAATTTGCATCTTCAACCGTTTGCGTGACAAGATGGGCAACCGATGGTCCTATCGTGCTGGTCTATTCGGTTTTGTGGTGTCGTTTCTTCTGATGCCGTTCGTGGGTTATAAAAGCCAAGACGGAGAGGGCCTGACTCGCAAGTCGGCCCTTATGGCGGTGGAGTTGTGCTTCGTATTGCTGGTTAAGACTGTTGCCTCTGTTGGTGGTCTGACTAGCGCCCTATTATTGGTAATCTCCCCTGTCCTGCAGACCCTTCATCCCTCTTCACTCCATTATAATCCGAAACTAATACCCTTCAGGTCACTAATTCGGCTCCAAACCATGCCGTTCTGGGTGCTCTCAATGGTCTCGCGCAGACCCTCTCTGCAGCCGGACGTGCTGTGGGCCCCTTCTTGTCTGGTGGCCTCTTCTCTTTAACAGCCAAGATCCAACCCAAGGGTGAAGCCATTGCCTTTGGAGTCTTTGGCGCCGTCTCTTTCATCGGCTTCATCATGAGCTTTGGCATTCGCGGCCGATCTCTCGAGGCCGACGGCTGGATCTCTGACAGCGACGATGGCAACTACAAATCAGATGATGAGGACGATCAGAATGGCGCTTGATTGTGTGATCCAAGCATTGAGATGCAAAACCCTGCCTATATGACGTGACGATTCTTTGCTTTTTTGTGAGCCCTACCCGTATTCGAAATATACATTATCAATCCCGTTAAAAGAGGGATTGACGAAGCATTTATAGCTGAGCGTGTCTTGAGTGATGAGGTGTTTTCCCTTGTCCGTTTCTTTTCTTTTCTTTTTTTTCTTTCCTCCCTTTCCTCGGTTTCATTGTGGACATAGAGAGATGTTTGTGATTGCGTGGCTGTTTCGAAACTTGTACAGCAATTATTAGCGGTGGAAGTTTTCATCAACTATCCTTCCCTCGATTAGGTGTTTCTGAATGAAAAGTTTGCAAGTACCGATATATTGTGTTTATGTTTTGAGGTCGCTAAATTTAGGAAGTGACAAATGGACACCAGACTCAACATATCACTGAGAGTAGTAGTGATGCCTACGCCCAGGCTCTAACAGATCTGTGTCTCTCAAACTGTTTTTAAATAGCCTCGGGGAAGGGCTTAGTAGATATTATGAGAATATCTAGGTACTCGGTGCATCTGTTATCCGCCATATCCGAAAATGGATTATTCTGTCGTGCGAAAGCACAAGTTGGCGTGCGATTAGCCTCAGCCCGGTTTTTATCGCTCATCTCGCCCATCCAATCTTGGTAATAACTCGTACACCTGAGATTTCAGGTATTGAGTTAGTTATTTGTCGGAACAACAAGAAGCTCGTATGACTAAGAATGTTGCCTAACGCCACATTTTTGGTCTAGCGGTATTTTGCCCCATCTGTGTTCGACATTATTCCAAGTTTTTGCCGTCAATGTTTTTACAGCATCGATGAGGCGCTGGAGTATTTTCGCCGTCACATCAGTTGTCAAATCCTCACGCACCACAATTCTCATGACTTCAATATCCTCTTCGTTGAGTCCCCAGCCTGAGACTGTAAAGCCTGGATAGACTTAGCATCCAGCCTGGTAATTAAGGAGGGATACTTACTTGGGATCGAGATTTCCACAGTACGCAAGACATCACTGATATCAGAGAGCGTCAACTCCGGAAGGTTCTTTTTGACATCAGAACATAATCTGAACACGACGATCGGAAGTCCAGGGATGTTCAATGACTCAGAGTCAGTGCAATGTAACTTGCACATAGTGTTGTGCCGACTAGGTTGGCCATGTATGTCGCTCAGACAAGCGAAATAGCCAGAATGTTCCAACTGTTCGCTGAGGACTTGTGCTTTGTTCAAAGATTCGTTGACATGTGCTCGGTATCCATGGATTCCCTTACTGTAGAAATTGAAGTACTGAGCAGTGACGGGTATGGCGGACCTTGAGAAACTCAGTGTAAAGGCAGTCTGTGTGCCTCGGAGATACGACGACACAAGTAGTAGATTATCTGGGACGTTAGACTTATCTCTCCAAACCAGCCAGCCAACACCTAGTGGTGTCAGGCCAAACTTGTGTCCAGAGGTATTGATGGAGGCCACTCGGCGTAGATGGAAGTCCCATACAAAGCTCCGATTGATGGCTGTAAAGGGGGCTATAAAGCCTCCACTTGCAGCATCGGCACGAATCGGGATGCTGTGGCCTGTTTGAAGCTCGAATTCATCGAGAATCTTGGAGGCCGCCTCGATGGGATCGTAGTGGCCAGTGTAAGTACTTCCGAGAGTAAGAAACACACCAACTATGATCGTGAGCTTCTGGCCTAAGACTGTTCAGGGTGTTTGAACATACTTGTATTCTCATCGAGTTTCTCCTTGAGTAGATCAACGTCGAAAATGAATCGAGATTGTTCATTGGCGGGAACAAATCTAGCCTTTACATCAAAATAATCGGCAAATTTCTTGACACAAATATGTGCTTTTTCACCAATGATGACGTTCATATGAGACTGGGGCTGATCATGGTGTCTGAGCTGCCAGCGATGCTTGAAAGCCAAGCCGGCAAGGAGTACCGCCTCGCTCGAACTAGTTGTGGCAGTCCCAAACACAGAGTCGACTGAGGGTGCACTCCACATGTTGGCCAGAATCGAGATACACCGCTGCTGGAACCTGAAGAAAGTCCTGTATGAGGAATTATTCTCTTTGCGGTGATGTATGTGAGGTGGTATAAACATACCTGGCTATAGATGGGTACTCTTCCACACATGCCTGATTCCGAAGACCGTTTTGAAGGACAAGCCTGAATATCGCTGGATCTAATTTTATTGTAGAGAATGTCCCAAAATTTTGACTCGAGGGTAAGTCCGAGTCCATGTCCTCATGAATCATTGCTTCCATCAGCTCCCTTGGAATGCCATTCAAAGGAATAGAAGCATCGGGGAAGTGATCTTACAAGATTTTCATTTTCGTCATGGTCGATCAAAACTGAAGAAGTTTGATAAAAAGCAACAAAGCCTGTTCAGAAGCTTAATGGCTGATTTCTGACATTGCTTTCCTACCCGATCTATAAGTGCCCACTGGGTTGATCGATATGATTAAGCAGGGAAAAATATCGCAATCCATCGCGAATCTTCGTGCATCTCTGGGAAATATGTGGATAGGCCATTAGCATGCTCTTTGCACAATTCTAGCCATATCGGGACGTGACGATGTGGATACTCTAGATGGCCAAACTGCGTGATATATCGAGGAGAATCGATTGGTTCGATCGCAATGAAATTTACCAAAATTCTATGTATCCCATGAGAGAGGTTCAAGTTGGAATGTCTGAGGGACTGCGGGATTATGAAGTTCTTCGTAAGCTGCTACCGTTAGACTTGATACTTACTGCATGGAATGATTCTAGCTCATGATATCCGTAAAGCAGACACAAGCGAGCATTTGTGTATATAGGGTCAACGAGTAGTGGGAGCTTCATACTCAGCTTGCATAATGTCCTAACAATTCTAGTTCATTATGAGATCGTGATCCGTTGATAATGATTCCATCGACTGGTATGTGGACGTGTCTTCCCCAAAGCCGATTCCTGTGGGAGCTGTCCAAGCCAAGTTGTGGTTTACTCAGCTCGCCCAACCAAATTTCAATGCGGTTGGAGAACGACGGGTCCCACCATTGCCCGAGCTTTGCTTGGATCTCTACCTGTTCTCTTGCCTGCTCTTTGCTTTGCGCTCGAACTAGACCGATGATATGCTCAATTTCTGGGTTGTGTAGGAGAGATCGCAGGATTTGACTGCCCAAGAAGCCAGTTATCGAAGTAAGAAAAACGTCTTTCTCCGTGAATGAGCAAAGGGAAGTTTTTGCTTGAGCTTGGTGGGATCATTAATCAAATTTCGTGTTTGACTTCGTCAATGTGTTCCTTTTTCCGCTTCAAGACAAGGTCTGCAACGTCACATAGAGTCAATGCTTGTCGCTGCAATTCTCCAATTTTGATTTTCTTGTCGTATCTTTTTCTTAACAAAGTCGTCAGGGAGGCCAGTTGTATTGATGACAGGCCAACGGTCTCCAGGGGAAAATCCTTTCCACGAAATGAGTTTGCGTAGACTTCGTCTCTGATTGCGAGTAGCTCGGCGACCATGCAACTGATCTCAATTGCTGCCGGCTTCGTGACTGGTATCACAGGGAATTCCGTTGCAGCAGCACCGCCCCTGCGAATTGGCTGAAGGCTCTTCTGACTCATTTGTGATAGATCGCTTCGAAGTCGCTGTCGATCCAGTTTTCTCGATGTCGTCAGCGGCAATTTGTCCACGGGGATAAACACACTGGGAATCATGTATGACGGCAAGATCTCAGACAGAAGACTGTGCATTTCATCTGTGAGCTGGGATTTGTATCTGTCTGTCGTCTCGATAAAAGCCACCAGTTCCACATCGTTTCCTCCAGCCTCAGGGAGCACTACGGCCGAGCGACGTGCGCTTGCAGTTGAGTTGATTGCATGCTCGACCTCGCCCAGGTCTACGCGTAGACCTCGTATCTTGACGAAACCGCTCTGTCGGCCCAGAAAGATAATATCTCCGTCAGCAGTGAACTTTGCGAGGTCAGGCTTTCGAGGGCGTTCTGTTCCAAGAGTTTCTACCCTTCATTCTCTTGGCAAATTCATATGGATCTCGGGGTCTATTTGCCGCTACCATCAGGACAATCTGAATCCTCGTCTGTTATTGCCACTATGTGTTACATTGACGACCTTGTGATCTTTTACTGTCAAGGAGTCTCATCCTTAGGTATGCAAATAACTTTATTCAGTCAACTTAGAAACCGTTGGTAGATGTTTATGGCAATTCAAGTCCGGTCCTACGGGAGCTCTGGTTGGATCGCGATCGCCACGGGAAAAGCATGAGTTAACAGCCAATGGTAGGGCGGCGTTTATACCCGATGGTGTGTAACACAAAGAGCATTCCTAGGTGGCTGTTGAGTTCCAGAGACATTCTAGTGTTCTCCGGTTATTCTCCTTCTATTAACCCAAAACCCTGGGTAGTGCGGAATGATGGTTGGTCATTAGTGTGTAGAATTGAACGCCGAGAGTTTTAGGTAGCACGAATGAACTGTGGATACAGGACGTTTCAACTTCAATCTTCAGGAAGAAACCTTACTTAGTCCATGCTAAGATCAACTAAGTCCTGTACCTAAGCCTTGGAACTTCCGGTATCTTTACCCGGTAATCCATGATTTGTTACTTCGCTAGAAATCTACTCCCCATTGATGTTGATTCTGTATGGCATTCATGCCTTTCCTTTCGCTGATAATTACATACTTGCCAGCATGAAGATTGGATGGAGAGCTATGAAGAGCTGGAACCGGTGAACGTTCACAGCACCATTGATATCCTATCTGGTCTTTCAAATATGGCATCACCTTGTCCACTGATCTACGTTTCTGGAGGCTACATGCCAAGTGAGCATGAATCGCTCTCTGAGGTTGCCAAGAAGCTCTCGAGCGCACCGGGATACGGTCAAACCAAGTTCATGTCTGAGTTACTCTTGGCAGAGTACAAGAAGCATCTGGACAAGCAGAAAGGGAACATTCCGAAAGCGCGAACGATCATTCCGGGCTTCATCGTCGGAACACGCCAAGAGGGGATTGCCCACCAAGAAGATTACCTGTGGAGATTTGCTTTCAGCATTTCTCGTCTTCGAGCAGTCAGCAAGGATCTTCTAGGTCACCTCAATGTTGCTGGCGTGGACCAAGTATCCAACCTCGTCTCGGATGTCCTCTTACAACCAGACCGATGTGTTCCACACGCCATCAAATGTTTCGATGGGGTTGATGTCTTGATACTCTGCAACATCCTTGAAGACAAGCTGAAGATCAAGATCAGGAAGGTCAAGCATGTAGAGTGGATGAGGATCCTGCGATCTGATATTGACGATGCAGACTTCGACCATCCTTTGAACCTGTGTTTGAATGGCTGCAAACAAACTCCTTGGGTACCGCATCTCAAGGTTCTCTTTTCAATGAGAAGGAGATTTTGATGGCTTTGGAGAAAAGTGTGGGGTATCTGATGGGAATTGGTTACTTTTTGGATGACAACCCTAAATCGGTAACACGCAAGGCTGTTGGGTTTAGCCGGTCCAACTGTTGAGATTCGAGGTTTCTGTATCTGTGGCAAGCAAAGGCCATGTTTAATTTTTTTCACTTTCTCCTTCTTTTCAAAACCAGAATGATATCCCCGGCATTCATCGCATTATCTCACTTCTAGCTCTATGGATCACATCTCGGAATATGTAACGTGTGATCAGGGTCAGGTACCATCAGATTCACAGGGGGCTTTTCTTTGTGAAGGCATCTTGGCTCACAAAGACATTGTTCTGAGTAGTATTTTTCACAAGTGCCAATGACAAGAGCTGGCTAGAGTACTTTTGAAAACCTAGATGTATCTCGTAATATTCCAATATCTAGGTTTTCAAAAGTACTCTAGCCAGCTCTTGTCATTGGCCCTTGTGAAAATTGGAAGGATGGCATTTGGTGACGCGAGAGTGATTACATCTCAAAGTGGAAGAACTCGAGGTAACATCGGGTGGACCCGCTCAACTTGCAGCTATACTAGTCAAGATCTGGATAAGTTTGGTGGATACGCTTTGCAAATGAGGCAGCTGCGTAAAGTACTGGTCTAGACTGCATTGTTTGTTGTTCTCATCCAGGAGTACGTCTTCCTGACCCAAATACTTCATGCTCGAATTACGTGTTGCAATGGCCATGATCCTTGTCATATACAAGCATTTAGGTACCATCCCTGCTATAAATGATAGCGATCTACACGTACTTCTGCTCTAGTTTGCCACCTCGATGTTCTGAATGAAACCCAAGCCTCCAAGCTTTCAGGGGTATCGATCGTTCCATTTGTTCTCCAATCAACAACAGATTCAACTTCAATGATATCCTTCATTTCGATTTCTTCAATATCTCCATCGAAGCTTATGTCTGTACTGAGCCGTATGTACTCCGTACGGATTCCCTCTTTATTGATTCAATCGTTCCCTGCGAGCCTGCCTACCTACTCCACATGATTGGCCGATTTACTAGCTTGCTATCTCATATCATTCGGCAACGTGGCCGTGTCCAAAGGCGACTAAGACCTATTCTGAATCCAGTAAGATCGCCTCTCAACTTAGAGTACTCTGTTGTCGCGTCTGATTCTGCGATCCACAGGCTCCAATTGATCTATTTTAGTCAATTAACATAGCCTACTTTGTTTCTAGTCGACCAGTTGACGGTGCCGCGAAACTTCCGGCCCGAGAGCACCGGGAGATCCTAATTAGTCTAATCTCCGAAATAGATAACGAGATAATGAACTCACAAGAAAACAGTTAGATCCCGAATCATTCCTTGCACCCGGACGACTTAGTCTAGATTGAAACAGCATTATCATGACGGCCCTCGTTATTCAGCCTGTCACAATCAACGACGTGCCAGCTCTTTCTGAGCTTTGGTACACGGCCTTTAGCATCCCTGTGAACCTGCGTATGTTCCCTGATACACCTGGTGTCCGAGCCTGGTGGGACGAGGCCAACCGCCGAGATCTTCTTTACAACCCGCTTCGAAAACTATTCAAAATTGTCGATCCCACCACGCCAGACTTTGTGGTCGCATACGCAAAATGGGACTTGGACCCCTCGGAAAGTGGCGAGAGGTTTCCGCCCTGGCATGAGGAGTCCGACCATGAAACGTGCGAGCGCTTGTTCACGGGCTTATCTGAAGAGCGGAAGAAGTTGCTCGGGGATCGAAAACATTATTGTACGGATCGCATCTCATAACCTGAGAGGAGACATCCATAGCTGACTCTTCCCATATTTAGATTTGGATATGTTGGTTACGCATCCGGATTATCGTCGCCAGGGTGCGGCGTCGATATTGATACAGTGGGGATGTGACCTTGCAGATCAGAATGGGGTTGCGGCATATCTGGATGCTCACGAAGATGCGGCTCCGCTATATAGGAAATTCGGGTTTAAGGATCGCGATGATCTAGGCGTTACCTCTGACGGGGCAATTCCAATGATTAGGGAGCCTCAGAAAAGGGATTGAGAGATATACAATGAGGTAGATACCACCATGAACGAGTATCTGTCGATTCATATCCTATTATCAACTCGATGCATCTCATACTCCTCCTCCACAATCCACTCTTGTGTTTGGTGAATTATTAGTTGTCGCGAGTTCTGGCTATCGTGTGACAGCCGGGTTGCAGCTAAATCAGCCTCGTCTTCGTCTCGTTTGCTGCTTGTAAAGGCTTGGGATTGAGTAGTTGATGCACTCTTCCCAGTAGGCGTGAAGTACGGATGCTCGCCGTTACTATTTGTGACTCCCTGTCCCCATCCTGTATTGAATGCAATAACGAAAGGCTTGAGGCACGGCACGGTTGATACCATGATGCTGTAATGGAGGAGGACGGCGGTGGCGATCATTGCGTCAGACACATGCAGAGATGGATCGGAATGAAAAAGGGAACGATCGAGGTAGGTTTGTCGTAGTATAATCAATATGATTACGCTGAGATTCGTAGAGAATATTGTTAGATGAGAGGCTCCCTGGGTTTGTTATTCAACGTAATCAGAAACTCACGGAGTTCTCGTCCCAAATGCAAAAATTACTGTCGCCTTGTCCTTCCACCGCATCTGAATACCCCAGACTAGAAAAATACTCAAGCAGAAAGTGAGGACATCTGTAATCACATCGAACGCAGTGATCGATTTCCAGGCAATACCCTGATTGCGCTTGTCAGCTAGGTCTTGCGGCGCTTGGTCAAGTGAAAGGCGTAACCCACGATATTACCACAATGCTGCACCATGCTCAATTGATATTGAGGGAAGCAACTAAGAGCCACTGCCAGAATAGAAGCAATAGTCCATGCTGTCACCATGCCCACGAGAATGTTCGAACAAAGTAGGTATTTTCTTTGGCGGCCCAGCCGCTTGAGTAGCAAGCATATAGAGATTTTGGCGGCGCCGTGGCCAGCTAGAAAAAGGAGATTTGCTGCGTAGACACCCTAACTCAATATAAGTCAGTGGAATTCATGGTTTGATCGCATTTGGAATGAAATAGTTCAAGGGGCGACTTACCTCTCCAGCACGTTTCAAGTCCCACGACGAACTGTCGTCTTGCGATCGGCCTAAGCCATGGGAGATCGCATTCATCACTGTTCCTACATGGGCGATGGCTAAAATCTAATAGTGGAAGACATATGCTGTTAGGATGGGAAACCCCTTGTTGGGTAGTCGGTAGTGCTGCTGGGGAAGAATGGCAAGGTATATATCTGTACTTACACTCCCAGCAAAAACAACCAAATCATCAACCTGCACCGGTCCGTTGATCGCGAGGCGCATATATAGTCGAATCAAACTCACCATAATCATCCAAGACATAAAAAGAGTCTCGACGATCACGATCAGACCGCTTCGATCTGTTGCAGAGATCGCATATGGGGCGGCGGCCTCCATGGTGTGGATGGACCGAGAATAGTAGAGGCGTGGCGGGACTAGAAAGACAATCTTTCGTGATAGATCATGATTATAGTCGTGGGAGATTAACATAGCCATACCATAGGCAAGTTATCGGACGGACCGGAGGATACTGGAACAGCGAGATCCTCGTAGATCGGCCTCCCGATCGCAAACCGATGGCCCCCAACTACCCCCATCAGGTCGTATCGGAGGAGAATTTTCCCTCTTGACATTGTTGATGATTATTGCGACAGTTCATACAGGGTCCGTTGAGCCCGCCCGGATAAATTCACAAATCGGATGATTTGATTCAGAAAGAAGACGAGGATTGCGATCCTTCTCGACTAGGAAACGATCCTGGGACCCGGCAAGAGATAAATGGTATCATCGGAATTTATCCCACCCAGTTTCATTGGATCAAGCCAGTGAGACATTTTCAAGTGACATTATTAGTCCCAAGCTAAACAAGCTTCCCTGTCTGGGGGCGAAAAAGGTATCCATTTCTCGCGACTGGGCCAGCTACTAATCCTGGTCTAATGCATCCTACTCTAGTCCTGCTAACCACAATTGTTCTCAAAAGCCGGGGTTCACAACATACATAAAACCGAGATTACTACCACCCTGTCCCCCTGAAGTCTTTTGACAAGGGTAAGGAAAATAACCTGGTCCCGGCATTCCCTCTGGGATCTTCAGGATTTCTTAGCCGAAATCACGGTTACATTGTTGCTTCGTGTGCACTAGTCTTGAGATCCAATTCTCACCTCCCTTTTTCTTCCTCCCTGTTTGTTTTGTGATTGCTTTCTATCTTTCTCTTCGTACTATTCTCATTATCAAATCCAATATTAGTTTCCACAATATTGGGATTGAATTGATAATCAATTGCCATGGGACATGGGAATGGAATCATGCTGACTGAAAGGTCCAAACATGAGGAGGTCCCCTCCCAGAAGGAGGGCACAGCGCAGGACAAAGAAGACATGTGGCGCGTTGGTCGAGACCAAGAGCTGAATGTGAGCAAGTCCCTTCAAATCAAAGTCACAAAAAAAAACTAATGGCGCTGCAGCGAAACTTCCGGTTCCTGTCTGTCCTTGGATTTACTGCAGTGCTTATGTGCACCTGGGAAGCTGTCCTCTTGTAAGTAAAGGCTGATTGATATACTTGAATGAAACATGTCTTTATTCTGACCAATAACATTAGCGGTTCATCCTATGGTTTGACTAATGGCGGCAAAGGAGGTATGATCTACACCTACTTAGGAGCCCTGGCAGGGTTCAGCTTTGTGATTTTATCTATGGCTGAGATGGCTTCCATGTATGTTGACCTCCTGCTCCTGACAGGATCATGCAATATGCAAGAGCTGATTCTTTTTTTGATCCTTGCAGGGCCCCCACATCCGGTGGTCAGTATCATTGGGTGTCAGAGTTTGCGCCCCCAGGGTCTCAGGCCATACTGAGCTACATCACTGGTTGGATCTGTGTGCTTGGCTGGCATACCGGTATTGCAGGATGTTGCTACACTGTCGCTAATATGATGGTGGGCGTGGTTGCTATCAACTATCCTGAGTCATATGTCTATGAGCCATGGCATGTCACACTGCTCGTCATTGCGGTGGCCTTGGTAGCCTTGCTATTTAATACCTTCCTAGCACAGAAGCTTCCTTTGATCGAGGGCATCATCTTGATTGTACACTGCTTTGGCTTCTTTGGTATCCTGATCCCTCTTTGGGTTCTGTCTCCAAAGGTGCCTGCTTCTGAAGTGTTTGGTTCCATTGAAGATCGAGGCGGATGGGGTAACAACGGTCTTGCATGTCTGGTGGGACTGACTGGGCCCATCTATGCTTTGATTGGTATGTACCCTATGGATTATTATTACATAGATTAAAGCTAACAGCGTCTTTTGAATAGGCCCTGACTCGGCAGTCCATATGGGTAAGTTCCCCGCTGACCCCGAGAAATTCAAATGCTAATCCCGAAATGCAGCCGAGGAAATTCGAGACGCATCCCGAGTCCTCCCTATGGGCATGGTCTGGACCTTGATATTGAACGGCTCCACTGGCCTCGTCATGATAATCACGCTCGCATTTTGTGTGGGTAATATTGATAACGTGCTATCATCCGAGACGGGCTTTCCGTTCATCCAGGTCTTTCTAAATGCTACCGGATCAGTTCCTGCCACAACAGGCATGACGGTTGTGATAATGATCATGCAGTTCTGTGCAGCGATCAGTAACGTCGCAACAACCTCCCGTCAAATTTACTCTTTTGCCAGAGACAAGGGCCTTCCATTTTCCGATTTCTTCTCACAGGTTTGGCCTATCCATATCTTGACAATCAGTTGTTCAAACTAATGTGTGCTTAAAAAGGTCAACCCGACATTCACTGTTCCACTCAATGCGCTCTGCGTCAGCCTCGTCATCGTCTCTCTCCTTTCGTTGATCAACATCGGATCATCTGTGGCTTTCAATGCTATCATGTCACTTGGTACAGCTGCGTTGCTCTCATCATACATTATTTCCATCACGTGCGTTCGTATTCGACGCTGGCGCAATCAGCCTCTACCCCCTGCACGGTGGAGCATGGGCAAATTTACGCCTATTTGTGATACCATTTCTATCATGGTCTTACTGGTGATATGGCTCTTTAGCTTCTTCCCCCTGACCAAGGAGGTTAATCCTACTACCATGAATTGGAGTGTTGCCATATTTGGGGGAGTTATTATGATTTCGATGGGTTACTACGTGCTTTACGCCCGGAAGACCTACAAGGGTCCAGTGACACGGGTGAAGATGATGCACCAACGATGAGTCGACAACTAATATGTCTAGTTAATCAAGATTAGTAGGGGATTGGAAAACTGTGTAACTCAATTTATTTGTTTTGTGCATAAAAAATCAATCTTTTCTGACAAATGCGTATCCAGGAATGCATTTCATTGTCTAGGGCCTGGCGCGTTACTCATGGGCTGCAGGGAACTCCCAGGTGCGAGTACCAAGTCTGGCGCTACGCCGAGATCCCCATTAAAAAAGGTCAATCACACAACAGAATCTACGGGCCCAAGGCACCTGAAATCAAATTAATCTAATATGGCTTCTAATGGCGAGGCGTAAGAGGCTCCACTACGATGATCGTCTTTTTCACAAGTGATAGAAAGACTGTCATCTCTGGCCTAGGATCATTGGTCGGCCATATTTAACATCCTTGTCATTCATCGATGCCTGTTTCGAGTACAAAATGCAGCTTTATTCAAAATATAATATTTAATTCTTTGACCTGGCACGCTAAACAGATTCAGGGCCATTGTTGAAACCGCCACCTAGTTCGGTCTTTGAACTTCCGAAGCCTGGCCTCGACAAAGGCGATCCGATCCACCTTACCCCGGAATAAGTGAAGATATGAAGGGCCAATTAATAACGCTTTTTAATTGATTTGGGTCAGACCATGGAACAAGAAGCTTGAAACTAGGGAAATGTCATGAATGTTTTGCAGCTATGTCGGTTTCTTTGACGTGCAGTTCGATCTCGGGTGGCACTTGGCTCACCCATATATTTCATTCCCTGCCAGTCCACACTTCATCTTCTTTGTTTCATTATAGCACCGAAGACTTAAATATGCCCCGAGAATATATTTGGATTGACTGTTATTCTTTTACCCCTAGCCCTGATTGTGCTAATTCCATTGACATAAGTCTCGACGCATTTAGGTCCGCTGCGTCTGTGATCACCAGACTACCTCGCATTGTGCGATTTTCAAAATTGATACTAAATAATTTATGACTTTTCTTTGAGGTTGGCTCGGGTGGCTTCTCTATCTCTTCTTTTATCGAGTTTTGGCCCAGTTGTCCCTCAGGAATGTCTAGTGTGATTCTTTGTTCTGGGACGTATAAGTAACCCTCACCTCTTCCTGCCGATGAGTCTAGTTCCTATGGATTTGAGCTTCTCAGCATCACAAACAAGTCAGATAAATCCATTCTGTTTTCATCATGTCGGAGCAGAAGTTTTCGCCTGTCACTCCAGTCCCGAATAACAATATGAGGGAGGTGCTGGAGCGATTCAAGCAACGTCGCCTCAAGTCTGAGGCAATATTGAGAGCTTTGAAGGAGCAAGACGCAGCCATGGGATTTGGTTCCTTCAATGATATGCCTCAGCTTCGGAGATCAAATTCCCAGGAAGCGGATGAAAAGAAGTCCCGAGTCGACTTTGCCCTGAAGAACTTTACGAACACGCTTTCTAGAACGCTGGGTTTCCTGGAGATTCCTTTCCTTGATTATCTTGCCGCGACAACCACGATGTCAGTGGTATTGGCCATAGACCATGAAAGGCAAAAGGTACCGCAACACCAAATTATTCTCATTACTAGTACATGCTAATCCTAACTGTTACCGTTTAGATCCGATTTCCAGACCTCGCTGATTCCGAGCCCAAGAATGCGGAGTATGAAGATCTCGAATTCTACTTCCATAAGATTGGAGAAGCAGTAATTGACGGAGGTGAAGATCTGGATGTAAGTAGATTAACTTGGCAGAAATAACCTGAAGTTATATGCTGACTTGAATAACAGGATGCCTCCCAATTTACCGAAGAAACCTCAAGCTTGAGACACACACTGGCTCTTGATATCATCAGACTAGGATTGCGGCAGCTGGCCCAGGCGCAACTGGAGTCGGGGAAGAGGTCCCTTTGGTCGTGAAATTTGGAATAATGTCTGTTCGTGATCAGTCGATCATGATGCCGAGAACGAACTACTTCGAGTGTATGCTTAGCTAGATTTGCTTCGTTTTGTATTGCTTTCCGTGATTGAATTTATCCCAACAATGTAACTGTTTGTCCTACTTTATCACTCGCACTTCCCGAGAAATTACCAAAACATGCGACAACTGTTATTCCAGGTTGCGTCCGCAATTTGATCGAGTGTAGTCCCTTTCAGACCCGCCACCACAAGACCAACTCGTTCGATGGTGCAGCTCTCATTCCGAGTCTTGACCATTTGCCCAAGAATAAATTTGTTAGGCTTTCGACTGGGTGGCAAGGGCCTTGCCGCTGCCAAGTAAGGCTCAATACTCGGATCATTGCTCAAGATCTCACACCAGGGAGCATCAGTTTCAAGTTGCAATCTTTCCAAAGGAATATGCTTGACCATGTCCCGTTGCTCCTCTGTGCGGAATGATATGCCATTCACACTGATATCAAGACCCAAATCTACCAATTTGAGCATTTCATCCCTCGAGCCAGCGAAAGAGTGAACCAAGCCCCGCCGAGGCAGTCGTGGGAGGTAAGGTTTGATTATGGAGATGAAGTCTTCAGTGGACTCGCGCACATGCAAGAAAAGAGGGAGTTGGAGCTTTATGCCCAAATCTAATTGATCTCGGAACGCGCGTTGTTGTGTTGATCTATCTGCGCGATCAAGATAGACGTAATCGAGGCCAATCTCTCCGAATGCAGCAAGTGGGGAATTTTTCTCCGCTAAGAGTGCTTCTCCCGTCTCCTGAAGCCAGTTGAGATATGAGTTTGAGACATCATCAGGAGACTGTCCATCATATATCTCGGCTGCATGGTATGGATGCACCCCGAGCGTCATTTTGCACATCTTGGGGAACTTTCTCACGAGCTCGAGGTTTTTCTCAGCACCGCTACGTGACATTGTAGTCAACATGATCTTTTCACAATCATATTCCTAGCGGCTGTCAGTCAAAAATAATTCAAGTTAAAGTGACAAGATGGTTAAAAAATACCTTTGCTCTCTTTAGGACTTCTTCATAGTCGGGTTGGTGATATTGTTTGCCCTCGCGATAGATACCACCGAACTGGTCAGCAGTGAAGGTGACGGCAACCTTGACATCAGCATTCAGCGGCTGTCGGCAGCAGAGACTGGGGAAAATTTCCTGTCCTTACATCAAAGTACCTCCGGGCTGGTGTTTGAGCCATCGTGTCCACAAGTTGCTGTTGTGTGTATTTATCAAGTCATGATTTTTCTCCGATCTACGGATGAAGCCCATGTCACGTGACTATGGGGCTCCCTGCCCGACTCCGACTCAGTCCATTTCCGAGTCTTTTTGTAATTTGAAGGATAGAAACTAAGGCTGGAGGAGGGTAAAAACTATTCTTGGTTAAGGAGAAAAAAAACATAAACAAAATTGGGCGCAAAGTTCCGACAAATGGGCGTACGCTTCGCTTGTGTCGGGGACCTTTTACCCGAGATTAGATGTAGTGTAAAGCGGCCATCACCTACTTGTTGATCCTTGAATTACATTTGTTGGTGACTGATATCTAAACTGGTAATTTAATTGAAAGATCTGTAGTCAAAGGTAGTAAATGCATATTTTGATCCATCTATACCTTGTTTAAAGTAAGGCTTTGTTAAAAGGATAATGATGTGGCCGTCACATAAGATCCATTTTCTCAGTATGAGTCCATCTTCCGAGCTCTCAATTCATAACTGAAACATTTAAATCCCCTCAAGAGCTCTCCAGAAAATATTAGAGTCGCATTGGGCTCTTCTTGAGCTTATCTGCCTTTAAATTGATCAATAGGATGTCTAACATGCATTTCATTATATTCGAAGCAGGAATCGCCTAAGGGTCTAAAACACCATGAAAGAAGCTTTCACGACAAGACTCTCTACAGAATTCGTAACAAAGCCATTCTACATCAACTAAAGTACTTAAGCCCATCAGAAACACCAAAACACTCATACCAGGTTACATTCTAACTACAGATCCCAAACATCAAAACCAAAACAATCCATCTCCCTCTACCTAACCCTCAAAAACCCCCAAAACCACAAAAATGACCCCAACCCCCTCAAAACTCTTCGTCAACATCAACCTGTCACACATAAACCCGAGTATACCACCAGCCCAACTCCTACGAGACCTAACCCACGAACTGAAGGAAGAAAAATTCTACCTCACCCACTTCAACGATGCCGAGATTAGTCCGCAAGTAGTCTCTATCGAGATTTCATCGCCGGAGAGGTTATTGCCTGGGGAGGACTTTCCGGCTCAAGTTGGTGCTGTGGCTTTGGAGATTGTTAAGGAATGGCAGTATTGGTGTGGGGAGGGGGGGCTTCTTCCGTTTTGTTGGACTCAGGCGAGCCTTGGATGTTGTGAGGGGTGTATGCCGGTTCATTATACGTGACTCATGGGGTTAGGAGAATTAGTCGGCTGTGTTTTGTTTTCGTCAACGGATGATAGTATTCGAAAAAGTCTTGGAGAGAAGAATCAGGTCGACCTTGTCGAACAACTGTTACTCATCTATTGGCGGTTGACGCTACAATTTGAGCAAAATCCAAGTAAAAGATGATGATTTCAAAGAGGCCAAAAAATCATGATGATTGTACAAGTAGGTACATGGTAGGGGGTATATAACACAAAGAGTGTAGGTCATAGTCTTGTAGGCAGAACAGAATATCAAAAAGTAAAAACAATGAGCAAAAACCAAGAAATTGTGTATATACTTCGTAAATCAATCGACGCCAACCCAAGTCAATCATGAAAAGTAAGGAAAAGACATTTTCGCTACGAAAAATCGCTCAACGCGGATATAAAGAAAAAGAAATCAACAAAAATAGAATGCGGAGAGCAGGGATGACCAGCCGATATCACGCTCAAGCAAAGCGCCAGCCCGAATCTTGCGAGCCTTGACGCTTCATCACAGACCTGAGCAAACTATCCTTACCCCGTGGGGCGAAGGGATTCCGCTCATGCTTGCGCTTCTGCTGCTTAAGCAATTGCTCAGCGGCATCGACGTCGATGCCCTCGCCAGTATCAGTGATTTTAAGCGCCCACTTGACATCGTCCTGGTTGAAGCCCAGCTCATTGACCATGCGAGAAATCGCTCGATCAACGGGGTCTTGGACCTGTGGACGGAGAGCCGGGGGGCGCGAGGACTGGTTGGAGGGGTGGACTGCGGGGAATGGGGAGGTTTGATTCGGGGGTTAAGGAGCGTGGTGGAGTGCGGCTGGGGGTTCGGGGGCCTATACTGGCTGCTGTGGAGGAGGAGAGTCGGTCGAATGATAGGGCTGGAACGGGTGGGACGGGCGGTGCGTCGCGTGGCGTTCTTCCGTCGAGGTTATGTACGATTGTGCTGAACTCTGACATGGGTCGCTCGTCGGCGAAGGATGTACCTGGTGCACCCTCGCGACTTGGTGGACCGCGAAGACGGCGAGTGCGCAGCTCTTCTTGGAATTGCTTACGGCGCTGGAAAGATTGGGGTTGAGGGTAGGCGATTTCCTTGGGGCTGCTGGAAGCGAGGGAACGCTCTAGCTCTTCGTAGACACGGGAAACGGCTTCTTTCAGGAAGGATGAACGACTGGTCTCAGTTTCGGTTGGCTCCCATTTGGTTAGGCCATTGGATTGGGCCTTGGTGAAGGTGGCGGTGGTGGCTTCGGCGGGGCAGAGCGAGCTGAGAGTCAAGACGGCGGAGAGCCCAAGAGTAAGCACGTAAGATGTCCACTCCTCTATTGATTATGAGTTAGTAAAATATTCTTCAAACAAGCTTTTACTTTGTCACTTCTTTACTTACCTAGTGCAGTCTCTTCGCGAACGGTATCGCCCTCGGGAATATCCAGTCCTTGGAAGATACCCGCGTTTCTAGCCTCGACACATTTGCCGTGCAAAGGCTGCAACAGTACGCCGAGACATGTCCAGATCTCCGTCATGTCATACAGCTGCTTCGCAGAGAGGCCAGCGACGCTGTTTCCACGGGCGAAACCCTCGGGTGGCTCAAACAACACATTGTTCATACCAAAAGGCTCCGTCACGGTGGAAGATGCTCCAAATGAGCTCCGGGCCTTTGGTCCACCCTTCAACCAATCCATCTGACCTTCCAAATCATTTTCGCGACCCTTGCCACTTCCAAAGATGCGACAGAACGTCCATATTCGCCAAAAAGCATCGTCTACTTCCTCGGCGCGAACAATATCCACGCCGGACAGACCCCTGACTGTATCCCGACGCAAGAATGGCGAGCAGCGAACTAAGATCATAGACTTCAGCTGCGCGAGCGTATAAATATCGCAGGCATAGCGATCCAAGTACGACTCCGGGGTATACTCGGGCAGCGGCGTATCCGGCTCTAGCAGGAGCTGCCACTCATTCTTCCATGGCGGACTCATCTCGCGCAACTCCCACGCGGGCGGCGACATACGGAACAGCGCGCCCTTGATGAAGAAAAGCTCGCGACGCTTGAAAATTTGGTAGAAACGCTTGTTAACAAGGACGAAATTAAATAGATCGTCCAGTGAGTCGATCCGCCCCATGATCAGAACGATCAGATGGTCCGGCATCTCGATGGGAAAATCGACGGGCATGTGTGACTGTTCCATAAACATGGCTGGCATCGAGGATGACGGAGAGGGCGGCGTTGCTGCAAGCTCGTAGATCTGTTCGGGAGGAAGTTGCACACTACTCGCCTGTGCCGTCGAGACAAAGGCCTGCGTATGTCGCAGCCATTCGCTGGCGACGAGTTCACTCGCAACGAGCATTTTCTCATCCTCAGGTGGTATGATGCGCAGCTGAAGAGTCGACACTTTTGCATCGCCCCTCGGCGAGGCGACGGCCTGCGCGGGGTGGGGATGTTGATGTTGCACTGTCTGCGTGGGGCCGGGGGCGCAGAACGAGGGGGCGGCCCCTGGCATTTGCTTTGGTTGTGGTGGTTGTGGCTGCTTCTCCCGCTCGTGTTGTGTTCGTGTTAGAGCGAGGAGTTCCTCCTCGATGCTGAGCGGTTCGAAGGGATTTTGGAAGGCGAGATCTTGAGTCTGCAGGCGCGGGAGTTGCAGAAGGAGATCGGCCCGCTTGGAGGCCGCGCCTGCGTCCAGATCCTCGTCCAAGTCCAAACTGGGATCCGAGTGTGAAGAAAGTCGTGGGGGCCCGTCCGGGCGGGCCTCGGTGGATGTGTGTGGGTCGAGCAGGGAAGTTTCCGACCGTGAACTCAGTACGACGCTCAGACGGGGTTCTTGCAGAGTCGGGGCCCGAGTGTGATGCGTGCGCCGGAAGGATGGCATCGTCAGAGTGAAGGATTTCTTCATCTTGGGTGATTTGAAAAAGTCGTCGGTAGAGCGAGAGATGGAGTTGGAACTTCTGAAAGACAACTTGGCCTCGTCCTTGAGTTTGGGGGTCTTGGGGGTTTTGGGGGCGGCCTCGCCTTTGTTCTTGGATTCCTTGTCGGGGAGGGGAGGAGACGGCCTCTCTTTGGTCGAACGGAGGGCTTTGAGCGTGGCCGACCGGGGACTTATGGCATCGTCAAATGATTTGACCTTTGTGTGGAAACTCCTGCTCTTCTTAAATGATTTGGATGAGTGCGCTTGCGCTTGGGAATGTGGCTTGGTTGAGGGGGGCAGTGGTGCTGGTCGCGTTGCGACTAGATCACCATTGTGTCGACTGATCTGCAGCGGTCCGTCGAGCACTAGCAGGGTCCGTTGCTGCATATGCGGGTCTCTGGCAAGGTCGGCTAGGGCGAATTCCAATTCTTCTGCAGCTTGTGCTAGCGTTGGGATATGGCGCAGGCGCTGCCCATTGCTAGCCTCTGACCACTCTGAGCGACGGCCCCGACGGGATTGAACGGGGTCACCGCTATTACGGCCCCCAGCGCATTCTCCACAGTTCTGACAGGCTTGCCCGGATTGCTTCCAGTGTGTGCTTGTTGAATGACTCAAGTTATGATGACGATAGGTTGAGTGAAATCCCGTTGATAGCGAGGCTTCAGTCGTCGCAGATTGCTGAGTGTGGTCATGGCGGCGGATCGCTAATGGGCTGGGCTCTTGGACAGGCTCAAGAGGGAGAGGCTTGTTTTTGTAATCATTCAAGGAAATTCTGGAGGACATTGAGGTGCATCGAGATGGCGGCGTTGGGCTCGACGAATAGATTGAGCTCGCTGCATACTCTGGACCGGGTGACGTTGCAGATGGCACGCCCGATGCAAACGACGGAGCCCGCGATAGGCCCCGGGACGGGCATGCCGAAGCAGAGTCATCAAAGACACCAGCTGCAACGGGGGAGAGGATGGAGTATCGATCGAGTTCCTTTGCAGCCGGGCTGAAACACTCTGTCCCAACACTGGTGATAGAACTCCGACGACTGTAGCAGGACGAGGCACAGTCAAAGACATCCTCTGATCCTGATCCCGAGGACGAACCTGGCTTGTGCTCCAAGGCTTGATCCACGTCGGTCGATGGGCTCTCGACGGCATCGGCCGAGTTCTTATAGAGGATGTGGACCCGCTCGTGGAGTTCGGACTCGAAGATCGACGAGAACTCGATTGGCCTCAGGTTCTGTTGATCGGCACTGGCATCAGCACTCATCGGAGACACGACTGCGAAATTGGCAGATGATAGTTCGGGGAAGAAACGACGTAAGGCTGCGCCAGATCGAGATGCAGCAGATGGGCGGTCGTCAGATAAGGGCGAAATGTCGGACTCCTCGTCATCGGAGGTACCAGGTGTATCAAGAACGATAATTGTGCGTAGTGATCCTTGAGGAGAAACAGATCGAGTCTGTGTAGACCGCTCCGGTGAGGTTCTCTTGGACGTTGTAATAGCGGGTCGTGTTTGTTGATGGTGGTTTCTTCGAGTAAGAGACCGTCCTGTGGTCTTCATCTTCTCAGGGCATTCAACGTGATATTCTTTGGCAGCCTCAATTGAGAGGCTTGCTAAGGGAATTTCCATCTTCAACGGCACTTCTTGTGATCCACTGTCTTTGTTCCCTTTGTTCCTCTTGGCCTTCGATGAGCCTGAAATACTCCCCCGCACGGCTCTGGGGGGCGGGCCCATCAGACTGATATCTTTTTGGACTTGAGCATGGAACAAACGGCAGTCGAGTCTCAGTGGCGGTGGCAGTCGAGTTCCTTTCTTGTTCTTCTGCTTTGTGGAGTTTCTGCGTGGGCGAACGAATGGAAAGGATCGGGGGGACACCATCTTGGCCGAATTCAAATATCCTGGTCCAGTGAGGGCTTAATGCCCGGGCATTCTCAAAAGAAACTGTCTTTGTCTGTGATCTAGATTTAGGTTCTGGTGCCATGGGTATGTTCGTCTTCTTGGACGGGAGTGGTGCTCTAGAAGAAGTATAAACAAAGAACGTACCGGATATCGGGGAGCCAAAGGGCCTATCAGATGGTTTCTGGTGATGCCAATCTGCAGCGTGGTCTCTTTGTTGCGAGTCTGCAATGACTCGTCTGATCTGCTCAGGTGGTTTGGCAATTTCTTTGCTCTGTATATTGGAATGTTGCTGTATCTTCGTTTGATAGTTGCACGACGATGCCCAAAGCAGAGTAGATCACCGTCGAGTCGTAAGCAGGAGAAAAGATGAGAGGAAAGGTGGAAGAGAGAGATTCCTTGCAGGGGATTATGTTTTAGGGCCAGAAGATCACTGATGATGGGGGCGAGTACATAAACGACTGATATTGTCACTGGTTTGCTCGTGAATCGAGTCCTGATTCTGCTTAGGCCCCCGAATAAGCAGTTGGTTTTCTTAGTGGATCCGCGCTGCAGGCCCCCGTTACGATCGGTACGGCCCCGTATAATTCGTCTAACTAAAGATCATCAACCAGTCACAATGTCGCACGGGCTGCTGCTCTGCAGGAACTCATTCTGCGACCGGGCGATCGGGGCCAAAATCCTTGTAAATAAAGATACAACAGCCCCCAACTACTACCGGTTCAAGTAAGTGTAAGTCCAGAGTAGCTGATGGAGAAACGATCCTGGCATTACAGACTAGTCACTACGTAGTTCTATTCATGTAGTCCTTTTATGGTATCTTTCTCTTCCTCACAGCTATACTCAGCATTCTTCATCTCCATCAATATACCAAATTTAAACTCGAGAATTTGCCTTCTCCCCTCGTATATCGCGGGCGGGCATGGCTATTCTTATTCTCGCGTTCCAAGATCGGCAACGCCCATTGCTTGTCCGGGGAATACGATCGCCCGTTAACACGAACTGAGCGACTGAGGAATCGTAAAACAAAAATAACTGGCCCGACACGAGCCGCCACACGAGATGGCGTGCATGGACGCCCCCTTCTTGGCCCGGGGAGTACAACTGACAATAGGAATGTTAACTTAGTCAGCTCACGAGCTAAGGGAAGTAAGTATACGAAGTTGGTGCTTCAGGATAAACTATCCGCTTCGTCGTGCCCGAGTACAGACTCCAAACTCCTACGACTGTGCTCTCTGTACAGTATAGTATATTCCCGGTATTAATTATTTCATCTGTTATATGCCAACTGCTAGCTTTGGCCCGATATTCACTCTCGATCAATCCTTGGGGCCAGCCCCGGCCCCAAATGGGGCGTGTTGGTTAACATGGCCCTTGTATTATTTGTATGGAGTAGCCTTTGGGTAGTTGAATCCATCAAGATGAAGTAGTCAAGTAGACGTTTACAAAATCCACTCTGCCCGCTGCTAGACATACAACAGACCTCAAAAGTATGAATTCTACATCCGATAAGGGAAGGAGTGCGTACCTGGCCCCCAGCCAACAAGCCCCAAGTAATAGAAGCGCCCTACGCGACATCCTCGTGGCTTGCAACTAGTTAATCAACGAGGAGAAGGAATATCCTTCCATCTTTCACCATCCTTCATGATCCTTCATGATCCTTTGTGAACTAGATATGAAGTATAAGGGTACTATGGAGTACTTGACGACGAACATCAATCCCTCGCGAGTATTGCCCGACGCATAACATGACAGTTCTGTCCCACGTTCGCCTGAGTCAGACCTATCATCATGTCATCCCTCGGTGCGCTTATGTCAATGATTTTCGCACCCTTCACACCAAAGCATTAATGTAAGCCAATTACTGGCTCCTCGTGGCGAACCAAACGGTACGGCATTCGAGGATTTGCCGCCCCCAAGGGGCCGAATCCATCGGGTTCAGTTGTCGTCACCGTCATCACATATTGGCTTAGCAATTGTGGCCTTTGAAGTACATTTTACAGGTCAAGAAAACCATGCACAAAAGTTGCGTGTGCCATGTGCAGACGCAATTTAGTTTTTGTACATCCCTCTGGTTTTGAAACAGAAGCGACAAGGTCTACCCGGTCGGAAGATGCATGCGAACCCTGGCGTGGATCTCGGGGGCACCGGGGGCTGTTGACTGTTGGTTGTACCCCAAATAATACGAAACGATCATCAGTATAAGAAGGAAATCCTATGGGAAAACAATGATATTCATACAGGATATCCAGACTAGCTGACATTTTGAAGAAGAACCAGCCCTATATTTCCTTGACATCATTGAGTGGACAATACTCTCTATCGATCTACCCCATTGGCCACGGCAGCTGTCCATGCGATGACCGATACAAATCCAATTGATATAAGCATCAACCTGGCCAGTGAAACGTGCTGTAGGGCAAATGAATTTCAAACAGACCAGATCATGGCCCTTGAGCTATGCATGAACTCTCCTGCCTTACTGATTTCCACTTGTAAGCTTCATTTCCACTGCTGACAGCCCCCATGAACTCCGTCCCATCTGTATCAGCTGCTATAATGGGGCCTGGGGCGAGAGGGGCCGGGGACGAGGATGTGGTATACTTCTTTTGCACATGGCAGAGGAGGCGTTGATAATTATTCAAATCTACATGCCACGTACACCATAAAAGTAGATGTGCAATCCTTAACTTGAGGCTTTTCTTCACAAGGCTTGCGGGATTCAAACCTCCGATGCAACATGAAGGCTGGCCCCCTGCTAACCTTGCCAGCAATAAGGCAAAAGGACACTTATACTGTTCACTAAGGCTACCACAATGGGGCTACCGGCTTTCGGTCCAAGAAGCGAAACAGACAGACAAACACAATTCTCGCTATTCTAACCGATCGATCTATCACGTCTAGAATGCCATGTATCCAAACCACAACCCATGTATGGATCCATAGACGAAGCTCTCTCTAATATTTCTCTCCTCCACGATCCTTCGGCCGGTCGGGCGTTGATCCTTCCAGCAACCTGATTAAAGGATTTACCCGGACATCAAGCTCAGGTAAACAGCCCATACCACACCGAAAAGACTGGCCACCAGCAGTCGCTGGTCGACCGGGACAACGGTGAAGTTGAGAACCGATACAAATGGCCAGAGCTTGAAGCCGGCGATCATGATGGGCCAGAATTCCTAATGACATCATATATCAGCCCCCGTTGGTGTACAATTACATTCATTAATAATGTATCGGAGAGTGGTGGCCGGGCAGGTCCACCATTATACTCGCGTGGCAATGCAGATCCTGGGATCTCACCCCCACCAGTGCGGTGCACAGCTCAAGTACATAAGCTAGACCCCTGCCCGCCCCAAGCCCCAGGGGCCATGGCCCGAAGGATGAAAGTTTCGATGGGAAATATGGGGCCAAGTGATATCACACAAGCAAACTTACCTCACGGATCTGTGTGAGAACAACTTCATGATGCTGGCCACGCAGAAGGCCCATGGTCAAGATGAAGAGCACCGTGTTCCACGTGGCGCCAATGATTTGGTCAATCACGATTTTGGTGACGGTGTTGGTGACGTTCAGTGCTGGCTTTGAGGTAGCCGGGTCTGGTTGACCTGTCTTTATTTCGTGCTTTGAGGCTGCATCTTGAGGGCGTGTGCCTGGGAAAGTTGCTTCCAGGTTGTTTTGCCAGATGTAGTTCAACGGTGTGGTGATGAGGCCGCAGGTGGTGAATTGCATCAAAGCTTGAGTGTCAAGTTCAAAGGGGATCTATGAAGAGGTTAGTATCCACTGTTGATCGAGATTGAATTGCTCTTAGAAGAAAAGGATGAGGATCCTTGTTCTTCTAATGGTGTGGCTTCCATCTCGTTGATTTTTGGCACCCCTCGTGCGTATCAACCCCGCATTTCATACTGGAGAGGCATCCACTAACATATCTGGCCTCCCAGTTCCTTAACAGAGAGGGAAATAACCAGCAACGAATCAAGGAATATACTCACATCATTCCTGTAAGCCTTGATGGCCTGCGCCAACACATTGGCCCCGGCATTAATGACCGTGGCCTGAAGCGTGGCCTTTGCGATGGGTGGGACCGACATATTGTCTGGAGCTCGCGAGCACAGCAATAAAACCTAGGTAGTTTGTGCACTTTCGCGACAGCCTCAAATCTGCTTGCAAGATTACCCAATCTGACCGCACACACTTCTGACCCTGATTTCGAGGTTGACTCAAGTTTCAACTGTCCGGAACCACAATTCAGGGTTCAAGACACCCTGTTCTTAGTGGGACTCACCGGCCGGGAGGTGACTAACCGTAAAGGTACAAGTCTTGACTGCGCCGACCCGCACTAAACCTGGAGCTGATCTCCACCTCTCGTCAAGCTTAGCTCTGTGCTAATTTTAGGTACCACGGAACGAGGCTTGTTTTGGATGGCACGATGCAACGGTCGAAAGATAAAAATGGGAACGAAGCGGATGGACTGGATACGAGAAAAATGAGTCGTGCGATAGACTTGGTGGAGTTTCGAATGATTGATGATTGCTTTTCTTTCCACCGCGTGCTGCAGACTATACGTGTGCAAATCCAGTAAATTGGTAGACATTTCATGTCATCAACAGTCCGTGTTTACCGCAGAAGGTTGGTATGGTTTCCTGGTGGAAGTTTTGCTTCTTGGATAACCTACGTCTACTACCTTATAATCTAAGCGTAGCCTGTCCAGTCTCTGCCACATAGTTACTCTTAAAATATATATTCATCAAAGTTGTTCATAACCAAGTGGAGTACCTCAATACATTTCACTCGTTATGTCGGGCATGCAACAACAAATTATGTCCTCGTCACTTATAGACTTCCTTCAATTCCAAATCTCCAATGCTATTTTTATGGTGCAACTGTAAGTACCACCAGAACATGACCTGTCGGTTGAACAGTGATGAGAGAGGCCGATCGCCTCGATGGAAACAGCCGGGGCAGATGACCCTCTTTGGAGAAAGAAGTGTAGGATCCAACGAGGATGACTCTCACAGAAGACCACCAAGCATGATTTACCCCTCCTCATATTCACCGGCCCATCTAGCACCTGTCAATCTTGCTGATTACCAGTCGAGACTGCCCGAGCCATTGCCGGATCCAGAGCCAGAGCCGGAACAGTCAATTTCCTTGCAAACTAATCGAGATGTTAGTATAGATGTAGTGTAAAGTCTGATGAAGAATCTTACGCTGCTCTGCCTGTTGGAACAATGAGCTTCCCTTGGGTTGACGCATAGCCGGAAGAATCTGACCACCGCTCTTCTTCTCCAGTCTTGCGTGTTCTTGAAGCTGTTCCAGAATCCGTCGAGTATTGGAACTATTCTCAACAGGTGAAGTTGTGACTGACTGAAAACCAGTCTCAATGCCCTGCATAAAGCCTTTAACGGACCCTGCAACCGCACTTGCGAGTTGATTCTCGTTGATCCCGGATTTAGACGACAGATTGAATAAGTCATAGCGAACCTGGGTAATTGATTCAGATGCGGGCAAGTAGGAAATAGAGACCCAAAGAGGGGCATTCTCAAAGGAATAGAGAATGTTCACAGGGAACAAGTGACAATCTGCTCGGCTGTTGTGCCGTGTGATGATTTTGGTAAGCTTGGATGCAAATGAAGGTAGTGACGCAGCCGAGACAATTTCTTCAAGCCGGGCAGTGACATCTGTGCAGTATTGAGGGCTCACTAGAGATAAATGAGTCAATATTTGAGAAAAAGTAGATTTCTCTCGGTCAACTTACTTCCAAACTTCCAGTTAAACGTCCCAGTCAGTGTCTGACCAGCAAGCCAAATTGATTTTGAGCCAAGGCCAGCAATTTTTACAAAGCCATCCAAACTTGAAGCAGTAGAGTCAGGGAAAGGAGTAGGCTGTCCGGTATCAAGGTTGACAAAAACCATTCCATGGTCAGTAGTATGCGTGTGAATCTCAAAAAGACTATTCTCAGATTTGTTAAAGCCAGGGATACCGTCAAACTGTGGTGCTTTGACTAATCGGCCAGTAGTATCGTAACTCCATCCATGGTAGCGGCAACCGAGCACAGTAGATGTTCCGGTCTCTTTCCTGGTAATTGTATAGGCGCGGTGTCGACACACATTGTGGAATGCTCGAATCTTATTATCCTTGCTGCGGATCAAGAAGATCGGAAATCCAGCGATATCAAAAGACTGATATGCCCCGGCCTTGCTAAACTGAGTGGTATGGGCAAGATACAGCCACGACTGCAGAGGCAGTTAGTAAGTCTCAGTCAAAAACTGTGTGCTTATCGTACTTTGCTAAAGATAGCTCGGCGTTCCAGTTCAAAGACCTCACGACTCGACCACCATCCCTTAGGAACCTCTGGATCCTTGGAAACTGTTAAATCGTTTTCGTCATGTACCTCGGAGATCTCGCCGGAGAGTTGATAAGTTTTCTTTCGATAAGAAAGAGATGGCCATGACTGGTGAGCCAAGAAGATCAATGCCAATAAAGCCACGATCACCGAGCCGGGCGATAAGAAATAGGCACTCAGCAACTGCATGACTTTGAATCCACGATAGTGAAGTATCTATCAAGGAAATGTTTTTATCACTTTGTTTGTTGTTCGTAGGCACCTTCATCTGATATAGATCGCAGCTCAGAGGCCAAAGTGCATAAACCCCACATAATACAGTTCACCCACGGCACCACATGTAGTACCCCCACTCTATCTAGCGATTTCCCGATTGAGTTACAATTTCCAGTCATCGGTAGATAGTATGCATCCGGCAGGCCAGCATAATCTTGATCCTTCTACACTTCCAGCATCCACATACCGCTTCTGGGAACATAGAAGCATAGTAGACGACATAGACACTACTTAGATACCAGGCCGTCATGAGTGGCTGCACCGGTTACCACTGATACAAACAATTCTGCTATCTATACAACTAATCTTACTGCTACATCACGTAAGGTGGTCCGCCAGGGAGATGATAGCAAATGCTAGAAGATTTTCTGGTGCGGTCTTAGCTTCAATAGTGACGAGTGATAAGCGGCGATATGCATTCTTCCAATAACTAAACGTCTGTAATGATAAGATCCCTAATACTACGCTAAGCTACCATCTGCAACAAAGATGGTGGAACCTGATCTTTTCGGCCAGAGTCATCATTCTGCCTAGACACTTGATCGGCCGTATGCTGCTCACAGACCATTTGGAAGACTCGCTGTTGGTAGTCTGGGGAGGACCAGATCAGTATAAGTCATAATATCAACTGAGCACTGAACTCACAAGAAACACCATTCTCCTTCTCCGGGTTCAAGATACCCTCGTGATAAACACCCTTAGCCAAATTATCCTGAGCCTTTTCGCAGAGCTCAAAGTCCTCCATAGCAACTTGGCGGACGAACTTGAAATACTCCTCGAATTTCTCACCCTCTGCCAAGTGGTAGTAGTCGAACTCCATGCGAGTCACTTGGGGATCCGAGGTCGGACACACCCGGAAAGACGACATACCGCCACCGTAGACGTTGAGTGTACAATTCGGAAAGAAGTAGAGGAATAGCCCATCATCGGGCTTCTTTGGGTCTGCAATATGCTGAGAGAAGTTGTGGTTGTTACGCACGGTGTAGAAGGTCGGTGGGTAGTAGACGGAGAATGAAGGATGAGTGTATTGGCAGTGCAAACACTCTTGATACCCGTCAACCCTGCAACAATGATATGTAAGAAGGCTGCAAAGAAAATACTTTCCCTTGCAATTCATGGGAATCTCACATGGTCTTCCAATTGAAGCGACCCTCATAACGAATGCTGCGACGATGGGGCAGACGAGTAAAGTCGACTTTGCCTAACAAGTCCTCGAGTTCTGGGAAGAATTCATGGAAAGAAGGTGCATCATCAGAAATTGTTGAAAATAGAAGGCCGGTCTTTGTCACATAGCAACACAATTCTTTCTCCTGCAAAGGCGAATAAGTCAACTGCATACAACGCAGGATTCTCGATAAACCTATACCGTCTTCGCATGAAACACCTTCAGTTCCTCAGCGAGAGGATTCAGAGTATCACCGGTCAAGCGAACCGCGTAAATAGGCTCCTGGGCGACTTCATAGCCGACATGCTCGCCTACCATCTGGAATCGAGTCACAGGACCAAGCAAGTACCAGGACTGGGTATATTCTTAGCTTCTGGTCATGGGATTCTCAGAGATGTGGCATACTTTCTTGAAGACCGCCCTGCGCTCCATTTGATAGAGTGGTCCATTGCAGTACCACGAGGCAGGCAAAGTGCGAGTAAGTTCAGTCATGATGGTATGATAGATTTTCTCGAGGTTCAGGTATAAATTCCAAAGAGGATATTGAGACACGATACTGATAGCAAATGAAGAAACCCGACTTTATAACATCTATCAAGCCTTTCTAAGTCCCTAAATGATACTGAGAGCTATCATCATTGGTAGCTACCCGCCTGGACCGAGCCTGGTGTCATCTGGTGAGTGGACGGTTTATCTATTCCTGAAAGAGTTATCGAATCCCTAGAGCCACACCAGCTGGTTCTGGCCAGAAATTCCCCCGCTCTAATGTGTCACGATAGAAGCTTAACACATAAGGCCCAGCGAATGATTATCTCTGGCCATGGAATGTCCAAGACAAGCTGATCGTGGCGTTAGTGTGGGTCGATAATTGCTGGTGGGCCAGGAACCAACAAGCCTTGTAGATAGCTCGCTGCGGAAAGTGCCGACAGTTAGAATTGGAAGAGGGGTCACTTGGTAAATCACATTAGTCCTTCGTGAGCTATTGATCTTGACATGAGAAGCTGCCAACAGTCCTTCAGGTCACGAAATCCCTTGCTGCACCGAAGCAGGTTTGCAGATTCTGGGAATTGCTAAACGACGATACACCCCTTATTCTGGTTAAGCGTTGTAATTGTATTGCTATCTTCTATGTTGGGGCCCCATAAGTTTGAAATCCCAACAAAATTTTAAAATCATCTTAGCACTCACTAGTTAAATGGTAACCGTGCTATCAAGAAAGATGTTTCGAAAGACATTTAGAAAGACCTCTCAAAAAGAGTGATAGAAGGGTGTCTGGTTGGTTCGTTTCTCTGTTTTTCGGAGCCAGACTTTTGAACTACTATAAGGGTATCCTAATAAGAAGATCGTATACAATCACGGCGCTAACTCTAAATGGTTGCCCATTTATCGTGTGATTAGCAATACCCCAGATTCTGGCCACCTGATGCATTGGCCGTGCATGGGTTATGGTGGCCTTTTTACTGGAGAAATAGGTGATGCAGTTTATTCTATGCCTGCTCATATGGCTAGAGTCAATTCGAATCCAAGTAGTTCCATGAGAAAGCAAATTTTCAAATGGCATCCAACATGATGTCAAGAATAGTGACCCGCCCGTTCGTGGTTAGCGGGGGTTGGCTGCTGCCTAGACCATAGGAAGAGTGAGAGTGGCGACGCGACTGCAGAAAACTAGAATCCTGCTCCAGGAATCAAATCAAAAGTGCGAGTCTGACAAGCAGCTTCGCTTTTTCAAAAGAAAGAGACCAAGTTCAAGACTCTGGTCAGTAAAGAAGACGCCAGAGAGAAGCCAAGCGGAGAAAAAGAGGGGGACCCATCGGCTGGCTTATCTTATCGCTGATCATTTGATCATTACGTCGTCTTCAGACTTCATCACTTGCATCTTGAACTGCTTCACCACCTCTACACTTTCGCCGATCGCCTCACCATCATGGCGGGCCCTGTTAAATACACACCACCGCCATCGCCACCATCACCGACTGCATCATTCTACGATCTAAGCGACGATGATGAAGGCGAGTACAACACCATCGCTCAGGCCCGATCTGGGCGGGGCGTGAAGCTGTTGTACTCCAAAAGCAAAGTACGATCTCCCACTGGCCACAGAATTGGTTTTTGTAGCTAATGAAGGATAAATACAGGTCTATGTGCACCCTACGCCCTCCGCAAAAGACAATATCCCTGGATTCATCGCCCTGATCCAGCAAAAACCCAAGCCAACTCTCCACCTCTCACCGACCGCGCCTTCCAACAAGGATGCTTCTTCATTTCTCCTTGCCTGGGTCCCTGAGGCTTCACTTGGTGACGCTTACAGCACCTATGTGAAAGTCGATCTAGCCGATGGCGATTCCCCACCCCGCCAGCGATACCTTGTTCCGCCCCTTCCGACCACCACCACACATAGGGATCCGATTGGCCTCTACTCCTTTGCTGTTCCTGTGTCGGAAATATACTCCCTGTTGGTACGGCCTCCGAGTCTAGGATGGTGGTTTGGAAGTGTGGTGATCAACACGCGATCGGGGGACAGCTTCCCTGCCTTGTTCTTCCACGACAGCGAGTGCGAGTCAACGATACTTCAGAAGAAAAAGCGTGTCAGGGAGAGTTTTGATCCATTTGATCACGATGGGGGTTTGTTTTGGGGTGGAGACGAGGTCTTGCGTTGGTTGAGGACATACGTGGAGGTACAGCGTTCAGCCGTTGACAAAAACGTGTATCTGATCAACCCTTCCGAAGAAGATCAGCTCTCCTTTGGACGAGGCCTCGTGGATGGTACGCTGTCTAAGGCCCAGCCAGAAGCTGCCGCTGCTGGGCCTAATGCGGCTGCGCAGCAGCGAGATGCCGGCATGGATCCGTTCATGAAGACCCTCAAAGAGACACGCTGGAAGGTGCTGGAGCAACTCAGCAAGATCACCACATTTACAAGGCGGACTGCCAACGAGATCGCCGACAATCCTCGCATTCCACCGCAAGTCCGACGCTTGATGAAGAACCCCGAGGTTCAGACGCTTCAGGATGAATTCGATAGCGCCCGATTGTATTTGGCGCGGTGGGCGATGAGCATTGCGGAACAGGGCGAAAAGGACCGGAACCAGCGAATCTGGACCGCGCAGGATGTTCTCGAATCAGAGAACAGTGCGGTTGGCGATTTCGAGATACTCGAGCTCGAGACTGGCAATTTAGCCATTCAAGAGCGACGACGAATCGTCACGCTTGCCGAGTGGGAAGGCTTCTTTGACCCCATATCTGGAAGGCTACACATAACCGCCGAGGAAGTCAAGGAGCGCATCTTCCATGGTGGATTGGATCCAAATGACGGCGCGCGTAAAGAGGCCTGGCTGTTCCTGCTTGGTGTGTATCCATGGGACAGCAGCCGCGAGGAAAGACAGGCGATCATGAACTCGAAACGCGACGAGTATATCCGCTTAAAGGCGGGCTGGTGGGAGCGCATGGTGGACGGCACTTCGACGTCCGAAGAATGTGAGAACTGGAAAGAACAACGCAACCGAATAGGTCAGGCCCTCGGATTCCCCATTGGAAGTTTTCACGTACTAACTTCCACATTAGAGAAGGATGTTCATCGCACCGATCGTACTATCCCTCTATTCGCTGGGGAGGATATCCCTCACCCTGACCCCGACTCTCCATTCGCTGATACAGGAACCAATGTGCACCTTGAACAGATGAAGGATATGCTGTTGACATACAACGAATATAACCCGGATCTGGGATATGTGCAAGGCATGAGTGACCTCCTGGCTCCTCTCTACGCAGTTATGCAGGACGATGCCGTGGCTTTCTGGGCTTTTGTTGGCTTCATGGATCGAATGGTAGGTTCTATTCAGCGAACTGCGTCTCATCCCTATACTAACACATTTCTTTCAGGAGCGCAATTTCCTCAGAGACCAGTCTGGCATGCGATCCCAGCTCCTTGCTTTAGATCATCTCGTCCAACTCATGGACCCTCAGCTATACCTTCATCTACAGTCCGCGGACAGTACAAACTTTTTCTTCTTTTTCCGCATGTTGCTGGTTTGGTACAAGCGTGAATTCGAATGGGCAGATGTCCTGCGTCTCTGGGAGGCACTGTGGACCGATTACTTCTCCAGCAGCTTCCATCTTTTCATTGCACTAGCAATTCTAGAGAAGCATCGCGATGTTATCATGGATCATTTGAAGCACTTTGATGAAGTGCTAAAGTACAGTAAGTCTGCACCTTCCATCTTACACATTTAACATATGTTCTGTCAGTATTAACAAGCCACCAGTCAACGAGCTTTCCAATACAATGGACCTCGTCCCCATTCTTACTCGTGCTGAATCGCTCTTCCACCGTTTCGAGCGGTCCGTGCAAGCCATTGACAAGAAAGACAACTTCCCGGTCCCTTCTGCTCACCTGCGCCGACCAGCCAGTAGCAGTCCAGACTCAACTGGCAAAGGCAAATCGCCTCAACGCCCAACCGTGGCATCCAGCAGCGGCGTTCGTCCTCCTTCAGCGCTTCAACAGGCAATCGATAAGGACAAACCAAAGGTCATCTCTCCCGAGTTGCGTGAACTTCTAAGGAAAGATGTTCCCTGGAGACGACAGCAGACATCATAGCGGCAGTTGCTAAGTATGCTGTGAACTTATTCAGGGGACTTCAAGCTTGATTTCTCGACGAACAGCGCTCGCCTTACCTCACGACTTTACGCATTGCTCTTGTATATCATTCCACTCATTTGTGCTCACCTTGTTCCGGAGAAGGGTACGGACTCGGTCGGCTTCGGCGTTTCTTCAGGTTTATGATTTTGCATTTCACACGCGATGTATTGCCCAGCTTTCTTTTGGTCATAGCACGTACTACTGAATACAACTAGCATATTCATTCTGCCTAACCCTCAGGACTTCATAGATGAGACTAACCTCCTACCGGCAGAGCTGCCTGTCCTAATAAACAGGAAACTCAAATAAAATATGTTCCATTCTAAATCTATCATGTATGGGTTGGGAATCAAAAGCGCCAGTAAGCAGTACAATTCAGGTTCTATCACTGCCCGTTTGAATGCAAAGTGATGTATTTAGCACGGATCCATCCTCCCACCTCGCCTTCATCCCACGGGCAGTAAGCAGCAAGTCTATGCGCTCACACCAGGGAAGCAGTCAGCAAGACCCTTCTTGTGCTTGTTTGAGGCATGCTCAAGCAGACTGTTCATCAACACGTTAGCAAAAGAGATATCCTGACATGTTCAATAGAGATAGGATAGGACATACGCAGGGGCCTTGGTGGTCTGCAGGAAAGTCTGCAAGCAGACCTTGCACTGAATGTTCATGGCCTTCTCATTCTACACCCAGAAAAGATGTCAGTATCATTACCAAAGAATCAAAATCGAAATCACGACGCGATAAACATCCACATACGGTCTTGATCTGCGACTTGGCAGCCTTGCTCTTGTCGGCATTGTTGCGCTCGCGCTTCTGGTTGGCCTTGGCTCCCTGTTTGACAAGTATCAGTATTCAGGGTACACGTTAGTTGTAGGGTTCGTGGTGAGGGTAAGAGCATGAGATTATCTCAGTAGCACTCGTATCTCTACCACCAAGGTCCTCGTACGTTACCCATTGTGCAGGAATTCTGGTATGTATGCGACTGGAGATCGTGTCGGGATGGGGAGAAAATTTTCTCCACCTTATCCAGGCTGAGCGGATCAAATTTGTCTGGCGGGGCAATTGATTGTGATGACTCAGCGGTTGCTATTTTTGATGAGAAAGTTGGAGGGATGAACAATCAAGCGTATAGGTCTATTTAAGTCATCGATCTTGGCTAAAGAGAAACCTGGAGGATATTCTGGAATATTCAGTCTAATTCACCGTCAGTGGCACTCTGCTCATACCAAGATATGGTATCTAGTGCATATCTTCTGACTACACTACACCCACCAATCAGATCTCGTAGATGAGAAGTATACAAGAAGTCACAATTCGACTGATCTCTCTGTCATTCTGTAAGTATGGTACAGTGACCCGAGCCCTCTTATAACATAAGCTCTTGGATAGTGAAGACCTGCATAAACGTATGTATATAGGCCTCCAACTGGGTATCATAATGTATATCACATTCTGGTAGAAGGCGAAGGCAGATCCTCACGCCACTATTGGTGGCATTCGTCAGAAGTAGTAACTATAGTGAAAAGAATGGGCTTAAATTCTATAAGGAGCGACTGAAACTGTGACTGTATGGGTAAAAAAGCTGAATTGTGCGGTGTTTATAAACTTACCCTCCCTCTTCCCGGACTCACATCCGCATAGTCACAGATCCAACGTGGCCACGTACTGTCGGCTATCAGAACGATTCCCTGAACGTTGGTTATACAGCTGGATCAGTGGATCAGCAAGTCGGTGGAACTTGGTCACTGGCTGTGATCATGGTTCTATCGCAATTGTTGATACTCTTCTTTTGAGCAATGAGTCTCGATCCACCCCGGCCTAGCAAAACTGATAAGGGACTTTACATGCGATCTACATGACCCTAGACCAAGCACATTTTGTCTTTGAATTGCTGACCGGAAATCTGGGTATATTCCCTCACAAATTATTAATTAAAGGTTGTTATCGTGCGATGCTCTTTTCAGCCGATCGTACTACATGTCAAGTCTAATCTGATTTCATTCGCTGGTAAATGATATCGAATATATTCAAAGAAATGTTTGAACTGATTATTGTTATATTTAAGAATATATGAGGGCGCTGTTCAATACCCTTAGAGCAAGGTGCACAGAGAGAAATCATCGAAGTAGAACGTGCAGATACATGCATATAGCGCTCTAGAACCCCAACGGCCAAGAGAAGCTAGACTCATGAAAGCAATCCACAGGCAATTGAGCAGCGCGCGTGGCAGCAGTGCTCCTATATGGACAAGCCTCTTCTTTTTGCAGACGCGCACGTACATTTAAGTTGATTAGAACTCTTTTTCTCACTTCGTTCGTTTCATGGGATTTGGTGAGGTTGGCATCCCAAGTTAGTATAGACGAGTACGGGCGATACGCAGCACCCGACATCGATCAGAAACAAGAAAACCTTCGCCAGAGTTTTGCTACTCTTCCAATTTAACGGTAGGTTACGCCACCTTGTCTTGCACACTCACTTCTGCCTCCAAATCTGAATCGACAGAATTGGAATGGCAAACCACCCCCGGAACCACTGCTGGGATCAGTGTGGCTTGGTCGGGCCAGAAATAATTCAAGGAAAAGTAAAACGTGAAAGAAACACAGAAACCATAGAGATAATTGATAGCATAGAGATGTCGCAGACCGGTGTCGATGTTGACATTGTTTGGTGTCACCGAGTGCGCCAAGCCCGGGAGAAGGGGAAGAATCACCACCAGATTGCACAATAGAGCGCGCCAATTTATGCCGAGCTGTTTGTGATCACTTGGATTAGCAAATATGATTTCAAATCAAAAGAATCGGAAACCGCATACCTTGTAGTAGTATATCCCTCGTGGATCATATAGAGCAGGGACGTCGTATTTCCGTCGCTTAATGAGCCAGTAATCGCAACAAAGAATGCCTGCAATTGGTGCCATGAATATGGAATATGCGCCCATGAAACTGAGGAAGGTTTTGCCGCTCTTAATAATAATCCAGGGACAGAGCGCCCACCCACCCAGAACCATGCACATGATCATTCCACGTTTAATGTTGAACCATTTCGGGCACATGGTCGTCATATCTGCATGAGAATTAGTATCCAGTGGGATGAAAACTTGATTGGTACCAACCGTTTGCGAAAGAGATTGAATTAGCTGAGATATTATTGCAGATTTGTGCCAATAACCACAACGATGAACAAAAAAAGGCTGCGGCTCGCCCACCGGAGGAGCCTTGCCACTGGTCAATTATCTGCAATGGGCTCCATAAAATAGTCCCATAAACCTGCTTAGATGCGCCGGCAGCAATGATGCCAAAAAGACCAGTGATAACCTTAAAGAGGGGAATCATGGGCAGTTGCCACACTGGACTGCCTGGCTTCTTGCTAAAGCGCGAGAAGTCGGAAATATTCACCGCGAGTGTTGAAAAGCCACCTAGAGCTTCATTAGAATTGAATGTTATCAATGGAAGTATTGATACAAAAATACCGGTGATTGAGGTCATATTCATCAGCCATAGCCATGCTCGATCGGTGCCGTGAACAGTGGATGGCTCATGGAACATAGCACTTCCCCCTCCAGCCTTGACTGATATCCAAATTACCATAGCAAGCGCCATGGGTGGTACCAGAGTGGACTTGAAAATAAACATATAGTGCAACTTATGGGTTGGTATGAAGAGGAATGGCGTTTGAACGACATGGTAGATCACATAGGAAATCATTCCCTGGGTGGTAATAGCCGCCGATGCTGGTAAACGATTAGGAAGTTTGGCGTAGTTTGGCCAAATGGCGGTGATAATCCATCGCATTTGTTAGCTATATTGGAATCCCAGTCATGGACGAGAGTGCACTCACTGGAGTTACACACTGGCCTCCATACGAGCTCTGGATGCCGAACCAAAACATCGCTAGCACAGCACGCGATGCCACACAGAAGTACCCGAAGTACGTGCCATAGCTAGCCCGAATAGCGACGGGAAATGGAATGTGAAGGTCGGCGCCTACAGCACCATTGAGGACCGTTGGTATTGCGTTACACAGCGCCGCGACCAGTGTCAACAGCACCGTGTCCGTGGCCGAAAGCCCAGACTGGTAGGCCGAACTGGCAGCGGACCAAGTTGAAACAGTCACCAAGTCAGACAGCCAGTACTGCGTGAAGGTCCAGCCTGTCCAAGTCCATTTCTCCGGTGGAACTGGATCTTGATCAGCATTACTCCACACGTGTGGTGGGGCAATACTGCTATCCTGTTTGGGTAGCGCCCAGCGCTTGCGATGGATCAGACGCGTCGCCATTGATGACAAGACAATCCCGAGACATCTGGGGTAGGATTGTTCTTTTGAGGTTCGGATATTCCCACATTCTTGCTGCGCGGTCCCCGCCGATGAAGAGATTAACCTTTGGCATCTCACAGGCGATGGCATTCTCGTGTTACCACTATCATTATCGTTATCTCGGCCGAGCTGATAATGCAAGATTACTGGCACTACGGATCACCACGATCAAAACCCGTCTATCGCCCGATATTCCTGGATTTATCTGTTGCAAGGTATCTCACTGCAAAATGATGAATCCGTCAGCCAGAAGAAAGCGACTGGCGTGTGCAGAGTGTACCCGGCGAAAGATCAAGTGCGATAAGGTCCTGCCGTGTCGGAATTGCCGCCATAGGTATGATCAGATTTCATGAAGCTCGGCTTTTACATTCGGATTCTTACGGGTGCGGATCTTTTAGAGGCAGCGCCTGCTATCGCTCACCGCACGATTCTGCTTACTTGCGGGCGACTGGGGGATCTTCGCAACTTCCCCAGCGCAGTGGATCCCGCTCAACGAAACTGACTGGGACCCTCGCTGCGTGCCTCAACGAGCTGCAAGCTACACTACAGGCAGTGAGGACGCCCGACAGCTCAAGTCCCAACTTGAATGACAGGGCAGTGTCTTTGTCTGGGGTACCGGAAGGCATATCAGCTCAATCACCGTCGGAGGTGGAGGAGGCCAGTCCCAGCCGTGAGACGGCGGAAGTGGAGGATGCTGCGACAATCTTAGAATTCCTGGCATGGGGCCGACGGAAAGTTCCTGGCTACGACGGTCTACTTGGAGATCCAACCTACGCGCCTGCACAGTCACCTGGAAATGTATCTCTACAGGGTGGTCCTGCAGACCCTCCTCCTCAGTTGCGTTTCACGGATGATGCGTCTTCGCTTCCACTCCTGCAACTGTTGCTTCCTGAGCCACTCACTTTACTGCGAATGGTCAAGTACCACTGCGAGTGCCTTTTGTGGTATCACGCTTCATTCCATGGGCGCGTATTCCAGGGAGAAGTTGACCGTTTTTTCAAGCAACACCATGGCCGCATTGATAACCAGCAGGTCGATCTTCAATGGGCTGCACTTCTTTTTGCCGTTCTGGCAGGAAGTTTGATATGTGCGCCCCGCTCAATTTCAACTTCGTGGGGATTTCAAGATCCTGAGCGTACTAACCTGGCTCATCGACTTTTCAAAGCCGCCCTGGTCTGTCTGAATCTGGCAGATTTTACTGCTCACCATTCCTTATATGGGGTCGAGTGTATTGCAACAATGACAATAAGCGCTCACTTATTGGGTCATTCTAATAGCCACTCTGTCAATCTTGCGTCTGCTGTTCGGATCGCGCAGAGCCTGGGTATGCACAGACTAGGTGATGAACCCGATGATCATCTAAGTAATCCAGTACGAAGGGAGATCGGCCGAAGACTGTGGGCGGAGCTATGTATACAGGATTGGTTTTCAATTCCTTTCTCAGAGAGCTATCTGATTCATCGCCAAGATTTTAATACGGGCAAGCCTCAAAATTGCATGGATGATGACGGAATGACCGCTATCCCAGGCAATATACCAACTCTTCTGACCTATCATCGTTTCCTATACGACATCGCAATAATCATGCCTCAGCTTCAAGATGATCTATCTGCATCTCAAACATTATACACAAAATACGAGCATGTCATCCGATACGACACAAAATTGCGTACATTGGTCAGCGATCATATTCCTTCTTGCCTACGCAATACTACTCTCGAATCATCTTGGCCGTCCTACGTACCGTGGGCACGACACTGCCTGACTATTAGTTCCGCTCATAAAGTTATCATGATTCATCGCAAGTTCCTCTGGTCGAGCTTCACCAATCCGGCGTTTACATTTACCCGCAAGACCTGTATCGCGGCGGCGAAAACCATAATTCGGGAACAGAAGCAACTGGTTCGGGAGGATGGACCGGTACTCTGGATTTATCACGCGTTCAGCGTGGCGGCAAGCGTAAGTGCCCAGTGATCACTTATTTCCCTACTACAGGGATACTTACCTCATTGCAGATCATACTGTGCTTAGATCTTTTCTTCCTTCCACTCCCCGATTGTGACCAACGAGAGAATCGCGAGTTAGCCAAAAACACGATTGACATCTTGTCTCAAAGCGATACCAGCATGATTGCCATGAGAGGTGTTAAAATATTGCGTCTGCTCCTTCGGCTAGATCAAAATAGAGGCAAAGAATCATCAAGCTGGGATATTCGTGGCCTCATACAATCATTCTATGAGCAGGAGACGTTCACGAGCCATACAGATGATCGAAGAACGGCTGAAAATCACCCATCTATGACGGAACCTCGTTCGCCAATTTCGACAATGCAACCGCCAGGATTCACAGCTCGAGATTCTCATACGGAAGAATTTTATAGCGATTGCCTTCTACCAAACTCTAGTTTTTTGGTACATGATTCCTTAGAGGACATATTGCTTCTCGCACAGAATGGAGGGGGATGATTTAGCGATAGATTTTAATTTGTCAATAATGATAACACATGCATCTAAAGCCTACGATAAAAGTACGCCGCTAATTTCCTCGATCTGCTAGTTGAATCATCAACAATGTGACAGCGAAGATGTTATTGGAAAGGGCCAATCAGAGCAACGGAATCAAAAAGGGCGAGATTGATATTGATTAACTAAAGAAATAAGTGATTGATTAATTGACAAGAAACATGAAATGGGGGCGCTCAGGGGGGGTTAAAATACCCCTAAGCTTACAGTATAACAGCAGCCTAAGGAAATTGTAATTCCTTGCTGCTTAATCTTAACAGAAATAGCTAGTGATCGTTATACAAAAATGCTACCTCATAAATATAAGTATTAATTTTGATGTACACCTCCGGTTGCGATACGAGCAGCAACCCATTTAGGTTGACATGAATTTACCCCGCGCTATAGAATTGAGACCGAGCGCCATATCCAAACAAGTCCGTAGAAAGGGTCGCATTATTGATCTAATGTTCTATATCATTTCTACTAAGCAGTTTTTTTCCATATCAAAGAGCAAAAAAAAGCGCTTGATTGTGATATTTACCTGGCAGGATAAAATTCGAATGCAGCTACTTTGAAGAAGCCGTGCAACTTGTCCCATCACTCGTTCGCGAACAACCATGGAGGCACGGGTAGCTCGGGTCGTACTGCCACAAGAAATAGGGATCGGTCTCGTTGGTGAGAACATTACCCATTAATCGTGTGTGACTCGGAAGGTCGACCGAGGCCTCAAAAACCTCCAATGAAGAGAGACGGATCTGACCCCAGCCGCTTTGGATTAGTGTATCGATCGACGTTCCGTAGACATATTCTCGGAACCCTGCCCAGCGAATTGCAGAGGCGCACTGTGTCTTCGTTAGCTAATTATCAATGCATCGCAAAAGGCTGCAATCAATATACCATAGGACAGCTCTCAGCATTTGTGTACAGCGTCAGGTCGGCGAACGCCTCTTGGGCCTCGGGCGCGCTCATACGGAACTTGCCATGGGGGTCAGTTAGAATCGACGTGCAATTCTTGATGGCCGCAATTTCTCCTGTAGGGTGAGGGTTCGCATCAGTAAATGCGAAGTTAATTGTGAACCAAGAAGCGAGCTTTACCGTGGAGAGAAGGATTGCCTGTATTTCCATTCTCATTGACGCCCATGCAAATGAGTTCGCCTGCTTCGGAGGCCGTATGGTTGACAATGACCGTTCCGAAGGCAGCAAAAGGACAAGGACTGCCACTTATCTTGCCCAGTGCTTCGTTTGCCAGGCGCATCCAGTGAGCTCGAGTCGGGAATGTGATGCTATTTATCATCATATTCGGGTCCGCAAGTACCACTGCCAGTGCCGTAGGCAGAATTCCGCCGAGTAGAGCGAAGGCACAGACTGAAGACCGCATATTCGAATTTCCGAGAGTACAAAATGATTCGATGCAAAAGCTCAGCTAACCCTGTACCCTTTACAATGGCGAGATGTTGAATAATTTGAACCTCTGCGGTATCCTTCAATCTAGTCAGGGCGGATGGGATCTAGCGTCGGCCGTAGTCGGCCGACATCGCGACGAACTCTACAATAAACCCCTAAATCCTTGAAACCAGGCGCTTGCTGATCGAGAAGACCATTGATAAGGTGTAATATCATTCCAAGATTCTCGATACACATGGCGTTTCCCTATCATGATGATAGGGTGGGCGATAAGCTGCCATTAATCTGGATTAGAACCATTGATCGATGACACGCATTGGTTGGTCTGACAACGCTGTTTTCTGCGTTGGAATGGCCTCATTGCTCTATAAAGACATAAAGGCTCCAGCAAATAAATATCGTATAAAGCAAAAATAGTATCTAGTCGTTCATCTATGTAGTGGCAAGAGAGCCCAAAGGAGAGCCTGCCAAAACGCCAATCCATGCCGTCATTTTTGCATTGCTTCATTCCATATTCATGGTTTTTCTCAAACTCCGTAGAGAACCAGGTTTCACCGGACAATTAGCCTCCACAGAGAATGTTCGGTTTTACATTGCGGTGGACACAACTCCTGTCAGCGCCGTCATGCCCGAAGACGAAGCGCGTTTTATTTTTCAAAGTTTCTGATTTAGGTCGTAGAAGTGAGATTGTCCGTCACGAGCATGGGAATGTCTACCGATAAGATTCTCATTGGGTCAAAAATTCTAGATCAAGGTTTTTTTCATTGACACTGTTTGGATATACTATCCATGACATTAAGTTCACATTTCAAGCTATCGACATTAAGCCAAGCTTGAATATTATTCCCTGCCAAAGGATTAAGCGATTTAACAGAAATGAAGCCTTGCCTTAGGCCATCAATGGAATTGGCACAGGTCCTTTTGGACCAATACTGCCACTGATGTTTGCCTGGTGCATAGACCGAGGACCCATGCTGATCGGATAGTCAATAGCAGAGTGGAAAAGGCCGTAATTATCCCAAATTATCATGTCTCCTTCCTCAGCCGGAGCCAGCAGGATGTATTCAGGCCTAAGGATCCTGTTCTGGATACCCAAAATAAACTTACGAATCTCTGCCAAGTCTTCAACAATACGAGGCTGCTCCTCTTTGGAGCTACGCAGATAAAGCTTTCGAGCACAGATTCCATGGACTTGGAAGGCTTTCTCGCCTGTCAAGGGATTGACCCAGACCATTGGATACTTTTCCTGAAGTTAGCCAACAGACCATGCGACTCGGGGCTCGATCAGATCAGTACCTTCTTTACTGCCGTCTTATCATATTCTCCAAGTTCTTCTTCCGTGAGATGCTCACCCCCTTCTGCTAGACCAAGGCCGTTGGTATTGCCCTTGCACTTCTCAATCCACTTGTATGGATAGGGCGCATATTCGACCCAGCTGTGGTCAACCAACGTCTTCTCTTCAGGCGATAGCATTGAATAGAGCTGAGATGTGCTGAAATACGCAGTCTGTCCCGGTGAGGATTTCATAGTTTGACAGGACCCGTCGGCCCATTCAACAGTGAGATCGGGTCCTTTAGGTAGGGTAACACAGCGCAGGGTTGTGAACCATGCAGGATCCTTCCCATACAGCGGAGCATCAATATGCCAGCGTTGGAAACGGGTGATGCCCTGCTCAAATTCCTCCACAGACGGTGGGACCGCATGAAAGTCGTTGCTAAGTCCGCGTTCGATGGTGTGGTTCACAATACCGAAGTGGTTCTCCCCTTGGAACCCCTTGCCAATTAATCTAACGTTTTCTGCGCCGGGGATTCCAGTCACCTCTCTTCCTTGCTAATATCTATCAGACCCCGTGAAAATGAACAAAAGTATCGGATGGGAAGGCGTACAGCAAGAAGTCCACCCTTCGCTCGGAAAGTGGTAAGATCTCCGTGACTGTGGCCATCACTGGCCTTAGGATCTAGCCGGGTCACGAGCTCCCATTGCTTCTCAGGATTTAGGTTGTATTGGGATTTAACGACAAGAACCTTGTGGCGCCAAATGGCAGCTTTGAGACGATCGACATCGTCATCTGTTCGTCTTTGTTAGATCCGGCCTCCAACCATAAGATAGTGGCTTCAGTGGCGACCCACCGGAGATGTTGTTCAAGTCTACTCCAGTCACGCGAGCGCCGAACTATCGAAAATGAGCTTGATAATACTACCATTAGGCTATTAAGCATGATTACTCACATTGAACTTTTGCTCAGGTGTCCGCTCCAGCGGTGTCACAGTGAAGGAATTATGCTTGTCCATTGCGTACGGTCGATTATTGTTCAAGGCAAAGGGGGTGTTGATCGATGAGCTTATTGATCGACTTGATCTTATGACTTATTATCAATCTGTCATACCCTTTTCCCAGTATTTGAGGGGGGCCGTTTTATCAATTGCATTTACTTCCAATGGTCGGACCTATTATCTGCCCCGGCCGAGTCCATCCCAGCCCATGCGGCATCTCAGCAGAGATAGGCATCGCAAATCATATGCGCAATTTGTTATCCATTCATGCAATTCGGACTACTATCCTTGGAGCTTGTATGCTACCTTAGATAAGTAGACCCGAATCTATACTCTTATCTTCGCACAGACCATGGAGCGGGGTTTGCGGACGACAAAGCCATCCCGGCCGACAGCACGGCCGACCTTGACGGCCGCTTAATCATTACCCAGTCGGATTCCGCAGAGCTCTTTGTTGCACAACCGACAAAGGCTTTCAAATCATTTGGAGAGTCTCACAAAATTATCTGGGGTATGAGCTGACAAATGACAAGAAAGTATCAGTGTGACTTGCATCGCAGGGTCCGGGGTCTCAGCTCGGTCGGGGATGAATCTAGCATCGATGATAAGCTACAGAGCGCGTAAAACAGGGATTATAGTATGTCACTCCCAAATGTTGTGATCTATCTATCATATGCACCGGAATATTTTCCTCTCCCCTTCTACGAAATTACCAGCATGGATTGGAACTCAACCTCGAAGCTGGATGTTGTATGTAAATCTCGATTTTCTTCTTTAAAGAATACAAAGAACCTCCCTCTGGATTCCAACACAGACCAGTAGTTGTTTGATATAGTATACATGGGATCGGTGTAGCAAAGCGACCCGCAAGTAAGATGTTTGGCCTACTATTGGTGGACTTATTGAACCACAAATCACGGGCATATGAAATACATCGTGGATTCAAGGTAGTAAGGTAAGGAAGAAGTGAAAATATCGGACAGAGTGTGATTATGACCAGGAAAGTTACTTGTCGACCTTTCGAAGAAGAGTCTGGATAGCTTCAATGGATCCCTCCAAATCCTGTAGAATCATCTGATGTCCAACGCCCTCAAGGATCTTCACCCAGGCATTGTCTCCAATCAACTCCTGTAGTCCTACGGATCTTTCTGGAGGAGAGATAATGTCACCACTTCCCGTCAAAAGCAAGGTCGGAGCACTGATCTGGCTGTAATCCGGATCAAGATGATCAAGACTCGCGACCGCTTCACATGCTCTGGCATAGGATTCGGCGTCACAGCTGGCCACGGCTTCCCGAACGCTTTGGCGGAGCTCAGGTTCAACCGTCCCTTGTAACGGGAAGTTGGAGGTGGCTGCTATCTCCGCTGCGGCTTTTATTCCTTCTGTGCGCGTCTTGGCCGCTAGACCTAGCATTCGCTCTCTTCCAACGGGGATGTGGGCGACTGTGCGACCTGCTCCAAGCAAGGCGAGACCTCGAACCTGATCTGGGTGTCTCGAGGCGTAGTGCATTGAGACGATGGCCCCGAGGCTGTGGCCGATGAAGAGCGGCTTCCTCTCAGAGAAGCCCCCAGAAGGGCTTTGCAGAGATGCCACGAGATGTTCCAGGTCGTCGACATAACGGGGAATAGAAAGCGTGGTATCAGGCGAGGACAAAGCGGTTTGGCCGAACCCCTCGAAGTCAACGCAGACCAGGTGGTTGACCAGTGGCGACAGAAATGGTAGAATTGGCCGGAATGTCTCTATCGATCCACCTAGTCCATGAAGAAGAATAATGAGAGGGCCTGATGGATTGCCCGTTTGGGTGAAATGCACGTTTGTGCCGTTAGGCGTCTTTTGAAACGATGATGGAGAGGATGTATTCATTTTGAAGTAAAAGGGCTCAATATCAGTTTTGTATTGATGTCAATTGTTGAAGAAGCTTGAAAACTGCAAGAGCAAAAGACTTCAATAGAAAAGGGGTTGCTGTTCTACTTCGGCGCACCCGATCAGCGGCTCCGTTCACGGCCGAGAACTGCCCGTCTCTTATCCGCAATCCGACTGCCAATTTGCCTGCCAAATTCATCCAGATATCACCTTAGAAGCGATTTCCAGATAAAAAGGAGTCAAAGGACCAATGCAAGCATGGTATTGTACCTCGGATAAATTATCTTCAACATGGTTTTCGCCGTCTCTACCACTGCCACCGCGGCCGAGGACCATAGAGTCCTGACTATCCGCGAGGTCTACCAACCTCCACCGGCCACGAGTAGCAATGGACGTGTAGTGCCTATCAAGCATGACAACAAAGTAGACTTTGGAGCCGAGGTCTATGGTATCGATCTTAACAACTTCACCTCCGCCGATTTTGCCCTCATCTCTGATGCCCTCCACCGCCACAAGCTCCTAGTTTTCAAGGAGCAGCCGCAAATGCTGACACCACAACAGCAATATCGACTCACTTCATGGTATTCTACCCGTAGACTGTCCTCTCATCAATATGAATTATTTACTGATTTTTGTCTTTCCTTTAGCTTTGACCCTGACGAGAAGACCGGAGGTTTCGCTCACGGCGCCGACCCTGTACTTCTGTCGGAAAATGGGGTCACCATTTATGGTCTTCCCAACCGGCCAGCTATCAACGCTCAGCCCCAGGTCCATATTCTAGGGCGTGGTGAAGTGCCTCAGGACCATTTCGATTTCCCGCCAGGATTCAAAGTGAAGGGTATTGACCATGTCAACTTCCACCTTCCACCACACATTCCACAGGAAGAAAGAGATGCCGGCTCCAGTCGTTTTTACCAGTGGCACTGGGATGGCTCTCTGTACAAGATTCCTCCCCCACGGGTAGGCTGTCTGCTGGCTGTACGCACACCGAAAGGCCCCGACGTCACTGTTCACTGGAGTGATGGTACTGGGAGAAAGATGGACATCGCACCAGGTGCTACTGCTATGATAGCGGGATCCCGGGCACTGCAGCTCTTGGAACCAGAGTTGCGCGAGATTGTCTTGCACAGTCGTATTGAGTACGCACCGCACGCGTTCCAGTGGATGTCAACTGCGCGCAGCACTAGACTCGGCCATCTTATCGAAACGGAGGGGCGCGAGATGCCGCTAGACAAACTTTCACCGTGGACAGAGGATGAAATCTGCATTTACCCCATGGTATGGACCAATCCGGTGACCGGGGAGAAGTCCCTTCAAGTGCATGGCCAAGGTGCTTTCAAGTTGTATCTCAGGAACAAACTAGATGGGGATGAGACGGTAGTCACGGACCTGAAGGAGGTCCGCGCTTTTATGGACAAGTGAGTTTATCTCTTTTGGCGTCAGGGATCCATAATGAGCTTACTAGCGACCGCAGGATTATGAGTCCAGTCTTGTCACCGGAGAATATTTACGCGCATCCTCATCAGGAGCAAGATGTCATCCTCTGGTACAACCGGGCCTTGTGGCACAGTATTGTGAGTGTTTTCTTTTTGTCATTTTCGAAAATGCAAATCTTAACTGATCACAGACCGAGTTCCCCGAGTCTTACGGACCACGGATTATGCATCAGTGCAACATCGCAGCGTCGGACCACCCTTCGATGTAGGAAGATGCCTCATCATCTCTTACCCGCGTAGACTGAAAGAGTTGTTGCTTTGTCCTTTGACCATCTCGTTCTCAGAATACAAACAAATATCTGACTATACGGTAGTTAACGATATCACCAGAAGTTCTTTGAGTAGAGTAGAGAGACAATCGTAGCTTGACTTGGGAAGTGTCAGAATGACAGGAATATATTAGTAAAATTATATAGTCGACGAGGACAGGCGGCAGCTCCTGTTACTGTTAGGGGCAGCGCGGGAAGCCATACCCGATTGTAAACATCGCCGTAGCCCAAAAAATCCAAATCTAAGATGGGTTTAGGTTTAGGTTTAAACCTCTAACCCACCGCTAAGTTTTGGATTACGAGTTATGACCTAAATCTACCTCTGGGCCCCTATTAGAAATCTAGAAAAACCTAACGTAGAGTAAACTCGTGCCTATATAATCAGTCTTAGAAGACCCCTCCTTCGAGGGCGCGACAGTCGCCGCTCTACGCAAACATTACAAGCATTGGGCCAAGGCTTCATTGAAAGAGACGTGCATGTACGTCCGCTAAAAGAAAGAGTCTTGTGTACCGAAACGAAGAAATTCGTGGCAAATTGCGTCTAGAATAGCCATATTTCGCTTGCTGTGCTTCATGTCTTGAGACAGATCTCTTTTCCAATACCCGTATCATGGGAGGACATTCTTAGAGCATCATTAGACGTAGCTCTCACCAGAAACATTACTTATACCTGCTGCATATATGCCACTACGTTCGCTCCGTGCATGAGCGTAAAGATTGTATACCTGGTAGATACGAGGTTAATCGCGTCTCTTTTCCTGATCCATTTGAACCGTCTTTCTTAATAGCTACATAAGGGAAAAGGGCCTAGTAGGTATTATGGGGCTATCTAGGCACTCGATGTACCTGTTATCTACTATATCCACCGAAAATGGAATAGTCTGTCGGGTGAAAGCACAAATTGGCGTACAATTAGTCTCAGCCTCATTATATACTCAAGATCAAATTGCCCTCGAAAACTCTCAAGCCCACATCCCATCATCACTCCAAGCAGGACTATAACAATACTCCAAATCACTATCCTCATACTCAGACCCATACCTTAACCGCCTTTCCGCACGCCTAATACTCTGCTCAGCTTTCGCCCTCCTTTCCTCATCCCGCACCTCCGCAGCCCTCAAAAACGTCCTACAACCCTGACAAACAGCAAGCCTGCATAATCCCTCCACCGCCCCTCTCCCATACTTAGCACACCGCAAACAAACAACAAAATGTTCCCCCTGTCGTTCGATACAAGCTCCACGGGAATACCGAGTCGTGCCCGGACGCGGATTTATCCCGCACTGTACGCAGAATCTGTTTTCTCGGTAGGTGCCATTCTTGCCCTTTTTGCCTTTGACCATTTGATCGCCGAAGGCTGTTTTGGGGAGGAGGCGGAGACAGTCTTTGCAGGCGTAGCGCTCTTTGCCTTCTTGTGTGCCGTAGGGGGAAAGTTCGACTTCTAGGAGTTGGGGCATGATTAGGCGTGGGATGAGGGCGTTGAAGGTTTGGCAGGTCATTTTGAGACATATTTGGTCGACTAATCCGAGGCTTTGGATTATGAGGAGTTTGAGTTCGGTTGGGAGCTTGAGTATGGATACAGTGTCGTGCTCGTGCTCTGTGGAAGGTGAGCTTGGAGTCTCGGTATCTAGGGTGATTGAACCGAGTTCAACGGTTTCAATGAGGACTGAAGTCGTAGTGGCCATGTTAGAATATCGAATGGTGGTTAACGACACAAGATAGTGGAATGACCTTTGATTTAAGTTGATACTTGCTTGAAGATTCCCTCAATTCGACCATTTTCGACACTTCTTATGTATATCTTTTACCACCCGGGTTCAATGATACCCGGGTTCCTGACACGTAGACCCATGCAAGAACGAGCGATTACAAATGGCGCAGCCAGGCAACAGCTGAGCCTCACTCATGCGCTGTCCAAGAGGACGTCATTAGGCGCCGATGGGGTTGACCTCAGGGGGTTTATGCAGGCCCTTCGTTTCAGCCCCAGCATCACAGACCACGGGAACGACCAATGAGAACAGCATTTAGATATTCCTTATTTCTTTCTGTCCTTAATTCCATTTAATGATAAATTGTAAGATACTGCGCGGACTGTACGTGTGTGATGGTGAGTGTGGTTAGACCAGCCTCTTCTTGACCCATCCGACCATTCTTACATTTCAACACACAAGCCAACATCTAAAGTAGCTCATCAAAAGGCAAGTAAGATGCAGCACTCTATTCAGGGGTATTAACTGCAACTTCGAAAATAGTATCAAGAGAGACCAACCAACGCAAAATGTACAAACGCAAACCCGAAAGAACGACCTGGTATGTGAGGATATCAATCGCAACCAAGACCCAGTAAACCAAAAAATTCAAATCAAAATCAAAAACTCAAACCAGTTTCTTTCGCCACGCTGATGCAAATGATGCAAATGAGATAATATCAAACTGATGAAAAGAAGGCAAACGAAATGGGGATCCACAATATAGTCCCAGGATAGAATGAAATCTTAGTCTCTGTGAAGAACGCTTTTATCGACGGTTTCCAAGACCGCGAAGTGAAACTCGTTTACTCGAGCCGACAGATCGGATATCACTGATACTCGAGACCTTGGGTAAAGACCGGCGGCCATGGCTACGGTTCAAGTCGTGGTCATCGGCCTCGTGTGGGTCTATCACGCTCTCAGTACCTGGTGCAACGTTGAGGGCAAATGATGGGGGGTTCACGGAACTAGACCTGCGAGTCTGCTGCAAGACATCCTCGACCCAGGCCTCGCCCTCTGGACTCATGGAAATTTGTCGCGAGCGGGGTTTCGGGCCTGCCAGACCTAGGGGTGTTGATTGAGAATCGTGGGTGAGAGAAGCGAGAGCGATATTTGCAGGAGAATGGGCGCCTCCAAAAGAGTAGCTGGAGGACATCGAGAGACGCCGTCCACCAGGCAGTGTAACCGGTGGAGGCGAGATGTAGGAACTAAGCGTTCCCGTGGTGACCGACCGGGGCCCCAAAGCATCAGAAACATTGGACCCGCGCCTCTTGCGGACGGTGAGTGACGATTGGGGACGTGCACTCATAACAGATGGAGGTCGAGAGGGAGTAGCTCGACCAGATGTAATATAGGGAGAAGCTGCTGCCGATGTCAACATGGCAGCGGGAGAGGGATAGCCTGGCGAGGTTCGAGTTCCAAGACCCTGTACCTCGACGCGCGGCGTTTCTGAAACCTTGCGACGTCCGTGATGAATGACATATTCGCGTAAGTATTCGCCAAGATCGGCCCAGCCACCACCAACACGGACCATGACGCGCTGCCCGTCTTCTCCGACAGTACGGACAAAGAGCTTGGTAGGCGCTGTCTGACCTCCATGATGCAGATGATATAGTTTCACGTAGCTGTCTTCAGCCTTGTGAGCGTGGGACAATCGTCTCCGTGCGGCAGGCATGAGCATCAATGAAGGAGCCGGGGTAATACTGCGAGAGGGTACCTGTGGCGACTCGGACTGGCCTCTATCTCGCATCTTGCGGTCCATGGAAGACGATGAAGACGAAGTATCGCCTTCATTGTTTGGATCGACCAGGTGAATCCGACCAGGAAGAGTGCTCAGGATAGAATTTATCTTTTCGTCAATGTGGTCGCGAGGCCTCCGCCTATGTGGAGATGATGGACGTGAGCCTTCGTCGACCAGCTCCGATTCATCTTCCTCCACATATGGCAGTTCCTGTCTCCTGACACCGAGGCTCTCCAGGCTTGGATGAGCCGTGAGCCGTTGGCGCAAACGGACTGACTTTGGTTGCTCCTGATGAAGAAGGGCCCGATGAGCGGTATTCATGCCAAATGCCTTCCTGTTGTGCTCGACGTTCTTCTTAAAGTTTTCGCTTTCCTTGAGGTCCGATGCAGATTTACCACGAATAAGTCTTGGGCGTTGACTAGACCCACGAGGTGGTACTCGTGGAGCAGGCGTTTTGTGACCTACGATGGCGTGTGGTGGTTTAGCGACCTCATGCCCTTTGAAAGAAGAAGCAAACTCAGTAGCGCCTAGTTCAGGCTGTTCGCGTATATCCAAATCGAACTCATCGTTGATGAAGCGCTCAAGAGGCAGGCTCACGGCGCGGTTCTGGGGGAACGCTGCTGGCGGTGACTTCTCATTCTCGAGTTGCAGTAGTCGGTCGGCTCTCAACAGATGATCACCGTGCGAGCGAATTGAGTCTGATTGAGGGAATTCCTGCCGAGAAGGAGTGATGAGGGGGCCGTCATGCGAGGAGCCCGTTTGGGGCTCGGGGGCGTCGGGGCTTGAAATGAGAGAGGAGTTGTCGGAGAGTAAAGAGCCCACAGAGCCCGTGGATGACCGCCGCTGGTGCCGACGCGGTCTTTGAGCATGTTCGCCGAGATTCAGTTTTCCAGGCCGAGGTTTTGATAGTTTGATCGGACTCTGTAGCGGTTTTCTGGTGGAGACGGGTTCCTGTGGCGGCTTTTCCTCCCTTGAAAGGGCCACAGCAGTAGTAGGCCTTGACTCGGATGTCGCAGGCCGCACAGGCTCCGATTTTTGTGTAGTCTCCCGAATGAATTCCTGGAAAGGATCACACGGGTCTTGTGTGTAATTCGGAGCCTTTGCCGGGAAAACATCAATTTTTGGCAATTCCGCTTCTTCAGGAGCAATCTGGTGTGTCTCGGGTTTGGGATTCCTGGGGGTTACCCAAATTGTATCAGAAGGGTTTGAAGCTGTCGTAATCTGCTTGACTATCTCCCTTGGCGGCTCAGACTGATGTTCGATCACTGGGGACTCTTCATGAGCGTCATCACGAATAGAGCAGACGCTATCTGCCATCGGCCTGGTACTGGGCGGGGTTTTTATGACTTCTGGCTCCGGTACAACCTCCGCTGTAAAGAGACTAGGTGTCTTGATCGTTTCGGTTTCACCTGAGGGGACGGGCTTCTGAACGAACGGGTCATCATCGTCCGTGATATTGTGCTCTGATAGAGCAGCGGGCTTTGATCCAGACGACGACACAGGCCGTTCTTGAATATAGTCCGGAGGAGGGATATTTTCCTTGTCCTCGGAGTGAGGCGTCACTGGTAATGGCACCCGAGACGGGGATGGCTGCTTCGAGTTGTCAACCGCATCATTGCGTGAGAAGGCGGGTCGCGTGGGAGATTGTAAATCCTCGGTGACAATCAAGTTCCCACGGACTGGCGACTGGTCCTTTGGGGCATTTGCCAAGACAGTGTCCGCAGTCTCAGAGCAAGGGTCGAGTGAGGATTCAATTGTATCAGAGGATGCTTGCAATGCTTGATCCTTCTCAATTGACGAGGTGATGGAAGTCTCGGTCTCTTCTTCGGGATGTTGATTCCCAATGGGGGAGGGAGTCGGATCATTCTCTCCATGTGCCTCAATCGTCTTTCTCGGAGATTCCAGTCCTGATGGCGCCTCCGGTTCGATAGCTGTTGTTGCTTGCTCCGGCAAGCTTTCAATCTGCGGCTGTGAAGAAGCTTCATGTAGAACTTCATGTAGAACTTCAGGGCTTGCAAGTGGCTCAGGCTCTTTCGGTTGGACCTTCATACGCAACCAATTCGTGCGAAGCCTATATCTCTCGGCCTCGACTACCCAAGCAGCAAAGTCCGACTCGATGCTCTCCAAGTCATCAATCCAGCTCTCAGGTAGGGAATCCTGGCGGCCCTCCAACGCATCGAGGGCGCGATCCATTCTTCGACCCACTGCAACCACGGTGGATTCAAGGTCAACATGTTCGGTGCGCAGATGTGAGTCGGAGAGTCTTGAGTCGGTGTTCTCGTTCGGGTTCGATATCCGTAATGAATGGAAGGAGGAATCAAGGGATGCTCGCGTCGCTTTCAACTCCCTTAGCAGGCCCGGTACTTGACGTAGGACAAGGAGACGAACGTCCCAGGTAGTCAGAAGACTATTTAGTCGTGATAAGAGTGGTAAGGCGCGCAGGATTGTAGCAGTGACGACGGCTGTGAAATCGCTGAGTTGTACATAGCTGAGCGGCGGGGGCACGGACACTGTGCTGGTCGAGGAGGAAGGGCGAGACCGTGATGGAATGTGGGCATTGAGAACGTGTTCCTTGAGCTCATCCACGTCTAAATTCTCCATTCCATCGCGGATCTCGTCAATCCTTTTCTCATACTCTTCAACCACAGCTGCCGGCAAGCTGCCATAATATTCCACATCAGCACTAGCACAACTACCACTAGCTGTCGGGAGCAAGAGAGAGCTCGATATGACAGAATTGGCCTGTGAGGGAGTTTCAGCCGGGGGCAGAAATCCCCTTTCAAGCTTCGCTTCGCGATGTTTCGGCCATATCCACGATTGTACCTCCTTATACCAAATATCCAAGTTCTGGGCGGCTATGGCGGCACGAATTCCAAGGGCGCGTTCGGCTGGTGAGACTTGAGATATACTCTGCGAGAGGACATTGTGAGAGAAATTGTCGTTTGAAGGGACGGCGTCGGTGGATGTTAGGGCGTGTAAAGTGGATTCTGGGGATAGGTTGCTGAGGAGGGGGTCAATTTTCTGGTATAACGAGGCCGGATTTCGCTCAGGGGACGCCGAACGGGAGTTTTCTCGCGAATGGACGGGAGAGAGCCGTATCGACGGGCGAAGAGGGCTCGTTCGACTGGTTGCCATTCCGAATGGCAAGTTGTATAACTCCGAATCGGTCTTCACAGGGAGGAGACTCGGCGTGTGTGATCAGGCTCGGGCTGGCATAGGAAGGACGGAGGTCGGAACGATGCAGCAGGCGGACGAAGAGAGCACTGTCGAGCCCGCATGCTGAGACGCGTATGAAGGGAGTTTCCAGTCGTAAGAAGCTCTTGATAATCCTTCTAATCTCTTTAGGAGTTTGTTGCTGTGCGGCGCGGCTGACCAGGTCAAAAAACACGGAGGTTGGCGGTCAAGATTATAGTGAGTGGATTGTGGGGAATTGGAAGATCTGAGGTCAGTTTCCCGATCATGACAGATCAGAGAACGGAGAATAAAGCGAGAGAAAAAGGAATGGCAGAAAGGACCAGCTTTCTGGGATCAAATCCTCGTGGCGGAAATAATTGACGCTGATCGAGGTTCGTTGGAGATGGTGGATCTAAAAGGGGGCACGGATGAAGTGGACCTCGAGCGCGCGCTTCCGCCGATCCGCGACGCTATTAGTTTCGCGAATTGTCCGGGGCGCGCTGCGGGTGGTTAGGTCACTTGGTGGCGGTCCATATTTGAAGTTTACTTGAGTAGATCTACTAAAAAGGATTTGAAATTGAGAGAAATTGAGAGAGAAACTTGATTATTTTGGGTGTATACTTGCCGAGTATAGCCACTTGCCGGAGTATACGGAAAAAGTGTATGTAAGGAGTCACTGTCTCCACTAACAATAGAGGCCGCGCAACACATGACCATGAAAGAGAAAGGGGTAAAGATCCAAGAAGCACATAAGTGATCATTCTACATGTGCACAAATTTAAACTGAGTAAAGCCTATATTGTCAGTCGCTGGACGGTCATGATGCGGTCGTCCTGTAGTTGTCGAGGCAAAACTGAGCATCTCAATTCCGCTCACTCGAGAAAGTCCCAGTGAAATAGCAGTAGATCGAATGAGATCCTTCAAGTCAATAAAGACAAGACGACCTCGTTCCGCTATAGTCACGAAATGTTGACCGGTATTCCAGAGGAGCGCATCCAGTTCCTCAAGCAAAATGAGGAGTGGTGTACGATCGACACACCTGCTCTCAAGAGAATCACGGAGCACTGTGGGAACGAGCTGGACAAGGGTCTCTCAAAAGATGGCGGTAGTATCGTAAGTTCTGGTGCCTGGATCCTGATGTTAACACTGCCTGGCCGGCGCCTGATGTTGAATTATGTTCTCCACAGCCCATGAATGTCACTTGGATAACAAGCTTCCCCAATGGCTGCGAAGAAGGACGAGTGCTGACCATAGACATGGGCGGGACAAACCTGCGTGTGTGCGATGTAAACCTCCCCGCCGATAGAAGGGATTTTGAACAAACTCAGAAGTACAGACTGCCCGAGGCCATCAAGACGAGCCGTGGAGAACAACTCTGGAATTGGATCGCCGATCGCCTGAAAGAATTCATGGAGAATCGACGCATCGATGCCTCAGAGGCAGAAACGGTCTCTTTGGCCTTCACATTTTCTTTTCCGGTTTATCGGAAGAATATCAGAAGTGGTGTTCTTCAGCGCTGGACGAAGAACTTCAACGTGGCAGGAGCAGAAGGCACGATGTGGTCCCGCAGCTCGAAGCAGCATTTTCGAGGAAAGTGAGTATCATCAAGTCAGTGTCCATGCTCACGTATAGTCAGAGTAGCTAATTCATCCAGCATGTCCCAGTCCAAATCGTCGCCTTAATCAATGAAACAACGGGCACGCTTCTTGCCTCACATTATCGCGATTCCCATATGAAAGTGGGTTCCATTTTCAGCACGGGTTGCAGTACCGCATACATGGAAGATTGCCGGAACATCCCGAAGATGCAGGGACTTTCGGACGATGCGAAGGTGGTCATCAACACCGAGTATGGTGCATTCCATTCGATAATGATCGCAAGGTTCTTCCCGTGACACCTTTCGATCTCTAATCGACGAGAAGTCCGTGCGTCCGGGTACACAGATATATGAAAAGATGTAGCCGGACTTTACATTGGCCAAATGCTGCGTCTTGTGTTGATCACGCTTTTTGAGGAAGGCAAGCTGTTCAAGGGCCAAGACATCAGTCGCCTTCGAAGAGAGCATGCGGTTGATGCGACCTTTCTCTCCATCGCGGAACTTGATTCCTCGGAAGTGCTGAGAGATTTGCGCGAGGAGTTCGAAGAGAACTTTAGCTTGTCACCGAACCTGGAAGAGCACAAGATATGCCGGTATCTGATCAGCCTGATTATCATGCGTGCGGCACGTCTCTATGCATGTGGAATTGCGGCCAGGTTCAAGAAGAACATGCCTTGAAGGCCATGTCGGCGTTGATGGCGCGGTGTTCAATAAATACAGTGGCTTCAAGTCGCGGGCGTCCAAGGCTCTACGCGAGACCTTCGACTGGCTGCCGGGTGAGTTGGATTTGATCTCGCTCAATCCGTCGGAGGATGGGTCAGGTGTTGGGGCAGCTCTTGCTGCAGCTTTGGCTCTTGGAACCGAGTACAAGGGTTGATCGTCCAAGATTGCTTGAATTGTTTAGATGAACTGAGAGATAATCGTCAATCAATTTAGAAGTGAATGTTTGGTTCGCGTCACGGGCAGATAGAGCGATAAGATAACCCGATAAGGATAGGCGATAAGCACTTCTCCCACAAGTCAACACTTGACTTTCCTCTTGCCATTTTCTACGCCATACAGATACAATGCGGTTCCGAACCCAATTAAAGAATACCAGGACCTTCTCCAGTGCGTATAAGCTATACTGAACAAATAACACACAGCTAATCAATTCCAGAGTTGACTGCCTCGCTGGCATCACTGGGCAAAGTATGCTGGATGCGACTGGAATACGACGTGGTTCGATTCACCGTGATCCCAGATCAAGGTACCCAAGTATGGGCACAGATTCCGGTTGTACGTGTCAAACCGGCTCTTGATTGACTTCCATGGGTCAATATCACTAATTTATCGCCAAGGACACCATCTTCGAGGAATCATCATATCAATTAGAATCCAACTCCGACGCAATTAATATCGAAATTAACATCAGTCTCTTAAACCGTGCGCTACGGTCAACATTCGGCGCCTCGTCCTCACAGCTGCGCCTGACAAAGAAAGACAAGATGCCTCTACTCGCACTCACAGTCCTCACAACCGAATGGACAGAGGGCAACATGGCCCTTGCCACCGACGAAGCATTCGAGCAAAGCCATACAACAGGTCCATCGGCCCAGAACGAAGTAGTCGGCGACAGACGAGCCCGTGAGCGCGAAACATGGATCACACAGGAAGTCCCCATCAAGATCCTACACGAGGACGTGGTAGAAAGCCTGCACGAGCCGCATTGTCCCGATCCAGACGTATACATCATTCTGCCAAACCTGATGCAGTTGAAAAGTATCTCAGACCGATTTACCAAGCTAGCCTCTTCAGACAGCAAGGGCCAAAGGTCGGGCATCGTGGTTACGGACCCAGCGGCGTCTTCCGCTGGCGCCACGGCGCTATCTACCAACTCAGCTCCGAAACTGGAATTGTCGGCCAATATGCATGGTAAATTACGCCTTGCGATTGCGACGGATGACTTGCGCATTGCCAGTGTTTGGTCTGGACTCGTGAATCCTCCTCTGGATCCTGCGCATATCACGCAGGATCGGGCTTCTCAGCTACCCAGTGAGCGTATGCGAGAGGCAGGTGACGATGATGAGGCTGGATGGGCAAAAGTGAGGATTGATGGGAAAGATTGGGGTCGAGTGTTGAGTGTGGGGAGATTGAGTCCAAAGGTTGTTGCTTGTAAGTTGAGATGCCCCCGAGGACGATGAGGCTGTGAAGGTTTCCGGGCTGGTTGCTAATAAATCCAGGCTTTATCAATGAAACGGCGCTGGTTCTTTATGTCTACTTGCCAGGCAGTTGGAATGGCGAAGAATCATGTCTGACTGTAAGTTGTTTCATGTTGTTCGTTTGCCATGCAAAAAGTAGCAGCTGACATCAAACTTAGTACTATATCAATTCCTTTACGACATAACGATCCATCCCAATCCACTTTGTCTACGTTAAATTAGCATTTGTTTAGCGCCTACGAGTATATCTGCAAGATTTTCAAAGAATAGACCATTGGTCGACATTACCACAGTTCATTATTAAGACAGGCGCATGGCAAAAAACCATGCTGAAAGAAACTTCCAATCCAGAATAGGAAACACAAAGACTCAGAAACAAAGGCGATGCAGAGCACCGCAAGCGCAAGGGGGTGGGATATGATATACATGATGCGAGGAGAATCATCCCCCTCGCTTCGCGGGAGGAATTTGGCAGCAATGAACATCAGAAACAGCAAGCTATGTACAAGGACTTTGCGATGCCGAGCTAGCTCAGTGTACGAGAACGCCGTGGAAATGGGGATTGTGTCAGTCCGGAAGCAGGACGAAAACAAGACACATGCAAGATGCTGGGAGAAGAAGGCTTGACAGCAGGGAATCTCTATTATAGGGGTGAAAGGGCGGGGGTGTTTCATGGGGCAGAGGGGAATCCAAAAAACAGGCGGACATCAAGAGGCATAATAACACATATGAAATGACAAAAGAAAAAAGTCCCTCCAGTCAATGATCCAATGACTGATGAGACTTGATATAGACCCAACTCTCTTGAGGGTATTTCAAGATTATTGAGCCATCACATCGACGTAGCGGCCCTTCTTCTTGCCCTTGACAGTATTGCCCTTGCGCGCAGTGGGAGCGCCAAGTAGATCATCAATAGAGTTGGCATGGGTCAAAGACGACGCAGGTCGAGGTGGTGGGCCACCAGAGCTACCAGGTGGTGTTGGAACAGCCGCACCGGTGGACACGGAACGAGGCATAGCACCGAGAGGTGGTGGTACGCCAAGTCCTGACAATGCAGGGCTGGATGAAAGAGGTGGGGGTGGCATGTCGCTAGCAGAAGACTGGGGACGGCTACCTGCACCAGACATAGGAGGTCCTACTGGAGGGGGCATGCTGCCAGAGCTGGCAGCTCGACTCGGCGGAGCAGAACCTCGTGGCGGAGGCGGCGTAGCACGAACAGCAGCCGCAGAGTTAGGGTCCTTCTTGTTAACCCACTTCTTAAGGTCTTTATCGTAGTAGAAGGAATTCTCTTCGCCGAGCTTGGCCTTGATAGGACCGCCGCCCGTCTTTTCAGCTTCCTTCTTGGCACCTCCAAACCACCCACCGAACCATCCCTTCTTCGGGGATTGCTGCGCATCTCTCTTGGCTATAATTACAGAGGTTAGTACGGTTGTTAAGACTTGGGCAATATCCTGTCCTATCTTTGACTTACCATCTTCTTCAGCGGCCTTTCTAAAAGCTTCGTCCGCCTTACGGTCATTCTCGGCCTTTTGCATGGCAGAGGCCCGAGCGGCAAGGTCATCGTCATCATCATCATCCATGAAAGACTTTTTCTTCCGAGGCTGAGGCTCCTCGTCCACCGCAGAGGGCTGATCTGTCTCCTCTGGCGCGGAATTCAAATCCGGGGCAGCATACGACGGTGGCGCATAAGCATTGCTAGGCAGCGGCATATAGGACGAAGCTTCTGGCTGCGGCATACCAGGGGGGCCCTGGTAGTAAGGTGACTGTGTAGCTGATGCTTGTTCAGGTTCCTGCTGTTGCTGTTCTTGCTGTCCATGGGGCTGGTAGAAGAGGCCATTGACAGCAGGCGTTGCTTGAGTGGGCGGTGCCACATCTGCAGGCGATTGGGCAGTCAAGTCTTCTTCAACCGGAGCAAGCGGCATGTAGGATGTCTGCGGCGGAGTGGGCTGGTAACCCGAAACAGCGCCGGGAGAGCCGTACATAGGTGCGTAGCTCTCGACCGGAGAGGCAGGGTATTCTTGCGAGGTTCGACGTTGAGCAAAGGGAACGCCACCAAACGATGGAGATCTCTGCGAATCCATCGATGACCGTCCACGGAACTGCTCGGGCGAGGCGTTTGGCGCATATTGGTTCGGCATGTATCGCGAGGAGCCGCCAGCAGGGGCGGGAATGGGTTGAGCCGCCGCTGCTCCAGGATAGGAGCCATAAAGATCAGACACAGAAGGAGATCTACTGACAGTTGGCGTTCCGGCAACATTGGCAAAGGGACCAAAGTCTCCAATTTCACCGGCTTTGCCTGATCCTGTCGATGCCGCATCGCTATCGTCACCAGCGACGAAGCTGTTGAAGCGAGCCCACATAGATCCGGAAACCTTCTCCATGCTAGGCTTGGAGATCCACGAGCCACCGTCAGTGGTTGTGTGACGGAGTCGGGCAGAAAGCTCATCAACCTCAACGAACAAGTGCTGATGGTGGTATGGGGAGGGACGAGTGTTTGCTTTGAGCGATGCGGCAACTCCATCACAGTAGATCTGAGCCTCAGACTTGCGTCCCCGGTCAGCTAGCTGCTTAGCGTGTAGGAACTTGAAGGCCAAGAGATATGGCAAGTTGGCCACCGGCGAGCTAGCCAGGACTGAGGTGGCATATTCATAGATCTCAGTGAGAAGTGTGGCGTCCTCGTCCATCAAAGAGCAAGGGAGGCGCTGATGGTCAGCACCAAGAAGCACGATATTCGCTTGAGGATCATCGGCACCGCCAAAGACCGCACTACGAGAGAAGATGAAGCAGATATGTGCGGCTTCCACGCGTCCATAAGAAGCCAACAAACGGCCAAGAGCAAGCAGTGACAGCTGGTCTTCAGAGCTGCGGTTGCTAAGCACCAAGCCGACGGTGTCCCTCCAGCTATTCAAACCATCCAGTGCATTCTTGGTGGATCCCGCGCGGTCATTCATGCTGATTAGCTGGTGACCAGCCCGCGCGGATGGAGGTACAAGTTCGTCAACACTTTCCTCAGCATTTCCTGCGAATATTTCATAGAGCGCTGCAAGCGACTCGGTATTAGCAGCTGTGGATTTAATTTCACGTCGAACAAACTCTTGAACAGCTTGCTTCCAAATCGCCCGATCCATGGTGGATGCGAGAATCATTGCGTGTCCCCATAGCCGGCGGTCAACAGCGGCCCAGACAGCTTTTTCTCGTTCACCTAGGAGCAGAAGATTCCGCACCTCTTCCATCCACTGAGAATCAGCTGTTGCATCCGGCTGAGATAATGCTCCCTGTGAGGAAAATCCGCTAGAAGTTCCAAGCGGACTTATCACGGAGCCATCGGGACCGAGTTCAGGAAGATTTGGCACGAATACTTGACGAAGAGAGTTTTGTACCTCGGCTGAACCCTCCAGCTTCCCGTCGTTCTCCACCAAGATTTTCACAACCTTCCAGAGCAGGATCTTCTCTTCGTGACGATTCTGTATATCGGGATGGGACTGGTCAAACCCGTGAGGCATGTCGTTCTCAAACGCAGCAATCTTGCTTGACAGCCAAGCGAGCACATCCTTCTTCTTGGACTTGGTCTTGAGCAGACCCGGATGCTGAACAATAGTATCTGCAGATGGGACCCATTGGCTGGCCTGTGAGAGCTTGGGCTCGCCAGGGCTAGGCTTGATCATCGGGGTAGCTTGACCAACAGAGTAGCGGGGAATCTGTAGGGGAAAGCAAGAGACCACAGAGCCACCGAAGCCGAACTTGAAGATAGGAGCGCCTTTCCATCGCTGGAGAGGGTCCTGTTCTTGTCCATCGGTAGGCGCAATAAACTCCAGGTGCTGGGAGAGAGCACGAGCGCGGCCCTGTATAGAAGGGTGCATGGGTGCGTACGGATTGGTCGTCTTGGTAGGCGAACTGGAGCCGTGCACAGAGGCTGGGCGCGGTAAAGTTGTGAGAGGCGGCACGGCGGCTCGAGGGCTCGTCATTTGCTGACCAGGTGAGGAAGTATGGGATCGACGAGGAGGCGCAGACTGCGAATCGTTCGCATGCTGGGATGGCGGTGGTACAACTGCTGCGGCAGGAACAGGAGTATTTGCACTGTTTGGTGCAACCCGCTGAGCAAATTCGCTGACATACTCCGGTGGCGCATAGCGATTCTTGGGCGGCGGGGGAGTCTGCCGTTGGGCAACCGGGGGGCTTGCACCATCAAGGTTTCCAACTCCATTTGACAACCGTGGAGCATATGGCGACCCTTGATCGATGCTAGGCCGCTGCGCACGTGGTGGTGAAAGATCGACTGACGGCTGTAGCGAAGGCGGCTGCGCCTGTTTGACCTGAGTGTCTTCGGGCTGGTATGAAGCCTTTTCGTGATAGGCAAGAGGACTGGAGGTACGAGGCTGGAACGGCAGATTGTTGACATGGCCTGGAACGGCCAAAGGCTGAGAGGCATAGCGGTTGCGGGGAGCCGGTCCCGAAGGGGGGGGCGCGGGTGAGTATCGCGGGATTGAAGGTGGTTTGGCCGATGGTTGCAAACCTGGCGGCTGGGGGGAATACCGAGAAGCAACAGGAGGGCCAGCTGGTGCACTTGATGCCAACACCGAGGGCACAGCATAAGGGTCCAAACGCTCTGGTGGCTGCAGGGAAGGTTGAGAAGACACGTTTCCTGGTAAAGCAGCGAGAGGTGCGGCGGGTGCATATGGATTGTGCGGCGGTGGAGCAGCAGCAAGCGACGAACCAGTCGCCGTGATCACGGCAGGATTGGGGGAGTATCGCCCCGAGCTTGTCGCGGGTCGAGACTTCGGAACCGGCAAGGGAAGCTCTTCGTAGAAGTTCTTTGGGGCGGTTGGTGCTGCGAGTGCCGGCGCAGCAGTGGGGGGAGCAGTTCCAGGTGATGGTGCACCATACTGAGGGATGCCACTGTTGGGAGGGGGAGGGGGAGGCATACTAGTCACAGGCGCTGGAGCAGGCTTGTGAGTTACCACAGGCCGTCTGGGCCGAGACAGGTCATCTGGCAGGTCATACGGAGATTTGTAACCCTCCTTTGATTGCTCTACAAAACTCTCTGCGCGAGGGGGCAGCACAGGGTTCGACGGCTGCTGGGAGAAGTATGGTGGTATCACAGCATTCACCGTTGGGGGGGCTCCAGGTATAGGGATGCCTCCAACCAAGTCTGCAGTTGTGGGCTGATGTGGCGTATATATGCCAGAAACGGCTCGAGGCTGGGTCTGACTGTTAGGAGTTTCGAAGGGGCTGCTCAAGCCAGCAGAACCAGCGTTGGTTGCAGATGGTGTGGCGCTGTGGGGAACATATTGTTGTCCAGGGGTACCAGCTTGTGGCTGGGCAGGTGCAATTGCAGTTGTATCTTCCAGAAGCATATCATCATCATCCAGATCGAGGGCAGCCTCCCACCTAGCAGCCAATTCATCTTCCCCTGTATCACTCAATTCGGCTTCCCATAGTGCAGCAAGATCGTCTTCCGTAGGTTCCGCGGCTGGTTCAGCCTGCCCCACGGGTTCTACAGGTCCGGTCGTAGTCGCAGCTTTCAGAATATCATCGAATTGAGCAGCAGCCGATGTATCGCTTGTCGGAGAGTCGATGTTGAAACCCACAGATTCCATCACCTGTGACGTGCTCTTACGGGTAATGTGCGGCGCGGACATTTCATCACTGATTTCCACCCTTTGAGCCGAGCTGAAAAAGTCATCCGCGTCGTTTTCGTCGTTGGCAAAGAAATCGTCAACAGGTTCCGTTGGCTGTCCCTCACGCTCGGGCGATTTTGGGCTATCCTCATCCAGCAGCGGGACACCTTCTTCAAACCGGGACTCGGCCTCTGGAGGTGCGAAAATGGGCTTCGTTTGAGTCTTCAATTGATTGAAGAAGTCATCTCCATCGGAATCCACATCGTTATGCGCTTCAATACTCCAAGGGTCGGCATCTCTTGTACTTGGTTCGTTCGCAGGCGACTCGGCCTCCAATTGCGGCACGTCTCCCGCTGGTAGTGGTAAAAAAGGTGTCGAGAGCGGCTCTTCACTCTGAGGCAACACAGGCTCCGACTCCACCGGGGGCGTGGGTAGCTGTTGAATAACATCAGCTGGCTCGACAACCGGCTCCTGAAATTCGGTCGGTTGTTCGGCCGGCACGGAAAGCACGGTGACGTCCCCCTCCTTCTCCAGCTCGGCCAGAACAGAAGACTCCGGGTGTGCTGTAGACTGGGAATCTTGCGCGTCGGTTGGCGAGAGGACATGTTCGGTCGGGGTGGCAGTGGGCTCGGAGGAGGGCAGTAACGTTTGTACCGGCTCGGCATCTGCAGGTAAATCATCGGACGATCCGGGCATTTCTATAGACTGTGTAGGAGCCTCGGCGTCGTCAAAGCCCTGGTTTCTCGTGCTGGTCACTTCCGCGATGTCGCCAACTCCGGGGGCATCCTGGACTGGAGAATCATCTACCACGGAGGTCACCACATCCACATCTTCCACTTGAGGTGGTTTGTCTTCGATCTCATTCGACACGTTCCATGCAGAGAAGTCTTCGTCGTTCAGAGGCGATTCAATGTCGGATGCGTGGGTTTGCTTTGGGCTTGCAGCGGCCAGGAGGTCGGCCAGACCACCTTCTGTAGAGGTCGCTGCATTGGAAGGCGTATCACCCTCCGGCCATGATGCGGGATTCCAGGAGTTTGCGGGGTCCAAAGACAATGTCTGCTCCGCCATGGTGGGCGCGTATGGTCCTCGCTATTGACCCAAATTAGGGGGAGTTCGTTTCGGAGGTAACAGTAACCGGACACGTCTCCAGTGATTCCCAGGGGGTCAACAATCCCAAAACGACCAAATCCTCGGCGTCAAATTCAACGATCCATGTAAAAACGCAGGCGATGAAAGAAAATGTGCAAATTACATAGAAAGAATTAAAGTTGAAGGCATGAAGCTCGGTGGTGTTCAAAGAAAAGGCAACGAAACGACTTGCGAATACGCCTGAATCGTGATCCAGGGTGAGATCGGACCCTGATTCGATGATGGCCGCTGACTAAATTTCCTTAAATGAGCAGCGGACTATTCATTTCTCCGAAGCAGCAAAAGACACCGTTGCCGCCTTTATGCATCTTTATATAAGCGGATGCTCGACTTCACCGTTATGCACAGTCAGGTGATTGCGGCCGCGTATCACGGGCGCTCCGCCAGGCAGTCACGTCTCGTCCCAAATAGTTAACCTTCAACTGTCAAAAACCCTGACTTGTGACAATTCTAGAGATTGGCAGTACTCAGACTTAGTATCTGCGCTTATCGATCTCTTCCAGTGCGCGTTTTCAACCTTCGGCCCACCTCAATTATGCTCCCGCCGAACCCCAATGCTCCTGGACTGGTTATCTGAGATATGATCCTGGCATGTGCTCATATAGCTGGAACGCACCACGTTGCCTAACAACTTTCAACCTAAGTAATCGTGGACCTCCACTGGCTTAACTTCTAAACATGTCTTCCTCACACGACTATCTACACCCCCTCCAGCGGCCAGATGACCTTGGCGATTACTCTGGCTCCGATGACGACGACTTGGACCTCGAGGAGCTCGATCCCGATGCCGCACCACCCCAAGCCCCTCGGGCTTCCAGAGAATACGCGAGCCGCTCACGAACTTATGGACCTGGAATCGCCCTTCGAAATTTACGTGTCGGTGTGGGCAGTCGGTGGAAACGAAGCGCATCCGGGGACCATGGGGAGGTAGACGGGGACACAGATGCGTTGCTGGAGGACCGCGGGGACGATGGACTTCGAACGTCTCATGGCAGCTCACGAAACATGGCCGAAGATGATGCGCCATTGCTTGATCGTCGGAACTCGACTCGATTGTCTCGGGAAAATGAGCCGTCCAAAAAGGGTGGCCGGTTACGTCTACCAAGCCTAAGAGGCCCCGGTTTCCTTCAAAAGGCGACAAATCGGCTACGAGGAAATTTGGAGGACCAAGAGAATAAACCTCCGCGCGAAATTCTTGTTGGCCAATACCAGACCATCAAATACCCGGCGAATGTTGTCTCGAACGCGAAATATACCCCCTGGAGCTTCCTTCCACGCACGCTGTATAACGAATTTTCCTTCTTCTTCAACATCTACTTCTTGCTCGTTGCATTGTCGCAAGTTATTCCTATTTTACGGATTGGTTACATGTCTTCGTACATTGCGCCTCTGGCGTTCGTTGTCTCAATATCGTTGGGGAAGGAGGCCCTTGATGACATTGGTCGGAGGCGTCGTGATGCAGAGGCAAATGCGGAAGAGTTCACGGTGGTCTCCCTTGAAAGGTCAAATGCTATGGAGATGACGAAAAAGTCTCGCGACCTGAAAGTTGGAGATGTGCTTAAAGTCCGCAAAAACCAGCGCCTACCGGCTGATGTCGTGATTCTAAAGAGTGTTTCCAACGATTCGAACTTGGAACGTGAGCGCCGAGCATCGGTGGAAGAGCCCGTTCCCGGACCATCTACTGACCTTCTCAACTCCCCTGGGCCTGGGTCTGGTCCCGCTGAGGAGACTTCTACTACGAATACCGCCGACGCCTCCTCTGGTAGCGACACTTTCATCCGAACTGATCAATTAGATGGTGAAACTGATTGGAAGCTCCGGTTACCCTCTGTTCTCTCTCAAGCCCTACCTTTAGAAGACTTGACGCGACTCAAGATCACCGCCAGTTCCCCAGATAAGCGGGTAAACGAGTTTGTTGGTACCATTGAATTAGGGCCTCCTACTGGTTTCTATGATGCCCACATCGACAAGTCCACCGCTCCCACCAATAACATCGGGGCTGAAGATAGCGAAACCAACTCCGCCTCGTTGACCATCGATAACACTGCTTGGGCCAACACCGTTCTTGCCTCTAACACCGTGACCTACGCTGCGATCATCTACACGGGCTCGCAAACTCGGGCAGCCCTCTCTACGTCAGCCTCAAGGTCAAAAGTTGGCTTGTTAGAATATGAGATTAATAACCTAACAAAAATCTTGTGTGCGTTGACCCTCGCCTTATCTTTCGTGTTGGTGGCCTTGGAAGGGTTTGAGCCGACAAACGACAAGAAGTGGTATGTCGCGATAATGATCTACCTCATCCTCTTTTCAACCATCATTCCTATGAGCCTTCGAGTCAATCTGGATATGGCCAAGTCCGTGTACGGTCGATTCATTCAGCGCGATAAGGACATTCCAGATACGTTGGTTCGGACAAGTACAATCCCGGAGGACTTGGGCAGAATTGAATATCTGCTATCAGACAAGACCGGGACCCTGACTCAGAATGGTAAGTTTCGTTCCCTTGGGTTGTTCTGCCTATGTCGAAATAACAATCACTGACGTCAACTTAGAGATGGAATTAAAAAAGATCCATGTTGGCACTGTATCTTATGCCAACGAGGCCATGGATGAGGTTACTTCGTTTATTCGTCAAGCCTTTGCAGGAAATGCTTTGACGACACCATCAACTGTATTTGGCACGCAGGCCGGTCAGGCCGCGGCTCCACGCACTAGAAGGGAAATCGGTTCTCGGGTTAGAGATCTCGTTCTAGCCCTTGCCCTTTGTCATAACGTCACCCCAACTGGAGAAGAGGAAGAGGATGGACGAAAAGTGACCAACTACCAAGCCTCATCTCCCGATGAAATTGCAATTGTTCGCTACACCGAAGATGTTGGCTTAAAGGTCGCGTACCGCGATCGCCAAACCATTGTCCTCGAGTCTACCGAATCGAAGCAGGTTGTCGTTCGTGTCAAAATTCTCGACATCTTCCCATTCACCTCCGACAGCAAGCGCATGGGTATCATTGTTCAATTTGAGCAAAGTGAAAACATTCTCGAGACGGGCGCTAGTGCAGAGCCAGAAATCTGGTTCTATCAAAAGGGCGCAGACACGGTCATGACATCAATTGTTGCGGCAAACGACTGGCTTGACGAAGAAACTGCGAACATGGCTCGCGAGGGCTTGCGAACGCTGGTCGTTGGACGCAAGCACCTTTCCCTGCAGCAATATCAAGAGTTTGCTGGCAAGTTCAAGCAAGCCTCGCTCTCCCTTCAATCACGAGATGTCGGCATGGCCAAGGTTGTAAGCGAATACCTTGAACGAGACCTGGAACTGCTCGGTGTTACCGGTGTTGAAGATCGCTTGCAGCGAGATGTCAAGTCTTCCCTGGAATTGATGCGCAATGCAGGCATCAAAATTTGGATGTTGACTGGAGACAAAGTGGAGACTGCGCGCTGTGTCGCTATCTCTGCCAAATTGGTCTCTCGGGGACAGTACATTCACACCGTTTCCAAGGTGACGGACAAATCAACAGCCCAAGAAGCTCTAGATTTTCTGCGCAATAAGACCGACTGCTGCCTTCTGATCGACGGTGAGTCTCTAAATCTGATGCTGGGAGAGTTCCGGTCTGCTTTTATCGCCGTTGCGGTGCTCCTTCCTGCCGTCATTGCGTGCCGTTGCTCGCCGACGCAGAAAGCTGAAGTTGCCAACTTGATTCGTCAACACACCAAGAAACGTGTTTGCTGCATCGGTGACGGTGGCAACGATGTCTCCATGATTCAAGCTGCCGACGTTGGTATTGGTATCGTGGGCAAGGAAGGTCGTCAGGCATCGCTTGCCGCAGATTTCAGTATCACCCAGTTCCACCACCTCACCAAGCTACTAGTTTGGCACGGCCGCAACTCATACAAGCGGTCCGCCAAGCTCGCACAGTTTATTATGCATCGTGGTCTGATCATTGCCGTATGCCAAACCATGTACAGCATCGCCGGGCACTTCGATCCGAAGGGTCTATTCATCGATTGGCTAATGATCGGATACGCCACCGTCTATACCAACGCACCCGTGTTCTCGCTCGTGTTCGACAAGGATGTCGACGAGCGCCTCGCCAATCTCTACCCGGAGCTTTATAAAGAGCTGAAGACCGGCAAGAGCCTGAGCTACCGGTCGTTCTTCACCTGGGTTATGATTTCCGTCTACCAGGGTGCCGTCATCCAGGGTCTATCTCAAATCTTGTTGCACACCATCACCGGGCCACGTCTCATCAGTGTGTCCTTCACAGCCCTTGTCCTCAATGAATTGGGCATGGTCGCTATCGCAATCACAACTTGGCATCCCGTGATGATCGTCTGCCTTCTGGGTACCCTCTTACTCTACGCCGGCAGCATTCCCTTCCTGGGTGACTACTTCAATCTCCGCTTTGTGGTCACTGTTGACTGGCTGTGGCGTGTATTTGCCGTCCTGGCCGTCTCACTTATTCCCGTGTGGGCCGGCAAGTTGATCAAGCAATCGTGGAGCCCGCCAAGTTATCGCAAGGTGCGCGGCTGATAGATGTGATGTGGTTTTCACGGATATATCTTGTGATGTATCTCAGCGAATTTTGTGCCCCTTGTATTTTGACTTGCGTTACTTATTCCCCGTTGCGATCCTTTCCCCTCAATAGCTCCTGTTCGATCTGACTGGACCTACTCTTGTATATCCCACCTCATAGCATCTCCCTTTCGAGCGCACATTAGGCGTTAGAAGCGCAACCATTGGTTTAGGTCTTTTCATGCCTTTGCAATATATCCACGATCTAGACAGTATCGAGAAACTATCACTGCCAGAGTACACCTCATGCTGAGTACAGTGACGCCCGTTATTGCCTTCCATGTTTGGATACATAGAGATGGTTTTTCAAACCCTAATCAGGTGATGGGTACTCCGTAAGCTCAATTTAGTTAGTGTATTAATCCACCGTTTTGTAATAACCAAGTAATAATACCGAGCTTCAAGAAACAAGCAGAGAGATGGAATAGTCGTGCCAACCCAGCAACTCCAACAAAGAGACCTCGCACGCTGACCTCGAGCTCTGATTCCCAACCACAAGACGACGATGTCCAGACTTGTCTCTCTAGTGAGACTCGCCCTCCGATATAATCTGAACTCTGCGATGAACCCATCAGTAAGGATACAACTGCTGACCAACTGACTCGCCTAACTAGTTAGTTAGTTAGAGGACGGTTCGTCGGCTGACACAATCCTCCCGGGCCGTCGACCCAAGAGAAGTCGTAAATTTTCTAAGGCAGATTCACCTATATAATAAATTTATGTCTAACGTTAACTGTCGAGTTATCTAAGGGGTTTCATATTGTTTCTGGTATTCAATGAAATCTGATGGAGGCGTATCGTATACAGGGCAGAGGAATATATCAACTGGCTGAGATATGGTGAAGCTATGTACGAGAAGGACTTATCTACTGAGATCTTTATTTAGGGAGGATTCCGGCAATTCCCAGTTTCTATACAAGATGAGGCGGTAATCTCCCCCCGCCTCCCTTCCCTCAAAATGCTTCTACAATTCCGTTCTTTAAGGCAGTGCAAACAAGCCACATAAACCGCAGTAAGACAGTTGATCACGACTACCTCAGGACTTACTAACTCTGGATATCCTGCATAGGTCCCAGAAGATAGCTTCCCAAGCCCAGTCTACCCTTCTGGCTCCCAGTCTGAGGGCCCCTCCTCTCGAACACTAGCAATCTACAGAGTTTTACTATTGGCACTCGCAGCGATGATGACATATCGCACGCCGCCACGCCCTCTTTTATTCCGTCTAGGGAGATGGTCACTTGCTTGGAATGTTTGAAGTGGATTGCTGCTGGACGACGCCCATCTGAGATTTGTAGCTTCAGCTACTGTGATATCGAGCGAAATCTCAGTATCCCGTACTTACAGTACACCTGGTGCGCCATTAAGCATCATGTTTGCCACCAGGTCCACTCCATCCGCTTCCGGGGCTTACCTCCAGATCCTAGAGCTACTCTTGGCCTCAAGCTCGTACCTAATATGCCGTGCTAACTATACGCGGCAGATATGGGAGATCTACCAGCAGCTCGAACCAGCGGAGCGAGAGTTTTGGGATCTACTTAACGAGGCCGACTCATCAGATGGGAGCACGCTGAGTACTTTCGAGGGCTATTCGGATTGGGTTTGATTGATGGCATTCTCGCACGACGGTCAGCTAATAGCGACAGGCTCTGGGATATGGCCAAGGGCGCCCTGCAGCTGAGATACGACCGCATAGACTAAGAATGTTGCCTATAGTGCATTTTCATTCTCGCGGTATTATGCCCCCTATTTATGCGACTAGATTGTAGACAGGGAGCTAGGTGACTAGATGAGCATAATATCAACTATATAATCTTCCTAGATATTTTACGCTCCCAAGAATAACTCAATTTGCTTTGCATAGATCTCCGGAACCTGATAGAGATGGCCGTGGCCTGCGTCCGGGTAGAGATGCAGCTGCGCGTTACGTAGCTGCTGCAGTAAGATGTAGCTGTTGGAAGTCGGGGTCATGATGTCAGCTTTTCCATTGGTGACCAACACGGCCGTGTTGATTTGCTTCAGCTTTTCGAAAAGCTCAGTGTCCGTGGCAAACTTTCCAATCGCGGCCTGCTGCTTTGCGGCACCAGCTTGGTCAAGGAACCCGCGCCACTGTTCACCCTCGACCTGACGCTCCTGTGTTCTCTCGAACCACGCACGACCGAGCGCACGACTTGTGGAAGACGGGTAGAAGAAGAGTTTCATCATGTCTTCTTCGGAGGGCACGGCTCCGCCGGCAATTTTCATGATTTCAGGATCTCCAAAAACCACGCCTTCCGTGTAACTTGACTGAGTTCCCGCGAGAATCAACTTGTTCACTATGTGAGGATGGCTAACAACAATGTATTGGGCAACCATGCCACCCAGCGAGAAGCCGATGATGTCGACTTTCGGGACGCCAATGCTGGTGAGAAAATCCACGACCGTTAAACCCATCGCTTCGAGAGTGTCTTGGACAGCGCCTTCACTGTGGCCAACACCAGAATTGTCGAACAGGATCACCTCACGATTCTCGGCAATGTATTGATGAGCAATGGATCGACAAGGTCCATGGAACCGCGGAAATGAGTGAGGAAAATCAGGGGAACACCACCCTGATTTCCGAAGCGTCGGTAGGCAAGTTTCGCCCCCTTGACGGAGACAAAGAGCGTCGGGGTAGCTTGAAAAGACATTGGAAGGGCTTGTTATGCTCTTTCTTTTCTCTTAGAGATGGAGCTCGTGTACGAGTAGAGGATCAAATGACAGGAAGACTGGAGATCCAAATTTAGCGACTCTTGAAGGGTTTATATAGGGACTTGTACGCAGCATGCATTCAAGCATTGCGCCGTGAGCAATCTAATCTTTCGGGTACATATCCGTTAACTCCGTACATTTTCCTACGAAAATAAAAGCTGATCATCAATTGAGGCAGTGAGAGTTGGGTGGTTTAACTCCGTACCTGAGGTTGGGAGGTTTCGGGGCGTTGAATAATCATGAATTGGTAATGAAAGCATTGTGGGTGGGTCATGACGTTTGGCCGTGTAAAAGTTTTGCCATTAACTCCGGGCTCACTCTTAGCAAGTTGTGTACGGAGTACCAACTTAGAGCATTTCGAAGTCTAAATTAACGTGCACGAAGAGAACCAAGGTTTCTGCCTCAGAAGCCCCTACGCACCCCGTGGCTATTGAAGATGACAATGCACTGCGCTCGGTAGTGAATAAAGATCTTAGGCCATACAAAGGCTTTCATCTCGTTTGAGAGTTCTTGATGATTTGTCTTTACTTAGAGACCTATTGAGGGACCAAGACCATCGGCCTCTTTTGCCTATACTAGCCTCTCCATGCCGCTCTCTTCTCCACCACTTGTACAATAACTTCGTATTCCTCATAGCTTTTAGATTAAAACCAATGGACATAATGGCTTCCAAGTGTAATTGTAACACTACACAGATAGAGACTTGATAACAAAACAACGATAATCAAGTGCGAAGCTAGGTGAAAAGGGCCAAAGCGAACTATCAGTGGCTGTACATTATTGAGTAACAATCTGAGGATAAGATATCAAGTTATCTTAACGGCAATCACGACGATGGAATTACAGGAATAAACAGAGGATACAGACGCCGACGGTGGTGGCCACTCATCTCTCTCAGCAAGGCCCCTAAAGGTCACTTGCTAGCTTGCTGATTTTGCCACGACAAATAGTGATCTTTCAGCAGCTGTTCCGCTGGACGGTATGAGAGCCCCAGATCCCTGATACTCTTGCTATTGTTGACCTTGTATGAGATGCCAATGTTTCGTGACACCCATTTCATGGGCAGGCCGATGAAGGGCCCTGCAGCGAAGACGAGAAGTTTCGGGAGATTGCGGGTGGGCAACGATTCGGGCTTGCGATGAGTTCCCCTCACGTAATTTGCCATATCCAGCAAGCAAATGCTACGTTCGCTGGCGATGATGTACCGCCCCCTGGCAGAGGGACTTTTTCCTGCTCTGATGTGCGCCTCGGCCACATCCCGCACATCTGCCACTGGATAATGTAACTCCGGAACGCCCGAGCGATTCTCGCCCTTGTACATAGCGTCCAGCATGAACAGGCTACCAGATGCCGATTCGGAGGTGAGTGACGGGCCGAGCACGAGGCCCGGGTTGATAGCCACAAGGTCCCACCGTTCCTGAGCGTCACATATCTTCCAGGCCTCACGCTCAGCGACTAGCTTAGAGTAGCTATAAGGACTGTAGGTGGCAGTGCTCGTCGTATTCCAATAGTCCTCAGACAATGTCTTGTCCTTCATCTTGAGTATATCCCAACTATCACCGTACATGGCCGCGACTAGTCAAGGCGTTATAGATTAGGCACACGCTTAGAGAGACAGATCGGAAGTTCCACTTACTGGATGACGTTAGAACGACGCGTCTAACGCTCTCGGTCTTGTTCACAGACAGTAGAACATTCTTCGTGCCTTGAAGAGCGGGCTCGACGCAATCTTTCATGCCGTTCTTGATTTGTTGGGGGACTAAGAATGGCGAGGCGACGTGGTAGACAACTTCACAACCCTCCATCGCTTGCAGAAAGGAGTTATCCTTCATCAAATCAGCCTCAAAGAGTTTCAGCCTGCCTGGATACGTCTGTTGCATATCAAGCAGGGGCTTGCACTTCGAAAGGTTCTTCAGGCTGCGGACAGTGGTGTTAACGAGATCACCCCTTTCGAGCAGACCCTTTACCACGTAAAGGGCAATGAAGCCGGAGCCTCCTGTAACAAGCGATTTTTGCATTGCCGCTGTCTTCTATTCGTGCACTCTCACTTCACAAAATACCAAATATTGACTGCCGATGGATGTCCAGCTATCGTCTGATCAAATTTGAGGGTTCCTCTTCTCATCGTGACGAAGCGTCCTTTTATCGTCGCCAGGAGAGGAAGATTGCCGGAGATAAACGGATGTAAGCAGGTATATAATATGTTTAGTTCAGAGAGGTCTTTAGATTAGCGGTGTCAGCAGAACTTGAAGGCTGAAACATGGATCAACCATAGGGGGTGTATAGCGATCTGAATGGTAAAGGCCGGAGATAAAGTACGATTTGAGTAGAACACGAGAACTCTAAATAAATTTGAGGCGTACTCGAGAATAAGCTCTATAACATATGATGATCCGGCCACAGCGCTTTAGAAACACGCTACGGATCAATGAGCCTCTACGGCTTTCTATCGCCGTTTCCAGCCCTGATATTGCCACCACTTGGGTCACGTATGCTGGAGGGAGGAGTCTCTGAAGATATTTGGTAATCCACTTAGCTTCCTATCAAAAGTTGTGGCCTATGTGTGTGATTAGTGATCAAAGTGCTAAATACCTCGGTAACGTAATTTACAAGAGCACAAGACACCCCAAAACACCAAATTAAAAGAGATAAATTACAACTCATATCTCTGTATAACAATTTATGTGATCTTGATAGTAAACCTAGCCTATTTGTACAGTATAGGGAAATTATTTCCAGCATAAATACGGCCTTCAGCATGGTGATTTGGGGTGTCTTACTCGCTTGTGAATTACGTTAGCCTTCTCAATGTTGAATAATCAATCTACGTGAGGCGCCTTTTAAAATTTAACCTTAAAAGTGGGTCGAAACGCCTCATCTAAAATCTTGCACCAATAAATGGGTCCTGAGCTGGAACCCGGGTCCCACACGCTACCACATCATGCCTTATGGTGGCTTAGAAAGCATATCGTTGGCAAGGTGAAGTAATTGTTGCCCGAAAGTCTCCAAACTAGGGGATCCCTCTTCTCGATCGGTCAAAATTAGGAAGTACGCCGAAACCCTAAGAAATCCGCCTCAAGTAACCATGATAGGCATGGATCCATCGTTGGTCATCAGACACTGGGACTCGGTGTGTCTATTCACCCGCGACGGCGTTTATTCAACGGAGTTAAGCTCGATGAAGATTTTGACTTACTACTCATTTGAAAACATTTCGCCATTCGCTTTTTAAAATACAGTTGTCCTGGTCAGGCAGGTAGGCTGGTAATTAGAGATTCCTCAAATCTCAAAATTTTTGAGCATCATCGGATTTTGACCTTCGAACGTCTAGTTCATTTCTCTCTTCATTGATACCTATAATGTCGGAAGAACTTGTTTTCGTTACCGGGGCCTCCGGGTTCATCGGTTGCGCTACAGCGCTCGAAGCTCTAAAGGCCGGGTATCGGCTTCGTCTGAGCGTCCGAAATGAAGCTCAGATCCCGAAGATCAAATCAGCCCTCTCGTCTTACTCGGATAACGTGGATTTTATCGTTGTTCCAGACATTACCAAACCAGACGCCTTCGCCGGGCATCTGGTCGGAGTCGGCTATGTTCTGCATATTGCTTCACCTCTACCTAAGGGGACGACGAAGGAGGACTACTTCCCTGGCGCTATCAGCGGGACTACGGCTATTCTTTCTGAGGCGGCCAAGGTTGCGAGCATCAAGAGGGTCGTCGTCACCTCTTCCATTGCATCTTTGGTGCCTCTTGGTGGTGTGCCTTCGGATGATCCAATCAGCGAGCACAATGGCAATTGGAACACTACTATCTCTGCCGATCTTCCGATTTTCGAATCCTCGGCAAATCCCCACCCGCTGGTTCTCTACCAAGCTAGCAAGCTGTTGGCACTGCAGGCAGCTGAATCCTTCGTATCGACCTCTAGCCCAGGCTTTGACATCGTCACAATCCATCCCTCTCTGGTGTGTGGACCGGATGTTCTCCAGTCCTCTCCGGCTGAAGTAGGCGTCAGTAATGGGGTGCTGTTCGGCGCAGTCATGACTGGGGAGGTTGTACCTGATCCTAGTGCTTTGACGTTTGTACACATCAACGATGTCGCCGAGGCGCATGTTAAGGCATTGAAACCCAACGTCTTGGCCGGCAGATACTTGGTAAGCTCCCCCGGTGGTGTTAGATGGTCTGACGTTGTCGCCATTCTGGAGAAAAAGTTCCCCGGAGAAGACTGGAAGCTCAAGAAAGAGGCGGAAGGTCAAGGTTGGGATGTCAACACAACCAAGGCAGAGAAACGGCTTGGTCTCAAACCACGAGGATTGGACCAAATTGTCGGAGACACAGTGGAATTTCAACTACGTTTGTTGAAGAACTCCAAAATCTAGGCACATGGTCGATATTGCTAGCCTGATAACACCGCGGGGAGACACTCTCTCACTTAGGTACCATCGGATTCCTGTATTAAGATAGAGCAGATCTTCAAGGACTGAACACATGCAAGGGTATTTTCTGGCCTATGTAGTACCCGAGCCGGAAGAGACACGTTTCCAGTGCCTGAAGGCCAGTCATGTAATAGATCCTGAACCAGACTATGTTTTCTGTTTACTGTAGCGCACCCCCATCCGTATTCCCTTGTGGTTGTGCAACAGCGTAACCATCGGTCACGGCACTCGCAGACCCAAATCGAGCTAATGGGCAGATCAGACAGGCAGTGGAGATACTCGAGCATGTTTCGCAGTACAAGAAACAACACTGACCGGGGAGCACCCTGATCGACTGGCCTCTCAGCATGTCCTCGTGCGGCTATACCAGCTGAGTATTTAAAGCTCCTAAGGTTGGTATGCCTCCAACCTATTCTGGTCGTCACATTGATCTCAAATCCTCCTTTTCAACATCAGCCTCATCACTAGGCTCTTCCTTCCCACCTTCCTCATTGAACATCTGATTAGAAGACAATAAATCAAATAAAGAGGTCTGGTACTCACCACTAGCTCCTTTCGTTTGCGGGCCCATAGAGACCGAAAGCGTCAAACATCACCGTTGTCATGTATGTTGGCACAAGGGCTACATATATGCCGGTGGCAGTGGATGGACGGTGTATTCCGGTGTGGGTAGTGCCGAAGGGTACGGATAATTGATTTTGAATATTTCTGTACCAAGAGCTTAAAGAAAACCTTCACGGGACTGCCCTTTCTCTCACTTTGTTCGTTTCAGGGCCACAGCGTGCGCCCGCGCGCGTCCCCCAGTCTACGTTGGGACCATTCCGCCGCCACGCGCACTCCTCATTCGCCCGGCGATTTCTGTTTTAGGTCTGGTTTCTTTTAACGTTTAAGGGTTCTAGGGCTTTTCCTGTACCTATTTGTATGTTCAGCCTCGTTGATTGCTCGATATGCAACTTGTCGGCGCCGTTTGTATATTGACGCCCTGCAACGTACTACCACGCGTTGCTTCTCTGTCGCGATTACGCTTTTCCCTCGCACTTCTCTCCAGGCTTTTGGTGTTGTCATCCGTCCTGCCAATGTTAACGCGTCGTCCCTGTCATGATTGTGGTCGCGAGGCTATCAATTTCGATTCAGCCTCCGCGGTGCCCTGCTTGTCGATTAGCACGGTTCCCCCAGATATGTTCCTATCTTAGCCGCCGTGTTCCGCTTCCTGCAGACTCTTCTGACCCTCGTTGTTCGAATTGCCTACCTCTGATATTTCTTGTCTAGGCTGTGGTAACCTCTTCCCTGCTTGCCCTAGTATAACTCGGTGTTTTGGTTTTAGGCCAAGGCTATCCCGAGCTACCCAAGCGCCTACTGATTTTAGAAACCTGTTTCCCACTACTTTTAACCATTCATTAACTCCCTCCAATCAAATCCTTCCGTACACGATAGTCATCCTTCACAAGGCTAACCTATACGGCGTATAGAAAGAACCGTAGAGTCTTCTCGCTTTTTCTTCTCTATCGATCAAGAGCTTGACTTCCTCCGACAAGAGGACGCTTCCCTTATACGCGCCTCGGATGTTTTTCCACCTAAAATCTCTCCGTCAGTTATACGGCACGCCGTAGGCCGTTTCCATTACAACATATCTCTTGCAAGCCGGGATACTATATGCTGTTCATATGGTATGCTAGTCGCTTTTTCTGATATAGGCCGCTTCTTGCCTGGAGATTCCTTGTTGCGCCCGCTGGAAGGATTTCTCGATAGCTGCGGCAGCATCGACGGCTTCTAGAATCGCTGCTCCTTATGTCATGCCGCCTTACTACGAGGTATGATCCCAAAATTCTCGGCCAAGAACATTGTCAATGTGACTCTGTGCCAGCACTACCCTAATGCTCTCAAGGATCTCGCTGTGGTTAGGTGATTAGTGAAACGCTAGTAGCTGCCTTGAATCACCGTTTTGCCTTTTTTCTATAGATCTGAGGGTCAAATCCAGGCCCCGGTATTCTTTTTTTCCCTCATTCCTTTTTCTTTCGTTTGCTATTGCCTTCTGCTTCTGCACGGAGTAGTGAATCGTGCCTTCCAAATGTATTCGTTTGCTGTCCCCACTTTTCTACTCACCAAAGTGGGTCTACTGCCTGTGCGTCTGTTGTAGCTATGGAGGTATAGGATGGAAGTTCTCATCTTGTAGAAATTCGTATGTACATTAAAACTCAGTTACAAAGTGAACCAATCCCCTAATGCAGCTTTCAAAGCATCAATATCGTGCTGCGCATCTTCTTCCACCACCCATGCAACGATTCCATCAGGTCGAATCAACAAGGCACTCAGCCCACAGTTCTCCTTTGCCTCTGGAGCAAGATAATCTACCTTCCCAGAATATTTTCTATCAACAACTGATTCCAGTTCACTACTGTTCCCAAAATCAAGAAGTAACCCCCGTCCCTCCTCAAGCTTCGAGCCAAGCCTAGACCCATTCCCAAACTCGAAATCAGGCGCACTAGACCCAAGAAGCGGATGTGTAGGCCTCGACTCTTCGCCAAGTTTATATCGCTGCGAAAGTCCCCAGATCCGATCAATAAACAGATTAGCCCCATCATCCGTCTTGATCAGATCTTCCGTCAGGGCGCGCGTAGCCCGACCAAAGGCATCCGGCCTCAGCGCCGTGACCTGCGCACGAGTCCAATCAAGAACCGACGCAGCAATGGGGTGTCTCTCGCTCTCGTAGGTATCGAGAAGAGTCAGATCATGCGTATTCCCAGAATCCTCTCCCTGGCCTTGGTCCCGCTGAACTATAGCCGCAAGCTTCCACCCCAAATTCATCGCATCACCTAGTCCGACATTCAGTCCTTGCCCGCCGAGCGGAGAATGAATATGCGCTGCATCACCGGCAAGAAGAACGCGGTTCCTCCGGTAACTTGCCGCCTGCATTGAACGATCGGTATAACAAGAAGCAAGATGCACATTTGTAATCTTCACATCTGTCCGACCAATAGCCCGATCAAGGACCCGCTGAAGGTGATCGATCGTGATATCACCCGCGCGATCGAAGTTCGCCCCGTCAAATTCAAGGAGATGAAAAGCGCCATTCTGCACTACGTTGATATACATCCCCGTTTCAGAAACGTTGAGACCAGGCTTCAACTTCTCGCGACCTTCTATCTCGACATGCGTTGCGTAGCCGGTGAATTGGGCATCTGTACCGACGAATTCGAAGCCGGCTTCTTTTCGAACAACGCTGCGCCCACCGTCACAGCCAACGAGCCATTTGCCCCGAAATGACTCGGAATGGTCATCGTCTGTTTCGACTGTAACGCCTGCCTCATCCTGCGAGATACGGCTAACAGATCGACCGCGGAGAATCTTCACGCCTAGACTCTCCACCCGCGCCGTTAGGACCTTCTCCACTTGATCCATCGTCGTTGGACCCGGACCAAGCGCCGGACCTGAGAGGCGGTACTTCCAGCGTTGCAAATCGAATTGATTGGCATTTATTATGATGCCGGCGAAGTGGCCGCCGAATTGGAAACCTGGTTTCTTGCTCGGTTGGTACTTTTGCCTTTCGTCCAGATTGAATAATTGGCCTAGTAAACCGCGGCGATAGAATGCTTCGATGGATTGGATGTTTAGGCCTCGGAGGCCTAGAGGTCCGGATTTCCAGGGCGAGTCTTGTTGGGTTGTTCGTTCTAGGACTAGGACTGCTATTTGGCGGAGACTGAGTTCGTGGGCGAGGAAGAGGCCGACGGGTCCGGCGCCCGCGATTATCACGTCGTATAACTTGGACTTGGTCATGTTGGACTGGAGGTGTGGGAGGAGTATCGGGATATTCAAATGGCCCGTACGATATAATGTATTATTCTAAATTCCCTCGTCAGAAAGGTTAAGCTTTATAGTCGCTGGGTAGTCCCTATTTGACTTTTGCTCGGCGTTTCGCGTTGACCGAGCTAGACACAAACCCTAAAACCTAAAACCCGAACCCGCCCATAGAAACCCGCCCTACGGCTACCCGCCCCACGGGCCGGGTGGGTCTTAGTCAGCGGACCGTGGGCGGGTTTGATCTTTTAAAACCCCGACCCGCGACACCCCTAATCTAGCACTTGCAAATACCTAACCCACTTTAAAGATGGCAAAAAACATCGACCCCTGGCAACGTAAGAGGATTGTTTATATGATACGCAGCAATAACAGACTCACTACACCGCAAATGGCAAATGTGGCGCCGTGTAGTGAGCGCTCGATCACTAATCTACGCAAGAACTTGCGGTTACGATCTAAGGTTGGGTTTTTTGCTTCTATGGTCTGGCTTCTAAATTCCAAGGGAGTGGGAAGGGTATAAACGGCTGTTCTATGTAAATACTTTGACTTGAATAGCATACAACATTTTAGTTCCCCAGTATCAAGGTGATCAACACTTGACTCTCTTTAACGTTATTTTTGATTCCAGGCGTTTGCTTGCTGACAGAAGAACAACTTTGTTCATGTAATATTTTCCAAAGTTTGCTATACCTTTTGTCAACGTCATGTGCAAAATTGCTTGCTTGTTAAGAGGAACCGCTTTATTTAAGAGGCTTCCCTTCTCCGTCTTCTCTTTCCTTTCTCTTCTTCCTTTCTCCAACTCCCACCCTTCTCCCCTCTCTTCCTTGTTATACCAAAGCGGCTACCTGTTGAGACTCTTTGCTATAACCAAGTTGAGCCAAGCAGTGGCAGTATACTCTTATTTATACCCAAACTGGAGTGGCTACAGCTTCAAGAACGACCTGTTGATGGAGTGGTGGCACATCACAACTCTCTCTCTGTGTGCGTGTGTTTGTGCTGTGGCAGCGAGTTTAAGGTCGAGACGTGAGGGAGAAAAGATCATGCCAAGATCATTCGATTTAATGTCATGTGAGTTCAGCAGCACTATTCAAATCATACCACGCTAACAATAACAAAGGGCCTTGTTGAAGTCCTTGACTACGAGAACGGATGATCGAGTCTACACATGAATCCTCAGCTCGGTGGAGGAAATGCAAATCCTCAACCATGAGCCAATCGACCAGCCACTCCCGCAGCTGTGGATAGAGCTGTGCATAGAGAATGCTTTTTTATGGCAATCCGCTGGAGAACCCGATACCGCCATCACATGATACACCTGGTGAGATCAAGAGGGGCGCCAAGAGGCTAAACAAACAATACGCACTCTGAGGACAGCTCCCCCACCTGGTGCCTTGGTTCAGATCGTTCTCGGTGACACCCAGCCGTCTTCAAGACCTGGCCCGTAACGGCTCTGGACGATATCTTATAAACAGGGAAGGTTTCTCCAGAACCAGAACTCGCCATATTGCTGCATGTGCACGGAGTCTGATAGAAACTAGAAACTAGCGAAGCGTGCGGTCAGTCACTCACTGCTCCTGAGACCCTTCGCTATGTCCTTCGTGCCAAACGAAAGTGGCCCACAACGATTGCCAGATTTACCTCCAGTCCCTCCACTCCTTCTAATCCTTGGCTCTCTATTATGATTTTCCGTCAACTTGGAGACTGCAAAAACCCGAGAGGTCACTCTCTCCGGTATACTTGGGAGCTTTACCGTCACCAGTCAGCCCTCTTATTGATAGAGAGAAAGCAATGAAACCCGGCTTCGACTGCGTGGGAGCTCACCGAGCTCATGGGGCACGCGTGCTGGGTTTTCGTTTATGCTACGCCGTGCCTTGGTTCCTGCGCATAATCGAGATGCCCAGATTTGATCGTACTGAGTCTACATTGGCCGGTCCCACCGCAGTCACTGTTTTCTAAATGTCACTTGAGAAGCGAAATGCTAACATGCAAGCCAACGATAAGACAGCCAAGAGTGACAACTATTGTGTCTCGAGGTTGGTACTCCATGCATAGCTCCACTCAAACTATACTAAGCGCTCATGCTAACTGCTGTTTCTTGGTAGCGTTGTCTCTGGACACTGCATCTTCCATTAAACAAACGCAGGGAGGGCACTTTCCGGCAAGTGGTCGAACAACCACAAGCAATCAAGGCACCGCCATGGAAAACCACTGGTTGCTATATTGTCTACATATTATCTACAGAAGAAGGATGGGACTTCGCTGGGGCAAATGATGTGGTATACCCTAATCCAGAACGACGGTTCATCGCTCGAAAGTTCAACCAAAATACCTGCAACTCTTCTTCGGATGAGTTCCTACTCTATTTCTACGTTCAATGCATGAACGCCAATTCTGCTCCTGCATCAACTTCTTTCTCTAGCTCCGACATCACATTTTATTCGCGACATCCTCGATCCCACCCTCGGTTGCAATTGACCTTGACAGTTCTGAGAAGGACAGCATGCCAAAGAAACCCGGTGGATTTACTCCAAGATGCCCCCACCAAATATTCGAAGCAATATTCGAGGACGCTGTGGAATCCAGGTCATAGGAGAGAGAGCCATGAGAGATGAATCGCAAGACAACACAATGGTACGCAAGTTTGTTATATACTTCCCCATTGGGAGTGCTTGGGAATTATTTCCCCCTTTCTGCTCCCCTTGCTAAACGAAAAGACCCTAGCTCAACTGTGAGACCGTGACGGAATCTACCTGAGAGCAGTGAGCATCCATCACCTATCTTTGTCAGAAGCGGATAGCGTACTATCAATGTTTGCTCGGGTGCAATGCCAACGCTCCAGACTCATTTCGATGAATGTTCTTGTTGACCAGAATAACCTTGCGGTGTGAAAACTGGCAATTTCGGCTGGTACCCACCCAAGCCCACGGAGGAAGAGTACCAGGAGAGTCTCGCCGAGGGTAGAGAAGACTAATCCATCCAACATTTGAAAGCTTTGGCATTTTCCGTCTTTGCCTTTCTTTCATGCCATTCTGGCTTCATCTTTGGCCCTCTACTGTGCTATCTGCGATTATCTTATATAATTCCCCGATTTGCTTTACCAATCTTCTTCTCTTCGCAATGGCCAAGCTGCACGAAGCCCCATCAATCATTGATATAAACTCACTAGTAAGTCTTTCCCTTCACCATGGACAACGCCGCATTTCTCGTATGACAGGGCTCTATGGCATACAAAGGGTCTATCCTCAATCAAGATCAGTGGCTAATCAATCATATAGCTCATTTGACAGGCCTACACTATGTGGACTGGAAGCAGAAAATTGTATTTCCTCTGCCTCGCCTGATTAGGGCCACCACAGCGTACCATTTGGAAACCTCTTGGCTACTATCCGGGTCCGCTACCCAGATGAAGCGACAAGCATGATTGGGACTATATGGACTTGGATCTGTGCGGCATGTGTGGACGGGGATAACCTCTGATGAATTAGGGATAGAATAACGGGAAATTCATTCCGATCTACTGGACACATTACCACGGAGTTTCCAAGCGTCACCTATGATATGTTGTAATGTGTTTGTTACTTTGCTTTCACTTGAGGGTGATTGTCTCTAAATTATTTTCCCCCTTGGAATAAAATGAAAACCCGTCAGACATTGCTCTTTCCAAATCAAAGAAAGCATAAATACGTTGAAGCCTCGGAGTTTTGAACTCCAGCCACCAAACTCGCCGGCGCCGGTGCTCAGCTTTGCGAATAGCCTCATCCCAGGTCCCAAATCTCACCACCATCCACCTCAACCTCAACTTCAACCTCAGATAACACACAAAACTCTCATAATAATACAATCATTATGATAAAAACATACAGATAAATAAATAAATCAAAAAAAAAAGAAAGAAAGAAAGAAAGAAAGAAAGAGAGGCCAAACATCCACACCCAGTAACAAATTACTGAATGTATGCCAAGTAAGCTCCTCCATCGATCGGCTCCAAGACACCAGGGGTACGTAGGACGCGATCACCTCCACCGCAAACTAAGTCGCTGGGGACATTGGACACATGCGCTATTCAACTAGACCACAGGGGCATTTCGTTGAAATGGGGATGGTTCTGATCCCCTATATGTTTGGGATGGGAGGGTTGGGGAAGGAAGGTGCGGTGCCTAGGGTGTGGGGGGAGCAAACAATTTTGATAGCCATTTTGGGAATAGGACGGCTGGTTGTTTGACCTGAGAAAGAAATTCGGATGGTGATTGAGAGTGGTATCAGCCTTGTTCATTAGGCGTATATCTCAACTGCATACCCAGAGTTTTTGTTAATAAGGTTGATTGGCAAGATATTAGTACTTAACTTGGGCCTAAATTGTAGCTAAAGGATACAGAACCATTGAGGACTCAAGTGATAGTCCCCCGCCGATAGCTTTTTTGTACGAGTAATAATTTACTGCAAGAGGAGTGACTTTTTTTTGTAACGAGTATTGTCCAATAAGAGTAGGGGGGTATATTTCAGTGCCATCATATGACAGCCATCATCACTATAGAACGTGCTCATCCCAGAACATTCAACGTAAATCTTAACCAAAAATACAAAGATCATAACAACCACATCAAATCATGACCAAGCCAGCCACTCCTTACCCTTAACGGTAAGGCTCCGGCGAGAACACCTTCCGCAGACGCAAATGCGCCAGGTCCTTGATAACCTGCGAAGTCTGCTTAAGGTTCTGCTTAACAATAACCGAAGTAGGCTTCGAGAAAAGCTCATCAATCTCCTCAAGAGACTTATTCTTAGTCTCAGGCATGAAGATAATCTGGTAAATCCAGCCAACAACGGCAATACCACCGTAGAAGCCGAGCGTCAGACCAATACGGGTCATCGACTCCATCATGCGGGTGAAATTGTAGGTGACGATGAACGAGCACAGGAACAGGTTCGCGTCGGCGGTGGTCATACCGTAGGAACGGAGGTAAGTGGGGAATACCTCCGAGGGGACGACCCAGGTTAGACAAGCGTATGAGCCGAAGAAGCCCATGTACAAGATGATACCGGTTAGGTAGACGCCCTGAGCAGCGGCGGGGTACTTAGTGTAATCGATGGTGTAGCCGACGCCGACGAGGATCAGACCGACGAAGAAACCGGGCAACATGACGTTGGCCCAGTAGCGGCGGCCGAAGCGTTCCATGTACAAGACGGCGGGGATGGTGCCGATGAGAAGCGCGCCACCGCCAACGAGGGACATGAAAACGGAGGTCTTATCGTCGAAGCCAATGTTCGTCATCAGGGTGGACATGTAGTACATCACGGCGTTGACACCGGTCAACTGGCCGAGGACGATCATGATGTTGGCGTAGACGATGGCACGGCGGGCACGGGGCTCGGTGAAGAAGTCCATCCAGGCGTACTGCTTGGTCTTGGACTGCTCCTCGCACTCGGCAGTGACGGCCTGGCGCATGCCCAGGAACTCGTCCTTGGCTTCGAGGTCGTTGAAGCCGCGAATCTTCTTCCACACGCCGTAGGCTGCGACTTCTTGACCCTTGTGCATCAGGTAACGGGGACTCTCGGGCATGAACAGCATACCGACGAGGAGGATGGTGGAGAAGATCAGAGAAGAACCGAGGATGTAGCGCCAGTTACCGGGGACGCTGACGAACATGGCGGCAACGGCATATCCGAGTACTTCACCCAATGCAATATTGAGCTGGTAGAGCGAGACGAGGTTACCACGGATCTTGCGCGGGACTATGGAAGTTCAAGCATGTTAGTCTCAAGTTTATATAGTGCGCTCTCCCGGTGAAGAAATGACTTACCACACTCCGCAACGTAGACAGGAACAGTACCACCTTCCAAACCAACACCCATACCAAGGATGAAACGACCAGCGAAAATCATGCCAAAGTCAATAGCGCCAGCCTCCAGGGCAGCACCAATAGTGTACAGAATGCAAGAAACAATAATAGCCATGCGACGGCCAAGATACTCGTTGGCGGGGGACAGAATCAGAGCACCGCCGACGGCACCAAGAGGCATACCAGCGTTAACCAGACTGTTCATCGAATCGGACAGGTGCAAATCACGAGGGAGATAGAGGTTGGCACCACTGATCAGGGACTGATCAAGACCAGAGAGGAGACCTCCCATCGAGGCGAAAGCGACCAGAAGATAGGTAAAGAGAGCAGGGTTGGACAGGGTGAGCTCGAATCGCGACTTGGGCAACGTCTGCAGCTGCTCCTCTAGCAGTTGCAGCTCGGAGTCCATGGCCGCTTCATTCATCTGGTTCTCCAGCTTCTGCTCGTGGACATCGTCGATCTCGAAGGCGCCGGCCTCCTTGTGGGAGTCGTGGGGCACCTCGCCATCCTCCTTGAGGTCGGACATGGTGGGTATGATTATGCACCCTTGATTGCAAGGGATGCGGGGATAATATATAAAGAGTAGATGAGGAAAAGAGAACTATGGATCAAAGAAGAAACCCCAGAAGAAGTGACAAGATTGTCTCAGGGTCAACAGATTTGATCCCAGTCTGGGGAAGTGATGAAGATGATGGAGAAGGTCAATGGTCAAGAATGAAGACCTGGGGAAGAAAAACGAGGGGGGAAACGAGGACTATTTGAGGCCGATCTTCACAGTACACCACACCACCTCCGATCAACACTTTTGAATGACGACCGGAAATACACTTTGTCGCCCAAACTCTGACGACAGCCACGATAGTGGAGAAGCGTCGGGGAAACTGTAAAAATATGAATCAGAAGTGCCCCAGTTTCTCCCAGAGTCCCAGGTCCATCTGGAGTAGTATGTACTCTCTACGGAGTACTCCATCTGTTTTGGCTCAAGGGTGTGGAGAAAAGGACCCATCTACCCAGCCGGGCCAACCACGGATTCGGCCACGGCGCCCGTAGCCCTCAACCGGCAAGAAGACTGAGGAGAAGACCAGGGACGAAAACGCGGGCGCTCACCGGCCATCCAAGACTGGCATAGTTGAGCCAATGGAAAATGCATCAAAGTGCCCGGCAGAGATTCCAGAATGTGGAGGAGGCAAGGCCGGGGAATTCTGGGGGTTTGATCGGTCGTTTGGGCGAATGACAGTGGCTGCAAAGCTTAACTAGTCGCAATCCCAAAGGTTTTTGGTTTTCGGGCAGGGCGTTCAGTATACTTCAGAGGCAAAGCCTGTTTGGACCTGCCTGTGTCCAAAAGGCCTTTAATCTGATTTGCGCATTTGGATAATAGTCTTTCTCAATCACTGCGCATCATCGGGACTGCTCTTCTGGAAAATTCCCGGCTTCCCGTACTTCGCAGTACACGATGTTCGGCCTGGCAAGTGGATACATCCAGTGAGTACTGTAGTCTTCCTGCGGCAGAAGACAAAGCCGAGAGTGAGACCAGGGCCGAGACGAGAACGACAAGACTCGGGGGCCCGCAACCCCGAAAAAAACACGGGCCCATTACATGGACCAAAGACGGGATTGGGGATGGCTTCGGACAGTGTCCGGCTTGGATATGGAGCAACAATCACCAGGTGAATTGTAAATTCGACCTCATTACGCATCCACAACGCGAGTTGGGGCAACCCCATGGAGTCCTGCAGTGCGTATCGGCGACACCTCGGCGAAACGCTGCATCGGCATCCACTCAGCGCTCAGGGCCATGCCGGGCCGGAGCCAGTGTGGGACGACGATCTGCACGACAATTTGGATGTGAGGAAACCAGGTTCCGAACGTTGATGCAATGTGGATGGTTTTTGGAGGATTACAAACCCAGAACGGTAGGACACCATGGTCCAACACGGGATACTGGATATGTGAGTTTGGCTTCCCCCCAGCGATCTCGGGGCGCTGGGAATTGCGGGATTTTCCCATCTCAGATAAGCCGAGGATCTCATTCGCTGGAAGTCAAAAGCTTGGTGGGTGGCGGCACTGGTGGCTTGGCTAAGCGGATCTATGTCCTCCGTAGGAAAGTCTAGTGAGCGAATGAAGCTGGAAGAAGCGAGAGATGGGATGATGAGCTGGGAGTTGACATCCCACGCAGCTTTATATTCCAATCGCTGGGCGTGTGTCATCGCGTGTTATGACCGTGCTGGCCTTGTGGGGGTGGATTGTGTTGGGTATATGAAGAATAATCAAGAGTCGAGACTCCGATGGAGGTGAAGCCATCGCAGCCATGCAGACCAGACCTGGCATTACATCATGCTAAATTTCAACGACTTTGGAGGACAGAACCTAAACGAACAATAACTTCCGGGTGGATACTAGACTCCATGATGATGAACCTTCTTCATTGAACGAGTTTCAAGGTTTGATTTACAACCGGAGAAATGAAAAAAGCACAGACACGTAACAACAGGAAATGATATCGAACTCCAAGCGCCATGCTGACGGGCAATGCAATCAATCCCAATGCGACCCCATATTCCCCGCTTACCACTACCACTGTCTTCCTCCCACCGGCTTGCGAACGCTCGGATCGATATTCCCTGGACTGGGGGATCGTCCCCCATGCAAACGTGCCCGCAGCCGCTCCTGCGCCGAGCCTGCCCCAGACCTACTATCCTGGCTAGACCGCCCAGACTGCGTGGACTGATAGGATCCAGAACGCTGGCTCGGCAACGGACGTGCCCCAGCCGGATGCAGCCCACCCGATGAAGGTGAGTGAGACTGCGCGTGCGAGAGCTGGGGCGGGGGGGGGAGTTCACAGGGCCGGGGGGAGCACTTTGGGCAGGTGTCAGCCCTGAACCGCTGGCACCACTCGCAGCGCTGCCACGGCCACGGCGGAGACTCGACGTCTGCGCACTTCCGGGAGATGGTGCGCCTGAATCACCCCAGAGATCTCCTAGACCACCACCCCGGCCGTACGCACCGGCGGGAGCTTGCCCGTATTGTCCGGAGGAGGCGGTTGCGATGGGACGGGGTGCAGCGGAGGCTGGGGCCTTTGGGTCTGGAGGGAGCCAGCTAGGGAACGGCCGTCCCTTTTCTGTGTAGTATGCTCGGAGGGCGTTGGAGATGTGCGAGCAGTCTTCATTCTCCGGGTCGTCTTTATCGTCGCCTAGTGTGATGGCCCGGCGGAGGCTGTTGAGTCTGGACCCCAGGACATTGGAGATGGAGGACGAGGAGGTAAACGAGGCAAGGTACGAGCTCATTTTGCTGCTCTGGGTATGGCGAGGGATCGGTTGAACGACAGTGTGGTCGAGCAAGGTGTGGGCTGTAGAGGACGGCTTCAATGTGGGGTGGGGTGAATGCGGAGTTACAATCCTGCAGGAACCCAACAGAGCGGAAATAGAAGCCGGGCCGAAGTGGGTGGAATTAGAGATTGGGTCAGTCTTGCAGCTGAAGACTATGGGAATTGTGTTCCACAAAAGAGCCGGCTTCTGTGGGGTGACAAAGAGGTGAAGTTGAAGAGTGGCGGGCGTGAAGATCGCCCAGTGAAACACAAACCCATGACGATAGCACGTGACCTCATACTAGGTTTCAGAAGAATCGCGGGTCAAGCAATCTGTAACGAAGAGACAACAAAACAGATAGAAAACGTAATTAATAGACATGAAATAGTATCTAAGACCCATATTGACAGATATGTATAGCAATTGATGCAACAACTGGGTATGATGCCCGATCATAGTAAAACACATCGAAAGAAAAAAGAAAAAAAAAACTCAACCCATAAACGCCATGCAAGATCACATAAACTTTTCCCAACCCGTTCAGCGAATAGTTTACGCCATAACATGATCCTTGCCAACACCCTCGGTCTCGTACTCGATCTCGATACGAGGGCCCTTCTTCCGCGGCTTGACCTGGGGAGCAGCATGCTTGCGCTTAGCACCGGGCTTAGGCTTCTTCTCATCCCCGCTAGGCGCGCTCTCGTCGTCGCTCTCATCATCCTCATCGTAGTCATCGCTGGAGTCAGCCGAGTCACCACCCAGCCAGTCCTCAATGTCCTCCAAGTCCTCCTCCTCATCAAGGTCGCTGACGTACTCAACCTCACCAACACCCTCCTCCTCATCCTCAATCTCCTCACCATCATCCATGTCCTCATCGCGCTCACCCTCGCCAGCACGCTCCAGACCGCGGAGAACCTTCTTCCAGATATTCTCATCAACATTAAGCGGCTGATCACCATAGGCACCGCTACGCAGACGCTCGATAAGCTCACGCTCAATCGCACGCTCCACTTTGGCCGCAGACAAAGCCTTCCGCTCACGAGTATCCTCACGCCGGCGGATCTTAGGCGCCAGCTTGGGCACAATCTTCTCGCCGAGACGATCCTCCTCCTTGGCAATGTTCCTCATGCGGATTTGCACCTGCGTCAGGCGGGTGAGACGCTGCTTGCACTTGTGGACAAGGAACTTGGGCCAGTAGATCAGGCGCTCGTCGAGTTGCTCCAGCGCCTTGGCGTAGTTGGAGGACAGGCGCACACGTTCCCACCACTTGCTGGGCATGTGGGCACGTTCGACGGTCTTCATGTACAGGTACATATTTCCGGTCTCGGGGTCGGAGCGCACTGTCGCATACCGCGAGTTGGCAAGTGGGCAGGACTGCCGATTGCACAGGCCAGTGACATTGTGTTCATTGCGGCAGAAGTTTTGCTCCTTGGTAGTTCTATATCAGAGAAAATTTTCGAGGTTAGCAAATTGCCTTCTCTATCTTATTTTGCAATTCAATGTCAAGTGCCGACGGTGTCTAGACCGACACACGGACGCTGGACAAATATCTGGGTGTTGGTAAATTAAACCAAACACTCACTTGAGTTTGTAGGAGCAAAATTGCTGGTTGATAACCTGCCAAACGATCTCGTCCGACATGATGGGCAGGGAGCGATGTGGTGTTCGGTGCTGGAGAGCCCGTGTCCCAGGTGTTGATCGAAGAAAAAAAAAGCAGCGGTCACGTGAGACGTGCTTATCGATAAGCCTGCCGTCTTTGGCCAAGACACTCCGCTAACCTACCAGAGAACTAAACTCATACCTAGAGCTATTCCTACATAAATGGCATGGAAATTGAAACAAAAGGAGCTATTCCAATAGCTAGGGTATATGCAATTCGTCTATGTCGCTGTGCAGGAGGCCATGATGCTCACTGTGGCCAGCTCCCTTCCGCCGGCATTTGGCCGCCCTCCCACTCATTCCCGTTGGGCATCTGGTTGCCAGGATCCGAGTCCTCGCCGGCCAATTCATCACCAAAGCCCCATCCCATAGACTCTAATTCACGAACAAAGAAATCACGCTCCTCTTCCATCATGCTGGAACCCTCCGACCCAGCCATGACGTCCTTGTACTGACGTAGATGCCACCAGTGCGTCAATCCACGAAGCGCCTGCTCCAGAGGTAAAGCTTCTTCAACTTCGGCATCAACGTCCGAGCCAGCGAGCCAGTCATCCCGTAGCTCTGGTCGGCAGTACAGGTAAATGGCGGTGATAACACGCATATTGCCCTGGCGCCATTTGCGGCCGCAGTAGGGTACTTGAGACTTGAAGAGCTTGAGAGTGTAGAATCGGAGATGAGGGTCCGGGATCTTGAGACCCTTCCGAAGGATCGTGCTCGACTTGTACTGCACGAGTAGAAGGCAGCGATGTGCCTTATCTCGAGTAATCTTCTGCATGATGTGAAGGTAGTTGATTGCAGAGAAGAAGTTGCGGAAGGAGAAGACTGTGATGGGTTCCTTGGGCAGAGGAGCCGTAGGATAGCCGAGTTCGTCGACTTCAGGGCGTGCTGGACCGTCAAGTATCCCCGCAATAGACTCTTCTTCGGAGACGGCACGAGCACCGCGGCTGCCGGTATTCAAATTGGGTCGATGACGGGAGATAGGCGGCGGAACAGCCTCATCCTCACTCTCGGTGTCACCATCACCCGGTTGCTGAGTTCCCATCGCGTAATTGGAGCGTTCGCTGCAGAAATGGAAGAAACTGTAGAGATTTAGTATTAGGATCATGCCGTATGAAAGAGCCGAGCATATCCACTTACGCGAGGTCCTCGCGGTCATTTTTCTGCGCCACGGCTTGATCCACGTCCTGATGGGCGAACATCTTCAGGATTAATGGCAAGTAGTTCGAGTCGAGCAGTAGCTGTGTCATATACTCAAATTTGAGAACATCTGCATAGATAAGTAAGGCGCGTACGTGAGCGAAGTAACAGACGAGACATGAAACTCACGAGATCGCTTGAACCACTTCAACAGGAGAAGTAAAGTGCCGGATACGGCTTTACCGGTGATTTCTCGTAACCGAATATTATCCAGTTCGTCAATGGAGGAATCGGGAGAAAACTCTGTAGATGACCCATTGATCCCATGGCCATTACTAGTCTGCAATTAGAACAATCGTTGGTTTAGCTGGGTCAGTTATCCATACCTCATGTTTTGAGAACTCTGTGAATTCGCCTGATTCACAACAGCACTCACGTTCGTCAGAATAATCTTCAGAAACACAATTGTTATGGACTGAAGATGAGCCAAGGTTTGAGACTGGATGAAAGGCTTGTCAGCTCTGAACATTGGATCGAAACCGTGTGTGTAGTACTCACATAGAACGCCTCCACGGCTTCCAGTCGTCGCTGTACATCCGGGTCATCCGTTTCTTTTTTATGAGGGTTGGACTCGCTCTCAGACAGGTCCAAGTTCTCCAATTCGCCAGTGGTATCATCCAGCGACGGGAAGTCAGGGACTCGCCGCTGAGACTGCTCGAAGTTCCAACCCCGGTCGTACATCATGAAATTCTCGCGCTCTTCCCACAGCTGCTGCATCGCCCGAGTCATCTTGACATGGGTGGAGAAGAGCTTTCCGGCTTCAATGACGGATGCAGGCACATCACTACCCTCCCATCGCTTGCCTACCAAAACGTCCTGTCGCTCTGTCGTCCCCTTTCCGCCGATACGATTGCTGGTATCATCTAACGGGGGGTACAGAAGTGGGAAGTTCTGGTTGGTCTGGTAGTTTTGTTTCTTGCCGGCCTTCCCTCCGGGGCCAATTGGAGAGGGTGGAGGAGATGGCGCCGGAGTCGCGATATGAACGGCCTGTTGAAGAATAGAGCCATTTCCACCGGCAATCGATGGGCCAACTCCACAGAAAAGTCCACTTGTAGAGTTGATTCGGCTAGGATGCTGCGGTAGAGGGGGTAAAATGGAATTGTTTTCGAGTTCGAGAGGGACAATCGAAGGGGGTGGATTGTAGGAAGGGTATTTTGACGTGATCTCCTGGCGGAAAATGTGATAGTCGAGAGGGTTTGCGGTCAGGAAAGGTGTTCTACGATTGGCGGCATCCTCTTCGGAGATCAAAGGAGGCTCAAGAACCTCTTTTGTCCTCTTCAATTTATCACTGCCGCCGAAGACGAGAAGGATAGATTTCCACAGCAAAAGAATAATCCTCGTGAGAGGAATATTGGCAGATTCGTCCCACCTCAGGCGTGCAATTATTTCCACAATGGTCACCAATAAACAAGGATTCGATTCGGCAAGAGCGTCACGAATCAATGTATTCTGAGAGTCTTGAGCTTCTTGGCGTCGGCCAACTTCAATTGAAAAATACAACAAGGTAAGGACCAGGTTGGCTTCGCGCTCTGGAGCAGCAATATCCCCTGGGTTAAGTCGTTCAAACTCGCTTCCATCTGGATCTGGGCCAAGCGAGGCACGGTTTTTGTCAAAGAGCTGGGATAACCTCAAAATCAAGACCGAGATACCAGAACATTGCTGAAGAAGTGTGACATTCTTCTCGATCCAGGCAATCTGTAGTGATTTTGACTCAGGTGTTTCGGCTGCCGATCGGGCGTCCATGTCTGCTGGATAGTCGGGGGCAACTCGACCCCCAGTGAGACCCCATACACCGGTGACCGCATAGCAAATATTCTCCAGTGCCTCCAAGCGCACAGAAACGTCCATATGTTGCAGATTATCCAAGGAGCGCATCATGAATGATTGGCGAAGGTCCTCGGATACATCGACCCATGACTGCACACCTGTGCCCGAAGCATTCTGCTGACAGAAAGCATACCATTGCCTTTCGAAGGTGGCTTTCATACCCATCAACATCACGCGATCGAATTCATTGTACTGGAACCACTCTTCCAGCTCATCTGGGAACGGTTGCGCATCGGCATATTCGAAAGCATAGGCCGGCTGTTCAACCTTGGGCATCTCCTGCACCAGTCTTCGCAGCTGAGCCAAGCTCAGGGAGGAGTCCGTTGGTCGGTCCGCATTCTGCTGAACGGGTGCCGGGGGAGGGGGTTGTAATGGCGGTGGAGGGGCCGATCCGTCTCGTCGTAATTCGGGCCGTTTTGTGGTCGTCTCTGGCTGTGATGAAGCCGCTATCGCCTCTGTTATTGCGGACGGAGCCTGCTCTTGCCGCAGACCCTCTGCGACCTCCTCCATCAATTGGTCGTCTGAGACAGGGGAGATGTCCGTGCCAGTCTGATCCACCTCATCAGCCTTGACGATGTGGTGTTCAGTTTCAGGCAAGTTGGAGTCGGACACACCGGTGGAAATATCCATTCTGATATTTTCTCGAAAACAGTTGGCCCTACAAAAGAGACGCCGTGCAGTTGATCGTGTAGAGGATGGAGATGATGGAGCGGCGCAATGTGACTGGTCGGGAAAGCAGGGACATCAGGGTGAATAAGAGCTGAAATGAAAGTTGAAGCGCCCTGGAATTGAAGTGGCCTCGGCAGGTAAAATCATCTCGCAACTTGAGCCATAATTGTACAAGTCTGGGCAAATCAGTCGCGACAGCTGACCGCGGAGTTGCGGTGATCAACGCTGGTTGATAGCAGTCACGTGGTCTGCGCGTATCGGTGATCGGCTCTACTCCGCCCATGGCTCGTCGCCAACAGAGCAAGGGCCAGGCTGAAATTCTATAAAGCGTCGACGAATTCTACATGGCCTTAATAAGATTGAAAAGATATTTAGAGAGGCCTTTTTTTCTTCATACGGGTGTTATATACATGAATATTCGGAATTAGAGACAAAAATCTTGAACTTGGTAGAATAGCATCTTGAATTCAAGCTGCTTTGTGATGGAGATGTATCATTAGCAGCTTAGTATAGATTAAAATATGTTGTTGTGATTCAACAATCAGCCACGGTAGCCCAGTGGTTAATTGGAAAACATCTTTCCGAATTGGTGTAGTGGCTAACATCGTCGTCTCTCACACGACAGCCAGGGGTTCGATTCCCCTATTCGGAGATATTTCTTTTTTGCCCCTTTTCGTCACAATCCAGAAAGGGTTTAAAACATTCTTTTTTTGGTTGTTTTTGATTGTTCAATCACGTACAAGAGATTGTTATTGCGATGTTGGGGCCGGTAGGATAACCACAACCGTCGTGTAAACTATCGCTTTTGGAGGTATGGATGCCCACTGAAATATATTTTGTTCATGGCGGAGAGTTCCAGAGACTATCTACCCCGAAAGTATGAGAAATACACGTATAAAATGACAGAAAACGACCCGAAATAAGGATATAAAACGCTACAAAATTTTGTTCAAAGGCATCTCATCACTCCGACTTGCCCGCTTTACTGTGGCGCTGTTTCAACCTTTGTGCTTTCCATCGTTGCCAGCCGGCCTCGGCCAAGTCTTCACTTACCACCAGGTCGCGAACGCGCAATAGACGAGACAGGGTCAAATCGGTTGCCCACTCAATCCACCCCGTGCTTCGGAGCAGGCCAGTCACCAAAAACCAGCCCAAGGCGCATACGAGGCCAGTTGCAGAGCCCGCTAGAACCTGTCGGGGGGTATGGTAGCTCAGGTAGACCCGACTGGCCGAGACCGCGACAGCGCTGGCACAAAGCCCGACCGTCAAGGCCGTTCGGAGCAAGAAATCTGAGTAAGGATAGGAGCCCGCGTAGGTTGGAGAGTGTCGAAATACGAGAAAGAGGGTCAAGTAGACGGCGAAATAGGTCATGAATTGGGCGTGGGAGGATGGCATGCCGTAGCCCTTGCCGAACATTTCTGTAGACACGCATTGACCTGTATTAGTGCCTGTCACGTACAGTAATGATAGAAGAGGCCAGAATTAAGACCAGTCAGACTCACCCTTCGGGCGCTCTTCCTTAATGAGACGCTTCAGCACAAAGTTCAATGCTTCACAGCCTAGCTGCCCAGCGAACATCAGGACCACCTCCACCTCTCTAGTGGCCCAGACCAAGGTGGTATAGGACACGACAAGGGCCTGGGGTAGTAGAGCCAGCCATGCCGACGCAAATGACAGCGGATCCTCGGGGTTCTATTGGGACGGTTAGCCTGTTGCAGCCCAAAGCCAACAACGCACAGGGGAACAACACACGTAGTGGACGTGAGTCAAGGACAGCGAGGCCAGTGGGGTGTCGCCCATTTTGAAATAGGAAAAAATCCTCGTGCCCCTTGGGGAAGTGAAGCGGGAGAGATGAGGGACAAAGAGCCGAGAAACCAAGAGGTCCAAGTAGATTCGGCAGTACCTCCTACTAACTACTGTAGTGTCTAGTTGAGCTGGTCACTTGGCTCGGCCCGATAAAAGGAGCGATAAGAGCCGATAAGCAACGATAAGACCCGATAAGATAGGAAGACGACACGGCGGGGCGGAATGACAAGAGGGGAAAAGGGAAAAGGGAAAACTCCCGATGACACAAAAATAATCCAATTCCCTTCAGGCACCAAAAGGGGAGTTCGTTTTTCTTCCCTCGCCTCCCTCGCCTCCCCATCTCTCTCTTTCTTCTACTATCAACTTCTGCTCTTTGTCCTTTCACCTCCATCTCACTTGTTTGTTCCAAATCATGACGCAGTCCCTGTCATTCTATACTCCCGCTTTCTTGTTACATCATTTAATAGACCCCTCCCCAGCACAGTGGACTCGCCTGGACCGAGCACGAATAGTCCGCACAAGAATACCCTGATTGTGGGTGATTCTGGAAAATCCCAGTGGGAAATTCCTTTAGTGCTGATAGAAAAGAACTCGGTGCACTCAAGACCATTTCCCTATTTATCCCTGATCGCCACCGGCAAGATTTAAAAACCCATTTGCCATCTCCACTACCCTGAACGCAACCCTTCTGCGACGGCAGCCATGGCCGCTGTCTGCTAAACCACACGGATATCGCGAGTCGTATGGGCAGTACGACTACGATTGTACAATAAACGTCCTCTCAAAAAGATCCTTTGTTTCCTGATTTTGCGGTCGCCACCTTCAGGACCGCTCACAGTATGGCCGACATCCAGGTCGAGGACGATCGGTCTATCGAACTGTCCTCCATCGCCGCCATCTATCCAGAGATCAAAATCGACCCGGACAACCCCTTCAAGGCGACTCTTGAGCTCCCTGTCACCCTCCCGTCGCCTACACGAGTCTGCTTCCAACAGCCGGTCGATATCGGACCCCCGCCAGCGCTAACACCGCCAACCTCCGTCGATGGCTTCAAAGCCGATCTGGGCCAAAACGTCGCCCGTGACGTTCATTTTCTCTCGCACCTTCCCCCGCTGAACCTGAGCATCGAGCTGCCCGATGGCTATCCCAACGAGAAACCTCCAATCGTTCGGCTTACAACACATCCGTTATGGCTCCCGCCAACAGTCCTCGCGAGACTGACCGATGATTGCACTCGATTGTGGGAAGAATGTGGGCGGGACATGGTGGTCTACACCTACATTGACCACCTTCAACAATCGGCTGAGCTGGCCTTTGGCATTCAAGATACCACGGACGGTGAATTGTGTCTATCACGGGACCTAAAGATCGCTTTATTGGATTTTAACAGCAAGGCCGAGCGCGAGAAATTTGAGCAAGGAACGTTCGAATGCGGGGTATGTCTGGAACCGAAGAAAGGCGCCATTTGCCACCGGCTACTACGCTGCTCCCACGTGTTTTGCGTCCCTTGCCTGCAAGATTTCTACAATACCTGCATTGCGGAGGGTGACGTGGATAGTGTGAGATGCTTGGCCCCGGACTGTGAAAAGAGCCTGAGCCCGACAATTGCGCCAGGTGACGGTCAGACTCCTCGTCGCAAGAAGCGTGATCGGACTCTCGGTCCTAGCGAGCTTTTGGAAATTCCCTTATCCACAGAGACAGTACAACGATACGTCTTTCTCAAGCGCAAGAAGAAGATCGAATCCGACAAGACCACGGTATACTGCCCACGTCAATGGTGCCAGGGAGCTGCCCGATCAAAACGGTACCCCAAGCCTACCGATCCCATGGCTGACGCCGACGACGCCGAAGCCTCGGACGACGAGGAAGAGGTCGCTTTCGACCCATTAGGAGAAAGAGGGGACCTTCCTCCCGTTGCTGAACGAGTTGCTATCTGCGAAGAGTGCAACTATGCCTTCTGCAGCGTCTGCCGGAAAGGCTGGCATGGTGAACTTGTCATGTGCTTGCCCCAGCGCAAGGTCGACGAGTTGTCGGCCGAAGAAAAAGCAACTCAAGAGTACATGCGCTTGTACACCTCCCAATGCCCGACATGCACCGTCCCCTGCCAAAAACGCATGGGCTGCAACCACATGCGCTGCTTCCAGTGCGATACGCACTTCTGCTATCTTTGCTCCGCCTGGTTGTCTCCCGATAACCCGTACAGCCACTTCAATCAAACCAGCAGCACGTGCTACAACCGTCTGTGGGACTTGGAGGGTGGCGACGGACTGGATCCAGAAGGCGCCGAAGCTCTGCACCAAATCCCCGAAGCTCTACTCGTCTTTGACGACGAGGATCACGACAGAGCTCCGCAAGACGTCGGCCTTGGCGTCGACACCGAGACGGAATGGAGCTCTTCGGACGAAGACGATGATCGACCGGAATGGGACTTTGGTTTCAGCGACGACGACCAAGATCGTCACCTTCGTCCACCTCCGCCAGCACCCGTGCCCCCTCGCGCAGCCCGAGGCCCCGGCGTGAACCATCCCGGTCCAGACGCCGCAGCACGCGCAGCCATGGAGCGCGAGGAACAAGCCCGCGCAATGGCCGAAATCCGGAATCGCAACCGCAACCGACCTGCACGGCGGGCGGAGCAGGCACTCAATGGTCCACCTCAGGAGCCACGGGGTATGATCGGGCTCCAGCGGTTCTTGGAGCTTGTGCAGAATGATCGGGAAGATGAATGGGATAGTGATGAGCTGGAGGATTTTTAAAATGAAGATCTCGGATTCGAATTGGATTATGAGGGATGCATTATCATTGTCGATAGGATGGATGATGGAAAGATTTATGATACTCACGCATAACATCAAAACGGGCATATGGTGTTTTTGTTATGAGCGATGATTTTGATGATTTTGGATTTTGCAGCATTTTTTGTCAGATTTGATTCATTTTACATTTACATAGCTTGTTAGCATAGGTTTCTGTTTACGATTGGTTTTTGACATGATATCATATTGAATACTTTTCCAAGTAACATTAGGGGTTCTTGATATCTAGGGTCTCTTATTGCTAATAGTCTTCAGAAATTCAAGCAGGCCTAAGCCTCGCTGGCCGTCGTCATAGCCAGTGCTGCTTTCCTATAGCGCCTTCAGTAACCTCAAATTAAGGCTAACATCTTTCACTTACATCCGTATCTACGATCCATCCGAGTTTAGCTCTTACTACGCCAACAACTATCACTTTCGTCTCACACTCAAATCGGTTTCACATACACCAGCTTCACACAAACTTTCTCTCGACCTATTTTTTCCCTTCTTCAAAAACTCTTCCTCCCTTCACTACCCTCAAGCTCCCACTGCTTATTCCCTCTTGACCTTCCATACTTCATCCACAACCTTTACTTCACCTACACAGGTTTCCCATACCACAACAGTCATGCCACAAATCGACTCCACAAAGCCCAAAAGGGCCACCAAGATCACGATTGACAACACCAAGCCAAGCCCGCCAAAGAAGGCTTCTCCCAGACCTCCGCCCTGGTCCGTCGGAATAACTGCTAGACAAAATGGCTTCTCGCTTCCTCACCTTGGAAAACAGAAAACACGCCAAGACTCTCAAAGAGGGAGTCACCACCAACAGCCCAGCCCAGAATTCAGCCTCTTCGAATTCCTCTCGACTCCCTCTTTGCTGAAGTTTTCCTACCTGGCCTCGATGATGCTTTTGGTAGCTAGCCGGCGGAAAAGGTTGAATTCGGGAGCTACTGGATATACGCGCGGGAGAAACCCGGCTGGGGTTGTTGTTTCTAGGCCGTGGTGTCGTGAGGATTTGTCCTTTTTTGCAGGAGAGCGGAGCAGTGCAGGTAAATAGTTGCGGAATATGCATGGACAATGGGAAGTTGTCTAACGAAGCCTTCCATCGAGGTGTGTTTATTTCCTAGGCTTAGCTAGTTTGGGACTATTCAATCTCTAAGACTCTATTTTACACTCCTGGCTAGACTCAGCGTTGTTCATCTTGTCGGGCAGGCTTTAATAGCAGTATAGGGGCAACGAACCCATCGAATCCATGGAAGAGAAACGATCTATTCAGGTCCACATCGCAAATAAGATAATAAAATTCAGCAGACAGCATGCGACTGCTGCTTAGAGGCTAAGCTCAGGGTCGAGAATTTCCAGTTGAGACTGATTCTCGAGATGCTCTGGATGAACTAGCTGGTAACGATGTAACTGGATGTCGCTTTCTGCCGGCCTGTCTATTACTGGACGGTTTGTTTTGTCGGAACAAATTGGGATGATTGCTCTGAGCTGGTTCGTTGTTGGTGAATGATTCGAATATTTGATCTGCCCAGTATGCATATAGTAATTTGCGATTACTGGATGAGGCTAGGCGGATATGAGGTACGACAACCTAGTTAGGCAAGGATGATTAGGAGCCTGTCACTTTAGCCTACCATGCGGTGCATAAACTTAAGCACTAAAGTAGTAGATATGCACTTAAGCGGCACGCCAGTCGTAAAGGGGTTTCAAGCTTGAAGCTTGGTCTGACCTAAATTTTCGATACGAGAGGCTCGAGAGCGCCTCCTTCCGATGAGAGCTTCAAGGTCCTGGCGGAAATAGGAAATATGAATTATCTCCGGTCAGAGAGACGCTTATCTTCATTGGGTGATTAATGTACAATTTCTGTGTCTTTTTGACTGTCTTCAATGGAGCAGTTCCTGATCTTCATATCCGGTATTTCCGTAGGTCATGCATGATGTAGGAAATAAGATATCTCGGAGTTTTGCGTGTCACCGCTTTATTTCATGGATACAGCTTCGCAGGGTTAAATAGCAATGTTTGTATATCAAGCTTGATATAACGCTTTGCCTCCAATTGAACTGAGCTATTCAGACCTCTATCGGTCACTCTTTTCTATTACCTTTCACTCCCTCGGACGAGCCTGAAACAAGGCCTGTCCACACCTCGATGGATCTTGCTAACCCTCACCGAGTGGAAATTCTCCAAAGAGGGCTCCCTCGCGGATGAAGAGAAAAAGGTAGTCCCTCAAGTCAAAGAGACATCCAATGTGCTTCTCGTCTCAAACATTGTCGACTGGGACCGCCCCGACGACCCTGGAAATCCAATCAACTTCCGCAGCTTTATCAACTTCATCAATGTGAGAATCATTAGCACGCTGACATTCATCACCACGCTGGCATCTTCGATGTTTGCTCCCAGTATCCCCGAGCTTATGGAAGAATTTCATAGCTCGAGTACACTGTTGGCCGGGTTCGTGGTGTCAGTTTATGTGTTAGGATTCGCCGTTGGACCGCTCATCTTGACCCCAGCCTCGGAGCTCTTGGGACGAGCCATTGTCTATCACATCTGCAACATCGGATTCACTGTGTTCGCTGTTGCGTGTGCCTTGAGCACCAACCTAGGGATGCTCACGGCATTTCGCTTTTTCTAGGGCTGCTTTGGCTCAGCGCCAATCACAAACGGCGAGTTCCCTTGTTTTCTCCTGCCTTAGTTACATATCACATTGCTTACACGCCAGGTACAACAGGAGGAGACACAATTGCGGATCTCATCATTCAGGAAAAGCGTGGAGGTGTCATCGCCATCCATGCCCTTGGTCCTGTGCTGGGCCCCGTCATCGGCCCTGTAGCAGGAGGCTATCGTACCGCGGCCAAGGGCTGGCGCTGGGTCTTCTGGGTGCTCACCATGATAGGTGGTTTCTGTACAATCACCTCGCTTTTGTTCCTACGTGAAACATATCCGACAGTCCTTCTCAAGCGCAAAATGCAACGCCTCATTAAGGAAACTGGTAGAACGGACCTCCGCTCAAAACGAGACAACGGACTCTCTACTCAGCAGCTGTTTATCCAAGCCATTCTCCGCCCATCCAAGATCCTCTTCTTGTCACCCATCGTCCGCAAGCTCAATTTAGGTGGGGATTGTGTACAGATACCAGTATCTGATGTTTTCAACCTTTACCTACGCCTTGAGGACCAATACGGGTTTCCAACTAAATCCTCTGGCCTGACCTTTCTCGGAATCGGCGTGGGCTCACTACTTGGGCTCTTTGTCATTGGCGCAGTCTCCGATCGGATTCTCAAGGCCAATTCTAAGCCCACCCCGGAGTCTCCATCGGGTACCATGAAGCCGGAGTACCGTCTGCCCCAACTTGTTGTGGGTACGTTCTTCATCCCAGCGGGTATGTTGCTCTATGGTTGGTCTGCATACTACAAAATACACTAGATCGTGCCGATTATCGGTACCGCACTAGTTGGAATAGGTAACATTGCCGTTTTTATGTGTATTACTACTTATCTGATCAATGCGTTCACGATATATGCGGCTAGCGCCATAGCTGCAAGCACGGCGGTGCGCTGTATTATGGGCGCATTGCTACCCTTGGCGGGACAGAGCATGTACCAGTCAATGGGGCTGGGGCGGGGAAATAGTTTGTTGGGGTTGATTGCAGTATTGTGCATTCCGGTTCCATGGGCGCTGATGCGGTATGGAGAGATGATGCGGACATCATTTGATGTGAATAGACTATAAATGGGTATTGAGCTGATGACTATTTAGGGAAAAGGCTAGAATAATTTGTCTGACAGATTTGAGCAACAATGGATATGGAAACACATGCAGGATATTCTTCCAGTATATCTGGAGATGATCTAGGAATACAAAGTGCAAGCATCCTCGGACACGCTAGTGAGCCTACTTATCTCCTCTGCAGCCAGATATGAATAAACGACATAGAAACCTCTTCACTCCTGAAATGCTCAAAATAGAACTCCTTCGTCCTCCTAATCCACTCCGACACAAGTTTACCCCCTCTCCCTTCCGAGTAATTGTCTGGATCTCCATCTCCCAGAGCCTTGAGGAGGTAACCTGCAATCACAGCAGTCACCCAATGAATAATAGTATGCGTATAATTACAAGCTGTCTCATCATCAACTAAGCCGTCGTCACTCTTGACCTTCTGTAGCTCCAAATAAGCAGGATGCACGACTCGACTTTCGAAACACTCTTGCATATCCCAGACCTCGTCGACTTCGTTCAGCGTGGATTGCACGTCTTCCATGCTCCGATTATAGAGAGGTTCGTTGAGCGAAGAGAGAACTCTTTTCGACACCTTACCCTCGGCGAGCATGAGCTTTAATGCGCCGAAGATCGAGGTAGTAGGCCCGACGAGGTCCGATGGCCCAGAAATTGATTTACTCGGGAAGGAGAGAACCGGAGAGCCTCCGGGCTTTGTTTCTATTCCTCTGTGGTGGAGAAACTGGAAAAGATCTTTGTGTGCTTGTTCTTGAAGGAGTTTGTCTGCGTTGGGGCTTCGCTGGAGATTATCGTCCATCATTGGTCGAGTTGTGCGCAGGTGTTGGACGGATGCGAGTGAAAAGCCGAGGTCGACAGAGTTTGCTGGGAGAATTTGGTCGTAGAAGTTGCCTGGGATCATGCCGACAAAGGGTGCTTTGGTGAATCTTCCAGCCCATTCACTGATTGTTGAGGATAGGGTGATGAAATCGTTGTTTGGTTTGTCATTCAAGAAGATTTGTAGGTTCTCTGATGGAACCGATTTCGTGATTTCATCAAAAGGTTTTATCCTGGAAGAGACTTAGGAATGGAGAATTTGGTTGTATAGTTGGAGTCTCACTCACGAGTTGGCACCTTGTGCTGCCTCATATTCTGCAACTGTCAATACTTGACCAGCGCTCTGGGTTCCGACTGTTTTTGTGGCTTTTTTCGATGAGTGGTAATGCTTGTAGCATGACTTCATGCTGCAGATCGGAATGATCGCTATAGACACCACTGCCTTGCATGGTCACATCGTTGGTCGCTGGAGGAGCCGCGCTGTCGCCCATTTTGATTACGAAGCTCAAGTATGGAATATCTGGCAAATGAAGAGTAATACGCAAACTACACCGGTGCGGGGCTACTTATATGAGCGAAAAGGCCTAGAGCCAGAAATTGCGTGCTGAGAATACTTGGCAGTTCTTTGAAATAGTGCCGATAATTCATGCGTGGTCTTGTTAGTTCCCATGATCTGTGATCTGCATCTGAGCCTCGGCGGATCTCGGTGGGGCTGATGTCGACAAGGAATTGGGTGGAACCTTATATTTGCTAGCCAGTAGGCATTTCGCAATGAATGATCCTTGAGATACGGTGATAATGGGGTATTTGAGTATTAAATTTGCGTCCCATACCCGCTGGGCAAAATTATGACAAATTTATGAGAGCGGTCAAACGCAGGTGCCTTGGATAGGGCAGTCTACCTTACCACATTTGCTCTGGGGGTAAGATTTTCCTTTCTAGGGTGCCACCGCTTTTATGAGGGGTTCAGAGTCAAGTTACTGAGTAAATACCAGTCCGGGTTATAAATCAGAGACCTGATTAATTTTCTCGATGACCACAGAGACTCTATGACACTGGTTCGAGGGAGTGGACGAAGTACATTCACAAGAATTTTTCTTTTGCACAAGAATTGGCATAAGGATTGAAACAAGTGAGCCTTTTTGAGAAGCAAGAATATGTGCAGAGATTCATATTTCCACGAAATAAGAGACAGAATAACCAGGAGGGCAGAAAACTTGGGTAGGATAGCAAAGATGACCATTCGATGGGGAGATAGAGACTAAAAGATATCGGTCTCAACATCTGCCATGCTATTGTCATCGTCATCACTCTGATTGCTTTCTCCAAAGACATCCTCCACCCGTCGTCGGATCTCTTGAGCCAGGAAAGGCCTGAGTGCAGACTCTCCCATCCCATCAAGCTGTTGTATCATACGAACAACCCCAGAAAGCTTAAGGCATGTTTCCTTTAGCTGCAAATATGGATTAAGAAGCCGAGAGAGCAGGGATATCCATTCCTCATCGTCCAATTCAATGAAAGTCAGAGCTGGAATATCCTGTGGTAAACTAATCTCGTCTTCATCGATAGAAATGAGGAGAACCTCTATAACGCCAATCGCCTCAACGAGGCTTGCGATTCTTTTCGCGACTTTGATTCTGAAGTCGAACCCCTTCACAAACTTGTCAACATCTGTTTCTTCTGGGATGGTCTTCCCCAAATCCAGCATCAGCTTTCGTGAGGCGAAGATTTCGGCTGCCTGCTCAGTCATACCGCTCGCTGTTGCTTGCTCTACGGCCTCAACGAAATCTCGGTACAAAAATAGAAGCCCGAGACGAGGCCTTAGCACCTCATAAACAGCGTCTGGCTCGACAGCCTCGATATGCATCTGACGGATATCAAACCCGGGTTTAATATCAGACGGAATGCCGAAGTAGCTCCAGTGCGCACGTCTTAGATTGTCGAAAAGCACAGCACATTTAGGAGGCACGGAAGTTCCCGCCAGTTGTTTGCCCGCCCTAACGTGCCTCGCCTGCTCAAATTCAGGTTCTTCGATTCCAGATTGCTGTTGAATGCCCTTGGGTGCATTCAATATCGTTGGAATCGAAGAAGCACCATGAGCCACCCGGCGTTCTCGACGTTGACTCTGCTGAGATGCTGTCATGCTGGCCGAGCAGGCATAGTTGTATTTGGCGCAGCGATCACACTTTTGCGCCGGCCAAACTCTTTCGAACGGTGTACACTTTCAAACAAAATGATAATCGTTAGCTTTGATGAAGGTGCGCCCAAGAAATCCAAGGCCCATACCTGCTTTTTGTCGGTTCGACATCGGGTACATTTCAAATAATGCAAACGCCGGGGGACAGCGGTATGTTCAGTGTCCATGGCAGATGGCAAGGAGAATCTTCGGCGGGGTCCAGGGCCGAGTTCATACAGATGGTACACAGCCTCAACGAAACAACTTGTGACTGACTTGAGAAGGAAAGTGAATGAGACAGGAGTTCACGAAAAACAAAGGAGGGTTGACCGATATTTAAGTCTTCAGTGCCTTCTCGTTTAATCGCAGTCCTAATTTGGTCTTTGCGACTGTTCACTGCGATTTACACAATCGAGGTTGCAGAGTAGTCGATCGTAGTCGCAGTCGCAGTCGCAGTCGTCGCAGTCGAATCTCGAGTCAGCCGCAGTCGCAAGGCAGGATCCCAATGGCTCTTATTGGAGGATTATAGCTGGCCCCTGCGACCCCTGCACCGAATCACCACATTACCGCTTGCTCAAACTATCTCGAAGGAGAGATGGATGTGGGAAGATATCTTATCAACCTTGACAACCTTATAGAGTACTACACAGATGGATGACTTTTCAGGCGATAATATATAATACTCACGATGATCAATACCGTGGAAATGAGGGCGCAGGTCTAATGGGGTTGATGTGGCCTAGAACGGGGAAAATGTAATCTGTTTCTGGGCAACTTTGACTAAAATATTTGAGGGTCCTCCAAAAGTAGACCAAAATCCGATGCTTCCAGATTTCATGCATTTTCAAGCCTCGAGTAATATTGTAGAAATACAAGGCATACATGGTTTCACTACGAAGTAGAGTTGCGAAGAGATGAAGACCGCGTATTGGTCAATGTGAAACCCACAGGCCTCCTCGAGTGGGGATTGCTAAAACAGAGTTGACCCCGTATTAGTCCAAATTTGTCGAATCTTGTCCACGCGGAGAAGATTCGACAAACTTGGATTAGCGTCTACTAGGCCAGTTGGCTGCCTCGCCGTCTACTTACAGCAGAGTATGTATCTACCTACTAACGGAATCTAAAAACATGGATCACGTAATTCTAAGGTCATACCTACGTGTAGCATAGGTATTCGATTGGTGAAATTATTCTCTTTTGCCGCGTCATTTGCTTAGTGGTAGATTAGATGCGGAATGAATAATAAGCCAGGATTGATCTTACCCTATTTAGGAGTACGATGCCTGAGAATGCAGGCTAGGTAGTAAAGACTTGGAAGTATCAAAACTATTTAAGACCCCGGTGCATTCCATGGGGTGAAATCAAGGTTGGCCCGTCCGATCTGTCAAATCGTGGGGATCAAAGGGTATTTCGTGGAAACCATTTCGTGAAGAGGCTGGCCAAGCCCCTGATGGCTAATGCTAGTATTTACCCCAGATAAACCGGGATGTGGACAGCATCGGGACGTAGTCAAGCCAATCGGATTGTCGGTCATGGCAAAGCGCGGAGTTAGCCTTTCTAATCCGCCGGGTACCATAGCATCCGAGTTAGGATCCTAACTATACGCTTGGGCTGTATAAAATTCGACTGTATATATTTCTATAGGTATTCCATTCCATCTGTTCGTATCCTTTTCACACTGTTCGTATCTTCAAATAAAATATCCTTTTCCTTCAATTCCAACTTCCTCACAATGTCAACTTCAAATTGGCGCCCCGGCAAGCGAGTTGCCATCGTTGGAGGAGGACCTGGATCAATTTCAACAGGCCTAGCCTTCATCAAACGAGGCTACGATGTGCGTCTTTATGAGCGACAACCAGAATGCAAAGCCATTGGAGGTGCAGTTCTCTTATCAACTCCTGTCTTGGCTATTCTTCGATCCTACGGTTTGAACGAGGAAAATTTTGGCTCCTACACAGTGACTTATTTCAAGAATAAGTCCGGTGCAGAACGTGTCAAGTTACCCTTCAACGCGGATGTTGAGAGAAGCATGGGCATCAAAGGTTGGCACTACGGTGTTCTCCGTTCTTCCATTTTCAAAAAGATGTTAGAGCTTGTACCCGAGGGTGTGATTCATGCCGATCATGAGTTCACGTCTTACACCGAGCTTGAAGACGGCGTTGAACTCTCTTTCAAGAATGGCCATCAGATCACAGCCGATATTCTTATTGGAGCGGATGGAATTCATTCTAGGGTATCACGACAAGCCTTTGGTGAGCCTAACCTATTCCACACCGGAATTCGGCTCTGGCTTGCCTGGTGTGATTATATCCCCGGTATTCCACCAAACGAAGGTGCTATTTCACACGACTTTCAACATCAGGCTAGCTTTTTCCCGATGATGCACGACGGCAAACCAGGATTTGAGTGGTGGGTGGTTGAACCATCGTGGGATGGGAAACCTGTCCCGGAAGATCCTAAAGCACACCTTACCGAGATTCTAAAGGACTGGGCAGAGCCGATGCCTCGATTTTTAGAAGCCACCAACTTCGACACTCAAGTGTATCGATGGGAGATCTTCAATCGGCCGTCGATGAAGAAATGGTCCAAAGGTCGGATTGTGTGCGTCGGTGATGCTGTGCACCCGGTGTCGCCCTATGCCGCATATGGCATGGGCATGGCAATCGAGGACGGTTACTTTCTTGCTAGGGCACTGGATGGGGTCGACCTGCGTGACTTGCGTGCGGTTAACGCCGGATTTGAGGTTTACGAGGAAGAACGAGTCGACTATGTGAACCACAATATGGAATTTGCCCGTTTTCTGGGCAGAATGTTCCATTCTATTCCTCGACCCCTCGCCACCGTTCGCGATATGATTTTCGACTATACTCCGTTGCTGAGCCATTTCCTCAAGGATGGTTACCTCAAAAAGTCAGAAGAGGAAACTCTTCGTCTGAAGGAGCTTCGGGTGATCTGAATTGATCCAAGGATGGCAGAGTTTCGTTGTTTTATTGTGAAATGTATCTAAGCAGAGCATAAGATTCACACGCTATCTTTCTATGGGCCAAAGACTTTGGGTTCGAACTCTAATTGGTTGTGGAACCAGTTTCTGTCTACAACATGTACCTGACCTATCGAGATCCACTGTCTGTACTTTTGTACTGTATACAATTCACTTCATTTGAGAATAATTACTTAAAAAAGCAATTCAATCAGTGGGTACCTGCATATGTAGTCAAGATTTGGAAGAAAATTTGAAATTCCGGAGAATGATAGGCAACAGATAGAACAGAACCTGGGAGAAGTCACGAGGGGAGCCTGATCCCGGTTCTTGTTTGGGGCTTCTTCAGTGAATTGTAATACTCCATGTACTTAGTACACCTTGCACGTACCTGCGATCTTCAGCAGTACCAGTCCCCTGAATCATGTCTACATTTCTGCATCTCCGAAGCGTCAACGTGCGGGGCTTCCCGATTCATCACAGCGATCGAAGATCTCCCGGAGGCCCCAGCGCCTCAACCAGGCATCCAACGTCATCAGACCTGTTCTAGGGCATCCTCGAATATTCTGCTTCTCCTGGTCCATTTTTCCATTTTTCACCATTCACCGTACATAGCCCATGATGACAGGACCACCAGTAAAACGCACCTTCGCAGCCGCAACCCTAGACTACCTAGGAGCCCGGTACGTCGGTGCAGGGCCCGAGACATGCAACTACACCACGCAAGCCATCCAAATTCCCATGCGAGACGGGATCGAACTAGCAGCCGACCTTTACGAGCCAGAAATCCCCGTAGGCCAGACCCCCGCCGGCCTCATCCTGATCCAGTGCTGCTACGGTCGCGGCGCGGGTATCTCGTTCATCAACGCCCGCGTCTTCGCTGCTCGAGGCTTCCAGGCCCTCTTCGTCAGCACGCGAGGCACGTATGGCTCCGGCGGCACGTTCGATCCTGGAAGTAATGAACAGTCTGATAGCCAAGATATTGTGGGGTGGATGCGCCAGCAACCCTGGTACCACGGCTCGTTTGCGACCTTGGGCGCCTCTTATCTGGGTTACAGCCAGTGGGCGCTTTTGCGTGATCCACCAGCTGACTGTGTCGCTGCGGTGATTCCTGTTGCGCCTCATGATCAAGCATGGCATACGTGGGGTACTGGGTCTTTTCGTCTTGATCGTGCCTCGTGGAGCGATATGATGTCTAAGAGGGACGATGAAAAGGGGAGTTTTCTCTCCCGATTGGCTAATATACCTGGCTTGAGCTTTTTGCGGTCGCCGGAGCTTGAACGGGCGGTTGCTAGTCTTCCATTGGAAGATAGTCTGCAGAAATACTTTGGAGACAGGGCTCCGTGGTTGTTCGAGTATTTGAAACATCCTGATGTTGATGATGTTTACTGGACATCGCGTCAACACCAGGTTGCCCTGGACCGCGCGAAGATTCCCATTCTACTGATCAGTGGGTGGTATGATACGTTCACGACGCAGACAATGCATCAATTTAAGCATTTGAATGATCGAGGCGTGAATGTGAGCCTGATCGTTGGTCCATGGACCCACGTCCAAGGCTCGGGTCTGCATTCGGTTCCAGAGATACTAGACTTCCTCGCTGAACATCTGACCAAAACTGGAAAATACAAACACCCTCAAGCTCGCATCTTTGTCACCGGCTCCCAGGAATGGCGCTCAATGCCTACCTGGCCTCCATCGACCCAGTCGAAAAATTTCTATCTACAGGCGAATAAACGTCTTGGTTTGAAGCAGCCTGAGCAAGACGCAAGCCCCACATCTTTCATCTTCGACCCTTTGGCTCCTACCCCCAGTATCGGAGGCAATCAAATGTCTGCTGGCGGACGGGTAGACGATAGCGCCTATGCGGATCGACCAGATGTGCTAGTCTTTACAAGCGAGACTCTTTTCGAAGATATCGAGGTCCTCGGCATTCCATCTGTCCATTTCATCCATACAAGCGATCCGCCATTCGCAGATCTGTTCCTGCGAATCAGTGAAGTCGACGCCTATGGTGTGTCCCATAATATTACAGAGCTATACCAAGCACTTGATCCATCGCGTGACACATCTCAACCTCTTGTTTTAGACCTGCAAGACTGTGCTCATCGATTCCGGGCCGGCACGCGGGTGAGACTGATTGTTGCAGGAGGCTGTTTCCCAATGTATGCGAGGAGCCTTGGGACTGCGGAGGATCGTGTGCGGAGTGATAAGGCGGTCCCTCAGACGCATACTGTTACTGTTTCTGGCGGAGTGTCGAAACTTATTCTGCCTGTCAATATTGCTGCGTGATTCGCATTTTCTGTCCAGCGAGCTTTGCCCGGTTTCTTGTGTATACCTCACAGCTTTGTGCATGGCGAGAACTTGATGACTCGAGTTCTGTTAGTTATGGCCTGGATCACTCACTGCCAATGGAAGGGAAATACTCCTAAATCAAATCATCTGTCCCTTGGTAGAAGAGAAATGTAGAGCTAAGACCTGCTTATATTCGTACAATGGCGACGACTAATGCAAATAAAAGGAAAGATCGATGCGGAAACCAGCCCGCAATCACCAAGAATGTATTCAGTCATTCCAGTCATGCCAGAATTCGTAGCTCATCACAGTATGGTCGCAATACAGAAGCATCAATCTGTAGTGGCGCGAAGGGTGCCAGCCCTGCCAGCGTTCCTGCGGATGATAAGCCCGTGAGGCATGGGCGTGGAGTTCTGGCAGGGTATAATTTCGGTTGTTTTCGGATGATTCTGTCGTGTTGGAGTGTGTGGTTGAAGATGCTTCATCTGAATGAGTGGAGTCAGATTTGGATTTAGATGGGGATTGGTAATCTTCGCCGTCATCTTCGTCGTCGGATTGCGGGTCATGAGATGACTCCTGCTGAGCAGCGGGTTTAGATGCGGAGGAGTCGGAGGTTTTAGAGGGGGAAGAAGGGGTGTCGTCTTCTTCGGGATTGAGGATTCGGTAATTGAATTGAAGCCAATCATCTGGATCGATGCCACGCGGGATGCAGGGAACATCCGGTGGGATTTCGTACCCTGGCATAGGGCTGACAGCCATACCAAGGAGTGGGGTCATGGGTCGTTCATCACTACGCTCTTGAGTGTGAAACGGAAGGACCCAATCAAGGCGGAATGCATAGCCTATCTCCTCTTGCCAAGTGAGAGAAATGACCGCAACGCGGCCTTTCTGCGATGCTGCTACTACGAGCCCAAGCTCAGGAACGTATTTGACCATATTGAAGCGATCACAGGCGGAGCTCATCTCGACAGTGAAAGAAAAGCGTTGAAATAGAGGATTTCGGCTGAGTATGTGGTAGTCCGAGTCGATTGGATAAGGCGCCATGCTAATATGATGCTCAGAAAAGTGGATGGTGGGAAAGAATTGGGGAGGATGTGCGGCTGTCAGCGTTGAATTAGCTTAGTTGTCCACCAAATGTTGCTGAATGGAGTGAATGCCACTTACGATGCACAGGCCTTTCTGTGAAGAGCCTCAGGCTGCTGTCAGAGAAGCCTTCCAAGTCATAGATAAAGTCTGGATGCAAACAAGATGTTCCGCGGAGAGACTCGCCATCTTCCTCAAAAAGGCTAGCCAGCGGGCGTTTACTCCGCACCACTCGGTCCGACGAGTCGCTCGCGCTGTCGTCCAGTTCTAAATCATCCTCTGTTTCCTCTTCGAGCACCGTTTGCGACTTATCGTCAACCGCGTTTGAGGGTTCCAGGCCTAACCTTTTGCTCGTTCGAGAAGGCTGGCGAATCCTGCAACCAGACGAGAATATAATATCAGGCAAACAATCAACTCGGCGATCGGGGTGACGCGGGCGATTGGAATTGATGGAGCCGAATACAAATATTTGCGACGCATCTGACACATCTTGGATGGCTCTCGACACATCTAAGATTGTTCTAGACGCCAGAAGAACAGAGCCTGGCTGGCATCCACATGCATCCTCTTTCGTTTGATGTCGTTTGAAGGTTCTTGGGTCCAGCGGTATGACAGTCCATCCTCGCTGGGGAGGATTGTTCAACGGGTGGCCAGGATAGTATACCCTGTATGGACCTAGGTCATCCCAGATCCGCCAAATAATAACACGGTTGCTGATGTCAGTGCTGGCCATCCATGAGCCATTCGAATCCAAGTCAAAGTTGGCAAAGGATATGTTTGGGATATTGTCAAAGTGACCTCTGTACGTCAAGCGCAGATTGCGGGAACGGTGGTTACGAGGCATAGACCTCTGTAACTCCCGTAGTTGCTTAATGTTATGAATGGAGACCCAGGTCTGGTCGGACTGGGTGGCGTTCAAGCCGTCCGAGTCGGGATCTGAGGCAGGATCATCCAAGTCTTCGGAAGACGGGTCCACTAAGGCAAACGCATATACCGTGATCTGGCCAGTATTCGCACTTATGGCAATCAGACGGGCAAATTTGTGGGTTGCGAGTCCCCAGGCGCTCATCCCGACATTTTCCACGAAGAATGGAGTTACTTCGGCGCCATCGAACGGCCGCTTATATCCGCTTTTTGTGCATCGCTTCAAAGCAGAGAAGATCGCTTCAACATGGTATCCACAAACGTTGCCAGAATCAGTTGCCAACAGCAAGACCTCATCACGACCTAGCTCATCCACAAGAATATTGTTGATGGTATGCGGGTTTCCCGGATCAATGTAACCATCCGCCAGGGGTTGTTTCATAACCGGTTTGATAACCATCTGGGCCTGCGACCCCAAGAGTTGAAAAGGGCCGGATGGTATCCAAACGTATATGTCGCATCCATGTGCCACGAAGAGCAGGTTGTGCCGCTGGGAGGAAGCCGCCTTTCGAAATAGTTAGCGAAGGGAAACCAGAGCTTCAATAATCCTCTCACTAGATTGCTTCTCCAGGTGGCTACCGGAGGTCCAAGGTTATCATTTTTCCTTTTTTGTTCTATCAGTATAGTTCATTCTCGGCCCGCAATGTTGATCTGGACCTACACGGAGAACTGTCTTTGTCAGTTGCACTGTCTCACGTGAGGTATATAAGGACTATCACGCACTCGTTGACTTTCTTTTTCGACACTCAAAACTTGGAGTCGAGGTCTAAGGGAATCTTGGATAGGGTAGACCTCTGATTCCGATTCCGGACTCCCAGGGCTGTAAGAGTCCATGTCCCCCCAGCTAAAGGTGCTTCTCGCCAGCGACCGAGTTTAGGCTGTAGTTTGACCACGGATCTGCGCGGGGGAATTCGGGGAGCGAGAGACAGGGCGGACGGGGCGTCGGGAGTAACGTTGTCATTGCCAAGGACCGGTAGCTGTGAAGAGAGGTAAGAAAAAGCCAGAGGATAATTACAGAAGAACATGATCAAGCCACAACATGCGAGGGTCGTTATTATCAGCGACGGCGGGGGATCGGGAAGTGTGGAGCAGCCGATGATGAAATCCACTCGCTCACCGCCTTCCTCCGCCATCTCTTTATCTTAAGCTTTCATCGACTTGCCTCGCCATCTTCAACATCACTCTTCGCCTGTCAAAGATGGATTTGGTTGCAGGAGTCCGGAAAGAAGGCAGTCGGTTAGTTGCCTCTCTGTTTGTTTGTCACGTTTTCTCCCAGCGTATACTAATTAAGGTATCCCTACAGCGGCGGCCGCGGCGAGTTCAAATGGTCCGATGTCAAAAACTCGACTCACCGCGAAAACTACCTGGGCCATTCCGTTATGGCGCCCGTGGGTCGATGGCAACAAAATCGCGATCTCTCATGGTATGCCAAGGGCGACGCGGATTCCGAGGAGGAACGGGCCCGCCAGCAACGCGAAGAGCTTCAGCGTGTCAAGGACGCCGAGGAGGAAGCAATGGCTCGTGCACTCGGACTGCCAATCCCACCCAAGGCCGAAGAAAATGCCAACCTGACGCCACTCGGGGGCTTGCAAAAACACCGGTGGATCAAGAAGAGGCGGGGGCGAAAGAATCGGAGAGAGAATCACGGAGGAGCCGAGGACAAAGGCGTGACCGCAGCCGAAGCCCACGCCGAGAGAGACGCAGTGATCGCAGTGATGACCGTGGGCGAGACAGAGAGCGAAGACATCGCAGACACAAAGATGATGCAGACAGGGATCGAGAAAGGGATCACGATCGAGATCGTCATCATCGAAGCCACCGACACCGGTCTCGCGACAGAGATCACCATAGGAGACGATCACGCTCGCGTTCTCGTGGCCAAAATTTTCGCAGAGAGGAACCCCGACCTCGGCGAGTCGAGCGTAGTCACTCCCCAGCTGAACGCCGACGTGAACCTGAACGCCGCAGAGACCGCGAGGACCGCGACCGGCAGCATTGATTTATGACCTAAATGATATCCATTGATTCCAATATGTACACTACTAATGCTGGAGCAAGTTTAGCCCAGACTACCCCTCAGCAAAGAACAGATTAACTTGTCTGCCCATAAAGACTAGAGGCCGAGCACACAGGGCGAGAAAGTAAGAAAGCATAATAAACTTGCTTTATTCCAGAAATGAGTTTCATCGACAATGATATACTTCGAGGGTTGAACAAGCCAACAAAGTCACATACGCATTCCGATCGCTATCTAATGTATGCGAGGACAAGCTAATTTACACTCAAGACCAATGCCTCACAGCTCATCGTGGGACGTCTGAGAAGTCTCAGGCAGGTCCGGCATGGCCATCACGTTCACCACCAGACTGGTCCAGCCAGTAAAGTGCTGAGTGCGCTGTCCCTTGCCTGTCTCGGGGTTATACTGTTCCCAGGCGAATCCAGTGCTCTTCCACTCCCGGAACACGTTCTCAACCAAGTTCTTCCGCAGCTTGGAGTACATCTCTCGGGCCTGCTCCTGGTGAGGGCCAGAGACAAGGGCGGTGTCCTGCAGAAAGACGAGTGTCAGTATGGGGATATAGAAATGCTGTAGGGAGTGAGAGTTGGCTTACATATAGGTTCTTCAGCACCAAGTAGTTGATAGGCATCCAGACTGGGCTGCGCCAGTAGTTCTCTTCCGTGCCGTAGAACTGGTCCTTCTTGCTCAGACTGCGAATACCATAGTCACTCCACAACTCCTCAGGATCGTTGATCAGGTCCAGAACAGCCTTTAGACGAGGGCTATCGGGACCCAGCATGCCGGTAAGGAAGGGGAAGATAGAGATGTAGCCCTTGTGGCAGACATGGACACTCTCCTCGTACTCATCGATAGTCGCATCGCAGAAAGTTTGCTCCTTCTCGTCCCAGTGCAGGTCATCAATGTTACGCGTAATGGCAGTCTCATAGTAAGCGAATTCCTCGGCATCTTCCTCCTCACCCAAGTATTCCGCAATGCGGCGAAGGGTGCGGGTCATCATGCCCATCCAGCTGATAAGATCCACGTGCAGCTCACCGGGGTGTGGTGGCTGGGGTCGAGGGTAATCGTCAATGCCAGAAGTCAGGATATGTTGGACGGAGCGTCCACGCCAGCGGTAGCCTTCCTTGGTAGAAAAGGCCTCGCGATCGTAGGACTTGATGTCTCCGCGCTGGGTGCTGCGATACCACGAGTAGTGTCTCTTCAGCAGAGGGTAGAAAGAGCGGAGGTAGCCATTGGCCAACTCTGGGTTTCGCAGGGTAGCCGAGCGCAGGTTCTCGGCAGGATCACTCTTGTCCAATGTTTCGGACTGAACGCTCTGGTTGCTCTTTGCTTTGTCCATGAATGTTTCCAATGCCATGAATAGGGTGGGTGGGTTAGCATAGTGAGGATACTGGACAGTGAACTCCGCGGGAACCTTGCTACGTGCTTCCTGTCCTAGAATTTGCTCGCGAGCGATCCAGCCATCTTCATCCATCAAATGGAACCAGCTCTTGATGATCTCGAGCCTAAAAAACATGTTAGCCTCTGGTATGTGAGATAGGACATTCCGTGACTTACGCAAGGTCAGAGTCATATTCCATCACAGGCATCAGGTGAAAACCCTCGTCCCAGAGGAAACCTCTGGGGAAGAACGGCCGGGAAGGAACGCAAGTAAAGAGATCCTTGGCTCCCTCCATGACCGGCTGGGCTGAAGCGCGAGCCTCAGCAGTCTCCTCCCAAAAGCCTTCATTCTCCTCATCATATGCAGGGTGGCCAGAGCGATCAACAACGTCGTCACCGTGGAAAAACCCAACACCGCCAACCAGGTTGGAAAGCATAGCCTTGGAGAAAGTAGAAAACTCGTCATCAAGGTCAAAGGGCGCCTTGGGGGCAAGGACTTCCTTGAACCTTTCAGTGAAAGAGAGAGATGCATCCTTAAGTTCCTCGGTAATAGTCTCCGCTATATCACGTATTAGAATCAAAACGAGGAATGAAATCTATGAGGGGGCCGACTTACAAGTAACAGGTTTAGAGGCGGAACCAGAGGAAAAGAGAACATCGAACTGGCACAGATTAGCAACCTCGGTCTTCTATAATGTACGTCCAATTTTCCTACCTCAAAAGGACCCTTGAAGACCTTCTGAACAAGGTGGACATTGCCGTCTCCAGGCACATGCTTGATCGTGAACAGCTGGGCTGGGTGGGGAGGGTTATCAGGTCCAAGCTCTTTGATGGCTTCGTCAACCTCGCCCTTCATCTGCGCAAACAGAATGCCTTTCGTCGAAGAAGAGCAAAATATCAGTAAAACGTAGCACCGGGGTTGACAAAATCGTTGGAACACACCTTTGGCCTGCCAGAGATGCTGCTGAGGCATAGTTGCGCTAGACACAAGACCGTGGCCCAATGGCTTACCCTCGCCATTGGGACGATCAATCTCAAAATACTCGTTGCTGCTCGGACCATCGGTAACATCAATGGTGAAATCTCCCAGTTCTGAAGAGTAGCCATTGAACCTCAAGTCGCCCTCCAGCGGTGCGCTTTCGGACACGGTATCCATGTCAACACCCAGCTGACCAAGTCCCTCAAGAGTAGTATAGAAGACCATGGAAGTGGGCTGATCCGGGCTTCCATCCTCACGAGGAACGCCCTTCACACGGAAGCCCCAGCTGCCTCCATGCTGGCCACCAGGCACCTTGATGAAATCAATGGTAAGGTCCAGAGTATTTCCAGCGTCATGAATTGTCTCCCGTCCACCCTTTCGGATATCGTATTCGTCCCAACCGTATCCAGCCATGCCCTCATTCTGTTCGCAGGTGTGTCGGAAGTCTGCATCGAGGGATCAGCAATTGTGCATGCAAGCGCAATTCGAGGAGGAAGGGAGACATAGCATACTCTGTTGAACGGTGGCAAAGTCATCGACCTTGGCCCACATCAATCCTGCAGCCAGACTATTCGCAATGCGAGGGCGAACTCCAAAGTAGAGGTTTGGCTTGTAGGGACCCCATAGCAGAGACTCGTTGTTGGCGCGCGCGGCCTCTTTGATCAAGACAGAGACATCGTTGGGATCTTGGCTAGCAAGGATCCCAGTCGCATAGAGCAGCGACGTTAGTAAACTGGAGATCCTCAGATGATGCATTATTAATTGCATCACTTGAGGGACTAGCATTGGAAGGTGGACAAGTTGGCAACACCAAGCGGAGCTGGCTGTTCTCTCCGCAATTACGTGGCCCGAGCTCCGCACGCGGCGAACAGGCATGTACAGTAGAGTGTTGAGTTGTACTACAAAAGAAATTAAACAATTACCAACGATACGAAATCGGAAGAAATGAATGGATAAATGGTCATCAATTCTTCTCTCTCTATATACAATGATATGTCCAGATTATATTCAAAGCTGATCGCGAGGATCCAAAGATCCAATCTTCGCGCTCTTGGCCTGGCCGTCAAACACAAATTCACTCATGAGCTTTCCAGTGCCAGGACCATTCTGAATACCCCAGCAGGTATGACCAGCAGCGAGATAAAGGCCCTTGGTATGGGTCAAGCCGATCAAGGGACCGCCACCGTTTTCGCAATTGGGCAAATAGCAGGCCTGCCTTGTGCGAATCTTGCCATCGCGCAGTGCATCCGAGATGCTACCAACCTGATCAATAATCTCCTGGCAGCGCTCAGGGTCTACCTCAACATCTGCGGATGTACTCGGCAATGGTACAGTCTTGTCTCCGTCGCCACAGGCATAGACGGTGTCGTCGGGACGAGTATAGATCTCTGGTGCGGCCACCGTGGGTCGTGATTTCTTTGCGGGGTTAAAGTTGGCTGGGATCTCAATGTTTGTAAACAGAGCATACGCGCTGACGGGTCTTGCTGGTTCAATGACAACGCTGTGGGCACGCATTGCCGCAATAGGGGCCTCTGGAAGGACAGAACGAGTCCATGGGCCAGCAGCGACAATCACATCGGTGGCAGGGATAGTGCGCGACTCCCCCGACGCCTTGTCGGTATATGTAACGGACTCAACAATATCGCCTGGACGAGAGATATCTGTGACCTGTCCCAGGATAATCTCTGCGCCCTTTTCTTCCGCCAGTTTTGCCATGGAGGTAGTAAACAGGTATGGGTGCACCTGAGCGGTTTCCCCAGGCCCACTCATGCTCTCGTAGGCGCGCAGAAGGTCTGGCTCAATCCAATCAAGATCCTCTGGGATCTTGGCCGATTTGAGCTTGGAGACAGCGGCTGTGCTGCGCTTCTGCAGAGACTCGCCTTCTTCTTTCTTTTGACTCTTCTCGCTCATAGCGCGGCCTTTGACAACGAGCTGACCGCAATTGGTCTCCCGATAGCCCCATCTGTTCTTCCCGTCATGTTCCTTTGCGAGTTGTGCATGAAGCTTGAAGCTGAGATCCACGATGTTGCTTGGATAAGCCCATTGCGCGAGGAGTCCGCCCGCTTTGCCCGATGCCCCGCCTGCAATGTCGGAGGCCTCGAGAAGCGTTACTTTATGATGGGCTGGGTCGTAAGAAAGGTGTCTCGTAAGGAAATATGCCGTGCAGCATCCAATGATGCCACCGCCTGGAGTTGATAGATCCACGGTCAGCTATGTCTAGCTCAAGGAAAGATGTTCGCGTGCGGGGTATCGGAATTCCAAGCAATGTGGACTTACCTACAACGACAATTTCGCGGCAATCGCTCGTGGCCGACATTTTTGCTATCGGCGCGATCTTGGAAGCAAATGGTCGAAACGAAGCCACGTTGTGTTGGAATGGGGGAGAAGGGCCAAATGCGAGAACCGGTCTTGGTACCTAAATGTTGGGCTACGTCACTGCGATTTAGGATATGCCCCAGTCATGTGCTATCGCATTCTCCAGTCCAGCCTAAGTCTAGACTGAACAGCAGGTCCACTACAAATTTAAAGTGCTTCTTTCCAATTTACTTAAATTTCCATAGATAATGTGGCATTGAAAGTCACAGAAGTTTTGCCGTACAAAGTTTAAAACAACCCAGAGATACCATGCTCCGCAAAATGCAAACTGTGCTGAGAAAGAGAAAAGTGCAAAGGCCAAGAGAAGGGGAAATGAGCCTTCCGGGGAGATATCATGCAAAAGCCAGAAAAGAAGATTTGAAAGAAAATCACCTCGACGGACTGAGCGGCCGATTGAAACCGCCTGTACGGTTCATATACTGGCGGTACTCGCTCTTCTTCTCCTTGCGCACACCGTAGATATCATTTCCAGGAACCTTGGTGTTTTTGGTGGTTCTGAATTTGGTGAAACCCATGCTCTTTCGCATCATCGCCTCCATCTCATCCTCGTCGGCATCTTCCTTGAAATCCACATCCATTTCCTCTGCATGACGGCTGGCACTGGCTAAGCCGTTTGCCGTTCGTCCATCATCCCGAGATCGCGGATCTTTGCGATCAGGGCGGCGGTCACCTTTAGGTCCTCGAGGGGGTGGAGATCGAGAGGATCGGGGTTTCGTACCATTCCGGCCGGGTGATCGTGAGCGGTCACGGAACTTGTCGCCCTTACCGGCATAACCTGTTTGCGCATATCGAGTTAGTGGACATTCAGTTAAACTCACGGAGACCAAGATCCTTGGGGATTTGCAATTACCTCGTCGATCGTGCCCACGTTCTCTGCTAGCACTCCTCATGCGGTCTCGAGCTCCGCGTCCATCTCTGTCTCGATCTCTCCGGTCTCGGTCGCGGCGATCTCGAGACCAGCTCCTTTCTCGCCTTCTGTCGTTACGATCTCGGGAACGCGAGCGATAACGGCGGTCTTCACGAGGGCCGTCGCGTCGGTCGTCTCGGGGATGTGGTGAGCGTCGGCGGCCATGATCTGAGTCTTGCTCCGCGGAGACAGTGTGAGAGTCATTTTTCTCCCACATAGTACTGCTGTCGACGCGCCGAGCTCGTTTGGCGGGGGGTTCAGCCATGGTGGCTGCTCGAGATGACTGTGATGTCTCGGGCAGGATGGTTGTGTGGCAAGATTGCGGCGATTGAATGGAGAGCAACGGGTGAGATAATTTCGCGTCTCTCGTGTGTGCAAGATTGCGATAGGATTAGCGGATAGTCAAAGAACGCATCATTAAAAGAAATCGAGATTTGGGGGTATCAGGTCGTCACGATTGGAATCTGCAAGCTGCGCTGGCGGAAGAGAAGTTTATTCCGGTCACCCGGATCATCCTTTCGCGCAGTTTCCCTCAACGGGAGAAAGTTAAACATGACTGTTCGTAGATAGCAACACCGTTATTAGTTTTCTATTTAGCTTTTGTTCATGTGACGGCTTTGATTACTCGAGCGATCCTTATTGAGGCTTAGATACTCTATCGCGCTGTACCGAGTCAAGTTTATTTTCAATAGACTATAAACTTGCCCTGCTGTCAAAATGGACTTCGTGAGATATATGTTCACGCAGACCGAGCAGCATCCGTACTGACACTACTCCCCATAGGTAACAATCCGAAACCACCCGATAACGCAAGATCATCTCAAACTGCTAATCTAAACTTTAAACAGAGACAAAAAAATGGTGTGAAGCCCACTCGAGTAGCCGGAAACGCTCCGAATAGTTAGAAAAGGTCCGTGATGTAGAAGCGGATTATGAGCAGCCCAAATTTTGTAGACCTCGAAGCGTAGACAAACTTGAAATGTCCACTCACTTCTTCAAAAGTCCAATAAAATCCCGCAAGCCTGATATATCAGTAGCAATAAGCATAGTGACCATATGCTGTGGTCGACCAAATTGGCACAAGTTCATGGATTCTGACCTACCAGCGTAAAGCCCAGCAATCTTGACAGAATGTACGGTGGCACCTTAAAGAGCCCCTTTCCCCAAGTCTCCAATCTAGCTTACAGTAGCCTCTAACATAAGAGAATATTCATGAGGATAAAGAAAGGTATGTTTGGGTGGAATGGGTTCAAGGCAAAGGACGACAGGTAGCCATAGAACAAGTATTCCATGTAGACAACAACAATAATCCACTATATGCGAGCGAAAATAGTAAAACTCTCTGCAACCGTGAATAATCCCTAACCTTCTCCTCTCCTATATGCTTTGCCTTGTTACTGCGCCGCCATGCGAGGACACCGACAAACATCACCAGCCTCTAGTACCGCCTAGTATAGCTATTTACACCCTCTAACACCACCAAAAAGGCTATTCATGAATTAGAATTAATACAGCATAATAATTTAGAATGAATATCTTTATTAGAAAAATAAAGTGACGAAAAATCTCCAAAAAAACGAACCCCCCCCGCCTAGGGGTGTGCCCGGCCGTCCGTGGAGCTCGAAGCGTCAAGACTGGCCCAGTACTTTTTTCTTTTTTTTTGTTTGCCCTTTCCTCCAGGGCACACCAATGGTTCACCAATTTATGGTGGATACCAACTAGGCCATCAGAGGGGAAGGGGGAGTGATTGCTTGACCTAAAATATTATGATAACTTCGCCCAATCTCCTAAAGTCCTAACAATCCTATGAACAAAAAAAGAAGATCCTTCTCGAGGCCAGGCATGCAGCCCCACGGGCCGACCCGTCGAGCCCAACTTTAAATCCCACCGCGAAATTTTCGCAGGCTGACTTTACCCCACTTCAGCTAGTCTCGTCTTCCCTGCAAAAACGAGCCACATCTTTCACCACATACAGCCATGGCCCCAGTCAATCTGTCTCATCGGAGGACGCATAATCTGCTTCTGATCTCGAAGCTATTGAGCCTAAGGGATACAGCCTCTCCGCTCACCCTTTTGCAGGATTCGTTGGAGCAACCCGCTACACCCCTCATCAAGGAGTATATCAGACGCGCTAAGGTAAGCTAACCTGTTTCGTGCTTCGACTATAGATACATTGTGTTATTCATCGGCAGTACATACAAAGAGTGTAATGCTGACTACATGGATAGCTCTCTAAGGTGCATGTCACCTTCATTGCATTTGAAACGTTGAAGAAACCGGATGGTGTCGATGCATTTGTATCGACTCGCCGAAAGAGTCCCGCCGACATTGCTAAAGAGGTAGCAGCGGCATACCAGCCTGCAGCGACGGGGCCATCACGGCGTGAGTCATCATGAGATTACCTACCGTACATCATCATTTGATCCCCAGTCGAGCTAATTGATATCTGCAGGTCGTCTTATTATCATCGATGCAATCAACCCTCTCTTGAGCTCAAAAAGATTAGACCCTGGATTCCATCTCCCGTCTTTCCTCGGCTCATTCATCGCATCTACAGGCCCATCGGCTGGCAAGGCTGATGCTTCGCTTGTAGTCACATGGCATCAAGATGTCCCTGCTCTGCCTCAGCAGAATCACTACTCACCGTCGCCGCTGCCAGTCTTGACATATCTTGCGACGAGTATCATCACCCTTCATTCATTCTCCCACATCCTAGCCCAAAAGGCTGCACGCGATCGCAGTCTGGCTGCTCCGGTATTTGGCCTTGAGGAAGAACAAGATGGTGTCCTCCTTGGCCGACTGGATAAGCTGGCTGGTACTGGAGCCGCAGAGGGTATTGTGCTGGAGCTGGAGCACCGCCGAAAGAGTGGTCGTGGAGTCTTGGAATGGTACCTTCTCCCTCCCGCGTCGCAGTATTCCCCTCAACATGTGAAAGAGGTTGTGACTTTGCTGGATGACAATGTCTTGTACAACCCTCCCATGGAGCCCGATACAAATCCCGATGACGACGAGCCAAAGTCGACTTTTGAACTGGGTCTCACGGACCGTCAACGGCGGGACAGAGAGGGTGTTGTCTTACCATACTTTGACGCGCAGCATGGAGATGGCCCTGGTGAAGGAGGTCGGATTCTCTACGACATGGGAGAAGAAGATGACTTTGACGAAGAGGAAGATGAGATTTAAAAACATATGCATATGAGATCCTACGATGAGCTGCGAGATGACTCGTTTTGGAGTTTGCACATAATTCTGCATTCTAGAGAGAGATAGGTGGATTGTGTCCTGCAACCACCTGGAGGTATTAACTATGCATACATTCATACGATAAGGGGTGTTGAATATTGGAGATGATGGAAGAGGAGCAGCGCTCAGAAGAATCGCCACCACAGCAAAATGAGCACGACGAACCCGACGCCGGCGAAAGGCCCGTACTTTGACTTGATTAGCCACTGAAGTTCAAACCAAAAGAGCTCGGGGGAACAATCTTACCTGCTTCACCAACAATTCCCAGTTGATGCGCACTGCTGCCTTTCGATATTTCTTACTGTCCTCCCGCAGCCGACCGGACAACTCGCCCATGCGCTCCAAGCTGTCACCACGATATAGCAGATCCTCAATGTTCTTGGTCATAACCTTGGTGACATCGCGCAGCTCGTCGTTCAGCTTATCCAGGTTCTGAGAGGCACGGCTATCTTGGTACAGCTTCCTGGTGCGTTGGATAAATGTATCGAACTCGACGAAGGCATAAGGCCGGAGTGTGGGGGAGAGGTATTGTGATTGGGAGTAGGTGGTGGTGAATTCGGAGGCCAGATCAGCGAGATAGGTGAAGGCGAGTTTGCGGGGATAGGAGCGGTCGCAGATGCAGAGGAAGCAAACATCGTCTTGGATCGTGTAGCTATCATTTCAGTTAGGCATCAACTCGATTTGACCACGGTATTCGGTGCCCACGTACTGAAGGTTGTATTGTCCTGACTCGATGCTTGCCTGGGGTGCGGAGTTTCGATTCAATCGCCGGAAGATCATCTTAGCCTGGCCCTTGATCTCAGCCAGCTCTGACTCTGCCTGTCAAACCAGTCAGTCAACCTGGGGCTTCTGGTAAGTATTGTTCCTCCTGATGCGCTCTCACCTGCTCATCATCCACCGAGGCGGCCAGCATAAGGCCTGTTTGCGCATATATCAGTACCGACGAACCCTCACTCAATTTTAGAATCTTCACCTACCATCAAGCCGCGCAATCTGGGTTGACTTTACCATCTTGACGACTGCTGGACTGAGTGACAGCAATTGAATCCCTCTTGTTTAGTCTCGAAACACTCCGGTCAATCGGCCAGAATGGCTGGTAGAAGCGGGGCGGTCGCAAGCGGCAGAAGGGGCGGCCGTTCGGGGTGAGCTGCGCAACGATCCACTCTGGGCTTTGTTCAACCTGGACTCTCACAATTCTATGCTAGACGAGCTACTGCTGCCCGGGCTGGCCAGGCCAATGTAGCAGAAAAACATTATCTGGAAATGTCGTCGCCAGCATCCTCTCCAGCACCAAGCCCCCAGAAGCGAAACTCTCGAAAGGCCGCGCCTCGGGGCAAGTGGAGCGAGGAGCAGCTATTTACGAGCGACAAGTCCGCCCTTATCGATGCCGATCTAGTGGTATGGCCACCAATCCCCCATTCAGGTACCAAGCAATATAGAGTCGCGAAGCTAACAGCATACTCTTACCATAATCTACAGAAGCTCCTAGCTAGACCTGAAGCATGGGACATTCTTGAAGAAGACGAGAAACGGGAGATTCTAGCTCTCCTCCCCGCAGATACCCACCCAGCTTCAGAGCTCCCATCCGACGACCCCAACACGAAAATCCCCCCACTCCCGGAATCGTTCGTTCGATACTCTAATAACTGGCGCGATGGCATTCGTCAATTCCAACTTGATCTCGAGAACGGCCGGTTTGACCCAGAATGGCTGCGCCAGGCTGAGCAGGCGCGACGGAAGCGAGAGAACGGTGATTTTGACTCCTTTAAGGAGCGCGAGTTCGAGAAGTTCTGGGGACAAAAACAGAGGACCCGCGATACTGCGGCGTCCGGCGAGAGTTCAAAGGTTAAGCTCACTCAGCTTATTGAGGCGGGTGTCTTTTTGGTCGGCGATGTCTGGCGGTTCTCCTACTGTTATGGCAAAGGACAAGATCGATTGGTCATCGATAAAGAAGTCAGGGTATGAACTCATCTACCTGGTTACTGTGGAGACTCTGACTCGCTAATCTTCCGCAGATACACGAAATTGGTGACCGAAAGCTTTCGTTCGTGGTCCCTACAGGCCAGCGGGTCTTTCTACGCTCACCTGCGGTTACCGCAGAGCGAAAGGAGGAGTCTGGCCAGAATGATGGCGCTTGCACGAAAGGGCCTCAGGAAGCAGAAGTATCAAGGATCAAGACGCCCGAACTAGAAACTCTGAAGGAAGAGTCTCCGACGAAAGACATTCCGGAGAAAGTGGAGCTTCAACCCATGGAAGGTCTCCAGGAAACGAATCAAAGCCTGAAAGTGGAAGACGCGTTTACAGAAACCAAGCAAGAAGACCTTGTAAACGGCGAGGCAATGGAAGTATCAGCCAACCTGGAAGCCAAGCCCCGCGACGAGAATGGATCGGTCCAAGTGGTGATTGTTAGCCCACGGCATGATCTGGATGCGGCCGAGAAGGGATCCAAGCGACCGACACCCCTCCCTGCTGTTGAGCCTCCAGCAAAACGAAAGCGTGGCCGGCCGAGGAAGATCCGACCTCCTTCACCTGCACCCGAGGCTGAATTTGAGGTAGAAGCCGTGGCTGAACCTGAGCCTGAACCTAAGCTTGAGCTTGAGCGCCAGTCCGGAGTTCAGGTTGTTATTGGTGCTGGCAGCCTTCCGCTCCCACGGACCGACATCCTTTCGCAAATCATTATGCCTGCTGTTAATAATCACGACGCCCTGGATTTGGTCACTAACCCGAGAGAGGCAGAGCCCGAACCCGAAGAGAATCGACCACCATCGTCACTACTTTCATCAGCCCGGCCAATTTCTTCCCCACCATCAACACTGTCGGAACCACCCGAAGGGCGCATTGATGACCTTATGGAGGAGCGCAACGAAGAACCCACCATGGAGTCCACCGAGGAGCTTGTCGAAAAGCCTATCGAAGTACCAACCAACGAGCCTATCGAAGAGCCCATTCATGAGTCTGTCGAAGAGCCAATTCACGAGCCCACCAGAGAGCTCATTGAAGCGCCCGTCGAAGCGCCCGTCGAAGCGCCCATTGAAGAGCAAACTCCAGCACAGATCGAAGAGAACGTCGCAGCACAGACCGACGAGCCTACTGAAGAGCCCACACAACCCCCAATCGAGGCGCAGACTACTACCGAGGAACCAGACGAGATTATCGTATCCGACATCTCATCGCCGATGACCCTGGTCTACAAAATTCTCCAGATCGATGGCCGCAGGCCAGATGGCCGTACAGCAAATTCATGGAAAGAGATTCGGTGTTATCGCAAGAATCAGGACATGGGAAGTCTCTTCGACGTGAGACTAGCTTGGTTCCTCAAGCAGAAGTGAACTTGCACTCCCATCGGACAGCAATGATTGATACTGGGTGCTCCTACTCAATACAAACGATGGCTCTCATGCACAGTGTAACATAAGGATTGAGTTTGCAACTACAGTACACTCAACAGATTCCACCTCCGTGGAAGTGGACATTAGAACAATTTCATTGGGTTATAAATGATAATAAAAAGTGATATCGCCTCTTCGGTAATCCGGTTCAATTTAGATATCACACTCCAAGATATTTCCCACTTAAGTGATAATCTAAGCCGTTGTCTTGGGACAAGTCTAATCAACGTTGACATTAGCATAAAGCCTTCCCAAAAGAAAAGTCATGACTCGAAATGAAGTGCTCACGCATTTCCCCATAGAAACATTCTGAATATGGTACAGCTCTCTGTGCGAAGTGATCGTGGACTTGTCACAGGTCTTTGTACAAATTAGCGTCTCATATTCCCACAAACCCTTCCTATCCGACGAGGTCATGACGGAGGACGTACCTTGCACTTTGACCAACAAGCACACGCAGTATAAGGATTGCCAACTCGTTGGATGTCGCAACCTTCGCATTTGTCTTGGTAGCTAGTGGTATGCTCGGGCTTCTTCACTGGCTTGGGTTGAATCGCGATTGGCTGTGTCATGTTTGCGATAGTGAAGCTTCAAGTAGTAGATGAGACTGTGTGATCACCAGAGTTGTAGATTGTTTTTGGTCGGATTGAAGCCTTCGCTCGGATGCTTTGGGGTATTTATGATGATGTTGTCTTAACCCGGGTGATTTAAGAGCCTCATTATGTATCACCCCCGTGTGTATTTAGGCATCATGATATCAAGTAGGTCAATATGTCTGGCGGGGAAAATCTCAGTCGCAGTGTTTTATGGGTCGCAAGCTTGCCCTTGATTGGGTTGTCCATCCATATCTAAGCAAGCCACCACAGCAAACGGCAGATGGCCAGCGCATCGGGTCCAGGGTGTCTAGTGCATTTTGACAACTGTTCCAATGATAATCACTCGAGAGTGTTGACACCCTTGGCCTAATTTGTCTATACCTAGAGATTGCTGATAGAGTTTATGTGCTCGCCTCCTAATACATTGTTGCATACAGTGCAATATGTGCAGATCATGGCCTAACAAGTGGCCTTATCACACGTTAAGCATCGAGTGAAACCCGGGTTGAGGGGAAGCGTCGGAAAGACAGGGTTAAACAGATGATAATCCTAGCTTATTTATATGAAATTATGTTGATCGGGGATATCTATTTGACGCCTCAAAAAGGTGTTTGACTCGTGGCTCCCATGGGAGGCATAGGCTCCGCATCAGCGGCCACATCGACAGCAAAGCTAGCTTGAATGAAATCCTCGAGCTCCTCGCTAACCGTCTTCAGCTTCTCCTTGACGCTGGCAACACCTTCTTGTCCGACGATATGCCGCGATGGGGGATTCTCATGGCCGGCAATTGATGTGATAGCGTATACCGTTTCCGAGACTAAGACTTCCAGGTGTGCGGAGCTTAATGGTGGATGCATAGAGACAACTTCGGGTAAGGAGAATGGGCCGTTCTCGATCGAGCTCACTCTCGAACTCTCCTCCCTCTCGTTAGATCGATTGGCTGTAGCCGTGTTGCCGAATAACCCCTCAGAAACGGCATCGGGGAGTCGGGGAACGAGGCGGTTGAGTATACCCCGAAACAGCGGCGCATGGTTGTTTGCGGGGGAATAAGCGGGGAAAATGGGTGGGACGCTGGTGACTAGATTGGTGAGAATGCCGATCTCGATGCTGCATTGGACGATGGTGAGTTTGAGGTTGAATGGTGCGATTTCGAATGCCAGGCTCTGTTTGGGAATGTTAGTTTGCTGGTAGTCTGTCTAGTATAGGTAGAACAACTCACATCACAGAATCCTTCAAGAGCCCAGCCAGCAGCGCAGTACATCCCAAGCCCCGGTGTTCCAATATGGGCGGCTATTACTTGTTAGCAGACGGCAAATGGTGCATGCTAGCTACCCGAGAATATCTTACTGATTCCTGACAAGATCATGATGTGACCAGAATTTTCTCTCCTCATATGAGGTAATGCGGCTTTGATTATATTGAGAGGTCCGAAATAGTTCACCTCGAATTGATCGCGAACAAGGTTCAGGGTCTGTGGGGAGGCGGACAGCTCTTCGACGGTTCCAATGAGGGCTGACAGAGGGAGTCAGTGACTTGGAGCTACAATTGAAGTTCGCAAATGATATACGAACCTTGGCTTGTGCAGCACAAGAGGATATCCACTCGGCCAAATGTTGCGACTGCTTGCGCAAAGACTGCCTGGCATTCCCCCATCATTCTTTACGGTAGAAGCTTATTAGTCTATGTCCCTTGCTGTATCTGGCTTCTTCGTCTCCAGAGCTTGAGCTAGCAGCGCGTACCTGATGTCCAAGGGGACAGATTTCATTCGTTGCGTCCATCCTTCGTCTCGATGTTCTTCCACTTCGGCTAGAAAGGCGTCAAAACCGTCTCGGCGTCGCTCGTCACGATCTAGGACCGTATGCGCAAGCCCGAGCAAGACATAGTCGCCATGCGCAAGTACCTGCCGTGCGACTGAGATACCAATGGGCGAATCTCCCGCGGTGATCAGCCATACTCGCGGTTCGCTATGCGACGGGAATTGCGAGCGGGAATCGGGAGAAGGGTGGGTCTCCATGGATAGAGTCGGGGTCAGCGCCAGTGCTTAAGCGCGATACCCATTGCGCGATCAAACAGGGTCAGCGACAAGTTCGCGCAGGTCGTGGTGAGCTGTCGCAGCTCTCAAGTTGAAAAAAGGTCCCTAGAGCTTCTCCGGACCAATGCGGAGAGTTGGAGGGGGAACCGATTAGAATGCCAAGACCCAAGACCCCCCCACGCCCCAAATGTCGCCTTAAGCCGAACGGGCTGCAACCAAGGAGATCCAACCGTAGCCAACCGCTAACTCTTCTGGCCGCGTTGGCCCCCCTTCTTTCTCTTTCTCTTGTCATCTCCCGCCATCGCACAATGCCTGAACAGCGGCAACGCAGAGAGGAGGAGGGAAGCAATGTATGTGGCTTGGTTGGCACAAGGTTGCGGGAAGACGGAGCTGTCCTTTCGAAGCTGACTGACGATCATCTCTAGTCCGGCTTCAAGGGTGCCCTTCAGGGCCTCGGAATCTTTCTGCTGGTGCAGTTCGTAATTGGTCAATACTTCGGCAACAAGCAGAATGCAGCCTCCACCGTCAAGTCGAACAACACGCCCTCGTTTGCGGATCGCGCCCACCCCAGCGAGATCGCTGATTACAGTGCCATCCCGGACCTCATCTCCCCTATCTGGCCGGCCGACAGCGCCATCGATATCAGCATCTATGTGACCCCGTCCATCGTGGTGCCTTCGTTCAAGTCCAAGGATAGCGTGCTTGTGATGCAGGAGAAGAACTTCACGGTTGGCAATTACAGCGACACCCGTGAGATCGACACCACCATCAAGCTCCCCAAACAGGTTCAGCAAAATGGAACTCTCTTTGCACACTTTTTTGTCGCCCGTACGGGACACGAGCTGGATCCTGCCGCCAAGGGTTACAATACCGCTGATGCCGTCCACTTCTTGCGCCCTCTGAACCAGTACCTCCCTAAGAAGAAGGCTAAGAAGCTGAAGAATCTGCTGGCCGCTTCCGAGGAAGGCGAGGAGGAGGAGGTGGATGATACTCCGGACGTGCAGACGGTCTCCTACTACCACCCCAACTTCACTCTCTCCGTGGTTCCCGACTCTGGTACTCAGAGGTTCTCCCAGATCCACCCAGCAGTTCGCCAGTATGTGCAGCTGGAGCGCACTGGTGCCCGAGACCAGTCCGGCAAGAACGGCTGGTATTACCCGATTTTGTTCCTGAACACTTTCTGGCAATTGAAGACCCACATGACCGAGTTGAACTCGACTGTGACCGAGGTGCCTTTGCGAATTTCTCTCAACAACTTGGCCAACTGGAAGTTCAGTATCCTCACCAGCATTGACGAGGGCTCCAAGCAGAGTTCTCGTCAGGCCGCATACGGTGGCCCTGTGCCTGGTGGTGGCGACGGCTCTGAGTGGGAGACCATCAAGGAGGTTCTCTTGGATACCAACATTTACCTCCTAGGTACCACTGGTATCGTCACCATCTTGCACATGGTCTTCGAGACCCTGGCATTCAAGAATGATATTGTAAGCTTTTATTCGCTCCTCCATTATATGACGCCAATGAATTGGATTGCTAACATGGGAATTAATCGTTCAGGCTCACTGGCGTAAGAAGAAGGATAATGTCGGCACATCTGTGCGGACCATTCTGGCGAATGTCTTCATGCAGGCAGTCATCTTCCTTTACCTCATGGACAACAGCGACAACACATCCTGGATGATCCTGGCCAGCCAAGGATTTGGTATTCTCCTCGAAGCCTGGAAGATCACCAAGACCGTCAACGTTCGCCTGCGCCCGCCCCCCGCCTCCTCCTTCTGGTCCTTCTTGCCCTACGTGATTGTCTTTGAAGACAAGCACAAGCTGAGTGAGACTGAGGAGAAGACCAAAGAGTATGATGAGATTGCGTTCCGGTACCTGTACATTATCGCGGTGCCTCTTCTCCTCGCCTATGCCGCATACAGCCTTATGTACAACACCCACAAGTCGTGGTATTCGTACATCATCGAGACCCTTGTCGGCAGTGTCTACGCCTATGGTTTCCTGATGATGGTTCCCAGCCTGTACATCAACTACCGCCTGAAGTCTGTTGCCCACATGCCCGGCAAGGCGATGGCCTACAAGTTCCTGAACACTTTCATCGACGACCTGTTCGCCTTCACCGTCAAGATGCCCTGGCTGCACCGTTTGGCCACTCTCCGTGACGATGTCATCTTCTTCATTTGGCTCTACCAGGGCTGGAAGTACAAGGTTGACTACAAGCGTGTCAACGAGTTCGGACAGGGAGGTGACAGCGATGAGGAGGAAGAGCCCACCACTGCCCCTAAGCTTGAGGAGAAGAAGGAGAAGAAGGAGGAAGAGGCAGTGTCTTCTCAGACCTCTGCCAAGGTTGACAACAAGGCGTCTACCCGCCAGCGGAAGTCGAAGAAATGAGTGTACCCTTTGTGTGGAATAGCTCTCGGTGAAATTTCTTACCATTGATCGATTCTCATAGGGCTTTAGATGTTTGGGACTAATGATTCCGTTGCATTTACCTCACTCTTGCAACTCAGCCATATTGCTGATGATGTTGGGAGTAGGTTGTTTGATCTTCGAGGTTTGGGTCAAAATTCCTCCTTAGGAGCATTGAGATTCAGTTTTCTCGTCGCGTAAATTATTTTAATCATAGAAATTGAATGACCATATTTTCTTTCTCGATCATGACATTCCTGAAAATAGAAAAGTAGTACAGTAGTCGCAAGACTGGGTGATTCTTGAGGTCGAAGGTGTCGGACATAGACATACCGGGTGGGACAGTGTTGACAGTTGCCCGATCGGGTTTAAGCCGATTTCTCCCCTGCACGCGCCCACGTTCAACAGTTTCTATGGGTCTCTTGTACTATCTGATTTAGGCATCGAATGTTCCTTTTTCCTCTTCTTTGATATTTGAATTCGAGGTAACTCGGCAAGCTTTTCCCTTGGCCGCCGAGATACAAAGATTGAAAACGTGTTGTGTCGCCACACGCCTTTTGACGCGCTGTGGTCCAGGGCATGACCACATCGTCTCAGACTAGGCCTGATACAAAGACAGCGACTCAAAAGACTTGACAATAATACCAAAATGGACACAGATAATGGTATTTCCCGAAAATACTTTTTACAGGTGACTTGGGGGCTTAGATTGGACTGACAATTTGATTAGAGAATGGCCAGTCTGGCCGCTTGCTTGATGCCCTTGAGCACTTGGAAGCTGGTAGGGAAACCCAAGGAGATGATTTGATTTCGATTGGGCATATCGCTAATTGATCGGATAGTTGCTTCTGTGCCGGTCAAGCAAAGGTACACTGATGCTGGCCAGCTGGCTAAGACAATTGCATCAGACGCGTACGAGAATGGCATTCCACAAGACGCGCTGGGCCGTTTGCTGAAAGTACTCACGGCAAAGAACCACCTGGATCAGGGAACGACCACAACTTTGGTCAAGAACCTGTATCCGCAAGAGCGAGTCGCCTCGAAGCATGTCACGCAAGTCGTGTGCTGCTTGGGACCTAGCAAATCCAAGCCCAGCCCTGCCACGCAGGCCTTGCTTGTTCGCTGGCTAATCATGACCTATGATCTTCTCGAGGACCGGACACACCTCGGCAAGCTTTATGCAGTACTTTTCAATCATCTGGACATGATCAGCCTGCGGAAGCCACTTTGTCACCTACTTTCCCTGATCACTCGACGAAAGCACGTCAAGCCATTCCGCATTCAGGCTCTGATGGAGTTGATCCAGACTGCGGGCGGGGAAGAGAAAGAACTCATGAGCTTGCTCAAGGTTTTCAAGAATTACTATCCCGAAATTATTATCGGAGATCTTGGTGGCTCGAGAAGGATGGCTCTGTTTTTCAAACACCCCGACCCGGAATGGTCGACCCATGCAAAGTTACTCCAAGACCAGAATCTCGAGAGGGTGCAAGCAGCGCAGCAGTCAAACTATCAAGTCTTGCATCGGGGCATGGTGAAACGAAGCAGGATCGAAGTGGTCATTCCGGTGTTGCAAACCTCTCGAGTGTCGAACAAGCACACCTCTCTTGAAGAGATCCGTGACATTGAGCATTTTGTTGACAAGCTTGACACAATTGAGCTGCCGAATCAGATCATCTCGACTCTTGGCGATGCTATGGCTCAGAAATACCTTCATCTGGTTCAGTCTGAGGCTGCGAACGATCGTCTAGATGAGTGGCTCAAGAGTTTTTTGGCGGATAAGTTGGAGCAAATTCGTGAAGATGATGAGGATGAGCCAGAAATTTTGTCCTATGTCCTGGGTTTCCTTGAAGGATACACGTCGTTCACCAAGGTAAATACTTTAATTCTTCGATCTAGCCATTATGATCTATAACTCTAACAATATTGCAGGAGCTTTTACCATCCGTTCGAGCTTTCCTGGAGTCATATCTCTCAGTATGGAATGGCCGGGACAACCGCGAGCAAGTTCTTCGACTTCTTCAGTATCTTCCAATTGAACCTTACGAGGCACTCCGAGAAGCGATTTTCGCCCCACTGGAGCATGCCATGTTAGACAGTGCTGTCAGCTCTAGGATAGAGCTGCTGAACTTCTACTCTGCATTGATCACAGAATGGGGTGTCAGAATTCGAACGCAGCGATCGGTCTCAGAAGAATCCTTCCCCTCGAGCAAAATCATTGAACATGCAGAGCTCTTAGCGTCGTCCATTCAAGAGCTTGTACCAACTCCTGCTACTGGCGATAGAAGGGACACACCGATCGTTTTGTCGGTCCTCCAGTTCTACAAGTCCCTTGCGGGCTTGTTTTCTCACGCAGCAGGCAACGCTAATATTCGACTAACCGTCCCTATGGCTCCGACGGTATATTCCATCGCCTTCACACCAACCGTTTCTGTTATCTCAGGGCTCAACTCAATCCTGGCTGGTTATAAGTCTTCTTTCGAAGCCTCTCTAGCATCCGACGTCATCAAGCCACCCGACGCTTCCGAGCCACTGTATAGGATAGAGCTGGTCAACCAATTCAATGGCTACGTTATGGACATGTGCAACCTGGTCTGGCGCAACCGCGCTCTGAACACAGAGGACCCCAATGCGCAGGGGTGCTTGATGCCGGCATCAGGCACCGCTGCTCTCACAGCGTACGTCCGCAATGTGAATGAGACTGCTCGGCACTATGATCGCGAAAGCGCTTTCCACGCTACTCTGGCTTCCATATTTTCGCTAAGCCACCACGCCGCATTTGCCAATCTGTCAGCTGCATGCTTTGCTGAAATAGAGGAAAGCCAAAATGTCGCAGATGATCGCCCGAAGCTGAGGAAACCAGCCACCCAAAAGGCATTACAAGCCCTTGAAAAGGATGGTGGTGCTAAAATCACTTGGCAGGAGTATCGGGTTCACATGCTCGACTGGTTGGAGGCAGTGGGAAGCCGGGGAACTAGCGATTTGATGAGGAGTACCATGAAGGCTTTACGGAAGGAATGAGATACGAAAGCTGGTTAGTTATGATGAAATGGAGTCTTTGGTAGTCTCTATCATTTCCCATAGAACGCCGGATCTAAATGCGTGGTATCTCCTTTTATACAAAATATGGTACACAGTCTATGGCATAGACATTGAGCAGGCTTACTAGAACTTCTCCGTAGCATTCAGGTAAATATCCTGAACACTGGGGTCGTCTCGCAAGGAACTGAGAACATCTTCGAGATCCTTCAGCTGCTCTTCATCCTTCACCTCGACCAAGGTCTCCTGATTGGGGTCCCAGAACATCTCCAATTCTTCAATAGTCAAGCCAGACAGTTTGACAAAGGCTTCACCGACGCTTTTCGTTTCAGAGGGATCAGTCAGCAACACCAGGCGACCTTTGTCATCGGTGTTGATATCCATCGCACCAGCCTCAATAGCCGGGTCCAAGAAATCGTCGACATTTGTATCATCCTTCTTCTCCAAAACAACACGGCCTTTCTTTTCAAACAAAAAAGTGGTTGGTGTCACCGTTCCTCCGCCGTTCTTAATTATATATCGAATGTCTTGTAGGACGCGAGCTTTCTGGTCGGTTTGGCACTCGACCACCGCAGCCACTCCGCCCGGGAGTATAGCTTCAATTGTTACCGACTCGAGGGCCTGGCCAGTCAAGCTGAGTCCTTGGCCACGCGCAATGGCTGCTTCGATGATATTCTTGGGGATGGAGGCGCGCTTCGCATTCGAGAGCGCGAGGGTCAGACGAGGGTTGTATTTTGGATCGGCGCCCCATACTTTAGAGATGTGAGCATTAGCGCAGTTCTTTGAGAATCAAGGACATGAATGTGCTCTGCCGCTTACATTGTGTAGCACTGGCGATTTCCTTGCTCATCATCTGGCGTTCTTTGCTCTTGGCCTTGTCATTTTTGGCCTTGTCATGTTTGATCGTGGACCATTTGCTGTGCCCGGACAAGAAGACCGTGGAGGAGCTGAAAGTGCGGCACACATCACAAAAAGGGCCTTTGCGAGATTGTCGGAGAAGATTCCTGTGTAATTGAAGTGCCATCTTGATCTCTCTGAGCTTTTTGCTCCTGATAAGTCCGGGGTCGCGGCGGCACCAAGCTGATGTCCATTTTCTTAGGCAGAAAGACCGGCAGAATCTCTCCTGCTTTCCTACATGTTGCCTTGATACCTTAATATTTAGGCAGTCTTATGGTTCCAGGCTTGTCGGGTTATACGCGCTTTCAATTACGTACAGCTTTACCACTCATTTGCTACTCTCTTGGCAGCCAGTCAAAAGGCTTGAATCAATAATTATTAAATTACTTGTGCGCTTTGTATAAGTCTCTATCACTGCCGCCGAATTCGCTCGCTTTGCCGTGCCAGAGAACTGCAACCCCTCCTTATCCTCACGGCTTCGTCTGCTTCCAGTTCTCGCTGGTCTAGGAGAAGGAGCCCTTACTAGGCCATTGGAGATATCCGTATTCGTAGTAGGATTCATAGGAGAATCCAGGAGGATTCACAGGAGGATTCGAAAGAGATGATTCGTAGTGATATTGCCTAATTTGGAAGTGTATAGGCGGCCGACCGAGCGGTCAAGGAAATACCGATACACATCCACAGCTTGCGGGCCGACAATTTGTCCGATCTCCGCGGACGGTGAGGCCACACGATAAGGAGGGACATTGTTGACCTCATACCTAATACCTCATTACTCCCGCGTTGTTCCCTATTTCCTTTCATTCTAATGGGGATATAATTGCCCTCTAACTTGATACCCGATGTCTGCCTCCGAAACAGCCCCTGCATCCACACCTCCCGAAAATGCGGTGCCAGAGTTGGATATTCCCAAGCTCCATAACCTCCCCTCCGAACAACAGGACCTCTACCTGCTCACCTTCACCTCCGACTTAGTCCAGTACATATCCGGCCTCGATGCGGCGCAGGTCTCCGCACAGCAAAAGTCGCTTAAAAAGGAATTGTTCAAGATCCTGACCCTTTCCTCCCCGACCCTCACACGAGTGCTCCGCAACAACCTAGGACGATGCTTTGGTGCTATTCTGGGGAAAGGGGATCGCGGGATCCTCTTCGAGACAATTACCGATTTACTAGGGATATTGAGTGCTGGAAAGAGCGAAGCTGAGCTCAAGACCAAGTTCGCCGCGGTGCACTGTCTGGGCGAGGTATTTGCGACAGCTGGCGAGAGCGCATTCATGCAATCTAATATCGCAACGGCGGGTACACTTAAGCTACTTAAGTCGGCGAGTAGTCATACCGGCTTGCGAGGAGTTATATTCTCAGTCTTGCGCAAGATCATTGTTGGCATTGGTGTTCCAGTTGACGAATCAGTTGCGCGCGACATTTGGAAACAGGCGCGTAATGCGGTGACCGGCGACAAGGCTACATTCGTTCAGGTTCATGCGTGCCGCTGCATGGAACAACTGATTAATACGACGCCCTTCTTCGAGAACACGAACGACTTCGAAAACTTGAAAACTACCATCTGGAAGGTCATTGATAGCCCGGTCGCACCAGTTCGCCATGCTGCGGCTGCTGTTCTTGGACGAGCCCTGGTCAAGCTACATGTCACAGAAGCACATGTTATTGCAGCACCCAAGCCGAAGTCGAAGAAATCCAAGCGAATGTCTAAAATGCCAACCGCTCGGCCGGGTGAGGAGGACGAGGACGACATGTCTGAATCCTCTGCGACCGCGGTTGCCACGACCAAAAAGGATGCGCGACTGTTCTTCCTTCTCCCCGACCTCCTGCGACAACTATCTTTCCAATACCTGAAGAGTACGACCTCAAACCGCACGCGCGCTGGAATTTGCTTATGTTATAAGTATGTGCTTCGCAACCTGGGAGACAAGATTGTAGAGGAACGGTATGGCCAAATTGCGTCGAACTTGCTGTTTGACCTGCTGAACCATCCGACGGTCACATACAACCGATTCCGACTGCTCATGACCCGCAAGTTTGTCAAATCCATTCTCGAGGACACGATTGGCCGGGAACTCCTTCGGGAGAATAGCCAGCTGAATGCTGCCAGGTGGCTCATCAATGAGATTTTGAAGGACTACCCCCAAGTGATTCAAGAGCGCCGCGAGCCGAGTAAATATACATTGACAAGCACTGTCAGTGCGCTCTCTTCGCTGATCTCATCACTTGGCTCTGCCTTCGCTGTCCTTGCGGATAGCTGCCGTGATGCCTTGCTTCAAGTTCTTCCGCACCCAAGCTATACGGTCCAGATTCATGCGGCGCACAGCTTGCGTGGGTTCGTATTGGCGTGCCCCCACCAGCTTCTCTCGTGCGTCACTATTTGCATGAACAGCTTGAACAGAGAGATCGGTCAGCTCGCTACACCGAGGCAATCCCCACGTCGCTGCGTTGGTTATGCGAACGGTCTCTCCGCAATGCTAAGCACGTCCCGCCTTCAACCGCTTTATGGTGCAGTGGATGTATTCGCCCAGATTTTTACTCAGGCCACGGATCTCTTGAAGATTAGCACCACATCGGAGCTTCGAGTAGCAAGCACTCAGGTCCAGACGGCCTGGATCTTGATTGGTGGATTGATGCCCCTTGGACCTAGTTTTGTCAAAATCCATCTTTCCCAGTTGATGCTGCTCTGGAAGAATGCCTTGCCGAAGCATTTGAGCAAGGAAAACTCGGCTCCACCGAGCACACTGGAAACAAGTTTCCTAGCTCACGTGCGGGAGTGCGCCCTCAGTGCCTTGCTGGTCTTTATGGAGTTCAACAGCAAGCTGATCACTGCTGATGGTGCCAAGAGGATCGCGGGCATGCTGCAGAACACGGTCGAGTTTTTGAATGAAGTACCACGACCAAAGTCCATGGAAGACATTTCACAGCGTTTGCATCCATCTTTGCAGCTAAACGACTTTACGACTATGGTTCGCCGCCGAGTTCTTCAGTGCTTCTCGAAGTTGGTGCATGTCCATCATCCTAGCCATGGGGATATCATATCACAGTCCAACCTTCTGAACCTCGCTATTTCTGCGTTTGCAGACCCGGACACTCAAATACGACCGCTGGAAAGCTCTATCGCGGCTTCAACTGGTCAATTTGACGGTCTGTGGGATCTTTGTGATAACTATGGATTTGGTGTCACTGGACTTGCTCGGGAGTACATTCGTGATGCCCTGACTGGATCGCACGGCAACGAGAATGGCCCGGCGTGGTCTGCCCTTGATTCCGTGGATCAAGCTGTTGATGATGCCTTGACCTTCCCTATCTGCGAAGCCAGTGAGCATGACTCGGTGCTACTTTACAGCTTGCGTGCCGGTGATTCTCTATGTGTGGATCCACCTACTACAGGAGTTGTCAATGCGGCAATTGACCTGTTCTCGGTCGCCATTGCTCTTCACTCGCCCAAGATGCAGGAGAGCAGTGTAGAGCAAATCGCCACTTTCCTGTCCTCGCCGGCCCTTCAGAGAAACCCTGGAAGAAGAGCCGCATTAGTGATTAACATTGCGGTCGCCTTGCTCCACGCTTTGAAGGTGGCAGTCAAGGAAACCGATTTCGTGGCTGGAAAGCTGAATTCTTCTACGGACAAGATTCTCCAGGAGCTCATTCAGGTATGCGAAGCTGGCTCACTTTTCTAAGATATGAGAATATTTGACTGATATTTGGTAGAAATTCGTTGTCGACGCCGACCCTATCGTTCGCACTATCGGAGTTGAGGCTTTAGGGCGCCTCTGTGATAGTGCTGGGAATGCATGCACGAACACGCAGGTCAATTGGCTTGTTGACACTATCGTTGCGAACAGGGAACCAAATGCCCGAGCCGGCTGTGCCGCTGCTTTGGGATGCATTCACTCACAGATCGGTGGTATGGCAGCTGGTCTGCACCTCAAGACCATCGTCGGCGTGCTGATGTCTCTTTGCAATGATCCTCATCCCGTCGTGCATTTCTGGGCTCTCGGAGGCCTGGAGAGAGTAGCAAACTCTGCTGGACTGACCTTCTCTCCATTCGCCTCCAGCTCGTTGGGCATGCTTGCCCAGCTCTACAATGCCGACACCCACAACGAAGAAGCAGCCGCACTCGCAACTTCAAATATTGAAATGGCTTTCCTGACCCCGGTGGTCATCAGTCGATGCGTGGACTCGCTGATTAACGTTCTCGGCCCAGATTTGCAGGACGTCACGAAAACCCGCAACTTGATCCTTACCCTGCTTCGGCAATTCCAATTAGAGGAGAACCCCGCATTGGTTACCGAAAGTTCCAAATGCTTGGATCACTTCTCTCTTTACGCCCCCAGCTTTGTGGACTTCGCTGGATATGTCAAGCGCTTGCAGGGCGAGCTCCGTGCCAGCAACTCTTTGATGAGAGATGTCGCTGTTCGTGCACTTAGCAACTTGATGAAGAGAGATGCTACTTCTGTGGTGCAAACGGCCACCGAAACGCTCCAAGATGACATTTGGCTTGCATTTGATGATGCACCGGATAACAGAGCTCTCAAGCGAATGATCCAGGAATGGCTACAGCAGACTGCTCTTACTGAAACTGAGTTGTGGATCCATCGCTGCCACAACATCATGACGAAAACGCGCACTAAGGTCGAGGCAGCACCCACTACTGCAGTCCAAACCGCTGCAGCTGACATTGCTGACGATGAAGTCGCTGGATTTGCGTCTGCGGCTGCCGGTGACGGCCAAGCTGATCCTACCAGTGATGGAGTCTCTGGCCAAGAACTATTGAAGTGGCAGACTCGCAATTTCGCCATGAGCTGCCTGTACGAGCTGCTGGCAACTGTGCAAGAAGCTATCTTGCCCGATCAAACCATTCCAGCCGAACTGGCGCTTCAAGCCAAGGTCGGAGACATTGTGCGAATGGCGTTTTCTGCGTCCACTGCCAATGTCATTGAACTGCGGGTGTGGGGTTTGAAGATTATCGATCAAGTCTTGACCATGTTTGGAAAGACTCCGGACCCAGACTTTGCCGAGGCGTCTCTTCTTGAGCAATACCAGGCCCAGATTGGCTCTGCTCTCACACCCGCATTTGCGGTTGACTCCTCTGCCGAGCTGGCATCTGAGGCAATCAATGTCTCGGCCACTTTCATCGCCACCGGTATAGTGACGAACGTCGATCGCATGGGCAGAATTCTGAAGCTTCTAGTCCTTGGCCTGGAGAACTTTGCGAAGAACCCCGATACCACCGAGATTGGCGACTTGAAGGGCTTGAACTCTAATGCGCGTGTCATGGTTAAACTTGCCCTCTTCTCTGCATGGGCTCGGTTACAAGTCGCAAGCATCGAGCAGGAGTATCTTAACAGGGTGGTTCAACCTTATATTGCTGGACTTACGCCCCTTTGGCTGTCCTCTCTCCAAGAGTATGCCCGCTTGCGGTTTGAGCCGGATATTTCGGGCGCTTTGGGTACGAGTACGCAGAGCAATGATTTGGATGAGGTTTACGCTGCATTGAACCGTGAAACATTGCTCAAGGTAAGATTTTCTCCTTTGCAATACTGATCCAAGTACTAATCTTGAATCTATAGTTCTACCAAGACACCTGGCTCAACCTAGTCAACGCCATTGCCGGTCTTGTTGAAAAGGACATTGATTTCGTTTTTGATGCTCTGGACGGCAAATTGCAAATCGCCGAGGAAGCAGACAAATCTGACAACGCCGAAAAGAAGAGCGAGGAAGACAAGGACAAGGTTGTAACAAATGGCGAATTCAAGGGCAAAGGCGACAGCATCAACTACCGTGAAGAGCCGGTTGCCTTTTTCTTTGTGTTGTTTGGTCTTGCGTTCGAGGCACTTGTTGACCAGTCAACTTTAGCCTCTCAGCGCCTTGAGATTCTCCAGGCTCTCAAGCGAATCTTGAGACCAATCATCTCTGGAAATGCGATCTACCAAGACGCCATTTTCTCCGAGACCATGGACACCTTCGATCGTCTTGTGCTGACTGAGGCGATCCCCATTCAGACTGTCATTGTTGAGATTGCACAGAACTTGTCTTTGGATCACCCGGCAGCACAGAGCGACCAAGAGCGAAGCGATCATCTCTCGGATGACATCGAGCAGCTCTTTGAGTTGACTCGAAGCATCATTCTTGTCCTTGCTGGCATGCTTCCTAACCTCCGTGAATCGACTCCCATGGCACGTTTCAATGTGACGTCGGATGATTCTCTTGCCCTGATTCGCTTGGCCCTCGGGTCACTCGTTGACGTTGCGTCAGTCTTCCCGTCAATCATTCGCAATGATCTTCACGCCTGTATACTGCATATCTTCACCACCATCCTCGCTACCGGTATCTGCCAGACCGAGGTTGTTCCGCAAGCCCTTCCCATTTTTCGACAGTTCGTCCAGAGCATTACCCAATCCTCCGAAATTCCAGAGGACATCGACGTGGTTGCTTTCCAACTGCGTGGCTGCCTGACTCGATTCCTGACCATTCTCACGATCGCCCAGCGCCGAGAATCGGACTCTTCCATTCCATGTGCTAAGAATACCCTTTTGGCCATTGCTTTCCTGCTGACGGCCGGTGGACACGTTCTTCCACCCCAGGACCCGGTCATCAAGCGCGTACTCGACGAGCTGCTTGATTGTTTACAAGATGTGGGGCTTGCGACAGTGGCTGCCAGCTGTCTTCGATCCATCCTTACCAAGCCGGGCCCGCGCTACATGACGGACGATATGATCGCCCACTACCTTATTCCACGACTAATTGCCTTCCTCGTCAGCTGTCCCACTGATTCTGGCGAAGTGCCCAACGACCCCGAGAATTCTCGCATGGTTATTGCACGTACCCTTGTATCGTGCGCGACCAGCGCGACCATCTCACCAGCCGCAATGCCTACCAAAATCTCTCTGGTTATGTCTGCCCTCCTGGCACGCGCTAGGCGGGAAGGCCAATCCGTTCACCAGGAGTCAGCCGCGTATCTACTTGAGCTCGCCAAGGCGGACCAACTCATCTTCCGCACGTTGGTGGCCAACATGAATGCAGAGCAGAAATCTCTTTTGGAAGAGGTCCTTCGCTGTGCGGGTATTGGCGCTGGAACGTCGAAGTCGGGTGATGCGGAAGAAAATATGCAACAGGCTGCGCCGACTATCGCACTGCGGATGGATTTCTAAGTCGCTGATTCGTTATTGCTAAGACGCAGGATTCCAATGTGCTATTTTGTGCACAGATGAGGATATGATATGATGTGATGCACAGTGCGATGGAATTGTATAGACCATAAGTGATGACGGTGCTCTATGAGCACAATGAAAATAGATTTTAATATGACTCTTTTGCTATGTCGAATCTCCTCATCTTGTAAATACTATTTATACTTCCTATTGAAGAAGCGCGGTTTTTCTCTTTACTCCTAGTGAAAACCTCGCTGTCGACTGCCTTGTTAGCCGTGGTATTTCAGTGTTCTATTAAATCTCCACGTTTTCCTCATCGGGAAGTTCGGGGCGCGCTTATCTTATCCAAAATCAGGTGACACCAGGAATTACCAGGAATGCGGTTGGTTCGACAAAATGCACCAGTTCGCCATTTAGCCCTCAATGGTTTTCAATCCACTCATCCTTCGTTTTGTGTAAGAGCGGGGGTAGGGATCTTCACGCCATTCTTGCCTGGCCTCAGCATGCCGCCAGACCGGGGTCGCGCCTCTCGGGCGTGTGCTTCATGCAGGAAGCAGAAGACACGCTGCTACGAGCCAGGTACCCCCGGGCGAGCCTGTTTGCGATGTGAAAGATTGCAGCAAAAATGCTCACTGGCGCCGCAGGCTGACAGCCCAGAGGAGGAACGGCAGCAGCAGCAGCAACAACAACAACAACAGCCTGTTCCTTCGCTTGGCACTGATGCTCGGTATGTACTCTGATGATCTTTGTTGTGCTCCGCTGGGTTTAGTAGCATGATCATTGACCTATCTTTATAGCCTGGAGCGACTCGAAAGAACAGTGGCCACTTTACTTGATCGGCTTGGGGACGGCCCCTCGAGTGCTGATCATGAATTAAGCAGGCCTGGAAGCGTGTTAACAACTCCAGACCCTGGCGATCAAATCTACCAGGAAACGGAGAGTGCCGCGGCTCCGATTATGGTCATTCGTGATTTGGCCAATGATACAAGAGTCGAACCATCCCCAGAGACCAAGTCCCTGGGGGCGGTGCTGGACGATCTCATCTCGCCAGATCTTGCGTTGACTCTACTCTCCATGTATGACATGCCCCACAAATGCCTGGGCTGGACCCACCAAAAGCGATTTCATGGATTTGAATTAACTATTCAGATTTCTCGAGTATTATGGTAGATGGATCATTTTTGATCCCGAAAGCGATGCTGCCGCGTTATTACCTCGTGTGCGGAGATCTCCGATTCTTTTCTGCGCTTGCTGCTTGATCGCAATACGACATACCTCGGAGGAGCTGGCGGCGATTTTGGCTCCTAAGCTGTATGAATGTGCTCGCTCTCTCGTGTCGAGTATGCTCTTGACTACTCCGCAATCTGTCGATTTTTTTCAAGCAGCTCTGATTTTATGTATGTGGTCGACTACCGTGGGGCAGGTCCCCTTGAGCATCGACAGTTGGCTACTCAGTGGATTCGCATTGCAGCACTCACAGTCTAGTCCAATTTTTGCCGTGATAACGAACCAGTCTCATCGGTATACAAAGATGGATGAAGTGACATTGGATCATATTTGCTTGTGGAATCACCTATGCCTTGCACACTTACACTACTGTGTTGGGACGAGTCGGAGGTCAACGTTGCAAGCTTGGCAGATTGAACGTTGCGACGCCATTCTTGGCTCTGATCATGCGATTAATTTTGAAGTGCGAATGGTTGCCGAGATTCAACTATATTGGACGGTCTATGGGTATCTAATCGATGACTCGGTCGATCTCCACACGTCAACAACCGCTTTAAAGGTGTGGAAGAAGAAATGGAGAGGGATTCTGGGTAAATCGATTACACGTTTCCGGCCTCGTGGATTGAAAAATACTAATAGCTTATCCTTCAGAACAACCTCGATCACAGTTCCTGATGATGGGCTTTCATTTTTCTAATCTGCTCCTTTACGAGCATGGTCTGAAGGGCAAAGTTGTCCACAGTCAGGACCATCTTGTTTCCGAAATGGCCCGCCACTCCACTGCAATTGTGCGCTTGGCTATGGACACGGTAGATGAGCGAACCCGTCACTTGAGCGACCACATCTACCACATGATCACATTTGCTGCGATTATCATCTGTCGTCTATTGAACAACTACGAAACGCAACTCGGCTTGACGCACAATATTGCGGAGCTTGACTCCCTGGTCCTTAGCCTCGTTCAATGGCTTCACTCTATTGGGTTACCATGTCACGCGGCGCATACCTTGGGGAATATTATCGCCAAGGTACACCAGAAACTACGACCTCGTGTGGAGGCAGTGCCGGTCACTGCACCCGCGGATGAATTTCCCCCTGAAGAAAATTTTACGAACTACTATTTCCCCGAGTTTTTGGGTATTGGACCATCGGCAGATGGAACCTGGGATTTGTTGTCTGATCTGAGCTTCCTGCCGCAAGGCCCGTCCAGCTCGTGATATCATTGCATACCATGACAATAGAGGAATGACAACGAACAAACGAATGCATCTTGGGACGAATAGAGCCGCATCTCATGATCTATCACTCTCTTGACCCTTCACTGGCCCCCATATCGCTTCTCAATCCAGCGAAAAACGGGGAATACAAGGCCAGAAAACGCAAATGTGAGCTCATGGCCGATGTTCGCCCCCTTTGTCCCAATTAAGGATGCAATTGGCCCACTGTACCATGCCACCTTCATTCCGAGAGCAGCTCCTAGAAACCCGAACGCAAAGGCTCCTATTGCCGCCCATCCAAATGATAACAGCGCCGGGTTATTCCAAGCATCAAAGTCATATGCCTTCCATCCGCGCCGAAATATGAAATGCTCCTCCAGCACCACGGTTATATGGATCACTGTCCAGTATCCGATCACACTTAGCAGTGTTTGCAAAGTATCTTCGAAGTACTTTGCGGCGCAGCAACCAACGATGATAGCCGCTACGAAGCCGAATGTGACCAAAATGACTCGGGGCACTCTGATGGCCCACGAGCCGAGATTTTGTGCATGGAGCGCGAAGGAATAGTTGTTTGGGATGTTGTTCTTCAATCAATTATCAGCTCGAGAGATCGAAATGGTGCCCACCAATTGCTGAATGAACTTACTGGTATCGCACTCAGAGCTGCAAAGACCATGAGGAATTTGCCGAACCCCCCTGCGGGCTGCAACGCCATCGAAAGCAGTCCACCAATTGAGGAGGATGAATACGCTTCCTTCCATTCCGGATTCGTGACCGTCCCGCTATACATCGCTGCTCCAAGTGATTGCACCAGCACAGTGGGAAAAAAGATGCCAACATATGTAGCGCCGAAGATTTGCCATCGGGGCGTATCATGGGGCATGCGAACATTGTAATCTGCTGCACAGTTGACCCACGAAACAGAAAAGGAGAAAATACTGGCCGTATAAGTCAAAACAGCGGCAGCCTTATTCGCACCTTCTAATGCCCGAGGGGCTTCCGAAGTAAACGAAGATGCTCCTGTCCCAGCAGCAACACACCAGACAATCAAAGGAGGAATCCAGATGAACGCATCCAATCGATGGATCCAGGTGATACCTAGCGCGCAAATCACCCACACGAATGTACATATGACGATAACCCCTGCCCATGTTGGAAACTTTCCGTTCGACAATGCGTTGAGGACCGATGCGCCGGAGATCGAGTTGATGGCGTTCCACCCGGTGGTGGCGATCATAGAAAACACGACGACGAGCATGTTGCCCCAGTATCCGAATGAGTATCGCCTGTGGTATGTCAGAGATCTGAAAGACATTCATTTGAAGAAGTGATCACATACGAGAAGGTCGTCATTCGCAATCCAGTCAACCCGAATGTAGCTGTCCAAGCCGGCAAGAGATCACTGGCGAGGTTCACGAGAAGAATGACTAGAAAACTGTCCCAGAATGCCAGGCCAAGTGCGCCACCGAGAGAGCCAATATTCAGGGTTGCAACAGCCATATTTGCGCTGAACCTAAACCATCATACGCCGTACATCAGTCCAGACATTCATAAATTGGAAGAAATAGATGGATATGTACCAGAAAGTAGTTGCATTCCAGAACTTGGTCGTATTTTGATGTCTTTCTTCATCAGTCACTCTCTCAATGCCGCCTTCTTCAATAGAAAGACGTCTAGGAAACCATGATTTAGTGTCCTTTGTAGGGTTTATATCAGATTGCACCTTATTAGGTGATTCAGTCGAAGAATCCATTATGGAAAAAGATAAACAGTACTCGTATAGCCCTCACAAGACTGGACTTGAACCGATACTCTTCGTTCTTCCTCGCCATTTCCTCGAGGATCTGACTCCTTTCTATACTTCCACGAAACATGCCCTGTTCAATTTTCTATCATCCTATTCTTCTCATTTTACTACCATCCTGCGATTAGCATATCTATGGCGAATCTGATGCCATCCTGTCAGTCTACCAGCGATGGTTGGCTGCCGGCTTATCTCGCCGCGGCATGCCGCGGCATGCCGGTCGGCCAAGCCCTGATCACGAACAGTCAACAATATGGGCTCTATTCTATCGGGTGTATAAAATATTGCCTATCTGCTATTCAAAGGTACGTTTTTGATCAAAATCTCTCCTCTCTCTCATCCATTTGCTAAGAAGTTCACAATGGAGCAGCACACCCTCCGCCGCCGAGGCCTCGGTCTCCGCGGTGTCGACGAACAACGAGTCTCCCCCGGTTACGTCCTCTACTCTCCTCTTACCTCAAACACGGCCCATCTCGTCTCAACTTCCGGTAAAGAAGTTCACCGTTGGACTCTTCCCCACCGCGCTGGTCGGCATTCCCGCATTCTACCCAATGGATCCCTGGCATACAATGGCGTCCACCCGGATGCTCCCCGGCTGTTCCCCATGTGGGCCAAGTATCGCGGCGGCGTCATGATACAGGTTGATCCGTCGGGCATGATTCTTCGACAGTATTCTGATCCTTACGCCCATCATGACCAGAATCATCTCGATGATGGAACGCTGCTCTATACCACCCTTGAACCTCTCACGGCTGAAGAAGCGGCTCGTGTGCGTGGCGGTATTCCCGGCAGTGAAGCACCCGGAGGTATCATCTACGGTGACTGCATTAGGCTGGTTGATCCCTGGTCTGTCTCCAATACATCCTCCTCGGCCGACTTTGATGGGGGCAATGGGACTGGTGGTGCCAAGCTGCTTTGGTCCTGGCGGGCGATTGACCATCTCGATCTCGAGGCTTTCGCCGCTCACCCACACTACGCACGCGAACACTGGCCTCTGATCAACAGTGTCAGCTTTGACTCGGAGGGAAACATCATCGCCTCGACACGCAATGCCTCCGGAGTCTTCATCATCAGCCGAAAGACCGGAGAAGTTCTCTGGCATTTGACCGCGCCAACGGTGTGCCAGCAACACTGCGCACACCAAATCAATTCAGCAGGGGACATTCTCATCCTCGATAACGGCGTCTTTAGACCTGAGATTTCCGTGCCGTTTTCACGGGCTATCATTGTCTCGCGCCATAAGCAGATCAAGTGGGAATACAAGGATACAACGACTGGTGGTCTGGGTTTCTTTACTCCGTTTATGGGGTCGGCGCAGAAATTGGAGAATGGGAACGTGTTGATTTGTGAGGCGGCTACTGGTCGGATTATTGAGGTTACTGAGGGTGGTGAGGTGGTGTGGGAATTTGCTGTTCCGCAGTTGCAGGATTACAAGGCTGTTATGAGTAAGGATGAACTGGAGGAGATGGAGAGGATTGGGTTTTCGAATCAGAGTAATGCTATCTTCAGGGCTTATAAGTATCGGCCTGAGCAGGTACCTTGGGTGAAGGAAAACTGACCTAGCGGAGAAGAAATAACGGAGGTGCCTCATGATCGAGCTGTATCGAGATCAGGATGGAAGTCCACGTCTCTGTCGATGCAGTGTTCAATGGTTTAGAAATGAGAGATAAAGTGAAAAATGTATATTTAGGGTATCAGATATCTATGTTGGTAATGGTACAGCCCGTCTCCGTTGTGAAGACAGTATTGAAACACAAAAGAAAGGGGATAGATGCAATAATTTGTACAGGGTGGGTTGAAACTGTAAAGAGTGTCGTATCGTCTTTGTTGAAAATAAGGGAAAGGTTAACCCAAAGCTTCACCAAGGTGTGCCTCGACGACAACAGGTGACATCTCGGACTGGACTCCGGCATCGTGGACAACCCGAGTTTCAGTGGTGATTTCCTTAGTAACAGGCTTTTCAACCTCCTTGACTTGCTTGGGCTCCTGGACTCTGCGTACAGAGGAATATTTGAGGAAGACGATGATCATGACTGGAGAAGGCAGTTAGTACACAGCATCAGACACTTTTGAGGCCGCGAAAACTTACAGGCACAGATGCCTATTGTCAAAGCCGCGCGTCTTGTCAGAACCCAACGCAGACCCTCGATCTCACTCTTTCCATCGCTGTTGAGCGAGACAGTGATCTTATAGTTCAACTCCTGAACCATAGTATCAATGATGCGCTGGTTCTCACGCGTGGCCATCTTATGGTCATTGAACATGCCCTTGATGTCATCCTTCATACCGGAGAGCTCCTGGTTGAGGCGCTGGGACAAGATATCCGTTTCATGCTCCAGCTGTGTCCGGGATGCACGCTGCCTTTGAACCTCGGAGTTCCGTGCAGTCTGCAAGGATTGTTGTAGCTCCGAGCAAGCTGCTTTGAAAAGATACTCTTCATTCTCCACGTCTGACTTGGAGGTCAAGCTCTGCTTGGCGAAGTCGAGGTTATTCTGGAGGATGGTGCGGACTGCTTTCATGATAGTAATAGACTGTTCGCTGCTGTATCCGCCCTTTGAGAGATCGAGAACAAGGGAGTAGGTATCGAAATGGTGTACGTAAGGCGCCGGGCTCATGTGCGGCGGCTTGTGTGACGCTTGCGTTTCCGTTTGTGTGAGGCCTGTGGGCGGGGAGGGCATGTGGTAGACTTCTTCGAAAGCGCTGCGATTCATGTATGGCGGCATCTGAGACATCTCCTCCCCGACTTCACCGGATGCAGACATGGAGGGTGGAGGGGTGAAGGCATTAGTTGTCTCGGTCTCGGCGGAAGCGTCATGCTCATCGCGCGCTGGTTCCAGTATGGCGTGGTGTTTCGTTGACTCGGCGGCAGCTTGCTCCGACGCATTAGAAGCAGCAGCATCTGCGCTGTCCGTGTGAATGTTCTCCGGAGGTGATTGTGACTCCGACTGCGATTTCTCCGGAGGTGATTGTGACTCCGACTGCGATTGTGATTGCAACTCTTCTGACACTGGGACATTTTGTTCCGTCGTATGAGCTCCCTCCTTTCCAGTCACTGCTTCGTCCGGGTTCTGAGTCGATTGGCCATCCTTGGGCCGGGATGGGGGAGGCAGGTTGCGCTCAACGGCTGGTCCATAACGCCGCTGGTAGGTTTCTTGCCCCCGTCGGCGGGTAGTATGGAAACCGTGTCTGAGCCCGGCATATCGAAGAGATCGATACGTGTTTGGTTCGCATGAGCGAACAGCACGCATCAAACTCGGGTAGAGGAACGGAAGCCGGGGCGTGGCCATGGTTGAGATTTGCAGAAGTTAGAAACATTTCCCGTCGGCGAAGTCCAAGTGACGTTGTCCCCCGCGGAAACGAAGATTAGGTAAGCATATCTCTGCCCGCGCTGATTAGATAAGACATAGCCTGGATCCTATCCATCCACAGATACCTGGTACAGCCTCATTTGAATCTTTTTGTTCTACTAGTTCAAGCGAACGGGGTCAAAATCTGGTCTATTCTCTCCCTATCTCGACATGAACCGAAGATAGCAATTCATCGTAACAAATTAGGCTTTATCCTGATATTTATTGGCCCAAACTTCTCAAAAGAACACTTTGGTATGCTCTGCATTATCTTGTTGTTCAAGTCAGACGGATATTTGATTCAATCATTATACCTAGTAGAGAGTAGTAACTATGGAACGTTCAAAGCCGGTGCTGATGGCTTACCAAGACAATATGTCCCGTTCAGGCCGCCTTAAGGAAACTTTATAGATCTTTCCCTCTTCATCCCGCGCTTCCCCAGTATCACCATTATAGACGGGAATCAAATGCTGAGGAATGGCAGCTAACAAGTATATAGCAATACCCGGACCGGGCGAACGTGAAACTTGTAGTAGATGATGGGGTTGATGAGCCTGTGATTTTCAAGATCGTTAAAAAGGAGGAAGGTGAGGATCCGGAGGAGGGATTACAAGTCGTGATAACATTGGCCATGACCCCCAGGCTTGACTAAACAGGAAGTCAGCTTTCCCGGATAGTATAGCTAAATGTCTACGCATATCTCGCCCGTCATTTCACATTCTGTCTTGCGATTAGCCTTAGCCTATATTAACTAGTTTTGTTACTTCTTACTAGAACGTTAAGATTCGATAGCTCTGAGGGAGCACAAACCACCACCAAAAATGCTGGAGAGGCTCATTCATCAGATGTTTGACTTCAAGTGTCTGTTTACAAAGGAGGACACGAAAGGTAAGAGGAAAGACAGTCGGCGTTGGGGTATGGAAGGGACAGAATTCGCCAGGCCGTTTGAAATCGCTAAGCTAGAGACAAAAGGTATCTGAGGGGGATATGACATGACATGAGATGAGTTAACATTATTTTTGTGAGTTGAGATAATTGTTGTAAGTTGGTATGATTGTCGTGAGTTGACATTGACTGAAATCCACATCAGTTTTGGCCTCCGCGAGCGTCGCTTATTTCATTGCAAATAGTGACAGTTGGCGACCGTCGCATTGAGCCGGCGCCAGCAGTTTTGGGCAGCGATCCACTCCTTCTCCGCATCTTCCCTGTACAGTGGGAGACTTGTTTCCCACTCAACATTCGACGAACCCCCCCGGGAATCCATTTCTATGGCAAGCGAGTCGCATCCTCATCGACGGTGAGTCGTCCAATGTGGACGAGGAACGATTCCAAAAAGCGAATAATGTGAACGCGGTGGAGTCGGCCTTGCTCAATCATCTTGCCTTGATGGTGGCGAAGCTCAGCTTTCAGGATGTCGCATCTGGTTTCGAAGCAGGCAAGGATCAAACTGATGCTTCTCCGGCATCGAACATTTCCTCCCGCTTCTCTGAGCCTGTCGATGTCTTTGGATAAAGGTCCTTCAGAGACTGAGCGATGTCGATGATACCGATTTCCTGGGGCCTTTCTCGAAGGGCCACGACCATCTAGTGTAGACTTTCCACGAGGGACTGTCGAAGGTCCACGAAAGAAGTGGGAGTGCGTGACAACATGGAGGGCGAACGTGGATGGAGGTGCGAGGCTGATCAAATTAATCAATTGCTCATGGTGATGTTGTGTAGAAAAGTAATTTTCAAAACAAGAGTGTTTAGATCCTCGATGCTGGAGGCGATGTGAGAGTTGTCTAAATTTACGCTTGCGGCCATGCGAGGTACATCGAACGACAAACAAACATTGTTTGGACTCAAGTCCTCACGCATTTTTCGTGATGCTCTTTGATCTTCCGAGCACTTCTGGAGAGAAAGAAGGCCTTGCCCCAGCTGGCAATCCCCGGCCAACATCCTGCAAGGCCAAAGAAGACGACAAACCCTGCAAACATATCTCGAGGTCAAAGGGAATCGAGCTCAAAGGGATCGAGTCATCAACCATGATCGTAATCACCATGTGAGCTAACTCTAAAGGTCTGTTTACAGCTGATCTTGAATAGAGATGCTGTCACGTCATTAAAATTAATATTCACTCGGAAGAGCTATGCTTCTATATAACAAAATACCGTCCACAATTATGTGCAACACGTCTAGATCAAACAGAAATCAAGTATATGTATAGCACAGCCCATATCCCGTAGGATTCATCACTTCACGGACCTTACGCGGCCGATCTAGTACCCCGAACTCCATCGTCGTGTTTAGCATAACCGGCTGGCCCCAAGGCGGGTTCAGAATGTTCGTAGTACCATTAAGGGCATATCGTCTGTTCTTCTCATCTCTGCTTTGCCACATCGCCCATAACCGATCAATCATACAATGATGCAGCATGAATGCTGGATCCTGCGGCGACGCGAATAAATCTTGCATGGTTGCCCCAAGGCTGAAGTGCCCTCCGCCGTGAACACCCAGGACACCATCTGGCCGCGGTGGCCAATGGTCCATAACCGTTTGGAAATCAACAATATCTGTCGAGGCTAGGAGACGTGAAACAATAGTCTCGTTGTTATAATGTGATGTGACGAAGTTGTTTAGGCTTCGGTTGAAGCAGCGTGGGTTGTACTCGAATTTTGGGGAAGGGATCTCGGTAAATGAAGTCAGATCGCGAGAGAATGGGCCGAGATGAATCTGTAGGTCTTTGAAGGGTCCGCATCTGACGCAGCCTCCACCCGAACCACGGGGGATAGTCATGTTGCCACCGGATATGGGTTGCTCATCCGGGTTGTATTCTCCATCGCCAGAGAGGGAAGTCTCGCTGCAGTCGAACAGGGGACTTTTCTTGAGGTCGTTTGTCCAAAGAGGCCAGTTCCAGTATCTGAATTGAGAGGCATGGTCAGTTTAAAGATGCATTCTAGATGGCGTGGTTTCCTTACGGGAGATAGCCTGTATAGCCACATTCTTCTCGGAGAGCTCGCTCCCATAGCCAGGTGAAACGGCGGTGCCACGGAAGAAACAACCCGCTATAGTGGACGTGGAGGGTGTTGTTGATGTGTGTACTGTGAAAGGTCAGATACAATTGATCACGTATACGTAGCACATCAGATCCAAATACGCACGCAACAAAGTCATCAAATCGGCTGCGAACCCCAGGGTATTCTGCAGTTGAAAGTCGAGGAGGCTTTCGAGTCATACATAGCACGGCATCGGTATAGCTCTTTCGCTCAGCTGGAGCCATTTCCCCCCTAAGATTTATCAGTCATATTTCCCATGTATCTCAGTGAAGGTAGATAGGTATATTTTACCATTCTCTACGTATCGCCGTCTTGTCCGGTGTGCATGACTGTGATATGGGGAGATAGATCGCCGTGGCCACCTGCGCAAGGACGCATAGCAGCCAAATGGAACTGCGCCGGACCATAGTTGGGGAACGTCTTGGGGTTGAGAGCATACGTCCTCGGAGTGGAATTTAATTGTCCCAATTTTTTTTGGAAGGGGGAGCTTGTTATGTATAAGTGAGTTGCTCTAAAAATAATCAGCCCCTGCCTCGGGCTTAAAAAGCTCTATTTGAAGAAATTGACCTTCGCTTCTCCGTACAGAACCTACACTCGGTAAACAGGTTCTTCGATCTCCACCACAGACCTATTACAGGGATGTCATCTTGGCGAGTCGCGTTAGGATGCCTAATTAATACCAAGGGGGCTATCGGGTTCTTCGACTGCGCCTAGATGCGATTTGACGTTTTGGTCAATGTGCATATGATAGATCCACGGAATTGAACCCTATCTTCGCTGCTGCATGACACATAACGAATCCCATTGTTGACGGAAAAAGCATGAGTTTGGTGGCCCCATTTATTTTCGCAAGGGGTTCGTTCGTGGAGCCCCAAGTCCCTGCATATGACAACTCACACCGGCGTTGATAGGCAAGACCATGTGGATTAATTCCAGGATGGCTCAGTCACATGGCAAAATGCTCCTTTTGTTGTGATTCGGGCCCATAAAATGATCTCATCAGTATGTGGACTCAGTTCCATTAACTCCGAGTCGGATGATGCGCAGGTTGGGGGTGGACCTGGTAGTTACGAGACAATGCCACTGGCGATCACAGGCCACACGACCTCTTACACAGATAACCAAGTTAAGAGAGGAATATGCCCAGGTTTGAGTAAAGTAGCGGGGAACGATATGTGTTGTCCCCAAAATGAGATGGAACAGAGCTGTACTCAATGCTATGCTAACAAATCGCTAAACAGGGTAAGGGGAAGAAAAAGGTACAGGATCATGGATGCATGTATAGAACAAAGTATGAGCACTCAGCGCTCCGCCAAGAGACCAAACAGCAGCTCTGTTCGCTTCCAGTATTCTTGAGCAGACTTGCGGATAGCCTTGGCAGCCGCGACGCTGGGGTCGGCACTCTTGTGAACTCGCTCCACGACATCAGCCAGCTGAGTCGAGTCGCCTAGCATGTTTGCCAAATAAAGGGCATCAAAGAGCAGCTGCACTTTCCAATCATGCAGATCCTCTGCCTGCGTGGCATCGATTGGTTTCTCGGCGGTATTCACGGTCTCAGAGGAAGTATCAGCCCCATTGTCTTTCTTGTCACCGTTCTCGGTGGCTTCTTCAACCTTGGATTCGGTTTTCGGAATAGCCTCGGTTGGAGTCTCCCAACCTTCCAACTCTTCAAGTGTCGATCCGAGAGACTTGTTCAATTGCTTCTCCAATGCGTCTTTCAAAACTCGCACTGTCGATGGGTCCCAAAGATCAGAACCACTATCATCCATCGTCGCAGTTAGGCGACGCAGAAACTTGAATGTACTCGGTGATGGCTGGACAGGTACAGGTGGATCGCCTTCCCAGAGTGACCGACCAGGAACACCTCTCCGTTTGTCCGACTTGGGATCCTTGTTGGTTGAAGGAACAAAGGCTAGGTGGCCGGTATTTGTCACAATTTCCGAGGCGAGAAGTTGTTGCAGTTGAGGAGCGAGCTGGCTCGAGAAGAGGAAGTCCTCTGCAATAAACCCGGAGGGAATATCTCGCCGGACGAGCCGGACGAGCCGAAGCAAGAAGGTGGCCTTCTGGCTGAGATGCGAGGGTTCAAAGGCCTTAAAGGCGTCATTGAAGGAATCCTGAAGATTTTGGTAAGCCTGTCCGACAGCCGAATGGAGAGCCTTCGAAATCGTTCGAGGGTCATCATCATTTAGTCGCGGTGTGACATCGATATCTTCGTCCTCTACTTCGCCACCGACCAGCACATCAGTCCACTTGAGGCGTCGGAGAGCCTCGATCGATTCATTCAAATCTTGGACAGAGACCAGCCATGATTTATACTTCGTCAAAACTGCGGACACGTCGTCGTCCCGTCCTAGAAGACGATCTCCTACCGCATGTTTGAAAATAGACGCCCCATTCGAGTAGTCCGCGGTGATCAAGTCCGAATCCCAGAGGGACCCAACAGAAGTATGTTCAGAAGCTTCCCATTTAGACACGGTCGATAAAATCTGGCCTGCGATGTCATCGATTGTCTGAACCTGGGTGGTCAAGATTCGTGTAAGATGATCGTTGAAAATTTTTCGTAGACGTTCAAGAACATCCTCAGATCCATGTGTGATAGTTGAGCCCCAAGAAGATAACCATGATTCTATGGTATCGACGCGTAAAGACAAAAGCTCGGGGAAGTCATTGCTCTGAGCAAGAGCCTTCTGAGTTCCCTCCTCGAATCTGCTGAAGGCTTGCGAAGACCACTCCTTGATGGACTGGAGACCTTCAGACCGGCCAAGCTCACTCAATTTAATCCAGGGGGTGAAATTGATCACTTCGGGGGCAGCCCAACGACCCAATACATCGATCTCTAGGCCGTCCAGACTGCCAACTTCTGGGTCAGAGAGGATGGGTCTTGTCTTGAGCTTGGAAAGAACATCAGAGAATTGGCGAGATCGCAAAACCTTGGAGTTTTGCAGAGTGCGGATAAACAGCCGAAGAGCTTTCGGGATGTTGTCGCGAGAAGAATCCAAATGGCTGGCAATAACATCAAGGCGGACTTGATGGAAATGATGGATTGCATCGTCGGCCGAAGAACTTGTCGCGAGGCAGAACGCAGCCAATGACTCAATTATGCTCTCATCCAGGCCGTTCGTCGAGGTCAACCGCTTATCAATTCGTTTCAGAAGTGTTCGACGCAGAGAGGCCAATTGATTGCGCAAATCGTCTAGGAATGGCGGAGTTGAGGAATGTTGCGAGAGAGTCTTGTGCAGGAGACGAGACACAACGAGAACCTTGGCAACAAGTAACATTGAAGCGCGTTTGCGCAATAGCCGAGTAATGGAAGTTGTACAGCGGTGGAGCAGAGCCAGTTGTGCTCCAAAGGTATGCTTATCGGCATCTGTCGGGGACGTTAGTAATTGAGTCTCACACCCTCTAATCAAACATATCGTACCTGTCCCCGTAGTATCACTTTTCATCTGCCGCGCATGAAGATGCTTCTTCTCAACAAGTCTCGGGTTGCATCGCCTTCCCACATCGGTCAGGGTAGCCTCCACATCTTGTATCTCCTTGTTCATTTCCACAATTGTCTCGGCAGTTCCAACAAGCTCTCGGTATCGCGTACTATTGCAAAACATATTAGCACCTCTGCGATTCAGACTCAATGTCAATCATGGACTACTTACCCCACGAGAGCTCGGAGCTTCTCCCTATTGCTTGCAATGTCCCGCCGCAGCTCCTGTTCCACACGGCGAACCGTAGGGATCGGATACTGGAATGCATCTTGCCATGATTTCAGGCTCTGGGGATCTGGAGCCTCAGGGGCCATGCTGACAACAGTGCTGCAAGAAGCTCAAGGCGGCGTTGGGACCAAACCACCAACTCCGCGCTGGGGTGCCTGAGGTGGCCACGGGCTTATGTCATCTATCGTTATCGGCAGGTGACTCGAAGAAAAATGTCCCCGCGATTCCCCTCCATGACTTTGTTAAACAACTTGGAGATTCTAAGATGAAAATGCCAGATATGGAGACCGAAAAGACGCCGGTAGAGTCTTCATTGAGCGAGGTCCCGGATCGTTTGCCCTTCCCGCCAGTGACATACTCTCACATCCTCCATTGCTCCTACCATGACTGGCACCCTCGGTATGTTTTGCCTCTTATCTCCAATATGTTTTGTGAACAGGGCTAATCCCCAAGTTCAGCTATCGGCCGCTTATACCGAAATCTCGTCTTATCCCTCTCACATCAGCTTTCGTGAACTACCTCCGTGCCGACGGTATCGTCCTTCCGCCTGAAGTCCGACCTCCGAGAGAAGACGATGAGCTCGATGCATACGAAGATGACGAGGAAGGAGAGGACGACCCATCCGCGGAATGGCAGGAAATTCATACTCAAATTAAGAACACCATTGCCGAACTGGGCGGCAAGGTCACACCGAAACTGAATTGGAGTGCACCCAAAGACGCCACTTTCATGTCCCCCACGAATGACACCGAATGCCGCTCCGCCAACGACATATATCTACTCCTCAAAAGTAGCGACTTCATCACGCACGACCTCGAGCACCCCTTCGACGAGTGCGAACCGGATCACATCAATGACCCCCAGGCCTGTACTAGTGGCAAGCTCCCAGAAGATGTCTTGCCAGAAGTGCCCTACCACCTGGTCCTGCGCCAATACGTCAACTTCAACCCGTCACTAGAATTCCGATGCTTCGTACGCAATCGCAAGCTGCTTTGCATGTGTCAACGCGACCAAAATCATTTCGACTTCCTCTTTGGTATGCGCGATATGCTCCGGTCACGGATTCAGTCGTTCTTCGAGGAGAAGCTCCGCGATACTTTCCCCGATCCCAACTTTACCTTTGATGTATACATTCCAGCTCCGCATCAGCGAGTCTGGCTGATTGATATCAACCCCTGGGCCCAACGAACCGACCCGCTTCTGTTCAGCTGGTTGGAAATCCTGCGGATGAAGGACCCAATCGGGTTCGAAGAGGAGGCGGACAATGGGGTCCAGGAAAGCTTCGTGCGCATCTCCCTTCGGGATGGTAGCGTTATTACACCTTCGTCTGAAGAAGAGGCCGATGAAGAGTCTGCATCGGAGGAAGAGGAAGAGGAAGTAGAGCCTGCCATCCGCGAGGGAGATGACCAATTCGCACCCTTCCTGCCAGAGTTCCGCCTTATTAAGAAGGATGACCCGGAATCTTACTCGTTCAACACACCGCAGTTCTCAGCTCATAAGGTGCCAAAGGAGCTTGTGGACGCCTCGCTCGCAGGGCCTGGCGGCATGAGCGAGTTCTTGGGCAAGTGGCAGGAGATTCTGAAGCAGCAGGAGCGAGAAGACCGAGATGCTGGCAATGAGTCCAACTAAATGGACCACTTGTAATTATGCATTAGAGGAAGACGCGTTGAGTTGTGCAGTATTTTTGGATTCTGTGGCGTTGTCCGATGCATTTTTAGACGGATTGGTCAAAAGTGCATTTCCAAACAAATAAAATGAACTATTTATGATCAGATCATAAGCCTTGTCGCTATCCAAAACTTTCCTACCCATCGATATGACGAAATTTTAAAGTATTCAGCGTTTAAGCCCCCAAAACTATACAGTGGGAGTGCAAAGTCTGAATCTAGAGACTAGGAGGTCTACAAATATGCTTCAACTTCCTCTTGTTGGGAAGATCATCTTGAATGTATTGGAAATTGTCTCTCCAGATATATTTGATGATATCTCTCAATTTATTATTCTAAACATACAACTTTGGTCGAGGGTTTTAGACCGATGGAAACCCACTGTATGTACACAAAACAATCCCAGCCCACTCAACCCCCAATCTAAAGTTTATGCTTCTTCTCACCAGACGCCAACTTGCGGAACTCCTCCTGCGGCACACCCATCATAAACCGCTCAAGACCCATAAAAGCCTCAATCCCATTCTGACGATCCAAAATCTCCCTCTCAGGCCTACGCACCAACTCCTTAATCCCCAAAAGACTCGACTGATTCAAATGCGCACCCAACCGATCCTCAACCTCAGCAAGAACATTCTTCAAGAACCCCGCCGAGTCCTCCTTATTCTTCGAGTCCGCCTCAATAACCTTATTCACGAAGCCGGCCGAAACAAGCTCATCGCAGGGAATCCGCTTGCTCATGATGAGCGCCTCGTTAGCCTTGGCGATGCCGAGACGCTCGACGAAGGCGCGGCTGGCGCCGCCTTCGGCGACGAGTCCCAGCGAGGAGAAGGGGGTTAGGATGAAGGCGTGGGGCGCGGCGTAGATGAAGTCTGCGTGGGCGATGAGGGCGGCGGAGAGTCCGACGGCGGGCCCGTTGAGGGCCACGACGAGGATTTTGCTGTGGTTGTAGAAGGTGCGGGTTACGTCCACGTTGTTGGCGACGAAGCCTTTGACTAGTTCACGGCGGACGTTGGAGTTTAGGTCGCCGTTGGGCCGGCTGCTTGTTACGTCTGCGCCGCTGTTGAAGAGATGGTGGGTTAGTTTAGTTTGAGGTAGGGTTTTGTGAGGATTGGATTGGATGGGGGTCGGTCCATGGGGGTCGTAGATCATACGCAGAGAAGAATCGGCCTGTACCGGTGAGAACGGTGATGTAGATATCTTTACGCTGGTCAATCTCGCGAAGACGCTCGCCGAGGAGGTAGTACAGCTCCTGGTTCAGAGCATTCAGCTTATCAGGCCGGTTGAGCGTGACGATTGCGACACGATCTTGATAAGTGACGGTGATAAGCTGCTCGTTGGACATGGTTGCAATTTTTGGAATGAATTGGTACTCTGAATGGATTGAAACTGAATCAATCTGGGTCCGGGGGAGGTTTTCTGTGGAAACCAGCGATCATATAATTGTGCATGGAGCCTAACCCCCGGTAAACTCGGCGTGTGCTGCACTGCACGGAGGCACAGACTCTCCGGCCGTTTTGCGGGGGAAGACACCGCAAGCCGAGGCCCGCGGTAGGTCAGGTGACTGTGGGAATTGCTTATGTAATCCTTTTTTGAGGGCGGCATGTTTGCCCTGTTTGCCCTGTTTTGCGGTGTTTGAATCATCGGGCCCGTGACTGGCGCATCAGACAATATCAAGATCCAGATCCCGAGTCCCGCATCGTTTGATCGGCCACTGAAAGCTCCCGGAGAAACCGCTCACATCTGGGATTGTTTTCCTTTGCACAACATATTTTGTTGAATATCCCATCTTTCGACATGATCCCAAACATCCTCCGCCGCCTTCAGGGCGGAAACCTAGAAGTTTTCAAGGTAAGTCCCGCGCTCATGCAAAACCCGCTCGTGTTCAATGAATGGCCCAATATCTACCCATTCTCATCTCCATCGTTTGAATCCGTACTCACCGTTTCTCTTCCAGTTCGGCATGTACGTCCTCTTCCCCATCGGCTGGATGTACTACTTCGGCACAAACCTCGACGACCGCTTCAACGTCAAGAACTTCTGGCCCACGGCCGAGCAATCACATAAGATCCCTCTGGACAAGGAAGAGATTGATAAAGAGCTAGCACGCATGCGCATGGTGGACACCCTCCGACGAGAGAGGCAGCAAAAGGAGCAAGCTGCATTGGCAGCTCAGGCACAGGCTCAACCGGAGGCACAGCAGTCGCAGGCCGGACAATGAGGGAAGGTATCTTCATACGAGATGGGAGATAAAAAGGGGGTAGACTTGCAGACGCTAGAAAGGGCTGATCGGACTATGGTATCCGTTTGCGCGTGGAGAGCCTGCGCACCCGCGCCGCCATGATTGGCACGGCATATGTGGCAGTCGCACCCATGAGAGGGACGAGTGATTTTTGTACAACAATACTCTGCTCTGGGCATATTGGGCGTTTATACGGGTTTTGGGATTACTAAGTTTTCACTCGGGGATTCAATGTATCATTTCTTTGACGTCTTCATGGTGTTTAAATTACATTACATATTACCGGCCATTGTAGCCTCGTTCAGTATAGGCATTATCTCGCCAACAGGAAAATAAGGTGTGCACATAAAAAAAGCCTCTTTGTCCAAGATAGACCATCCATGTCCATGGGCTGGCTTCTGCCCATTGTCTCCAACCAAGGACTGTTTGGGTAACACAGAAGGATATCAATTAATGATAAATATCTGCACTCGGCAAAGCGTGTCTATCAATGCGACGGCCAGTAACGAATATCAGGCGGAATGATCGGATGAATCCGGCTAGAAGTTAATGGCGAGGCTTCGTAATGCATGGTCCCTCGGACAAGAAGACACGAGAATCGAATAGGGGAAAACAAGAAAAAACGCCGAGGATGCGCCAGCCGGCCAAAGCAAAGGCATTAGATCGTAATCCTTACTCATGCCGGTCTTCAAGAGAATTCATATTCTCTTCCAACTCCCCAAACTCCCGGGGTAACACTATTCACATGTTACAGTTCAGCGAGGTGCTGTGTCGTAGTAGCAGCGGCAGCTGCCGTCTTCGCGGTCTCATAGACAACCTCGAGACTCTGTGTGGCGGCATCGCCGAAGACGGAGCCCATTGAAGAAGTGAGACGAGTGGAGATGAAGGGCCGCTCTCCAGCCCAGTAGTAGTAGAGGTGACCGTAGATGGAGCGGAGGTGGTCCGGGAGGTAGATGTAGATGCCGGTGGCGATCATGGTGATCAGGGTAAGGAGAAGGGAGTCTGTTTGAAACGAAGTGTTAGTGTCAATGGTTACGAGCAAAACGTCCGTCACGGGGGTTACGTACTGAAGATGAATTTTTCGGTCGGGGTGAGCATGTAGATGGCAAAGGTCACCTCATACTGGTAGATCTTTAGGCGCACCCAGCGCACGAAGTTGGTAAGGATCCAGAGGAAGAAAGCCATGGCTGTTGTCAAAAAAGGTGCCTGGTGTTTTCGACGGTGTCGCAGAAGAGATTTATCAGGGCTGTTCGGCCTAGTTGACTTTTTCTCCGGTTCAATCGAAGATAGAAGACGTTCAATGGGGTAGAGATTGAACGGGCGCGTAGGATATGGTCGGCTGCGGTGACAGCGTTGCTCGTCTTGAGATCGCACGAATGGCCCCCTGGTCAGACGTTGGCGCAAGCAGAGACGGAGTGATGGGCTTGGCACACGGGGTCGGTCTCCTCGGATGGCCGATAAGCTTCAGATGGAGTCGTCTAGCCTCGATGGTCCACCAGGACTGCAGAAGGCCGTTTGGCGGTTGGGAGTGAGGAGCAATTGATGGTCAAAGGGGAACTCTATGCGACCATAGTGTTTGGAAGACAGTCAGAATGGATGTACGACTAGCCCTGGCGTGATCGACAGGCTTCGGTGACTGCTGGGGAAGGCCGATGATTGTGGGGACGTGGCGGCTTAGGTGCTCCTATTGGGAGGAAGTGGAGGAGAGAAGTTGGCTGAGTCGAGGGACACGCGAGGACAAGAGCGACCGAAGTCTCCGTGGTCAAGGGGAAATTAGGATGGAAAGAAAGATAGGATGGGCGTGAGCGACCGTAAAAGAGGCAATTCAGTTAAGCGTTTAGGATTGAAGGTTGTGAAGTCTGGAGCTCAAACGGGAAAAAAATCCATTAAACTCTTGTCTCCTTTTTGGCACTGTGACTTCACCACCTTTCGGCCATGCACAAAGTCCACTTTGTTTCAGATGCGAACCTGTCAACTAGGGTCTCGTATACTCGTATGTATTGTTCTATCCAATCCAGCCGAGTTCCTTATTTGGTCTTCACCTATCCTTGCCAGTCAATGTCTACGGTTTGTCCCACTGGGTGTACGTCAACCTGGTCCCGTTCCGGCTATGGCATATACTCAGCCCGTATCCTGACCCAGCCGGCGGTGTTCACTCATCAATTCCGCCGACGGGCCTCGGAAGCAAACGAAGCCGATGAAGCCGATAATTAGGCTGCAATTATATACTGAGAAGATTACTGGAAGTTCCAATCACTCGCGAAGATGGGCTAAACCGATTCTATTAACAATTATATGCTGTAGTTGGCCGTGACCATAACCTCGAGGTATACTGAAGGCCTTATATGCAAGCATTATCCTTGATTGGGTGATTAACTCGACACGAATTGATTGAGGAAAGCTCTTTCTCTCAGCAAGTAGCTAGGATGTTCTATTTCTAGGGAAAACCTAATCATTCAGCGCAAACTTTGTGCCTCAAGTGGAGTATACATGGGCATCCCTAGGCTTCACATTGTACCAAATTTATCCGACAGACCGCATACATGCCCAATCTGACCGGAACACAAATCTATGCCTTTCAAGCACCAGCAATCCCAAGAATAAAGCCATATCTCCGCTTACATCAGTGAATCTTAAGCCTTCTGTCCCAAAAAGACAAAGAGACAAGAAGAAGCACCCGTGAACCCCCGGAGCTTATCGTGTATGTGCTTATCGGCCGTTCTTATCGATTATCTTATCGGCTATCATCGAAGCTATTCGCGAACCCATCACCACAGTATCACTCTTCTTTAACTCACAAATTCAACCACAATGCTCAAACCACACAGCTGGCCCCGGATATCCCTGGGATCCTCAAACCCTAATACATATATCTCCCTTTATACATCACTCCTACCAAACCGCCCCTTTACCACAACACCCATCCTCCCCGCCAAACCCCTCCCACCCCGACTCAAGATCAACGATGCCGACCTGACAATATCCTACCTAAAAGGCACCGGACCCGGTGGCCAGAAGATTGTATGCCAAACACTGCCCCAAATATATCCTCCTCAATATCTCAAACCATCTCTCTAACAGCGCATAGAACAAAACCAACTCCGCCGTTCAAATCATCCACGCACCCTCCGGCATCGTCGTAAAATGTCAAGCAACGCGATCACGCTCGCAAAACGAGAAGATTGCGCGATCACTGTTGGCGGATAAAGTTGAGGCACAGGAAAAGGGTGATCAGAGTCGTGTGGCGCTCAAAGCTGAGGCGGCGAGGAAGAAGAAGGCTAGTAAAGTGAAGAAGGCGAGGAGGAAGTATCGGGATTTGGATTTGGAGAAGGGGGGTGAAGAGGGAGCAAGTGGGGATTTGGAGGGGGAGGAAGTGGATGTGGAAGGAGAGGATGGAGACGTGAATGTTGAAGAACGGAAAGCCGAGAATGGCTCGTCAGAGAAAGGTCTGTCGACGTGAGCTCCGGTGGCTAATCATATCTGGCGTATTTTGTACAACATTACTCGGGGATGAGGCGTTCAGGCATCTTGTATACTACAGACAACAAACAGCTTTTAATCTCTTGCAAATACACATTGAACATATCCTATCAGATTGATGAGGGAACAACAGCCCACCCATGTAGAGATTCATCATTGCATCCACGCCATCCCCCAGCTTCTGGGCAGATTGACGCGTAGTTCAAATGTCAACTTTTCATCTTTTTCTTACGAACAAAGGTAAATCATTACTGCAAAACGCATGCCTTCACCACCCAATCTAAGACACCTAGGAAATGTAACTTCCAAGAACTGCCTTGGCCTGGTCATCAAGACGCTGCTGGGCAAACTGTGAAACCCGGCCGCCATGCTTCTTGTCCGCCTCCTTTAGGTAAGAGCCCACCCAGGCCTTGAGATCACCACCAGTCTCGGGCCACGGGTCCTTCGGCTGCATACGGATGGTGTTCAGCGCGGTGAAGCCAACGCCGAAGGACATCTCCTCGGCATCAATCTCAATGAGGTCGTCCTTGCGGACAACCTCAGGGGGAAGCTCAAGAAGCTTGAGAAGAGTGTTGCAGGTCAACGCCCAACCCTTGACATACGTGATGGCAAAGGCCTCCGAGTTGGCAATGGTCTTGGTAAGGGAGATGACTGCAGTCTTGCGGTCCAGGGGACGCGCCAGTTTCTGAGTATCCGCGAGGACGAGCCCGATATAAACACCTTTGAAGAGGCTGGCGAAATACTGGTCAGAATTATACGTATGTGGAAACAACAGGATCAACTTACTCTGGCTGTATCTTTTCACAGATCTGCTGGATGGTGTCTGGATTGTATCCCTTGTCATCATGAGCAGTCAGGAAGTGGTAGAACCGGACGAATCGAAGCGACAAGTTTTCGGTCTTGGAGTTTTGCAGACGTTGAAGAATAATCTGCATGATCTGGATGAAGTAGGGCTCCAGAGCGGCACTAGATAACACTGTTAGTCCCATGGCCCATGTTAGATACCGGCAATAGGGTCACTTACGGTGGGAAAGTGGCAACCACCGACTCCAGCAGATCGAAGCCATAGCCCTCGTTGGCCTTGGTCGACAGCAGCTTCTGGAAGATACCCAGAATAGGCTCAACCTGGTTGTGCTCGATAATGTACTGCGATCCACGGGGAATAATCGAGGATAGCAGGCGAACAAGCGCAGGAATGTTGCCTCGAGACTCCCACATGACTGGCATCAAGATAGGTGCGATCAATTCCTGGTAGTAGGTAGGCAGAGTTGCAGAGGGGTTGGCCTCGAGCAGAGCCGCGAAAAGCTGGAACACGTAGGGCATGAATTCTGTGATACGAGGTTAGCAGCATGACCAACACGTGTCTGACTATAAACTTACCTTGCACGTCGTTCTGGAGGATACCAGCAAATGGAGTATACAGAGCCTGCTCGAGCTTGCTGGGGTTGGCGGGGGCGGAGAATCTGAACGAGTAAGCCTCTTGACCAAGAAAACTTCTGTCGGAATGTAGAATCTCACCGGATGAAAGCACCCATAGCTTCAAAGTGGTAGTAGTAGAACTTCGGATTACTGGGGTTAGTACGGATGATATCCGTGATGTTGATCAAGCGGTTCAACACGACATCTGTGAAAGGAACGACACCATCACGGATGACGACCAGGACCCGCATGACACAGCGCATCAGGAATTCATTCTCCTGCACCTTCTCGGGGGCTGGGTCCCGTTGGATCAGTTGGAAGATGTGCTCCAGGAGTTCCTTGGACAAAGGGGTGATCTCGGTAGGAGGAATGACGGGCTGTCCCTGAGCGTCACTGAGGAAGAGAGCTCGCTCCACGGCAATCGCAGCATATGTGTAGACAACATAGTTCTCAGAAGCCAGATGCTTCACCAACACCGGAAGCACCTGCTGCCACTGCTCCTTGGTGATTATACTACGGAAGTTGTAAAGGTACTTGATAGCATCGACCTTGAGGATTGGGTGGACTCCGTCATCGGAAATAAGATCCGCAGCAAGGTGCTGCTGGAAGAAGTCGGTGATGCTGACCAGGTTGTTCGTAGCAGTGACACCGTGTGTAGAAGTGGCAACACCCTTAGCGGCAATCGCAGAGAACAGGTAGGTCGCCGTGTCCTTGGACTTCCAGTTTGAGGCGGGGTCCTTGGCATACTCGGCTAGGTAGTGCTCAGTGTACTTAAGAGTCACCTTGGTCACAGATTCCTCAAACTTCTCAGCCAGTCGTCGGAGGAAGTCCGTTGCAGCGCGCCGCCTCGTCTCACTGTCAGATCCTTCCAGATCCCGACGGATGAACTCAATAGGCTCGTCTTCAAACAGCTCCTCGTCCGATTCGCGTAGGCTCACGTTGGGCAGGATGACCTTTTCAATGATCTGGCCCAGAGTCTCCTCGGCCTGGAACGAGCCAGCATGCTCGGGCATGCTAGCAACCGAGGTCAAGAAGTGGAGTGCACGGCTGACGAGAATGTCATACTTTGTCTCTTGGCCAATAGTTGTCAAGAAGCTCCACGAGCTCTGGATGAACTGTCCGACATGAGGACCGAATGCATCCAAGTACTTCTGGACGTACAGAGTCAGACCCTCAAAGATACCGGCACGGACATACTCCAACGAGCCAGCCTCCGTCTCATCGTCGGTGTGCAGTAGTTGGTTGTCATATGTGAGGTACTTGAGAAGGATCTGTGCAATCGCGCCGATGTTGTCTTCGAACATAGGAGGAAGATCATGGCACGAGAGGTCGTAGAACAACTTGATCATCAAAGTCAGCTGGTTGTAACCTTGTGTCAAGTTTTCCTTGTTGGACTTGTTTTGTTCGAGATAAGTATCGAGGCCCTATGGAGAGAGTTATCATTAACAAACCGCTTATGCTTAGCTGTCTCCCATCTATGGTAGAGGAAGAGCGACAAAGATAGACTGAAGGAAAGTGTATGTGAATTACCTCGAACAGAGCCAGGAACGGAGTGCCAAACTTCCCAAGGACATGGTTGATTTCCAGATACAGCTCATTTGACTGGTAAAGAGGGCGCCAGCGCTTGAAAATCGAGTGCGCCACTTGCAACACACCAATGTTGACCGTAGGGTTAGACGGATCGAGCTTCGAAACGAGGTCCTATGGAACAGAAAAAACAAAGGTTAGCCATACTATCTTACGACAGATTGGTACTCATAGCCACTTACATCAACAAGAGTGTCCCATCGCTCCCAGAAATCACTATCGGCGATCGCGCTGACAGCCTCGCCCAATTGACTTTGAATCGAGGGAGGGACCGAGATCATCAGGTTGATCAGCTCGCGCTTGATTGTTTCCACCTCATTTTGCGGCAGCTTCCAGTGTCCATCTTCATTGGTCCAGTTGCGCTTGACAAAGTTCTTGAAGCAAAGGGCGCTAGCAAGGCGAATGTTGCTGGGAGATGAATCGGATGCAGAGATTTGGAGAAGCTGTAGCGAAAAGCCCGGTTTTTGTTCTTCCTGTCGTAGGGCAGCCTCGGCTGATTCAATCCCAATAAGTCATTAGATAGATTCTTCATCACTTTCTCCACGGATTCAAACACGTACCTTCCTTGTTCCGGTGTGGATCCAAGCTTGCCTCCAACAGAGCTCCAAGAGCCTCCGCCATTTTCACCGGTATGTGGGGTGTCAACAAGAGCGAGGGGTAACGGTTTCAAAGAAGGGAATCGAGATAGAGGATCCAAGTAAGGACTGACGAGAGAGGTCACCAGAGAGAGAAGGTGGTGTGGAAATTAGATTTAGCCTTAAATGGGAGCCAGGACAAAGCAGAGCTCAAACGGCAACGATCATAATAAATAGTGAAGGCGGCGTCGCTGAGATAATTGTACGGGCAGCCCACTGCGTCAACACACTAACCCCAATATGGTTAGTCCGTCACATGCTCTCTCTCCTTGATACCTTGATGCCTTGCTGCCTTAGGTCCATGGTGCCTGAGGCTCCAGGACAAGCACCAGCTTCCTTACCGCCTCCTTATTACCCCCCACTTTTGACTTTTCCTTGTAATTTTCTGCCACGGGATAAAGGCGGAGTGGTCACATCATAGGCCCTCAGGTGACTTAGGCTGGAATAACCTCATTGCCCGGTGATCTCTCTACTCTTGTTACCCCGATTGTCATCCCTTGTCTTCAGCATCTCGCTCTTTGCGGTCTCAACACCTATATAAAGCTAGTGATACCCACGCTCCGGTCCCGTCCGTCACTGAAACGACACTCCTGATCCCGCTTTGACGCGGACTAACTGAAGGTGTACTTTTGTCACAGCTCCGCCACACGCTGTGTCAGGATCTGAATGTGCACAATCGCCGCGGTCCTCTAGGAGTGGCCTTTCTCGTAAAGACCTCTTTTCAACCTATCTGAGTAAAGGTCAGTCAGTATCTTTGTGGGTGGGCCCTACCGATGGCACTAGCTCCGCCGTCCTGATAGCCCTATCCGTGACTCAGGTGACGTTTGCTGGCCCATACTGACTTGACTTTATGATAAAGGCACCCCCCACAGTCTTGACCTGAATTTTTCTACCGTAATCAGGCGGATGTCTCCCGACGATGCTCCACCAGCACCCCACCACAAGCCCTCGTCCTCTAGCTTCGCGGATGTTTTCAAGACGTTAGGCGTTGGTCGTCCAAAATCGCATTCTCCCGTATCTCTGCAAGACAGTAGCAGTGACTCTCAATCTCATACGACAGATAGCCGAGGAACCACCAATCGACTGATCCTCGGACTCGAAGCTATGCATCGCGGAAGTGTGGTCTCGAGCTCCTCGGATGCGCCTCACGGGCCTGACTTCGAGTCTTCTTTGCGGATTCTATCTCAAAAGCAGAACTTGAATCATGCCATTGAGGAGGCGGACTTGGTGTCGAGAACCTTGTCTTGGTTTACCCCTGAGCAATCCGTGGCGTTGTGGGAGGCCGCGGAGCCTCTGCTTCACCATGAAAGCTCCAGTGATGCCCAGAAAGTCGGTGCCAAATTGCTGGAGACAATCGCTTCCCGCCAAGACCTGTCTCCCACTGCTAGGCGCATGATCTTTGAATCGATCGCATCGCCAACCGAGAGTGAGGTGATTGCCGCCCGAGTCCAGTCACTGATCGCTTTGTCAGACCATGGCAGAAAGCTGGATTTCACCAACACCTCTATTCTTCACATCATTTCATCGTGGATTGTCCCGCTTTACATGACTATTGCGACAACACGCTCCAAATTAAAGAAGGGGAAAGCGCTGAAACCCAACGAGCTTGTTCAAGATGAAGCAATTCTAGGGGATCTCTTCCAATTCGCGGTAGATCTTATCACTCTCCAGCGCAAGTCGCCAACGTCAGAGGAAATTGAGATGCTTCTCACAGAAACATTCACGATCTGCAAGAAGACCAGCGTTGCCACTGATATCAAGAACTCGCTGGCCGTTTTCGACGCCGTGATTATGTATTCCAGTGTCCCTGATGCAAGCTTTGTTCCTCTTTTAGAAGTTCTCTGCAGCATTCATGCCTCAGTCAAAGCCCTTTCTGGGCCGACATCCCGGGCCGTACGCAGCCTGGCAAAGTCACCAAAGCAGGAGGAAATGGTGACGACTCTCCATGATTTTTTGAGAGAATCATGTGCCGAAGACTCTCCGCGGAATCTGAACGTGCACCGGGGAGCTCTCTACATCTTCTCTGACCTTGCTCGAGCCTACGGTCAGGGTGGAATGCCTGAAATTTCCTTCGACCAATTGGTTGACTCTCTTACGGTCATTGCTCAGAAAGATGACGGCCGAGTTGATGCTGATATTCTGGACTTGTGCTTGAACATGCTGGAGAGTGATTATAGCCGTGTCTCTCTCGCTTATGGATGGACGCAGTTTATTGATCTCCTTCTTCTTTGCTCCCGGAGAATATACGAGGACTATGACGACCCGATTGGCTCTCCAACTAGCCCGCAGCAGTCGCATCTCAAGAACGCACACGATGATGTCAAGTCGCATATTCTTGCAAATATCATCCGGATAACGTCCGTTCTGGAATCTCTTTGGGACCAGCTCACTAAAGAACAAAAGCAACAGTCGGTTCGGTTCTTGGCAAAGAATCATCAACACATCGATCATTCTCAGTCAGAACTCATTATCAACATGATGAGAGAAGACACACTTTGCCATCCTTCTGAGGGGTCCAACTGGGTGCAACACTGCCGAGAGATCATCGAACGCTTTATTCAGCCTCGAAAGCAGTCATCAGACATTCGCATTCTAGCCCTAGACACGCTCAAAGAGGCTCTTGCAGGTAACGAGCACTTACTCTTTTCTGAAGAGTACGGCTTGTTGGATCTTCTACTCGCAGACTTTTCTGCTGAGCATGATCTGCTGTTTTTGGAGTCGCTCGTTTCATTCATCACGGACCCCGCTATCCACTCCAACGACGATGAAGGGTTCAAGCGTCTCATTGACACCATTGCGAGGCCAATGGAGAGAGATCCGTCGAAGGATGAGCCCCGTGAGACATCGCCAAGCTATGCTCCGCGTCGTACATCCACAAGCGTCTTGGAGTTGTCGATGGGGAATGTCTGCGCGGTCGGTCTAGTCAAGATGATGATCCGTGCTTTAAATGCCTCCGCCGCCAAATCCATCGTCATTTTCGAGGCCTTGCTGCAGATCGCACAGTCCCCTGACCGCCCAGCGGACGCTCGCCTGACTGTCTTGAAGCTACTTTTCCGGCTTCGATGTGACTCGCTCGGGGCTATTACCGTGGTCTCAACCTCGGAGAATGACTTCTTAATGAACGTCCTAGGACGAAATGTCGACGTAACCTCAATGCTGCATCCGAGCAGTGAGAGCCCCATCAGAGACCTCCCCCAGCAGGATAATCTGATTCCCTCCATGGGGCCCAAAATTCCAGCGAAAGAACTTCCTGCGGGGTTCCTTTCCAAGTCAAGCCCTCGGGGCTCGATTTCGGCCCGTGGATCAAAGTTGACACCTCCCGTCTGGACCTATTCCCAACCACAAGTTCTTCCAGAGCAGCCATCTGAAAAGTCTAGTCCGTTCGTCTTTGCTCACACCCAGAAAAATGGCGCTTCGTCTCCCGCTGATTCCACACCGACACTGATGGGTGTCCTGAAAGTGAACATGTGGGTTGAGTGTGTGATCTCCCTTCTTCAGCGAGAGACCGACTGGGACGTCTATAGTTACGTTCTCACGCACCTCGGGCCTCAGCTTAGCAACAAGGAGTTCTTCAGCAACACTATTCCTCAGATCAAACTTCTACGGAGCATTCTGTGCGACCAGGTCAAGAACGAGAGTTTCCACGAGCCACCTGCCCTAACTGGTTTGAAGAAAAGCGATGTGGCGGCTTGTATCTTTGATACACTCTGTATGCTAGTCAGCTATCACGAGCACTTTGCTAAAAGTGAAGAGGATGACTTGGTACGAGCGTTCATGCTTGGAATTATCGGTTCTTGGGGTGCTACATCCCGTGGATGCATTCAGGCGCTTTCACTTTGCTGTCATGAAATCCCAATGTCGGTGACTAAATCGTTGACGAACATTCTCGACAAAATGTCAAAGGTTATCACCATGTCCAACATTGCCGTCCACATCTTGGAGTTTTTGGCTTTGCTCGCACGTCTGCCAGATGTCTACGTCAATCTCCGCGAGGAGGAAATTCGCACCGTGTTTGGCATTTGCATTCGGTTTTTGCAGACATCGAGAGAGCAAGAACAACGCCAAAAGGCATCTGAGTCACCCACTGCACGAGCTTCCCAACAGCCGCAGTCGAGACATAGCGGCGGTGCTCGAGAAATTGCCGCGGGCCCAACGGAAGCAACTGAAGCCCCTGCACACGATGCCATGTCCAAGTACATCATGACTCTCACATACAGTGTCATGGTATTCTGGTATCTGTCTCTGAAGCTTCAAGATCGGCCAAAGCATGTCAATTGGATCACCAGCAGACTCATCTTCCACGATGAACATGGCAAGGAAGTAGTCGAGGAACAAAGCCAGGTTTTCATCGATCTGATGCAACGTGTGGCCTTTTCGGATCTGGGAGAAACCATCCCGTACGAGACTTTCCCGCCGACCCCAGAGGACGGCCCTGTATCTAAGAAATCATGGGTCGTGGGCATGAGTATTGTCACTGTTGAGACCGCCGGTATCTCTGGACTGACCCAGCTCGCGAAGCGCCAGGCGTCAGGAACGACATACTCCATGTATCAACAGCGAACAGCGCCTGTTCTACCGCACCAGGCTCCTGCAACTCCGGATGCTCACCTGCATTCCGATGCGACGCGCACAGCTGTTTTGCCCAGCCACATCATGCTCCAACTCACAGCCACCGCCTTCCCTACTCCAACAGTGATGCAACCTATCCCGGTTCCTGAAGATGACATTACCAGGCGAGCGATCACCAACTTTGATCGCACCGACATTGTCGATGGTCACCGAATTGGAGTCGTCTATCTTGACAACGGTCAGAGCAAAGAGGCTGAAATCCTTGCAAACACTGGTGGTTCCCCAGACTATGAACACTTCCTGTCTGGTCTTGGAACGAAGGTTTCTCTTCGGAACGCTCAGTTCAATACCCAGGGACTTTATGCTGACACTGACGGCGAGGCAACTTACGCCTGGCGTGATCGGGTGACTGAGATCGTTTACCACGTCGCTACAATGATGCCCACGAACTTTGACCATGATCCCAACTGCATCAATAAGAAGCGAAATCTCGGGAATAACTTTGTCACCATCGTCTTCAACCGTTCCAACCTGCCTTTCAACTTTGACACAATACCTTCCGAGTTCAATTCTATCAACATCGTGATCACCCCTTGCAGTCGTATTGCCTACGATGAGTCTGGAGCCTCAATTGGTGAAACAGATCCTGACAAGCAATACTACACTGTGAGAGTCATGAGCAAGCCCGGCTACCCTGACGTATCGCCTGCTGCGACTCCGAAGGTCATCTCGGGTAAGAATCTGGCTCCTTTCGTGCGGATTCTCGCTCTAAACGCATCTGTCTTCTCTCTGGTCTGGAACAACAAGGGTGGTGAGCATGCCTCATCCTGGCGCACTCGTCTTCGCGAAATCAAGAAAGTTCGTGAGAGGGCCCTAGCCGCCCAGGCCCAGAGTGCCGCCGAGGCCGCTGAAGGCGCATACCCCGGCCAACGTCGCAACACGAAGCCCAACATTTTCTCCGAAGAACTGCCGACTCGTACTGCTCCGGTGCAAACCGACTTTGCCGCAGAGTGGAATGCAGCATCTGGAACGAACATTTGTCAGAACCTAGACTTTTCTCGCTGGAGCCGCTGAGCATCCCTTCTGGTTTGAGCCAGAAATATCATGTCCTTTCACTATTCTTATCCTTTTATGACTACATCTCTTTTCTGTCCCCTCCCCTCTCACTACTCCTTGAAAAATTCTCACCCCCAAAAACTGAAACGACAGCAACCTCGAATGACCACCTCCTACCGACACGATTTTATGTACATCAATTTGCTCTTTCTTTTGTGCAGCCCGCGGCATTTGTGAATACCCCCTCCGCGCTAAAAGTTTTGTGCTTGTTTTGTATCCCGTTCTGTTTTCTCCTACCTTGGTGTGGGGATGGTAGTACGGGGTTTTCATGTTTCTTTCGATAGTAGCTGGCAATAACAATGTCTCCATGTACGATGAAAGCATTCATCATTATTATACAATTTTTTATTGCGTTTGTTTTTATGGTTTGCTTAACGTGAGATAGAGAATTAAGCCATAGTAGCTGACTTTGAAGGCATATTAATTGCGATTATGAATTATCTGGACATTCTCCACTTGGCCTAAAGGGTGGCGCTTAGGCTAGCCAGAGTCAGTCTCGGGAGCCTTCGTGGTTTCGAGAATTGATGGCAAGTCGTTAGGACAAGTGTACCGCCAATGCCAGGCCTGTAATCTGCACGATTCCGTCGGCATCGTTCCCCTGTGTACATCCTTGATGTGGTGCCATAAGCTCATAAAATTTGATGCACTAGTTCAAGGATTAAACCCCGTTTGCAAGCCGGGAGATGAATTTCTCGGGCTGCTTGTAAACATAGCCACGGGTGTGTCTGTCTCCAGCAGATAATTCATTTGCTGTGCAGACTATAGACGAGATTCGTGTCGAACGTAGATCAACAGTTGAAAGTTGAAACTCTCGATCGTTCGTTGTGTGGCGAGGAGAGCAAGATTAGATGCATTGCAAAACAAGGTCGACAATTGCAAAGAAGGAGTCTCTGTCTGAAGCGGCGGCGCGGAGTCCTAGACCAACAACCAAAAGGCGCTTTTCGGCAGGCGACTTGGTCGCAATAGCACTGCCAATTTGACGCGCAAGTAATTGCCCAATCGTATCCCGTCCAGCACCATGACCGCCCAGAATCGATGTTGCTGTCAAGGTGCTGAGGGGCAATAGACTGTCCTCCGTGCTCTCGGAGAAAGTATGCATGCCATCGGTCCCTGGGTTCGTATTTCCAAGTGGCACATGAAGCTATGAAAGGTTAAAAAAAATCGAAAGCTCTAAGAATGACTATACTTCAAACGTACCCAATGAGATAGTCGGCCCTCTTGAGAGATAGTGAGCATGATCTTATCACTAAAGTTCATGACCATGACGTCTGTTTTGACCCCTTCCACAATCCCAGCCACCTGTTTGGTAGCAGCAGGAAATGGAAGGTCAAGAGATCCTTGCAGTGTATCCTCAAGAGAAGCCATTATTTCATATGTTTGAGATGGGTAGTGTACAGCTTTGGCATGCGGAGTGTTGATCTTCTACGTCGACGGAGGCGGTGAACTGTTCCCCACAGTCAATTCTGGCAGAATCACACCGCCCTTCGACTGTCCTCGATTTTTTTTCCCGTGAGTGCAAGCAACAACAGCTCAGTCCACATTTCTTGGAATCCTTTCCCTATTTTGTGGTAGGGTTTTTCAAGATGCCCAAATTCGTCCCCCGGCAGCGGAAACAAAAGCACCGGCGCCAAGAGACGACAAGTGCGCCGGTCGACACCAACATTGCGGAGCTTGCGCCGGTCTCGAAAGATGAGAAAGAAGCGCGGAGGCAGAAGCTGCGAGATGAGCTGCGCGATCAGCATGCCAATGTCTCCTCCAAGAAGCAGAAGCGTTTGGACAAATACATTGTACGTCGAAAGTTTGAAGTCTCCGAACTCGACAATTCTAACGATTTATGCAGGAAAACAAACTCAAGAAAGAAGAGAACGTAGAGCTTCTGAAGAAGCTTGCCCAAGCGAACGTCGACACCTCCGCACTTCAGACATCGAGGGATTTGGGGAAGCGCAAGAGGCAGGATGCCAGAGCTCCCGTTACGGCTCCTGCGCACGCCTCCACACCTGGAGACGACTCGGACCACTCTGATCTCGAGTGGCAGGATCCAACAGCATCTATATCGGCACCGAAGCCCCAAATACCCCAAGGACCCGTTGGAAGTGGATTAAAGCGCCCTCTCGAACTTGGACCGGATGGTTTCCCAGTTATCAAAAAACGGAAGCGTTCGGGCAAGTCGAAGCCCGTACCTACACCTGCGCCTGAGCCCTCCTGGGAAGGTTTCGGATCAGATGGCGAGGATGCGAGCGAAGATGAGGAGAAAGTTGATTCCGACAACTCAGAGCCCGAGTCCGACATTGAAGATGATTCCGATGCCCAGGATTCTGGTGATGCTTCTGAGGCCTCATCCGAAGGTTCTTCTGACGAGGAGGAAGATTCGGATGACGACTCGGAGGAGGATGACGAGAAAGTCGAAGAGAATGATCGTCGCATCAAGCCCCGAGAGTCGGCGTTCAAATCTTGGGCTGTACAACAAATCAATGAGGCCATAGGGTTCAAACCCACCGAAGGCCCAGTGATTCATGACTCAGTACAACACGCATTCGCGCCGCCCAGGAAAGAGCCCCAAAACACTGTTGAAATGGAGGAGCCTCTTCCGCGGGAACTTGAAGTCACTACTGGAAACCCCTTCCGCAAGGCTTTTAGCGTTCCCGTCGAGCGTTCCGAAGAAATCCAGACAGCTCGTCTTGGACTTCCGGTTGTCGGCGAGGAACAGAAGATTATGGAGGCTATCTACAACAACTCCGTCATTGTCATTTGGGGTGCCACTGGTAGCGGAAAGACTACTCAGCTTCCTCAGTTCTTGTTTGAAGCTGGTTTTGGCAATCCAGATAGCCCGAACCCGGGCCTCATTGGTGTCACTCAGCCCCGTCGAGTGGCCGCCGTGAGTATGGCAAACCGTGTCTCCCAGGAATTGGGTCAGTATTCGGACCAAGTCTCGTATCAGATTCGATTTGAGACCACAGTGTCCAAGAAGACCGCCATCAAGTTCATGACAGACGGTATTTTGCTCCGAGAGATTGCCGATGACTTTGCCCTGCGAAAGTACTCTATTCTCATTATTGATGAGGCTCACGAACGCAGCGTTAACACGGATATTCTGATTGGAATGGTCAGCCGTATTGTGGATTTGCGCAAGTCAATGAGCGAGGAAGACCCGTCTGTTAAACCGTTGAAGGTGATCATCATGTCTGCCACCCTTCGTATTTCGGACTTTACAGAGAACCCAAGCCTGTTCCGCGAAGGTCCTCCTCCATTGGTCCAAGCCGAGGGTCGTCAGTACCCTGTGACTGTTCACTTCGCTCGTCGGACCCAGCGCGACTATGTGGAAGAAGCTTTCCGCAAGGTTTCCCGAGGTCATAGGAAGCTTCCAGCTGGTGGAATGCTCGTCTTCTTGACTGGTCAGAATGAAATCCGACTGTTGTCGAAGAAGCTCAAGCAGGCATTCAAACCAACACAGCGTATCGATACAACACAGGCTAGGGTCCAGATTTCTGCCAATGACGCACCTCTTGAGGCAGAAGACTTGGAGCTTGGTGGCATGGAGATGGACAATATAGGAGATGAGGAGGATGATCTCGAAATTATGGGGCTGGACGAGCCAGAGGACGATGAGGACTTTGACCTCGGTGAAGACGCCATGGACTCTTCAACCAAGGTGCACGTTCTGCCGTTATACTCGCAACTGCCAACCAAAGAGCAGATGAAGGTGTTTGAGGCACCACCAGAAAACTCGCGCCTGATCATTCTTGCGACCAACGTCGCAGAAACGTCTCTTACCATCCCTGGCATCAAGTATGTGTTCGACTGTGGACGATCAAAAGAGAAGCAGTACGATCTTTCCACTGGTGTCCAAAACTTCCAAATCGGCTGGATCAGCAAGGCCAGCGCAAATCAGCGTGCTGGTCGTGCTGGTCGAACGGGGCCTGGTCATTGTTATCGACTATATTCCTCGGCAGTCTACGAGGCTGACTTTGCTGATTACACTGACCCCGAGATCCTCCGCACGCCCATTGAAGGAGTCGTTCTCCAGATGAAGAGCATGGGTCTACACAATGTTATCAACTTCCCCTTCCCTACACCCCCAAGCCGACAAGGCCTCGCCAAAGCAGAGAAGCTGCTCAAGCATCTTGGTGCCCTCACTGGTAGCGGGCAAGTCACCCAGATTGGCCGTCGTCTCTCCACATACCCTCTCTCCCCTCGCTTCGGTAAGATGCTATACATCGGCCACCAGCATGGCTGCATGCCCTATGTCATCGCCCTCGTCGCAGCCCTGGCAGTCGGCGACCTCTTCGTCGCCGAGAACCAACTACCTGGCAATGAGGCCATGTTTTCCCAGAGCAAGAAGCCCGAGTCAGATTCGGACACCAGTGACTCGGAAGACGAGAAGAAAGTCTACACCAATGCTGACCGTCTCGAAGAAACCGAGCGCGAACAAAGGTCAAAGGATTTCGCCCGTGTTCATCGACTGCTTAGCAAACACGACGACACCAGCGATGCACTCAAGTACCTCTCAGCTATCTGCGCCTATGCGTACGCACCGGATGGCGAGTCCTTCTGCGAACAGATGTTCCTGCGTGCCAAAGCCTTCAAAGAAGCATCCCAGCTACGACACCAACTCTCTGATATCGTACGCTCCAATAACCCAGGCCTCCTTGGCGCCTATTCAGCCAAGCTGCCAGAACCCACACCCAAGCAACTCAAAGCGCTCAAGCAAATTGTCACCGCCGGATTCATCGACAACGTCGCCATCCGCGCGGACTTAGCCCCCGTGCCACCGGAAAATCCTCGTGCGCCTCGCCGCGCCATCGACGTGCCATATCTTACACTCTTCCGCTCACGCGACCGTCACGCAGACGACATTGCTGAACGTGCAGTCTTTGTACACCCTACCTCGGTTCTGGCCAAGCTCACGCCAAAGGAAATGCCACCATACATTGTATACTCGCATCTGCAACAGTCAGCGGCAGCGCCACTCTCGGGCCAGACACCCAAGATCCGCATGTTCCCGCTCGTGGCGCCTAGTGGCCTGCAACTCGCGGCTATTGCCCATGACACGCCGCTTATCGAGTACGGCAAGCCTGTGGGTAAGACGGAGCTTTTGGAGGGCATTCCGCAGCGCAGGTCTTGTTGGGTTGTGCCGGCGCTGGTGGGTGATTCTGGGAGTACGGGGTGGCCGTTGCCGGCGAAGAAGGTGGTGCAGAGGAAGGATCCTAAGGAGGGATGGGTGATTGAGAAGTTTGTGGCATGATCATTATCATTTGCATAGTGTTTTATTTGTCTCTTGTAAGGTCGGGGATTGTTATTGATGGGAGGCTTTATGATATCCACTTGGTATTAGGCCGTGTGGCCAAAATGTATACAAGCATTCATGACAGATTTGAAGCTCATATGAATCATTCAATGTACAAAAGTAAATCTGGTAGCACTAAAGCAGCCTTTCCCCCAAAAAGAAGACAAGGAACTCCGTTCCAAAACGCCATCCGGAATTTTCAAGACCAACCCAACCTTGGAAGTGCATCAACAAGATTCCTCCTCCATCTAGTCTCGTCGTCTCTCAAAACGCCGAGTACTACTAATCTCCCCCGTCTCCCGATCCTCCCGAATCCCCAACGCCCTCCTCAACCTCTCACTCTCCTCAATCTTCGCCTCCGCAAGCTCATGCACCTGATAAGACTTGTACTGCCTCCGATCCCTAGGTGCAGCCTTCTTCCCACGCGCAGCACCACCCTCCGTCTCAGCCTCCATCTCCTTCACAAGGCGCTGCCGTAGCACCTCACACCTTTCATCAATCTCCTCCTCGGTAAGAACGCGCTCGCCCTCTCCTTCACCCTCCTCCTCTTCATCCTCTTCTCCATCCTCTCTATCCTCCCTATCCTCCTTCACAGCCTTAGACTTACCGCCCTTCTTGCCTTTGCCCTTACTCTTCGCCAACGCCTCCTCAATCCGCTCATTAGCCTCCTCCAACCGCTCCCGCTCTTCCATGACGGTAACTTCAATTGCGCGCCGGCGGTCATGCTCGAGGATTTGCTTGTCCGGGAGTCGTTGTTTGAAGGCGCGGTCGGTGGGGGCGCCGTTGGCGCCGCTGACGGGTGGATAGGGTGCGCCGAAGCCGGCGGCGCGGGGTTTCAGGAAGGCGCCGTTGCGTTGGACGTAGCCTGATGTTCCGCTGCCGCGGGGTGTGGAGAGGCCGACGTTGGAGGACATTTTGGATGTGTGGGTGTGAGGGTGCGTGGTGAGGAGAGTTGCTTGATGGTGTGAGCTAGCTGGTGGGTTTCTTTTGCCCCCGCTGGTTCTTGGTTTGAGGTTGGTTGCTCTTGATTTGGGATGGGTTGGTGGCAAATTTGTGGTATGGTAATTTTGGTGGATAGACTCAGTCCTGCTGAAAGCTTCACTGGTTCGCCAGAGGAAATGTAGTATGTGGTTTGGTCTCGAAAGAAAGTTGAGGTTGAGGTTGAGATTCACAGTTTATCCGCGATCTTATCAAGATGTCACGTGAGTCTGCCATTCTCCATTCATACAGCGACAGTCCAGCCATGACAGGATGCGATACTACCCAGTCTTGTAATTGAATGGCTACTGGAAGGGCTTTTTGGATAATTCGAATAATTATCCAAACTTTTTTATTGCGGATCATCTAGACAGTCTACTACTAAAGAGCTAAAAAGACAAAGGTTGGCTGCGAGAGTAATTTAATATTGGTAATACATCAGCCACTGAGAGCAAATTATCAACAGAGCAGAAATAAAAGATGACCCAGATTCAGGCATAAGCAACACTTTCCATTGCAAGTGAAGTCTGTATACCGAACAAGCAAAGTAAGAAATAACACCCACGTCCGATATGTGTGACATCTTGGGATAAGATAGATCGAAGACACCACAGAGTGACATAAATAGATACCGTGCCATGCAAGAAACAAGATAAGAAATTAACAAAACACACAAAGAAGAAAAAAAACACACAGAAGATAATAAAAAAATAAGCAGTGATTCACTCCGGTATTTCCATTTCCGTTTCCATTTCCCTTTGATAGCAAGCTCCTTTTCCATGTCATATGCCGAAGATCGTGAAGAGAAAAAGAAGAAAATAAAGCGAAGAGGGCGAGAAGACAAGAGGATCTGAAATGATATGTTCGAATCCGTTTCTCGTGTCCGTGAAAGATTCGAGTGACCTTTGCATTCCCCCGAAATGGAAAACACACACGTAGACGCCGGTGCCAGGTAGATCGATCCCCGAGATTCGCGCCGTGGAGTGAGAAGCATTGACAGTGACAATGGCAAGGAAGAGAGGTGCAGAGTTGGAGACAAAAAAAAAAAAAAACACCACCCTCATAAGAAATAAAAGATAATGAACAGGTTTGAACCACATCACACGAAGTAAAAAATAAACCGGTTCCGAGATCAACACATGAAGATGATAACAGGATAACAATGAAGCGGGATCCCCTTGATTGTTGCGCCGTCGAGCCATGGTTGATAAGGATAGTCAGTGAAAGACACAGTCCCGGTAGATTGATATTAATATATCCGGTCGAGAATCTCCATCCCTGTATGTATACGCCGATATTAATGAAGAAGCAGAAAGGCTCGAGTTTTTGGAGGAGATCAGTGATTAGAACAGATTATGTTGGCGCGAGCGACGTCGGGGAAGAGTGTGCAAGGAATTGGTGCAAGCACTTTAGTGACCATCGACCGGGACGGGGACGCCGGTGCTGCCCGTCTCGGGACTCGAAACCGAGGTCACTGTGCTTTTGCAAAGCCCCTTTGACTCGAAAGAGTCGTCGACGGTGCTCTGGTTTTCCGTCGGGGGCGGGGTGGGTGGCGCAGTGCCCACAAAGGGAGCCTGAGGCTGCTCCATAGCCGGGATGGTGCGCTTCAAGGGCTGCGGGGAGGATTTGTGAGAGTTCGGGGGTGTGGTGGAGGTAGTGTGTGGCAGCGGGCCAGCAGTTGGCGAGTTGGGGTCGAAGATGAGCTTCTCGATGGCCACAATCTGCTTTCCGTAGCTGAACTTCTTCAGCTGGCTCAGCAAGGGCTTGATCTGCTCAATCAGGGCTTCGCGCTCGGCGCCCTTCAGCTGGCCAAGCACCTTTTGAATGACATAGTTGCCATACTGGTCGCGCATCAAGCCGAGAAGCGGGCTCTCACCACGCTCGTTGGGCGAAGTCAGGGTGGAGATGATGTTGTGGCGCTGCTCTTCGTCGCCAAACTCAATGCTCTTCTCTACCACGTTGCTGGCAAACTTGTGCTTGGAGTATGCCAGCAACTGCGACATGACAATCTGGATCATACGGTCACGGTCCTTGGCATCGCCATTCTCGATGACATGCTGGATCACGTAGTTCCCGAACTGATCAGGGATCAGACTCGAGGTGCACGCATGCAGCTCGGCGAGGATGGATTCCCGATCAGCCTCTTCGCAGTGTTCCAGCATCCGTTGGATGACCCGGCAGCCGTAGGGGTGCGCAGCGTGGCGGTTCACCTGACCCCGGAAGGCATTGATGATGAACTGCACATACTGAGATGGCACACGCTCGATAGCCTTCTGAATGACATGGTTACCATTCTGGTCTCGCACGCATTTCAGGACGTGATTCTCCAACTCCTTCACCATGGCAGCCTGTTGGTCGGTGAGGATGTGCTCCAAGGCCTTTTGCACGACACGGCAGCCGTACATCTGAGTTGATAGAGCAAGCACATGTCCACGCATCTGGTTAGCGAGGATTTTCTTTTGGCTCTGGTTGCCATGCTCAAAGAGCTTCTGCACCACGTAGTTGCCGAAGACATCGGTCATCAACTGCAAGGAGTTTGGTTGGATCTCGCGGAAGACCTGCTCCTTCTCATCGCTGTTGGCGGTCTCCAGCTTCTGCTGGATGAAGCGTGAGCCATGCTGGTCACCACTAAACTCTACCACATGGTTGTAGATGTCCTTCAACTCATAACGCTTGTTGCCCTTGCTGTTAGCACGGAACTCCTCAAGCAATGGGCTGCGAACAACCTGTGCAGGGTCCTCACGGCCTGCGCGGGCCAAAGCGGCAGGAGGGAATGAGCCGAGATGGGCCATGGGGTAGAGACCCTGCAAGGCGTTCAATCGTGCAGCGTGGAAGTTCTGGTACTCATATGACTGAGCAGTCTGCATCCGTTGAAGCGAATTAGCCTGGGCCGGAACGAACTCCTGATCGTGGAAGCCTCGCAGTCTGCGCTCAAAGGTCATCTCATCGCCCACACGGCCACCAGTTGAGTTGCGATACTGGGCAGCACCGCCAACCCCAGCATACAGGGGGCTATCCATGCGAGCATATTCAGAGGGAGAGATTGATCCGGTCTCACCTCCCCGAGACCGTGCCTGATAGGCGAGGTGCACATCTTGAGCACTTTCAGCCCCGTAGCCGACGAGTGCTTGGTAGCCAGCATCCTCGTTGGTCTGATATTTGCCACGGGGAATGGATCCGTCAAATGATGCATGGGGCATGAAGGAGGGACGTTGAGCACCAGCCTGGTTAGTGTATCCACTCTCACTTACTTGCAGCTTATTGAAACCGCCGGTAAGATCAATGGAGCCACTGCCATAGCGACCCTCGACACTGTGGTTGTCGGAGTAGAAAGAGGGGTGGGCCGAATGAGCTGGCCGTTGAGGGACGTAAGAGGTCGAATTGTGAGACATGTGAGAGAGCCCACTACGTGTCTGAGGAGGGGACATGTTGTCGGGAATTCCAGAAGCCAGGGATCCCATCCCCATCGAGGCGGCCATCTCGTCCGGGCGAGAGCTGGTTGGGAAGGTTGCTCCTACGGGGCTGCCGCCGAGGCCAGAAGAGCTCATCTGTCGACGTCCGTCACCATTTCGGAGACCAGGGAAGGCGTTAAACGACATGCCATCTCCCGACGGCGATACGCCCTCAGATCCAGAGTTCAGGTAGGGTCGGTGACTCGCAGTGCCAGTGGAGGTACCGATACCAGTAGTGCGGGGCAGCGAGAAGTAGGAGGATTCGCCAGCGTCGTTAAGAGCCGGGGCACTCCGATCATTCGCACGAGTCTGGACCGGCGAGGTGGCCATACCACTTCGGTTCTGGCTCATGGACAGGGACGAGGTGTTCACGGTACTCCACGGCAGGTTGGGGCGTCCAGCCCAGCCATCTGATTCCGACGTCGACAGCAATGAACCCGAGCCTGACTTTCCTTCAAACGCAGCATCGCCGATGTTTTGATCTGCACTTGATCAGCAAAAGATCTTCAACCCCCTCGCAAACTCAAATTCATCACCAGGCGGTACATACCATCCCCGAATCCATTTCCTAAGTTGGAGTCACCCCAGATGTTGTTCCAGTTGGGCTTACCAGCAACGAAGCTCTTCCCCACACTGTTGTTGTGTGATCCGCGAGCGCGGTCATTGTTCATCCCGGATGAACTCATGTTGGAGCGGTTCGATCGTACCTGTAGGCTCGCGGTCAATGCTTGCCTCACATTCCATGCATCGCCATCACTCACGTTGTGTACCCCAGTTGCATTGGCGGCCATCGTGGAAGCCATTCCCAGAAAAGCAGTCCGACGAGGGGGAATCAAATATGTACTCGTGCGAGGCGGTCGACAGGATTTGGACACAATTCGAAGTGTCTAGATCCTCAATCACAAGACTGAGAGTATTCGGATGTCGACCAGTAGTTGCAGCGGGCACCAGGCACCAGGAACGGCGTACACGAAGTGATTTAAGACTGGAAGGTAAAGCCCTTGTTAGCGTGGGTTCGGGTTGTGGTCATCGCGTGAAGGAGCTTGCGACATGACTTTCTCCTCACAGAGAGCAGACAGGGTCGGTCCAGGACGAAGAGGGGGGGGGAGACTCACCAAAGGAGGGGACAGAAGGGGATCAGCGGAAGTGAGAGGAGACAAGAGATCGCGATTCTCAGTTTGTGTGCTCCAGGTTTCACACTTCACTGCGGTCTTCTTCTCAGGAGTCACGAGCCCAGGACATGTACAGAGGAGACACGAGTGAGAGAGCAGGGTGGAAGGAGAGAAGGTGAGAGGATGAAGATGAAGGAGGAAAAGAGAGCGAGGGAGAATTGGCTGAAGGGAGCAACGAGAGGATCAGAAATGCGGGAAGCAAGACGAGCAGGGCCAGTGAAGATGCAAGGCGACAAAGAATTGGAAACGATGAAAATCTCCCCTTCGTTTGTCGGTGCAGCAGTAGCTGTGGCAGGACAGGACCCAGCAGTTAGAGGCAATGGAAGAGGCGTCGCGACGTTACTCTGCTCCGTGCATGCTCCAGGAATCTCCCAGCTTGCCGATCGTCCTCATGTGCCTTGTGGAGAGGCGATCCCCGAGAATGAACGGGCGGTTTGGGAGTGGGGACAGTGAAGACCCTTAAACCCTTAGAGAGAGATTCGCGCAAGGGGTGGCGGAGATAGCGTAGGGAGGGATGGGGGTTGGTTGGAGGGGGATAATGGGGGTTGGTGGTTGAGTGGAGAGAGGGAGTGAATCGCGGCCGATAAAGGGACAAGATGTGGAGGATAGTGTCGAATAGAGGAATGTGTTGCGCAAAAGAAGGAAACCCGAGCTGAGGAGTTTTAGTGGGTCGACGAGTGGGAATGTAGGCGAGAGACCAAGCACGGCATTAACGTAGTCCAGCTGTCACACAGGGCGGCAGCATGACAGCCCAGCTGTGTGGGATGTGATGATCTCTTGCTTTTTTTTTTTCGGGAGTGCCGTCGTGGCCTGGGGGAATTTTCGAGGAGGGGGGAAGAAAAAGGCGGAGAGGGAGACGAGAGAGGGGGGTGGAAGGAGGAAGAGTGGAAGGACGGAAAAGAAGAAGATGAAGAAGAGGCGAAAGCGTAACACGAAAGGAAGAAGCGAAGAGAAGCAGAAAAAAAGAAAGGTGAAGATGGGAAAATGATAGATAAGAGAAGTGGGCAGAAACTGATGCTGGCGGAGGAGCAGATCAGCCGCTTGTCGTACGGAGGCTGTACGGAGGCGGTACCAATGGTGTATTCGCCAGATGGCCATGACGCCTTGGACTGGCGTCGATCGGGGGAGGTACATTGTATTGGCAGTGAATTCCATTGTAAATTATGTTCCTCAAGCCTCTGCCAAGGCCCAGAACTACCAGTTGGGCCGGCACACGCCTGACGTACGGTATTGTCATTACCCAGTACGATCGCTGGATCTTTGGCTCTCCCGGCGCTTCTTTTTTAGTGCCCCATCCACTTATTTACACCTCGACCCTCTCCTTCCAGCTGTCAGTTCGGATTAAACTGACCAGTACATAAACAAGTACATAACCGGTACGTATGTCTGACCAAGTCCGTCCCTCAATGCCGCTATATCAAGCTTCTTCCATTCTACGGATTCTTCGACAATCCATGACAAGCATGCTAAACCCCCCAACTCTAACCTTGAATCGAGCTTTCGCTATCCCATTTTTGACTATAAATCCGCTCGTTCACTTACCTACTTCGGCCACCGTAACGCTACCACCCCTCATGCAAATCGACCAGCAAGGCTTGACCGCCAGATCGACCATGGGCGTGCATACAAACCAACCACTTCGATCCCAGGATCCCGACAACTATTTCGGCCGCCCTAGGTCGTCAAGGTGAAAACGTGAAGTCACCACCCTAAATCTTCTCGTCGGCGAAATATTCCTAGCGATCCACGTCGCCAACCTCCTGGCATGTTGGAGCCGAATCCATGGGCGGATTAGCGCAGGGTCAGCGCATACCGACAAACTCAGGTGATAATAAGCAGGTATTCACCGGGCGACGGAATGGACGAGTGATGATGATTGACTACGTATGGAGAGATTGAAGTCAGAAGGATTTGAAGTAGACAGGAAGGTCTCGGCGCTAGAGATGGACTACAGTACCAATTGCAGGAAATAGTAAGTCAGAAAAGTATAAGTTTGACCGGCACGACGAGGGCTTTGGAGGCCCAGAAAGGCCTACAGGTGAGGGGGAAAGAAATCAATTGAGATGAGCTGAGATCAATTGAGACCAGATAATACAAATACTGATCATCTCCCATCTCATCCCATCTAATGATCGAATCGCCCCATGCACGAAATTCACCGCGTTGAAGCTTCAGCCATTTTGGCAGCCCTAAAATTGGAGTCCGATCGGATCCACTTGGCAAACCCTCGCTGGGGCGTCCTTGGGCAAGTACAATAGTACAATAGTACATACCGTACGGGCGATTACTGAAGCTTGTTCTTGTATATTATCAACAACTTGTTATATGTGCAATTCAACCGATACCTATTCTCGATTTTAGATATGTACGGAGTATCTGTGCCCTCCATGATATTGCGGCCCACCCACCGCTTCCGCTTATGGGTGCGCCCTAAATCCCCGTCACCCCTAAATCCCCGTCACATTTTTACCATTCGATTTCAACTCCCTTTCCCAACCACCCAATATGCCTAAATACTCCAATTTTGACGAGGATCGCCTGCAGAAGGCCTGTAAAGCCGTTCTACACCAAAAAAAGCCGAATATCGCTAAAACTGCGCGTGAATTTAGCGTGTCTCGAACTACCCTTGCCGATCGCGTCAAGAAGGCCCGATCGCCCTTTTCTACCACTGAATCGCGCAAGAATGCGCTTACATCACATCAGGAGAAGGCTTTGACTGCTTGGATAGTCAAAATGTGCGATTGGAACCTACCGCCTACTGCAAAGCTTATAGAAGCGTGGGCAAATCAGGCCCTTACGCGCGCTGATGCGGGTCGGCAGCCGGTTGGCAAGAATTGGGCATACTACTTTATATCACGCCTTCCAAAGCACCTATCCCTCGCTCCAGTGAAGCAGAATCTAAAGGAATCAAAGCGCATTCAAGCCGAAGATGCAGGGGCTCTCTCTTTCTGGTATGATCAGCTTGCAACCCTGCTAAAGGATATCCCTGCAAGGCTAGTCTATAACTTCGATGAGTGTGGTTTCCAACCTGGCCAGGGCCAGTCTCGTAAGGTTATTAATGGTAGATTGCACTGCCCTGACCTTGCTGAAGCTGAGCGAGGCGAAACTATCACTGCACTCGAATGTATTGCTGCTGACGGCTGGCAAATGGATCCGCTATTTATCTTTAAAAGCGGCGGGGTCTTTATGGAGAGCTGGTTCCATAATAGTGAGGATTTACCTCTAAACACACTTACTGCTACCTCACCGAATGGCTGGATTTCTGATGAAATTGCTTCTGAATGGCTATATCATTTTATTTCAGCTACTGCTACACCCGGCCGTCTAAAAAAGGGTGAAAAGCGCTTCCTACTCTTTGATGGCCACGGAGCACATCTTACCCTCGAATTCCTTGAGATATGCGAGTTAGCTGATATTATACCATTCGGCTTTATACCTCATTCAACACATCTCTGTCAGCCACTTGATGGTAAGCCATTTTTGAGCTATAAGCAGCAATTTCGGCTTATGAATAATGAGCTATCTTTCTGGGGTGGTCAGCCATGTGGTAAACCGGATTTTCTACGGGTAATTGGGCCTGTACGAGCGAAGGCATTTAACCAACGAATTATTCGGCAATCCTTCAAAGATCGTGGTATTTGGCCAGTCAACGGCCAAAATATAGTGGATAAACTAGCTAGCCAGCTAGAATTTACTCCTCTTCACGCACCTGATCTTCGCGCTCATGGAGAACCCCGAACTCCATCACCGGAGCCTACAAATTTACTATCATCAAGCGTGGAGAATACCCCTCCGAAGTCAATTGAAGCGCTAGAGAAGAATCAGAAGAAGATATCAAAGAAGGTGGCTACCTTTGACCCGAAGGTTCAGCGAGATATTGCAATGCTTCACAATCACCACAGGATAATCTACGAGCGGCTTATGATGGCGGAAGCGACTGTTTCGCGAATTAGGGCCGCTCAGGAGCCCTTGAGGCGCCCAATTACCAAGCGCCAGGTTAAACCGCTTAGCCAAACTGGTATACTAAGCGTTCGCGATGCGAATCGGTCAATCAAGACTAGAAAGGAGAAAGAGGCTGCTGCGGAGGAGAGGAAGCTTGCGAAGCAGTATAAGCAGGCTACTGGTTTGGATATGCCAAAGAGGCCCCAGGAGGATATTGATAGGTCTACCGAATCGGCTAGAGTAGCCCTGGAGCGAGGAGATCTTTTTTATTTAGGCTAGTTATCTAATTTGATGGTTTTTTTAGACGCATGGTAAAAATGTGACGGGGATTTAGGGGTGACGGGGATTTAGGGCGCACCCATAAGCGGAAGCGGTGGGTGGGCCGCAATATCATGGAGGGCACAGATACTCTATACTAGCTGCTACAGTCATTATACGATAATTATTTATGCTTAACGGTAACTCTAATTCACCATTCAATTTACCTCTCCATCTCCACCCCCTCCTTTCTACACTAGTAGAGACAAATAGTAGCTGCAACAACTCGTTAACATAATCCTATCTTCAAACCAAAATCTATCATCTCTAGCTTGTCCGGGTTAGCCCGGAAAGAGGCATTCTTGAGCACTCAACAAACCAACTAAACCCAAGGAACCCGCCACCTGGCTCGCCTGTGGGTGGATGCACTATTCCAGGCCCGACGCTTGTTGGCCACAACCGCCTTTTCCCGGTTAATATTTCAATAGAAGGAAGCAGAAGGGGCTTGTTGCTGAACTAGTAATTTTTTTGTGCTTCTTGAACCATCTCAGTCAAGTAATCGGGCAAATCCCACGCCTACGCACCGCTGACGATTACAGTATATGAAATGAATCTACACTTTCCGAGGTACTCATGTATAGTCTTGTTGATATACTACTAGTAATAATTTTAATGACGGACTCATGTACCGGACAGAGCCATCAGATCATCACCACTCACAAATGCAGACTCCCTCTTCTGTCTCCTCTTCCAGAAACAGCGACACTATTGCCTATACAAAGACTAGCGTACCCTATTTCAAGTCCAGCTGCGAGTCTCACAACTAGCGCATCTGGTCGTCAGGGACTCAGGGCGAGTGAAAATTCTCCCTGGCACTTTTATTCCCTTCGCAGGTGCTAATGCCCATAACCAGCTTAGCCTTAGCTAGTGTAGTACGCTTGGACAACCCCCAGCCGAGACTAGTGCGAGGGTTAGCCTTTAGATACCGTTAGCGTTGATGTTCAGGGCTAGCCGCCCCTTGCTTCACTATCGTCACACTGATCCTTAGACTCCATCAATACAAGGCGCCAGTCGATCAATACGGAGGATTGAGTCTGCCATGTACTCTAGTTAGGCTGCAACTAGGTAGAATGACTAGCCAGAGCCCCGCGGCTCTGACGCCCGCTACTCAAACTGACCCTCCTCCGAAATAGTTCCTAGTCAGATCGCCTCTATATCTTCTACTACTTCTGGTGCCATCGGCCACCACCTAAGTCCGCGAGGTATTCAACCTAGACAGACCTTACCAAATACACTAACTAACTAACCCACATCTCCCGTCCCCGCACCCAACAAGACCACGATTACAAAAACGCCGAGACAACGAACGAACCCAAAGAGCCCAAGTCATACAATACAGGCGCAGACAAACAAGGATACCGCCTGTCCGCATCCTTGCACAAGAGTGTCACACCAGCTCGGTGTCAATCTCTTACTCGCAGAAATTCTGCGATCGTTCTTCTCCCTCGGTGGGTGCGCGGTGCGCCACGCATAGGCTGGGTGTGGAGGATCGACGTGAACCGATTTTTTGGGATCTTGATTAGAACCCATCGTTAAGCCACAATACAGTACTTAAGAACAATATTCTGGCTTGATAAATACTTGAAATCAACGGTTAAGTACAGTAGTTGTACTGTCGTATAAGAGACGGATAGACACGTCAGATAGTGGCTCCATAAATCTTCCGTAGACGTGTGTAGAACCGTAGATCCGATCGAGGTCTTGCCCCGACTCCTCAGACATAAACCCCCGTTTTCAGTTCTCATTTTCCAGGAACTTAGCCAGCCCTCTTTTCTTTTCTTTTTCTTTTGGAAGCTAATCGATCGGGGGCCCCACTTGTTACAAGCGTGATGGATGTATCATTTTCTATGATGGTTCTGTTAGGCGTTCTGTTGACCGCTTGACAAACCCTCGAACTTTTCAAGGAGTCATTTAGGCCAGTCCGGGCCACGCTGCTCGGCGGGGTTTCGACGGAGAGGGGCTGACGGTTGGATTTACGATCGGTACATAGCTGTCGAGTCTTGGCAGAGAATTTCTCTTGGTTTTTGTGGGGTTGATGGCTTGGATTTGTTCTGGAGCTAGAGCTGTTTGTAACTATAGTTCTGGGGGAGTCAGTCCCAATCGAGTCGGCAATTGAAGACTTACTTGTCTCCGTATTGATTGGGCCCGCGAATAAATGTCTTCTCCGGTCCGGACCTGCGTTTGTCATGCAATGGATCTCGTCTCAATGTGAATTGGAAGTATCCAGTCGCATCGCCCTTCAGAACAGCTTGGCCTTTCCCGTCGCGGATATGTAACCAACCTATCTTCTACGGCCCAGAAATTCTTCCTTACGCCCGCGGTGCCGGTGTCTATTTCAAACCCTTTCATTTTCAATGCACTTACCTGAGTATATCTATGCAGAGTATACCTACCTAGGTAGTCTAGTCCGACGGGCAGTTTGCATCCTGCACATGCTCTGTCGCTGCCTGTACCTGCGACGGGTCCGACAAACATGGATGCCAGAAGGACGGGAGCTGATCATCCATGTCGCTTGGGTCTATATTAATAGGGTTTTTTACTGACAAACTCATGGATTCCAATATGTCCAACGTGCGTGGTTCTATGGATTTTGATATGCACATGGGGGTGGTTGCACAGCACGAGTGCTGGTTTCATAGAGATGAAGCCCAGTGGATGGATATATATAGATGGAGGGTGCCTAGCCCATGAACGACGAGAGCTAATTAATCTAGACCTACCTAGGTGGAAACGCTACCCTCTAGGCATTTTAAACCCCGAAGTGCATAAGTTTGTACATCCATTTACGCTTGAGTTGTTGTTTAAATCATGGAAATTGCCAGCCGTGATGCAGAGACTAGTCATAAGGTTGGCTCTAACAGAGAAGGACACCTTATACTGTAGTTGTCAGTAGAAAGAGAACCGAACAGAACTCGTACATGAGGAACTTCGAAGGAGCCTATTTGATTATCTCATACTTTATCATTATTCAGGAGCCGAATTATGGGAGTATACATGGATTTCCTAGTCTACAAAGAGCCGATCTAAACTCATGATCGAATCAGGAGAACAGGCGTGCTATCGATGATGTTTATGTTTACATTGAGTCTTCGCAGTATCCTGAGACAGACAATTTAACTTAAGCTTCAATGCTGGAGACCCCAGGCGAGGGCAGTGCATTGATTTAATTTGCCTGGGCCTGGAGTTGTCTCTTGACCTTGATTATATTGCATTATCGAGACCCTGGCAACAGGATGAAACGACCCACTTGGGGCCTTGAGAGGGCTGAGATTCAATGTAATTGCCCTGTTGAGTAAACTGTTGTGTGGATGATGGTGTCGCAGGACTACTTCTGAGACACCGGTGTTATGCGCATACCATGGACTGACTCTGGAGAACAACAACTTTAATCCCATTGATGCATGAACCATCATTCGTCTTGGTCGCATGCCACCTCGGCCACCAGCAGAATCTGAGCGCTAAACCTGCTGCTCCTCCCACTTAACTCGTTTGGTCAACCGTTTGCCCGTGATTCAGGGGAGACCAAAACAAAGCGGCATAGTTCGGTGGATCCAAATAGGTCATTGGCGAGTCACAACGCGCCGTTGGTGGTGCTCGAACCCACTCTCCAGGAACCCTCGCGTGCCCATTGGTGAGATGGGACTAAGAGTGTAGGGCCAAGGCCCGACCGAATAGGGCCCGTTGGCAGTCCAGCAAGCCCGCTAGACTCAGGAGAGTTTAGAGTCAGCCAAAAATAAAGGGACGAGAAACGTTTGGCCTGGGGCCAGTCGAGTCTAGGCAGTCACTGGCACTGGTCCTAAGTGGGCGCAGCGGTTGTTCGGTGGTGCTGACTGGCTGAGGAGAAAGAAGACTGAGCGGTGTCCAGGTCCACACCCTTTTTCCCTCCTCCTCCCCTTCTTTCCCCTGTTTTCCCTTCATTCTCCAACCCTCTTCTCTCCCTCGAACCCTCCTCTCATCCGACCATCAACCCTCCCCTCCATTCTTTCCTACCCTTTCTAGCAGGCATCGGCTTCACTCTTTCAGCTGTACGCCTTGCTATCCATTCTTTCCTTTAACCTGCCACGCCGAGTCCTTCTGGTCTTCGAAACCTCATCCGATCCGGCCTCTCCATTCTTTCCACCAATATCACGACGAACCAGTCAGCGACTAAGGCCTCGTCCATTCCAACCATTCGGCTATTCGACAGTCTTTCGTTCTCTTCTTCCACGCTATCCGCCACTCTCTTTCGGAATTCAACCGTGTCGATCATTTATCGCTCCTCCCCACTGAGCCGATAATCATCCAATCTTCACGTCAATCAATATCAACGACAACAATTACAACAATCACCTGCAAACCGACAACATGTTCTCCCTCAACCAAATGGTTCGCCGCGGCGATGACAACACCGGCCTCTCCAACACCATGGTCGACCTCCTGATCTCACTCCTTGTTCTCGTCCTGCTCGCCCTCGCCCTGATCGGTGGCCTGTTCATCATCCGCCGTAAGCGCAACAAGGATTCCGTGCTCCCCGTTCACAACGGCCAAGTCCCTACCACCCAGCGTCGGTTGACCATCACCGCCAACAAGCACGACTCGATCATGGTCTACGATGAGAAGCGTGCTCTGATGGAGAACTCCGACAGCCCCCCACCCAGCCCGATCCCCGAGATTCGCATCACTTTCCCCGAGGAGGAAGATGAGTCTGGCCGACGCAAGTCTGGCCGCATGGTCGTCGTGCGTATCAGCGAGGCTGGCAGCGTGGGCCTGGAACCTTGCCACGAAGAGCTGCCCCCGTACCAGACCAATGACACCGGTCGGTTCCATTCTCTGGATATCGAGCGCATGGGCGGTCTGAAGGAGAAGGAAGAGTTCAAGCATTACTCTTAAAGCGACGACGGGAGCAGATTCGTATGTGACTGACTGTCTCTGCTGTCAGACAGTCATCCACCCTGGTCCGCTTTCAACCTCACTCGCACCCTTCTCTTCTTCTTCTTCGACGACCTCTCAAAAGCATGACGAGCATCTTGGCGAACATTTTCTTCTCTTCTTCATCTCCTTTTCTCTATCATATACCTTGTTCTTTTCCTACTCGAACCTGCCCACGCGGCTTGCACATATTATGCATGCATCAACCCCTGTTTGGTTACATCCAGACAAACCACGTCTTCTCTCCTAAGGCTTCGTTTCCACACGAATTCTTTCGAGAGAAGAGTTCGGTCGGGTCTCCCGCCCAGAGAACCGCCGACGCTGGAATTTTGTATAGCGAGGGCCTGCCGATTATCTGTTTGAGTTTGTGGTTTCTATGGCGTTTCTTCTTTGCGGTCTTCTTCCATGTTCCCGGCCCTGCCACGTCCCTAGGGTCCGAATGACGTGTGACAGTTTTTCTTTTCCTTATTTCTTTCATCTGTACGTTTTCATTTCTCTCATCTTCTTACAGGGGCGGCCTCTTTTTCTTTTCTCTTCTTTTTTAAGGCCGCCTTTTCCTCTTTCTTTTCTTTTATCTTCTTATGTGCCTCTTGGTATCATTCCGGCAGCTGGATAATGTATGTACCTAGTCCTCCTATCTTCCTAGGCAACTGTGCACTCTATTCTGTTTTGCGAGAACTCGGGATACTTGATTAAAAGACAAGGCCATTCCCATAGAGAGTATGCTTGTATCTATCTGGGCGACCGGAATTAGACTACAGAGTAACTACTCAAGTCTTGTTTACCGGAGGACATCCATTTAGCTGGGAGACTCCAATTCACATCCTAAACTACTATGGCCAAGCTAGGCCAGTTACTTAACTGTGTGGCATTCTCAAGCCAAAGGTCCCCACTATACCACCGACCAATTAGACGCCTCCCGTTGGAGCTCTCCCCAACCCGCCGCTTCCGCGACGTCAGTAAATTTGGGTCGTCTCTCTTTTGTCCACTGCGAAAAAAAACCACACTCTTTTAAATCACGCCTCTACTATATACATATATACCAACCCGTGCTCCTAGAAGCCATGTCAAACCTCTAGACGCCCTCACACAAGGGAAGCCGCCCCTCCGAGCACAGACAGGGGCCACCATCCTTCATCGCCTTGTCCAGTCCCCCGAACCTGGCTCCTCTTCTTCGCCGTTCCTTTAGACGAGCCGTGCTGAAGGCGGGTCAATTGCCTCAGTCCGTGCTTGATTACGGCTTCCCTGTCCGAATTACCAACGAATATCCCGATACATCGATTTCATTGCATCCCCGCTACGTGCGCCTCGTTGGGCCTTGCGCACAACACCACATCAGAGCTATTCAGACATTTACCGTTCGACGATCTTACGCTACGTTACTGTGTTAGCATTTTCATTTCTTCAAAATGGTGTTAAAAGCGCCCACGGGGAGTGCGGGCACTAGCGGCCCTAAAAATCCCTTGACGGCCACCGCGAAAGAGAAGGAAATCGCTTTGCAGGAAGCAAAGTCCCAGCAGCTTGAGCAGGAGTTCAAGACGAAGCACCTTGGTATATTGGGGGTGCTACTATGGGTCTTGTGAGTATATATCCAGCGAGTAGGGCTATGAGTGTGTAGCTCGATCATTATTGAAGTAGTTTGAGGAACAATAGGCTGACCGTGGTCTCGATTTCTGTAGGCTCCTGCACGTTGCCGGCATTTACTTCTTCACCAAGGGCTTCCTCCTCACGCGCATGGTTCTCGAAAATAAATCTTCCTGTGATATCCTTCCTTTCGACGACGTCTCGGGTAAAGCGGTTTCATCTTCAACGGGGGGCAAGAAAGGTTGCTGGCATGATAAGACCTTCGACAAGGCCGTTGTGATTATCATTGATGCCCTCCGTTATGACTTCACCGTGCCTTTCGCCTCAATGGACCAGGACGAAGCTGCTCATCTGTTCCATGACAACATCCCGGTTCTCTATGAGACTGCGGTCAACAACCCCAGCAACGCTTTCTTGCTCCCCTTCATTGCCGACCCGCCTACTACCACTCTGCAGCGTCTGAAGGGACTGACTACTGGAACCCTGCCCACCTTCATTGACGCAGGATCCAATTTCGCTGGTACTGCCATCGACGAGGATAACCTGGTCGCCCAACTGCACAGCGCTGGAAAGACCCTCGTCCAGCTCGGCGATGATACCTGGCAGTCACTGTTCCCGGGCTACTTCGATGCTAACCTCACGCACCCATATGACTCGTTCAACGTGTGGGACTTGCACACTGTCGACAACGGCGTCAACGAGCACTTGTTCCCACTCCTTCAACCGGAGAACAAGGGCAAGTGGGACGTGATCTTCGGCCATTATCTGGGCGTTGACCACGCTGGACACCGCTATGGACCCAATCACGTCGCTATGGCTGCCAAGCTGCAAGAAATGGACCGAGTCATTCGTAAGATCATTGCTTCTCTGGATGATGATACGCTGCTTGTTGTGATGGGTGACCACGGTATGGACACCAAGGGTGATCATGGTGGTGAGTCGGACGACGAGGTCCAGGCTGCATTGTGGATGTATTCCAAGCGTGGTGTGTTCGGTCGCACTAGCAAGGACACCCTCCTGCCGCCGAAGCACGCCCGCGAGCGCTTTGTCCCGCAGATCGACCTCGTCCCGACTCTGTCGCTCCTCCTTGGTATGCCCATTCCGTTCAACAACTTGGGCTCGCCCATCGAAGAGGCGTTTGCCGGTTCGAGCGGTAATGACTGGTCGAATCTACTGGCTGTTAACCGCCTGTCGGCGGCGCAGATCAAGAGATACCAGCATGCATATGCAACTGCCCGAGGCGCCGGTGATGACGAGGAGTCGTTCGCACTATGGACAGCTGCCGAGGAGGAATGGAAGTCCGCCTCCAAGGGCTTCACATCCAAGTCGACTACGGTCCGTTCCAGCTATCAACTCTACCGCAAGTACCAGCGACACACTCTAGAGATTTGCCGTGGTCTCTGGGCGCGCTTCGATGTGCCCAGCATGATCGCAGGAGTTGCGCTTCTGTTCTTCGGCATCTCTCTGCTGGTGTTGTATGCCCGCGGAATGAAGATCGACCGTACCGAACTCACCCCGTCTCTCCTCTCGTTTGTTGGTGCTGGAACTGGACTTGGAGCTGTGGCTGGTGTTGTATTGGTTCTCTTTGGATTCACTGATATGGCTACCATTGACGCCTCTGCCCTCCTGGCTGCATTCGGAAGCATGGCTGGGGGCCTTTTTGCGTTGGTCAAGAAGCCCGAGAACCTGACGCTGCCTATCCCTAATGGCATGTGGGGATGTCTCGCTTTCTTCTTCACCGTTTCTCAGTCCCTTGGTTATGCGTCAAACTCGTATACCATTTGGGAAGATGAGATTCTCCTGTTCTTCCTGACGACATTCGGCGTGTGTGCTGGTATCTCGTCCATGCGTCAGAAGTCCACTACAGACCGTGTCCTTGGCGTGTACCACTCCATTCTCTTCGTGATTCTGGGCCGAGTTGCCTCATTTTCCCGTCTTTGCCGTGAGGAGCAGATGCCATTCTGTCGCTCGACTTACTACGCTTCGTCTACCTCGTCCATCTCTGCTCCCTGGCAGCTGGCTATTCCCTTCCTGGTGGCTCTCATTCTCCCTGGTGTCGTGCGATCTTTCTACGCCGGATCCAAGTCCTACGAAGGTGCTGCTACTCTATGGATTGGCTTTGCCTTCCGTCTGGGTCTTCTGATCACTTCTCTGTTCTGGATGCTCGAAGGCGCTGATGACGGCGAGTGGTTGCCACTCCGCAAAGAAACTCTCAAGTCTGTCCGCGTCTTCCTCGCCCAACTGGTTCTCGCTCTTGCCTTCGGTGCCGGCACAGGCGCATACCTCTACTCCAAGCCCTGTATCAGTATCAGCGTGAACAAACCAACCGAAGACCCCAACGCCCCTCCAGCCCCCGTTATCCTCGGCCAACAGCAACAACCACGGACAACCGTGACAATCCTTGGCTTCGGCAACGTCTACGGTACACGCTTCTTTTTCCTTGTCGTCAACTTCGCCCTCGCAGTTATCCTCATGCAAAAGCCCATGGGCCAAGGCGCCATCGCCCTTCTAATCTGCCAAATCCTGTCTCTCCTCGAAATCCTCGACACAAACGCCCTCACTCTCACAAACTCGCCCATCGGCCCCGTCGTCCTCGGCCTCCTCGGCTCCTTCTACTTCTTCAAAACCGGCCACCAGGCCGTCCTCAGCTCCATCCAGTGGGAAACCGCCTTCATTCCCATGTCAACCATCAAATACCCCTGGTCCCCTCTCCTAGTTATCCTGAACACTTTCGGCGCGCAGATCCTCGCCGCGATCGCCGTCCCACTAACCGTCCTTTGGAAACGGCCTTTACAGACGCACGATCGCGTCTCGCAATCTTCGAGCACGAAGGTGGCTAATCCCGCCTCCAGGCTCCTCTCGGACGTCGTTCAGGCTGCGTCCACGCACATGCTGTATCTCGCGACTATTAATCTCGCGACGACCATGTGGGCGGGCCACCTGCGTCGCCACCTGATGCTATACCGTATTTTCAGCCCACGCTTCATGATGGGCGCTGTTGTGTTGGGCGTCGTTGACGTTGTCCTTATGCTCTTTGCTGTTGCAGGCGTGCGTTGGAGCACGCTTAGCGTTGGAGAGATCTTTGGTTGGTGAGCGCTGTATCGCTCTTGTATTGTACGACAGTACATATGTGGTCCGACGAATTTGGACTATAAACCCGTTGAGACTATATGCGTTGCTTATGTTGCATGCCTGGATAGATCTTGTTCCCCTCAGTCCTTCTTTCCGATTCTCCTTTTTCTCCCTCTTTGCTCGAATACATAATCAAAATAGATATCTAGTCATGGCAAATACTTGTTTTTGCGATGAACGTTATTTTACAGTGTAGGCTACTGGTCAATAAGCGTAGATGTCCAATCAGCTGATTCAAATGCCGCCTTTTGGCTAAATTCAAAGCTCTGCTGCTGATATTAACCCGAAGTATCCCATTGGTCCCCGCTAAGGTTTGAAGCTCCACGAAGCTCCTTTGTATGAATCCACGTTGCGGCCCCGTCACGTCGGGGAGTGTCGGCCACCCCGCATTGATGGGCACGAGACACTTGCGATGAGCTCAATGCTCGTTCCAAAGAAAGGTATGTCTCTCGCCGGCTAAATAGCAGCTATGCTGCCTGTGAAGAAAAGAAAATGAAATTATTCACAGCTATAAGAAAGGCATTGGAAGCGCCTTGACCTCTCCTCCTTTGCAAGGTCACACAGCCATAACCTTTTCTTCTTGACTTCTCTCTGCAATTTGATCCAATATGACGGGCTTCCTACGGGTCGAAGGGACGAAAATCGTCAACGAAGATGGCAAACCAGTTATCCTTCGTGGCGCTGCTACTGGAGGTCACCTCAACATGGAGAACTTTATCACTGGCTACGCCGGACACGAGACCGAGCACAAAGAAGCTATGTTGAAAGTGATGGGTCAAGAGAAATATGATTTCTTCTGGGACAAATTCTACGATTATTTCTGGACGGACAAGGATTCGGAATTCTTCGCTGCTTGCAACCTCAATTGCCTCCGTATCCCGTTTAATCATCGCCATTTCATCGATGATCGGGACTTGACCAAGATCAATCCCAATGGCTTCAAACTGCTTGATCGGGTGGTGGAAAGTTGTGCGCGATTCGGCATCTATACTGTCTTGGATCTTCACACTGTGCCTGGTGGTCAGAACCAGGATTGGCATTCTGACAACGGAACCCATCGCGCTCAGTTCTGGGATTATGGACATTTCCAAGATTCCATCATCGAGTTATGGAAGGCGATTGCAGAGCACTACAAGGACAACGCCTGGATCGCTGGATACAATCCTCTCAACGAACCCGCCGACCCCAAGCACACCCGCCTCATCGACTTCTATACACGAATCGAAAAGGCCATCCGCTCAGTTGACGACAAGCACATCCTCTTCCTTGATGGAAACACCTATGCCGCTGATTTCAACTACTTCCCGGAAACACCCTATCCCAACTCCGTCTACTCCATCCACGATTACTCCAAATACGGCTTCCCCTCATGCGAGGAGAGATACACCGGCACCGAGACACAAAAGAGCAAACTCCTCGCCTCCTACGAGCGCAAGATCGCACACATGAAACAAGTCGGCGTGCCCGTCTGGAACGGAGAATGGGGTCCCGTCTACGCATCCGCCATGCGAAACGACACCGACATTGAGGAGACGAATGCATCGCGGTACCTCCTCATGCGCGACCAACTAGCAATCTACAAAAAGGGCGATCCCTCCGGCGACAGCGCCCCAATTTCCTGGTCCATCTGGCTATACAAAGACATCGGCTACCAGGGCTTGACATTCGTCTCCCCAGACTCGAAGTGGTATCGCCACCTCCGACCCTGGCTCGACAAGAAACTCTCCCTTGGCCTGGACAGATGGGGCCGTAACGCCGCGCCGGAGGTGGAGAGTATCTATCAGCGCGTAAAAGATCACTTTAACGAAGTTATTCCTAAGGAACACGCGAGGGTGCTGTACCCACCTACGTGGAGCACGAGTGATTATGTTGATCGGGTTCTGCGGGATGTGCTGCTGTCGCAGTATTTGGCGTGGGAGTTTGCGGATTATTTCAGGGATCTGTCGTTTGAGGAGTTGGATGAGTTGGCGGCTTCGTTTAAGTTTGAGAATGTGATGCATCGGGATGAGTTGATTGGGTATCTGAAGAATTGGATTTAGAAAGTGTTGCTGAGGGGGTGGATTCGAATGGTAGAACTAGATTGTTTAAAGATATGTCATTTGTATATTGTTTTCTCTATGATCAATTCTCCAATTTCAAAGATGCAGAGTCTAAGGTCCCTAGTGGTATGAGAGAACGAGAGGAATCCTATCTAATCCAATATCTGCCTGTCACACTCCAAATCTCAAGCCCCCGTATCCCATTAGGGTGAATGGAGCCCACAGGTGGGAACTAGCCCAGTCAATCTGCTCGAGCCGGCAATTCTTCCACCAGTCCAGGAAGTTTCTACCATCAGGGAAAAAAGTGTCCGCGTTTTTTTCTCCATGCCTTAACTCGTCTCATCGATCTTCTACCTCCTCAAGAAGGCGTGTTTCCTTTTTCTCGTCCATCTGCATGAGCTCCAGCTGAGCGTGTCGCAAATTCTCTGCAATAGAGTGATGGGGACATTGCTTGATGTTTCCATAGAAACAGATAGCTTGGCTACTATTGATTGCTTATACGTTCGCTCCACAAAAAATTCAATTTATGGCCTCCCTTGGTCTCTCTCCAGAAATGACCGAGCTTTAGGCGTGGCTATGCCTGGAAACGGCTCATATCACGCGTATAATATGCGAGGGATAAGTGCTGATATTTGTAGTCAAACTTGCCAATTTTGACATACTTAAGCTTGTACTCGATGGATCTTCCGATGGATCAATACCGTTATTCTTATTCGCGCTTAGTCTTGTCATATATTAGCCTATTCAACTTGAGCCACTGTCAGCTTGCGCTCTGACTGTATGTTTTTTCTACACAATCGGTATTGGATACTTAGCTTTGGGAGCCTGACACGGGCGACACTCCCCGATGCCGATGGCCACGCAAAAGTGGGGCATCATTTGTAAGAAAGTTTGCCATTGCTTTATAGTTTTGAGCTGTCCGAGACTCATCTTATGCAAAATAGAGAATTTAGCCATAGTCTTAATTTGGTGCTATCTTGCCTAAAAGTCTTGAGAGAATGATAACTTAATTGTAAAATAGAACGGCAGTGGAGATGGGACGAGTTAGCCCGAAAGCATTCGACCTTTTAGCTCGAAAGGATCCCAAAGGTCGAATCTCTGAAAGCCATTCCAGTTGGTCAGTGGCTAGGTAAGTGCTACAAGTTATCGTACCTGCCATAATGACATGCATTAGGAGAAGCCTAGGTTATGACCAATACTCTTAATTGATCTATTTCTTTTTTTCGGCTCATCATAGGGCACAAATTATAGCACAAACTAGGTCGCGATGCTGGACTTTTCATGCCATAATCTTCTTCATGAGCCTCCGGTTCCCTCTGGAATATCAGAAACAGTCCAGGTGAGCAGATCTCTCCACTTTGAGAGCTGAGGCATCTCATCTTTCCACAGAGATAGCAATTCTGCGGTCCATGTTATACCTTCCAGCCACCCTGAAGGCATTACTAGTCCTGTTAAAGAAGCAGCCAATAGTACAAGCGCACTTCGTGTACAAGACCAGATCAACAAGAATGTACCATGATGTCGATGTGTAAAGCCGGGATAGTTGATGTGCAACCGCCGTAGTTGTATCTCAAGACATTTGGCCGCTAGCTCCACAACAGCCGTAGAGGCGGCCAGTCTATTGGTGGATGAAGAGGGCGAATATTGGCTGACCTTAGGAGATCGGATTTCAAGGGCGGCAGAGGTATTCTCATGAATTATTGATTCATGTTGAGGCGACAAAATAGGTTGGGACGCGGATGACTGAGGGGAGAACACCGATGGAACAGAAGAGAAGTTGTTCAGCCGGCTTGCTAGAAACGGCCAATAGATAGCTTCGCAGTAATCAATATAGTGCCCACGAAGAACAAAACGGCATATGTCGTCACTTTCGGCAGGTTCTTGCAGTGATAGCTCTGGCGGTAAGCTTGCAGCCCACCGACGGCCTTGCTGCTCGTATTCAGGAACCAGGGTAGCCAAATGAGCCAGAAAACTGGCCTCGCTCTTCTCGGTACGGTACAGAGAGAGAATCTCGTCACAGACATTGCTCTGGAGCCGACGCAGAGAAATTTCAGCTAGGTAAAATAACCATGATGCTCGCTCTCTTCGTTGATCGACCGAGTCGTTTGAGGCGATTTCAGGCGGAGTAGGGAAAAGTGGTGGATATAGACGAGAGGTATCTCCAGTGGCTGGAAAATCTGGCAGACATAAGCATCGGCGCAGCTCACGCTCTGATTTCCATGCAGTCCAGTATACAGCCTGCTCTTGCGAGTTAGGCTCGGCAATTCGCTCCTCTCTTTCAGATTCATGGATAGATGAGATGTATTCATCGTTATACATCTTTCGTAGGAATGCAAATTGTTGGGAAGCTGCCAGGGCCTGTACGAAAAACTGCCAGGCCAGGAATGGACGAAAAGTGCACATCTTATAGAGACCAGAAAGGATCAGACATTGCGGAACAATCAAATGATCAGCTTCATTATTCACCAACAGGGGCCCCATTCGACTTTGTGCCTCATGAAACAGGACCTCTGCCTCGGAATAGACTGCCGAATCCGGACCGGTGCCATCCTTCTGAATGTCGGGATTCTCTCCAAACGGTGTTGCAAGATGTCCTAGAGCACACACAAGAAACGCCAGGCATGACTGACCCGACTCATCAACACCATGCGCAGCCTTTGATAGTACAAGACGACGCGTTGGGGCTTCTTTCAGGATTGGATTCTTGCAGTGTACAAACGTAAAGAAGCTGTCCAGAAGCTCATTCACACCCCTGCGTTCACTGAGATTGTCATCTAACAACCGTGCCCCACGACGGTCTCGAGTTGCGGAATTACGTCTTTTTTGTGTTGGCTTCTCCGCCCAGTGACTCCAACTTGAGTCCTTGTTGGTGAAGCCAGCATTGAATCGATACTTCTGGAAAACACCAAGGCATAGTAGACGATCAGGTGATTCAGGCAGAGCTCCAAGAAGCGGTGTATTTTCTCCGGATACTGAAGGAATCAATGTATCCTGACCAGAATGGACACGAGAAGGTACCTTACTTGGCGGATCATTCAATCTGATGTTCTTGTGTCTGCTTTCGCCAAGGGTGGATGACGCAACACTGTCTGAACCGTGTCCTTGCTGCTGTGCTAAGGAGGAAGTTGGTTCCAATGAAGTTGTTGGCTGAACGCCTTGTTGTCGCATCAACCTTTCAAGCACATCCAGCCGCTCGAGGATCTTCAGGCTTGCCGGGTCAAAGCTAGACAGGTCCTCCGCGGTCTGGTTGCAGACCGCCCCAACACTTAGGCAATATGAGCAGGTCGGCTTTTGATTATCACATTTGGTCTTGCGAGCGCGGCACACCTGGCATGCTGCATTGGCCCGCTTACGCGGATAGAACGCAGTGCCTCGAGCAGCTGGTCGTTTTCGACTGTTGGCTGGTTCATGGTTCTCTGTCTCCGACTCGCCTATGATCGGCGGGGCCAGGACTGTAGGAGGAGCTTTCTTGTGGGTAGCCATGACGGAACAAATTCACTTAGAGCCGTTTAACTACGCCAGGTCCGGCTAAGTGCGTGGGCAGATGCAGAATGAATGTTTGATGGTGAAGTGAAGTCATCGGGGAGTGTCGGCTTTAGTGGAATCTGCGGGGGATGAGATCAGGTGAGTCGCCGAGACCACAACTTTCACCTGTCCATTCATTCCACTGGCCATTTCCCCACTCCAAGCCTCTTAAACTATAACAAGCATGTCTCTGGGATACTATTCGTCAATGAGAAAAAGATCAGGCCCTAATGCACCCCAGGGTTGGCTAGCCCGCTAGTCGTGGATCGGCCGGGACATTCTTTATGCCTCGTTCGCAGTTGCACCGGAGACTCTGAGTCTTCGGAGAGAGACGAAAGTCGTACAACATCGGCTCGACTTCGCCCCAGCAAAGAACTTGAGATCCTGAAGGCCCTAAATTTAGCCTAATTCCCCATAAAACGGGCTAGGGCCAAACTTTAGGTCCTGGGCATCCATTGCACGGATAGGTGCCATCGAGACTAGCTGGAGTCGAAACCTGGGGTTAGACATGAGGCCATCGATGTTGATTCGTGATTTGGGCTCCTATACTGCAAACGCAGGTGTATATAATCCCATCCAAGTTCCTGAAATCCGTCCGCATGCAAGGAACTATCGAACACCAAAATCTACTTTCCTGCATCTGGCCGCCATATATCCCTGACAAGGTTGGTCGCTTTCAGTGGACGGCTTCCACGTCTATGCCTTTCGATCATCATTCGCTGACTTTCGAGCTCTAGCAATCATGACTGAGCACACCAAATCCGCCCTTGAGATCAACGACGACAAACTCGAAGAGGCCACTACAACCGCTGTCGAGAATGTGGCCTCGGAGACCAAGTCGGCAGTGCCACAAACTGGGGCAGCACATGAGTTGACCCTACGAAAGGTTCTTCGTGATCATCCAGCGCTAGTATGGTGGTCCTTCTATTGGGCTATGGCTGGTGTGGCGTGGTGAGCATATCGTCCCAAACACCGTGATTATAGATCATCCGTCTAATCCTCATCTAGGGGGTTTGATGCTCAGATCAATGGAAGTGTTTTGTCGATTTCATCGTTTCGTCTTGCGTTCGGGTATGCCATTCCTCAGTACTATTTGCTCGAACCGTTTCCTGCTCGACCACTTGCCTGACAAACCCCTTGGCTTGTCAAGGATCTATGGACACCGGTTGCATCTGAATACCAACTAACCATGAACAGATACGAGCAGAACGGCGAAGTGATCTTACCAGCTCGATGGCAAACCGCCTTCAACACCGTCAGTAGCGTGGGACAGTTCTTCAGTTGCTTCCTATGCTCAATGCTGAGTGATCGCATCGGTCGCAAAGGAGGCCTCCTAGTGGGCCTAGTCTTCTTGACGGGAGGCATTTTGGGAGAAATGTTCGCTGATGTACCTGGGGGTTTTGTCGCCGTCAAACTCATTCTTGGATTTGGTTTGGGCTTCTTGCTCACCCTTGGACCCTTGGCGACATCAGAAATAACTCCCGTGGTGCTGCGTGGAGTGGCGACAGCTGGCGTGAATCTGGGTATTGCTATCGGCCAGCTGGTATCTAACGGCGTCATCAAGGGCTTTGGCTCCCGTTCTGACACATGGGCATACCGCGGTCCTTTTGCCATACAGCTCTTCTTTGTGGCTTTCTTGCTCGCTGGTCTGCCCTTCGCCCCAGAGACTCCATGGTACCTGGCTCGTAAGGGCCGGCAACAAGACGCGGCACGATCTCTGCAACGTCTGTATGGACCCAATTTCGACGTCCAAACCATGCTGGATAATATCCAGCGAACCATTAACGAGGAAAATGAGACATCGCCTGATCATGAGACATCCTGGGCTCAATGCTTCCGCGGCACGGATCTGAAGCGTACAATGATTAGTATGGGCGTCTTCGTGTGCCAGCACTTTGCGGGAATCATCTTTGTCTTAGGTTATTCAACCTACTTCTTCGAACTGGCTGGACTGCCCAATTCCCAGAGTTTCAGTCTGGGTGTTGGTGTGACTGCCTGTGGTGTTCTGGGCAACATCCTCAGTTGGTTCATCGTCAATTCACTGGGCCGACGCAAGATCTTCCTCACCGGCATGGTCTCCTTGTTCTTGATTCTCATGCTGATCGGCATCATGGACGTTGTGCCAACTTCTGGCGCACACTGGGTTCAGGCTGCGGTTACGGTTATCTATAGCTTTGTCTATTTCGGCACTATTGGAGCAATGGCTTTCACTATTCTCGGCGAGACTAGTAGCGCTGCGCTACGTGCCCGAACGACCGGTCTTGCTACCGCTACTCAGGCTGTCATGGGAATCATCATGAATTTTGCCTGTCCATACATGGTCAACCCCGACGAGGGCAATCTCAAGGGCAAAGTAGGGTTCGTTTTCGGGGGTCTTTGTGCTCTTGCGACCGTTTGGAGCTTCTTCTATGTCCCTGAACTCAAGGGGCGATCCATGGACGAGATCGATCGACTATTCGCCCTTCGCATCAAGCCTCGGAAAATGGGTACCTATAAACTCCATTGATTGCGATGTCCAAAGGCCTTCGTCATGAGAAAGCACTTTCGCTTCATCTTGTCGGAGTTCAGGCAGGCTGAGGGTTATGTGCATGCTTTCCAATTTTGGGATCTGGATGTGTAATTGAGATGAGGCATAGTTTAGGTAGATTCTCATTGTGATGAGCTTTCTTTCTCTGTTGGAGTGTCCCTTCCATTTGAATTAGATCTCAATATGTTTTAGTGACTTCTGGTCGGCCCGCCTAGTATTGTATAGTTGACTAGTGACCTCCAAATCCGAACACAAGTTCATATTCCAATCGATCTTATTTCAGATGCTTATTTCTGTGACTGGAGGACAAACCTATGCTAAATAGACGCCGTAACGGAATAGGAAATACAGCGGGCGGGGGTAAATCCATAACCGTAAGGAGTATGAATTTCTCCGCATAAAGTGGAGGAGGTCACCGGAGTCTCTCCGGTAATTCCTCCGCCCCAGTTTTCTCCTTTCGCACTGCTTCATCATTCGTGCCACAAGCTTCGCGCTCCAAACTAAAGTTTAACGGGCATAGGCACGCTTCGTGCATGACGCGCAGCAGGCAAGGTTCCCCGTGGGGGAGTCTTGGAGCCGAGATCGCATGATCCTTGACTGCGGGGAGAGACAATCTCCAAATTGTGTCGAGCTGCATCACCCCCTCACTACCAGTGTATCTTCTCGGGACCACAGGAACCTGGCTGTGAGATTGCTGGACCGTCAAAAGAGAGATATTCGCCTCTATCACTCAAGATGCCGCAAAGATCTAACTGTAACAGTGGCAGCGAGCCTAAAGGCAACGAGCAGAACGGCATAGAGCCACCAGACACGGCCAAGGTCGAGGACGACGTACCGGCCTGTCAGTCTTGTCGCAAGAAGAAGGCGCGATGCGATCGTGCTCAGCCATGCTCTCAATGTGTCCGGTTCAAGGTCACTTGCGTCTACGATGACAGGAGAATGAAGCCCGGTCTTCGCGCTGGTGCGGTCGACCAACTCTACCGCCGCATCGAAACCCTCGAAAACATGTTTCTTGGACAGGAGATGCTGTGGCAACAAGTATGGCAAGCGCTTCATCCAAATACAGCTCTCCCTGAGCAGATAAAAAACGGGACCGGCGATACAGACCTGGAACAGCGACGAGAACAATTGAAAAACCGTTTGCTGGAACCTGTGCCTTATACAGAGCGTGCAAACGGACAAGAAGCCCACAATGAAAGTATGGACGATGTGGAAGCAACTACCCGCGCAGCAAAGCGCCGCCGACTTAATGAGAACGCCTCTTCGACCCCTTCAATTGACGTTGACGACGATCTGACTACGATCTTGCCGCCCGAAGTTATGGACGAGTTAGTTGATTTCTACTACGTTAATATTCACCCCTGGATACCGGTCCTGCATGTGGCCAAGTTCCGCGAGCGCATGCGATCTCCAGAACATCGCCCGCGAGTCGCTTGTATCCTCCATGCAATTATAGCAGTTTGCGCCCGATTTTCCCAAAGCGAATTTCTACAGAACGAAGATTTTAAAACACGAATCGCCGAGAAGAGTCGCCAAAAAGTCATTTTGGACAGTACGGAGTCTTTCTCTGTTGAAAATTTGCAGGCCCTTGTCATCATTGCTTTCGAAACTGTGGGTATAATTATCCGGCGCTGTAATTTCGCACGCTGAATCGTGTCTCATAATTCTAGATTGGTCGCGGTCGCGGGCCTTCATCATGGTCAATTGTCGGAAGCATGGTGGGCACAGTGGAACAGCTACAGTTGGGCGTCGAGGAGGATGCACTTTACCGAGGCACAAACGCGGGAGAGACTTTAATTCGGCGAATGGTCTTCCTGAGTCCCTCCAATTCGTGGAGCGAAGTAGAGGAACGTAGGAGGGTGTTCTGGACCGTTTTCCTGATGGACCGATTTTGCAGTGTCTCCACTGGGTGGAAGATCAGTCTAACAAGCGCCGATGTGAAGCGCCGTTTACCGTGTGAAGGTGCTTTGTGGGAGAGGGAGCAGGCGGTTGAAGCACCATACTTTGGAATCTCAGATTCCAGGGACAATGCATCAAGTAGCTCCGTCCTCAACGGAAATAGAGCATCATCGAATTCGGACGATCAAGATGCTATCGGTGGATTTGCCTACAACATCGAAGCCACCGAATCACTCGCCTTGGTCACCAACTTTTTCCTTCACCATGCCTTCATTGTCAGTGATGCCGAAAAGGCGCAGGTCTGGCTTATGAAGTTTAAAGAGTTGGATTTGCGACTGATTCAGTGAGGACTCGTGAATATTGCCTTTTAACGTTTACTTACTAATGCTCTCTCTTCATCTAGATGGAAATTATATCTACCTTCGAAGTGGCGGGAAGCTTCAGTCCTAAATAGTGATGGAGTAATGGACCCTAATCTCACACTGGCTCATATCACTCACAACACCGCTGTTATACTTCTCCATCAAGGGATCGCGTATCCCCCGGCTCATTGGCAGTCTTGTCCAATAAGACTCCCATCCGCTTCGTCTGCGGAAACCTGTCTAGAAGCAGCCTCTGAGATCGCGACCATCGGTCATCAGTTTTTGACATTCTCGCCAATTTTTACCAATCCTCAATTCTCCTTTTGTCTTTTTATCGCTGGGAGGATGCTTCTAGCTCATGCGAAATACAACGGAGTCTGTTTACCACCAGCGTTTGACACACTAATCGCAAGTCTCCTGGAAATTTCCCAACGTTGGAAGGGAAGAAGCGAAACATCCAATTCACAAAATGAAAATCTTGCCTCCAGTTTCGCCAAGCGCCTGATCGAGGCTCAGAATAACTCGGGCGCCGCTCCTCGACCGAGTCTGGATATTCGTCAGACTGCATACTCAGACGAATCAAAGGAGCAACCGCCCCAACAACCTACATTCTCAGCCTCGCCCTCACAAGGCTCGCTGTATTTCCCAAAAGCTGCAAATGCAGTGTCTCCAGCGAGATATATGAGCAGAGAGGGATTTCAAGACTCGTTCAGCCTTGACCCGTTTAGCCTAGCGTTCCCGCCACTTCCTCCAGCCTTTCAACAGGACTTCCCCGTGTATACAAGATCTGATCCCATGTCAGTCTATGCACAGGCTACTGGGAATCAAGTATCCTCACCTATGATGATGGGTCCATCCCATCAGAATTTCAACATGTGGCAAGGTTCGGGTGCAAATTTCGGACATGGCATTGTCAGCCCTCAAGAAGACCTATCCCAGGCCTTTAGCTTGACTCCAAGCCCAGGCCAAAGGATCAGTCGCTATGGCGGTGCACAAATTGAGGGTCCAGTGGTGAATGGCAAAAGCCCAAATGTTTAGACCAGTCGCAGAGACTCATAAGATTGACTCTTTATGCCAGTCAGCTTTTTCAGACTCTTTGATCGGGGCATCTCATCGAGCATTTGGGCCAGTGACCTAGCAACTAACTTCCAAACTATCATGAAGGAGAAACACAAAACATGTGGCTCTATATTGTATCTAATGTGTCATGTTGTATAAATGATTCTATGCCATCGATAACTCACTACCTGTTCAATCAATGCGTTGAAATCCCCCGTTCACTAAACCCAAATCGAGAAGCATGTTTCCAAAAAGGAGGAAGTAGTAGTCCGCATAGACAAGTCCATGATTAGCCCACCTCCTGGGCGCGAATTCGTAGTTGTTGATTGTGGCACCATCCAGAATTGTATCACACAGTTTTGAAGTTAACAGATCTCCAACAGTCAAATTATCAAAACCATCGCTGTCGTTCTCATCCAAGCAGCCTTCCGGGTAGACCAGTACTTTAGATGTCGATTGAGTGGTTTGAAACCGAAGAGTTGGCGGATTCAAGAACTTCGTGACTGTGGCATCGACGAGATTAATCGCCTCTCGCAGATAGCGGTCTCCATCCGGAGTACCTTTCAGTGCCTTGTGAAGCAGCAAAAGACCACATGCAGCGACCATAGCTGCTGAGGTATCTCGTGGGCTCGTCTCAGTGATGGGCGCAGTGAAGTCCCAATAAGGCACGCCATCAGCTGGGAGATGCGCCAGGAAATAATCAGCCAGCGCCTTCGCCGTGTCAAGGAAGGACTTGTCGCCTGTCCACCTGAATGTCTGCATGAATCCCAGAATCCCCCAAGCCTGACCCCGCGCCCAGCAGCTATCATCACTATAGCCCTGATTCGTGAACTTGGCTTTCACATTTCCGGTCTCCGCATCGAAGTTCACCACATGAAATGTGGTATTGTCTTTCCGAATATGGTGCTTCTGTGTGGTCTTCGCATGCGCCCGAGCAATATCATACAGCGACGTGTTTGAGGTCTCTCGGGCAGCCCAAAACAATAAGTCCAGGTTCAACATGTTGTCAATGATAACGAGAAAGTCCTTCGAAGGATCTGTGAAGGAGTACCGATTCGTGACGCAGACGTCCCAGCTTTGCAGGCACTGAGTGGTACTGTTGAAACGACTCGCAAGGGAGTGTGCCGCCATGACAAGACTGTTAAATGCGGGTGCATCCCGCTGGAGCTCCCAGGCTTTCATGGCCCATGGTGCGATCATAAAACCCAGATCGTGGGTGTCACGTTTCAGTGCGTTTTGATGTAAGTTGGCCGTCCACCACTTGCACAGGTGTTCAAGCTGAAGTGGATGGGGCATTGAAGAGTTGCCGTCTTTTTTGGCCGATTGAGAGACTGGTGTATCTTGAGGGTACTTCATCAATCGCTCGAGGAGTAGATACAGAGATCCCGGGAAGAAGCCAGACGTCCAGAAGTCGAGGCTTCGGTAGACATAAGTGGCACTGTCTTTGCCGGTATACTCGGGAAAAAGAATCGGGGGATTGGTCTATTTTGCAAGAGATGTTAGCTCGAGTCGGATTTGATAGAAAATGGAAAGTCTTACACTTCCCAGTGCCTTGGCCGCGACGTGCCACAATCTAGCCGCCACGGACTCCGAGTAAAGGGCTTCCATCACACGTTTCGTCGGACTCTGAGTCTTGTAGGTTCCGTTCGTATCCCTAGATTCAGTTTTCACTCTTTTCGGGTAGGGTTCCTATGCCGTGTGTTAGCAGTGGACAATATGGATGAAAGTGAGCTCGAATTTGGACGCACCATGGTTGGTTGATCATCTAACGACATGGCGAAGGTTCGATGCTGTAAGGGCAGAGTTCCGTGGCGAGAAAAACAAACTGAGTTGTATCAGGTGGTTTTTGATGACCACTCTGACAATGTTATATTGACTATGCTTCCTACTTGAGTGGTCCTCCATTGCGTTGTGAAACTCGGAGGAGGTCCGGCAAATCCTCCGGCTCAGGTTGTATAGAGACAGAGTGGAGACACTGCTCAGATCACCGGGCAGTTTCAGATCATTGAGGAAAGGAGAATTGGCCGCCATTGATTAAGTCGCATGAACGAGAAATCACATTACTAAGTTCTCTTAATTCTGATCAGGCCGGGTGTATTCTTGGGCTATGCTCGAACAGACTTCTATAGAGAAGGAGGTTGACGGGCTAGGGAGTGATAGACTAGATACGTGCAAATCTAGACTTTACACGCCGAAAAGGTCCTTTTCTTTGTGCATAGATAGTAATTATCAACATACATGTCCAGTAAGCTCCTAAAAATCAATCGTATTTCTCGACTTATGAGAATCCTGGAGGAGAATTATTGTTATACTACGAATCTCTATCGATTACTGCTAGAACGATCAAAAACACTCCGATCGTCCAAAACCTAGAGTTGAAAAAACGATGCGCCCGGCTATTCTGGCAAAAAAGAATTCTATGCGGTATCTTCCTTCCAAATTTTGATCTCATCTCTTCTCTCCCGATGCTGGTTCTCTGATCGACTGTTTGTAGTAGATGGCCGGGAAGGTGCCGGAGAACATCCGAAGGTTCCTTGGATTCCCATTGCTCATCATTCTTCAAGATGTTTCTGCACAACCCTTGACATCTAGCGATCGACAAACCGGGGTACATGCAGTAACTTGATACCCCTCCGCATTATTCCCCAGACTTTGACCCGGCGTTGACTCCTTCGAAACGTTTCGTGGGAAATTCGGGATTAAGCCGAAAATATGGGGCAAGGTCCGTCATATCCACCCTCCATCGTGTCAATTTGAAACGCTGAAGCATCTACACAGCATTTCCTGATGCCGATCGGCAGCAAATCGAAGTTTTACTCGTCCCCGACGGCTTTGTCTTTTCAAAATGTCCCTTTAGGTCATATTGTACAATTCAGGGGGCTCATGTACAGAATTGTCTATATATTGAGCCCGAATGTGCTCGATTAAGTGGAATAAAGAAATCGAGCACAGCTCGAGTCTTCATTCATATCATTATCCCCTGATTTGATCGAAATGCATTCTTTTATCTCCGTTCTTCTCCTTGCTGGTACTGTTGTCACAGCCTTCGTGCATCCAGGCGCGCTTCATACCATCAAGGACTTCCAACGCATTACCAAGCACGTTGCTGATGGCAATGAGCCCTGGAACACCACTTGGACTTTGCTGACTTCGAGCTCCTACGCTCAGTCATCCTACAAGCCCAATCCTCAGACAATTGTGTACAGAGGAAACAACGGAGCGAACTCCGAGAATTACTCGTATCTGTACCGCGATGCCGCCGCCGCATACCAACTTGCCATACGCTGGAAGATCACAAATGACAAAAGTTATGCCGACGCTTCTGTCAATATCTTGGACAGCTGGGCGGCGACCATCACTGGGATCGACGGTACTAGTGACAAGTTCCTAGCCTCTGGCTTGTACGGCTACCAGTTGGCCAACGCAGCGGAGCTTCTGCGCAATTACTCTGGCTGGTCCGAGACCAACAAGACTGCCACTGCCAACATGTTGAAAAACGTTTTTGCGACCATGAACAACCTCTTTTTGGAGGACCACAACGGCCAAGACTATTACCATTACTATGCTAATTGGGATTTGTGCAATCTTGCCTCGCTTATCGCCATTGGTATATTCACCGATAATAAAACAATGTTTGAGAACGCAGTCAACTATGTTAAAACTGGGCCTTCCAATGGAGCTCTCCCTGTCTTTTCTATTGCAAATTTTACAGAGCCGGGCTCTGGGAAAGTACTCATGCAGGGTCAGGAGGCCGGTCGCGATCAGGGCCATGCTACATTGGACTTTGCGCTCTGGGGCGTTGTCGCGCAGCAAGCGTACAACCAGGGAGTTGACTTGTTTGCTACTTACAAAAACGAGATTCTCAATGGGTACGTTCAGTCGAAGAAGTACTTTCTAAATTGTTTACTAATTATGTCTAGCGCTGAATACGTTAGCAAGTACAACGTCGGTTATGATGTGCCCTACACCCCATATTTAAGCTACCAGGGCAACCAAACCGTTATTTCCAACAGCTCGCGTGGAACTATCCGTCCTGGCTTTGAGTTATTGTCCGCTCATTACGGCCAGCTCAAGGGGCTTCACTCTTCTTGGACTGACGCTTATCGTAACTGGGTTAACATCAACTCGACTAGCGGCGTTGAGGGTGGTGGTGGAAACTACGGTCCTAACTCGGGCGGCTTTGACGCCCTTGGTTTTGGTACTCTACTTTACCGTCTTTCTTAAAGTGCATGTCATGCCTCATCTTTCTGCTACTGCTCCCCTGCCTTATGTGATCTTATCTATTATGCTCTTGTGCAGTCTCAATTCATTCTTTTCTGTTGTGGACAAATATATCTATTTCTATCTTCAAAAAATATCCAAGATGATGCCGTTATGAATTGGAAGGTCCAATTCCGACGATACTTATTTCCAAGTTTTCTTCATGCCCCTTTCATGAAATTGACTCCCTTGACGTGCTCATTTAAAAACAAAGGAATGAAATCCGATATCATATACCATCGGGGCTTTTCCATTGTCTCATGAATCTCCTTCTCCCCTACTCGCAAATTCTTGAATGCAACGTTTTCGATTCCCCGGCTCTGATCATAGCCAAGTATCATCGATGGATTGACGACTTTGGAGTCGTGCATATTCAAAGACAAATTTTTGAAAGTGACGTTTCGAATACCTCGTCCCGGAGCTGTAGTCCACATCGAATTCTGCATCACACGAATATTCAAAAGCTGACCGCGAGTAATGCGCTCAACTCGTACATCCTCGATATGAATATCGTGGAACAAATTCTCATCTGCAGCATTGATGGCTATGCATCCCTGATACCACAGCTGATTTTCCTCGTGATCCAGGATATCAATATTTCTGATTGTCACGTTGCTTGTCGTTTCCGGCTTTGCGGGATTCCCATGTGTTCCCATATTGATGGCATGGGCCACATCTGGAAGCAATACGCAATTCTGAATGAGAATATTCGTCGAGTCGCCATACCAGTCCCAACGGTGTGAATAGAGAGCAATTGTGTCATCTGAGTTTCGCAAAAAGCAGTTCTCAATGGTAATATTTGACGAGCAAAAGAAGTCGATTCCATCCCCATTACCTGCGGACGAGAACGATCGGTATCTGTTGACTGTGACATCTTTGCATTCACCAGCAGAGAGGCTGAATCCCATCGCACTAAGTGAAGTGACACCCTCAACACGAATATTTGAGGCTCGACTCATGTGAATCGCGCCGCCCAGTTCTCTCTGAGTGTAACCGCCCTTGGGTCCTAGAACGAATCCATGACCCCGGAGAGCACTGTTGGAAACATCGATGAAATTCAAGCGGAACGTGATGAAAGCGCCACCAGCTAGATAAACAGTTTTCCCCGATGGGACTATAAGATTGACGCCGTCGGTGACCAAGGATGTCGCAGAGCCTTGATTGATCCCTGGCCCAAAATACCAGACATCATCACTGTCTTCGGTCGGCGCCGTGAGATCGATCGCGTTGGTGAGCAAGTGGAGAGCTTTCCGTTTGTCACCGTTTAGTTCGAGCATCAAGTCTCGGGGCTTTTCCAGTGTAAAGAGAATCGTTTTTTCCTCCAATACCGTCTCAATTCCAAGGGAACGAGGCCGAACAACTGCAGCATCGACGCCGCTTCTCGTATAGGTGACTTTGATCTTCACTGGGCCGCTGAAATCGAATGAAGCTACGGCAATTGAATGTCGATCAAATTTATTCGCGCTGGTGTTGATGCTAGCCACATCGGTGGCATATGCAGGCACTTTAGACCATTGGTAATGGTCGTCTGAGTCGATTGACTGGACTTCGATGAGGAAGTCCGGATTGAGGGCCACGCCTAGCGGAGAATCGTATACTTGAATGGACGAAGACATGTTCATCGTGTTGTGGATGGTTCAAGACAAGTTCAGAAGACTCTCACAGACGATTTGACTTTCTCGTAGGGAATGGAGTTTCTCATTAGCGACTAGCGTCTCTTCTCAATGCTGAGCACACACATGCACGGAGTTGTCTCGTCAAACGACCCTATCGGAGTACGGGCTAATTGCCGGAGAGGCTCCGGTAGAGCTCTCTGCCAAGCAGCATTTCGATCAATTTGATCCTATGCGTACTTCCTCAGAGTAGCAAGCTCCGGTTAATTCAAACCGAGCATAATGTAGCGTTCTAGCCTCTACGATCCAGAATTGTCATTCGACATCTAACTTCCGGAGGAATTGGCGGCATCTCCTCCGGTGCCACCTCCGGCGGGACCCCAATCATTCGACTCGGGGAAATCCAAATCCTGGGGTTTGCGGGCAAGCTTTCGGCTTACCCACACGCTACACTATGCGACACCTCGAGATAGGGGAGGACAGCCCTACAAATACCTCGATGAAGGGCAATACTGGTCTCTAATCCAGACCATCGTGATTCACAATATCATCCCACGTCTCTGCACCTCAACGCATCATGCCATCGAAGAAATTCGAGATGGGAGCGACTGTCGACCACGAGGAATTGCCCTCCGACCGCAATGCGGCATCTGATACCCTGGAGATGAAAGAGAAAGCGGATCTCCTCGCAGCGGATCCGGGTATCGAGATCGATGCTGCAACCAACAAGCGCCTCTTCTGGAAGATCACTCGGCGCATTCTCGTTATTCAGGTCATCACCTACTTCTGCCAGTCGCTCGACAAGGGAATTTTGAATTATGCCTCTATCATGGGCATCAAGACCGATGCCCACCTGGTGGGACAAGAAGTGGGTCCTTTCAGCCCTATACCTCAGACTTGGTCGCTAATTATCGCACGTGTAGTATTCATGGCTAGGAACCATCCTCTATATCGGCATTCTTGCGGGCGAGTACCCTCAGAATTTCTTGTTGCAGAAATTTCCCCTAGCAAAGATGCTCTCCATCAATGTGTTCCTTTGGGGCGCTGTAGTGGCATGTTCCGCTGCTTCGACCCGCTTTGGATCGCTCATGGCTGTTCGATTTCTGTTGGGTTTCTTCGAAAGCTGTGTCCAGCCAGCTATGATGCTGCTGTGAGTAAATCCTTGAAACCAAACACAAAAGTTCGCCTTGCTAAACTCTATGTAACTAGGACTGCGATGTGGTACAAGAGGGAGGAGCAATCAGTCTTGAATGCGCTCTGGTATTGCATGTCAGGTGTATCCTTGATGGTAATTGACACCCTTGTCTAGATCTTGGAGGAAGATGAAAGCTAATTAGCACTAGATTGGTGGCCTTCTTGCCTTCGGAGTCTCGCATTTTAAGAACGGTCCGATCAAGAATTGGCAACTTTTGTTCCTAATCCTGGGCCTGGCCACATGCGTTTGGTCCTTCTTCATTGCTACCCTTCTGCCCGACAGCCCGTTGACTGCAAAATGCTTCAGCGAGGAGGACAAAAGACTGATGATCGAGCGGGTGCGAGAAAATGAGACCGGTATCCAGAACAGAGAGTACAAGAGATACCAAATTGTCGAGGCTCTCAAGGACCCATTTGTCTGGTGCTGCGTTTTGCTCATCACCGTAGCCAACCTCGTCATTGGTGGCCTCGGTGTATTCTCCAACCTCATTATCATCCAGTTCGGCTTCAGCCTCTTGCAGACACAGCTGCTCAATATTGCCCAGGGAGCATGGACCATTTTGATCATGCTCGGATCTGCATGGGCATCCCAAAGATTCCAGCAGACGTGCTTCGTTATGATTGTAAGGTCCCCAGGTTGAATAGTCAACTCATGAACAAATGATCACTGACGACGAAAATAGCTATGTGCAGTCCCTGCTCTGGTCGGGACCATTGTGATCCTAGTCGTTACCCCGACTGCTTCAAATGCAGGTGGCATGCTCATTGCTTTCTACTGCACACAATTCTTCCTTGCCGAGGGCAACATGATTATCTCGCTGATTACTCGCAACGTGGCGGGTCAGACCAAGAAGGGTATTACCATGACCATGGTCTTCGTTGGCTGGGCCGTGGGCAATCTCATTGCTCCCCAAATCTTCCAAAGCAAAGATGCCCCCCGATACCTGCATGGTTTCCTAACACATATCGTCGTTTACGCTGTTTATGTTGCTCTGGTGGTGTTGACACGAATCATCCTGATGGCACGGAATCGCTCCAAGATTCAGGGCTCAACAGAGATCTCGCATGACTTGGCATTCCAGGATCTTACTGATCGTGAGAATCCAAACTTCCGATATGTATACTAGCGGGTGGGTTCTTGGGTTCTTGGAAAGTCTTTTATTAAGACGCAATAAACGTCCTTCAACAAAGATGATACATATGAGTTAGTCCCAACTGAATGAGAAATATTATAATGCTTCCGGCTTAGCAGCTCATGTATTGTTTAAATGATTGTGACCAGTTGGCCAAAGAAAAACAGGCTGCCATACATCATCATCACGTGACCGTTGTCATATCCGATAGGGGTGGAGCATGTTGCAACACCTTCCATCAACTGAGAACATCAACAAACGGCGAGTATCTCAGGAATCCGGAAATTCCCTTCTTATTTCACTGAGTGAGGGATCTGCTCCCACCTCATGTAGGCTCCACTTTGCGTCCACGCCACCTCAGCCCTTGAAGCTGAGGTCTGTTGTTGCACAACTCGTGTCATCCATATCTTGGCTTTGTCAACACCTCAACACCTGAATATCTCACCACCTCAAATTTGAGCAGCCCCCGCGCCCATATTCTTTGCTCTTCTCCTATTCAATCGCGGGACTTGGAAACCTTCAATTTTTCAGAAATGGATCCCACAGAACTTGAGCAAAAAATGTTGGAAGCGGCCATCAAGGCCTCGCTTGAGGACTTCCAGAGACAGAAGCAAGAGTCGTCCGCCCAGGTCTCTCCGTCATCTCAGGACCAGAAACCTGTCGCTGAAAGCGCCTCAAATTCCCCATCCAAAGGTCCCTCTCAAAAACCAAGTCCTCCAAAGATGCCAAATCAGCCAAAGGCATCACCCCGGCCGACCAAGCCATCAAAGCCAACGGTCGTGGACCTCACGCATGACTCCAGCTCAGACTCAGATCTGAAAGAGATTTTCCCAAAGTCTAAGTCAGTTATCGGATCTGATACAGATACTGAAACTGTTGATCATACAGTGGATGATGACAGCGATGAAGATCTTAGGCGAGCGATTGCCATGTCCCTTAAGGGCGCTCGGCAAGATACGGACCTCCTAGGACCGGGATCTCCTTCGAAGCCAGTGGAGATCCCAGAAACCGCGAGCAACGCGACCCCCAAGCCTCAGGGAATCTTTGGCATTGACCGCAAGCAGATGGAGCAAGAACGTCTTGCCCGCCTCGCCAAGCGCAAAGCCGGGAGCTCTCCTCCTGCCCAGCCATCCCCCAAAGCTTCTAGACTCACCGAGCCCGATGCCCGTCTGACGGGTCGAGTGTTATCGCCACAACCCCCTTCAAATACTCATATCCGCAGCAATTTCACAGCCAATAATTCCACCAGTCGGGTGCAGCCAACAGCCCGACCAGTCATGCAATATCCCCTCGGGGTTGTTAAGAAGACGCACGTAGCAGGTAAACCCCGCGCAGGCAACGACATTACCATCGAAGAGGTTTTCCAGCGAGAAGACCTAAATGTTGCAGTTCTCAGCTCATTCCTCTGGGATATCGAGTGGTTGTTCTCAAAGTTCAGCACCAAGAAGACCAGGTTCATCCTCATGATGGGTGCGAAGGAGGAAGCCACGGTAAGCGGGTCTCGTCAACCATGTTGGACAATCTAGGAAAGCTGACAATGCTACAGCGCAAGCAGTATCGGGAGGAAACCGCTTCGATGCCTACGCTTGATCTATGTTTTCCGCCTATGGAACCACAAGTCAACAATATGCACTCGAAGTTGATGCTCTTTTATCATCCCGGATACCTTCGAGTTGCCGTTCCAACTGCAAATCTCACCCAGACTGATTGGGGTGAGAACGGCTTGATGGAGAACGCATGTATAACCTCTACACTTTTCTGGTTTCAGTGCCACTAACATAGTACCAGACTGTCTTTCTAATCGATCTACCCAGAATCGAGCTTGGTGTAAAGGTTGAAAAGTTCGACACACCTTTCAAAGAAGAGTTGGCCTACTTTTTGAAAGCGTCCAAATTGCGCGACGACGCGATCAAAGCACTTGATGACTTTGATTTCAGCCAAACAGCCCGATATGCGTTTGTACACACTATGTATGTTGCCGTGCTTCTCTTCAAGAAGGTCAGCTAAAATAGACCTAGTGGTGGATCGCGAACCGGCGAGTCGTGGAAGCGGTCCGGATATTGTGGGCTCGGTCGCGCCGTGACACAGTTGGGTCTGCAGCCATCTGGGCCCATTAACATTGCCTACGTGGTAGGTAAACATCGCCACAGTCAGTTGACTCTAGAAACTTACTTGGCTATAGTCTTCCTCCGTTGGCTCTTTGAATGATGAATTCCTTCGCTCGATTTATCTTGCTGCTAAAGGTATGTCTGGGAATTGAGGAATGATACAGAGACCAACTAACGATATCGATATTAGGTGATGATGGCCTGACAGATTACAAGCTCCGGTACACACGAGAATCGACTAGCCAAACCAATGATCCGCAGCGCACGCAGATGGTGCAGCTGGGCCAGGAATGGCATAATCGCTTCAATGTGTACTTCCCCTCCGCCCAGACCGTTCGTTTTGCGCACTTGGATCCGGAACGAACTGCAGGTACTGTCTGTTTCTCGGCGCGGTGGTGGCTCGGCGAGAAGTTTCCTCGGCGAGTGTTGAAGGACTGCGAGAGTAAGCGGGGGGTTTTAATGCACAACAAGGTTTGAAGCAATTTAAAAGTCCTCTGCAGTCTGCGTGCTAATATGAGTATAGCTCATGTACGTGTGGCCCTCGGAGCCCATTCAGATGCCCGACGGCAACGAATGTAAGGGCTGGGCATATGTTGGAAGTGCTAATATCTCGGAGAGTGCCTGGTCAGTTTATTTCCCTTCCATATTTTTATTATCCTAAGATGCTGACATCTTGAAAGGGGTCGCTTGATAAAAGATCGCTCCACCGGCCAGCCGAAGCTGAACTGCCGCAACTGGGAGTGTGGTGTCTTGGTGCCCGTTATTACGCCTGGCGGCAGGGCATACTCTCAAGCAAGCGATGCCAACACAACCACGCTCGACACTGCTACAGCCACCCAATCGAGGCCACAGCAATTGAACGCCGATATCTTCCAGGATACAGTGCCAGTTCCCATGAAGCTCCCCGGAGCGGATCTGACTGAGAGCCGCCCTCCTTGGTTCTTCCAAAGCTGAGCATTCCTCTTGTGTATTATGAAGAGGTACTTGTTTTCATAGACTCTTGTCATCTTATTCATCGGCCTTGCCACGATGTGGACGGAGAGAGCCGGTGTTGAAAAATGGTGTTCCTGGGCGTCTCGCATGACGGGTTATGACATAGACTGTTACAAATTTTTACTCGAGAGATCGCTAGGAGACCCCTCTTCAAATATCACATTGAAAACAAGTCAATATTTCCTAACCCCCGAGTTAGACTATATTAACACCGATTAGCAGTACTTGGTGAGCATCGCTCGCGCTTATCCAAACTAACCCGAAAAGTAGAGAGATAAAGATAGAGCTTTTGAGCTGGGAAAGACCAAGATACAAATACCGATAGAGAGCGAGATATTTTAATGCTCTGGCCATGAGAGAACCGCAAGTGTCACGAGCTGAATGATTCTTTCCATTGTTGGAGGTATGAAACCAAAAGTGTCAAAGACAGCCAACTCAGGCAATCTTTGATCAAAATCTCCGATGTGTGGAATAGAATAATCTTTGTGAGAGAGGACTCAAACCGACTACGGGAGTCTGAGTACTGAATTGGGAGCTGATTGTCTTAGACTATAGAGGATGACACAATAAAGAGTCCAAACACAAGGTTGGCATCAGAATCCCAAACAGGCAAGAACAGAGGTTATCACCGGTTTCCAGGTCAAGCAATCACCTCCTCCCCCTCCGATGGCCTAGTTGGTATCCACCATAAATTGGTGAACCATAGGTGTGCCCTGGAGGATTTGGGCAAACATAAAGGAGGAAACAAATACTGGGCCTGTGTTGACGCTATAAGCTCCACGGACGGACGGGCACACCCCTAGGCGGGGGGAGGATGATTTTTTGATGTTTTTCTTTTGGGTAGTGTTATTTTTTATAGGAATTTATATGACAAGATCTTTTTCTTATATCATAATAATCATTTAATAGACTTTTTGATGGTATTGGAGGGTGAAGAGGGGGTGTAGAGCGGCACTGGGGTGGGATGGCGATGTTTGACGGTGTCCTTGGATGGCGACGCAGTAACAAGGCGAAGTATATAGGGAGGAGAAGGTTGAGGGTTCGATTCATGGAGGTGGGGAATTTATTGATTTTGAATCTTGGGGATTTTGGCCCGTGGGCAGTTGGAAATGGCTCGATATCAGTACCAGAGATACAGGCCTCACCTCACTCTCAGCCCGTTGGTCTCTAGTCTTAGTATGATGAGGCACCCTGCGCTAACCCACCACATTACTATGGGAATTATAAGTACGAATGTTTGATATACCATGAAACAACTAGGTAGGTAAAGTCTGTCAAGGACCTCTGTGTAAGCAGTAGGTGAATAAAGTTCATATCCAATATTCTTTAATTAAGTCTAAATAAGTATGTACTTTTAGGTACCATCAAGGGGCACCGTCCATGAAGAAAAGAAACTAATATAAAAACCGAACAAGAAAAGAAGGTCGATACAAAAGGGCCATGATGACACACCATGTGCCATGCACACACGCTCCGTAAATGCATTAGACAACAAAGGGAGAGCATACCAAGGAAAAGAATCAAAGAAAGAATAGTCCAAGATATGTCAAGTTATAACAAGGCAGGAAAGGGCAAAAAGTAAGTCACGTTTACTTTACTGCTGGACATCACTCTTCTCCTTCCGCTTGAACAGACCCTTGACACGGTCAATCAACACCCCAGCGAGGCCAAACACATATCCGAGTCCGAAACTCCAGCCCCTCACACGAACAGTGTAAACAAAGAAGTACACCAGCATCCAGTTGATAATGACAAAAGCCAAGAAAATACCGAAGCAGCGCCACTTGTCGTCGCGGTGGACATTCAGATTAGCCATGTACTCCTCACCCGTGGTATAGGGGCAGTACTGGCAGTCCTGGGTCGCTGACCCGTTGACCAAATACCCAGCCTTGGCGATCTTATTCACAAAGTTACCAGCGTACTGCTGGCAGGTTTGTCCGGGTGGGGGGTCGAAGCGGGTTGTTTCCAGGGTGGCGCACTCGATTTGGACATCTGGCAGGACGGCGGAGAGAACGCCGCGCAGCCACCAGGTCACGGGGTTGACATAGTACATCCAGTACTTCCAGAAGACAGGGTATGCCGCGTAGGGACGGACGATACCGTTGAACAGGTTGACCATGACGAAGAAGAATGGCAGCACGTTGGAGATGACGGTGAACGAGGGCGCGAAGGCGCAAATCCATTGGCCCCAGGATGCCTGGAAGAGGAAGAACAGCATCGACATGAGGAAGACGTAGCCGGCGGTGGACGAGTCGGTCGGCAGCCCGACGGGGTAGTACCACAGCAACCAGTAGACGAGACCGGTGATGATGGCAGCGGGGATTTCACAGACAACGTTGGCAGTGGCGAAGGCGACCCAGCCGTATATGCGGGACGGGTATTCGCGGGCTTCCCAGAGGGCGCGGTTGATGTAGAACTTGGGGACGACGGAGTTCATGATGATGGGCGGGATCAGGATGATCAGGAAGACGGAGAACATGCGATCCTGCATGGAAGCGACGGTGGTCGGCAGCATCCAGAAGGTGAAACCGTTGAAGATACCAATGATGACACTGACGAAAAGTTTGCCGTAGTAGTAACTGGGATCGCGCCAGTACTGGAGGAAGAGGCGCTTGGTGAGGAGCTGGGTTTGGACGAGGGTTGGAGCGGCGAATTCGTACTGCGAGCCACCAGACTCTTCGACGGGGACTTTGCTGCGTTCGGTCTTGATGTTTTCGATTTCCTCGAGCATGGATTTGTTCTCGTCGGAGTTGCGCCATTCCTCGTTCCAGTCGATTTGCTTGCCATTGCGCTGGGTGGCTTTGGCGGCGGTTTCCAGGATGAATTCGGCGACGTTCTTGGAGGGTGGGCAGACGAAGCCACGGTCGGCAAAGTACTTGATAACGGCGGATCCGTCGTGTCCGACGGGGCCGAAGTAGAAGGTATTGCCGCCAGGGTTGAGGGCGAGGATCATGTCGAACTGCTGGATGAGCATGGACGAGGGCTGGTGAATAGTGCAGACGATGGCTTGACCGGCTTGGGAGAGCTTCTTGAGGAAACGGACAATCGAGAAGGCGGCTTGACTGTCGAGACCAGAGGTGGGCTCGTCAAGGAAAAGAAGGAGACTGGGCTTGGCGGCCAATTCGACACCAATAGTAACACGCTTCTTCTGCTCGACGTTGAGAGAACCGATGATGGCGTCCTGGATGTCCTCAAGCTCCAGCAGGTCAATGATCCGGTTGACATAGTCGATCTTCTCCTGGCGGGGGGTACTGCGGTCCTGGCGGAGGATGGCTGAGAATTCGAAAGCTTCACGGATGGTCGAAGTGTTGTCGTGCAGATCCATCTGTTCGCAGAAACCGGTACCACGCTGGAAGTCAGCACCGAGCGGGTGGCCATCAACGAGCATTTCGCCCTTGACGACACCCATCTTCTGACGCTGAGCGAGAGTGTTGAGAAGAGTAGTCTTGCCGGCTCCGGAGGCACCCATGAGGGCGATCATGACACCAGGCTTGGCGAATCCATTGACGTTGTTCAGAAGCTTGCGCGTGCCATTGCCGTAGGGCACGGTATACTCAACATTGGACCAGGTGAAGCAGCGCTCACTCGAAGACAGACGGGTGAAAGCAGCATTGTCGGAGGATGAGGGGGCCTCACCGCGGGCGAGAGCAGCATTACCATTCGAATCAGAAACCTTCTCCTCATCGTTGTTCTTCGCAGTCTGCTGGGTGACCTGCTTCGCGCGCTTAGACTTCTTGAAGACGAGAGCACCGCCACCACCGCCAACAAAGGAGAGGAACTCGGCAGCCCAGATAGTAACCAGAATGTACAGCACAGTGAAAGCGATGACAACACCAAAGTTGCGCCACAGATGATGACGGGTGAACTGGAAGTTAGCCTGCAAGTACTGACTACCAGGGACCGACGTCTGACCCAGAGGAGAGCCAGTCAAAGCACAGCCTTGGTATCCAGCCACCGCGCCAGGGCCCTGGGGGACCAACTGCGAAGGTGCACATTCCATCGTACGGTCGGAGAATTCGTTTGACAGGACAGCCTCGTAGCTATACGAGAGGGGGTTAACGTAGAAGAGCCATCCGAACCAGATCGAGTCGTTGACAAGGGTCTGCTTTGGAATAACATAACCGACGTATAGAATGAGCAGATTGAGTGCAATACCGGCAAACCGCACGGCGTCATCAATAGTCGGCGAAAGAGCAGCAAACATGCGATACAGCGAGGTGATACAGAAGGTTGTCGTGTACACAAACAGGAAGTAGATGAAGAATTTCGACGCCGTAACATCGAGACCAGCCATGAAGTAGACGATGATCGTAAAGGGGACAACCATAGCGAAGATAGCAGGGAAATCAACAACCACGCGGGCAATTGAGACAGCAGACGGGCGGTAGAAGGCGTAGTCCTTGTGACGGGCAACAATGCCTCGTCCCGTCACAGCGGGCATCAGCTCAGTCAATTGCAGCCAACCAAGGAACAGAACCGAGAAGAACAGGGCACCACCGCGAGAGAAGGCACCGCTGGTATCCAGGGATTCACCGTAGAAGAGAGACGAGACAATAAGACCGTTGGAGATGATGATGAAGTACTTGGTGTAGAGCGAGGTCTTGTCACCCCAGAGCAGCCAGAACTCACGCTTGACGCAAGCCGCGACCTGGCGCACCAGAGAGACAGTGTAGGGCGACTTTTTGGAGACAGTCTTACTCTTGGACCGAGCGACCGTCTTCTGGAAAGTGCGGGTATCTTCTTGCTCAGTCTCTTGGAGGCGCTGCTCATAGGTGGAGACGTCGTTCGCGATGTACTGGTAAGCTTTGCTGTTCTTGAAGACCTGCTCCAACTCCTCGGCAGTCTTGGGGGTGGAGGCTTCACAGCCGGGCTGGAATTGGCGGGCATTGGGATCACAGAGGGAAGTCAGGAAATCGGCCGTGGTGGACTGCTCGGGGCAGTAGAAGCCGAGGTCGATGAAGTACTGACGAGCCTCAATCGCAGGACCCTGGTAGAGCATACGGCCCTGGTCAATGACCATGACCTTGTCCATGAGCTCATAGATGCTCTCTCCGGCCTGGTACAGAGTCACCAGGGTGGTTCGCTTGCTGACATCGGTCATGATGCGCAGGGACTTGGCATAGTCCAGGGCAGTGCTGGCATCCAGACCACGGGTCGAGTTATCCCAGCAAACCACGGTCGACTTGGTAGCCAGGGTCTCGGCAATACTGACACGCTTTCGCTCACCACCAGACACACCACGAACATACTCGTTACCGACGAGCGTGTTCTTGGTGTGGCTGATACCGAACATCTTAAGCAGCGCATCAATAATGATGGGAATGCTGTCGCGATCATGCTTGCGAGTCTTGTTGGCGAGAGAGAACTTGAGCGTCTGCCAGACTGTGAGAGAAGGGAAATGCTGGTCGTCCTCGGGGTTATAGTTGACTTCGCCACGGAAATACTTGTTCTGGTCCTCCGCGGAGAGACCACCGTAGCTAACCTCGCCTTCCACCGCTGCAAAAGCACCCCGGTCATTTGCAATGGCTTTCAGGAAGGTAGTACAACCCGCACCAGGACGACCCAGCACGAGCATCATCTCACCCTCGCGCACCGCACCACTGAAGTCGTGAATCAAGTCGCGAATAGGAGGCTTCTTGCCGAACCGCAGCTGCGGCACGAACCGGCAAATGACGTTATACAAATCAGGTCCGAAAGTTCCCACCACAGCATGAGGCAGAGTCCGTACAAAGGATGCGCCCGTCTCGACGCCCTTGACAGTGAGGTTTTTGAAGACGACGCCAACCTTCTTGGCAGGCTCGCCGGCAGTGGTACGGCGCTCAAGATGGCCGCCCATCAAGAACTCACCCAGATCGAAACCGCCCTCAGCCTCTGTATCAGACTCACCCTTCTCTTCATCCTTGCGACTGGCGCGCGATTTGAGACGGCGCACGCTTTTGGCGGTGGTTGAACGAGTGCGATGCAAGCTTAGGCGAGTCAATTCGCGGCGCATCCCCTCCAAGTCTTCCATCGCACCGCGACGAGAGACGGGCTCACCCGCCTCCGTCTCGCCCCAACGGCCCTCGACACTGACATGAGAAGAAGCAGTCGAGGAAGTCGTAGAGACCGGGTCGATAGGTGCCGCGGTCGGGTTGTTGATCTCTTCGGGAGAGAGCTGGTCGGATTCTTCGGCAATTGCATTGTTGGCATGGCTGGAAGATTCGGAGGTGTGGTTGGTAGTTCCCTCGGAGGTGATGATGGAGGAGTAAGTTGTAGTTGTATAGTCGTCGGTGGTTTGGTTGCGGGATTCTTGGGCCTCCGCGGCTCGATGGTTGGCGTCCATCTCGCCTGGTAGTTGGGAGTATTTACTCGCCAGGCTCAATGCTCAATATAGAGAGAGATTTTAGGTAGTAATATTAGGGAGGTGTATATACAGAATCACCGATTGCAAGAAAGTAGGAAAAGAAAAGCAGTGGAAAAAGGAGTGGAGAGGAGGAGGGGTGAGAATATGAGGTCACGAAGAACCATAAAAGAGAGAGGGCGAGAAACCACCTTTTACCCATTTAAACTTGGGTCTATAAGCCTGTAGATAAAAGAATAATTATTCCACTACGATTACCTGCTTATGCAAACACCATTATCTCCGAGCCACGGATTTGTCAGTCAACGTCAATGGAGGGGGGATGCGTCAATCAGAACAATTCTTTGGCCCCTCCGTGGTCTCCAGTGGTCCTTAAACGAGAAGCTCGAGTGGATCACTCATGAGTCAGGGTGATTCAACGGGAACAAATGGAAGGAACCGAAGAATAATATTAAATATTTAATATGTAATCCAATTGAAGATTAAGCGGACCAGCCCGCAAACAGATTTTTCAACGGAGTTAGACCTAGACCCGGCGTTTAGCCGGTGACCCTGTCAGCAAATCAGCACGCGGCAGATGGATTCAGCATCATTTCGTCAATCGATCTCCGGAATATCGAATTCCTCTTTTTCTCCGTAAAAGACCGATTATGAGGACTTAATAGGGAAGATCCACTCATTCTGTAGTACGCCCTGAATTCTAAAGGTTTCACATATTGTAAGCAGCGTATTCTGCTTACAAAAAGCAAAACTGATGCATCCATCCGGAGTCTTAAATTCCGCCAAATTTACCTCGACGCGAGTAATGCGCCACCCGCATCGGGTCCCCGCTAGGCCGCCGGCTGATTCAAGGCTTCAAAGTTCCAGCCCTCGGCGACTTTTGGCTGCACCCTACCTTTCCGTCGCACCAAGATCTCTCCGATCGGACTTGGCCTCTGCATGAACTTGCATCCACACCGCTCGGCATTGCCATTACGGACGTAACAGACCGCTGATATCAGTATTCGAATCCCTGAAGCCCAATGACAACCACGCATCTATCGGGCTCGACTCCTCGAGTTTGACGCTTTAATCAAGCTTGAGCCAAACTACGATTCCTGTACAACAATTCCGGGATCACGTGAATACAAACCATTTATTTTATGTAGTCCAATCTATGGATTCATATTTGAAACACTCCTTATCTATGTACATTGTACATAGCCCAGGCTAGGCGTCTCAGTAATCTCGGTCTAGCCCCCCTTGTCAATTACCGAATTATCAACTCTTACTACGGAGTACTCGGGCGGATCAGTTTGCTAAAAAGGTCCGTCAACTGGGCCCCATAGCGATTGATGAACCAATCATTTCCTGCAGTCTGCGCGCACTGGGTGATACTGTTGCCCACCCCAACGAAAACGAGTTGCACCCCCAAATACTAGTATACCTGATTTTCTGCCTGATTATTGTTTCTAATAATCTGAGAGGTAAGGATAGGGAAAAGGAACGAGGATTAGAGTAAAAGTACTAGTAGTAGTCGATAAATAACCCCGCGCTCAACGTTACACATTCACGTTGGCTTAACTCATCACACTCTTCCACGTTACAGCGCACGTGTGAGCAAAGACCGTGCTGATGCGCGGGTAGGGGGCGCAACAAGCATCATCCCTGGAAGAAAAGAGATGAGAAAACGAAGTTGAGAACATGGAATTGAGAGATTGGGGAATGTCAGTAGGTAGTCGTGTCGCATCATGAAGGTTACTACATCTAATCGCTAGAAACATAAGACTGCTAACTACATGAGCTCTGCGACATACCTACTATCTATTTCATATCCACTTCAATCGGAGTAGGGTTTTCGGCCTCGTGCCGGATATTATAGATGGGACCTATCCCAACTCTATCATCTAGCATCCCCAATTACAGCTTCCTGCAAGAGATACATGTAGTCCCTCCAGTCCAAGCGTACAGGGTGTTACCGTAGCCCTCGATCCTTAACACGACTCCTCGCAGGGCCTCGCAGGTCTTCGTATAAACCGTTGTAGTCACTAAAAGCTATTCCTGATCAGGGTTGGAATGTCTAAAAAGATACTGTAGATGTTGCCGATGCTTTACATGAAGCTGTTCAAGCTCCCAGGTTTCTTTCATGGGCGCCGTTAATTTTACCTTTGGGGCTTAATTCATGGTAGCTTAATGGTTTGATAAAACTTAAAAGAATGCAAAGAAATATGCTACGCAAGAGCTAAACCGCCTAAATGCAAAGATTCTACTGTACATGGCCAACAAGATATTCGAGACTGTGAAATGAACTTAATGCTTACGCTTTGTCTCCGCCTGTGCAATACGCTTCTGGATCTCCTCCTTGGTCAAGATCTTGACCGCATTGTTCGAGAAGACGTAGCTCATGCCTGACCAGATGGTGGTAGCCGCGACGAGATACCTACAGAAACTCAAGTCATTAAGGGCAAAACCAAATGAAAGGAAGAGACGAGGAAGGAATCAGTCAAAAGGCAGCACAACAAAAAAAAAACATACAACAGCCAGGATTCGCATGTGGTCACCCACCATACTACTAACTGGCCGGCGTGTGGCTTAAGTACGGCTGAGCGGACGGGAAGCCCTGTTCTCCACACCCTATGGTCGTATGTACCGTTCTCCACTGAGAAGTGGGTTATAGCGCGACCGCACACACCATACATCTTCAAAAACAATTGTAACAAGGGGGTAAAGAAAGATCAACATAGACAGGGGTATAACGTACTGGAATCCAGTCATGGCCTCACTCAAATGCCAAGAGCTGATGATTGCCTCCGGCACCACAGGCAGGCCGATCGCGGTTCCGACCAGGACCAATTGCAGGGCAGTGTTGATCTTGGAGATCTCGGTGGGCTTCACCTCAGCAGAGGGAAGGGAGAAATCCCAATAGCGAGCCATTGTCTTGGGAGGAGGGAGCGAGATCCAGCGATAGTAGATGGCAGAGATAGCCAGACCAACATCGCGACCGAGGATGATGACAGCCAGCCACACTATAAACATGTCAGAAAAGCATCGAAGAGAGGGGAATCAGAGACAGCAAGCCTTGTGCGTGGTCACCTACCCGGAAGAGAACCATTCACCGCCAAACAGGCAACTCCGATCGTCATGAGTAGCTTGTCAGCCATCGGGTCAATGATGGTTCCCACGACAGTCTGTAGGTTGTATTTTCGGGCAATCCAGCCATCGACCAAATCGGTAATACCCGCATAAGCAAAGAGCGAGAGTGCAGCTGCATGGTAGTCGTGGACAAGTAAATACCCCACTACGGGTGCCGCTACTAGGCGAGAGAAGGTGAGAATATTAGGGATGGTGTATATGTTCTCGTGACTTTTGCCCATAGGGATCTTGGAAAGAATGCGCTTTGTGGCGGATTTGGGTCTTGACTCTGGTTAGACAATTGCATCATAAAGGAGGTGGTAATCAATGACACACTCTTCAGGGACCTGGTTCTTCGGGTCTTCGGGAGTTTGCGATGTTGACCATCTCTTTTGCGTAAGAGTGGATGTTTTTGAAAGCAAGGTCAAGCATGTCTGAGACTTTGACACCCTATAATATGATGTCAGGTAAGATCTAACTAGTAGATTCAAAGCAGCTCACTGAATGGGTGAACGGCCCATATTAGGCGTCAAAGTCAACCCAGAGATACACCGGGATCGGACTGCATGTCCATGAGAGAGCTGGCCATGCGCAAGACGTGCAGTGTTGCACAACAAGTAGAGGCTGTGGCTAGCCCGAGAAGAGGGCAGCAGGCGGGCTGCGCCTGTGGAAAGCATGGTATTGCGAGAAAATAAAGAAGAAGATAAAGCCCACAGATGAGTGCAAAGACTGCTAGGTCAAAGAGTGGAACAGGCGAGCTCCAGGATGATGGATGAGCGTGTGGCCAGCAGAGCCAGATTGAATCACCGGATCAGTCGACAAAGTAGCGCAGTGAACAATGAACTTTTAAGAGGGCAGTCCCACAAGGAACATGAAGTGTACAAATAGCGAAATCTGCCAATTTGGACCACGACTGCGACAAATATCCAGCACAATACAGTACAGATGACGGAGGGCTGCCAGCACAGGTTAGTTGGTATTCATGCCAGTCTCGGGATGTCTGTAGCTCAATTGATTGTACGCACAACTTCCACAGTAACAGATCGTCTTCCGGGGGATTTCATACAATAGAAGCCCTGCCCCAGAAAGACCGACCTGATGATGGAGAAGTTAAGCAGAGCCTCGGCGGATTTCAACGGTGGCTTCGGATAATATGTTAATCCGGTCCCGACCCCAGCCTACAAGTAGTGTCGATCGAACCCATTTATATCTCTAGCTAATCATCCATTCACCTCCTTTGAATCAAAGACATCCTTTCCAAATCAAGGGAGATTCCAGCGAAATGCCTTTTATGGAGCTTATAAAGACCAGATGGGGTCACTATGACCATCCATCATCACCCACTCACCTGACGGAACTATACACATGACATCCCGCATGATAGGCAACATCATCCCGATATTTCGGCAGAGCTACAGTTAGTTCTTACCCATGTGGATGAAATACTCTTCAAATACTGAACAGCTATACAGTTGTTCAATCTGGAGGCCACCATAGTTTCAAATGCAGCCTGATGGAGAACAATCGCCAATATCTACAAAGGGACTACGGTGTTGTCGTCCCACGAGAGTTATCTGCCAACGATGGGGGTTCCACGAACGGTCAGAAATGGCCGGCTCGCCTCTTTAAATCAATCATCCAAACTTCTCAAGCCACAACCGCCAGGTTCGTTTGAACTTCAGCCATCTGAATCTCCACCGCCAATCCCTGTCGACAAGCAGAAAAAGGTCACACCGCTTGATCCAAATATGTCCAATCCTCGTCTTCTTGTCAATCGCGCTTGTATCTATGAGCGCCGACTACCTGGTGATGCATATATCACCGCACACGTCGCCAGGCTTCAGCATGGCTTCTATGCCAGTGAAGCTGTATCTGACAAAGACGCAGATCATGTTGACTTCCTTGCGATCAGCTTCGTCTTTCATACTTCTCACACGCTCGAACATCGATTCAAGTCTGCAACCATCAAAGCCACTATACGTGGTAGCCATGAGATGCCCACATCTGCTCAGTATCCCCGTGGCCATCCTCCCGGCAACCCTCGCTTCCTCATGCATGCACCGCATTTAATCTTCGGCCACGTTTCTCCAGAGACTATGGAGTGGACCTTCAGTCTGGCTGGGTCCTTGGGTGTTTCAGAGACACCTGTCAGCGCCAGCGTGATTCCCTCTGGTAGTACCAGCGCCCGGTACCGACGGTACGAGATGATGCGCATCCAGGGCTCTGCTCGCACGCTCAATAGCCCTCGCGGTTCTCAGTACGATGTTGAGGCTGGTGAGATCGTCTGGTCATTAGAGGAGAACAACCTACAGCGCTCCGGGCTGCCGCGCGAGTTCACCTTCGTAATGCTGGTTCAAAAGCCCACCACCAACAGTCAGCTCACGCTGACTCTTGAGGTTGAGCCAGTCATCCAGGCTCTACTAGGCAGCTATCCAAGCTGGCTTCTCACATTTAGTCCGTACCAGCCGCTATCACGACGCGGCGTCGACTTCAACTCCGAAGTCGGCCAGCGCTTTGAGCCGGTGGACGCTGCACGGGGATTCAATTTTGCTGCCCTGGAGAGCTCATTTGATGACTACATCGCCATGCCGGGGCGCAAGTTCTCTCGCCAGGTAAGACACTCTGCATCAACTGACGTAAGAGTGAGAGAAGAATGAAGGTCTCATTTGTAAGAAGAGAGGCTAACATGAGCACATACAGATCGAATTCCCGGTCGAGACTCCCCTCCCGGAAGAAAATCCGAATCAAGGCGGGAACTACAACCAGCCCTACCCGCTCTACGGAGCCCTGAACCCGGTGCAACAGCTACATTTCAACGGCATGGTTCTCCAAAACAACCTGCTGCAAGCACAGCTGAACCAAGTCTACTCCGCACAACACCAGCCCCAGCCCACCGTGCAAGCCATCAATACCCTCGACGTCCACCACAGCCTAGACAATGCAACAGTCTCGCTCCTTGCAGGCGCGCGCTCATCGCCGCCTCCACTCATCAACCGTGTTGTCGTCGAGGGTAGTGATGACCAGGCTTGCACGAGTAGTGCAACGGCTGTCAGTAGCGGAGAAGATGCGCGGTTCAAAAGCTACGAGAACATCCGCGCCTCTATGCTGCGTACTGTTCACCCCGAAATCCGGGCAGAGGGGTTCAAGGCTGTTTCGGTTGCTGAGCGGACGCAGCGGAGGGCGCGGATGGAGAGGAGTAGCTCGCGGCAGCAGGTGATGCGTTTGAAGAATCAGCCGCTCTCGCCGGGGTTGATTTCGCGGCTGGCTGAGCAGCGGGGTGTTGAGGAAGAAAGAGATGGGGATGTGGATGCTGAGAGTAGGTGATGTGAGGATTGATTTTGAAATATGCATGATCTGGAGTTGGAGGGCGTTCATTATTTGTTGAGATTTATTCTTATCTTGTTTTCTCATTTTTCTTTCGCCTGGACTTCGAAAATACCCCTGTATCTATTATTCGACCTCTTAAAATGATCATGCTAATCTCATACAATGGAAGTTACTAGTCATTTTTGTTTCTCATATGGCCATGCTTGCTTCCAAGGACCACAGTTTACGGATAGACGTAGTACACCTGTAGCGCATCAGGGCCACCAAAGCATCAAAACCAGATCAGACAAAAAGGGGTGAGGTCCCAAGTTTTGAGTAGTGTCACACGCTATATAGTACAAATCCGTTTCCTATAATACACAGCCAAATAATACAAGCTAACCAGCCACCTTTTATACAATTCTACTTCTGCCCCTCCAAATCCAACCCTTTCGCCTCAGCCTTACGAACAGCCTCCGCAAAAAGCTCCTTACAAGGAACCCGACTACCCAACCTCGCACACAGCAAGAACGCACCACTCAACTTACGATGCAGCGAGTACGTCTCCTCGGGTGGCGGTGCCAATCGCTCCCGAATCATCAGCGGGATCAACGCTCGCACGCGGTCCGTGATAGTCTGATCCCGGAAGTCGTACACGTCTGGCGAAGAGAGCATGAAGGGTTCTGCGATGGTGACGATGGATGAGACGTGTGCGTCGGCCATGGCTTGTGATTCCATGCCGGTGAGGTAGCCCAGTTGAACGGAGAGGTCGTGGCAGGCGGTGCGGTCGTTGCGAGATGCAGCGACCAGCGTGCGCACGTACTTATTGATAAACTCTTCCGGGTACTCGCGGGAGGCGCCGAAATCGAGGAGCTCGAGCCGGTTTGTGCGTGCGTTGTAGAGGAAGTTAGTCCAGTTCGGGTCTGTTTGCATATAGCGGAACTCGACGATCTCGCGGAGACACAGACGCATGATCTGTGTGCCGATCCAGTCACGCTGTTCTTGGGTGAAGTCTTGGATTTTGGTTACGGCTACGCCTTCAAGCATTTCCATGGTGAGAACTTGCTTGCCGGAGGCTTCGGGCATGACTTCGGGGACGACAAAGACGGGGTCGTCTTTGAGGAGTTTGCGGAAGCGAGCGCCGCACTCGGCCTCGCGGAGGTAGTCGCATTCCCAGGCGAGTTCGGTGCGGGCGTTGGCGATCGTCTTGTCGAGGTAGAGGCCGCGGGGGAGAAGGCGGGAGGCTGTGAGAAGAATGGAGAGGTTGTTCAGGTCGGAGTCGATCGAGTCGGCGACGCCTGGGTACTGGACCTTGACGGCGACGGGTCTGCCGGTGCTTTTGAGGACGGCGGCGTGGACTTGGCCGATAGAGGCGGCGGCCATGGGGACCTCATCGAAGGAGGTGAAGAGGTCCCGCCAGTTAGGTCCGAGGTTATCGGCCAGAACCTTATCACGCTGCGAGGCGGGCATGTAGTCCGCGCGGTCTTGGACACGCTGGAGAACTAGTTGGATTTGTGGGGGCAGCATGTTGGAATCTTGGATACTCAACATCTGGCCGAGCTTAAGAGCAGCGCCGCGCATTTTCGACAACTTGGCTACCATACGTTCCATATTGCCCGCGCTGAACATGATCGAGCCACTGTCTTGACTGCCGGTAGCCCGTCGCACGGTCTCGGTGACGGCACCGAATGCCATCGAGGTTGCCAACCCACCATACTGCCACAACCTCCCCAATCGAGAAGATGGTACCCGGGATTCCATCATCTGGTACGGTGCAGGCTTCTCACCCATCACAAACTCAGCGGCAGGTGACGTTACATCCTCTGCAACACTGGCCACCAACTTCTCTATTTCCTTGACTTCTGACTTGGCCGCAGTCTTTGCGTCAGCGTCAGGTGCTGGTGTCGCTTCGGCGAGCTCCTGTTGCACAAACCGATCTCTGTCTGCCGGCGGCCACTGTCTCTGGGCCGCAGGCGCCGGGGCGGGCTTGCCCGAGAGCATGCGCGATACTCTCGGACTGTGGAAGAGACTCTGCATCATCTCCTCTGACAATTCCTGTTGTTCGGCGGGGGCATTTGGTCTTTCGGGCGCCGTCGCCGAGTTGAAGACATCGGCATTCAAGCCATCCTGCCCAATCACTTGGGTATCTCCAACAGCTTTGGGTAGCTTCACCCTAGGCAAAGCGGAAAAGTCCGGCGCGGCCTCCTGCGAAGGTTGATAGTAGACCTCCTGCTGCGGGCTAATATTCAAGTTATCCGGCTTCTCATCGCCCTTGGATTGTGCCGTCGATCCCGGCACCTGAAACTCCGCCTGGCGCTGCAGTATCCGAGCCGTCTCTGGGGCGGGGGAGGTTGCAGTCGCCGTTGTCTGAGAGCTAGTGGGTTTATCGGCCGATGGCTCGGCGACCAGCGTCGTCGGCGACCGGGAGGGCGCGCTCGAGGTCGGCGGAGGTGGCGAGGGCTCGTCGTTTAAACGACGCGCCAACGCGGCAGCGGCTTGTGCGGTCAGGATCAGGCCCTCGGTCTGATCCTTAATGCCCTTGGTCAAGGACGAGGTGCGTGTGTAGACATCGAGCTGGTGTTGGCGAATGGCCAAATGCTTGAGGGCAATGGATTTGGAGACATTGAGGAACTGGATAGCATCCAGCACCCTCCGACCAGACATTGTCTCGAAGTCACGAGCCCGTCACAAAACGACGTAGTGTGGATTTTTGGGGAAGCTCTTCCTATCGCATCGGGCAAAATAGGGCGGTGTCCAGATATCGGAGTATATAGGGTGGGCTGGTTTTTGGTGATTTCTTTTGATCGAGTAATGATAATATGATCCAATGGGATCCAATCAGGTCGGATCCAACGGCAGCTAGTCAGCCCAGCAGGGGAAGTCTGACCAGCATGGGATGTGTAAGAGCAATGATTAATGGAATCTCCTTGGCCCTGATAGAGAATCCGCCGGGCGCCTCTCGGCCGTCTCCGACTGCTCCACTATGCTTCTGCCGATCTTCTAATCGCTGCTAAAACCGCCTTATCGGCACTTTGGCCCATCTTGACTTCTTTACTTCTTCCTTTCTGTTATAACTTCTGCTTCTCTTCTCCATAATCGAGCCCATTTCCCCAGATTCTATACCCCATATTTAAACGCCACTACAAACTCACAATGCTGCTCGACACGACTCAATCGCAACATCTGCAGACCGAAATCGCACAGCTCGAGGCTCGCCTCCATGACATGCGGGCCCAGCTCGATGCCTCTCAATACCCCAGTCCTCCTGCATCTCACCCCGACCAGAAGACAGCATGGATGATGCCATCAGGTGAGCAAAATCCATTTAGACTTATACAAAGGATATATACTAACAATCTCCTATCAGACATCTATAAGCACGACAACATCCACAATAAATTCCAAGCTGGCTCCGTCCACTCCTCCTCACTCCACGCCCTCCTCCTCCTCTCCGACTCCGCCCTCCCATTAGGCTCATTCGCATACTCCAGCGGGCTGGAGTCTTACCTCGCCCATAACAAACCTCTCCGCGCCAACCCCATCACCTCCTTCCACCACTTCCTCAAACTCTCCATCGCCTCCATCGCCAGCACATCCCTCCCTTACGTGCTGGCAGGTTACCGCGAACCCGACACTCTCGAAACCCTCGACAACGACCTCGACGCTTCCACACCCTGCATCGTCGCCCAGCGCGCCAGCATCGCCCAAGGCCGCGCCCTGATCGGTGTCTGGGAACGCGCATTCCGCATGAGCTTCGCCGGCCCCACTGCCACCGATACCGGCGCCGAGGTAGCCGTCACCGCCATGGATGACTTCTCCGACTTGCTCAAGTCCTGCAGCGACGAGGATAATGAATACGATCTCGGTCCGAAGGGCCATTTTGCGCCGCTGTGGGGAGTTGTCTGTCGAGCTATGGGCTTGGACTTGCATCAAGCGGCGTATATCTTTGTTCTGAACCATGCCAAGGCGGTTCTGAGTGCTGCGGTGCGGGCCTCGGTGATGGGTCCGTACCAGGCGCAGAATATTCTGGCCAGTCAGACGCTGCAGGATACTATTATGAAGCGCATTGAGCGTGAGTGGGATACGGAGGTCGAGCAGGCCGGGCAGGTTGTTCCTGCTTTGGACTTGTGGGTCGGCCGACACGAGCTGCTTTACAGCCGCATTTTCAATTCTTGATCACATAGACCAGCATTATATACCTAGCATTGGGTTTGGGGCGTTTTCTTTTACGGATGTACATTATTTGGATTAGCGAATTTACATACGATTGATGAACAAGACATTTGCCAGCAATGATAAGGGTGATATCACTGATATGGTAAGATTATCTAGCAGCTATTTTGATCAGTCAAGATCTACTAAATGTCGAAGACTTGGACATAACTGCATGAGACTTTGCATTTGCATTCATCATTTCCCATTTGCCTCCGCTAGACGTAGTATTCCTACATGTCACAAGATATCTAGATTCACAAGCCGAGGAAACAGAAACACAGTGCGCCTCTCGGGAAACGGGGTATCCAAAGAGAGCACAGCCAGCGCCCCAGCGCCACAGGGAAAGAAGCAGAAAAGAGAAACGAAAAAAATCCACCATATGCGTCGACCAGAATGCGATCGCATGAACAGAAACATAAGTACCCTGGGTCTGAGTACCAGAGCATAGAACTCATCAAACGCCATCTCCAGCCTTGTCCTGCTAAAAACCAGCCTCCAAACACCGCACCATGGACCTGTCAGAAAGTGACCACTAAAAGAAGGGTAGGGTGAAGAGGGGGGGGGAAAAAGAAGAGGTAGAGAACAAAAAGAGTTGGTATAATACAAGAAGAGAATTTTGAGGGGAAAGGTAGAAAGATCACAAGGTGATGTGCATGTGGTCGTTGCTGCCAAAAGACCGGTTGCAGTTAGGACATTTGCGAGATCGAGAGGTGAGACGCTCCTCGACACAGTCCTTGCAGAAGACGTGACCGCATGTTTTAATGACCGTATTCTTGAAGTTGCGGCGGCAAACCGTGCATAGTGCAAGTGTCTAAAAAGAAGGTTAGTCGAGCGGTTGGAATGATGTGGTTAGGTGCAAACTTACCCGCAGCATCTCATACTCAGAGGAGTTGTTGCCAAGACTCTTGTTCTTCCAGTTATCCAGGCTCTTCTTCGTATCTGAGAGAGTTTGCTTCAAGCCTGCGATCTCAGTCTCGGCTTGACGCAAGGCAGTCGACGTGTGGCCCAGGGTTGCGTCCTTTGAGGTTGAGATGTTCTTCAACTCCGTCACTTGATTCCTCAGACCCTCCACCACGATGTTGCTTTCGGTCAACTGTTGCTGGGTCACCCGGTGCTTTTCCAGCGCAGAATTCAATGCCTCCTTGGTTTCGCTGACTTGCTTATCCATGTTGGAGATCAGAGATCTTGTCGCAGCTTCGGACTCCTTCAACTGCGAGACAATATCGGAAGTCTTCGAGTTCTGCATTCGAAGTGTGCGAACCTCCACATCCCGGGCCTCCTTGCTCTTCATGGCAGCGAAATACTTCTGGTCAGCCTTGGACTTCTCCGCCGTCAGTCTGGCCACCTTCTCTTCCAGAGCACCGAAATCAGTTACTTTCTGTGAGGCAAGGGTCGAGAACTTCTTGTATGCCGTTTGCATAGAGGCCAGCTCAGTATTGAGCATGGAATACTGGCGTTCGAGGCTCGTGTACTTGGAACGAAGTTCTTCAAGCGGTATGTCGACCACATTCTCCGCCGTCTTGGACCCCTCAATCTGCAACCGCAATCTCTCGATCTCAGACTCCAAGGCTGCAATACGGGCTTCTCGGGCATCTGCCAACTCCTGCAACTTCGCGGCGGCAGTTTTTTCTTGGTCCTGAGCATTCTTGCGTATTTGCTGATCGGCAAAGAGTTCATCGCGAGTGTTCCGTATCCGTGCCAAGTCACTCTCAGCCCTCATGAGCGCCGCCTCCTTCTCCGCGATCGTGGCGTTCGACTCCTCCTCCAATTGCAATTTGTATGCATTCCTTTCTGAGCGATACTTCTCGGCTTCCTCGCGCAGTTGGACATTCGTTGCCTCCAAATGGTTGATGCGCTTCACCACATCGTCGTATTGGGATCGGAGTTGTTTGAAAAGATCGGTATGAGCATAGTCATCGTCGGTAAGTTTCGAGGACTACAAAAAAAATCATAGTCAGTCACTGGTGTTCCGAGTGACACTAGAGGGGAAAAAAAGGGACACGAGATAGAAAAGACGTACCTTAGTCTTAATTTCGGTAATCTGTCGGAGCAGATTCGCGTTCTCAGCCTCCAACTTCTGCAACTGTTCCTTTTGCTTCTCGGATACCGCGTTGAGCTTATTGTTAGTCTCCTCCAACTCGGCACTGCGCTCTCCTACGGGGGTTCCACCGTTGGCTGGAGACGATTCTTCGCGCTTGGTCTGCGCGCCCTCCGAGCTTGGTCGCTGTCCACCAAGCATCTGTTTCTCTAATTTGGCAACAGTTATGCTGCGTGCCCGATCGAGCTTCTTTTCCGCCACCATATACCGAAGCGAGGCTGCTTCCAGACTTTCTTCGAGTTGTTGCTTTTCGGTAACGGTTTGTTCCAATTTGGCAATCGTCGCTTTCTCCTCTGCCAGCTTCTTTGCTAACTGATCCTGTAGCTGGGTGATGTCTGGTGACAGATTGGCCATTTTCGAGTGAAAATATGAGATAATTTCGCGAATATCTTCTGTCCTCGATTTTAAATGGCTCTCAAATTGGTCCACATCCTCGAATTGAAGCGAGCTCTTAAAGACGGGTTCTAGAGGGCTTGTTAGCCTTGCCTCCCCAAGAAGTCCATAATTCGAGGATAGAGATGAACTGACCTTTGATAGATTCTTGCGAAGATCCTAGGATTGTCTTCACCTCATCGATCAACTTCGAAAAGAGTTAGCATCCAGAGGCCTAGAGGTGAAGTTGATATGATGTTCTGGGGACTCACCTGACGAAACCAAGCATCGATAGCGCGAAGGTGATTGTCATGGTGGGCAGCAGCTTTGGCCATCCGATCCAAAGTCGCTTCCAATCCAGCCTTCTCGCGCTTGTATTCTTGCATTTGACGAAGGATCGCATCTTTCTGAAACCGCTATCACAAGAGCACTGTCAGCACCACATCCCTGGGACACGAGTCTTACCCAAGACTCTACAAGACTGTCAAATCAAGAACGGCCCTCGGGTTCAACCACATACCTCCAAATCATCTCTCCATGGCATATCCGCATCTGGGTGAGGTTTGCTCCCACCGTTGACGCTGGTCGCCTGCTTCTTCAAAGGTGGGGCCGACTCATTGTTCTCTGCGGCAGGCCTCTTCCGGTCCTCCATCTTGACGAATCCGGACTCTGAAGATATAATGGGGGGTTGACGGCCGGCATCAGTGGCTAGACTGGCATGAAAGAGGGGGATCTCGATCACCGCCGAACCGTCAGTCCAGTCAGCCACAGAGAAGACACCGCGATCGAGTGCCAATTCGGCCGACGAAGATGCCGTAGCGATGATCAACTGGCGATACCAAAAGGAAGGATATACCGTGGACAGAGGATCACTGGGTGGGTGTTGAGTTGCGATGGTTAGGACTGAAGGAGTTGAAGACAGGAGGATTTTCAACGAGGTTTAGGGTGCCGCTAGCGCCTCTCACGTGACCGCGAATCCACTTCCCCGGCGACGCGACTGGGAACTTTTCTCTATCCTAACTCAACCCCTCAGTCCCCTCAGGAATGGACAGCCATGAAGTCCTTCTCGAGTTCGGCAGTTAGTAAGTGATATTCAAGGGAAATTTTACACTTTCCAAATTTCTGTCTCTGACCGGTCTGTGGCATAGACAAATCGGGCAAAAAGTTTGCGCCGAAAGCGCCGCCCCGCCGCGGCGCGCCCGCGCCAGCTGCACCAGCGCGAAGACCCAGTGCAGCTCAGCAGCCTCCAGTGCAATCTGAACAGGATCAACAGCACGAAAGAGAGGTTACTGAGTCTGTTCCTCCGCCTTCTGCGTCATCTGCAGAGCCAGAGCAGCCCAAAATCCCCGAGTCGGCTCCGGCTGTAGTTTCAGAATCACCCCAACCAGCTCCAATCGCCCCGAAATCTGCTACCCCCATCTCGATTCCTCGTCCTATCCGCAAACCATCTATCCCAAAGCATATTGCAGTTGCTCCAGCTGCAACTGTGACTCCCTCTACTAATGTGCCTGACACTCCAACCTCTCCACGAACTTTACCTGCCGAAACGAGTGTCTTGCCCTCAATTGAAAATGATACCCCACGGTCGACCTTGGTCGAGGACTCAACTGCGGCAACAGTGGCAGTCGAAGCACCAGTCCCCGATGCCGATACCGGTGTATCAGATGAAGCCCTCTCGCCACGCCAATCCGTGTCAGAGCCTCAGCCTACAGCCTCCGCTCCTGTCGCCGGCCGATCTTTGAAATGGGCCAAGAAAACATCAGAATTTACCAACCGCGGTAGGGGACCAGTGCACGCTGTTGCTCCGGCGATCTCATCTACAACCTCGAGTGAGACACCGGGAGGATCACTCGTCCCCGTGACTCCCGAGGCAAGCGGGTCTGCGAAGGGAAAGAAACGGAAGGCATCCAAGGCATCGGATGCTGATTCTTCGAGACCGAAGCGTCGTCCACGGAAGCGCGAACCGACACCGGAGGGCGCAGAGATGGTGGAAATCCTACCCAATGTGGTCAAGATGTCGGAGCTTTGCAAAGACCTTAAGACTGGACGGAAGTCCAAACGAGAGACCGAATTGCGGAAATTGGAAATAGAAGAGCAAGAGCGCAAGCAAAAGGCACAAGAGCAAGGCCTGACTGCCGAGACGCCGAAGAAAACGAACGAGGCAGATGGTAGCAACACTGATCGTCTTGCGGAGCCTAAGCCTCAGTCTGGACCAGTCATGCGCATTGTCAACGGTGAGATTGTGCTGGATAATGCCTCGCTGGAAGTGGATCGTCATGCAGATGCCGCACGAGCTGCAGGTGACCTCGAAGATGTGGTGGAAAACCAGCTTACTCGGAAGGTCAACCAGGCCACATACGGCAAACGTACCAAGAACGAATCGTGGGATGAGGAGATGACTGACCTTTTTTACCGCGGCCTGCGCATGTTTGGAACGGATTTCATGGTGATCAGCAAGCTGTTTCCAGGACGGTCTCGCCGCCAGATCAAGCTGAAGTTCAACAATGAAGAACGCAAGGATCCCCAGCGGATTAAGGATACTCTTCTTGGGCCGCGCGAGACTATCAACATTGCAACTTACTCAGAGCTGACCAATCAGGTCTATGATGATCCCAAGATCATTCAGCAAGAATTGGAAGAAGAGAAGAAACGCATCGAAGATCAACACGAGAAGGAGAAGCAGCTACAGGAGGAGATGTTGCGCAACCCCACCGGCGCTGGCGCCGATGAGAATGCTGCTTCCAACGGTGATAAGAGCAACGGCGCTCCCATCAAGGGCAAACGAAAGAAGAGCGTTAAGAACGCGGCCGGTGGTGGTACAGAGGAGGTACTAGGTTCTATCGACGATATTCCTTTGGCTTGAATCAAGTTTCTGTTTTCAAAGCGGGTGTTTTTGCGGGTTTCAGGGCTTGGGATGAATACAATGGGAGATCTACGGCGTTTTGCCTTCTCGGCGAAGGACATACACAGGTTTGACCGACGGTCAGGGTCACGGCGTTTCCTAATTGCTATAGAGAGTTGCTAAGGGGAGAGTGAATGGTAGTAAATCCAACAGCTTCCATCTCCTTTGTGCAAATGTCAATAGAGAATTGAGCTTGCATGACATTCAAAAGGTTCAGGTTGCACTTTATATAATTTGCGAAGCCTGGCCCCCTACCTCCGTCTTGTAGATCCAAAACCAGTGCTGGTTGACGTGGTTGAGAACGACGGCGACGAGCGTGTCCGCGAGCTACCCTCTCCAGCATCATAATTGTTCTGTCGGCCAAAGAATGATCCCCCTTGTTGAGTGGAAGCACGATTGTTGTTACCGGCACGCCGTCCCATCTCATATCCCGCTGCAGCACCACCCATCGCTCCCGTCCAGAAACCCGGTCGCCAGCCCTGTGTAGCAGGTCGGCTTCCGAACCCGAAGCTGGAACTCTCGTCATTGCAGGCACTGCTATAAGGAGGTGGAGGCCCTGAAGGATAGCCATCACCATGGCCACCTCCACCACCGCCTCCTCCCCATCCCCATCTTCGCCCAGCAGTAGCTGTGCCTCGCTGGTTCCCCCGTAGACCAAGACACTCGGCAAGGAATCGGCCAACAATGAATAGAAACACAGCAGCAAAGAACCCAAAGAAGATGATGTCCCCCAAGGTCTCCACCCATCTTCCCCAGCCACGTCCCGAGGTCTTCTTCCCATTACCAAATAAGGAAGACCACTCGTAGTCATCACTGGCCTTTCCGAACCTCTTCTCTCCTTGGTCCGTGAGAAGCATACGGTATTCAACTCCGCAGCTACCTTTCAGCACCCACTTATCCTCAGAACTTCGATATCCTTCACAAATGACGTCGGTTGCGCCGAGCTTGAACTCCGGGGGCAGTGAGGCTGTACACGTCCATTGTACATCTTCGGCATCGTAGTCATAGCCATCATTTGTGCAGCGCATTGTATCAATCTGGTAGAGAGCGCATGTTTTCTTGGAGGGGCCGACACAGTTCAGCTGTGGGATGGGAGACACACGGCGAGAGGTGGTTTGGCGGTTGGCGCGGAGCGTCAAGGTTTTGACGTTGGATAAAAGGATGGCATCTTTTCCCGGTGGCTTTTGCGATCTATCGCATAGTGCTGGCGAGGCCAGTATCAGCGTCGACAGTGCAAGTGATCTCCAGTGCATCGTGGTATAGCTCCGAGTCCAAGGCAGCTGGATGGGATAAGATTGCAAATTGCTAGAGATAAGTAGCAGATATTAGTCGGAGCCAGAAGAAAAGGCCAGTTTTGCGTCTTTTGATCAGGCAGCAAGCTTTAAGTCGTCAAAAATCGACACCATCCACTCCATAACCAACTTGGCAGAAGTGGCGTGCCAGTGGTGATGTCCAGCGTGTCCTAAAAAGACCACCCGATAAGCGATAGGCGATAAGATACTAATCGATAAAATGATAAGCCAGCCAAGAAAGATCCACCGAGGCCCAACCTCGCTCCAACTTTAACCTTCAGTGGGGATGCTTCACGAACAGGGGCTCGCTGACTGCTGCTGACAATGGCGCTCCAACAACGTACGTATAACTCCTGCAATCCATTCAATTTTATTTTCTCCTGCTAACAACTCCTCCAGATGAGCCGGTCATAGTGGCGCCTCAGTCGTCGTACGCCCACCTGAACCCGTGGAGTGTGAATCTAGATCGCTGACCAACTTCCCCTTCCGCCTGCAGATTATCTTTCACACAGGGCTTTCTGCTTGGCCAACTCTCCGTCGTCCTATTAATTGGCGCCTTCATCAAATTCTTCATCTTCGGCGAGGCTCCACCACCCCCCGTCGCGCGGCCTGTCCAACCGCACAACCCACCGCCGGTACAGCTCCGTCTACAGCCCACAGGATGGTCAGAAATCGCTCCGAGAAAAGCCGTCAACATCCAATGTGCTTCGCCCTGTGCCAGCCTCCTCTACAAATACACGCTCGATCCTCCGCAAAACATACTACAGCTCCATTCCTACAAACCCTTCCTCCAAACATGGCCGCCACCGCATGCATCACTCCTCCCACCAGCCTGAATCGCTGGATTGGTTCAATGTGCTGATTGCACAAACGATTGCGCAATACCGACAGACGGCATATGTGCTCAAGGATTCGCCAACATCTTCAATTTTGAGCTCCCTTACCGCGGCGATGAACAACCCCGAGAAGAAGCCGTCCTTTATTGAGAAGATTAATGTTACGGATATCTCGCTCGGCGAGGAGTTCCCAATCTTCAGCAACTGCCGAATCATTACAGTAGATGAGCCTAATTCGGATGGTGGAAGGTTACAGGCATTGTTGGACGTGGATTTGAGCGATGACAATCTTTCCATCGCTGTCGAGACTCAATTAGTCCTGAACTACCCCAAACCGCGCTCCGCCATTCTTCCCGTCGCGTTGTCCGTTTCCGTTGTGCGGTTCTCGGGAACATTATGTATCTCGCTGATCCCCGCATCAACGGAACCTCCTCTAGACACGCCTGCCACATCGCCCACGCCACCTGCAGATGCAGCCGCAAGGCCCAACAGCGCCCCCGGGGCTTCGGATCCCGGCACTGCGCATGACCAGAACCCACCTAAAAGCAGTCCGAAGAGCAATGTGGCCTTCTCTTTTCTCCCTGATTACCGACTCGACCTTTCCGTGCGATCACTTATTGGGTCTCGCAGCAGACTGCAGGACGTGCCCAAGGTGGCTCAACTCGTCGAGGCCCGAGTACATGCCTGGTTTGAGGAGCGTGTTGTTGAACCCCGCGTGCAGGTTGTCGGACTCCCTGACCTGTGGCCGCGCATGGGCCGGACCGGTGTGCGGACTGGGGAAGACTCGGACGCAGGGTCCACTGCGCCACCAAGAAGTGCTGGCTCAACAGAAGCTGGAGGGCCAATCCGTTTCTCCGACGACCACACTCGCGACCAAGAGGGTCTGCGCTTTCGTGGGGGGTTGGATCCGCGGTTAGGACTTGGCGCGGGCTCTCGAAGCAGCAGTTTCAACGTAGACATGGGTGGCTTGCGGAGTTCGAGTATGACTCGGCAAGAAAGCGCCGGCGCTGCCAGCGACCAGCTTGAGATGCCGGGTGGCCTGCCTGGCGGAGTGGCCGCACGAGACTGATTCAGTACTCTTGTACAATGACCTGCCTGCTTCTCTACAACTTCTACATTGTAGACCCAAACCCTCCTCCTCTACGCTGATGTATACTAAGCATTCGATAAACAACGAAACATACAAATCGGAAGAATCGTCTCCTCCGTTCCCATTATGCATATGTGCAGAAACTACTCAAGTATATAAAGTGTATTGGAAAGCAGATCGAATTGGAAATCCCATCTCTGTTCCATTGAGAGCCATCAATCAATGCAGTCATTAAACGTCGCAAACCCCATCAAGGATCAGTCAAGCCTGTTCAAAACTATCTAGTTCACAGCCGCAGTGGGCTTCAAAACAGTCTCGACGTAGTTCTTGCGGTGCGGGTTCACATCAAGCTCAGCGACACGATTCAGCGGCGTCCACTTGGGCTCATCTTGGAAGAGGCGCATAGCCTTGACGTACTGTGAAGCGTCACAAGTCAGCAAGGAAGAACCAGAAAGAGAATCAATATGAGGGCAAATCTTCCAAAATCACATACGTTCTGCTCATCGGTCGTGAAGCGGTGGTAGATACCAGCCGGAAGAATAATCAAATCATCCTTGACCAAATCAATGCGGATCCACTCGTCCTCCTGGCCGCGGACATCAAAGTAACCCTCACCATCCAGGATATACCGAATCTCCTCATCCTCGTGCAGGTGCTCCGCGAAGAACATCTTCACCTTATCCTCGTAGATATCACCCATAGCCTGCGGGGACACGCAGACCTGGTCGCGGTTCTTGTAGCCGCGCGCCTTAGCAATGGCATCAACGGCCTCGATGGTAGGGCAGTGGTGGTAAAGGACACCGAGCGATGCGAGCTTCTCTTCCGAGACGGTGCGGCCGGAGTCGTGCGGCTCACGCTGGTCGCCCTGAATTGTCGCAAGTATACATTAGCATCAATGCCGCCAGTTGCGTCATCGCATAGGCCCTCGGGGGTCTCGGCGCAGGGCGGGTGGCGGGATACTTACGGGCTTGTTGTCATACCAGTAGGCCTTCATTTTGAAGTATCTTGAAACAGTTCCGCTCAAGTTATGGACAGAGAGAAGCAACTGGGTGAGATCCTTCGAAATCCGTCGCTGACCATCAGCAGCCCCGCCAATTAGCCGATTGCGCGAGCAGATTATGTCATCTCTTATCAGTCACGTGTTTCGGCGATATTTTTGTCTTATCGCAACTTGAAGACAGTCAGTTCCTCGTCGACAAGCCTCGTTCTTCGATGCATTCCGCAATGATACTCAGGGCGCGGTCATTACCCGTGGCACGGCAGCGCATTAGGCCATCTCGCCTGGTCGGCAGGTTCCGCGGCTTGGCAACAGTGTCAAACGGCATAGAGTTCGTGATGTCCCCTTATTTCATCCTGTTTGACTAGTGCTAATCAAGTCCTTTCAAACAGGGCCTACGATGTCGTCGTTATCGGAGGTGGTCATGCTGGATCAGAGGCATGCGCTGCAGCTGCGCGATCCGGGGCCCGCACTGCATTGGTGACACCGTCACTATCGAACATTGGTGTTTGCTCGTGCAATCCCAGTCTTGGTGGAATCGGCAAGGGCACTATGATTCGCGAGATCGATGCGATGGATGGTGTTGCTGGACGTATTATCGACAAGGCGGGCATCATGTTCCGAGTCTTGAACCGCTCCAAGGGTCCGGCTGTATGGGGACCGCGCGCGCAAATCGATCGCGACTTGTACAGGAAGCATATGACGGAGGAGTTGGTCAATACGGAAGGTCTCAATATTGTGGAGGGCAAGGTCGCCGATATTGTGCTCTCGAGGGAAGGCCTCGAGAACACTCCTGGTGCCCAGGGAAAGATTGTTGGTGTGCGCTTGGAGTCTGGGGAGGTTATTCCTACCGGCCGCGTGGTCATCACGACAGGAACTTTCTTGGGAGGCGAGATCCACATCGGACTGGAGAGCTATCCTTCGGGACGAATGGGAGAGGCGCCAACTTATGGGTTGAGCAAGTCTCTTCGTGAGGCTGGCTTCCAGCTGGGCCGGTTAAAGACCGGAACACCGCCGCGGTTGGACATGAAGTCAATCGACTTCTCTGGATTGGAGATTCAGCGCGGTGATTCGCCGCCTATGCCCTTCTCCTATCTCAATTCGACAGTTGATGTTGGTGATGAGGGTCAACTCACTTGCTGGTTGACCCACACGAATGAGGCATCTCACGATATCATCCGGGCCAACCTGGAGAACTCTATACATATTCGCGAGACAGTTCGTGGTCCACGGTATTGCCCATCGTTGGAGTCCAAGATTATTCGATTCAAGGACAAGACACAGCATCAGATCTGGCTTGAGCCGGAAGGCTTCGCGCCGAATGATGTGGTCTATCCGAACGGCATTTCGATGACCGTCCCCGCGGATGCTCAATATGCTATGTTGCGGACTGTTCGCGGTCTGGAGAATGTGAAGATGCTCCAGCCAGGCTACGGAGTGGAATACGACTATATTGATCCACGCAATCTGTTGCCAACCCTAGAAACCAAGTTGATCAGTGGTCTCTACTTGGCTGGCCAGATCAACGGTACCACTGGCTACGAGGAAGCAGCTGGTCAGGGTATCATCGCTGGTATGAACGCTGGACTGGCCTCTCAGAATCGGGGATCGATGACGCTTACGCGCTCGGACGGCTTCATCGGTATCATGATTGACGACCTTATCACCAAGGGAGTGTCAGAGCCGTATCGGATGTTCACGACTCGAAGTGAATACCGCATTTCTACCCGCTCTGACAATGCCGACCTACGTTTGACTCGTATGGCTCGCGAAGCTGGTGTCGTTGGCGACAAGCGCTGGCAGCAGTTCTGCGACACCGAGGGCCAGATCCAGGAGCTTCAGGCTCTCCTAGAGAACACGAGGCTCTCTTCAACCGCCTGGTCTCGCAAGGGCTTCAAGGTTCGTGCGGATACCTCAATCCGCTCAGCTCTCGACATCCTATGTCTCGACGGAGCCGACATCGACGCCTTGATTCCACACATTGATGCTACGAACGGCACGGCATACAATCCTGCATCATTCGCACCCGAGATCCGCACCCGCGTCGCTATCGAAGGACGTTATGCCCCGTACCTCAAGCGACAGGAGAAGATGGCCCAGAGATTCCAGCAGGATGAGAATTTGACCTTGCCTGCCGACCTGGACTACAGCAAGATCTTCGGTATCAGCAACGAGGAGAAGCAAGCACTTGAACGAGTGCGCCCTTCCAGTGTCGGCATGGCCAGACGCATTGAAGGTGTCACGCCTGCCGGTGCTCTCCGTCTTCTGATGCATGTGCGGAAGGCTACTGGGTTCAGCAGGGAGATTTCTCAGGATCCTGCTGTGACAGAGATTTTAGGGTCGTCGCCTTAGATCGTGTAGGACACTTATTTTTTGATATTCTAGCATAGCGGAGCAAAATCATGGCGCTGGGATCGCACTTGTACAATATGGATTTGATTGAGTTGGTTGCTACAGGGTTCTTTCTTTTTTCTTGTACTTTATCTTTATTTGACTCTTCTTTGCTATATGGACGGAGCTTCTGACCTGACTGCATACCAAGAGTCCTACAATATATATCTCTCTCTTCAATCTCATTCCTTCGTGTGAATTTTTTGTTCACCCACATTCAACACAATCTTGGCTGTTGAGTTTCCATCCCAATATATATTTATCCCATAACCTCACCACAGCCCTGCGAGCAACATCTATCTTGTTATTCCATTGCGAACCATTCTCATCATCAAGTATAGAGCAAGAAGCATACACCTATTTCGAGCTCATCTACCCCACTACTCAAGAACGACACAAACCTAATCTCCGCAAAAACATTCCCACTCGACCTGTCACATCTCACAGTCGGCATCCCTACCTGCCCGACCCCGAAAGCAAGCAAGCACCATGAGTTCCCAACCCAAGGGCCCGGGGCAAACTCAAAGCCCCCTGGAAAAAGCAAAGAAAAAGGAAGCATACATGGATGGATACTCGGCACAGCAGTTAGGCAGGTAGCCCCATACAGTACTCCGTACATTCCACGGTCTTCCCCAGAACTCCAAACACGCGAAGCCCCATCCAGCCGCGTGAATGGCAATGCTCATACCGCCACTCTGGAATCCACGCAAGGGAGTGCCGATCGGATCAAGGGACAGGGATGTACGGGGTAGATACTGCAAGACTAGCGAGAATCGGTTAAGTCTGTCGCTACTGTAGTTGACTATTTACTCTAGCTTCTTCATAATCTGCAGACTGGCGTTCCTGGCTAGTTGCCTATTTTGGGTTGCGCTTAGGTAGGGCAGAGATCGGCTACAGGGCAGCAGTTAGGTAGGTACGTATCTTGACGTGTTGGGATTGTGGCGTATTACTTGCAGTTTGTTTATCTGGCTTCTTTGCAAGTATGGTTCATGCAGGACTGGGCAGGGCTAGTGATTATCTCTGCAGCACGACTGGTCTCTAGGTTGGGGACCGAGGAGGGTGCTTGTCCTTGGTGTCTGATTGTTTGATCAACGGAACCTGCCAGCTAGGAGATGCAGTAAGACTGCTACCCGATGATCGAGCACTATGTATTCCTCCAGTGTACTCCATGCTCGTCAGCAGGACTAGACAAGGGGTTTCGAGGATAGTCGGTCCGACCTTGCGGCTATCATCGCCATTTGAGTAGTGCATATTCTGTTGAACAGCCAATGGTGAGATCGAAGGCTCTTGTTTCCGTGATCTTATGCGTCATTGATTTAATAGTGGTCACAGGATGCTGCCTATGAGATGCACTTCTTGGTGGTCAGCTATCTCAAAAAAAGAATGGGCTTACGAGGATGGAGTACGTATTCCATACCCTTCTTGTCGCTTGCCTGCTCTCGCTTACACTGATAGCCGATTCCAGGGATAACTATGGGGCCTAAGTGTTTACGTCAAGTACGGAGCATGCACTACTGTGCTACTGCAGAGTACGTGCTATAGTGGATAGCAATCGTGATATCGCATGCAAACGTGAAGTCCATCTCATGCACCCACTGAATGTTCCATGTACTCGGATAGTAGACACGTCTGTCCTGCACTCCACAAAACCCCAACCGCGCATATACGATCCAGAGCCGAGCCGTTGGGGCGGGCGTATATTCCCCCTCTTCTGACGGGAAGCTAGGACAAGAATACGAACAATTAGGTGAATGTGGTTGGTTAATGGAAGACGAGGGCGCCTAAATAGAAGACATCATTGTATTTCAAATTTTGTCTCGGAGGAAACCCGATGATTGCGCCGAATAGGCTTGAATGGAATTGTAGCTCACAGTACTAGTGTCGTCCAGACGTTGTGATGGTCTATTGTATCCGGTCCGAGTCCGAGTTCAAGTCTCTACTTCTCTGTTTGACACCGGACCAAAGTGATGACAGCATACGATAGACATTCCTCGTACGACGGGAGACCAAGCGCATGTTCCGTGCACAGGATCTGTCGCACAAAAGTGTGCGTTGGACACGAGTCCGCGGCGTTGGGATCTGATGGTGTCGTGGCCACATGGTGCGTGGGGTTGGGGATTTTTTCGGGATGGTTCATTTGCTTTTTTTGTTTTGCCTTGGCAGTTTTTGCTTTTGGTGATGGCGGAGTGCATCTTGCATAGTGCATCATGCATTTTAGTTAGTTCCTGGGTCCAAGCAGGATCGAGACTTGATGATCTGCCCCCGTGTCGAGGGAGTTTGCAGGCCAAAGAAGTGACGAGATCGAGAAACGAAAACGCGAAAACGAGACGATGAGCGAATGATGGGTTTGTCTAGCTAGCTTCTTTCAGTAGGTACCTCGTACTCCAGACTTGTTTGTTGTCAGCCTAACCAGGCTAACTAATTGCCGGGTTAGCTGAGAGAGCGTAATTATTATCAGTTACTACTGACTCCCGTACTAAATACTGATTTATACTTTACGCTTTGTGAATTACACTTTACAGTTTAACACGAAGTTCCCGAAGGATTGGTTCGCGCTCGGATTCGAGGAAGCAATGCAGTAGAACAATGAAATACTGTACTTAGTACAGTAGGGGTGCATGCGCATCAATCCATAGGGCGATGGCTGAAGAGCGACAGTAGAAGTACGTAGTAGTAATAGCATGGTGGATGTCTTGAAGATTAATATCATTCTGCTCAAGATCAAAGTATCAGAAGACCTTGAACAATGACCATACAAAAATAAACCGCACTAAGACCATATGTCTCACTTAATTTGATGAAGATCCCAATTCTACATTAGAGGATCCCGAAATCAAGCAATCGCCGATGGAAATTCAAAAATCAAAATCTCGCCCGCCAAACCACCCAAGCTTCAGACCCGCTCTTAGATATCATACATATTTCATATACTCACACCACGATGATCGCGCCGCTCACTGAATGAACCCCTGTAACTAGTAGTATCTCCCTATTCGGCTCAACGCCCAAGGTCCCGCGTCTAGCAGCCCGCAGCAAGCATAACAGAAACAACCAATTAATCACTGCAAGCTACGGCCTTCCTCTATCGCTCTAAGCAGATCCCTAATCGGCAACACGGCACTCCCTGAGCATATCCCATCACTGAGTGGCTTGCCAGCACCGAGACAGGAAGAAATAGACGATCGCAATGAATCATGATCTCAGACCCCCTTTTGATCGCGCGTGCATCGGGGTGGCCAGGTGTTCGGGATTGCTCCCAGTGGGGGAGAAAGGGCGAGGGTCAGTGCCACGACAGATTTGATGAGCAAGGCTTGTCCAAGGCTAGCTGTATCCCGCTGATCTATCTGGAGATTTTGGTTGTGCTCTATTATTTGTACTACGTAGTACTATGGACATAGTACGGTTGCGATTGACCAAGCTGCTTGACTAGCTGATAATAGCGAGCCATCACTCCATGGATGTACAATCCCTGCAAATATGTCCTTGGAAGTCTGCTGCTGGACAAAGTCATACAGCCATTGAGGTCTTGGAGCTATGTTCTCCGTAAACTGGGTCCATCAATCAAGCTGGTCGAGCTCATCCACTAGTCACTAGTCTAGCCGTCGGGAGGTAAAAGTGCGAACGCGCAGGCCAAGCAGAAAGCCAAGGCCTTAGGCCCTTTCTCGGAGCCGACGAATGGGCGACGCGGGTCAGGCATCGATAATTTGTGAATTTAAATTAATCTCTTTCCATTTTCTGTTCGCTCCGATCTGCCCTAGTCTTCATAGCATTCAGGGCTGTGGTTCGTTATATTCATTTTTCACATGCCAGCCGTTGAGGGCTTATTTCTTGTTGCCCCTGATCTTCTTTGCTGCCTGTTTGCGCCCTGGTTCATGCACCCGGTAGCTTGAATAGGTAGGACCGGACCGGTGGAGAATAGAAAGGAAATTGAGAGTGTTGAATTGGTAGGTATAGCGGTATACATAATACAGCAACAATGTTCGGAGCTCTATGGAGTACATTTTTGATATCTCACCAATTTGTATTGGTATAGATAAGACCTTGAGGCTTGAAAAGAGTCCTGCCCATAACAGTCACTATATTCGCGTCAACACCTTACGCCACAGCCTTCACAAACCCAGCCCAGCCCAAAAAAAGACATAGAGCACGAGTCCACGACCCTCGTCCGGCAGCGCCTCCGAGTTCCAACCTCGTACTAAACCCGCAAACTAGCACTCATAGCGTCGATGGCAGAACCCGGATCGTCAAGAAGCCTCTCATCCACCGCCAATACAAGGAGTGCGAATCACAATTGATAGTTATACAGGGAATGTACGCCGTACGGAGTATATAGGAACGGGGTCGCGCTAAACACACCTCGGGAGCGCGCGGCGCAAAAAGAACAAGGGTTGGGTACTGTACAGAGTAGGAAGGAAGCCAAAACCAGAATTCCTGACTCTGTACGGTGTACACGCATACGTCCGACTAAGACATACTTAGCAGGACTAAAAACATACTGTAAGAAGCACCCGCGGCTAAACCCAATCAAGCTAGCGTCCCAAAAGACGAGCATCGCTGGCGTGTCCGGTATAAACAGGCGAAGATCATCGCAGACCCTGTCCGGGCATGCGGGATTTCTGCTTGCGCGCTAGATCAAAAGAGGAAACGCGCGAGCAGGCAGGATGGGGCCTAGCGCCACCGGGCACCAGAGCTTAGACTTGCAAGTACCAAGTTCAAGTTGCGAGGGAGGGGGAGAGAAATCTGCGGATGGTGCGCCCGTTGAGGGGACTAGTGCTGGGACTGTGTTAGCGTGGCTTATTGGTTGTTGGCTCTTGGGATTTGGGGTGGCTTGGCTTGAAATGGATGTTTTTGACATTGTTAATATGTTATGTACGGAGCAAGTGATTGCTGCTATACATAGTACTGTAGATGATTGTCGTCTGATTTCATCTGGTCGAAAGCAGCCATTGGGAATCAATGGA